GCCTCCATTCTTTAAAAGCGGTGGCCGATGAAAATCCTAGGCCACTTGAAACATTGTGATCTCTCAAGCTCACTGGTCAAGCACTAGAAGTAGTATTAGAAATGGAATGAATGAAATGAGAATTAATCATTTTGCACACACACACACACACATTTTTGCTCCGTCTTGTTGTTGACGTCTCCGTCGTCGCGGCCGACGACACCACGAGAACCTTTCACTTCTTCTTCCTCCTTTTCCACTTCTTCTTTTTCCTTTTTTTTCTCTCTCTCTCTCTTTCTCTCGCATTTCGAGTGTTTCCCACGTGGATTTGAAGTGTTAGAAGACGTTCTAGAGCCGCGACTAGAAGTGCACCAACGCACTGAACTGTAGAGCTACAAAATTGCCGCATTTCAAACTACAAACATTTTAGATTTGTGAACTTTGCTTCCACACCTTTTTCTGCAACAATCATGCTTTTGTTTTTATTTCCAGCTGCCTCCCGATCACCACCGCCTCGTGACTAACTCCCTGGAATTCTTGTGCACACACACACTTTCAGAGTTTATGACCGGAAATTGAGAAAAGGGGGCGGAGGGGGATGTAAAAACGGGCGGATTACGGGCTCCCCCATCGGGATTTTCTCCCCGCTGCTTTCTTTTTCGAATTCCTCTACTGGAGAGATCTGAAACCTTTTCCGAAGCTCCAACGCATGTTCAAACTGTTCTGTTTCAGCTCCAACGCAAGTTTTTGCGTTGACGTGCGTTGACGTCTTCACCTTCTAGGGAAAGTTTGGCTTTTTTGTTGCTCTGACGCACTTTTTCTGCGTCGAGACTCTTGTCTTTTCTTCTACACAGCTCATGACCCAGAGTTTTGAAATTTTGAGTCCCTACAGCTTTTGTGGACTGTCAATTCATTCAAAGATCGTTGACGCAACTGCTTTTGAAATTTTTGTGGAAAAAAAATTCAATCCAGTGAAAATCTAACAAATCATTGCATTGAGGCTATACCGAAGCGCTGACTCATCAAAACTAAGATCCTCTAGATCCCCCTCTCCCCCGCCACATATTATCGGCTTCTGGGCTCCAATTTCCAGAGCCACATCAAAAATCACACAACATTTTCTGCAGAAGCGGGACACCCATAAAAATGACCATTATTCTCTATGCGCTCAATCATTTTTTGCAAAAAAGGACCACAAAACGATAGAATATCGAAATCCATGTTGGGGGATGATCGCGTGGCTTCCAAAAATAGGTGTCAATGTAAGAGCGGTGGATTATGTACATGTGCAACAGGAATTTGCAAACATAATGAGTAAGAGATGTCTCAGTTTCTCATGCATCATCAATTTCTTCTCCTTCTCCTTCTCCTTCTTCTTCTTTTCTCGTTTCGGACCCTTCTCGATATGGTACACTTTAGTCGACCTACAATATCAGTGGAGGTGTTCAACTTTCTGCATATCTCAACGGAAAATGATAGGATTGCCAGCAAACTGAGACAAAATAGAGTTTAGACGTTCGGGTACATGTCAAAAAGGTTTTGTAAAGCTCACTTGAAAATGGGGGTCTAATGGGCCCTTCAGTTTAAGTTGTAGTACTGGCCTACCGCCTAGTGGGACCAAAACTGATCCCAATTTTCGAGCAATCAACTCGAAACTTTCAGAACATCAACTAGAACCTTCAAACTCGCTCTTGTCCAAGTTTAGTGTCAATGCGATCATTTTGCACCGAGATACACCCACGCAAAGTTGTGAACTGATCGTGTAGGACTTCAAGATCATAGACCTTGACCTTTTCGGCTGCAAAAATAACGTACCAAGCTGCAATAATTCCAAAACAGCCATAAAAATGGCCGTCAGCGCGTTTCCACCCGTGACTTGCACAATATCAATATGTCTCGAGATAATGACACGTTTCTTGGTCGTACGATTGCTTACATGTGTGTGTTTGTTTGCACTTTTTGTCATAAATCCCATCCATCCTCGATCTTCCACAAACAGTGCCCCCCCCCCCCCAACAACAAGTCAAACACACACTTGTTCTTATGCTCTTTGTTATCAGAATGGTTGCTGATCTCGTGGTTGCGTGGGCGCCTACTGTAAGATCAAACTTGTTCAAGTAGTGCGCGGGTGGATCATACGGCACAGTTGACAAGGTCTTGAAACATTTTGCCACGTATTGTTACTATCGTACTACTCTACAGTTTACAAACTACAGTACTTTGAAGCTATCTATTTTACTGTCTACTATTATCCAATCCAATCTAAAGCAGTTATGGAAACTTTTCCCCTACCGTAATCCTTCAAGTTCGACTACTAGTCATTGGTACCAGTAGACCGTATCCGAATCCATCTCAAAGCTAGCGTTGGCCTGGCGGCAACGGTCGTGTCTCTCTGAAGTTTGTATTTCAGTGCGCTGTACCTCTCCAGGCTCCGCCTCTTTTCGCTCCGCAAAAAAAGTTCATAGATTTGCATGTTAACAAAAGAATGAAAATGATAGGTTACCCGACCGAGACGCGTCCAAAGTGAAAGTGCTATTGTACTCTTTTTTTTTGGTGTCATGCTTCGCTTCCTTTCTGTTCCTCTTTCTCAAAGTGAATTTTCCATAGAACTCCCTCCCCTTCCAAGACGGAAAAAAGAGAGATTATGATGTGTTCTTCAGGTATATAATATCTTTTTGTAGTCGAAACTTTATATCATTTTGTCGTCTTCTCACCTGTCAACTGTCGCCCTATCATCACACACTTTTCTTCTTATCATCTCAAACCAGCTCGACGAAATTTCCGCAACTTTTTCTCGCTCTCTCTCTCTCTCTCTCTCTCTCTCTCTCTTTTTCTTTCTCTCTAAGTTTATCACCAAAAATCTAGCACATAAACGTTTTTGCGAGACCAAAGATCATTTAATTTGCACATGGGGTGCCGCGTTGTCTAATTCAGAAACACAATATCGGTTCGCAAACTTTTTGTCTGAAAATGGGGCAACTTTGCGTGGGTGGTGCACACTTGGAAGTCAACCTATTGGGTCCAAACTGTTTTCCCATAATCTCGATGGATAGTACGACAATTTTTCAGCTAAACACTTGTTTCGAAAATCAATTCTAAGAGTACTGTTGCTCGTGGAAGTTCGGAACGAAGGCCCCAACTTTGGAGGGCTACAATAGGTTTCGGAGTGAGCGCAGAGAAAAGTGGTCAATTACAAAATTATAGTACTGAACAGGAACTTTAGTTTTGTAGTTGACCACTTTTTTGTACAACCATTTTCCGGAGTACCGTAGCTCTTGGAAGTTGGGATTAGTCAAAGCTACAGTACTCTTAGGATTGGTGGTAGAATAAAGTGGTCAACTGAAAAATTGTAGTACAAGGTGTGAAGAACTCACAAAAAGTTTTTGGAAATGATAACGTCACTCTGAAAGCTACAGCACCCACTCAAAGTTCGAACACTTTTGATGCGTCGGCCAATCGTTTTCTATGAGATTTCGTGTAACTTTGACCCGTCAGACCTCCACATCTGTGATCTTTTTGTGCTCCGGTGTGTTCTGCTCACAATTTCAATATATCTCGCTCTCTCTCATCGCTTTTGTTGAAAGCAGACACATAAAAACGAGCAAAAGGTCTCTCTTCCTCTTCTTCTTTCTGCAATAAAATCCAGTGTGCCACCACACGCACAGACACACACACATTTGAGAGAAGAAAAGAGGAAAAGCGGGCGGGCGGCAAAAAAAATGAACCGATTTTGCAAAAGCATCAGGCGGCACCGCAAAATTTATGTGTTTGGTCAGCTGCTTTTCGCCTGTTCCAATGAGCTTCAGTGCACTTGGTCTATGAAAAAGTTAGGCCAGCACTAGACGATTTCTCTTCCACTCTTCCACTCGTTCTTCACGAGTGAATATCTAGAAAACGGCGAAGAAAGTTAGGCCACCCAGATTTCGTAAAAATATGGTGATTAATAGACGTGTGTCTGGCGATTGCCTATTACTAATAAGCTCCTCATCCCCCTCGCCTCCTTCTTTTCTTTCCATTTTCTTGATTAATCCTCACTCGGCGGAGAGTCTTTTGCTCGAAAAAGTTAGGCCACGTATGATCTTTTCATCTTTTGCCATTACAACTTCCGTCGTCTTCCCTCCTAATCACTATTATTCGACGGTGGAAAGAAAATGCATGGAGCATGTACACACGCATGACTAATCCAACCATTATCCGCCCCTCTTCCGTATGACATGTTCATATCAAACAGATTATATATATACATATCTTTTTCCTCATTACTTTTGCTAGCATTTTGGTTTTCGTAATGGAATTAGTCTATTTGATATAGTTGATGTATCTAGAAGCATAACCTTATATGATCCTTGGTATATTACTGAGTGATAAGTACAACAAAGATATACTTAAAGTAAAAGTGTGTTAACATCCAGAAGTATCACTATTGGTGTGTAAAGTTATATCATGGAAGCTATGTTTGTTAATAAAAGTTATAAGATAAAGTTAAGAACTGTTTTTCAATGTCTAGAAGACCCTTTACGGATACTGTATAGCTAGAAAATCCAAAAAAGTGTCGTGATATCATCCATCCATCCGTCACGAGACAGTGTTCCCATTTGTTTGTCTTCCTCCACGAACCATGTTTGTTGCAAAAAGAAGCGCTGGTTTTCGATCAGTCCATTTCCCCCTCTTGCGCCTTTTTTCGGATGAGAGAGAGCTCATGTGAATGAGTCGTCTCATCTGATACAAAAAGTTGAAATGTGCGCCTCCTCTCGTGTGTGTGTGTGTGTTGCAGCCTAAATTTAGTCGAACGACGTCAATGATCAGCGAGTGTCTTTTTTCGGGATTTTTTTGCAGAAATTGGGCGATTTGTCAATGCTAGGGACAATTGGAAAATACCTTATCATCTTCTTTCGCAGCTTTCTCAATTTCCTTCGAAAGTGTCCCGGTCAAATCGCTCTTTTCAGTTTCCGCGCCAACTTTCGCGTCGTCGAGCCCTCGCAAAACCAGGCCGCCAGCGTTGGAAAGTGATGAGTTGATGAATGTGGCCGACAAGTGTCGAAGCTCACCGATTCTACACGTTCGCCTTCTCGCCGGGACTGCTCCTCCTTCTGATCGTATGCCTCTTTTGCACGCAGGTGGCGCCGGAGGCGTTTCCGGGAGCCGATCCGTCGCTCGGCGCCGGCGCCAATCCAATGCTGTTGGAGTCGTTGGTGAAAAGGGTGAGCTGGTGGGGACCAGAGTTGAGCGGAAAAACTCCACGGAAGAACACGGAAGAATTTTTTATCTTTTTTAGAAAATTTTATCATGAAATGTGATCAACTGACTGACGAAATGTATAGCAAAGTGAACTCTGCTCATAGAAAAATAATTGTAAATTTAACTTCTCATACAAAAAAGTTATTCGAGTTGTTGCGTGAAAATGGCCTTCCGTTTTCCGTTAGCCCTTTTTTCACGGAACAACTCGAATAACATTTTCTTTATGAAAAGCTAAATTTACAATTATTTTTTTATGAGCAGAGTTCACTTTGTTATACATTCGTCAGTTGATCACATTTATGAAAAAATTTTCTAAAAAAGATAAAAATTCTTCCGTGTTCTTCCGTTGAGTTCTTCCGCTTAACTCTGGTGGGGACCATCTTTCAATAAAACCGAAAGTTGCGTTATAGCTCCCGAAAAACGGCGACAAAAAGGAGATTCTCATCAGTTACCTGGCCGCAGTGCCGACGCTGATGGGCGAAATCGACCAGTACCTGCTGAACATATCCGCTTCCAACTCGGCCCAAAGTTCGTCGAAGGATCGGGAGAACTTTTCGAAGAAACTCAATCAGATTGTCCACTGCCTCACCACCGACGCCTACGTTTCGGTGGTCTCCGGGGCACTGGTAGCGGCGATTGTGGAGATCAACAAGGATCGGACCATCATCCCGGACTACCAACTCAAATATGTGTTTGGCAACACGTGCGGCAACGATTCGCATAGTGAGTTGGTCGTTTTTCGTTCTTATAACTTCACCTAACTATGCTTCCTTCTTTCAGGCACCCGTCTGTTCATGGAGCACTGGCAAGCGGGCGCCCGTGTCTTCATCGGTCCCGAGAAGAACTGCAAGACCGAGGCAGCGATGGCCGCCTCGCAGAACCTTCCGATCATCAGCTATCGATGCAACGACCAGGACATTTCTCGAGACGACTACCACTACCGAACCTTTGCGAGAACGGTCCCGCCGGCCGGAGAGATCTTCAAAGCGTTCATGTCGTTGATGAAACAGTACAATTGGCGCAAATTCTCGGTGGTGTACGATGTGAAGAAGGGACACGCGAGGAACGAGCTCTTCGACACACTCAAACGGATGGTCGAGGCCGAGAATAAGTTTGAGGAGCAGAAATTTGAGATTATGAATGTGTCACGGCTCGAGTTCTCGAAAATGGACATATCGAGTCAGCAGGACATTCAGAGCATTGAGAACGCCATCAAATCGACGATGCAGACTACGAGAAGTGAGTAGAGTGACTGTTACCGTATCCTACATTTTTTCTTTCTACTGCAGTATACCTGACATTTGACAACGTGCGGCTCTTCCGAACGATGCTCTCAATCATGGGCGAGATGGGCTTGACGGAAAACGATTACATGCTCATCTACGTGGATACCAACTACGATTGGCTCGACGTCTATCACGCGATGAATAATCACTTTTTGAGAAGTATCAACTGGGTCCGGGCTATCAGTAATCGGTTTTTTTTCAGATACGATGACGTATCTGCATCACTCGTGGGACGCCAACAACTCTTCGGATCGCAAAATGTTGGACTACGCCCGCAGCGCACTTTCGATCATTCCGACGCCAGTGAAACTGAACAGTCAGAGGTTCTACAACTTTTGGAAGAAGGCCGGAGACTATATGCACTATTTCGGGGTTCAGAAGACGGCGAACTTGAAGGTTAGTATTGGCTGGACAACCAGTTGGACTATATACAACCAGTTGGACTACCCTTCGATTGTTTACCCAATGTTTTTCAGGGAAACCGCATCGCGTGCTACCTCTACGATGCCGTCTACCTGTACGCGCGTGCCATCCACGAACTGGTCGAGGAGTACGGTAGTGACGAGGCGTACGACCCGACCGCGGACGGAAAAGCGATCATCGATCGGATTGTCAACAAGAAATATAGGAGTGAGTTCAACAAATGACACTTTATTTATAGGTCATATTATCCTTGATAATCGTAAGATTGTTGACCACCTCCACCTTGACCGAATTGATCTGAAACTTTAAGCTTCACTTGAAAACCTTAAAAAAAAAGTAAGGACCAACCGAAACTATAGTCCATGCCACCGTTTCCGAGCACACTTCCACTCGGTTGATAGCCCGGGTTCCAGCTGTTCACGTAATCCGATCCCATCGGTTGTCCATTCATGTTGAACGTCATCCGAAGAATCTGTACGCCGGCCTGCGTCGCCACCTGGGTCAGCACCTCCCGAGCCTGTTCTCCATTCGGCCCGGCCACGTGGTTGATAACGCTGTTGCCCACTCGCCGCATCACTTGTCCCAACTTGTCGGTGAATGATGTCGGCGGACTTCTCGGTGCTGTTGGCGGTCCTCCTTGCGTTCGTGGTGGTGTTGGTGGACGTCGGGTTCTCATCGTGTACACCACCGGTGGTCTCCTGGTTCCGAATCCTCCTTTCGGTGGCGGTCTCCGGACCCCTCCTTTCCGGGGACCAAAGTGCCGCTGGACATCTGAAGTGGCCGTGTCGGTATCAAAGAAATCTTGATTCTCTACATCGGATGTCAAGTTTCTCGCTTGTGGTTTGGTCCCAGCTGGTTGAGTGGCATTGGTGGGGCCTTGATTTTGATCCTCGTAGTCACCGATCGGAGCTTGAGGAACTTGTGGTCCTCCCATTGGTCCCGCTGGTCCCTGTTGTCCAACAGGTCCCATAGGACCTTGCTGACCGTATCCGGTGCCTGTATTGTAGTCCATTCCGCCTTGCCCAAATTGACTGCCTGGAAAACTCAAAAAGTTGGACAAATCAAAGACTTCCGGACGTCTTGAAACCAAAGTTTTAGACGGTTTGTCACTCCCAGTACCTGGTTTCAAAACGTCCGGGAGTCCAAACAAAACTCGACCTACCGTAACTGCCGCCCATGCCGCCCATCCAGTATAATCCATCGGACTATATCCACCGCTCATCCCTCCAACGAAATCCGCGCCCATCATCATCCCATTGCCGAGATGGAAGTGTTGTCGCATGACCCGCACGCCTGTCGTCGTCATCACCTCCGTGAGCACTTCCCGAATTTGCATCCCGTTTGGCGAGGTGATAGTGTTGGTCACACTGTTTCCGACCGCTTTGAACACTTTTCCGAACGAGTCCCTGAGCGCGGCGACCATTCCTTTCTTTGTGGTTCCGCTTGATTGGACCTCGGTGCCGGAAGCGTAGGTCACGGGGATTAATGGCAACGTTGTGGTTTCAGTGGTTCCAGTAGTGGTCCTAGTGGTCGTCCCAGTGGTGGTCCGAATAGTTGTAGTTACTGGAGCTCGTGTAGTTCTAACAATTTTTGTGGTGCCACGTGTCGGTGGGTACCGAATAGTGGGTCTTCTCGTCGGTGGCCTCGGTGGTCTTCGGATCCTTCCACCTATTCCGCCGAATCCACCTCGTCCAAATGGCCAACTTCTTGCGTGATTGGGACTGACGAACGAACTGCTATCATCGGATTCCTCGATGAGCACACCAAAAGCACGGAGCACCTCCTGAGAAGCCAAGGAGCTATCGCCCTGAAACTTCTGTGATATTATCCAGTTCCCAACCCTCTCTCACCTTGATTACACCGTAAAGCACAAAATGACCGTGCTCCGAGGCTGTGCATGTAGAAAATGAAAGTAGAATTGGGAAAAGAAGAAAAAGAAGAACACACATCCTTCCTGAGAGGTCGGAAATGCTCGAATGACGTAGTTGGAAAGGACAGAGAGGAAGGGCAATAATCGAATCAACATTTTATGGATGGACTCGCCGAAAATGTTGTAAAAATGATTAGAGATAGATGATGAGCGTTGGGAACGAGGGTCTTGCGATTTTAACATCGGAACCAATGCCGTGGCACTGGTCCCAGGTTCAACTACAAGTTCCACTCGGCAAACCTTTGTAACCTTTGCGCAAAACGCAAAAGTTGCAAGTTTGGAAGATAGGTGCAAAAGTTGATGAGAACTTTAAAATTTGCGCAAAAGTTACAGAGTATTGCCGAGCTTCTATGTTCTACTATGAATCCTTGGAACAACCATGAGACCAACAAAAAATATCGAAATGCTCAAAATGTATGAATCAGCAATGCCACATTTATCTCATCCAGCAAGACCAGCAGCCGCTTCACCGATCACCTCCCGATTGTCGTTGTTGATCTCGCCGACATAAATCACCGGACGCTCCAGACTTTTTATGATCTCGGCTACCTCGGCAGAAGTTTGAGTCTGTAACGCTATCCGAATCAACTGGAACCAACTCTGCCGCCTCACCCTCTTAACCCTTCCGGCGCGTCCTTCGGCGTACGGATTGTAGACATCCAGCAGTCTCGGCGGATCGTAGTCCCGTAGATCTCCCGGATATCCGAGGTCGTCCGTGTAGCAAAAAGTATAGGCGACGAGGAGAAGAAAGAGAAGTGGTTTCTTCATTGTTTTGTGAGAAGAACGAGCCTGTTTGCTCTTTATATAGGGTCGACGAGGGATTTTTATGGATTGTTTTATGGTGTACGTCAAGAAGGGGACACGTCAGACACTGGTCTACCGTCATCAAAGTACCACGTCAAAAAAGTGTCGAGGATTTGTGGTTTCGACCGTCACACCGTCCTAAAAATTTGTGTTTGAGGCTTTAACGTACTTTTTCTCGAGATGTAAAAACCCTAAAGATAAAGGGTTTTTTAAATAGGGGGAAGAAAATTTCTTGATAATATAATACGATTATTTATTGACTATGAAACATACAAACAACGTCTACGCAGTCCCCTCGTTGTCGTCATACATGGTCTGATCCAACGGATTCGTCTCCATCTGCGTGAATCCCTCCTGCACGTTCCCCTCTAGCACATTCTCCACATGGTACATGAGTCCCTTTCCCTTCTCCGTATCCGCAAACTGATAGAATTTGCGAACCTTGACCGCGCCGCTCGCGTCCTTTTCGACCACCTCCGCCGTCTTTCCGATAAACTGCTTGGCGCGCGGGAAGTTGTTCGGGTTGGACCCGCGGAACGCGTTAAACGTCCGCCGCACACGTTTCAGAGCATTTCCGCCCGCTTTCGCGACGGCCTTGGTGGCTTGTGCGGCGACTCGGGCTCCTGCCTTCACTCCGACCTTCAGCGCTCGTCCCACCGCCTTTAGGATCCGAAGGAAACCGCCGAAGATTTACGATTGTCAGGGTCCGATTTGTGCTCCGTCTGCAATGTAACATGAGTTTTGGTTCTGAATTTCTGAAGCTCTTGCATCAAAATAATCGACAAGTTCCGCGTCGTCCTTCTTGGCGAGATCCTGAATGAAGTTGGCCACTCTGTGCCGACTTCCCTCGTCGACTTGGTCGAATACGTCTTCGGAACTTTCTTCGGATGGAGCAGGAGCATATCCGAAGCGACGTGTGTCCTCGGAGTACCTCGGATAGGCCAAGGATCCGGAGAAGAAGAAGAAGAGAAGGAGAAGGAGAAAGTTCATGACGATTGCCCGATGAATGAGGATCCGATGGGGGTGTCTGGGTGGTTTTAAGCGGTGGAGTTGATTCGATTAGAGCCAGACACCGTTGTCAATGTTATAAAATGAATTAGAGTGTATAGGCCAACGATTTTTTGAATCTACAATAGTTCAGAGACAGCGCAGCGCACTGGAGTTCCGATTTCAGACTATTCTGTCAACATTTGTGCTTGAAAGCCGTCAGGTAATTGAGGAAAATTGTGATTTACCGTATCCTCCTCAAAACGTGAAGGCGCATCACTATCTTGGGAATGCATAATACATCAAACTTTGGAAAACTTTATTGAGAATCGAAAACTTCAAGCACACGTTTTCTGATCTTCGCCACGTCACCATCAATCGGCTCCATTGTCTTTCGTGGCTCAACTGAATGAATCAGATCTCCAGGCATAGCAGACTTTTCGATGACAGTGTCTTGAACGAATTCTTGGCAGAATGCCACGGCTAAAATCGTGAGCAGAAACAATCGGAGAGCGGACATGTTTGAAGGAGAAAAGACGCGAGGAAATGTTTTATACACTAGCGGAATGCGTGGGCGGCGGTATCGTTTGTTTTATGGATGTATTCTCCCTCCTGGGTGGATCTATATTGTGTCACATAACTTTATTCCAAATCAAGAACCAGCTCAATTAACCTCGTCCCACTGATCGAGCGGGTTCACCGCCATCGTCTCGAATCCCTCGTCGACGTTCCCGGTGACCACGTCGCGGATACTGTAGAGCAGTCCGGATCCCTGCTCGGTCTCGGCGAACTGATAGACCTTGTGCCACGTGTCCTTTCCCTCCGAGTCCCGCTCGACCACCTGCGCCGACTTTCCGATCAATTTCTGCTCTTTCGGAAACGATTTGCCCGTCCATTTGCGGTTCGACGCCACTCTCCGGATGCGAACGAGTCCCTTCGCGCCCGTTTTCACAACGGTCCGTGTCGTTTTCGCGCCGAGTTTTAAGAGGGTCTTGAAGAAACGGACAATAACGCCGAAGAATTGACGGTTCTTTGGGTCTTCGAGTTGCTCCGCCTAGAAAAATGGTAGCGTTAAGTGTCCTGAAGACTTCAAGACTCACATCAAAGTACCCATCGAAATCGGGCTCCTCTTCGACTTTTGCGAGCTTCTTGTGGAGTCTGTCGTCGTTCTCGGGCGTCAGATCGATTCGATAGTCGTAGTTGCACAAATCGCCGGGAATATCCCAGTCACACGTGGCAACCGAAGCGACCAGGACCACCAGGAGCGAAAAAAGCGGAAAGAGAATCTTCATTTTTGTGCAGGAAACGCTCTGCGTCGACGGTTTTATAGCAAAATCAGAGACAGTTATGCAAATTTTATACTTTATGTCTTGGAAACGGGCAATATTCATAACGCCATGATCATTTTCCCTCGGACAGATAATTGAGGTACCACGTGTCGTCCATGTCCATGAATCTGCGGGGACCGTATGTTCTGTAGCCGCCGAGGGAGCCACGCCGACCGCCATGTCTGCGTGTGTAGGTACGGGCCAAGAAGATGTCAGCGAATGGAGGCACCGACTGCAAGTTTGATGATGTGGTCCCAGTGGCTGGACCATTGAACTTTATGAATTAGAATATTTTAGGACCGAGTAGCGGGGTACATACTTTGGACCTCGCGGTTGAGCCTTCTAGAAACTGTCTAGAAACTGGTGTATTAATTACGGGACCTATTTGGGCTTAGAGTTCCAAAAATGAGTGGTTGAGATCCATTTTTGGCCGAATTTATCAAACTCACATTTAATTTAAGGGTCAGATCTTCAAGAGCGGCGATTTCAGGAGCATGGCTCCGAGAACGAGCAAAAGGACCAGAAGAAACTGCATTTTTTTTTTTGAAAAGCCCTCCCTGAGTTGGCCTATTTATGTATCTTCATAATTCGATTAAGACTTTTATTTTTATAACGTCGCAAAGATCAAACATCACGAAATCTGTATTATCGGGTCTTCTTTCTTGTGACGAACTTGACGCCGTCGCCAATTCGATACGGATTGCCGACGTCGTTGTCATCTGAAGGCAGAAGAGTGGCCAATGGGGGCTCCAGGCCACGGGTGTCTGACAGGACTGCATCCAGAAGGATTGTGGAGAAGAATAGGAAAAGTAGAAGCTTGGGGAACATGCTGTTTGTGTTTTTGAAGCTTATCAATTCAAAAGTTTATCAATTGTTTACTCGCCATCAAAAACAGTACAATATTTATTTGCCTTTCCCCTTTCCAAACTTGATTCCACCGGCACGGGCTCCCAGAGCACCTCCAGCTGCCGCGCCGAACGACGGAAGCGCGGAGTCACGGATCGCACGGAATGCCTTGCGAAGACCTCGTTTCTCACGGATTATACCCTGAAAATTTGAATTTGACATGGATAAAAAGTGAATTGGGTCCGTACCTGACTAGCGACAGTGGCTAGGAGAATGGTGAATAGGAGGAGAAGGGCGAGGAAGTTCATTTTTGGAGGGAAACGAATTGGAGATCCTTTTATAGCATGAAATTTCGAGTGTTTATTTATTTACCTGTTGACCAGCACCACACGTTTTTGAGAGCTCGGCGGTTAGTTTGCTTAGGATGTCGATGAACCAGGTCTGAACACAAGTCGACCAAAAACCCTACCGTACTCCAACCAAATCTACGCTTCTTTGCAGGCATCCAAGGTTTCGACATGAGAATCGACGAGCGCGGCAACTCGAAAGGCAACTTCTCGCTGCTCTCCTGGCAAAACGTGCAGCCGATCATGAACAAATCCGATCCCAAGTACTACCCGCTCAACCACGCGCTCGACCTGACCGCCATTTTCGTCGAGGCGCCCGACAAGGACCGTCTGCCGAACCTCGCATTCAAATCGGGCCAGCGGATCCAGTGGCCGATGGGCGCACCGCCTCCCGATATGCCCGTTTGCGGGTTCCACGGAGAGTTGTGTCGGAAAAAGGGCATCTTCAACTACGCCATGATGATCGTCTTGTGCATCGTCGCCTTCTTCAGCTTGGTCATCAGTGGATTCACGTTGAAGTGAGTTGAAATGGTTTATCCATCATTTGGAACTCTGAAAAATGTAGTACTAGATGTGAGAATTTAATAGAACAATTTGGTGCATCGATCAACCAAAACCAAACGTTTTCAGGTCGCGTCGTTTCGAAAAAGAGTTGGCAATGATCTGGAAGATTGACCAATTCGAAGTGCGTCGCGTCGTCGGAAGCGCCAACAACGAATCCACGGCATCTCTCCTCAAAGCGGACGTGCTCAAAATGACCAAGACGAAGCAGCCGTGGTGGAGCAAGGACCCGTGCTACGGATCCGGAATGCGAGGCCTTGCCAGCTACAAAGGAACACTCGTGGGCCTCAAGGATCTGGTGTACGGCCGCAAGCCGAAGGACATGTCACGGGAAGCGAAGAAGGAGTTGAGGGCGATGAGGCAGCTGGCGCATCCCAATGTGAACAACTTTCTCGGAATCATTGTTAATACGTACTCGGTGACGGTGGTTCGAGAGTACTGTTCGAAAGGCTCCCTCCACGACATTCTACGCAACGAGAACCTCAAGTTGGATCACATGTACGTGGCGTCGTTTGTCGATGATTTGGTGAAAGGAATGTGCTACATCCATGACTCGGAAATCAAAATGCACGGAAACCTGAAGACCACCAATTGCCTCATAACTTCTCGGTGGACAGTTCAAATCGCGGATTTCGGGCTCCGAGAGGCTCGCGACTCGATCATGTTCGAGGGAAGCTACAACATCTGGGAGAACTTCCTGTGGACCGCCCCCGAAGCCATGACCATCGCGGGAGCTCTTCCGATGAGCCTAGACCCCACGCCGAAAGCGGACGTCTACTCGTTCGGCATCATTTTCCATGAAATAGTGACGAGGGAGGGGCCGTATAAGATCTATGTGCAACGTGGCGATGTGAACGGAGAGGCGGTGCAGAAGAAGGATTCGGAAGAGTGTCGGGAGCTTGTCGAAAAGACTGTTCGTCGGGTGTACTCGGATCCCTACTTCCGGCCCGACACTTCGGAGCTCGAGGTTCAGAACTATGTGAAAGAGGTGATGGCCGCGTGCTGGCACCATGACCCCAGCCATCGGCCCGAGTTCAAAAGCGGAATCAAGAACAAACTGAAGCCGCTGTTCCATCAGATCTACAAAGCAGAACATCATGGACCACATGGTGCTGATGATGGAAAAGTATCAGACACAGCTGGAGGACCTCGTCGACGAACGGACCATCGAGCTGAAGGACGAGCAACAGCGGAGCCAGCACCTGCTCCAGAGAATGCTGCCGAGTTCGGTGGCCGAGCAGTTGCTCGCCGGAAAGGACGTGGTGCCCGAGGCGTTCCCGCCGGTTACCATCTACTTTTCGGATATTGTCGGCTTCACAACGATTTCCGGAGAGTCTACGCCTATGGAAGTGGTGACGTTCCTCAATAAACTCTACACTCTCTTCGACTCGATCATCCGAAGATACGACGTGTACAAAGTGGAGACAATCGGCGACGCGTACATGGTCGTCTCGGGGGTGCCGAGGTATAAGACATCCGAGTACCACGCCGAACAGATCGCCATGATGGCCATCCACATCCTCTCGGCCGTCCGCAGCTTCATAATCCCGCACCGGAGCGGCGAGCAGCTAATGATCCGGATCGGAATGCACACGGGACCGTGCGTGGCGGGAGTCGTCGGAAAGACGATGCCCAGGTACACGCTGTTCGGCGACACTGTCAACACGGCGTCGCGGATGGAGAGCAACGGAGAAGCACTGCGGATTCACTGCTCCTCGTCGACGAGAGACGTGCTCGCCTCGATCGACGACGACTTTTTGCTGGAGGAGAGAGGCACCATGGCCATCAAGGTACTTAAGAGACGTTCTTAGATCTTGACCGTATCGAAAAATTGTTACAGGGCAAGGGACAAATGACGACGTACTGGTTGAACGGACGCAACGGCTACGAGTTCACCGAGACAATCGAGGATAAGATGGTCGTGCCGGATATATTCCCGAGACCGAATTTGAAGAATCGAGGATCTAGTTGGGGTGAGTTGGGTTGCGATTATCTACTTGGCGGCAAACGCATCATTTCTAGTTCTCTAGAGTTGGTCCCTTCTTAGTCCTTATAATATCACCACCAATTCCAGGCGTCAACCGCGACTCCTTGCTCTCCCTGGCCACCGAAAAAAGCAGTCAACTGATGAAGAGACAATCGGCTGCCCTCGTCCGCAACCAAGAGAATATCTATTACGCACCACCACCACCCTCCTCGAATGGCTTCACCTCGCGAGGAACTTCCAGTAGAGAGATGCCGAGATTGTACGAAGAGGATCGGGAAAGCATCAATCAGTCGGCGTCGCTTTTCGGAGGATCCAGTAAACGGAAGAAGTGAGTTGTAGTGCCATTAGGGTTTCGGTCACGAATCCCCCGGTTTCCAGAAGCACGACGTCCAAGTACAACGGCTTTAGTGCCTCCCGAATCTTCGCCTCAACCATCTCCAACGCCTCCTCGACCCGTCCATCCCGTCAAGCCACCTTCGAGCACGACACTCTTGCACTCAGAAAACGGTCCACCTCGTTGCCGGACGGCGAAAAACTGAACTTGGAGTTCATCGAGGCGCACGCGAACACGTCGGAGCCGTCGTTCCGAAGGGCCAGCGTCGTGGATGCGTGCAGTTCGCATTCCGAGTCGCCCAGTCAGAGCCAGTACCCGTCGTATCGGGATTTGACAACGACACCGCATCAGTGAGTCAGAGATCGGGTTGGAATTTGTGGGAGCTCAGTGGTGTTTTATACTAAATCGGATACCTAAACGTTGCGAAATGTCCCAACAACCTTATTTTCAGAAGAAAACGCGGCATGGCGACAGTGTTCCCGATCCGAAAACGGTCGCTCTCGTGCGGCGACGCAGTTGCTCCGCCAAACAAACTGACATCCGACGACAATGTCACGTCGCACGCGGTCACCACCTCCACGTCGCCCCGTCCGACTTCCAGAACCATCGACTACTGCGCCTCGCGACTTGCCGGCAGTCCCGATGAGCTGGTATTCCAGGAGGACGACGAGAAGGCTCTGATCGGAAATGACACCTCCTTCTTTCTCGGAGGCAACGCACCCAGCTCGCGGTCTGAGGATGGCCTCTTGCGGTCGTGTCCTCAGCCGAGACGGAAAAACAAGCACTCGTTCCTCAGGGACCCCTCGCCGCTTACCAAGAGGTTTAGAGATGCGTCGCCGTTCGGAAAGAAGAAACCGTTTTGGAACAATACCAAAAAGTAGGTGCTCCCCCCCCGTTTATTCCAATTGATATTATCCATTTTTCCAGTGGCGACCATCACACCTCCTCGCCCGCCGACTCCATTTCCCGTCTCTTCCGACGCTTCCGAGGCGTCACCGCCGGCAACGAGTACGAGGATCTCAACAATTACACGGCCGAGTACGGTGAGGAGGCCTACGAACTTCGCGAGCCGTCCCAGAAGATGATGATGATGAAGATGCAGATGCAGAACGAGGAGATCGGACATGGAGCGAGAGGTTAGCAAGGGATACTGTTCATTCAAATCGATGTGTCTGAGCTGGCAGTAGAGATATCAAAAAATTGTGAACTGATAAAATGTGCACAACGTCTTTTTGAGTAACTTATCAGTCGACAACTTTTCGGTAAAGTACAGTCCTTACACCCTATCTTAGACTCTACAGTAATCCTAGACGAAAATGGGAACGCTGGAACTGTTGTAGACCAATCGTAATCCTAACAACAGCGTGCAGTACCTTATAATCCGTGGACTCTACAGTAATTCTTATAGGAGTTATGAATGCAAGAACTACAGTAACCCATTTATGTTTCAGTGAACCGCTCGGTCTCGTGTTCGCCAGTGGAAGGCGGCAATTCGACGGACAACTCGGAGCCGCTGCTCACAATTCCCTCGTCCCTGGCCGCGGATTCATCGACCACCTCCACCTCGACCTCTTGTTAATATTTATACATATAACATACATATACATATACCCATTTTGTTCATATATTTCTGTGTCGCCCACCCCCTCTCCGAATACGAGTACGTCTCATTCATTCTCGAAACTCTAGAGTTAATAATGATAATAATGTAATACTTATATGGTTACGGTGCCCTCTTCTTTTTCTGTTCGAATATTTAGTTTGTCAGAAGCAACGTTTAGTCGTAGTCAGTGTCCCAACATTTCTTGTGAATTTTTGATGTGCTACGGGTTGACTAAAGTCTGAGAATATATCTAAATACTTGTTACCCCTTTCGAAATGAACATTTTTCATTGTACACGTTCAAAACGGAAAAGAAGAGGAACAGCAGACGTTGCAGCAATCCTGTCCTTGATTTGGTAAAGTTCTACAGGTGACTGAGCTCCGCAGTCTTGAATATTTACTGTTTGTGTTGATTTTGGCTTCAGGAATCTTCTGCATGGCGCCTCGGCTACAGTACTCCTGCCACCTTCAACTATTGTCGGTCTGCTTCCAGAGACGACGACCAGCGTACAGTTGCTATTGTCCGATTCGGCACAATTGCGTCCCGATTGCGAAATATGGTCGGTGTCGGCTGGTCGCCACTCCCCCCCGTTTCCACCCCTCTTCTTTTTCTTCGTTTGCGTCCGTCATCCCGTCCCGTCCATTCTTTGCCTCGGTGTCTGTTGACATTTCGTTCCCTCTCTCTCTCTCTCTCTCTTTCTCTCTTTTTGTTCATTCTCCATACAGTTTTCCATCATCTAGTTTGTAGTATTTGTGCCCTAATCATAGTTGATTGGTGACGTGGCAATTGTGGTACGCGTTAAAGTTGAAAGCATAGTAGGGGGGAAGAGGGGAAATTGAAAGAGTAGCGGCCGGGGGGCGCCAGGGCAAAAGTGACGTCAGTTGGAAAAGGGAGAAGAAGAGGGAGAGAGAGAGAGAGAGAGAAAGAGAAAGAAAAAAGACATCAATTCCGAACAGATGGTGAGAAAATGAAGAATCGTTTGAAGGTTCTGCCCTACCAGAAGGTTCTACAATAGTCTAGAAGCTTCTGGAACTTTGAAAAGCTCACAAATGTCTGCCCAAAGATAAGATAAGACAGCAAACAATTTGGCACCAGTCAAAACACTCTAAAAATAGACTTGCCTGTAGCAATTTCTTTTTCGAATGTAGTAGCATATAGTCGGAATCGAAGTTTCTGCAAGAGAACTGGTTTCATTCAGAAAATTATGCATTCACAATTTGATCTCTCTCTCTCTCTCTCCTTTTCTTCTTCTTCTTCTCTAACCTTTTTCCATCTTTTTGGACTTTAACTATCATTTAGACCCTCTGTCGCTTTGAGAGTTGGTTTCAAAGAACCAGGACACTTTGCAACCAGCGCTAAACGTTTCGCAACTAAAAAAGTGTTGCTTTCCTATCTTTCTGTCGGATTTTGCGGGTGCTTATTAGTTGCAAAGTGTCCGTCAGTCGCGAAATGCCCTCTAGTTGCAAATCGTCCTAAAATCCCACACTGGCCTCTCCGTGGCTCATTTCCCTACATTTTTTCCACTTCTTCCCACTAATCTTTATCTCTTGGAAGTAGGCTGGTTGCAAAGTGTCCTCCTTCAGTTGCGAAACGTCCGTACCGGTCAGTGTGCCCCCGCGAGCATCTGATATCATCGTTTTGAACTGATAACATTAATTTTGTGATCGAGTCCTGATAAGGTAGGTGCGTCTGCTTCATTGCGAATGAACTATTGCGAAATTGCGAATCCTGGATGCAAATAAAAGAGTGAGAGAGAGAGAGAGAGAGAGAGAGAGAGAGAGAGAGAGAGAGAATTGACAATGATCAGCCGGTTCGACGCGCACTCGGGGAACCTTTGAAAGAGAGAGAAAGAGGGGCGCAGCCGGTTCTCTCTCTCTCTCTCTACTACAGTCTACGCCTACGCATTTGAGTACTCTCTCTCTCTCTCTCTCTTGTTTGATGACGCAAGCAATTTGTATTAGTGAAGGGGGGGAGGAAGACTTTCAGAAAACGATAATATTGTACTTTTACTGCTTCTTGTTGTTTTGTTGCTCGTCGACTTGTAGAAGCGCACAATATCACAAATCGTTTGCAGGTCCAACAATGCATCATTCGTCGCGGTCTGGGTTGCATTGAAAAGGGAAAACGATCCCCCTCCCACTTGGTGCATCGATCATTCCCGATTTCTTTCGAAAACCTTCCTTCCCCAACTCAAGCTGGCGTCGTCGGATCTTCATTTGAGCAGAGCTGAGGCTATGCTCAGGGTGAGTCACTCACTTTTTTTGGGGAGAGGGAACCGATACGATATTGTGTGTTTCTTATCGAAAAGACATAGTGACGTGCGAGAAAGTGAAAGAAGGGGGGGAATTGTTGACCGAGGCGCCTAGTGAATCACGTCAAGATTGCCTGGCGATCATCTAGATCAGTAAGGGAAAGAGGCGAAGGAGCACTGGGGGATGCACCATGTGCATGTGGTCGATGCACCATAGGACATTGAAAAACACGAAAAATGCGCTGGAAAGTCGTTTTTTGGCGGTTGGCGCAATACAGTAACATCTAGGACACTCTAGACACTGGCCGATGCACCATGTGCTCCTCCACTCCAGACACCATCACACGTTTCTCGTAAACCGCAAAAAGTGATAAGCGCTCTCGAAATTTCGCCTGACCGATGCACCATACACGTCAGAATCATTTCGAAGAAGAAGCGGGCAATGACGTCTCCGTTTTGTCTCTTTTGCTGGAAAAAGAAAGTGACGAATAGTAGTTGGTTGCAGAAAAGAAAAAGGTGGGCAAGAGAGAGAGTCTGGAATGTTTAGAGTTGTGACCAGGAATGTTGACGACGCAATGATAAAGAAGAAAATGAATGGATTGGGGAAATGATGACGAATGGCAAAACAAAGTGAAAATGTTTGTGGAAATGGTAGGGACCGGGTGGTTTAGGAGATTCTAGGAGTCCCTAGAAGTTGTTAGTGGTCTCCAGGACTTTGTGATGAACCTTAGGGCTTGGTAGTGGATCCCAGAAGTTGTTAGTGGTCTCCAGGACTTTGTGATGAACCTTAGGCTTGGTAGTGGATCCCAGAAGTTGTTAGTGGTCTCTAGGACTTTGTGATGAACCTTAGGGCTTGGTAGTGGATCCAGAAGTTGGTAGTGGTCTCTAGGACTTTGTGATGAACCTTAGGGCTTGGTAGTGGATCCCAGAAGTTGTTAGTGGTCTCTAGGACTTTGTGATGAACCTTAGGGCTTGGTAGTGGATCCTAGAAGTTGGTAGTGGTCTCCAGGACCGAAAGAACTTGATATACTCGGTGGTGGACCTTAGAAGTTGGTGATTGACAAAGATCTGACCGTTGAAAATCTTGTTTTTGCAGTTTTGTCTGAAAATGATAATAGTGATGCCATTGTGTGACGCTAACCTTTCGATTCCCTTCAATTACCCCTCCGAACCTCAAAGACAATCTGTCATTGTCATTGTGTTCCATGACATAATGACAGACAAACTGTTGGCTACATTGTAGACTATTCCACTTTCGGAGACCACGCGGATTACGGTAACTACCGTAATCTCTTCCATTTCCAATTTCATTTCTGCCCAACAACTATGACGTTCCAAGACTATCATCGTCGTCAATTTTTCCGCTTCCCAAAAAATGGCGTACCTCGCCCGAAAAACAGGTTCCCGAAATGGAAATGAAACACAGATGTTGACGATTCGATTACCATCCATCTAACGAACAATTTAATGACGTGGTTTTGCAGAAAATTCAACTTTTTTTCTTGGTTTCTTTTTTGGCACATCAATCTAGTCAATTTCAACAAAATTATAAATAAAATCGCAATGATTCTGATCCCCTGTATGGCTTCACCAATTGAGATTAGGACAATATTAATAGAATCATCATGGATGTGGGGGGAACACGGCTAAATCAGTCTAATCCCCCCCCCCTCCCTCAAAAAATAAAATGACGGCTCTTATCCGCCGTACATTTCGATTCAGTTGTTCCTGGGAATGATGTGGATGGATAATATCATAATGCTTCTCATTGGCAATCAGTGTTGATATTGTGCGCTTCTTGTCCGAATTTTGAGAGCATTTTTTTTTCTAAAACAGCTGTTAGAAGCCAGATGCTGAACGGGAATTGAATCGAATTAGAATTAGAATTAGAATTAGAATTAAAAGGCCTCCTCCTCCTCCTCCTCCATTCCTTTTAAATTTCGCAACGAACGAGCGATGTTTGAGTATAGAAGGGGGTTCACGAACCAGCGGGACCACCACACGTCATGTTCCCTTCGTTTCCTTTCGGCTTCTTCCTCTCTCTCTCTCTCTCTTTTCTCTGTGAACGTTTGGCGCGCTTTCGTCATTCTTTTCGTGTTCTCTGAGTCTTCGCGCGGTCCCGTACTCTCTCGATCGGCCAGTTCCATTGTCTGAATGTCTGCGCGTGTTCCTGCTCGATCGAGAAGAAGAGAGAGAGAGAGAGAGAGTGATGACGAAACTTTTGGAAAGAAGAGAGAGAGAGAGCAAAAAGAGCCGAAGAGACGGCGGTTTTTCTTTCTTGCCTTCTTTCCGTTTCCCTGCGCGTCACCAAACTACTCGAGACCTTGGGGGGTCCTTACTAGTTTACACGCAGGTCCTTTCAAGCTTTTCTTTGCATTTTCTCCATGATCCGCATGAAATCGTTCGTTTGTAAGTCTTTGAGACATGTATTTCACATTTCTAGATGGTCCCTAGTAGTTGGACCACGCTTAGATGGTCGGGCCACTTAGATCGAACAGTTGTTTGGCCATTTTTGGACCTGGCGCCTGAGGTTTTACCTCAAAGATCCATTTTCTCTGCAAACGGATTGTGAGCGAAAAACCCTTGATATCCACCAACTGTCATCTGGAATTTTCGACACGGGTGTAGTAAATATTTACAGATTCACACCACGTCACTCGTCGTCCGCTGCTAGACGAACATTTTTTTTGATGAGATTATCGTAGATTAGGCATTCTGGATTAGATTACTGTAGGCACACGTGCCACGTCATACATACACATCAAGAACATCCAAACGTCATTTTCACACCACCGGGCCGACGAAAAGAGCCAGCCACTTTACACATTTGTCTGTGAGCATTTTGTGCGCCGGCCTTTCGCGCTACTCCAAAAAATTGTACTAAAACACCTACCGTAATCCTAATTACGCAGACGTCACTCTCTCCGTTTGCCACGTCATCACCGCCCACCTCCCACCACTCGCTCTCCTCTATTCTGGGACCTTTCTGCGACAGGCTCCGCGGCGAACAATAGCCATTTTCCGGTCGGAAAGGCCTCTCGCAACTTTGTGCGCGCCAAATGTCGAGATTTTCGGGGGCGTGTAATTTTTGAAAGAGTAAAGTTTGAAAGATCCGTCGTCCCGGTTGATCGGATGACGTGGTCGAAATGCCATCATCCATCAAAAACCTTTCGCCTCTTTTCTCAATCAAATTTTGCACATTCCCCTCTATTCTCGCTCATTCATCTTGTGACGTGGCAGCGCCGAGTCCTATGGTAGCTGGGGGGGGCGTGGCTCACGCATCTTTTCGAATTTTGCAACATGGCAAGTCTATTTCTGACCGACCGATACCTTTTTGTCCTTTTCGCACTTTTTGTTTTCCGTACTCTCACGCTGATAACCGAGAACACATCACTTTTTTTTTGTTCATTTCGACTGTGTTTGGAGCAAAGAATGGAAAAAAAGCACTGTGAGCCGAGACTAGAAATGTCAGATGGATATGAAATGGAGACGTCCAACGGATATTATGTTTTTCTTCTTTTCGGCCCCCCCCCACCACCACCACTCCTCCTCTTCATCATTACAAAATGACATCATCATCATCGTCGTCGTCGTCGTCGAACGCTTTGAAATAAGGAATTCCGAATTCCAAATGAGCCTGACGCATTTTTGTGCCTAATGATATTATGTGTTTGTCAGGCAAATTTTCATGCTTCACCGGGCCTCCCATCCTATATAAACATTGTTATTCTCATATGTCGTCACATAATCTTTGACGTTTTTCCCTTTTCACATTACTTCAAAGACACATCCAGAGTTACTGTAACTCCGTGTGCCACGTCACCTTTTCCACCGCCTTTCACTCCGATGTCGAAACCAAGACAAGTACGAATCCACCGTAACCCTTGACCCAATGACCGTATCAGTTTGATTGATTATAGCACCACCACCACTAGCGAGACGGTTCTCTGATGTTTCTAGTCTCTACGTCACCCGGCAACCAATCGAATCAAAAAGTTTCTCTTCTCCTCTATCCTGTGTCGCGTTTATTCTGCAAAAAAAGTTACAAACCCCGATTTTCTTATCGCATAACATCATTGTAACGTCGTCATCCCGCCTGAAATCATAATATCACCTGTTCCTCATTCCACCCTCACTTTCGATCATCATCAGAATTCGAATCAATCCGCCACGCACACACATTCGTTCATTCGTCCACCAGAATCCCATTAACTTTCTTTCCATCTCAATCTCTTCCTTCACAATCGTGTTCTCTGCGTCTACGCACTATTGTACGTCTCTCTCTCTCTCTCTCTCTCTCTCTCTCTCTCTCTCTCTCTCTCTCTGTGTATGTCAAAAGATGACATCACTTTCTCGTGTGTGTGTGTGTGTGTCGGTTATTTCAAAACGCGACGGCTGGCGAAAAGATGGAGAGAAAGAGAGAGAAGAGGAGGAGTCAAAACAGTCCCTTTCTTTCTGTTTCGATACACTTAGCACGTTTTCTTTTCAAAAGTCGCGCTTGCATAAATGTGTATCATGTTTTTGTGAATTCATCATATGATTCTATTGTTCTTATACTTGTGCTTTCAATTTCTTGACCAAGTCCTAGAAGTTACCCCCCTTGGCCACCTCTTTCATTTCACTAGTCCTGAGTCCGATCAATAATCCTGGAACTTACCCCGGTTAACTTCCGTCTTAATCACCAGTTGGACCCACGGACACATTCCGTTCCTCTGTACCCCTCGACCTAAACTATTATCCGAAAAATTGGGACCGGACAATGTACTTGTCCGTTCCAACTGTATTCCGAATTTGCAGGAAATGACAGTACTCGACACAGTCACAATCTCGCCGTGCGGACTCGCAGCGCTCATCCGCGAATCGGCCGACACGACGCTCATCGTCGACTGTCGCGGCTTCACCGAATACAACGAGTTGCACGTGCGACACTCGATGAACGCGTTCTTCTCGAAACTCATCCGACGGCGACTTTTTGAGAACAAGGTATGCGAATAAATGGATGGATGTGTTTGCACTCTGTCTTCCTGATCCTAGTGTGTGTGTATTTATGGTCGCGACCATGGATCGATTAGTTGGAGTGTATGTGTGTGTATGGCGTCCGCGCCAGCCCCTTTGACGTCACAAAACGGGCGAGAGAGAGAGAGAGAGAGAGAAGGAACACTTAGGGGATCAAAAGTCGTTGAGGACCGTCTAGAATCGGTTAGGATTCTTAAAGTTAGTCGCAAGATGAGAAGCGAAACGCCAAACACTTTTTTCATAATAATTGGTCATAATCAGTTAAATTTTATGGAAAAAGTGAGAAAAATAGTGATAAACCGGATCTTTAGAATTTCTAACCAATTTATGGGAGCATAGGTACCATAATAATCCATGATTTGTGCCCTCTGAGCGATAATTCAAACAGTAGCCGAGCCGGCGGCCCCTCTTTAATGACTAAGACTATGACTTGCGCCGTCCCTTTCGAAATAGCGAGTCTATGACATCATTTGCAAGTTGATGGGGGGGGAGTACTGTAGGATAATGAAATGAAACGGGGTTGAGTCATAAGGAATGATGAAATGGTAACCAGATATTTCACGGAATACATCAGACTTGTGAGTCATTTTCGTGTGAGATTGAGAAAATCAGCGGAAAAGCGATGACTAATTTCCGAAATATATCCTGCTTGTTGGTCGAGAATGAATCTAAATCTAGTGATCATTGGACTACTGGCACAGCTTATCCTGCAATTCCTAGAAATGTGCATCTCGCCACAAGCTTATATAAACAGCGATCTGGAACTCTTGAATTCAATGTTTCCACTCTGATTCTAAAGTTTTAAGATCTTTAACTCATCGCAGAGATCGTCCGGACCACAATATTTTTGTTCTGCGCATCCCAACCAAACCCTAGTTCATTTTTCGGATCCATAGTCCCCGATCGTGAAGTCCTATGCTGAGTGAACACGAAAACAACACAACACAAGTGATGAATCATCTAAGCAATAGGCTATTCTCAATGACTAATTCTTCTTTGTGTGCGCGGCTGCGGCCGCGGACACACACCGGAATGAGTCAGTCAGCGAAAAGCATATATAAAGCATAAAAATGGGCGGTTGTCCGGTGGTGCTGGTCATTTCGTTTCGCAGAACGCGTTCGAGCTGTGCGCTTTTGTGCTGCCTTCTCAGAAGCGGTGACGCCTGTGTAGACGCGTGCACTTTGATCTTCTCCGCCTCCGAAAGCACTTTCAGCTGAATCACCGCATTTAATTATAGGCGCCGAGCAGAGTTGAGCGGAAGAACTCAACGGAAGAACACGGAAGAATTTTTATCTTTTTTAGAAAATTTTTTCATGAAATGTCATCAACTGACGAAATGTATAGAAATGTGAACTCTGTTCATAGAAAAATAATTGTAAATTTAACATTTCATACAAAAAAGTTGTTCGAATTGTTCCGTGAAAATGTCCTTCCGTCTTCCGTTTGCCTTTTTTCACGGAACAACTCGAATAACTTTTTTGTATGAAAAGCTAAATTTACAATTATTTTTTTATGAGCAGAATTCACTTTGCTATACATTTCATCAGTTGATCACATTCCATGAAAAATTTTCTAAAAAAGATAAAAATTCTTCCGTGTTCTTCCGTTGAGTTCTTCCGCTCAACTCTGGCGCCGAGTAGTGAGAAGTCTGGACTCTAACCGTTGTGTAGTCTTATTCATAATGTGCGCCCACAACACAGAAACCAACCACACCCAATCCCTTCCACAAATATTGTCTTGTTTTGTGACGTGGACATGCCTACAATGATGATCATTGGCTCAATTCTGTGACACACTGGGAAAGCGAGCGCGCGAGAAAACAAAAACCCCATTAAAACACACCTTTTCTAGAGAATTCCCCACATTTTTAATTAGATTACCGACTGACTCATAGCGACTACAGGTAATTTTTCAATCTTTTTCGCGTGTGACTCAACTCGCGCACACATTTAAAAATACACACTCTTTGCTCCTTTTCTCGCTCCGATCACCTCCTACATATACATTCATCTCGTTGTTGCAGCTCGACGACAACTGTCTCATTCACCAATTGATGAGTTGCTCGAGCGGTTGCGCCAAAATGGACGACACACTCGATCTGGTGCTGTACGCCGAGGAGGACAAACCACGTGGCAACAAGCGTCGTATCGCGTCGTGCAACGCACCCGAATCCACCGCCAAAATAATGCGAGTGCTTCGCGAACGTCTTGAGGAGACGGACAAGTTTCGCAGTGTCATGGTGCTAGAAGGTGAGCGCATTGGGTGGGGGTTGTGTAGAAATACATCGATATGTCAGATATGTCATGGATGACATGGCCCGGGTGGCAGGCAGCATTTCCCATTTTGAGCCATCTTTTGAGCCATTTTCATTTCAAAACGGCACTTTAACAATTTCGGTTCCCGGGGGCCTCGGTATTCGTATAAACCTGAACCCGTGTGTGTGTAAAATTTGTAAAAAGAAAGCGCTCCATCGCGCCACCCCACCCTTTTGCGCTAATGAAATTAGAGCAAAAAAGCTCTTCTTCTCGCTCTTTCCCACACTTCACTCGCGCCTCTTTCGCTCCTCCTGCATGTACATAATGTCAAAAACATTATGTGTCATCCTCTCTCGATTCCATTTTTAGCAAACGCTAATCCGAGTGCACAATAGGTTTTTCCGAGTATCCCCATAATATCATCCTCGTCTGTCATGTGTGAAAGTGAGCTCGAGCCCGAGCCCGGTGCGAGCCCGGTGCCTGGCACCGTAATTAGCTGATAAGGGGCTGCGCTGAGCCGCACGCTAATCCATCCAACATCATCATCATGATCATGAGCAGGAGCAGGAGCAGCAAATCTACGCCCTTTTCCTAAAGCTTCCCACTTTGTGTACGTGATCCTTCCAACTCGAAGTGAGTTTTTGCATAGAGAAATGCTCTCACTTCTTCGACTGACTCACCCCTCCACTTTATCCTATTGATCCGACAACACACCAGAGCACAACGCAACGTCTCCGGCCGCGACGCGCTATTCCTATTCCGGGGCTCCTCTAGCCGCCTGCGTGTGTCTCGCAAAGACTCCGCCTCACAAAAGAGTAGGGGCCCCGCTATATAGTTGTCTCTCTCTCTCTCTCTCCCTCTCTTTCTGGCAGTCTGCCAACGTCGTCCTCACTTTTATATTCGAAATGACTGGTCAACCGTTCGAAGCGTTCCGCAAGCATCGAAAGCAGAAAAAGTGCAAGAGGAAGAAGAAGCGGAGGTGTCAGAAGGCTCCACGTCAAGAGGCCGGCCCATCAATCGTTGACACAGCCAGTCAGACTGTGCCGGAAGTGGAAGATTCCAAAGAGACCGATGGCGTCGCCCTTCCTCCTCTTCGAACTTTCCCGGGCTGTAAACGATTCTCGCTAAGACTTCAACTGAGCACCGAATCGGATCCGGCGTACACGTCATCGCCGACGTGTCCAAGTAAGTAGCCTCCTTCCTCCACTTTCCTGTTGTCAAGTACGCTCCACTGATAATGCTCCTCTGACTCTGACTCTGACTCATCTTGTTTTCCCTACTCTGCGCTATTTCTGTTTTGCTCTTTTCCCTGTTCGGCTCCTTCTGCGAATAGCGTGTGGTGAAAAACAAAAACAAAACACACAAGTTCATATTTGTGACGTGGCTGGCACCTCAGAACAAGTTTTATTAACATGTAGAAAGAATGTAGTAGAATGCGTCTATGGTGGTGGTGGCAAAACGGGAGGGGGGCCTTTTGATGAGTCACTGCGTCAATAGGCGGACGAGCGGGACGCAGATGACGCAGCCAAAGAAGACGCAGAGAAACGCGAGAAACCAGGGAAACAGCGGCGATTCGGGAGAGACGCCGCGCCCGCAATCAAGACAAAAAAAAACCATCTGCGAGAGTCCCTCACCGTTCATCTGTGGGCAGGCAGGCAGGCGTGCGATGTGTCACTCACACTTCTGAAACATCGAAGGATCATCGACGGACGCCACGCCTCCCGCTCCCATCGCTGATCTTGCGTGCGGGGCGGGGCGGACCCGAGACCGACACAAGATCAGTTTGACTCTGACCCAGTGTGCCCTCATCTCTCGGCCTTTGGGTCTTTGGGTTACAAATAGATAGCGGTATGGGTCTTAGTACCAGTATAGATAGCTGTAAATGACCCCGAAAACGACCAAGTACTGAAGAGAGTGCCACCAAAAAAAAAACCCCTGTGACTCACTGTCACACACTCACTTTTTTCCGCTGATGATCACATCACGCAAGTCACTTGTCGTCGCCCGCCCGCTCGCTGCGTCTCACTCTCTTTCGGATGAATGAATCATCTCACTCGAGGTTGCCCCGGCCACTTCCATCAATTATTGTTATTATGCAATGCATTCGTTCGTTGTGAGCGAAGAAAAAGTTGCACAGTCATATATATATATATGGTGGAGACGGGAAGAATAACGAAATACACTGCGGCTGATTCTGATTCCTTCCGCCGCTTTTGGTGGCTCCTCTTATCACTTTCATTTACTTCCTCTCTCTCTCTCTCTCCCTTTCTCTCTCTCTTTCTCTCCCGTGCTGGCTCCTCCTCTTCTGCCTATATAATAACAGTTGTGTCGATCATCAACCCCACGCTGTCTACCTTCCGATCATTCCTCATTCCTCTTTCGACTCCTCTTCTAAACTGTCCACAAATAACATGCCGCCGTGTTTAGTCACTCGCCATCGGCCCACACTGATGTTTATTCAGGACCTAGATCCGGGTCCCACGAGTGGTACTCAAAAATCTGGAGCGACTAATCGACGCGGTTTTTTTCTTGCAGGCGGCTTCAAACAGTTTGCGACGCAATACCCGCAACTGTGCGAGTCATCGGAAGGAATGACTCGTCTGCCACAAAGCCTCTCGCAGCCGTGCCTCTCGCAACCCTCCGGCGACGGCATCACGCTCATCACGCCGAACATCTATCTGGGAAGCCAATTGGACAGTCTCGACGAGACAATGTTGAAGGTGAGAGAGAGTTTCGCAATGTCACAATTGCAAAATGATCGTCACAGTCACAGTCACAGTCACAGTCATCATAATCACAAGCACACGTTTCTCTTCATTATCGTTTCTCCTTCTTTTTCCCAGTCGAAACGTTTATATTTACCTCCCTCCTATAACAAATGACTCTGCGGGCGAGAGAGAGAGAGAGAGGGTCAACTGACTGACATGTGTGTGTGTCTGTGTAAAAGATGATTCATCCCCCCACCCCACGTCTGTTAACAATTCCATCAATTCTCATTTTTCCAGGCGCTCGACATCAGCGCCGTCATCAATTTGTCGGTGACGTGCCCCAAATCGGTATGCATCACCGAGGACAAGAACTTTATGCGCATTCCGGTCAACGACTCGTACCAGGAGAAGCTCACGCCCTACTTTCCGATGGCGTTCGAGTTTCTTGAGCGATTGCGCAAGTCCGGCAAGAAATGCCTCATTCACTGTCTGGCGGGAATCTCGAGAAGTCCGACACTGTGCATCTCGTACATTATGAGATACATGCAAATGGGATCCGACGACGCGTATAGGTACGTGTAGCGGGAGGAGGGGGGACTCGAACCGATCAACGATTTTGCAGATATGTCAAGGAGCGGCGTCCGTCGATCTCGCCAAACTTCAACTTTATGGGACAGCTGCTCGAGTACGAGAACGTGTTGATCAAGGATCACGTTCTGCGGCCAGAGCAAGCCTCGCGCCCGTACCGCCATCACAGAGACGACTACTGCGGACCGTCCGATCTTTGCCCGCCAAAAGTGCCGAAGAGCGCCTCTTCGCACTGCGTGTTCGTCGGAAGTCCGTCGACAAACCCAGAGGATCCATCGTCCCCCTCGGCGTCAGAAGGATCGGCCGCCAGTGAGCCGGAGCGGGAGAGCACTGTGAACGCGAACGGAAAGCGGAACTTGTCGATGGATCTGGGACTGCCACCTCGTCCGAAGGCGCTCGGGTTGCCCTCGAGAATCGCCACGTCGATTGTCGAGTTGCCGTCTCCGTCCACCGAGCTTTCGCGCTTGAGTTTCGAGGTCGTCGAGTCCGCGAGCATCCCCGTCACTCCGATCCTGAACTTCTCCAATCCATGCTTCACAGTGCCGAGCTCCAGAGAGATGCCCACTTTGCCCACCCCGACCGCCACTCCATCTCTAGTCGCCTCCTCCTCCTCCGCCTCGTCCGTCTCGACCGACTCGTTCAGCTCGTTCGGCTCGTTCGACTCCTCCTCCTCCTCGTCACTGGGAATGATGATGTCCCAGGTCGAGAATCCGTTCTTCAATGACGGCGCGTGCTCGAGCTCTAGTGGAGGCAACACTCAAACATCTGCAGTTGCGACGGCGTCTCGTTGTCGTGTCAGAGGATTCTTCAAAGTGTTCAGCAAGAAATCGACGACTCCAGTGTCATCTATGGTGAGTATTGTGGGGCTAGCAACTTATTCCCTATCCAGTTTCAACCAATTCTCTTACAGCCCTCCACCTCCGGCTCCGGCTCATCGCGTGCCACGCGTCCGGAATGTCTGCGCTCCTCGGGCGTCATAATCTCGGCGCCGGTGCTCGCGATCACCGAAGAAGAGGACGCCGAATCGCCGGAATCGGGCTTCAACGAGGAGACGGTCGAAGAGGAGGACGACGCGGTGTCGATCGCCTCGGCGAGCTCACTCGAAATTGTTTGTCAATAGATTCGAAGAGGTTCTTCAAATTGAAGAGATTGTCTACATTTACCCCCCACCACCACCACGCACACATGCCATGGAAGATTCCCTTTTCTATGTGATACATCTACTCCCCTCCCCCTCACATTTATTTGGTTCATCTTTTATATTGTTTATCCTCCCCCCACCCCAAAATCCTTTTACGTGTCAACGGGTACTGTGAGCTCCAGCAGCAATAATCACCACGGACACACACACACCACCACACTTTTCTCTCCCAATGACTTCTTTTTTTTTTGTTGCGATATATAAACAAAAGAGTGTATATATCCACCCCCCACACACCACATAACACTTTTTGATTTTCTGATGGCGCAAGACTGTGACAAAAGTGTGTGAGACGCAATAAATGAATGAATGATTTTTGCAATTCGAAACAGTGAATACGAACGAATCGACGCAAAAATCAACAGTTTATTCGGATCGTTCTTCAAGTCTTCAAGCCCTTTCTATGTGTTTATAGACAATTCCCCCCTTTTGTTTTGATGTGAGACAACGGAATAATGATAGATAGAGACGGAAAAGCGTTTAGCCGAGCCGCTGAAGATTCGACAGACGGCCGTGCGAGTCGTTTTCGGCGAACGCCTCCGGGCCGAGTAGTTGTTGGAGACGAGCCATCACCAGGGCCTGGTTCGCGCCGCCACTGAAATCGAATTGTTTTTAGGTCTTTCAGGTGTTAAGGAGCTTCTATATGAATTCCTGGTTCAATGCAGACGTCCCAAGAACTAGTTCCAAACAGCTGTGAACCCTAAAACTTCCATTAGAGACATTGTAGCGCACGATCTCCAGAGCTGACAATATGGGCGTGGCCTCGGCGGCCAAATGGCGTTTTCAAGAATTGAGCAGATTTTCTCTGATTTTTGTGGCCAAAGGCGATGAAAAATGCATGTTCGACAGGAAAACACACTAATTATCGGAATTAATGACGTTTTGGCGCATTTTTCGCGGATTTCGCTTTTTCGCCTTCGCCGCCTAAACCGCACTTCTCATTTTGCGCTTTCTTGACCGTTTTCAGACAGAATTGGTTTTGAGAATGATAAATCACGTAAATACAAGCATTTTGAGCGCTCGAACAGCGAAAATTACCGAAAAGCAACTGAAATTCACGCAGTTTTAGCCAAAAACCTTCAAACGGATAAATGTGATTTGCGACTTGACCAAATTTAACGCTCTTGCGCTTAAAAAATTCGTAATAGCCTATAGAATCGGTCTATCGAGAGACAAATGAGAAATTATCGGTTTTTCGTGGCTAATCTGGCAAAAAACATAAATTTTGCTGTTAAAATTTGAATTTCGCGCCAATGTGTCGCTCTATTGGGCGGGGCGCACTTGCGCCCATTGTCAGCTCTGGATACCGTGAGGCTGTGAAAAAAATGATTTTTATCCGTTTTTTTTTCGTTTTTTTACGTCAAAGAATCCAATTCAGCGATGCAAAAAAAACGGAAAACAAACATACGCTGAATAGCCCCATAATAGAACGGATACTGAGTGACTTTAGGTCCCTGTAAGCTTCATCAAGGTAACGTATGAAAGTGTATAGACCAGAATTCTATCAAGAAACACTGTTTTGCCTCTGATCATTGCACCGCTCAACTCACTCGGCTCTCTTGTACAGCATCCTCGGCTGCAGTTCGGCGCCGACGAGCGCCTCGTCAAAGTACGACTCGTACGGACGGGCGGTCGCCACGTGGCAGCACGCCATCAGCACGAGAACGGCGATGCGGAAGAAGAAACGCATAGTGTTACCTGAAAACGGGAAGAAGTGGGAAATGAAAGGAAAGGAAATTTTCGCGAAAACGAAAAAAAGGCCTGAAGCTGTTGTGAAATGGCGTGTGAGCCGCTCGAAAAGCTTCTTTCCAAAACGTGGGCGGAGCTTGAGACGGGAAGCGAAAACCTACCGTACACCGTACATATACATTTTTATGCGCTTTATGCGTCCAATTTGACACCCCGACATAATTGCCGTACAGCCCGTTAACGCCTTTTTTGGAAAGAGAGAAGAAAATGGGCGGCCGGTTCTTCTTTCTTTTCTTTATGTTTTGAGCAACGAGAAAAGATCTGGATCAAATATGTTTTGGAGGCGATGAATGAAACTTGGTCCCGTGTATTTATGGACGTGCTTAAGAGAACCGGCTCGAGTATCGCAACTGACGTCAACGCACGTCAACATGATACAAAAACGGTGAGCTTGGGAACGGAACGAAAGAAGGAAAACGATTTTCAGCGTCAATTTAATTGTATGGAATTTAGCGAAAAAGCTCAACGATCTCCGCCCACTAATTATTGTGAGTTGGGTCTCGACACCGAAAAGAAAAGCGAACGAAAACAACGATGCGCCTTTAAAATTGAAAATTTGTTCGATACGGTAGTCGCCTGAATAAATCATTGCGGTACGAATTGCGCGGACATATATTTCAAGAAAATTAGCATTTTTTAGGCGTCAGAAACATTTCTGTGTTTTTCTGCTTCAGCGTAATCGTGAAATCATTGATGACCGACTGAGAAGCATTGGATTAAGTGGAATTAAATTTTGTTACATACTACATTTTCAATTAATTTCAGATTAATTCTCTCCTTCCTTCTGTTTCCCCGTTTGTTGCGTTTTTATGCAATTCCAAAGCTCAATTAGTTGGAGGGACTAGTTTTTGCCGGCGCGGACTAGTTTTCGCCAAAACTCGGACATCATCTGCTGCCAATTTCAGACTGTTTCTCAGCGATTTTAACAGAAAATGTCGCTGGAAATTGTTCAACGAAACTTGCTGGGTATTCTGGAGGCCATTGCCGACGCGGTCACCACTTCAACCGCCACAAAAAGGTGCTTTTTAACACAAGTATGCTAAAACTTTAAATTTTCTGGAATTTTCAGGTGTCGCCTAGTTGCGGTGAGCAAACAAAGCCCGCGGAGCTCATAGAAGCTTGCTACGCACGCGGACAACGACATTTTGGCGAAAATTATGTGCAAGAGGTGGGAAAATACATTTTTCTCAAAATGTTCCTGTTTCAGCTCGAAGAAAAATCGGCAAGCTTGGCGGAAAAATGTCCGGAAATCAGGTGGCATTTCATTGGGCAAGTACAATCGAATAAAGTAATTATTACAATGTTTTTCGAGCTAAATGAATTTTTTTTTGAATTTCAGATCGCAAAAATCTGTAACTCGCCCGGATTATGGTGTGTAGAAACGGTGGAGACGGAGAAACATGCTCAGCTTTTTAACAAAGTACAAAATTCGAAATTGTTGCGAAAGGGGGGCGTGGCCTCGCTGAGACTCGTTTTCAGCACTTTTTGGCTCATTTTCAGAATTTGTGTCATTTTTGACGAAAAACACGGAAAATGGGGTAAAGCTTTGAATTTTGCGCCAAAATTATGATAAGCTGTGCACGCTTGTACAAAGACTATTTATTTTTCTGCAGGAATGGTCAAAACGTGGCTCGAGTCTGCTGCAAGTGTTCGTCCAGGTGAACACTTCGAACGAGGAGAATAAAGGTGGAATTGCGGTCGACGAGGCGCCCAAATTGGCCGAATTTATTCGAGAAAAATGCGAAAATTTGAAGTTCGCCGGATTTATGACCATCGGCTCTTTCGGTCACAGGTGAACACTGCTGTTTCGGATATCTCGTGTAAATAACAATTGCTTTTATGTTTTTCCGTGTCGAATCAGTCATTTTTAACGTTACTCTAGGGCTGGGCAATTGGCCAGCCCTTGTCCTGGACTTTTGAGCCATTTGCGATAGTCCTATCGGACCCAAACTTTGCAGGCTTATTGGACTTGGGTTGAAGTATATTGGGACCAAGTTACAGCCCGATCGGATTATTTACGGTCGAGTTATTGTGCTTGAGGCCGAGAAGCCCGGACCGGATGATCCAATCGGGTTGAAACTCGCACCCAATATACTTCAATCCAAGTCCAACAAGCCTGTAAAGTTCGGGTCCTATCGGAATATCGCAAAAGGGTCAAAAGTCCAGGACAAGCGCCGGTCAATTGCCCAGCCCTGCGTCACTCACAATCTTTTAAATGTCTGATGCTTGAAAATCGAAAAACATTACTATTTCAGTCATACAACCGGACCAAACCCAGATTTCGATCGCCTTTTCCAAGCACGAGAACAATGGGCGGAACTTGCAGGTTTGTGACTCATTTTTTTATCGAAGTCCTTGGCCAAAATTCGATTAAAAACGGCATTGTTTGCAGGAGAGCCATCAGAATCGGTGGAATTATCGATGGGAATGTCGGACGACTTCGTGCAGGCCATTCAGCAGGGATCCACGTCGGTCCGCGTCGGCAGCAAACTGTTCGGAGCCAGGGAATACAAACAATGAATAATTTGTCGATTTTTTACATAATCTTTGCCATAAGAGTTTTTCTGTATTTTTTATCGACCTTTTCAGTATTTTTGCTGTAGAATACCTGTTGATTGAAATTTGAATGTCGGAATCGTATATTCAGATGGAAGAATTCCGCGCGAATATTCTGAAAGAAGTGCGCGATTTGATGCAGAAAGAGAAACAATATGTAGGTTTTTTGGAACGATTGTAATTTTTCTAGAAAAAAAAATGATTCAGGAAGAAGCGTCGAAGATGTGGAACGGAAACGAGACGAAAGGATTCGAATTGCCGTTCGCCGGCACCAAAAACGGCGTTCCCGTGAATTCGGGCGTCGTCGGACAGGTCCTCATCAGCCGGGACGGCGGATTCGAGGCCATCATCACCACTTACGTCGTCAAAAGTACGGGAACTTTAGGATTTTCTGGAAGCCCCCATTTTTTCCATCTTGTTCATTTTTCTGGCTCGTAACCATCAAGCTCCGCCCACTCTCGAATTCAATACATTTTGCTCGGAATCGGACGGAAAATCGCTTGGCGATTACGGTTGACAACGGTAGTCCGCAAACACCACGTCGCAAGAGAAATAGCGCAATGATTTATTCGTTTTTCAAAAAAGTGCATGCAAAATTCCTTTCTTACCTTCAAAAAGAAAGCTGTTTTCTCAAACATTTTGAAATTCGGATGAATTCCCAATTTCTTAAAGTCCCTTTGTTCCCAATTTTTTCCAAGCTGAAACTTGCGCAGCCCTAGTCTCAACCGGTTGATTGCAGACGACCTTCGTTCGATTGTGTCGAGCTTCTCGGTCCTTCCGACCTCCTCGCTCCCACTCGCCCTCTCGGCCGGTCTCTCTTCGCTTCTCGTCTCGGTCACTTCCACTCTCACTCTCAATCACATTCTCATGCTCTCCGAGCTCCGCGATCGCATTGTGGCTCCGTTGAAGACGTCGGACGTGGCACGACTCTCACAGGCATCCAAGTGCATCCGAAGCACCGTCACCACCGGAGACGTCGACAGAACGTTCTGGAAGAAACACCTCAGAAAGTAAAGTTACCTGACATTGGTCCGTATCAGCTCCAAAATAGCAGATTTTTACAATATTTCCTCAAGTTTTATCGATTGTTTCCGATGTTTTCTCGAGGTTCACACGGTTAAAAATGTTGTTCGATGGTCAATTTGGTTTCTTTCCATTGGTCACGAACAAGAAAGAAATGGACAATCGGAAAACGTTTTTGACGGTGTTAAGAAAATTAGATTTGTCTCGAAAATTGTAAGAATCTGTGCTTTCGAGGTTGATACAGACCAAAGAGTAGGCACATTTATAAATTTTCTCCTCTTCTAGAGAGTTCGGAGCGGAAAAGGTGCAAGAAACGGTGGCGAAAGGACGCACATTCCACGGCGTTTATTGCGAGACGAAAAAAGCGAACATTCGCATTGCCCAAGGTCTGAAAAGCGGGAAAATTCCAGAAAAACGCATGTTTCACTTATTTGCAGACCGTGCCGCCCATCACAATCCGCTGCTCATCGGCGTCTACGATCCACTGCGTGCGGATCCGCTCCGTGTTCCCGACCGGGGACCTTTGCGTCCAGCCTTCAATCCACCGGATCCGGATGCCGGCATCTACATTCCATTCGGTCCGGATCCGCCGTTCATGGGCGGTCTCCGCCAGCCGCGCGGTCCCGACTTCCCCGACATGTTCGCCGGCCAGAACCATCCGGACTTGAATCCGACGGGAATGTGGCCACGTGGCGGTCCCGGCAGCAACCAGGGACGTCCGTTCATGAGAGGACCGCCCGGTGGCGGAGGATTCGGCGGCGGATTTATTTGAATTTTGTATGTGTGTATAAAGATTGAGATTCACACACTCGAAAATGTGGCGAAAAACGGCGGCCACTTGAGAATACGAAATTATTACTTTTTTAGGGCAAACGAAACACTTTTTCCAGGAACAAACGGATTTTCAATTAAACCTCGTCTGTTTTTCTGCGAAACGACGTCTAATGACAAACATTTCCGACACACACACACTTCACATCTCTTCAGCCCTTTTTTTGCCTATTCTGAGCGTCTTTTTACATGAACGAGCTAATTTATGCGCGTAAAAAATGGCATTTTTGAGTGCGCCCCACCAAAATTCAAATTGTCGTGTTGGTCCTCGTCCCGTAAACTGTCGGCTGCTTATTTCGCCAATCGGCGGCGCGCTCTCCAAGCCTTTTTCGGTGCTCCGCAACTTTAAATGCGCGCCGTCGGAACGAGTACTTATTCATTTCACTTAATTTTTTGGGAATAAGTTCATTGTGCTTGAAAGCTAACAAAGATATACATATTATAGGGGCACCGCACAGAAATGGCGCTCTGTTGAGAAACTCTTTTTGCAGTTCAAATTGAGCGACCTCGGAGCCGAGTTTGAAAAGTTAGGCCACGTTTTCAGTGGAAAATAACTTCGCGGCCTAGAAATTCCGCCAGATTGCGAACAGAGCGCCTTTCTGTCCGGTGCCCCTATAATATTTCGGAAAACGCTGATTTCGTTCTGAACCTGAGAAGTTGTGCGAGTTTTTCGTTGCTATTTGTTCGTTTTGATCAGGACGAACATATTTATTACAAAAACGGGCGAGGCGGTTCCTAAAAACGGCAAAATTCGAAAAGAATCTGTTAATTTGTACGAGTGCTTGGCAAAAGTCTGAAGATTGTGCCGAATGCAAAAAAGATCCCATAGCCTAGGAGTTTTCTGGGCCATAAACTCGCACGGTTCCCTGGTCCTCTCCCTTCAAAGCCCAAAAATCGGCAACCGAATAATTTGTCGTTTCCGGGAAAAATAAGCCAAACACCGAAATTGGGTTAACCTCTGATAAGTAATATCATTCTATGATTTTCTCTCCAAAAGCGACTTTATCACGTTTCCAGGGCGGCGAAAATGGGCCAATTCACAGCCGATTTGTAGGGGATATAATCTAGTCACCGAGTGTTTATACTATGAAAGTAATTTTTGCAAGAAAAGGTCTCGATGTGTTTGTGCGCGGGGTTTTTGACTTTTTTCGTTCGCAAAAGTGTCAGAATTTGCGCTCCACAGCACACCGCACTTTTGCGGAAGATTTGAAAATGTCCGGTAATTTCCTCGTTCTCACCGGCTCAAAGTACACTTTTTGCAGTTTCTGCATGAGAAAACACGTGTTTTTCAACCCGCTTTTCGTTATTTTTATGCCATATCTCAAATTTTCGACAGTTGTGCGCGCATTTCTAGCCGATTTTGACCCGAACACTCAAAAATGCTCCGCTCATCGCCGTTTTTTCGCAATAACTGTCAAATCACCGGAAAGTCGATAATTCAGCGGCGAAAATGAACAGTTGTCGGCCGCCGGACGACGAAATGCCCGAGTTGATCGGGATTTACGCGTTTCAAGGTAGATCGTCGCGAAAACCGCGCTCCATCGCCAATTTTGCAGGTACCTACGGTTTTTTGTCCGTTTTAGTGTACACTCTGAACATTCAAGCGTTACGGCACAACAAAAGCAATCTGGACAAATCGTTCAGCCTATTGTACACTTGTTGCGCCGTTTTGGTAAGTCAACGTTCGTAAAAGAGCGCATTTATTGCATTATTCGCAGAGTATCGCCTACTTTTTGGACCATTATTTGATACGGCGGCTCTTGAAATTGGGATATTTCTGCGAATTTATACTGGAACACTTTGCGGAGCCCAATTTTTGGATGAACCCGTATAAAACTGTCGCCTCGTACTGTCCGATCGCTATTTTAGTGTTTCACGCACTAATCGCCGCCCATCGATTCACAATTGTGGCGGTACCGATGCGGGGAGTTCAGGTTTAGCCGGAAAAATCAACTTTCCTCCGCAAAACCCTATTTTTTCAGATTTGGGAACGCTATCGCCACTATTTTGTACTTTTCGGCCTCGTTTTGCCACTAAGCTTTATGTGGTTCATGATTCCGTGCAAAAGCTACGCCGTAATGGACTCGGAAGGCAGCGGAGGCCTCGATATTGAGTACAAGAAAACGTTCGATGTGAGTTTCGTCATCTGAATTCGGAATTTTCAAATTCTCCAAAACATGTGCTTTCAGATAAGCTCCTCATTCCTGGCTGCAATTGCCGCTGTAACATTTGGCATTCTCACCCTACTCCTCACCTTCGGAATGCTAATATTACTCGCCAAATTGAGTCTTCGGAAGATTAGTCAAACCGAAATAAGTTTGATAATTTTCGAAATTTTCATGACCATTTTCACAATGATCTACGCGTTCACCCAGGTTTGTCAACTACCAGAATAGATTGATAAATAGCAATTTTTGAAGGGAATACTGTATTATTCAATTTATGTGGTCAAAGATATGGAGCTGAAAGCGACTATCATCCAGTTCCGCACTTTTGCCATCGACATTTTCATTCTTCCCCAAGCCTGGACCCTATTGTTTCTATCGAAAACGGTAAGAACCAGAGATGTTGGGAATTCCGTGTTCCGTGTTCCGTGTTCCGCGTTTTTTTCAATATTTTTTCCGTGTTCCGTGTTCCGTAAAAAAAAAAATTTCCGTGTTCCGTGTTCCGAGGAAATAAGTTTTTTCCGTTTTCCGTGTTCCGTGTTCCGTAAAAAAAAAATTTTCCGTAGAGTAAAATTTTTATTCCCAACATCTCTGGTAAGAACCAAAAGTACTGTAGACGCTACAATAATCGTTCAGGTGCGCCGCTACACTCTGCGATTTTTCGGGAAAAAAGTTGGCATCGAATTTTTGTCGACCGATGTGTCGCAACGGAAAATCACAAAAGTGGCGTCGACGGCCGAAGCGACGTCGCGGATTCCGAATCCGAATCTGGGTAAGAATCGTTAACGGGTTTAGAGAGGAAAAATGAATGAGTTTTTACACCAAAGAACGTTTATATGTATAATACAACAATCCAAAACGAATCGAGCACAGGAATTTCGGCGGGATTTTCAGAAGATTCATATAGCGAATTGCATTTTTTTTTCAAACTGTTCTCGGTGCCGCCAGTTATGTGGGTCCGGCCGGTCGCATCAAATTGTGCGGGTACTCGCCCTTTGTCTTCGGCGAGAACAGTAGGTTCGATCGGTGTGGAATCGGGTCGTGTGGGCCGGGAGTCGGCACGTGGCCGGCACAGTATACCTGAAAATGATAATATTCGAAACTTTCAGTGAGATTTCGACATCTAGTACTGTGTTCTTGTTGTTGATCACTTTTTTCTAGGACCACTCCTCGGAGAATTGTGGTCCTTTGAAGTTAGAGCACTCAAAAACCGGCTCTAACTTCCAAGCGGCACAGAAAGCGTGGGGGTGATTGTAGAGAAAAGTGATCAACTACAAAGTGAAAGTTCACGTCCAGTACTGTATTTTTGTAGTTGAACACTTTTTTGTACATCCACTACCAAGAGTACTGTAGCGCTTGAAAGCTGGGACACAACAACTAACTTCCAAGCGCTACTGTGCGATCAACTGCAAAAATGCAGTACTTCGTGTCAAGTAAAATTAGTTTTTAAAAAATGGATTTGCGGTCGATAGCCCCACTCGGAACTCTACAATAGTCGTTCAAAGTTTAGTTACGTTTTTTCGATGAAAAGTTGTTATACCTCGAGATCCGTGTTGTCATTTCTGTTGTTGTGATACGTTTTCAAAGAGAGCCGAGTCCCGCAAATCCAACATTTGAAGCATCCCTTGTGGAACATTGATCCGTCTTTCAGTGGTCCCATCTGAAAATGTTCTTCATTTTATCAACTCTTAAAAAACTTTAAGAAATACCTTGTCATTGAAGTAAGTGGGTCGTTTGCAGCGGAAACATGGTTCCTTCATCTTGCCCTGAATCTTATTTTTTCACATTAAAAAAAAAAACGTTTTGTAAAAAAGTGGGCGAAAAGAGAGAGAGAGAGAGAAAGTAGAAGAGTGAATCGGATCGAAAGTGAGTGGGCGTCGTCGCTCAGCGAGGTAAAAGTCAGTTTATTTAACCAGCCGAAGGAGGGAAAAAGAAGAAAGAAAGAACAGTAAACAATCGGGCTCCCCCAGTACACCAGGCTAAAATTGGCGCCGACCGACTAGTTTGACGCTGGTTAGCATCGAAATAATGTGTAAAACAAACGTTTACAAGTATTTTTAGCAAAGAAGATGACAAAAAAGATTCTGGAGGTATGGGGAATTGAACCCCAGCCCTCTCCCATGCTAAGGGAGCGCTCTACCACTGAGCTATACCCCCGTCCGAAAAAGTATGATGCTGAGGGCTGTGATATTCAAGGCCGCCGCCGCTGTTTTCGCGCTTCGTCTCGCTTTGTGTCGCATGCGAATAGTGTGGAAAAACATGGAAAAACATAATATTTACGTTTCTGGTGGGAAAAATGTGGAGAACAGTGTTTTTTTCGGCGAGAGAGGTCGTGAGATGGTACAAAAAATAATCGGAGAGGTGAAGAGTATGAAAAGTCAATAAGCGACGCGAGAATGTATCAAATTGCAGGGTCAGAACGGTTTTTTTGCGTGAAATTCTAGAAAAATAGGACCAAGGGTGAATGTAGACAGCACTAAACAGAAAACTGGTCAAATTAAAGTAGATCATAGAGATAAATAGCGGTAAATACTGTAATAGAAGAGGAATTCGAATACCGTCTATTCAAGACGATGTATCTCAGTTACCGACAGAGATATCAAGTAGTTGTCAACTAATAAAATGTGCAAAATGTGTTTTTGAGCATTTCACTAGTTGAAAACTTTTTGATATCTCTACTCGCAGCTGAGATACATCGTTTTGAATCCTATCCAAGTTCTCCTTAACAAGCTAGGCTCAAAGCGTCCGCCCACAGTAACCCAGGGACTACAGTAACCTCACCGTAACCCTCTAGAAGACCAAAGAAACGGTTCAACTCTTGGCTCGAAGCGAAATGAGACAACGGCAAACGGGCGGCGCGGCGCGCAATCGATCAGAGAGCACGGTATTTTTTGTGCGTGGGGCTCTCGCGGCCGGGGAGGAGCTGCTCCTAGAGCTCTGCGCGAGCAAACAGACAAAGAAGAGTGTGTGCGCATAACTTGTAGAAGAGTGCCGCCCGAAAGAGAGAGAGAAAGAGAGAGAGAGAGACACGTGAAACAAAAAATGAGAGTGATAAGAGCTTTTAGTCCCCCCGTTGGATGAGTAGGAGGATTGGAAGACTGGTTGGGTGGTGTGGATCCAGTGGATTGGGGTCTCACACAAAAAGTGTTCGTTTGATTGAAAACTGGTAGTCTAGCATTGAAACAGGACCGTGGCCTAACTTTCTGGGACCAAAGTTTTTTAAGACCATGAGGCAAATCCTAGGCCACCCAGGTAAATAATGTGAACGTGGCCTAACTTTAGTCATTGAACTTCCTGACCATTACACAGGCTTTTGGGTTTTTTAGCTCGGAGCAAGCTCAAATCATAGACAGAGCATGAAACAAAGAAAAAAAAGAGAGCGATTAGGCGACTATTATAATCAGAGGAGGTGTTTGACGGGGCGGCGCGGAAGGCGACAAGTCGGAGCAAATAAAACAGATTATGCCGCCGGCGCGGGTTGCGGAAATGTACTTGCGGAAGCACGAGAAAAGGATGGAATGTTAAGGGGGTTAAGGTGGCCTAGGATCCGACAAGGATGGCCTAGGATTTGAGAGCACAGAACTAAGCAGCAATCCGCTTTGGATGGCCTAGGACGAATCGAATCGTAAGATAGTGGTCTAATTCCCATCAGACGTATACAAAACTAGTTCAGAACTCGACAAGAATGAAGAATGGCATAAAGGCATGGCCTAGAATCCGACACGGCTGGACTAGGATCCGAAGAAGAAGACGGCGGCTCTCAGTGACCTGTGCTCCCAGTCGTTCATCCATCTTTTCTGCATACTCATATTCCCATGAGCCGTTCTGATCGAATTGTTGCAGAAAAAGTGTGCGAAACACTTGCTCAGCGGCCACATCATTCTCAGAATGGATGGATGGACAATCCTTTTTTTTGGGAATGTAATGCGAAAAAACGTAGCCGAGGGAATTGCGAATTCCCTGGCGAATGACGTCGTCCCGTTTCTCCCCTATATTTTGCCCGGCTCTCAGCTCCTCCTTCCACTTGCCAACCAACTTTCATTCGAGTTGTTCCAGAGAGAATGTTCCACACCACCCTAACCATTTTCATTGTAATCCTCGTCGTCGTGAACGGCGTCGACTCGCTGGGCGGCAAGCCGTTCCACGTCGCACAACGCGACATGACCGGCAAGAATTACGCGGTGCTCGCGCTTTGCGACGACTCCAACAAGGGACATCAGATCAACGTGACGCTGAGTTTGAGGAACGACGCCGGCGAGAGCCTCGAGACGATCCACTTTCGGAACTCGAAGGAGCCGATCGAGGTGAGTGGAAGCACGTCTGATATCAAACGGTTTTTCCAGATCGAAGACCACTCGGCGCACAACATCACCGAAGTGGTGCTGACCGCCGACGTGGCTCCGGTGCCGTACAACATCCAGAAAGTGTCGGTGCGTATTCGTGACAACCTCTTCAAATTGCACGTCAACCAGGAATGCGACGACGAGGAGGAGTTCATCACCTCCGCCACCCAGCAGACCTTCTGGAGCCGACGCATCGATTGCGAGAGGTTCGTGGCTTCTACTTCTTCCTCTTCCAGAACAAAAAGGTTATTTTTGAGAAAAGACGTCTACTGTGATGACCGTCACGACGAGTTCATCGGATGCGAGTCCGTCTTCGTCTACCACTTGACTTGGAAGCGTGGCGCCACCGGAAGACTTTGAAATGTTTTTTTTTCTCTCACAAAAACGATATTTGTAGACGAGTAGAAGCCATCAAATGGCGTGTGTTAACAAAAAATTGTAGTCGTGTACACTGGTTTTCATTCTTTTTTCGGAATAAAATCGTTCTCTGTTTGAAATTTCTTTTTAACCAAGGCCATCAGTGACAAGGTCGCAAAACTTGTTTTTTAGGAGAATGACGCAGATTTTTCTTTTTTTTGACTGGAAGAACTTTTCTGCTCTTAATTTTGCGAATAAAAGCAACTTTAAAGCTGGATTCGTCGTGTATTTCTCCATTTTTGCCGCTTAAAAACTCCAAAAGGCAGAACAAGTGTGGACTACGGTAATCGTGTCGAGACCCACGTATAAGAAAACGGTCTGCGCCTTTGAAAAATATTTTTAATTCCGCATTCTTACCGATTTCATTCGACTTTTCACTAAAATTCAGCAGTTTTTCGTTAAAAAATGATTTGCCATGAATTACGGAATGTCAAAAACACATTTGCCATCAGTTTTGAAATGTACAAACCGAGTTTTCCTTTAAAATTAAGTCTCGATTCATTTTTCTCCATAGAATTCGATTTCATATTGTCAGCTGATTTCTACAGATTTTCCACACGAAATACATCCAAGGTTTTAACTCAAAAGAAAAATTTCCCCGACGCTCAACGTGATTTCCGATCAAAAATTGTGGGAAAACTCGCGAAAAAATGTCCTCGGCAACTGTTCGCCGCCACGATCACACTTCAGACGTCACACTTCTCAGTGCGCCCCGCAAAATTTTCGCGTTTTTACCCGAAGCACGTGTTTCGCACACATTTCTGTCCATCTCCGTCCGATATATCACTCGTCTCGCCGTCTGCGTCGCCGCCGGAAAGGAGAGGAGGAGGAGGACGAGGAGGAAAAAGTTTCACTTTGTGTCTGTGTACATAGACTGCGACCGATTGCTACCTATCACACACACACACACACTTTTTTTTTGATAATTTTTGCTGGAATTTTGACAAGAAATTCGAATTTTGCCTCATTTTCGTCTTGAAAGCTTCGATTCTCTATAGCAAACCTGGAAACAGTTGCGATTATTCCAGAATCATGACGATTTTGTCGAAGATTTTGGCTCCGCGAGCTGTCAGAATACTCGCCTTGGACCAGACGAAATCGCTGTCGACGAGTGCCACGTGTCAGGCGAGAATCTTCGAATCGGCCGAAGAAGCCGTCCGCGACATTCCCGACAATGCGAAACTTCTCGTTGGAGGTGCGATTTGAACGGAAAATGTTGTTTTGTAAAAAATTGGCATTCATTCTTGCAATGATCTAGGGGAAAACTCAAAAATAGATATGCTCAACAAGTTTGCTGCATAAGAAGTTGATTTTTCGAAAATTGTTGAAATTTGGCGGAAACCCCCTTTTTTGTTCACACTTTGTCCTCCAAACAGTCCAACTTTCTCGAATGCTTCCGCTAGCCAAAAAAAAACTAGCCATTTTTAACTCCTCTCAGTTTTCAGGCTTCGGACTGTGCGGCATCCCCGAGAATCTGATCTCGGCGCTGACGAAGACGGGCCAGAAGGGACTGACGTGCGTGTCGAACAATGCGGGCGTCGACGACTGGGGACTGGGCCTTCTCCTCAAAACGCGCCAGATCAAGAAGATGATCTCGTCGTACGTGGGCGAGAATGGCGAGTTCGCGCGCCAATATCTGTCCGGAGAGCTCGAGTTGGAGTTCACGCCGCAGGGAACACTCGCCGAACGGATCCGGGCCGCCGGCGCCGGAGTGCCCGCCTTCTTCACGCCAACCGGATACGGTACTCAGATCCAGGAGGGCGGCGCGCCGATCAAGTACAGCCGGACCAGGAAGGGGGAGATCGAGATTGCGAGTCAGCCGAAGGAAACCAGGCGGTTCAACGGAACCAACTACGTGCTCGAGGAGGCCATCTGGGGAGACTACGCTCTTGTGAAGGCGTGGAGGGCCGACACCCTCGGAAATATTCAGTTCAGGTACGCAAACGTCGCGACAGACAGGATTTACCGTTCATTTATGAAAAATTTAGTCGATTTTCTCAAATCCTGTCAAAATGGATTAAAACGCTTAATTTATGAGGTCTAGAACGTTTTTCTCGTCATTTTCTCACCTATAATTGCGATTTTGCAGACACGCGGCGGGCAACTTCAACAATCCAATGTGCAAAGCGAGTAAATGCACGATAGTGGAAGTGGAGGAGATCGTGGAGCCGGGAGTGATTCCGCCGAACGAAGTGCACATTCCGTCCATCTATTGCCACAGGCTCATCCGCGGATCCAACTATCGGAAGCCGATCGAACGGCCAATGTTCGCGCAGGAGGGCCCCGTGAAAGCGGCGACCTCGGCGGCCGGACGGTCCCGTGAGATCATCGCCGCCCGTGCCGCCCTCGAGTTCACCGACGGAATGTACGCGAATTTGGGCATCGGAATTCCCACTCTGGCGCCCAATTACATTCCCAACGGCATCACCGTCCATTTGCAGTCCGAAAACGGCATTATTGGAGTGGTAAGTCGAACGAATTTAACGTTTCCAGTTGAGCATCATTTTGCAGGGACCGTACCCACGAAAGGACAAGAAGACGCGGATCTGATCAACGCGGGAAAAGAGCCGATCACTCTGCTGAAGGGAGCCTCGATTGTCGGCTCCGACGAGTCGTTTGCGATGATCCGCGGATCCCACATGGATATTACCGTACTCGGCGCACTCCAGTGCTCGCAATTCGGAGACTTGGCCAATTGGATGATTCCCGTAAGCCATTTTGCGTTTTTGCCTCCAAAAATCGTCAAAATGTGCGCTATTTCGTCGAGCAATAGCTTGAAATGGTGTGTTCTGGTGCTGTGTGCCGATCAGAAGAGTAATCTGAAAACGGAATCAGGAAATGCATTCAGTTTTTGGTGATAAGCAATTTGATAAGACACATGGAAGATGTGTGATGTTTTGGCGAGTACTTTGAGTCCGAAATGACCTGTTGATAATGATTATACGAAAAAGTGGGAATCAAGACACACAGATCACTGATTAAACACATTTGCAGGGCAAACTGGTGAAAGGAATGGGCGGCGCGATGGACCTGGTGTCGGCGCCGGGCGCGCGTGTCATCGTGGTGATGGAGCACGTGTCGAAGGGCGGCGAGCCGAAGATTCTGAGCAGTTGCGATCTGCCGCTGACCGGAAAAGGAGTCATCTCGCGCATCATCACCGACATGGCCGTCTTCGATGTGAACACGCAGCAAGGACTGACGCTCATCGAAGTCCGATCCGATTTGAGCGTCGACGACATCAAGAAGGCGACGGCGGCACCGTTCCGGGTCTCCGAACACTTGAAGCCCATGGGTCAGGCTCCACTCAACCAGTAGACCCCGTTTCCCCTCCAATCTCTCCTGTAAATATCATTGTTTTCATCAGTTTTCAGTGAGTTTCTTTGCTTAAAAATACCGGTCTAGGACGTATTCGAGCGAATGAATATTAATCAATTTTAATGGTGAACTCATCACTTAATACAATACGAATATACGGAACGATTGACGACTTCAACAATTTCGAGCTCGATGGTGGGCGAGCGCGAAGGAATTGATCGAGGTTCAAGGACACTCGATCAGTGGAAACGAACAGTTCGACAGAGAACACAGTGAGAAAATCGTCCTGCTCGTTGAATAATTTGCTTGTGTATATTTTGATATATCAAAAAATGAATTCTCGTCCGCTAATCTAAAACGTCTCATTTTATAACTTTTAAAAGTTGAAATTCGTTTTTGTTGCCTTCGTTGCCCGTCGCGTATCTGAAAATGGAACGGACGTTCTGACCAGATATCTCGATGAGGCAATAAAAGCGCGTAGAAGGCAGGGAGAGGACGACCGACTCTCCTCGTATTTCTTGCTTTCGCATTTCTCACTCTATTTCAGTTTTCTCGCAAAATAAAGTAGAGTTTTGATTGAACTTTGCGTTAAGTTTCAGCATCAATCCCCAAGTTCCGTTCCGGGCCGGCCCAATCGGGTCTATTGGTCCAAATTTCCAAAGTCCAAATCGGAATGTGTTGAGTGTTTGCATCCGAAATCGGAAACTTTCATTATTTTTCTATTTTCCCCTTTTGACAGTTGCTTTGAATGGTGTTCTTTCGTTTTTCTGTTTTGTTTGAATAATAAACCTCTTCTTTTTTATCACTTTCCATTACTATTTACTAATTAATTACAAGAATGAAACCAGAATAAGCCAGAAAACGCATTCGTCTAAGCAAGCGCGCTCCGCCGCACTCAGAGGAGTTCTGGCGAAACGGCGGCGGAACCGTGGTGAAACGCGGTTGTATTTATGAGCTCCGCACCGATTTTTGCCGATGTTTCGCCACCGTTCCGCCGCTGTTTTCTCATTTCAAATCGCTGAATAGGAATTTGTTCAGAAATTCGCCAAAAATGTCGATGAAACGGTTCGGAAAAGCGGCGTATCGCATTGCGAATGAGGTAATTGCTGTTTGACTGACTTTTACATCAAAAACGTATTTCAGCTGGTCGCCCGTAGCGGCCGAACTTCTTTGCTCTTCCAACGCTTCTGGCCGCGAATCTTCCCGGCCACGTACAATTTGGGTGTCCACGTGGCACTGCGGAAGGCGCCCGTTCCCGCCAGAGCCACCCTTCGAATCGCCCGTCTCGCAGCCCGAAACGGACGCTTTTTCCGGCCGTTCTCCTCTCTGATCATCGAGAGGAATCGCATTTTCGAACGGAGAAACGAGGAAAAGTGGCGGCGGTTCCGGCCAATTCGGCAGGAACAGAAATCGATTGATTTGGTGGAGAGAATTAAAGAATTATTCGGGAATTCGGTCAGATATAATGAGGATCTGCGCAAGACCAACATGCCCGGCTGCATTGACTCCTACGAGTTTGGTAAGCGATTTTCTATTGAGATTTTTGAATTTTTAATGAAATCTACGTTTTCAGGTTATTTTTACGTTCAAAATCGACAATTTTTCAATTTTTAGGCGAATTTCTGGGCCAAGGGTGCAATGCGGCGGTGTACTCGGCCAAATTGGCGGATTCCGAAACACCGACGTCTTCGCTGGGCGTCGGGTTCAACGAAGTCAGCGATATATTGGCAGAAGTGCCGCACGTCTCCAAAGTTGTGCAAAAAGTGAGCATTTAACTGCAGTTTTGGAAATTTTATCGAAAAATCGATAAAATTGCAGACGTATCCGCTGGCGATCAAGCTAATGTTCAATTTCGAGCACGACCGCCTCGGCGACGACCATTTGTGGCGTTCGATGGGAAACGAGCTGGCTCCGTACCCGGCGGCGGCGAAATTACTGAACGGACGGATGGGAACGTTCCGTCCGCTGCCCGCAAAACATCCGAACGTCGTCAGAATCATGACGGCGTTTGTCGACTCACTGAAAGTGCTGCCCGATGCGTTGGAGAGGTAAGAATGATGCAAAACTATTATAGTTGGACAACTACTATAGTTCGAGTTGAAAGGTGCTTCATATCAAACTTGGATCGCTTTGATATAAAGTACTTTCAACCTGAACACGTTTTAGTTGTGCTGTAATAGTAGAATGGACAGAATGGGACTGGACAGTTGAACGCCATGAATTTATAGGACCTCTAATTCGATTATTGTGCAAATCCAAGTGACAAAGAAAATCACGGTACCTAAAACGGTCGGAAAAGTGGGCATATGAACAACAATAGTTATTGTTACTATTTTTATTAGATTAGGCCGGGGCGCATTGGGAAAATACGGAAAATACGGGAAAATCATGCCAGGACCGGGATTTTGGACGCACTTACTATTGCCAATTAACCAATGGGACCGTAATTTTGCATATTAGTTTAAAGCAACTTACTCAAAGTTACGGTTCAATAGTAAGTGGTCCAAAGTCCAGGCCCCGGCCTAATTCAACCGTATTTTCCGAATGCGCCCGGCCTAATATAACAAAAATTGTAACAATAACAGTTGTTGTTCATATGCCCAGTTTTACGGAACCTCGTGACTTTCTTTGTCACCTAGAAAACATGGATTTGCACAATAATCTAATTAGCGGTTCCTATAAATTCATAGCGCTCAACTGCACACTGTCATTTTGTCCATTAGCTCTATTCAGCTACTATTATAGCACAACTAAAATGTGTTCAGGCTGAACAGCACTTTCTATCAAAGGGATCGAAGCCTGTTTGGATAGGAAGTGCCCTTCATCCAGAACTAGAATAGTTGTAGATTTTTATGGGGAAAAACGGTTGTTTTCAAGATACCCGGACGCTTTGCACACCGCCCGCTGGTACGAATCGATCGCCGCGTCGCCGAAAACAATGTACGTGGTGATGCGTCGATACCGGCAGACTCTTCACGAATACGTGTGGAGCCACCATCGCAACTACTGGACCGGACGGATCCTGATGGCCCAACTGCTCGAGGCGTGCACCTATCTGCACGAACATCACGTCGCGCAGCGAGACATGAAAAGCGACAATATTCTGTTGCAATACGACTTCGAGGACGAGATTCCGCAGCTGGTCGTCGCCGATTTCGGGTGCGCACTGGCCGCCGGCGACTGGCTAGTCGAATATGACAGCGATGACGTCAGTATGGGCGGGAACACGAAGACGCGGGCGCCAGAGATTTGCACTGCAAAGCCCGGGAAGGATGTGTGAGTTTGGATGGAACTGGGCGAAATGAGCTTCAAACATGATCAAAGTTCTGAGTAGAACAACATGTCAGACTGTAGATCTCGATGAGTTCTACGAATGTGACAGCAATTGTTTTTTCCGTAGCGCGGGCCGACCTAGAAACCGGCTAGTTTGCTGTCACATTTGTAGAACTCATCGTTGTTCCACTCACAACTTTGATTTAGAAGCGAATTATCAGCCGGGCCAAAATCTTATGGCGCCGCAATCTAGACCTTTCTGACTTTAACCGAACCGTAACGGGTTGCTTCCACTCATTTGAACCCACTAGGCCACCTGAACATTTTTTGAAAATTGTTGTTATCGGTTTTTTATGGTTGCCGCTGGTTCAGAAAATTCAATCCGATCGCCAGATCGGAACAATGTTTTAGCGTTTCTTAAACATCCAGCACCCGTGCTAATTTACCTTTCAAAAACTCCTACTTTTTGCAGAAAACTCAATTTCGAGATGGCGGACACGTGGGCCGCCGGTGGTCTCTGCTACGAGATCCTGACCCGATCCAATCCGTTCTACAAATGCCTCGACTCTGCGACGTACGCGCACTCGGACCTTCCCGCCCTGCCCGCCCGCGTACATTTCGTCGCCCGCGACGTCATCCGGGACCTGCTGAAGCGGGATCCAGCGGAGAGAGTTCGGCCGAAAATCGCCGCCAACGCACTCAATTTGTCGCTTTTCCGGCTCGGCGACGACGTTCGCGAAATGATGGAAAAGTGCGGGGTGTCTCAGTTGACCACACTTCTTGCGGGCACCTCCAAGCAGCTGGGCGAGAAAGGTAAAAGAAAACTAGCACGGCGGCAGAAAATTGAAAAAAGGGCGCGGCCATCCGTAAAGTTAATGATTGCGCTTATTCTGGGCTTTAAATGAGCAGATTTCATCACGAAATGCCAAAGTTGAAGTGATTTCTTGATCATCGTTTTCGACACTCATTTCATCGGATAACTGTTGAGTTCGTTGCGAAATATGCGAAAACACGTCTCAAGCGTTGCATTTTCACGAAAGTTTTCGAAAACCGCAAACCACGCCCTCTTTTTTAACGTTTGGTCGCCGTGTCTACAGAAACTTGAGAAAGAATACTCAACTTGCGACTTTTAGTGAACATCGGCCTGGACAAAGTGATGAGTCTGATCACAGCGGAAACGATAGTCGCCTCGCTGGCGCCCCATCTGATCAGCCGCGCCGAACGCCAGCTCCGTGCCACGTTTCTCGCGAGAATCGACCGGAATGAAATCTGGACGAGTCTCGCCTACTTTTTCCCGGCCGACGGAAAGATTTACGAGAATTCTATGGATTCCGGCTCGATCGCCAGTCTCGTCTCCACGTTTTCCGGCGGCGAAATTTCGACGAATTCGGAGAAAAGGGGAGAGCCGAAAAAGAATGGATTTCACAATTCGACGGCGATTTTGAAAAATGTGATTCGCTCGGATTCCGATGGAATTAACGGAATTGTACATAGAATTCGCTCCAAATAATTCTTAAAATATATTGCAGATTTTCCGATGAACTTAAAATATTGTGCGCAATTTTCTGTACCTTCCACATTTTTTGCAGATTTGTCCTGTAATTTTCCGGCAAAAAATGCAAAGACGCTCCATTGAGAATAGTTGATTTTTCGCTAGCTTTTCCATAAAAATAGTACAATGTCCTCTCTGTTTTCCTCTGTAATTTCTTTTCTCTATTGCCAGTTTTTTATGTACGGTTTTGCCCAAATGCCCACCTCACAGCTTTGTTTTATTGGTTTTGAACTGAAAAAAGTGTTTTTCGGTTGATTTTTGATTTGCAACGGTTTTTCAGCCGCTTTTCGTATATCGTTGATTTTTTGTGCTGAATAATTGCGAAATGGTCAATTATTTAAATTTTTAGGTGCATGAGCAGTCTGTACGTGCCATTAGTGTTGCGGCTCGAAGTGAAAGAGCCGACGCGAATTTTGCAGTCTTTTCAGGACGATTCTAAAGCCGGTGAGCGATTTTTCGCACTTTTCTTCAAATGTTTTCAATACTATTGTCCATTTGCCAGGGAGCGAGTCCCCGTTGGCCGGAGAACGAACCCGTCAACGACTGGCGACGAAGCCGCGAATGTCTCCGCCGAAGAAAGAGGAACGGGCGAAGCGGGGCCGGGAGGGCGAGGCGCCGCCGATCGGGGCAAGTTCTTCGGAACCGCCCACGCACGGATACCACAAGGGACGGAGGACGTACTCGGAAGTGGTGGTCGAGTCGCTCGAAGGTCACAGACTCGTCGACTCGACCGCCGGATCTGTGGCCGGCACTTCGGAGAGATCCGAGAGATCCGCTGGCAGAGCTGTCTCCGAGGGACCGCGTTAGTTTTTGCGAGCATTTAACAGTTTTCTGAAAAAAATTGACAATTTCAGCGGACCAAGTGGCGTACTACTCTGGCAATCCGTTGACGGAGAAAACGGAGGGAATGATGCACTTTTACAAATACAACGACGAGAAACTGACACGGGCGGCGCAGTGCCGCATGCTGTGCATGTTCGCCGTGCCCGCATCGGTCGAAGTGCGCGATTTGATATCGTTCATGTGCATTTCCCTGCAGACGATCGTCAGCATCAAAGTGGTCCGTGATGCGGTGCCCAATCAGTACATGCTCATCATCAAGTTTCGCGATCACGTACGTCTTTGTGATTTTTCTAAAAATAAAATTTTGTTGTTGCAGAATGAGACGGTCACTTTCTACGAGGAATACAATAATTGTCCGTTCAACGATTTGGAGCCCCACCGATGTACCCTTTTCTTCGTCGATCGCATCGAATGCGTGAGTTTTCAAATGTTCTCTTCAGAATGGTGAGCTCGAGCTGCCATACTTGTGATTGTACGTCCCGGCCTCTGCATGGCAACCGTAATTTTTGGCATTTTTTTTTAGCAACTTTAACTTAATTATTTTATTCATCGCAAAAAAAAAACCGGTAAAAAAAAAAAGGTACGGCCGATTTTCATTGTTATTAAATAGAAAATGGTCAATCTGTGTCAGCTGGAGCATATCTAGAACCATACAGACGTTTGAAGCAGAGCATTTCCAACTTTTTATACCCTAATTGACCCCGGAAATAATGAAATTCCTATGGTGAAATTGCAGACGACGTCGGACGAGCTGATGTCTGCGGAGTGCTCCTCGCTGACGGAGCTGCCGACGTGCGCGGTCTGTTTGGAGCGGATGGACGAGAGTGTGCTGGCGATACTGTGCAACCACTCGTTCCACGCCCGATGCCTCGAGCAGTGGGCCGACAACACTTGCCCGGTGTGCCGGTACGTGCAGTCGCCGGAGGAGGTGGCCGAGCAGCGGTGCAACGACTGCGGCATGAGCAACGATCTTTGGATGTGTCTCATTTGCGGCAACATAGGCTGCGGCCGCTACGCCGATCAGCACGCACAGCGGCATTGGGAACTCACCTCGCACACCTACAGGTGCGGGAAACATTTGTACTTTTTTCGTCAAAAAATGCGAGTTTTTTCAGTCTGAAAGTGGGCGGAGAACGAGTCTGGGACTACGCCGGCGACAATTACGTGCACCGACTCATCGAGAATGGGGCCGACGGAAAAATGGTGGAGTATCAGCGAGAAAGCAATACGGTACGTTTTCTCTTATGCTCCTTTCCAATCAAATGATTTTTGTTGCGTTTTTAGAGTATGGACGAGAAAAGCAGCGGAAAAGACGACAAACTGGAGGGAATCAAGTTGGAATACACTCTTTTGCTGACTAGCCAACTGGAGAATCAACGAAAGTATTTCGAGGAGAAACGGACCGATATGGAGAGGACCATGTCGAAGATGGAGAAGATCGCCTGTGCGCAGGTATATTCGTCTATAAACTTTTACTTTTCCAATTTTCAATGAGTTGCCGAGCCCTTAGTTTTGTCAAAACATTTCTTTTTCTCAGGTGGAATCGCTCGAACATCAACTGGTGGAAAAAGTCGGAGAAGTGAAGAATCTGAAGGGCGAACTGGACGAGACGGCGGCGGCGAAGAAGGCGGCGGAACGGAAAGCGGCGCAGACGACCGAGAAGGCGACGAAATTGGCGACGGAGCTGAAGGACGAACGGGAGATCAATCAGATGTTGCGGAAGGATCAGCAGGTGTGGAAGGAGCACGTCGAGAAGCTCATCGGCAGTCAGAAAACCGCCAGGACCGAGTATGAAAAGGTAAGCACTCGCTTTTTGCAGTGAAAGTCCAAAAAAATCAAATTCAGAAAATCGAGGACCTGCAGGCACAAGTCAACGACCTGCTGATGCATTTCGAGACGCAGAACAAACTGAAAGAGCAACTGGAAGCGGGAAATGTCACCCAGGAGGTAGGCTTCGCCCCATTTTAGCCCAGTTTTCATCAAATTATTGCAGGAAATCACTGAAAGTCATTTGGGAGTCAACGAATCCGAGTCGAAGTCGAAAAAATCGTCGGCGGCGCAGAAAAAGAAGCGAAATAAGTGAAATTCTTCCGCTTTTTTCTTGCATTTTTGTAGCAAATTGTACGTATTTTCTATATATTCATCATTATATCCGAGCTTGTTCGCTTTTCCCCATGAACACCGAGTAGTTTCGATTTCTCGTATCTCAAACACCACAATTTCACGGTTTTCTCTGTGTAATATGAATTTTTGCATTCAATTTTATCGATTTTTGCGCTTGATTCATGTTTCTCAACATTTTTATATCTTCTGGGTCTTGCCTGATTTTGTTTCCGTAAAAACCAAAAACGCGTCAATTAATACCTGCTGGCGCCTTTCTCGTGCCTCGACGCATTTCTCGCCATGACCCCCCCCCCTCGAATGTGTGCACAAAAAAGTGGACACACACACACATCAGTTGACCTCATTCCGAAGTCTTCTGTCCCAGTTTGCCTTCTTCCGTTTATTTTCTCCCAAAAAATCTTGTTGTTTCACTATTTCTTCCAATTTTTCTGTCCTCCACAGGGTTGGATATCATCCAATCGCAAATTTGCTGTTATCAGCACAGTTTTGCGAAATTCTATCGATTTTTCATCGAAAAACATTTGAAAATCTCGCAATTTCCCGATTTTTCATGTCCATCTGGAACCATCTTGTGTGCCGTCCAATCATGGCCTTTGTGCACAAAAAATGTCGGAATCTAGGTACGCGAAATTTCAAATTTTCGAATTTTCTTCGCAAAAATCGATAATCCAGACGTAGCGTACCTCGGATCGCAAATTCGGCGTGTCGCGGTGCCCGACGAGCTCGTGAAATGGAGCCGGGAATGGCCGGAATACGCGCCGCCCGTCTACACGGACCCAAAGATATTGGGAAAAGCGTGGGCGGATCCAGAGGAACGAGATGGTTTTAAATGGAATTCGATCGACGGAAACGTGAATCGAGCCTCGTTTGTCTGGTACGCATTTTTTGCGCGGTTGTAAAACGTCCGATCGATGATATCCATTCTCCAGTGCCTACTCGTTCGACTCGTCGCTCCGTCCACTCAATCCGATCGGTCGGACCGGGCTGGCGGGCCGCGGAGTGCTCGGTCGATGGGGTCCGAATCACGCGGCCGATCCGATCGTCTCCCGAATCGCCGACGACGGACACGTGGAGTTTGTGGCGATTCAGCGAAGGGATACGGGCGAATGGGCGATTCCGGGCGGGATGGTCGACGCCGGCGAGGCGGTGTCGGAGACGTTGAAACGAGAATTTGCCGAGGAGGCAATGAACGGCGTCGTCGATCCGGAGGGCATCGAACGGCTGTGGAGCAACGGCAAAGAGCTGTACAGGTTAGGGTTCTGGGATAGTTGGAGATGTCTAGTTGTATGTTTTCTGTACAACAAAATGGGTTTTGGAGGTTCTGAAAATGTCGAAATTTCTTCATTTGCTTTTTTAGCACTATGGGTTTAAACGGATTCAGCGTTGTCGGTTGCGAAACGTCCGTTTGCTTGCAGAGGCTACGTGGACGATCCGCGTAACACGGACAACGCGTGGATGGAGACGGTCGTCGTGAACTTCCACGACACGACCGGCGTCCTGAAGAACGTGGAACTCCAGGCGGGCGACGATGCGAAGGCGCTCCGCTGGATTCGCGTCGATTCGAAAGAGCCGCTCTACGCCTCCCACACACATTTCATCGCTCTTCTCAAAGAGCGCAAACTCTAAAAAAGCCCCTTTTTGCTTTGTTTTTCTCTCCACGTTTCCGTCCCGATCGTTCTCATTGTTTCTTCCGTTCTCCCGTCGTTTTCTCCGCTCCCATTGGTTTTTTCAATTAATAAACTTGAATTCATTTCAGAAGCTCACAATCATGAGTCGTGGAGGAGATCGTCGTCCGGCGCCGGACATCAACGGACTCACGTCGCTCAAGATCGACAATCTGTCGTACCAGACGACGCCCAACGATTTGCGACGCACTTTCGAGCGATACGGCGAGATTGGCGACGTGCACATTCCGAGGGACAAGTACTCGCGACAGTCGAAGGGGTTCGGATTCGTTCGCTTCTATGAGTCAGTTTGAGCAGATGAAAATGTTAAAATTTCCAATAAAAACGGTGGGAAATGAGGTGGTGCTTTGTTTTTGAGCCAAAAACGAGCATATGCTGTTAGGAAATCAAAAAATTTCAATTATTTGAAGTTGTGAATTCAACCCTCCACCCCTTTTGATCGAAAAATGCAGAATTTGCCGGATTTTCATCAAACGAAGCTAATTTTTGCAGACGCCGCGACGCCGAGCACGCGCTAGACCGCACCGACGGAAAACTGATCGACGGACGTGAACTTCGCGTCACTCTGGCCAAATACGACCGCCCGTCGGACGAGCGAGGGGGCCGTGGAGGTGGTGGCGGCGGCGGAGGACGCAGAAGGTAAACTAAGCATAGATTTGGGTGCAAAGACGAGTGAAACATCGGAATTCTCGGCCGAAAATGACCGGAAATGGGCGTAGGAACGCGATTTTTGGCATGGGAATGTGAAAATTTATCGAATTTAATCGGCGCGAAACTTTTCATTATAGCAGCCGGTCGGATGGCGCTGAGCTGCTGAAACGGTTGCTGAAAATCAGTGTTTTGCGGCCTGAGAAATGTGTGTTGCTGAAAGAAAAGCTGCACGCCGAGTGAAAATGCTGAGAATGTGCTGTGAGAGCCGCGAAAAAGGTGGTGATTGTGAGCTGAAAGTGAGCTGAGAAAGACACGCTGAAAAACACGACGTGTAAGTGATCGAAAAGTACTCTTTTTCTCCTTCTTCTCCTCCCTCTTCTTCTTCTTCTTCTTCATCTGTTCCTCAGTTGTTTTTCTCGAATATCATCGGTGGATTCATCATTGATTTTGGATGTTGTTGATTCAATTTTTCCGTATTTGCAGATCGCGTTCGCCGAGAAGACGCTCCAGATCGCCGAGATATTCGCGTTCGAGATCGGTTAGTCTAGTCGCGCTCTATTCCTAATAATCAATCAATCCAGAATCATAAAATAATCATCAAATTTTCAGCCCCGCCGCTCCCGCAGCCGCACCCGTTCCCCGCCGGCCCGTGACCGACGCGACTCCTCTGCAGACCGTGCTCCAGCCCGCAAACGGTCCCCATCGGGCGGGCGTGGAGACAACGGCGCCGCGTCGGACGGATCCCCAAAGGCCGGACGTCGCAGCCGATCGGCGTCCCGCTCGCCGAGCCACTCGCGCTCGCGCTCCCGTTCCAACTCGCCCAACTGATATTTCTAAATTGATGATACTATCTCTGTCTCATCCACCCAATTTCTCTTATTTATTCTGTTCTTCTAATTTACTCGAAGTTGATTTCACCGTCACTCACTATTCGTCGAAAAACATCCAAAAACACTTTATTATTTTCCCCCTGCAAAAGCATTTCGTCCCTCTCCTGTCGTCCAGAATAAAGAGTATCCAGAAGAATCGGTGGGGCACACTTCCGGCCCGCAGTATTCGAGCATTTGCCGGCTCATTTCGACCGCCAGACTTCCGTAATATTATGAGTTCTTTTATCGGAAATGTCACTTATCCCGAGCACGCCCCCGCGTCCCACGGGAATCTGCTTTTTGACGCCAATTTCGAGTCGGGTACGGTATTTTTTGTTTTTTTTTGGATATAAAATGATATCGAAGAGTTTATCGACGTTTTTCAAGGAAATCTGGGCCGCGTGGACAAAGTCTCCGGCTCCGAGTACGACCTGTTCATCCGTCCGGACACCCTCAACAACAAGTACCGCGTGTGGTTCTATTTCGAATGCAAAAACGCGAGCGAGAGTCAAGTGGGCGCGCGCAAATTCGCTCCATTAAGAACTTTGAGCGATTCCAGAGAGTCATCTTCAATATTGTCAACTTCTCGAAACAACGGACGCTTTTCGAGATGGGCATCGCGGCGCCCGTCGTCAAATCAAACGCGCACAACAGTTGGTGAGGGCGGCAAACGCGCTCCACGGATAATTTGTGTTATTATCCGTCAGGGCGCGCATCCCATCTCGTCACATTTACTATTATCGGAGCACACAGCACGGAGACCGTTGGATATTGTCGTTCGCCTACATCTTCGAGTCGCCGGACGCCGTTCAGTTCGCCTATTGCATACCGTACACCTACAGTAGTCTGCAGACGTGGCTCGCCGAGTTGGAAGCACGAGATTACCCGTTTTTCCATCGGGATCTGCTGACTTTTACGGTGGTTCGTCGGGTTACTGTAGTCTGGAAACATACGATATATTCCAGACAATTTATCTCAGTTGCCGTTAGAGATATCGAAAAGTTTTCAACTGAGAAAATGTTTATATAAACCTTGTGTACATTTTTGTAGTTGACTACTTTTTAATATCTCCACACACAGCTGAGATAAATCGTTCTCAACTGCTATTGTGGTTCTCTAGTGATCCGCTTTATTCAAAGCACTCTATCTCAACTGCCGGTGACGATATAGATAAATCGTTTTGAATAGACAAGTCTACTGTAGTCTCTAGTTTAAAGGAGCAGGCCACTTTCTTCATGAATTTTTCCAGCAAAAACGACGCGTGGACCTGATAACGATAGACGGATCGCCCGACTCTTTTCAGGGCGCCAAGAAAATGGTCTTCCTGACCGCCCGCGTTCATCCCGGCGAATCGCCGAGCAGCCACGTCATGCACGGTACGAAAACTGGAGGATAACTGAGAAATAATGAACATTTTTCTTTTCAGGAATAATCGAATTCCTCGTATCCGGCGACGAACGTGCTCAAAAGCTTCGCAAAGTGTACTGCTTCAAGATAGTGCCAATGCTGAATCCGGACGGAGTTTCGCTCGGAAATTATAGGTGGGCAAGTGCGAATCTACAATCTCCGCCCAAATTTTTGTTTGAGATGCTCGATAATGGGTCACGATTTGAATCGAATGTGGCGGAATCCATCGGAATGGGCACATCCGTCGATTCACGCCGTCAAGAACCTCCTGACGCAGTACGACAACAATCCGGTCCGTACTCCAACTTTTTAAACCCAAAAACATATTTCCAGCAAGCCCAAACAGTGCTCTACGTGGATTTACACGCTCACTCGCAGAAGCCCAATTGTTTTTTGTACGGAAATGTTTCGTTGACCGCTGTTCGTTTCGTTTCTTCTACTTGAGACCAGGGGTGTGCGGAAAATATTTCGATTTTCCGAAAATGTTTGGCAAAATTTTCGGAAAATTAGTGTGGATTCAAGGTCAATTTGTCCGAAACCACCGTATGCTTTTTAAAGGCGCATCACAACATTTTTGGAAGGGTCTAGCAGCGAGCGTCTTTTTAAATTTGATTCTAATTTTTTTGCAAAAAAATATTCCATTGCTTGGCTTCCGCCCACTCAAGTGATTTCAAATCATAATAAGCATTTTTTTGTATTAGAACGTTGTTTAAACACTTTATTGAACCAATGAACAAGTGAGTTTTCCGATTTTTCCGATTTTTCCGATTTTTCCGAAATTTTCCGAAAAAAAAAATTCGGAAAACCCGATTTTCCGAAATTTTCCGAAAAAAAAATTCGGAAAAACCGATTTTCCGAAATTTTCCGAAAAAAATTTTCCGCACACCCCTGCTTGAGACCCAACAATGTTTTTTCGACTTTTCAGGTCGAAGAAAAGTCGACGTCTCGTCAGTTGTGGCTCCCGCATTTGCTCGCCGAGCTCTCCGAGGACTACTCTCTCGAGTACACCCAGTTTAATACGGATGCCGAGAAGGCGGGCACCGGCAGACGGTAACAGAGACCAAAAGTGTACGCGTTTGCGCCTGAAAGAGTCGTTTTTAGGACAATGGGCGATCTGCTTTCATGCCTTTGCTACACGCTCGAAGTCTCATTTTTCTCCTATCGACACGCGGATTCGGGAAATGGCGCACAGCACTGTACACCGTATTTACAGTACAAATGTACAGTTACGAAAACAAAAATAGCTAGCTTTACCAATTAGTTTCAGACGAAGCCCTCGGCGAATCGTTCTGCCGGGCGCTGCTCAACTTCTACGAGGCCGACTGTGGTCTGCGTGACGTCGCGCTGGCTCGTCCGTTCAAATCGTTTCTGCCGTCGCGTGCGCAAAAAAGTCTGAAGCAGGCGCGAAAAATGATACAGACGGTGAAGAGTTTCGAGTGATTTTCACGAATAAATAAATATTGGATAATATCAATTTAATTGAAAAGTGTGTGTATGTGAAGAGGTTAGTCGAGTAATACTACAATGTCCGCGTGGAACCACACACACACACAATGAATGGCATAGCGCTGTTTTTAGGGGATGGGGCGAAAAGTGAATCAGTAAATGGAGAAGAAGAAAACAAGGAACATAACACAGTTTTGGGGGAGGAGAAACAATCGGTTAGATGCCACAAGAAGTCGAGAAAATAAATTAGTAAGGTGATTGTTCTAAACCGAATCCTCTCGGCTCATTTGCAACGGATTCACGTACTCGAAGCCGTCGAATTCGGACTGATCGATGCGCGCGATCACCGCCGGATTGTCCGGTGACAGTTGCGGCGGCTCGTCGGTGAACTGCAAAACGATTTATTTCAAAGGATTTTTGGCTACCCTACCTGATGATCAAAGTGCGTCAGATCCCTGTCGCTCTCGACGGCCGGATGGTAGGGCGGCGCGACGGCCTTCTGTTCGAGTGCCTCCCAGTCGATGGATCCGCGGAAGAACTGGTGCTCTTTCATGTCGCGCAGTCCCTCGTTGATGTCCAGTTTACAGCCGAGCCGCTCCGTCGGATCCTTGTTCAGGAAGCCGCGGAGGATGGCGCTCGCGCGGACGGACAGCGAGCGCGGGATGCGGATCTGACGCTCGAGGATCACCTGGAACAGGTAGTCCTCCGTGTTCTCCTCCACGTTGTTCTGCATGCCGACAATGTCGAACGGCGAGCGGCCGGCCATCATTTCGAACCTGCAAATGAGTGGAATCTTCTAGAGTATTGCCCGCCGAGAATCCACGTACATGAGCACTCCGAGTGCCCACCAGTCGACACTGAATCCGTACTCGTCGCCGCGCAAAATCTCGGGCGCAATGTAGTTGGGCGTTCCGCAGAACGTCGACGTCACGTCGCCCGCGTTCACATTCTCTTTGCACATTCCGTAGTCGGTCAGTTTGATGTGTCCCTCGGCGTCGATGAGCACGTTGTCCAGCTTCAGATCGCGGTAGATGATGCCGCGCGAGTGCAGGAAATGCAGCGCCAGTATTATTTCGCCGGCGTAGAAGCGCGCGTGCTCTTCCGGCAGTTTCCGTTGCTGCTGCATGTGGAACATCAGGTCGCCGCCCGGCACGAATTCAATGACGAAGAACAGACGCGATTCCGTCTGCAAACATCTTGTTTGATTTCTAGCAAAACTCTAGATTTCGCGCTCTTCACCAGCACCTCACGAGTCTCGCCTACCTGAAAACACGAGTGCAATCCGACGAGGAACGGATAGTTGGAGGCGGCCTCGAAGACCGATTTCTCCGTCTGGACCCAGTCGATGTCCTCGTCCTCATTGAACATTTCCTTCTTGATGATCTTTATAGCGTAGATCTGATGCGTGGCAATGTGCTCCGCCTGCACCACTTTCGCGTACGATCCACGTCCGATGACGGTCAGCAGACGGAAATCATTGAGCGAGACTGCCCACTTCGACGCGGCGCCTCCTGTCGCTCCGTTTCCATTCTGAAAAGTTTGATGATAAACGTGACGAAAAAAATGATGAAAAAGTGCAAAGCGGGGCCTACTTTTCTGCGCTTTTTCTTGTCCACAAGTGCGAAACATTGGCATAGAAACGGCATGAAAATGGATTGGAAATGGATTGAGAACTACGAATAAATGGGTGTGAAAGTCAGAAGAAGAAGAAGAAGGAGGAGGCAGGTGCAAAATATTGTAATCTTCTCATGCTCGCCGAAATTTGTGTGAGTTTGTGTGTGTGCGTGGGCACAAAAAAGCAAGAGAAGAGCAATTTTGGTCGTCATGGAGGTTTCTAGGCCATTTCGAAGGCCAAAATTTATAAAAATTTTAAATTGAAGTTCCAGATAAACTAGATACGATTTTGAAACGTTCTAATGGAAGAGCAAGCTTGTGTTTCTAGGCTCTTGACTAAAAATTGGGATCCACCGTGTACCTACCGTAACCCGTCCCGACTCGGGCGTCTCAATCTCCAGTTCCTGATACGCGCCGTTATCGATGCCAATCGGGCGGCTCGTCGACGATTCGGCCCTCGCGCGTGTCTCGCTGGCCGTCGGCGTCAATTGCGGAATGATCGGACCGACGGGCGTCTGCAACAAATGGATAATGTGCGGAAAATCGATCTCAGCGATATTGTACTCTTCTGTGTGGAATCTGTTTGAGCCAATAATTGAAGAACACCGAGAAACAGAACATTTTCGGCGGGGAAAGGGGAAGAAGAAGAATAATGAGCAGAGGGAAATTATATTATCCGAGTGCTTGTTTTTGTATCCTTTCCGTTCGTACCTGACCACAATGCGTTCGCACGTGCCGATGACATTTTTTGTGCACGCACAGACGGCAGTCGACGCATCGGAATCCCTGACGGCCGATGCCCCATATGTAGTCGTGGCAGATGAAGCACTGGATTCGTCTGCAAGTTTATTGGGTTTCTAGGCCACCGACTGGGAAAAGTTGGGCAATCATTTGAATTTGTGGTTTTTACTCATTTTGGAACAACTGTTTTTGGTCATTTTGTCGCGAGATTAATCTTTTGGGTTCCTAGGCCAGAAAACTGGAAATTAGGCGGTTTTCTGCCAAAATTCAATCATTTTCTGGGCTCACCGATTGAGCCGTTTCGCCTGGAATCGATGTCCATTGTACAAATAGATCTTTTTCCATCTTCGCGCGCCTCTTCTGTACACTGTTTCTGCAAAAAAGAACGCGATTTTAGCCGGAAACTTCGCGGAACGACGCACTATCCTCTCCCTGACACGGCAGTCCGGGCAGTTCGGGTTTGCCGACGAAGACGTGCACGTTGAGCTCGGCCTCCTGACTCGAATTCAGGCAGCGGACCGCCTCGTCGAGCTCCATCTGCGAATCGATCGATATCGGATCGCCGTCCTCGTCGATCCATTTCACCGTGATCTCCTGCTTCTGGTGCTGTTTGCACGCGTCGCGGAGCAGTCCCAGAAAGTCCGACAGGATCAGCGGCGGCCGCGCGTACAGCACCACAACCTGCAAATTTTTTTTTGTCAAAAAAGACACGTTTTTAAAGGTAATTTTTAATCTTTTTCGGGGCTGGGCAAAAGCTCTTCGAAGGCTTTTTTAGGCCTGGACTTTTGACCCGCTTGCAATTATCCGATTAGGCCCAAACTCTGCAGGTTTCTTGGACTTGGATTAAAGTACGTTGGGTCCGAGTTGCAGACCGATCCGCTCATCTGGTCCCGAGTTATGTGTGGATCAGAGGCCGAAAAGGCCGCAATTTTCGCAAAGCCACATATCTCAGGACCGGATGATTCGATCGGGCTGAAACTCGGACCCAATATACTTCAATCCGTGTCCAAGAAACCTGCAATGATTCGGTCCGATCGGATCATTGAAAACGGGCAAAAGTTATCAGCCGAAACTTGCCCAGCCGTGATCTTTTGTGAAAAACTGTAGGAAAATCGAACTTTGATGTATTTTTGGGAATAAGTGAGAGAAAAGTCTTGAAATCTCGTCTTTATTTGAAAATCACCTGTCCCTGAAATCGAGTCTTCAGTTTGATGTCGCCCTCCTCCTCCAACGACGTCGGCGACGACATTTATCTGGAAAAAAATGAACTTTTCCGCACGATTTCAAGCCGAATCAAAGAAAATGCTGTGTTCAAATCCACGTTTTCTGTGCCGCAAAAACACTTTCCTACAGATTTTTCCAGCCAAAAAACTGCAAAAGAACCGGAATTTTTGCCGTTTTTGCGGCGCAAAGGGGTGTGAAATAACAGAAAAAATGAATGCAAAACAGTTCCGAGCGGCGGTGTAGAGTGATAAAAATGAGTCATCGAGAAGTTTGTCGGTTGAAAATGCGCTCCACCGCACACTCGCTTTGCGTACAGTTCTTTCTTTCCATCACGGAGGTCAAGCCGAGACGAGAGAAGAACAAAAAGGGAGACAAAAAGAGAGGAAGAGAGAGAGGAGGTCACACACAAACAGACCGCGCACGGCCGACACGGGCGGTCTAAAGAAGAAAATGGAGGGGGGAAAAGAAGGAGAAAAAAGTATTAGGGAGAAGAATCGACACACTTTTTCGAACGGTTTGAGGGCAGAAAACTCGAGACCTTGTACGTGGATATCATCAACTTTATTCAAACTTTTTCTGGGGGTGGGGATTAAAACATCAGCGGATAAATACTAGACGGTTAGTGCTTGTTGAAGTACTCCTTGCTCTCCTTGATTCCCGGCTTGATCGTGTCGGATCCCGGGGTCCAGCCGGCTGGGCACACTTCTCCGTGCTTCTCGACAAACTGGAACGCCTGCACGAGACGGAGGGTCTCGTCGACCGAACGGCCCACCGGCAGGTCGTTGATCGTGATTTGGCGCAGGTTTTGTTGCGGGTCAATGATGAAGAGCCCTGAAAAATTCAAGTTTTGACTATTAGAAAAAGAGATGGGTGGGATAGCTTGTTTTGTTACAGTTTACCAAGAGCTAATGAGCCAGAGTAAGTTGGCGCAAGGGCTTAAAACATTTTATTGAGCTAGGCAACCTAAAGCTACTACTCGAATATCCAATTTCATCCATTTTTGGTGGCGCACTTCGGCACAAGTTACTCAAAACTATGAAACAACGGAAATGCGCACTAGAAACTACATTTTTCCGATCCAATACCACGCTGCAAAAATGTGTTTCCATCACCAACTGACTCTAGTTTTAGCAAACTTGCGAAGCCTTAGACTGGCCCGTCAAAGCTCTGATTTTTAGAGATCGTAAGCTCAAATACTCTTAAATTTTCAATCCTCTAGCAAACTTTGTCAGTCCACACTGGGAAACTTGAAGTGCATCTTCAAATTGCATTCCCTGTAGCCATTCATTTAAATTTTCGGGTGCTTACCACGGAAGGCGATGCCCTCGTCCTCCTTGAGCACTCCGTAGTCGCGCGAGATCTGGTGGTTCGTGTCGGCGATCACCGGAATGTTCATCTCGCCGAGACCGCCGTGCTTGCGTGGCTGGTTTATCCAGGCCAGATGCGAGAAGGCCGAGTCGGTCGAGGCGGCCAGCACGACAGTGTTGATGGCCGCGAAGTCGGCGGCGCGATCCGAGAACGCGATGATCTCAGTGGGACAGACGAAGGTGAAGTCGAGCGGGTAGAAGAAGAGCACGACGTACTTGCCCTTGTAGTCGGACAGCGACACGTCGACGAACTCGCCGTCGACGACCGCCTGGGCCTTGAATTGCGGGGCTGGCTTGCCGATGAACGCCTTCGACATCTACAATATTCAAAGTTTCGGAAAGCTCGTGGCGTGACCCAACAACAACAGACGACACAACGACAAAATCAAAAGGGGAAACCTTGCGCGCGCGCGCACGCACCGATTGAAAACAAAAAAGGAAACGAAAATGAAGGAGGAGAAGGAGACGGGCGGTGCTTATCTAATGGGAACGAGATAGCGAGAGGGTCTAGACACGATTTGATGACAATTTCCGAAAAAAAACTGGGAAAGTACGAGTTAGTCGTTTTTTGAGGTTGTTATGGAAGTGGCGAGGGGTTCCGGCGGCTTTTCGAAAAACATATTTTCTACACGAATTTGTTTTGAAATAGGCAACTTTTGAGAGGGGGAAAGGAAGTGTTGATAACTGAGAAATGGCGTGTAAATACCTTCGGAGCAAGCGACATTACTCTAGGCTGAAAATGTGTCATTTTAGATGACAAAACATGAAAATTGCGATTTTGCATCACCCAGAAAGGACACTTTTATACACTTGTCCCGGCAGAACAACAAAAGTTTCGTTTTCATCATCACATGACGCCACGAGATGACAATTGGCCTACAGACTACAACGTAGAAAAAAGTGGGCGGCGCGTCGAAATTTCACTGTTTATCCATTGATTCATACAAATTACCTGTCTATACATTGATTCGCCGGCAATAGAACTGGAATTTCACAGAATTTTAAAGACGAGTCGGGCGAAAACGCTTTTTTGGGCAAAAATACGCAAAAATGTTATCACGGGCGGTTGCTATGGCTTCTCTGCATAAATAAATGCATGGCTTTTGAATTTTCCGCCGCTGAAATCGATTCTCCGGCGGAAAAACGGGCAGCGCGAGCAAAAACCGAAAATCGGCTGGCGCGGCGCCGTCGATCAATAAAAGTGTGTGCGCCGGCCCTGCGGCGTCACACGAGAACGAGAGATGATGCAAAAGTGGTAAACAAGTCGAAAATCTGCGAGGCGCCCCAAAAACTGACCTGTCCTCCTAAAAACGGGAAAATTCTGGCGGTTTGCGGCGATGCTGAGGTCAAAAATGGGCAAATGAATGAAAATTGAGAAGTCTGAGTGCGGAAACACGAAACTTTCGTGTTTGTTGTCCAACTTTTGCGATTAAATTGCAACAAAAAGAGCGCGCGCCCATTGAAATTGAATTTTCGCGCTGAAAAAACTACAAAAGTACGCAAAATTGACGTGACGTGTTTACACACTTTGTTTACAATGTCAACCGTAATCTCCTGTCGGAAAAAATTAATAAATTAGGAAAAACTCAGAAAAGTCCCGTTTTCTGCGGAAAAATCGTGCTTGAATTGAGAACTTCACGTTAAGAATGCTGAATACTTTATTTTCAGGTCCAAAAATATCAGCAAACAAGCAAATTCTGCAACAAACCCTACAAATTTGAAATTTGGCCTTAAAAAAAAATTATTTTTAGCTTTTAGCTGTTTTCTGCAAACAAATTAATAGAATGGACGAGAGATTTACGGCCACAAAGTCGCCAGAATCATAAAAATCAAGAAAAAAACAGAAAATATGTATTTCAACCCAAAACCACATTAAAGCATCACAAAAATTTCAGTAAACTCTTAAAATTACAACAAAAGCGCATTTTGAACGATTTTATCCAAATTCCGGGCAAACGCCTTGAACGAGAACTTGTACTGCACCCATCTCGGTCCCTCCTTGCTCAGTTTCAAGTATTTCTCCTCGTTTTCCATCAACTCCCTCATTTTTTCGGCGAACGCTTCGGCCGTCTGGGGCACCAGATATCCGGTCTCGTCGTCGCGCACCGATTCTCGTGGTCCTACAAAAATTTGGGTGTAAAACCACAAAAATCGTATACCTCCAGTATTGACGGCGATGACGGGCGTTCCCAAGTACATGGCCTCAACGGGCACAATTCCGAAATGCTCGCGATCCGGAGTGTACAGAATCGCTCGGCTCCGTCGGATCAGATTGATTTTCTGCGAATCGGACGGCGATTTCAGAAAATTGACTTGGGAAACGGGCAGATTGAGGTCGGACAGATGCGCGGCGAGCTCTTCGAAATGCTCAATGTTCTCGCGATTCTTCCGATCGTATCCGCCGGCGATTACCAAATGACACTTGGAAAACTCGTCCGCCGACACCTGTTCTCGCAGTTTTGCTGAAATGTAACTCGGTGCCTCCCTGCATTTCTCCAGACAATTTCTCCGCGTTTTGACGGATAATCAGGAAAAAAAGTGCGGAAAAATGAAGGAGGCGTAATTAAATTTTGCGTAACTACTAACCGAACGCGTCGAGCGCCAACATCACATTCTTCTTGCGTTCGAATCGGTTCAACGAGGTGAAGACGAACGTGGCCGAGGCGGGAATCTCGGCGTTGATGTCTTCCGAGTACGGTATTCCGTCGAAGAACTTGGTGTTGAGCGACGGATAGAGCACGTTGAGCTCGTGGGTGTTGAGCGACGGGAACGCGCTGCGAACGACGTTCTCCGTAAAATGACTGTTCACACAAATCGCGTGCGCCAGACCGGTCGTGTGCTCCTCAATCGAATCGATAATCCGTCTGAAGACACTGAGATTGCGTACTTCCGCCGGCCACCGTCGTACATACCTATAAAGTGCCTTCGCGGCGCCGTCTCGTTTTGTAAGCAATTTATCAGGAAAATGACAGTAGAAGATGAGTTTGGCGCGCGAGAAATGACGGAGAACAAGCTGGCTGGCGGAGACGGTGTCCGACAGGATCACATTCGAATCGGGAAACTTCCAGACGATGTAGAGTGCGGCGATGATCATTTTAAGGTAGGCGAGCAGCGCGTGCGCTTTTCCGAATATTGATCGCGGCATCCATTGGACGACTGTCGTGATGTCTACAATGGAAATTAGAGGTTTTCGTGGCAAGACCCGCGTTTTTCACAGAAAAACACGATTTCACTGTCTAAAATTTCCATTTTCTTACCTAAATCGTTGGTCTCCCGAAAACAGTGATTCGGATTGTACTGATTGGTGACGACACGTACAGAATATCCTCTTTCCTGCAACGCGACCGCCGCGTCGACAATCAGCCGCTCGGCGCCGCCGATTCCGAGATCCGGGTGCAGAATGACCACTTTTACCATTCCGCCTACCGCATTTTTCAACTGTTTGGCGAAAGTTCGGGAAAAGGTATGATAATTGAGAAAAATACAGCACAATTTCTGGAAAAGGATTCGTAAACTACAAAAACTGGTTCATTTAACACGAGAAACGGGGAAAACACAGGGGGGTGCACAACCTAAAACGATGGAAAAATACACTAAATATGGCAAAAACTGTGAACAACTGGGGAAAATCTGAAATTTAGAGAGCCTTGAGGCAATCGTCGAGCAGCGAAGAGGCTCCGATGCGGAAGAGCGTCGGGTTGAGCCATTCGTTTCCGAGAATCTGCAAATATTGTCATTTTTACGTGGAGAATTAGGAGGAGGAAAGGTGTTATTTTTTTTGACAACTTTTTCAAGGACCAGGCCCCCTCTATCAAAATCTTCGAGTGCAACACGTACATCTTTGACGAGGGCGACGTAGGCGAGTGCCTCGTCGACAGTCTTGATTCCTCCGGCCGGCTTGAATCCGACTCTTTTTCCGGTCAGTTCGAACCACCGTTTCACGGCCGTGCACATCACGTACGCCACTTCGAGCGTCGCGTTCACCGTCTCCTTGCCCGTCGACGTCTTGATAAAGTCGGTGCCGGCGAGAATCGACGCCCAACTCGCTTTGTAGACGTTCGAAAGGGTCTTCAGCTCGCCCGTCGCCAGAATCGTCTTTAAATGCGCCGATCCGCAGGCTTTTTTGCACGCGAGCACCTGAAAATTTTGAACATCGCCAAATTTAGTCGCATTTTTTTTCCCTAATTTACCTCGTCATGAACCGTCTTCCAGTCCTCTTCCAAAGCGGCCGCTCTGCTGATGACAATATCGATTTCGGTGGCTCCGTCGGCGACGGAGAGCTCCACCTCAAGCACCTTCGACTGAATGTGGTACTGTCCGGAGGGGAATCCGCCGGCGACGCCCGTGATTTGCGTGCTTTGGCCCGACTCTTTCAGATACTTCTTCACGTCCTTTATGCGTTGCGGATAGACGCACACGGATCCGCAGTGGATTGATGGGTCCGTCGGAATCGGATTTATCGCCCGCTTCGTCACCGCCACCACTTTCGACGCCGTGTCGTCGCCGTTCAGCGTCGTCAGGTCGATGTACTGGATGACTTTTCGGATTTCATCCTTCTGCAATGTTAAAAAATAAATTCTTATTTTACAAAATCGGGAGAAACCCAGCTCACTCACATTTCTCAAGGTCTTGGCCTCCTGCTCGTACTTGTTGATGGCCTGCGCGATTTCCTGGTTGTCAAAGTCGCGTCCGACCTCTTTTTCGAACGTGGCCACGTCGAAACGGTCCTTGTAGGTGTCGCGGACGAACGAGAAGAGCGTCGGCACGATTGTCGCCATTTTTAATTCTGAAAATGTGTATTTCAACTAGATTTTGAGCGCAAAAGTGGGGGAAAATACGTGGGAAACCGAGCAAATTCAAGAGCAATGGTGCAAACACTTTTACGCGAAATTGCAGAAATATAAGGGTAGGTGAATTAAATTGATGCAGAAATTTGGTGATCAAAGCTTTGGAAAAGCGTGAGAAATAGATAAACATCAAAAATCGGGAAATTGCGTCCAAAGCGTCAAAAATAAATTTTTCGGCAATTTTCGCACAGACACGTGTGGAAACTGATAAAATAATGCATTGCAACTGATAAGGAAGTTACAAATGGCCTCATTTGGGCAAACCGATGAGAAGATGACCGTGATCCGCTTATCATGGCAAAGGTCACTTTTTGATGGGAAATCGTGGAAATTGGACACTATTTACGACAATGAAATTTAACCGGATTTGGTGCGGATGGAACAAATAAAAATCGATGGACTGGAGGATTTTTCGAGAAAGCGAGAGAGCGTAAGTTATTGAAAAAATAAAATTTCAAACAGTTTTCGGGTTTAATTGGTAATTTCCAGAAAAATACAAATAAGAAGTGCCTTTTCACTCGAAAAACGCATTATGTTTCAGAGTAACCGCAAAAATCGTTTCGGCGAAGAACAAAAAAGCGCAGAAGTGGACATAAACGCATTTTTCGACGACAATACCATGTCATCCAGCTCCTTAAACGACGATTTGTCCGCTCTGGACTCCCCGGACTCGGCACCATCCGAAAACGATTAAAAAACCAGGAGCCGGAGCGCACGGAGCCCGAGCAACCGCCTTCGATCAAAGCGGAACCGATGAAAGTGCCCGAAATTGTGATTTTGCGTCAAAAATCCGGCAAAAGGCCGAAAATCGAGCATCGGAGCTCTTCCCAGTCGAATTTCGCTCAAAAACCGTATGAATGGGCTCTGAACACTTTGTAGTGTTCGATTGGGGCCGAGGCAGATTCTGGAGCACCGTTGACAGTGAAAAGAGGGAATTCCGAGCGGCCGGCTGCGGAAAACCGACCGACGAAGCAGTTGAGAAGCCGTGATTCTGTCGGATAATACAATTCCGCTTTTTTTTAAATTTTCTCATGTAAACTAGTAACTCTTGTTCGATTCGATTATATTGTTTTCTCATTCTTTTTCCTAATTTTAATACTTATATAAAATTTCCCCAAGAGCACGCTAACGCGTTCGGCTTGCGCGTTTCGCGTGCGTTGGCGCATTTCTCGTTCTTTCACCAAATATTCGATTTTTCCTTTAAAAAAATGCAGCATGAGGCGGATTTCGACGAAGAAGAGTATTTTATTATCCGTTTTAAAGGACCGAAAAAGGTTAGGGATGAGATTTTTGATTATATTGTAAGTACGACTTTGTTTCGGTAAAAACTGAATTCTGTTGAATTCAGAACGGAAAGTCGGCGGATTACTATCAATATTCGCGAAATTTAGAGGATATGGAAATGGCGAGAGCCAGGAATTTGAAAGAGTTGTTCGGAGACAAACCAGTGGCGGTCAAGGAAGGTAAAAAGCATTTCAAAAATGTTTTGCCGCCCTAAAAACGCCTTTTCCAGAGCCCGCCGACGTCGATTTTTCGGGATTGCAGAGAGAAGTGAAACAAGAGATTCCGGACGAGGATCCGCAAGAATTCGAAGCCCCGCCCCCTTCTAAATGCGATAAGAATCCGAAAAAACGAAAAATTCCGGCCAAAACCGCTTCATCTTCCTCCGCACCAAAACAACGACGTTCTAGAATGTTAGCATCTTTCAAAAATTGCCGTCTTTCAAATAGCAAACTCAGAACACGTAATATTGCGTCAAATTTGGACAAAATGTTCAATTCTTCAAGCGGCGCTCCGACGACGTTTTCTGAACACACAACGATGCGAGTAAGACGAGATAGAAGTGGTAAAAATTGCAATTTTTCGTAATTTTTTCAATTCTCGAAAAAACTTCAGCTCATCCACGCATCGATTTATGGGCGGATCGTGACAATAGCCGGCAGTGGCTCAGCGAACAGTCGTTGGTAAATTCGGGCGCTGGGCAAATGTTCGGCCCAGGCTCTTCAAGGCCCGGGCTTTTGACCCCAAACTCTGCAGGCTTTTTCGACTTGGATTGAAGTATGTTGGGTCCGAGTTTCAGAACGATTGGACTATCTGGTCCCGAGTTATACTGGTTTGAGGCCAAAAAGCGGATTATCCGATCGGTCTGAAACTTGGACCCACTATACTTCAATCCAAGTCCAAGAAGCCTGCAAAGTTTGGATCCGATCGGATCCTTGCAAGTGGGTCAAAGGTCCAGGCCTCAAAAAGCCTGCTATATTAAAATTGAAGAGGAAAAGGAAATATTTTCAGAAACGCCATCACATTTCTTTCGAGCGCAAAAAGTAATTGGAAACCAATGGATCTCGTCAATTCTTTGAAAAACTTCTTTCCACACACATACATATAAATGATAATCACAGCAATAGTTTTAAAGTGGCCTCATTTTGGCAAAACGATGAGAAAAGACGGGGAAAGATGACCGTGATCCGCTTATCATGGCAAAGGTCACTTTTTGATGGGAAATCGTGGAAATTGGACAGAATTATTATGCGTCTCTCTTGAGTCGCGAGATGAAGTCCGACTTGAAGACGTTGGCCATTCCGAAGCTCGGCAGCCACTCGGAGCTCTCTTGCTGTCGGAGGGCGAACAGCTGGTCGAATATCGGGTCTTTCGGATGGAATTGCACGTGCTGCAGCACCTCATCGGCCAGGCTCCGCGCGTCCGATCGTCCGACGTCGTCGCGGCTCGCGAGGATCGCCGCGAGCAATTCCGGCGGACAGTTGGCGAACTTGCGGGCGAACGAGGTGGCTTCGAGCGAGAGCAGCGACTTGTCCTTTAGCGAAATCACGTCTCCGGCCGCCGCGACGATCGACGTCAGGATTGTCAACTGGAAAATGAAAGATAGTGTTGTTGGGGAAATTTTTGAACTTTTGACCCACTTGTAGCAATCCGATTGGACATGGATTAAAGTATTGTAGGCTAGAGTTTCAGCATCTGGTCCCGAGATATGTTGATCAAATCACTGTATCCCGGGACCGGATAATCCGATCAGTCTGAAACTCGGATCAAATATACTTCAACCCAAGTCCAAGAAGCCTGCAAAGTTTGGTTCCCATCGGATTATTACAAGTGTGCGCCAAACAAATTTCAGACCGGCGGCATTCCATTTAACAGTAAAATTGGTCAAAAGTTTCCAATGCATTCCGGCTACCTGATCAGTGAGATCCTGATGCGCCGCGAACTCCGAGTACAAACGATCCAATTTGGCGACGTCCGACTTCATCTGTTTTCCGGCGGCCGCCCGTTCCTCATAAGTGGTGAATGTTAGGCGTCTGAAAACGGTTTTTTCTCAAACATTTTTCTGCAAAAAAAGACGTACTTGGTCTCGATGGCCTTCAAGTATTCGCTGACAATCCTAAACTGTAGGTCCATGAGAAGGGCGGCGCGGGTGACCGGACGCAAGTGTTTGTGATCGTGATAATAGTCGGAGATTGTCATGCAAATCGTCTCGAGCGCCGCGCTTCCGGTCAACCTGAACAAAAACAGACTTTATCGATAAATTTATCCGAGAAATGTGTCCACGTTTTATCGATAAACGTATCGATATACTCAAACTTGTTGAAGTCGCATCGATAAATCTATCGAAAACTGATACCATTTTTTGGAGAACAGCTCCAAGAGGCTCGGTGCAATGTCGGTGATCACTTCTTCGCGTAGATAGTTGACCCTAAACACATTTTTTTTTCGCTTTTTCAACTTTTCAATTGTCCCCAGTGAGGTTGATGACGTGTCACATGTTCCGCCGCGCAAAATCGTACAATAATCACTATTTTCCAGAATCGCCTCTATTGTTCAACTACTAGAATTCAGCCAAAAAACTGTGATGCTCTCGCCGCGAAGACTGGTACTGTGTTAAAGGCGCGTCTGACCTTGGCGGCTATTTACCGTAATCCATTAGCGATCCATTCCCGTCTCCCGAAGACTCCATTAAAAATTATAACTCTCGACAATAACAACGATTTGTCGACGGTCCGCAAGACACGCCCCTATTTCTTTGTTCACTCAATTATTGGCGCGCGCCTATAAAACCCTGGCCCGTGCACAATATTGTCGTATTCGGTGCTACTGTCTAGCTAGTCCAAAGTGTCGAAAAATGAATGCATCTTCTGAACGTTGACTGGGGCACTTTTTGAGCGATTTGTAGACAAAAAGTGGCATGTCAACGGTCAGAAGGGGCGCTTTTTCAAGCACTTTCTAGTATTCTAACACAACTAAAGTGTGCTCAAACTGCCGGACACTAGATATCGAAACCGTTCCCTAGAGATTGTGCGGGACTTTTGACACCTAGTTGCAATAGTTGAATCGGTCCAAAACTTTGTAGGCTTCTTGGTAGTTGATTGAAGAATATTGTGACCGATTTTTTTCGGATCGATTGGATAATTTACTCTCGAGATATGTGGATTGCAAATGTCTTTTCGCGCTCTCTGGTTTGAAAATCGCTTCCACATGCATTCCAGTTGCAAAACGTCCCGCTTTTTATACTCTGCAACAAAACAGGCGCCTGTTCGACCAGCCTAGCACTGTCTGTTCTCCTCAAACCCCACGTCATCACCCTCTTCTCTGTTCCAGATCGCTTACGCAACAGAAGCGGCGTTGCTCCAGCGCGTGTTCAACGCATCCATGTTCTCAATCAACTGCTGCTGCGTGACGGCGATGCGTCCACGGCCCGCCGGTGCTCCTGCGCTCGTCGCGGCTCCTCCGCCCGTCGCGTACTCCTCGCCGCCCTCCATCGACAGTCGAATCTGCTGCATATACTTTTCGGTCGACTCGATGCACGTGTGCAGGTTGTTGGCGACGGCGATCTGAACAAGAATGTGTGCGTGTGTGTGTGTGTGTGTGTGAGGAGAGGGGAAGTATAATGATAATTATATGTATACGTCGAAAATTCATAATGGCCTAAAGCGCGGAGAGCAGCAGACGATCAGAGAGAGAAGAGTGCACGTGAGCTTTGTCTTCTCTCCGTTTATCACCTGATTTGGGCTCTGCGGGTCTCGCAGCGAAATCTTCAAGCTCGACGTGGTGCGCCTTTAAACTTTTAGGCCTCGAATTTTCGATTTCAAGTTCGCAAAAAGTGCACGATTTTAGCGGCGGCTTCTAAGTGAAAATTTTCAGATTTTCCCGTAGTGATTGACTGTTTTTCACTAAGAAACGTGGTATTTGCACGTTTTTCCCCAAATTCGAAGACTAAACCTACCATATTCGATGTAAACTCTTGAAACTTGCCACGTTCCGTAAAATAGTCGGTTTTGAAGGCGGTGAACGCGTCTGTAAGCCCAAATATTCATTTTATGAACGCGTGCTCATTCATACCTCGATACTTGCCGGCCAACGCGTGAAACTCCTCAATCGTCAGATTGATAATACTCGGAATCACCTCGACTGACACCTCTTTTGCCAGTGTCACCTGTAAATTTTCAAATTTGTAGGAAAATGGTGAATGATTACGACGTCGTGCGCGAGTCAATCACCCTGACGTTCGCCGCAAACGGTCAACAGGGAAAACGTCTTGTGTTGACTGCCATGGTTCGTTTAAAGCCCCGCGCTATTATCTGCTAGCGGCATTTGACTGCAATCGCGCCGAATTCACGTGGTGTGCGGTAGAGCGTGATTGCACTCAAATGCACCCACTAATTCCAGGACCGAACGCGTCACGAACCCAGTGAGGAGACTTTTGACATTCTCAAAATGCTGGCACGTACTCAAATGATGAACATGAGTCGCGAGATCATTTCGCGCAATTCGAGCCCTCCGCCAAAACACGATTTGGACAGCATTGAGCTGCGCGTGCACGCCACGAAGAGTTTGTGCGACGATGTGGCGCAGGTGCTGCTCGGCCACAAGTTCATGCCGTTGGGCATGTGGATGTGGCTCGTCAACAGCGAGATCGTCTACGTCGCCCCGCACATGTCACCGCCCTCGTCGCCCGCTTCCGGACGTTCTCGTCGCGACTCGTCGAGACGCTCTTCAAGATCGAGACACTCGTCGGCGAGTCCGCCACGAAAGTCGCCGCGTGTAAGTGAAATGGAACACAAATCGCGTGTTTGTGCTCGGTATTTCGGGTCAAGTTGACAAAACAATTCATGTAATTACCGAGCACTATGAAAATTTCCAGTTTTTGCAGGTTGAGGAAAATCACGAGGAGGAAGAGGAGGGAAACCCGGAGGATGAGCAGGATCCAGAGCCGCAAGACAAAGTCGGTCGTCCGGGATCTTCATCGCCTCGCCAAGAGCCGCAAATCGAAGGAGCTGGACCGTCGAACGGCACTGAACAGGTAGTGTCCTCCGGTTGCTAAAACGGACAGTGCTAAAACGCTAGTGTTTGCAGGATTCCACTGCTGCCCAATAGGCGCCACCCGTCGTCTTCCCACCTCCATCGCTTCGCCCAATCGATATTCTACAATATTCGCTCGTGTTTCAGAGCGTCACTCTTCTATCCGCATTCAATATCGTACAATTATGTCTGAATATCCTCTATTCCCCCTATTTCCCGTCTAAAAATAAAGCAATTATCAGCGAAACCGACATATTCTATTGTTTTCCTTTTCAACAAACTTCCGGAAGTCCCGTTTGATCCCGTTTTTCAATAATTCCAGTGGGAAAACTAAGAAAAATTCATCAAATTCGCGTTCTTCGTCATCGGGGCAAGAATAATTCGAATCGGAAATCGATGCTGACGACTCATCCCATTCACGTGCACATTTCCAGGCACGACAGATCTTTGCTTCAGAAATGGCAATACAGACAGTCTGGATCTCTGCACTCGACGGGTGCAAATCCGGGCGTGAGAAATTTCCAAAATTCTCAATTCTCTTTGCGCAAAGTCCCCCACGCACTTCACCTATTTTCGGTCCTCGTTTCTCTCTGACGCTTGTTCAAAGACCAATTTCGATAAATGGAAGGAGCATTCATCTTTCAGGAAAAAAAAACGCTCAAATCCCATTTCCCCTGCTGCTGGTGGAAATTGACACAAAAAATGGCGGCGTTTCGCCGTGAGAACGGAAATTGGATTCTTCGCCGGGGGGGTTCTCTGGCCTACAGTAATCCCTCTTTTTCGGCGGGGATTCGCGCATTCTTAACTAGTGTGTTTCAGAAGCCAATTATTTTGATGTTCGATGAAGCCAAACGACAAACAGTTGCGTGTTTTGTCATGCCAATGAAATAATGTTCGCACTTCCGGAACCTGACATCATTTCGACGAGTCGACGAATTTCCGAAAAGAAAACATTGCCAATTAGTGCGTCGTGGTGCGTTTGCGTGCGCATTTCAGATCATTTTTTGTGTGATGCAGAAATCCGACACTTTGCAACTAATGAGATAAGAAGCGAAGCTTCTGGAGCCCCCCCCCCTTTTCAGATGACGAATCTCTCTCTCTCTCTCTCTCACTCACTCACTTTCACCGTGTCATCCTTTGTTGTCGTCTGCACTTTGTGGGTGTGCTCCAGAATCGTTAACGATGGTGCGTCGACCAACTTTTTTAATAATGCGCAGTTCTGCTTCCCATTCCCATTACGTTGATTAGTCGCTGTTTTTTTGTTCTCTCGAGAAAGGTGAAATTATGAGCACCAATGATTGGATAATGAGTGGGAAAAATTGAGCAAGTGTATAGTCGAGGGGATTAGAGACGCCCACGCACGCACTTTGCGTGATTACGATTGGAGAAGGTATAAAAGGAGCCGTTCGGGCGGGGCTTTCAGATTTCCAAACTTGTTTCATCAAACTTTTTCGGGTTCAAGAAAGCTTCGATTGTAGACTTTAGAAGTCCGAGGAGCATACGTGGATCCTATTGAGGGCTTTCAAACTTTTCGAAAATCAATCGTCGGCTTTAGTTTTAACTATGCAATGTTTCGATCAATTTGTTGCAAAATGTGTAAAGATGAGCGCTTTTAGATACGAAAAAAAGACGGTGTTCTCACAAATTCCCGCCCAATTTGTAGTCCGTTTGGGTCGATACTATCCAAACTGCAACGCCAGTCTGTTCAGGCCTACGGGCTTAGGCCCAAACTTTCAAGGGAAAGTGTTCTTGTTGCAAAGCCGTCCTCGCGCATTGGCCCCGCCCATTTTTTGCGTTTACGCCACGCCCACTTGTTGCTTCTTCGGCAAGCGAGAAAGTGAAACGAGACTCATTTTATCCAGGAAGACTGCTTCTTCTCGGACGCCCCCTCCCCCCCGACGACATCATGCACGGCTCTATTGTATTTCTGCTTTGTGCGCTTCTGGCCGTTCAGGCCAACGCATTCTACTTGGTACGTTAATCGAATTATCATCGTAACCTTTTCGAAAGTTATTATGGGGCTTCTTTTTAATTAAAAGTTGAATATTGTCGCTTTGCAGTTCTTCCCGCAGGCCAACGACCGCATAATGGCGCTAGAGGTGGCCGATCAGGCGGCGGCCGCCCGTTATCCAGTCCTCGAAGATCCGCGGGAGGAGCAAGAGGAGGAGGAGGAGCCGGTGATGACCGCCAAGAGAACGTCGGCGGGTACGTTGCATTTTCGCTCGATTTCAAGGCCAAATTTCTCCGTTTTTGTTTGCAGGCAACTCGCTGCGTCGTCGCTCGGCCGAATCGTACCACTGCCCGTGCCTGCACAAGGTGTGCACCTATCACTGCATGACCAAGTAACACACCATGGCTCCAGTACTAATTCTCGCTCTGTTACTAACCTCCCCCCTCGCCGTATAATGTAGCTCTTTTTCAATCGGAAAGCCACGAGTAGTCCACCAAGCAGAAAATGATTTAAAAAATGTCGATGTCGACTCAAAACTCCCCATCCCCCCCTGATTCTGATTCTTTTCGTTCGTTCGTTCGTTCGTTCCACTCTTTTATGTAATGATCTTTTTCTGGAGATTTAGAGATCCCGAGCGTTTTTTCCTCCCCTCCACTGAAACTCCTTGATGCAGAGATGATTCCACTTCCACACACACACGCACACACACACAAATAAAGATGTATTGTTGATTTTTACTTGAAATTCTCTCCAACTGATGTCAAACATCGCTCACGTCATGTTCGTTTGTGCAAAAATGGTGCGGAATCGCACGTAGTGCGCCCATCCGCCGAGAGATGAGTTCCATGTCAGATTATGGGTGTACTCCGGCTGCTCGCGAGTAATGCCTTCATCATTTTAGATTCCAAGAGGTACGTGTGTTTGTGGGTGTGTGTACATTGGTCGAGTTCTCAGATGCTCCAGAGTGATAGCCTAGCAAGTGAAAGTAATTGTTTTCAGGTTCGGGTACGTTCGCTAAAACCAATCGTGAGCAAGTTTTCAAAGTCAATTCCGGTAGTACCTTTACATTTTTGTACTAGCAGCTTTGATTTGAAAAGTCATTAAAAATGAGGCCAGCAGACTCTGACAGCGCCAAAAAATGCTCACCTGGTCCCTAGTACCACCCTGAAGATACCCAAACCTTCAACTTTTCAAACATAAAACCCATTAATTTTCCCTTTCCAGGTCAAAATGGTGTTCCTTCGCAAATGACAGAAAAACACGGAAGAAGCATATATACTCATAAAAATGCAGCCAAAAAAACAAGAAACGTCATTTGTGCGGCGTCAACTTCCTCGCGAACCTTTTCAAATACTCCAAGTGCTTCGGTTCTTTGTGCTGCACAAAAGAGAGAGAGAGAGAGAGAAAAAAAACGAAAGATACTACTACCACCACTACTAATTAACCAGCCCCCATCACAAGTGGCGTCACTTGTGTGTGCCGATCCAATTTTTCGCGAGAAAAGGGTTCCTTCGAGCACTTTATCTTCTTCTTCTTCTTCTTCTTCTTCTATTATCCATTCAAGAAAAAAGAGATAGACTGTGGTGCTCCCCGTTTTTGAGATGTTAATTCAATTATACGGGAGGGGGGTAACCGCCCACTGCTCATGATGATGATGATGAAAGAAGGGAAAATTGTTTAGAATGAAGAAGTGATTCACTTGTTTTGTATTAATGGCGGTTAAGGGGATTTTGAAGAATCTTGAGCTAATCCGTTCAAGTTTTCCAGAATCTCATTGAGTCCAGATCATGCAGACAACAGCCTAAAGTCGATAAACATTTTCAGAAAAGAGTTCCAATCATTCCACTTTGCACGCATCTTCAGAATTCTATTGAATTTGTGCTGTTGAAGCGGGCGGGCGGCGAGGGAGATACCATTTGAGCGAGGAAAAGTCCAAAACGTTTTGGAGCTTCTTCTGACTTCAAAATAATTCTGTCCAGAATGGTCTGAGAGCCACAAAACCACACACACACAGGAATATTGTGTGCTTTCGACTCCAATCGCCTTCAGCATACAAATTCTTCGCCAATTGCCAATGGGGTAGGTCAATTATTCACTTGATATTTGCAATAGAAAGCGGGGGATGCAGACGAATTGTCCTTTGCCATTCATCAGAGCGGAGAGCAAAAGGCCGGCCCAGGCTTTTCGAGGGCTTTTTGACGGCACACGACTAGTTGCAATGTTGCGGTTGGACCCAAACTTTACAGGCTTCCGAGAGTATTATGTGGCCAAGTTTCAGATCTATCTGATCATCTGGTCCCGACATATACTGGCGTGTCTTCAGAATGCTTCAAATCGTATCAGACTGCTACAGAATGCTACACAATGTTCTAGAACGCTTCAAAACTCATGAGGCCAAAAATAGCGCGGTCCGTCTCACTAATATTGTCGGCGGCTAATCCCAGAATCTCCGCCGACGTTTTCTCCAAAATTGGCTCAATTCTGTGAGGAGCCGCCCGTGAATTCCATGTGAATGTCGACCGACTGGGATGACGTAGTCCCGAAGAGTTTGTGACAAAAAAAAGTAGTTTCTCCCCCCGTAGAAAACCAGGAAAAAACGAACAGATGCACTTCGTTTTGACGGATATATGTTTGACATTCGCGCGCGCGCGCGCGCGCTTTCCACGAACACGGTGACGTTTCTGAGAGGGCGAAAACGCAAAAATCTGGAACACGGGGTAACCTACCGTATCCTTGAGCATTCCGAACACGGTATTCGGAAGGTCGGTGTAGAAGTAGCCGTGATTGTCCTCGCTCGGCCGCACATTTTTGTACCAATCCTAGAAATTTGTGGATTGTAGGTTGAGAAAAATACACAAAGTCCTACATGCGTCTCATGCGACACCGTATTTTTGAGCCACAATTGTAGATCGTTTCGCGACATTTCCACAAATCTGTAACCTCATTTTATACAAACAACTTTCGCATTTATTGTGTTCGCACGCTTCGCAGAGCTCTGAAATTGTGCCGCGCGTGAGCACGGGGCTGTCCTGCACAAGACCGGCGGCGTTGATTTTGAGGCGATGGTCGCCGAGCATCTGATCCGACGCGTAGAACTTGATCCACGACATCAACTGCACGATTTCACTCTTTTCGAGGCGGTCCGCGGCGATTTCGCGGAGCTGGAAGTTAGAGAAAAGTAAGGTTTCGGCACTTTATACGCTCTTGAAGACATCAATTCCAATGTACTAACCCTAGCGCAGACGGCGTTGTGGTACATTGCCACGTAGCGGTCGTGGATCTGCCAGTCGGGCGGGAAGCACGGCATCGCCGCTTTCGCCACGATCAGATCGTCCATGATGACGTTCTTGCACACTTCGAGGTAGCGTGCGAGCCACGCCTTGTTGAGGCTCCTGTCCTCCAGCTGGTTCCCCTCCACTCGTCCTTCCACCGTCTTCTCGAGGCATCTCAACGCCATCTGCTTCCAGCGACGCGGCCGTCCGGGCGGCACGAATGCCGACGAGTTCTTCGCGCGCGCGTCCATGTAGAATTTGTCGATTCTGAATGAGGAATTGGGTTCACTTTGGTTTTGAGTGAAATTGGCGCATCTCGACCCGAATTCGCTAACCTTTCCTCCCGTTCGACAATCCGAAGACAAGTGACGACTTGCTGCGGACCGCCTCCGTGCTCGTTTCCTTTGACCATCTCGAGGGTCCGTCCCAAAATGAACCACATGTTTTTCGAGAGTTCCAGCACCACTGCATCGACTCCTTTGAAGAAGTTGACGAGCAACTGCAAAAATACAACAGTTTTTCTATAGCTCTGGTTCCGGTTGTTTGGGACACCAACTTTGGGTGACAAAGAACCAAAAGACCCTTTTTCCACACGATTTTATATGGCAGATCAAGTCAACGTGGATTAAGCATTGACAAAATAAGACTAAAATCACTATCACTTCGCAAATGTCCAAAAAAGAAGACAAACATCGAAGAGAACCGGCCGGCATCGAGTGTTTTCTCTTTATTCCTCTCGAAAAAGTCCTCGCATTGGAGCAACAAAACAGAAAAAGCAGCGAAGAGAACCGATTAGATTGTTCCGCCGTGCGCGCGCAGGTCAAAAAGCGCTGGGTCTCGCAGCGATCGGACAAATATACGGTAGCGCGCGCGTTCAAACCGGGTAGAACAACCTTTTCTCTTCTTTTTTTGCCAAACCTCAAATTTCTTTGACAATTGATAGACACCAAATTGTCCCATTTCTGCGCGTTACTTACATTCTGCTCCTTCTCGGTGTTGGCTCCGCTCATTTTGTGCACCTCGGCCAGCAGTTCGTCCCGTGCCCTCTCCAAATCCATAATATTTCTGTGCGCCAACAACAGATTCGCGCCGCTCTTCTCGTCCTCGAGCGCGTTGCGGATCTCCTGAAGCGTCGTCTGCAGATTGAAGATGTGCTTCAGATTCTCCATCGCCGCCGCGTATTGTCCGTGACGGGCGTTCGCGTCGCGCAGCTCGCGGAGCTTCTCTTTCAGCGCCGGAAACGGTTTGAGCCGTTCGCGAATGTCCTCGACTCTGCAAGAGAATTTGTCACGTTGTCAGGTTCTAGGCCACAGTTTTATTGACTCGAAAGCTTGAAACGGTCTGATTTTGGAATTTTTAGTCAAAACTAGTCGTCTGCTATGGCCAAAAAATGAGAATTTGAGCGTTGCCAATTTGCTTCGAAAATCAGTAAAATGGTGTGGTTTTTTGGTAGAGAAGCACTGAAATACTTGATTTTAGGACAAAAAAACGCTACCCCTGCGCAATGGCGGTGATATCCTCGGAGGCGGTCTGCAGATGGGCGATCGCCGTCCGAATCCCCTCGAGTTGGCCCTGGACTCCGGTGCGGAGCATCGCCTCGACGGCTAGCTGCAATTTTTGCACTTTTTCAGCGGATGCTGACACAATTCTCGGGGACTTTGACTAAAATTTAGTCGCTGAGCACTCTTGAACTTTTTATTTGTCATTTTTAGCAAAAAGACGACGTTTTTGGTGTCTGGACAGAGTTTTCACGCTGTTCTGCGGGAAAAGTTGTGTTTGCTGCATTTTTCAGCGATTTTTCTCGAATCCACGCACTTTTTTGCGGTCCGCCCGTTTCTTGAGCTCCGGAAGCTTCTCGAGCTGATCGGGACGCTGCAGTAGAGCCGCCACTTGCTCCATCGCCGCCTCTTCCACGTCGACGTCCATTCTGAGCGAATTTCTAGGTGGAATTCTGGATTTTCGAGGTAAAATAGGTCTTTGAACCGACATTTTCGCAAAAAAGTTGAAGAAATGCAGGAAAATAATTATGCAATAAACGTGTGAGAAATGTGTGAAAAGTGAAAAAGCACAGCGAAAAACTCGTAAAACAGATAAACTTTGGTTCGAAAAGTAAGTGGAATCGATCGATAAATTAAAGCTCCTTCTTCGCCTCCTTCAATTTCTTTGCTCATCGTGATTTCCGACACGAATTCCTGCAGGAACTTTTTCGTCTCGAACGCCTGCGCGCCGTCCTTGAACATCAAGATGGCGCGGTTGTCGTCGATGACGAAGATTTGAAGATCCACGTGGTTGTTGTAGAGCTGCGACTGCCACAGCGCCGTCCATTTCTCGGTGAACGGACGGATGTCGGTGCGGCCCGGACGCGTAGGATCGACGATCCCGACGAAGAGCACCACGGTTTGGCTCTTTTTTAGTAAATCCTCCGGGGTTTTGGCTTAAAAAATTGAAGATTTCACGGAACTCCACCCCGGAATGCTTACTTTCGCCTTCATACTGTCCAAATCCATTTGCGTGGACGTGAGCTTGTGCTCCGGCTTTTCGTCCTCATCGTTCTCCTCCCACTCCTCGTACAGCTTATTCAGGTCTCGTTTTCTGAAAACTTTGCATTTTTGTTGACAAACTCGATTTTCTTACGTGTAAGTTTTCTGGGGACTCAAATCCTCGTTAGTCAGCCTCTTTTTCATTAATTTTAAGCGCAACGTGATAAGAAGCAAGAAGAATGTCTTTCAGAGCATCTGTAAAGAGTTTTTTGCTTGAAAATTGAGAAAAATCGAGCGGAAAATGGGAAAATGAACAAACAAGTTGGGTGGTCGAAGTGGCGTGGCCTAGAAATCCGCTCGTGGCCGTCGCTTTCGTGTCGATTTACGGCGACCAAAAATTAATTTATCCTCGCGAAAAATCTGAAATCACTGAAATCTTCGCGACTTTTCTGGCGTTTTTTGCTGAAAATACAATTATAAGCGCAATTTCAATCGATTTCACACATTTTTGCAGAAATGGCGGAATGGAACGTCTCCAAGGCGGACAAAGACCTTTTTCGTGACTTGATCGCCGCTTCGAAGGACGAAATCGCGTCGGGAAGCGCGAAAGCGATCAAAGAGTTCCAGCAGAAGGATTGTGTCACTTACAAGGACCTTGTCAATATTAAAGTGAGTTTTTCCTTGTTTATAGTGAAGAAAACCATCAATCCTCGTGTTTCACCGTAAAATTATCTTCAAAACTTTCAACGAATTTTTGCAGGAAAAGCTGCCCGCCGACATGCCCGTCTTCGTCTTTTTCGATCGATTAACCCTCCGCCACGAGGATCACACGTACAAAGCGTCGGCGGCGTTCCGAAAACGGACCGAAGAGCTGCGGGTGCAGCAGGAGCAGGACGCCTACAAACGGCTCATCCGCGACGTCGATCCGGCGCAGAAATACGGGCGCACCGAACTGATGGAGGTAAAATTCAAGATTTTCAGTGAATTTCTTCAAAAAATGAGAATTCTTGCAGGATTTTGGCCGACAAATGCGCTCATCACGCCGTCTGGAAACGTCGCTGATCAACGTGCTCATCACCGTCGTCGGCACCTTCTTTTTTGGATTCTCGGGCGTCACCTACGCGTATCCGCACCTCAAACTGGACTTTGCCACGCGAATCCTCATCGGAATGGTGCCGGCGACTATTGTCTTCTTCTGCGATCTCTACTTTTTCGTCAAAAGTATGGACATGGACGAGACGACAGCGGAGCAGGTGCCTTCCGAAGGAACCAGGACGGCGCCAGCACCGGGATCCAATTTCAGCTTCAAAAATATGGAGGACAAAAAGAACGACTAGCAGTTCGAAGAGTTTATTGATTTTTCTGTGATATTTTTGCTGCCCGAATAAGAACCATAAAACAATATATAAATAGAGAAAAAATGCAATTGGGATCGTTACTCCGGCAAATCCTTGCAGAACGAACCACTGTCGGGCTACTTCTCAGCGATTTGTAGTGAGGAAAACGCTTTTTGTGTCGCTTTGATAGTTTTGATCAGAACGGACACTTTCCGAGAAATCAGATAGAACAAATCAAAACTCTTCCGAGTAATCGAATTTTTGACAGAAAGCTGCTTGTAAACGCGCTCCTGAGCTGTTCCGAGACTTTAAATGCGCGCCGTCTTTCTTAGTTGTCATCATAATGAACTCATTCTCAAAAAAGCTGACCACGCCCACAAGGACGGTGATCCCAAACAGTGAGCCAAAAAAAAAAAGGAATACCTTATCTGGTAAGGTCTGAGAGAGCCCAGAAAAGGCTCGGAAGGTTGTCCTCAAAAGGATTATCTGCGAAACACGGTTGTACAGTACTGGCCAAAAAGGTATTCGCAAACGGTTTTTTGAGCATAACTTTGCTGAAACTTGAGGGATCGATCTGATATTTTAAGACAAAGTTTAAAACGGTAAAAGACGTTGATTCAACAACAAGAATAGTCAATATTTCGAAAAATTTAAAAAAATCGAAAAATTCATGAAAATGGTAAAAAACCGGAAAATGAAACTTTGACTTTTGAGATCTAGGAGAGACCGGCAAATGAAAAAAATAACAATAGCGAATGATTAAAATAGTTTTAATACTTTGTTGGGTAGCCTTTGGCGTCGATGACCGCCTGACATCTTTTCGGCATGGAGTCGAGAAGGGTGTGGATCACTGACATCGGAATGGCCTGCCAGACAGACTGGAGTTGATCGAATTTCTGATTGGCATTCGATGCACGGATCCCTCTGAGTTGTCTCTCGACATGCTCCCAGAGGTGCTCGATCGGATTCAAGTCCGGAGATTGACTGGGCCAGTCCAGAAGATTCACGTGGCGGCGTCGGAACCAGTCCTTGATGTGCTTCGAGGTGTGCTTGGGATCGTTATCTTGCTGAAATACGAACGCCTGTCCCACATTAGACCGTGCCCAGGGTCTCATAGTCTTTTCCAAGATGTCTTCATAGACATATCGATCCATGATTCCCGTAATTCTTCTCAGGGGGCCGATTGAAGTCCCAGAGAAACATCCCCACACCATCACTGAACCACCTCCATGCTTGACGGTTTGGAGCTGGTAGCTGGGATCGAAGCGACATCCAACCGGACGGCGAATCCACTTGATACCGTCAGTGCCGAACAGATTAAACTTGGATTCGTCGCTGAAGACGTGATTGGCCCACTCCTGGCGTCCCCAGTGAAGATGAGCTTTGGCTCATGCAACGCGGGCGATCCTATTTTTTTTGCTGATCGATGGTTTCTTAGCTGGCCGTCGTCCATGGAGCCCAGCATGCTGGAGACGTCTTCTGACGGTTCTCAGGGATGGCGTGACTTCATTTGGAGACTTTACGATCATTTGAATATCGGTAAAACTCCTCTGGGGATCTTCTCTTGAAGCTCGGACAATGTTCCGATCCACATTCTTCGACGTGATGCGAGGTCTTCCAGGCGATTTTCGCTCCATCAGGGCTCCCTAAACATTTTTCTCGATAAATAAACTATTTTTGAATATTACCTCATCCCGGAATTGCTTCAAAACTTTTTCAATGGCGCGTTTACTGCAGGTGAACTGCTGCGCCAACACGTCCTTGGAACATCCACTTCTGAAGCCGATGACGATGGCTTTACGGATGTCCTGAGAGATGTTTTTTCTTCCAAGGGGTCTTACCATGTCTGTAAACAGTTTTAAATACATAAGACCCAACACTAACTTTCTTAGAAACTATAATATCCAAAAATATGAAAATATGAAAAAAGTGAAAAAAGTGAAAAAAACGAAAAAATTGAAAAAAAATGTTTTTTTTGAAAATAATGCAATTTCCTTGTACGCAATTTGTCGTCACCGTGTACGACATGTACAGTAAAATTTTCAAATCGATCCCTCAAGTTTCATCAAAGTTATGCTCAAAAAACCGTTTGCGAATACCTTTTTGGCCAGTACTGTAAGTGTGTTCGACCCGCTTTCCGCCGCCGCTGTTTCCTCACTTCAACTCGCTGAGTTGCCGCTCAATTCGAATTGTCAATGGAGCGCACTTGCATGCCCGTCAGAAATATTTCATTTTTTCGCGAAAACTGCCGAAAAATGTCGGACGACGAATCGGACACCGAATTTGATGGATTCCAATTGACGTAAGTGACCAAAAATTGCATATTTATGCTCTTAAAACTTTGAAAATCGAGACTTTTAGAAAATCCGATCAAATCTTCGGATCCGACGATTTTATAAACAAACCGCTTGGTGGAGCGTTGAAATGCGCGAAAACTGACGGTACAACAGGAGATTGGGCTGGAAATTTGGAAAATTCAATAAATCTGGGCTGCTCCTCGTTCAGCGGCTCATTTTTGGAGGAAAATCTGTTCTCAAAGTCCCGCGGATTCGGAGAACCCGAAAAAATTGACGAAAAAGTGGACGAAGAGGAGAACGACGAAAAATTCGCTGGATTGGACTGGGATGCGAGCAGAATTTTCAAAAATTTGGCCTGTCCCGAAAATAACAAGTGAGAAAAACTCTTTTTCCCTATAATTCTTCAAATAACTGCAAAAAAGCAAATTTTCAGCGAACAAGCCGTTTGTGTGCTCCGTCTCCACGATGTGCTCACCAAGACCGAGCTCGGAGTGCAGCAAATGACTCGGCAGATGATCCAGTGCGGGTAAGTCTAAAAATTCCTCATTTTTCGCCTAAAACTTCTAAAAAAAATCCTGCAGAAAGCTAATCAACGGCTATTCGCCGAAAGAACGCCGAGATCTCGGCTTCTCCGACGCCTCGAACATCCGCGATCTCTCCAGAATGCTCCGATCGTTGCGCGCCGCCACAAGACTAATGCTCATCGAAGCGGACGATATTCAGGAGCTGCTCGAGCCCTCGTGCCACCCGGATTCTACTAAATTTCCCGTTTTTTCCGTCGTTTTCGGCCTCGGAATCGCCGCTTCGGTGCCGATGGCCTTGTGGCTGTGCCGACGTGGCCTAACTTTCTCCTCCTAGGCCATCGCTGTTTTTTCGAGTTTATTGCGCAGAAATCGCCTAATAAACGTTGTTTTTGGCTCAATTTTCCTTTCATACTCGTAAAAGTCGTTAAAATATTGTCTTTCTTTAAAAATTTCGTGTTGATTATCGATTTTTCCCGTAGAAATGAGTCGCGGAGGATTCAATTCGTCGCGTGGCGGATTTCGAAACTACGGGTACGGCCAGAAACGCAATTTCAACAATTTTTACGGCGAAAACGAGGGAAAGTACGAAGAAGGCGACGAATTTGAGCATAGAAATGGTAAGAGTTGTAAAGGTTTCAATTTTTTAAACAATGTTTTTTAATTTTCAGCGAACCGTCAACCGATCACAAAGCGTCCGAAAACCGAGGAAGAAGGCGAGGAGGAAGCACCGAAAAAATCTCAGAATTTCATAAATTCCGGCGAAAAATCGGCGCTCCGTCTAAAATTCGAACGGGCCAAGATGAAAGAGTGGCGCCTGATCATCCGAAATCTACCGTTCAAGACCAAAAAAGAGGATCTGCAGAACGTGTGCTCGAATTTCGGTCCTTTTGCCGAAATCGTGCTTCCGCCGTCGAAAAAGGACCCGAAGACGTGTGCCGGCTTCGGATTTCTTCAATTTGTGAAAAAAGAGGACGCCGAGAAGAGCCGAGAGTACTTTAATTCGCAGAAATTTCTGGGAAGAACTGTGGCGGCCGACTGGGCTCTCGATAAGGACACTTATGAGACGAATGCGCACGACGAAAAGACGCATCTGAAAAAGGTGGTCAAAGTGGAGAAGGAAGAGGATAATAGTGCCAAAGGTTCGGTTCTATCAAATACACAACTTCTCCACTAGAAATTCCAATTTTCAGCGAAAAATGTCAAAAAATTCGAAGATTCCGATGAAGAGGACGAGAAAGAAGACGAAGAAAAGGACGGTTCCGACGCTTCCGAAGATTCAGAAGACGAAAACGACGAGGAAGAGAATTCGGAGAGTGATTCTGATGATGTAAAGCCCAAAAAGAGCTCGAAATCGGAGGGAAAAAGAAAAGAGCCGAGAACGGATCAATCGATAACCGACGGAAAAGTGGTGTTCCTCAGAAATTTGTCATTCGAAACGAAAGAGGAGCAGATCAAGGAGGAACTGTCAAAGTTTGGCCAAATCGATCTGGCGATCATTTGCAAGTACAAAGACTCGGGCCACTCGAAAGGCACCGCCTTTGTGCACTTCTCGAGCCCCCTCGAGGCTTCCAATTGCATCGAGGGCGTCGAGGACGGAATCATCATCGACAACAGACTCGTTAAGGCGAATCTGGCGATTCCGCGCAAAGAGGCGGCCGACATGGAAAAGGACAAACTGACGAAGGTGCCGAAGGACAAGCGGAACCTCCGGTTGGCCAGATTCGGACTGATCCGTGACGGGACCGCCGCCGCCGCCGGAATGAGCAAGGAGGACGCCGCGAAGAGGGAACGACTCGCCGAGGCGATGCGAAAGAAATTGGAGAACACTAATATGTTGGTTATTGTGGCTTTTCTACAGATTTCGAAGAGAAATTCGGGGTGTTGAGTCATTTTTGATCCGATCGGGTCCAAACTTTGCAGTCTTTTTGTGCTTGGATTGAAGTATATTGGGTCCAAGTTTCAAACCGATTATTTTACAACCCATTTCTCGAGAAAAACCCATTAAATCTTTCTAAAATCGACAATTTTTGGTTCAGGTTCATCTCGCCGGTTCGTCTGTGCATCCACAACCTTCCGCAGAAGATCAACGACGCGCGACTCAAAGAGCTGGCGCTGAAATCGGCGTCGGCGGGCGCCCAGGTCACGGAATGCCGTGTTTGGATGGACAAGAAGCGGCTGACGGCCGACGGAAAGCCCAAATCGTCCGGATTCGGATTCGTCGCATTCAAAGAGCACTTGCACGCGATCGAGTGCCTCAAAAAACTGAACAACAACGCGGAGACGTTCCACAAGGACCACCGGCCGATCGTCGAGTTCTCCGTCGAAAATCTGCTCGCCCTACAGGCCAGGGTACGCGATTCGCCAGATTTGCCAGTGAAAAGCCATGTTCTTACCAGAGATCCGCGTTTCGCATTTCGTGGAAATAAAATTTGACGATTTCAGGCGCGTCGAAACGTGAAGAACACGACGGAGAAGATGTCGGAGCGGGTGGTGAACGAGAAGATTCGGCAGCAGGTGAAGCAGTCGATCGGAGAGGTGCACACGGCCGGAATGAAGTTCCTGCCCAAGTTCACCGGCAAAAAGATTCGACACCGCAATTTGAGCGGACGCGCCAAAAAGAACGTCGAACGAGTGGTAAGAGAACACGGCAAATAGAACCTTCTCGAACAGCTCAAAGACCAATCGGAAAAATCATCAAAAAGACGTTTTTTTTTTCTTCTCCTCGTTTCCGCAATGCGAGTAAACAACAATGTTTTCCTCGGTCTAACCGCCTGCGTCTCTTCATGTTACGCCATTCCTACACCGTAGCGCTGAGGCCCAATAGTGATGATGATGACAAAAGTGTTGCGAAAATGCGTATTTTGTATGTCATCATCGACAAATTCTCACACTTCTTTTGCGCTATAAAAATGGTCGAAAATTAAAGGAAAATTTTCAGAAAGCTGCCAAGAATACGAAGCAGCCAGAAGTGGTCGGAAACAAGAAGAAGAAGCAGAAGAAGAACGTGTCCAAATATCTTTCTCTTTCCACCTAAACAATTTTTCACCATTGTCCGCTCTTTTATTGTTTGCCTTATTGTTGTTGTTGTTAATTTCTCCTCTTTTGTTCTGTTTTTCAATGAAATCCGCGAATTTGTCTTTTTTCTCGCTATTTCCCAATCGTTGTGACGATTTACCATACCTTTTTCTCCACTTTTTCCCCAATTTCCCATTTTTAAAGAGCTCAAACACTTCTGTGAAAAAACCCCGAAAATGTTGTCAGGTTAGTATCATCGTTTTCGTGCAGTTTCCATGGCAACATGTCCCCCTCCTCTCTTCCGCTAAAATCGCATTTGCTAACATTGTCGTTGAGTTAACGAATTTCTTGCCGTTTTTCTCCGGAATGTCTCGCAAAAATGCTGCTAATTTTCAGTAACTCGCCGCCTTTTCTCACTCTCCGCAGCAATGGCCTCTGTGCACGGATTCACCGTCAAAAATGCGTCCGGAGAAGACGTCGCTCTCTCCAAATATCAGTAAGTTTCGTGAAAATGATGTGCACACTTGTGCAAACTAGAAAATCGATAATTCGGGCTGAAAACTGACAACGTAGAACTGTTTCGAATATTGTACTACATCTATTTTTTTAGGGGAAAAGTCCTGATAATCGTGAACGTGGCATCACAATGCGGACTCACCAACTCGAATTACAATCAGTTCAAGGAGCTGCTCGACGTGTGAGTCTCGCTGCGGTTCCGTGTATTGTCGATTTATTTAACGTTTGCAGCTACAAGAAGGACGGTCTCGAAGTGCTCGCCTTCCGTGCAACCAGTTTGGCGGTCAGGAGCCGTCGTGCGAGATCGACATCAAGGCGTTCGTGGCGGACAAATTCAAGTTCGAGCCGGATTTGTTCCAAAAAATCGACGTGAACGGCGATTCGGCCGACCCGCTCTACAAGTACCTGAAGCAGGAAAAGGCGGATTCCTGGTGGACGCCATCAAGTGGAACTTTACAAAGTTCCTCGTCGGACGCGACGGACACGTCATCAAGAGGTGAGTGGATTTTGATTGGAAGGGTAAACATCGTGTTTTTTTCTATTGCAGATTCTCACCGACCACCGAGCCGAAGGACATGAAGAAGGACATCGAGGCGGCTCTTCAGGCGAAACTCTAAATGGTCTCCCCACTTTGCACTGTAAAACTCTAATTTTTTACCCCCGTCCAGACTCGAGTGTAAATATTGTATATTTTTATTCGTTATAGAATAAAATAGACATTTGTTGCCAAAGTTTTCCAAAGTGTGATCATTCTTGTTGAAATTCGAAGAATTTTGTCTACTTTTTCCCATTCATAAATTTCATTCAGAACATGTCATCTATAGAAAATTTGTATTTTAACACTTCTCCCGTTCATTGAAAGCCAACAAATATTGTAGTCACCCCGAATGTCCTCCCTGGATAATCTGCTCGAACGGCTCGTGGCCAACTGTTCGACGTTCGACGAAATGCCGCATTCGTTCGACGATACGCTCATCGACAAACTCGTCGACACGATCGAATTCGAAGGTTTTTAGCAGTAGCGGAGCGCCGCCAAACCGACACTACTTGTTTTAGAAAGCAGTCTGACCGTCGTGCGCAATTTCGTGCGCAACATTGACTTTGAGAGCCGCTGCATTCCCATTCAGATGATCATTCGTCTTCTCGACGCCGCCATCGTCAAACAGGTGTTGTCGGTGCACTAAAAAAGCGATGTTTGAGGGAACTTTGATATTACTCAACGAAAAACAGGCACAAATGTGTTAAGGGACTGTAAAAGTATGACAAAATGGCCAATTTTTGTGGAACAATTGAGAAAACTAGTCGCTGAACGATTTTTGCTCAATTTCACGGAAAACTTGCTTCAGGTGTTCCACGACGACGAGCTGCTGCTGGAATTCGTGCAGAGAAGCGAGGACCTGCTTCCGCAGAACAGGCCCGCCAAACTGATGGACGATTTGTTCAAATTCTATCAGCGGCCCGCCGTTTTCAACGTTCGCAGACCCGACGCATGGCTGAGTACGTGGCTTTTTGCTGGAAAATCTTTTCGGATCGAAACTTTGCAGACGTCTTTGTTCGTGGATTGAAGTACGTCGATTGGTCTGAAACTCGGACCGAACATACTTCAATCCATGTGCAAGAAGTCTGCAAAGTTTGGGCCCGATCGGAATATTGCAAGTGGGTCAAAGGCCAAGCCAAGGCCTGGATCTCGTTGGGATTCTGCGTCAAAACACTTTCGAGTCAAACTTGCAGACGTGATCCGGTGGGCGATAAACGAGATCGACGAGGAGACGACGTCCGTGTTCCTGCGCCGTCAATACCAGCAGTTCGTCTGTCAACTGCCCGCGCCCGACGCCCGACGTCTTCTCGTGATCGCCGGCGCGACGGAGATGTTCATGCGGAGGACGCGGCCGGAGTCGGGGCACAATAATTATATCATCGATGCGCTCACGCGGATCCTCGACGCCTACGCAGAGCAGTTGGCGGCGGAGGAGTGCACGAATGTGGTGGAGAGTGCGCGGACGGCCGGGCGCCTCGGCGAGAACACCATTCGGCTGATTGTTAGACTCAGGGAGTAAGTACGGTCCATTGAAGAGAGCGTGAAAGAGGAACAACCTAGAACACGACGGAATTCTTCCAGAATCCACTCGAGCCTGACGATTCCGTTGACCCCCGGCAGTTGGACATCGGAGACGAACCGCGTCGATCTCATCTGTTTTCTGCTCGAATCGCAACCGAATCCGTGTCAGGGCATCGAGGCGTTCAGCGACGAAACGAACGACGAGCGGGTCGAGTCGGTGGACCAGCTGGTCGACTTGCTCTTGTACTCGCCGGCCGTCAAACTGCACCACAAGACGAGAATACTGCATCGGATGGGCGATCGACAGTTGAGCACCTTCCTCGAACAACTGAACGTCGAGGTCAAGATCGAGGGAAAGATCCGCGTGAATGACGTCACCCGACTGCTTTCCAAGTGAGCATTCGAATTCGGCCCTTTTAGTCAAGATCTCAGTTTTCACCTGGGTAGAAGGCCCGTGTCCAATCGGATTAACGATGTTTGCAACTGGGCCGGGAGTCCTGGCTTCGACAAGCCTTAGTTGTTTTCCGGGCCCTAGGCTCCTAGTCCTTCTCCCAGATCTTTTTGAAACACTGAAAGTGAACCCTAATACCACAGCGAGTTGTGTAACCCTCTTCCATTCTCAGACTGGCGCCACGTGTCGGCCTCGCGCAAATCGCCGTACTGTTTGGATCGCTGGGCCCGCGCGTGCTCGAATCCTCCTCGCTGCTGCAGGAATTGGGCAAAGTGTACGGGCCGGACGTGTTCGCGAACGTCGAATTCGCCGAGTTCAAAAACCGACTGCGTGGGCGGCTGACTGACATGATCCGCACATCGGCACTCGAATCCGAGTGGGAGCAGACGGACACCGCACTCGAGATTGCCTACATTTTTCCGTGTTTTCTGCCGGATATTGGTGCGTCTTATTTGATTTTTACTACCAATAATCATTAAATTTGGTGCAGAAGACCTGCAAGCGCTGACGAGAAGTGACCGTAACTCGCCGTACGTGATGGGAATGGTGCTCAAACTGCTCAGGGACCACTACGGAGGCATTCCCGACGACCTCGTCCGTTTCTACGTCATCGAGTCGGCGGACCCGGGACCGAAGCTGCTCTGTATGAAGTATCTGAGCAATCCGCTCTTCTTTCCCACCCTCGACGCCGAAATGATTGTCGAGTACCTAGAGGCCGGACTCGTGGATAACGGATACGAATTGCGCCGGGAGGCACTCAAGTTCGCCGAGGTCGCCATGGCCAAACCGCACTTTAGAAGTCGCGTCGTCGACGTGCTTTCCGAGCACAAAAATGTAAGGTGTCGGGTGGACATTAAAAACCATTTCAATCGTCCCTCGTTTCAGGACCGCTGGATCGGCCGTTTCGTGCGTCGACTCCTTCACGAAGAGCTGACGGCGCCGGAAAACGAGTCGGTGTCGATTGTGCAAGAGATGCTCGCGTCGCTTCAAGTGCACGGAGCCGACGACGACGTCAGAGACTGCTATTAAGTATTTGCTTACTATTTTCGATTACCATCTCGGGTTTTTCTATGCAACTATTTCCGAATGCTTTCCATTACATTGATACCATTGAATTAACCTATTATAAACTGTCAACTAAGGATGTATGGATAGGAGTAAGAAAGACATGATTCGTTATTAGAAGTTGACGGAATTTTAGGACTTTTCACTGTTTCTCTTGTTTTTATTTTAACCTGATAAGGCACATTCCGCGCAAAGCCTTGCAAAACGTTGCGAGACTCGTTTTACACGCCAAAAATACTAAAATTTTCTCTTGAACCCACAAAAATTGATCCCGCGAAAGCAAACTTTCATTCCGCATTCCGCATTCCGCATTCCTTATTATTCTATTTCACTGTACAAGTTCATCTCAAAAACAGTAGCGAGTATGTTCGAAAGCTTATTGCTGATCTTCGTTCTCTTCTTCACTCTCTTCTTCCTCCTCAACTTTGTCTTCTTGATCCCCTTCTTGTTCCTCTTCTTGTTCTTCTTCTTCATCGTGTTGACCACGTTGCTGATCATCACCATCTCCCTCTTCTTCTTCTTCTTCTTCTTCTTCTTCACTTTGCCCCTCTTCTCCTTCAGCATAACCCCTCTCCGCATCCCATTTCTCCTTAAACTCCCCAATTCTCGCGTTCAAATCGTTCGTCTCCTCCGTATCTCCGTACTTGACAAGTCCACTTGCGTAGGCCTCGATGAAAAGCTAAAAAACTAACATGAAAACGTGGAATTAGAGCTGAAAGTTCGCACAAATTGAGCCAACACGCCATTGATAATGTTCTCCCACTTGATAAACTCCAATGTCATCTCCGGGTCTTCGGCAAATGCCACGTTCAACGGATTTTCCTCGTCGCTTTCGAGAAGGTCCAGAAGTTTCTCAAGAAATTTGATTAGGCTTACGTGACTAGTGGCACCTTACTTTTCCATATTCCGCTGGAGAAGTTTCTTCACAGACAGCCACAAACTGCTCGTTGATTTCTCCCGGTGTGGAAAGGCTCGTGATCATCTTCTCGAGCAAGTTCATAGCGGTTTCAGCGATTTCCTGAAACGCACTTTGACACTTTCAGAGTTTTACAGATTCGCCGACGAACCGTGTATTCATTAGAGTCCTCTTTGAACGCGATCAGATCGTCGCAATGGAGTTGCATGAACTCGAAGAGCTTCAAATACCTTGTGACGTAGCAGAATGTTAGGAAAAGAAGCTGCGCGCACGGTCTCCAGAGCTGACAATATGGGCGTGGCCTCGGCCGCCAAATGGCGTTTTCATGAATTGAGCACGTTTTCTCTGATTTTTGTGGTCAACGGCGATAAAAAATGCATGTTCGACATGAAAACACACAAATTCTCAGAATTAATGACGTTTTGGCGCATTTTTCGCGGATTTCGCTTTTTCGCCTTCGCCGCCGATCGCCGCCTAAAAACCGCACTTCTCATTTTGCGCTTTCTTGACTGTTTTCAGACGGAATTGGTTTTGAGAATGATAAATCACGTAAATACAAGAATTTTGAGCGCTCGAACCGCGAAAACTACCGAAAAGCAACTGAAATTCACGCAGTTTTAGCCAAAAACCTTCAAACGGATAAATGTGATTTCCGACTTGACCAAATTTAACGCTCTTGCGCTTAAAAAATTCGTAATAGCCTATACAATCGGTCTATCGAGAGACAAATGAGAAATTATCGGTTTTTCGTGGCTAATATGTCAAAAAACACAAATTTTGCTGTTAAAATTTGAATTTCGCGCCAATGTATCGCTCTATTAGGCGGGGCGTACTTGCGCTTATTGTCAGCTCTGGAGACCGTGAGCTGACAAACCTCTTTCAACACGTATTTCAATGCATCCACAACTTCGATCGTGAAAACATTCTCGTACGGATCTAGCGTTTGTATAATAGCTCCAACTTCAGATATCGCGTCGAGATGATCCGAGATGTACTTGAAAGAGAACCGGCCTCGATCAAGACACTCCTCAGTCACACGAAGCACATCCACTAAGTGCTCTGAAATAAAACTAGCGCGTTTGGCAATTCGAGAATTGATTATAACTCACGCGAGAGCTCCTCTTCAGACATTTTCGAAAACGTGTCGCTCGCTTCGAATGATTGCTCTCTTATCTTTATTTCGTCTTTTATACACAAATCGATTGTAACACCAAAAGCCACAATCAAAGTGTGTGTATGATTGTGTCTTGAGCTATTCAAGTTTAGTACCACAATGACTTTCGCTCTTCACTTTACAACTTTATTATCAATGCCGAACGGTCCTGCGCCACGGTCTCCAGAGCTGACAATGGGCGAGCAAGTGCGCCCCGCCCAATAGAGCGATACATTGGCGCGAAATTCAAAATTTCAAAATTTAACAGCAAATTTTGTGTTTTTTGCCAGATTAGCCACGAAATTTCTCATTTGTCTCTCGATAGACCGATTGTATAGGCCATTACGAATTTTTTAAGCGCAAGAGCGTTAAATTTGGTCAAGTCGCAGATCACATTTGAAGGTTTTTGGCTAAAACTGCGTGAATTTCAGTTGCTTTTCGGTAATTTTCGCTGTTCGAGCGCTCAAAATGCTTGTATTTACGTGATTTATCATTCTCAAAATCAATTCTGTCGGAAAACGGTCGAGAAAGCGCAAAATGAGATGAGCGGTTTTTAGGCGGCGAAGGCGAAAAAGCAAAGTCCGCGAAAAATGCGCCAAAACGTCATTAATTCTGAGAATTCGTGTGTTTTCATGTCGAACATGCATTTTTCATAGCCGTTGACCACAAAAATCAGAGAAAACCTGCTCAATTCATGAAAACGCCATTTGGCAGCCGAGGCCACGTCCATATTGTCAGCTCTCACGGTCTCCAGAACTGACAATGGGCGCAAGTGCGCTCCGCCGCACACGGCAGCATTTTGGAGGGAAATTCAAATTTTAATTGCAAAATGTGGCTTTTGTGCGAAATAAACCGTGAAAATGTGTTTTTTTTTCAGTTGTGTCTCGATAGCGCGATTGTGCGCGTCAATAATAATTTTATAAGCGCAAGAGAGTGAAATTTGGTTAAGTCGCAAATCACATTTATCCATTTTTGTTCAACAGCGCTTCGAAAACTGCGTTTTTGGAACTTCCCAAGCTATGAATCTCAAAGAAATTGCGATTGCAGCGGCTTTCAGTGTCAGAACAAGCATTGCGAAGAATAAGAAGAACCGGAAAGTGAAAAAAGTGCAATTTTGGACGGGTATTCCGATGTGTCGTGTTTTTCTTCTAATTGTTTGGAAATCACGTTTCTTGTCTATTTTTACCGGTTATTGTCGTATTACAGAAGTAAACGGGTATCACTTGTTCAACGGGTTCAGCCGAAAAAAACGGATTTAATTAATTAATTAATTAATTATTTATGTTGTACAACTGGAGTATTTTTCTTGTTGCACGTTCTCGAAGTGCAGAGCTTAATTGGAGTCTTCCTGAAACGTATTGCGGCGAGAACACATAAAGCTACAACCCTGACTGACCGCGTTTCGTGTTTTCCGCTGGGAAGTTCCTTGCAGTCCATGAATGTACCGATTTCGCCAAGTTTGCATCGTCTGAAACGTTTTTTGAGCGTTCTCGAGCCTTTTTGCAAGAGAAAATGAACTGAAAACAAAACAGATTATTTATTCTCAGAAAAATCGAGTTTTACAATAAGAAAAACGAAAATGCGGCGAGAAAAATCACGGATCGCATATTGCGCCAGTAAAGGCGAAAAACGCGCCAACCATTCAAAAAGCGCGTCACCAGTCCCGCGACTCCGCCCATATTGTCAGTTCTGGAGACCGTGGCTCTGGAGACCGTGCGGCCTGTAAATAATCGCTTGCAAATTGAAAAAATCGATAAAAATTTTATTATCACGGAATACCAGCAAGAACAAAAAAATGATGAGTCCATCTAGTCCTGCCTGCGAAAAAGCTGATATTTCCATACAAATAGAACCCGGGCCCGTCCTTTTGAACACTAGTCCGTGTCGATCGCACAGCTACACCGCTCGTCGCCTCTACCACAACCACAAATCCAGGCCATTTTGCAGCGTGTGTCCACCGCTTCAACAAATCCTCGGTCACTTTTCTCTTCTGGGTCGTCCTGACGTCCTTGAAGAACTGCACATGGTTTTTCACAATTTTCATGTGCTTTTCCTGTGCAAACGCTCCTTTTTTGCTGCGGTAAACGATTACAGTGCTGCCGCCACGATTCGGTGAAATGAGCACTTGATCCTCCAGTCTCATGTGCGGAGTAAAAGTGCAAGATTTCGGAAAGACCAGCACGTAGAACATGTCACTGAAATCACAAAAATTGATGAACATTGAAAGGCGGCCACAAAATGTATACGTTGTGCGGATTTTCTCCAAGCCTTCTCGGATCAATTCCGCTTTTTCCGCCATCGATTCGCTCGAGTGTTTGTCTTGAATTTCGACAACAAAGTTCTTGACTTTTTCCGGCCAGTATCTTGCGCTGATCTGTGAAATAAAGTGCGTAGTAGTAGAACACGCGAGACACCGCCTACCCCGTAGTCATGATCCCATTTTTTGAGCGCCGCCTGATACTTTTCAATTTCCGCTTTGAGTTTTCTCACTCGAAACAGCTCCTCAACATCCTTTGGCGTTTTGCCATGAATCAAAACGCCAGCCTTGATCTCGATTTCCCACTAAAACATCATTGTGAACCAAATTTTCAGCTCAACTCAACGAACAAGCTGCGTGAACACACTGTCGATGATCTTTTGCCACGTGTCAAAAGTGCTGCTGGACATGAGCGGATCGGCGTGCATCGCCGTCTTCAGCGGGTTCATCACCTCGGTCTCAAGTTGATGAATCAGTTTTCGCGCCTGCTTCAACGGCGACGTCTTCTCGTACATTCGTCTGAATTCGCGAAGGCTCTCCTCGGTCGGATGGCTCGTCACGTCTTGCATGCACTCGTACAGCACCGAAGTCGTCAGCGGCACGTCGTTGTAGAAGTGATTTTCGACGAAGAACGACTTGAACGCGGTGAAGTGTCCGGTCATCCGATCGACCATCTGTCAAACGATAGTAATAGCCAGTCAAGAACGTTTTCAAGTTCTCACTCACTGCATCCATTTTAGTTCTCAACACCGCCAACTCTTGCACAATCGGATCGCTCTCACTGGGTCCGTACGCCGATATCAAATTTTTGACAGCGTACGCCACACCCAACACAACTGCCGCGTGGGGTGAGATGGAAGCGAACAAGTACATTCCGGTGTCGACACAATCTTTCGTGGCGTTTATAAACTCACGAATGTGGATCAGCGCTTCTGGAAAACAAGTTTCAGAGGTACGAAAGAATAAAAACTCACTTCTCCGCTCCTCTTCTGCTTGATTCGCATCCGCCGGCATCTTGTACAAAGATCTTTGAGAAAATGAACTGATACTCCTTTTTATAGAGCGAAAAGACCAAAAACTAGCTTTGATTGCCCAACAAACACGGCCGAGTCGGTATAAAACGGGTGTGATAAGAACGAGGCCGAGTATTTCCGTACCAGCAGACAATGACAGTGGAAGAGGATACACAACGTGAGTGAACATGCTAAAAATCCATAAAAATTCTCCTTCCAGAAGCCCTAGACGCGGTCAAAACCGCAGCGACGGTGCTGAAGGAAAGTGTCGACGCGGGAATGTACATTGGCAAAAAGTGTGTGCCGCAGTTGGCGGTTTTTGTCGAACTCGGCCTCGTTGTGCGCACTGTGATCGGATTCACAGAGGCCGGACAGAAGGATCCGGTGATGGAGGAGATTGGAAGTTTGGAACGAAAACTGGAGAAGATTGAGGAGAAAATGAAGGACAACTTTCAAGACCTCAAAGCGTTTGTCGCCGAGCACAGTTTCTATACGGTAATGTCTTGTCTTTCGACACGTTTATCTCAAGACACGATCTCCAGAGCTTACATTGGGCGCAAGTGCGCCCCGCCCAATAGAGCGGTACATTGGCGCGAAATTCAAATTTTAACAGCAAAATTTGTGTTTTTTGCCAGATTAGTCACGAAAAACCGATAATTTCTCATTTGTCTCTCGATAGACCGATTGTATAGGCTATTACGAATTTTTTAAGCGCAAGAGCGTTAAATTTGGTCAAGTCGGAAATCACATTTATCCGTTTGAAGGTTTTTGGCTAAAACTGCGTGAATTTCAGTTGCTTTTCGGTAGTTTTCGCGGTTCGAGCGCTCAAAATTCTTGTATTTACGTGATTTATCATTCTCAAAACCAATTCCGTCTGAAAACAGTCAAGAAAGCGCAAAATGAGAAGTGCGGTTTTTAGGCGGCGATCGGCGGCGAAGGCGAAAAAGCGAAATCCGCGAAAAATGCGCCAAAACGTCATTAATTCTGAGAATTCGTGTGTTTTCATGTCGAACATGCATTTTGCATCGCCGTTGACCACAAAAATCAGAGAAAACCTGCTCAATTTATGAAAACGCCATTTGGCCGAGGCCACGCCCATATTGTCAGCTCTGGAGACCGTGCGCAAGATCCGATGATTTTTTCAAAAACTCGTCAACTAAAAAGTTGTTGCAATGTTTGTGCTGATCAACTTTGTAGTTGAGCATTTTATTCCAATCTTTGTCATTCTTGAGTTATGGCTGTTTCAGGATGTACCACTGGCCAGTAAGCTCCTCTTCCAATCGATGCAAGATGCGATGAAGACTCCCGGCGAGGATAGTCAAAAAGAGTTTAGAGAGCAGTGTGAGGCTACTCAACCGTTGGAATATGCACGGGTATCATCGTTAAAAGCCTTCTAAAAACTGTCAAACTTTTTGCAGCGCCTCAAGTACCAACTAATGAAGCCGACCACGAATCCGCTAAAGATGACGATGGCTGCTCATCCGCTGGACGGTGCTGTCGTTTTCAAAAAGTGGAACAATATTTATGATAGCATCCTTACCCAACTTGTAAGTACCGGTACTAATCCCACAAATTAATGGAATCAGTTTGTTCAGTGTCTCATAGAAGCCATATCAAGTGGACTTCTCTACAAGAAGAACAAGTACAGAGTGGATCTGATCGAGAAGGAGTATAAGGAATTTGAGAAACGCATTCAGAAATGGGATCATGAGTATAGGGTACGGGGGTGTACTAAAAACTTGATGAAAATGAGACTCGTCTAGACTAACGATCATTATTGGCCTGACGCGATTCGCAAGATTGTTGAAGACGTTCAAGATAAGCGCACAGACAAGAATGGCGGTGAAAAAGCAGAGATTATTCGGACGATTCTGGAGCGCATTTTCACAGAGTAACACAATATATCGGGCTTGATTTACATCGACTTTCAGCGACATCTTCTACATAACCGTCTTCAAAAACACCATCGAACATGTGTGCTACGCAAGCGAACCAAGTCAGGCAATCTTGTCACTGAACCGTGGGGACCACAAAGTCATCGTTTATCGGAGCCGGAAGGCGAGAAGGGAACCGGAAAAAGTGGCAGATCTGAAGAAACACGTGGAGGCGATGCGGACACTCAACTGGCCCAAGGACCAGTACGAATGGCCGAAGGAGGAGAGTCTCAAATGGTTCGCCGACATGTTCCTCCGGGAGAGCGGGTTCGTTTTGATGGCAAAAGCGAGGGAGACCGATGATATCGGTGTACAGTCGACGAGTAAATCAGTGTTTGAACACGGACCCGGTCATCATTTGTTCGGCTCTTTCCGTCCGCAAGATTCGAAAACTCTGGCCAGAAAAGTGTTCACTCCCTTTTTCATTGTTGCTGGCTACAAATAAACTGTGTTCTGTTTTGTGAAATCGTGTGGCTCGAAAGTAATCATTCTAGCCTGTAGAATAGGCACGTTCTTCTGAACTTTGAAAATACGAAACATCCACAATGCGTTATGATTTCGGGCATCAAGTAATTGTCAATTTGTTCATCGTTTTTGATCTCGTGCAGTTTTAACTCAATCAACGCCAACGAATCATTTCAGTTGTTCCAGTATCTAATAACGTTCAGCAATAATAACGTTCTAATCAGTGGGCGTGGCTACTGAGTGTAGTTAGTGGGCGTGGCCAATGCACCTGGCTTTTCCTTCTCCCCATGGCTCTCGAAACGTCAAATATCTGCCGGAGAAGAAGCCAGGCGGTTCAAATCCCGGTCTCATTTTCAATTATTATCATGATAATGCGGCGGAAACGTTCAAGGCCAACGAGACAAATTGGAGAGTGAATCCTGATGCTCGAGAACTTGTTGTCTACCTTCATCCACATCTCATCCACATCCACATCTTCATCCACATTTATGTTTGTATTACAAATTTACAATTCAGATAACAAATTTGAATGATTAATCTCTCCATCCAATTTTATCAAAGCTATTTCATAATTTTTCTCTAATATTTTCTTTGGTAAAGAGTAGTATTCAAAAGTTTTATCACTAGAAGTTAAAAGGCAATGTCTGAGAACCTCGAAATTCGCTAATTACACCAGGTCACTAAAAATTCAGAATGCTCCAATTTGTCCCATATTATACCCAATGGGTACTTACATAACAGTGATACATCAGACAAGTTTTGGTCTGGCTCCGGTCCGGCTCCCTAGTCCGATCACGGTCACAAAATAGGTCAAAACTGTAACTAATTTCAAAAAAATGCTAGCGTCTCAGACTCAACGCCATTCGATTTCTCGCATCTTTTTAAGCATTTTTCATGTTGGCACCAAAAAAGTAGAACCTTCATGGAGAAAAATATTGTTTAGTGACATTTTTCAGAAAATTTTTCAGTTTTCTGCTCGTCCTAAAAAATTTTAACACTACATAGCCATGATTTTCCTGCTGATTCTTAATCTAGACATTATTGTGCTTCTGCAAAAAAAAGTTCACCCCGATCCCGATTGACATCAAGGGGGTTTTAGGCCGAAGTTCACAAAATTAGTAGTACTTTTGCATGGAAAAATGTTCGCAAACTTGAGAAAAGTGCGTTTTCTCAATTTTCTACGAGGTCTGATTGCGGTTTTTGTTGTTTTCGTATACTTTTAGGCATTCTTGATTTTTTTGAAGCATTTCGAAAATTAATTTTTTCTCGAAAATTTTGTCATGACCCCCGCCCGGGTCGACGACTTGGTCTAATTTTTTTTAATTTTAAAAATGCTTCAAAAAAATCAAGAATGCCTAAAAGTATACGAAAACAACAAAAATCGCGATCAGACCCCTTAGAAAATTGAGAAACCGCACTTTTCTCAAGTTTGCGAACATTTTTCCATGCAAAAGTACTACCAATTTTGTGAACTTCGGCCTAAAAACCCCTTGATGTCAATCGGGATCGGGGTGAACTTTTTTTTTGCAGAAGCACAATAATGTCTAGATTCAGAATCAGCAATAAAATCATGGCTATGTAGTGTTAAAATTTTTTAGGACGAGCAGAAAACTGAAAAATTTTCTGAAAAATGTCACAAAACAATATTTTTCTCCATGAAGGAGAGGTTCTACTTTTTTGGTGCCAACATGAAAAATGCTTAAAAAGATGCGAGAAATCGAATGGCGTTGAGTCTGAGACGCTAGCATTTTTTTGAAATTAGTTACAGTTTTGACCTATTTTGGGATCCTGATCGGACTAGGGACCACGGAGCCGGACCAAAACTTGTCCGATGTATCACTGTTATGTAAGTACCCATTGGGTATAATATGGGACAAATTAAAGCATTCTGAATTTTTAGTGACCTGGTGTAATTAGCGAATTTCGAGGTTCTCAGACATTGCCTTTAAACTTCTAGTGATAAAACTTTTGAATATTACTCTTTACCAAAGAAATTATTAGAGAAAAATTATGAAATAGCTTTGATAAAATTGTATGGAGAGATTAATCATTCAAATTTGTTATCTGAATTGTAAATTTGTAATAGTACAAACATAAATGTGGATGAGCATCCTTACCCAACTTGAAATCAGAGGAAGAAGAGAGAGGTGGTTGAGAGACCCCATGGGTGAAAATGAAAAAAGAAAATGAGACGGCAATAAATAAAATGACTATTTCTGCCTTTATATACATACCCCTGTGGGCGTGGCCATTCTAATCAGTGGGCGTGGCCACTGCACCTGGCATTTCCTTCTTCCCACGGTGCCACGACGTTTCGAAATCCTAATCGTACTTTGTCGGCATTCTTATCACTAATTTCCGCCGGTAATTAAGCCGGAGGTGTGGGAATTTCAGCTTCAAGCGGATTTGCGGCAAATTTCAAAGCAACCGACTTAATTACTGTTGGATTTTAGTGATAAGGACGCCGATAAAGGACTCCGATGGGAAAGTACGATTGGGATTTCGAAACGTCATGGCACCGTGCCAAAAGGATTCGGAAAAATTCTGATAAGATATTGAAAGATTTCCGATTTCGGATGCATCATCATCATCAAGTACTCGAGAATGCATCGATGAACGTAGAGGTACTGCATTTCCGTCTGAATCGATTTGAATCGTTCCTCGCGGAGTTTGGTGAGAAGGCGAGGAACTCCAATGAAGTCGGCGAGGCGGAGAGACTGCAACTTGGGTTAAATGAACCGTCTCCAATGGACACACTCACTTCCAGAATGATCAGAATGAGCACCACGAATTCCTTCGCAAACACTTTGCTCCTTCTTTCCCCCCTATGTATTACGGGTTTTTTGAATGATGAAGTGACCGATATGAATTAATTAAGACAGAGAAAACAAGTTCTAGAGTATAATAACAACAACGAGGAATGCAGAGTGTGAATCATTTAGACTGTGTAATCAGTTTTCCGTTGTGCGTCACAATCATTCTCGCGTACAATTGTCGCTGGAAAAGCGAGTGAAGATGCTCGTTGACACGTCGTCCGATCTCCGAAATTCGTCGACCGCCCTTTCCGATTATTAGCGTTCCGTCGCGGGCTTTCTGAAAACGACAAATATCTCGAAATAGAGTAGTTTCAGTGGAAATTTCAGGTAGAAATCAAAGTTTGCTCAAATCTCTTAATTTTAATCCAAAAACAGGCGAATTGAACTTTGAAGAATTTAGGTAATAAGTGTTCTACCTGACACCGAATCTCTCCGACAATCTGCAGCACTTCTCCCTGCTCCTGCCACTCGGCGATTCGGACCGACACAGTGTAGGCCACGTCCGATGGGGTCGTGTCGAGGACGGCGGCGCGGATCGAGTCCATGCACAGTTGTTGGGCCGACTGCAAATGTGACAATCAAAAGTTCATGCCTTTTGCTCAGCCCCGATTTTTATAAGCATGGTCGTCTTTGGCAAATGAATTGAATTGAATTTAGCATACATAGTGTCTGGGCAAAGTTGCGTATTCTAGACAAGGGTTGAGCGCACTTTTTTCGATCAAAAATCGATCAGAAATGAATCTACCTCTCTCGTAGGCATTCCGTTCTCCATCCGCCAGTCTCCTTCGGGCGAAATGCCCATCAAATGCTCGCGGAGCTCATCGACGCCCTCGCCGGTCAACGAGGACACAAAGAAGACTCGTTCGAATCCGGACCATCCGCAAATGGTCCGAAACAGAGAGCGGGTCTCCGCGTAACTGCATTGCCACGTGGGCTTTTGAATGAGCTCTCGGAAGCGGCTCTTCCACTTCTCGTCCGTCGGGATTACGGTAGACGGCGAGGGCGTGTGCGTGGAGAGCGATTTTCCGAGGCGGCCGATTTGAGCGGGCTTCGTGGCGATCAGCTGGTTGTCCGCGAGTTGGCCGTTTGTGAGAATCTGCAATAGTTTCAGTTTCAGGTCAGTTTTTGTATGCAATATATTTACCTGAAAAGTTTCAAGTTAATTGGATTTTGTGCAAGAATACAAAAATCAATACATCTCGCGATCAGGTAATCCAATCCGTTTGAAACTTTCAAGATAAACACTTCTAGAAAATATTGTTAATGGTGAAAAGTTGGGAAGCTCACCTCAACCAAAGGCAACAAATCGGACTTCCTCATCACCAAATCGATCTTGTTCATGACAAGAGTGCTCGGCACGTGCGAGTACCGATGGAGCATGTGCAGCACCCGGTGATGGATGTAACTGCCCGGTGCCGTCGCATCCTGCACGACGAGAATGTGCTGTGCCCGTTGCAGAGCTCTTTCCGGGTCCTGGAGCACTTTGTCGCTCGCCGTCGCGCTCGTCTTTTTCATTGTTTGACGGACGTGCGATGTGCTGACCACTCCCGGCGAGTCGGTGAATACCAGTTGCGTCGAGTCCGCGCAGATTGACGCCGAAATGTTCTGGAGAAAAGTTTTCGTTGATAAATTGTTGTTCAGTCATCCGGGGAACATGGATTTTCAGAGGTTTTCTAAACTTAAAGTGGTCAGAAGACTAGAATACACGGAAGTTTGGCCGTTTTTTGTTTCTGGACAGATTCGTACATTTCTGCTATAACAGAGGGACCCTTCATAGTTTACATAGTTTGTTCCGACTGTGCACCAGAGTTGAGCGGAAATGGAATTTTGAAATCCGGAAGACGGCAGACGGAAGACGGAACAAAAAAAATCGTCAATGCAGAACCTTTCTTTCCGGTTTTTTTTAAAAATAACTAAAGCAACAAAAAATTTGGATCTGGGTCACTGCCCGTGGAAATTCGCGTTCTTCGGGGCTAGTAAATGGATTCTGAAAAGCTATTACTCTTTTACGGTAAGAAAAAAAATTCCGGAAGACGGAAACAATTTTTTTTTTACGGAAGACGGCAGACGGAAGACGGAACAAAACTTTTTTCCCGGAAGACGGCAGACGGAAGACGGAACAAAAAAATCTACGGAAGACGGAAGACGGCAGAAGGAATTCCGCTCAACTCTGCTGTGCACCCGTCTTCCGAGAGGCAAACCCTTCGCCTCGATCCTTCGATCGGAAGAATCAATGCCCATCCGCACAATTTTCTGCAATTATCTTCTCCTCGTCGGGTATATAACGACGGTCGGGACCCATTATACATCACTTATTTGCTCTTGATCTGTAATTGGTGACTCGAGTCACCACATTTTGCAAGAATGGCGATCCAATCGCTCCACCAACTTGCCTCAAAGAAAATGGCCGAGTACATTGTCGATGGTAAGTCTTTTTCCTTTCTTTTCCTATCATAATTCAACTTTTTCAGAGTCCCTCGACGTATCCTCAATTGTTTTCCCTCGAAAAGAGAGCAATGCCATTTTCGAGCATATTATCAAGATGAAGAAGCCGGAACGTTCTCTAAATGAGGATTTGCTTGAACAAATGACTGGATTCAATACGAGCCGTGCCAATTTCAAGGGCGTCAAGATGACGTTGACAGACGTGGCTTTCATTGGCGAGCAGAATCTTGAGAGCTTTACACTCGGAGACACGATTCTTCTCATGGACGGATATCATATTGAGAATGGTGAGTGATGACGACGGTTCGGGGGAGTTCTAGTGACTGCGACAAGTGCTCCGAGAAAACTAATTCAATGTGAATCTAATTTCAGACGACATCAGCCTGAACATTGATTTGCTGATCAGGGACATGTTCAACGATTCTACCCGCAAATCCCTTCGTCACCTGGACATTAGCGGATCAGTAGGTTTCAACGAAGATTGGCTCAAAGCAATTGGATCTATGCTTCCGAACGTTTCGAGCTTGAATGTAGCTGGAAGAAGATCGGTCGACATTCGGGTTCTTGCTCAGAGCTTTCCGGGGCTCCAATACTTGAATGTCTCGAATTGTCAACTTGACAGTTTGGATGGCATCTCTGGACTGCAAGGGCTCCGAGTCTTGATCATGGAGAATGCGTACAAGATTCAAGATATGACGGAGCTGTTTGAGCTGAGAGATCTAAGAGTTTTAAACATGACATGGTGAGTTGAAATTTAAGAAAAAATCAATTGTTCATTCATCTATTTTCAGGCCATTCAATGGCGATGGTTCCAACGATATCGCTGCCACTTTCTGTCAGTGCCTGGAGGATGGATCCCGACTGCCCGAGCTTCGGTACCTGGACCTCTCGATGACGACGATGAATGAACGGGATGTGAAGAGAGTCCTTAAGTTCATCCCGACGATCCAAAATTTGACTCTAATTGGAACGAACATCGCTCTCCGAGATTGCGTCGGCCACAACACGCACACTCTGGTCTCAACAACCAAAGCCCTGGAGCACTATTTCTCAGAGGACAGTGTCCTGATGATTGAAACCGTTCTGCTGGAGAATTGTGTGCTCACCGACAATTTTCGCATCGATGCGGCGAGCGGCTCGATCTCATTCGAACACATGCTGCAGTTCGTGGATCTCTTGCACAAGATCCTTCTCCGATACGAACACGAATATGAGATTCATAGAAAGGTGGTTGAGAATGTGTGGGCGATAACGCCTGCAATGCTCGGCCGCGATCGTATGAGCTACACGATTGTGGTGCTGATGAACAGGCTTCTGGACGTTTATGGAGAGTACAATCGCTCCATTCTCAACTGCACACGACTCGAAACCTCATTTTTGTTCTCGGCGATCCGCGACCAAATAATAATGAGCACGCCGAGCGTTAACGTGCAAAAGCTCGTCCTGTTGACGTTCGAGTGCGTGGAGAGGCAGAAGTACGACAGAGAGGTGGCCAGCCACTTTTTCCAAATCGTCACGGAAGTTGCCGACACCGTGAAGACTATCGTCTGTGGCTTTGATGAAAAGCAGCGAAATAATGCTCAGCTTCTTCTGCTAAGCCTGATGGATGTTATGATGTCGAATTTGACGACACGTTTCGGAAATAATGAAAGAGAAACCTTCGACAACTGTGCCATGTTGACTAGAATGCTCAATTGGGTCCACTGATGCCTTTCGCATTAAAACGAATAATTGTTATTGTGTTTTTGTTCCAAACTTTCGAAATTGCATTATGAATAAGGATAACAAAGAAGTTACTATCTTGGTGGCTCATCTTCCGACGATTCCTAGGACGCTGTTGTTATTGTCCGTCACAACTCTCTCAAGATTTTCTATTTCCTTCGACTTGCTCCACAACAACAATAATACAGTCCGATAATCGAATTACTGCTTCTTATAAATACCCGCTTTTCCACGTCTTTCACATTTCTACTACTACTATTCCTACTGAAGTCGGCGCGAAAACTCTACAGAAAGTGGTCTCGGCTCCATTCTGGTATACTCGTCTTCCTGAATAGAGACGTGCCCACTTTCAGAAGAGTCTACGGCCATTATCATGACACAACCAATGTGTTTCAGCCGAAATACACGTATTTATCCGGCAGAGAATCGAGATAATATCAGTATTTGGGTTGGAACAAGAAAAGTTGTGAATTGTTCGAGGAGACTTGGAAATACTGGGATTTTGAAGGCTTTCAACATAAAACGACGGATAACCGGGCATTTTTAGTGAAATCTCCGAAACACACTAAAAATGAGTTAAATTTTGAGTTCAAACTGATCAGAATCGCCTTCTACAACCTTTCAGGATTTTCTGCCGACTTTTTCAACTAGAAACAAAACCATTAAATTTTACCCTTGTGGTGGTGTCCATTTTGCTGCTGACCGCCGAGAGCGGACATCTGACGAGCGAGTTCGTCAGCAGCGATTTTCCGACGTTCGGAGCGCCGATCACCGCCAATTGCAGACATTTTGTCGGCGGTTGCGTGCTTTTCTGGAAAATTGATAGATGTTTCTGGAATTTTTCACATCTTACCTCGACAATTCCGGACGTGGAAGCTGTTGAGAAAAGTCGGCAGGAGGCCGAGAATCTTTTGATTATCATTATTCTTTCTGTATAAACACAGTTTAAAAAGCAATTGTGAATAGCAAAACAACAATGTTCGAGAAGGAAATCAAAGGTCTGAAGCCTTCTCTCTTCAGAAAAATTCAAAGATGTATCCAAAAAATTAACAATTTTTGGGCGCGGAAAACATGTAGATAACAATGATAACAAGAAATGCAGACAAAACAACGTTTTAGGACATGAAATGGATGTCGGCTTTGTTGAAGGCGAGCAGAAGGGCCAAAAAGTCCTCGACGCGCATCTTGCGGGCGCGCGAATCCGCGTATCCGGACGCCGAAAGCGTGTTTTCGATGAGCGTCTTCATGTTGAGGTCCTTTGGCACTGGCTGCAAATTTAACACATTGTTGGAGGATTTTTAAGGATTTTTCAGATTTTTTTAAAGGATTAGGAAACCTCTGAACCTGTTACAATCGCGGTAAAAGTCGGAAATGTCCAGATTGCTGCCCAGGTATTCTAGAGGGCTCAATTAAGTTAAAAGTGAAGGGCAATAGGCCGTGCTGAGAATTTCAAAAAAATAATTGAGGGTTCCCTGGTCCTTTAGGATAAGATGTTTCTGGATTTTCAGAGATTCTACAATTTTCGCTCACCTTATTCTTGAAACTGCACACTTTTCGGTAGTTGGTCTCAATGATTTCGACCACATTCGAAAGTTTGAAAATCGCCGAGAGCGTCTTGTTTTTGCGCATAAAACACAGACGGAGGAGGCCTTCCCATTCCTGAAAATTTCGGAGAAATTGAAAACAATCCTGATATCCCTAAGAATACCACAAAATTGACTGGCGGCGGCGGATTTTTGGGCGCAATTCTGACGACGGCCGAATCGACTTTCGGCGGCGGACGGAACTCGGTTCTCTTCACTTTCATCAACATTTCCACCTTGGCGAGCAGTTGCACATTTACCGAGAGCCGCGAATAGTCCTTGTCGCCCGGACGGGCCACCAGACGGTCCGCAAACTCTTTCTGGAACATCAGCACTGCGTATCTGCAATTCTGCGAATTGTTGCCTATTTTTTCTTTGAATTACCTTGGCAACGGCCTGTGGAGCAGCAATTTCTGTACAAATGGCGACGAGATTTGATAGGGAAGATTCGCGACGCAGACGTCGAAAAACGGCCATTCCAACTTCATCACATCGCCGCCGTTCACTTGTAGCTTGTTCTGGAGTGGCCTAAAACACATTTTTCCGATTTTCTACCAAATTTTTCATTTCTCACGTTCCCATCACACGTTTTTTGACCTCGGCAATCATTCTCGGATCGATTTCGCACGCGATCACCGTTTTCGCCACTTCCAACATCTTCACAGTCAGATTTCCGGTTCCGGGACCCACTTCCAGCACGGTATCCGTCGATTTCAGCGCCGATTTTTCGACGATAGCGTTCACGACGCCCGGATTCTTCAGAATATGCTGTCCTTTGTCTGTGTTGAAGGGAAGAGCTGAAAAAAATTGCTATGAAAAAAATTCTAGATTTGACTTACATTGTACATTTCCGCTGGATGTTCCGGCCTTTGTCTTCTTCACTTTGCTCGTTTTGCCCATTTTTGTCTGAAAAAGAATGAAAATGGGCTGAAAATCGATGGAAATTGAAGTTTTTGGGAAGGAAATTGGCGATTGCAACTCCATGAGACATTGTCCGAGAGGAGTACACGACGCGGCGGACTAGAAAAGCGCCAAATTCCTAGACCCCGCCGCCGTGGAGTTCTCTCGGAAAAATACAAATTGTGCAATTTTTCCACATTTTTCAAGCAAAAAGCGCTGAAATTTGGGATTTTCTCTATTTTTAGCTCATTGTAAATTTTTTCAGAGTAACATGAGTAGAAAACGAGGCCGTTCGGGCGATGAAACCGCACAAAAGAGTGAATTTGCGCCCAATGTGCCCAAGAAACAGAAAACATTCAATTTCCTGGCCTATCCACGCCGGAAAATCGCCATACAGTACTTTTATCTCGGCTGGCAACACGACGGACTCGTCCAACAGCCAAATACTCAAAATACAGTCGAGCATGTGAGGAAAACTTCTTTTGCTGAGAAATTGTATACAAACGTTTAGCATCTGATGGAAGCGCTTTTGAAGACTCATTTGATTGAAGACTGGTCGAAATGCGATATTTCACGATGCGGAAGAACCGATAAAGGCGTTTCGGCGTTTAGACAAACCACCGCGCTCACCGTAAGGTAGAAACATATTTTTTTCCGAATATCTGCAAAAAACATGTTTAGATCGTGCTGTCTTGCCGAAAACGGAGTGTTTTGGGATGACCGTACGCCGGAAGAGCTCAAAAATCAGTTCAAATCGAAAAGCGAGGAACTTCCCTACATCAAAATGCTCAATTCGGTGCTTCCGAAGAGCATACGCGTGTTTGCGTGGGTGTCAATGTTTGAAAATGTTGAAAAATCTCTCAAAATGTTTCAGATGGGCTCCCGTACCGACTGCTTTCAGCGCCAGATTCGATTGTACACGGAGAACGTACAAATACGCGTTCGCCAGGGCCGGACTCGATTTAGATGTGCAAAAAAGCTATAGAATTTTCTGAAACAATGCCAACTTTTGTAGAAAATGCGTGACGCGGCGGCGCGTCTCGTCGGCGAGCACGATTTCTCCAACTTTTGCCAGCTGGACATGAGCGAGGTGCGTCTGCGGCAGTCGTTCGTCCGATCCATCTTTGATGTCAGTGTGGAGGAGGTGTCGGAGGCCCGCAAAGAGCTGTATTCGATGGTCGAATTGACGATAACCGGCAGCGGATTTCTGTGGCACATGATCAGATACATTGTGACCGTTCTCCACGAGATCGGACGGGGAAACGAGCAGCCGGAACTGATTTCGGAGCTGTTGGACCTCCGAAAATACCCGAGTCGGCCACAGTACACCCTCTCCTCGGACACTCCGTTGTGTCTTTTCGACTGTGGATACCGGGGAATCGAGTGGAAAATTGACGAACACGTGCTCAAGGCGACTATAGTCGGAGTACAGAAACAGTGGGCCGCCTATCAGTCGAGGTTGGGGAATTTAAGACGAAAAAACAGCGAAGAAAATGCTAGAACAGGCCGGAATTGGAATGTTTCGTGGTGCGCGGGCCGTGTTTGTTTTTTCCGGCTGATTCAAGAATTCTCTCCACTGTTTTCCTCGTTTCTCTTCTAGATGTTCACGAGCACATCTTCTAAAAAACAAAAAATTTGGGCGTGGCCTCCGCCGAGCACTTTAAAAAGAAAAATAGTCATTTGACCACAAAATCCAAGAAAAAAGTGCTGAAATCGTAAAAAGTCTGTGGCGGAGAAGGCCACACTCCCCATATTGAGATTGTGTACTTTTATTTCAGAAGCCGAATGTTGGAGAACATGCTCGGCGAGCTGACCGCGATGACGTCAACGGTGGACGAGTCGAAGGGCCTCCACGAATTCGTGCAGGACCGTCCGATTCCGGGGAATTATGTGAAATTTGTCGATCGGAAACGATGCGAGAGTGTTGAGTCGAGAAAGGAGCGGTTGGCGGCGCGGAAAGCCGAAAAAATCGAGGACAAGTAATTGTTTTGTTGTTTTATTGTTGTTTCAGTGCGTTGAAAATTGCTTGTTTTTCTATGCTCGTACATTTTTGAAGCCAAATCGGTCTCTGAAACCGTTGGAATACCGCTTTGAAAAAAATTGCATTTTTCCACTGAAATCCACTTTTCAGACAAAAATGTCAGTGATCAATGATGAAAATGGACGGCCCTACAAGGTGCATTTGTGTAAAGTGAGTTTTCTTTATAATTTCATAAACATTTTGCAAAAAAGGAAAGTTTTAGACAAATATCGCTCAAAACAACAATAAATTCTACGATATGGAGTTGTTGGAGACGTCTGCTGGACACGACGAAAACTACGAGTAATTTCTCAATTTGTGTACAGATTTTTCACGAAAACGTTCAATGTTTAGGGTGAAACTGATCAACGGAAGAGTTGGCTACAAGGGAGTGACGCACGGCAAGACATTCGGGGATTTGGAGACGGCGAAGCACTTTTTCGAGCAGAAATTCCACGAGAAAACCGCTCTGAAGTGGGAGGTGATGACAGATTTTTTTGGCAGCCGTAAGGCTACCTAATTTACCCGGTCTGTAGCAGGTCTAAATTTCATCTATATGTCATATTCACACGCTCAAAAATGCCACCATCTCTTACGTTTTACAACGGATCCTTCAAAAAGAAAAGTAATTTTGTACTTGTTTTGCAGGAACGAGACTCGGAACCGGTCCCGAACAAGTACGTCGTCGTCGAATTGGCGAATAACACGAAAAAAGAGCCGGTCGCACCGGCGGAGCCCGAAAAAAAGGCACGCGGCAGAAAGAAGAAGCTCGCCGCCGAGCCGCCGGAGGAGGCGGAAGAATCGGTGAAACAGCTGATGAAGTGCATTTGCGACGAGGACGTGCACCTGGGACTCCTCAAACAACTGAAATTCAACGAAGAGTTCGGAAAACCCATCGATTGTCTGAGTTTGGCACAATTGGAGAACGGATTCCAGATTTTGAGCACTATCGAGACGGCGATCGGCGGCAAAAAAGGTAGATTAATTTCATTGACGTGTTTTTTCCAAATTTTCTCTTGCAGCGGCTCTCCGCTCGTCAACGCGATCCCGATCCCGACCAGCGGGACCACCACCATCCACCACAAATGTCGTGCACGAGACGAACAAGTACTACTCGCTGATTCCCCACTCGTTCGGTTTCTCGGTGCCGCCGAAGATCGACAGTCTGGCGAGAGTGCAGGCGGAACGGGAGCTTCTCGACGCGCTCAAAGGGTGCATTGAGGCGGCGCAGAACGTGAAGGATCTGAAGAGGACCGGCTCCGAGCGGAACATCTATCAGAGACTCTACGAGCGACTTCCCTGTCAATTGGAGCGAGTTTCCCGCGAGATCGCCGAGAAAATTGGCGATTGCTTGAAAATGCGCGGTCCGACGCACTTTTTCAAACTCTCCTTGATGGATGCGTGGGCGTTGAGGTCCGAACATGATGGTCGCAACGTTGAGGTCCCTGAAAAACGGGCTAGAAGAGGAAAAAAGGTGTCGTGTGAGCCCACAAAACGCCTTCTCTGGCACGGAACCCGCGTGACGAACGTCTTCTCGATCCTCATGAACGGTCTCGAAATCCCAGAAGGCGACCGCTGCGGCCTAATGTTCGGAAACGGCGTCTATTTCGCGAATGTGCCCACGAAATCCGCGAATTACTGTGTCCCCGAGGCCTCCTCGCGTGTTTTCATGCTCCTCTGCGAAGTGGACGTCGCGAATCCGTTGATATTGTACGAGTCGGAGACCGACGCCGCCGAGCAACTTGTCAAGCACGCCAAATCGTCGGTTTATGCGGCTGGAAAGCATACGCCCAGGGAGACTGTTGACATGTTAGTGATCGATAAGAAAGAAGTACAACAATTCCTTACACCTTCCTTTTAGTGATGGCATTCCGGCGTTCAAATCGCAAATCGAAGAGATTCCGGAAGAAACGCGTCTGCTGTACGACGAGTACGTGATGTTCGATAAAGAAAAGTTCAAGATCAAGTACGTGGTCGAGGTGAAAGTGGACAAGTTGACGGCCGCCGAAATGATGGAATAATTCTGAAGATGTTCTGATTTTTCTGTAATTTTTTTCCTACCCCAAGTTTAATCATTCCTACATCTCATTCTCCTTTTACATGCATTTTACATGCATAAATTACGGTTTCTCTTCAATTTTTTCAAGGTTTTACACCTTTTTCATACCTTTCCGATTGCCTTTGTTGCAAAATTTCATGATTATTTTTGTCAGGTCAAATGAGCAGAAGGAAGCTGAAAGCGGTCGAGTACGATCGGGACTATATCAATTTTGATGGTGATTTTTTGAAATTTTCGAAAGAAAACTGAAAACACGTTGCAGATGACGTGGAAGTCCGCCGATTCGTGGCAACAATGGAAGAAGTCTACCTGAAACGACGGGATGAGCACTGGGCCGCCCGTCTTTTGGACGAAACGGATACGGAAAAATGGACGGGCGAAATGGAAAAGTATTTCGAGGAGTTTGGAGCACCGAACGGCTGCTCCAGAGCCTCCGCAGTCGATTATGTGCTCAGTGCGGCCGTTGAAATTGTTTACGAGCAAAAAGGTACCCGAAATCATTTTTTCAGCCCACGCTTTTCGAGGACTTTTTGAGGCCTTTACGTTTGCCGCACTTGCAATAACCCGATCCGACCCGAAGTTTGCAGATTTCTTGAGCCCACGTATTTCAATCCAAGCTCAAGAAGCCTGCAAAGTTCGGTCGGATCGGATTATTGCAAGTGCGGCAAAAGGCCGCGCCTCGGCAGGCCTTTAAAAAGCCTGTGCCGGCCTTTTGCGCAGCCCTGATTTTTCCAGTAAATCCCTCAAATCTCTCTCCAATTTCTAGGGGCTGAAAATTCGAATCAATATTATTCAATCAAAAACTTGTTATAAATTGCAGGCGGCTCGGCGGCTCTCTCAACCCGACAGCTCAAAGATCGGGCGACGCAAGTGCTCTCGGCTCACAGAGACTCTCAAAACGCACTGAATCGGCTGGATTGTGAGTGGAAATGAGCGGAAAAGGAGTGGAGATGACACGTTGGACGGGCAAAACACCGGAAATGCACATAAATTTGCATTTTTTCTCTCGTTTTCCAAAGTAGACGCTTGTTGGCTTCGAGCCCGAATGCATTAGTAGCGACGCCGCCGGAAGAGTACTGTTCCATCCTCCCATTATTTGCCATGAACGTGTGCCAAGAGCTACAAAAAATTTGCAGGAAAATCTCGGAGTCGCTACTAAAACTGCAATTGGCGAGTGGCGATTGATTATGCGCGCCACTCGTGAGAATCGAATTCATTCTACTATTTATCATTGCTCTTTGTTACTAGAAACTGTATTGATCCCTTAAAGTACAAAGCAGCCGACGGTTAACTGGTTTGTGTCTGTGTTTCGCTCTCCCTCTCGCCGTTTGCATTTTAACACCGTTCAAATTCGAATTTCGCTCTAGTCATGAAGAAAAATGGAAAGGCGAATCAGTATACTTCCGGCGGCATCGCAAAATCGCAAAATATCAGCGGGAATGACCACAGAGGGCGGCGGCCGCGGCGTCCACCAGATTTTAGCTAAAAATGAGGAAAAACACCGTGTTCATCCTCCTTCTTCTCAATGTTTCTCAATTCCAGACACTTCTCCGCAATTCGCCGAAAACGCCCGTGCTCTCTGCTCGATTCTTGGTATTTCGCACGCGCATCCGGACCCGAAAGTGCTCATGAGGGCCGCCTGTCTGTACATTTGCGACAATTTGAGCGATGACGTCATTGCCGAGGAGGAGAACGAGGAGGAGTTGAGCAAAAAAGTGCGATTTTTTTGTTTGGGATTTTTTGCAATTTTCGTAATTTTTTTCCAGAAACTCCTCGACCTCAAAGACTTTCCGATCGGAATGGCGGTGCCGAAAAACGGAGCCGCCCACTTTTCGGCTCGAATTTTGAGATTGATCTGTTTGAGACAGCTCCGGGATGTTTCCACAATGGTTAATGATTGTTTTTGGAAGAATTTGTAAAGGATCAGGCAACCGTCCTGTCCGAATTGCCTCGCATTGCCACATTCACTCTCCGATTCTCAGGACGGCCTTTAAACGGAACAGCGCGACGCCTGAGGATTGTGTCGAATACAAAAAGACTCGGACACTGAATGTGTGGCAATAAGAGGCGTTCCCTGGTCCTTTAAAAAAGTGAAATTCGCTCAAGAAGCCCTTCAAGTGGTCAGCAGATGTGATTCAGAGAACGAAAAGCGTTTTTTTTGGAATTCAGAAAAAAAGCAGCTGATTTGACCACCGTCTCACACAATTTTCGAGTAAAAAGACCTCGAAACGCATGACGAGTTTTCCAATTCTCCAATAGTATTGTTCTCGAAATCACCCTTTCTCCCCCCATTATTTTTCCCATTATTTTTCACCACCTGTTCACTGATTTCCAATTTCCATGACAACACAAGCCCCTCCGGCCCGCTTTTCATCATTTCCCAATATTGCAGATCAACGAAACGCTTGTCGAAATTCAAAATCTGACGATTGACATGTCGAAACGGGCGGATTTGCGGCAGATTCAATATGGACGATAATTTTTAAATGTTTTTTTTCTTTCTGCATTGCCTGATTGATTCAAAAACCGTGTTGTTGTTGTTCTCCGCTTTTTCTCGCTGTACCCTCGTGACAGTTCTATACTTGCCAGTATTTTTCTCGAAACGTTCCAGAGAAAACTATGGAATTTAGCATGTCGACACCGGAAACCCGCCACAAACCCAACATTCTGATCACCGGATCGCCCGGCACCGGAAAATCGACGACCGCGCAGCAGGTGGCCGACAAACTCGGATTCGAATTTATCGAGGTAAAAAGTAGGCCAGTCTCGCAAAGATTGCACCTTTCATATTCAAAAAAAAAAGGTTTGAAAGGCGCTCGAAACGATAGCTGTCACCGGGCCTTGTCGATCTCTGTCGTTGTGCATTAAAAATAGTATGTGTAAGAAGCCGTCAAGCAGGCGGACCGTACTCCGCGGCTCTTACCATGGCGGCATTTTTCTGCAATCGCGCTCAACTATGCTCCAAACTGCCTCTATTCTATCGCAGTTCTATTAGAGTGTACCGCGGTTTTTTTTTTAGGTAAACTGTTTTGCAGATCAGCAAAGAAGTGCGCGAGAACAATTTGAACGGCGAGTTCGACGAGCAGTACAATTGTCACGTGTTGGACGAGGACAAACTGCTCGATCACATTTCCGAACGGATGGACACCGACGAGGGCGGCGTCGTCGTCGACTACCACGGATGCGACCTCTTTCCCGAGAGGTTCGCAACCTTTTTCGGCCGTCTTTTTTGATAAAACCATGGACACGGGCCGGCCAACCAACTTTTTATCATTTTCAGATGGTTCGACGTGGTCGTAGTGTTGCGCTGCTCGACGGAAAAGCTGTACGATCGTCTCCAGGCGCGCGGATATTCCGAATTCAAAATCAAGGAGAACGTCGAGTGTGAGATCTTCGGAACACTTCTCGAAGAGGCCAACGAGTCCTACAAGTAGAATATTTTCACTATGTTGACTGCTAAATTAGAAGAAAATGTGGTCTAGATGGACAAAAATAGAGTTTTTCAGAGAAGAAATCGTGCACGAGATGCAATCGGAAACGCCGGAAGAAATGGAGGAGAACGTGGAACGAATCTGCGGTCTGGCGCGCGCTTTCAAAGCCGATCCGAACATGGAACAATAATTTTTTCGCCTTTTTCTCATTTCTCATCTCTTGAACACATATTTTTGCCCATTTCCCACTTCTCACCCCGAATGAAATTTTGTTGAATTTATCCGATTTTTCAGTGGTTTCCAAAGGTTTTACAGCCTCTTTTTGTACTTTGTCACGTTTCTGAATGATTTTCAGCTCTTGATTGCTGCTTTCCCAGAAAATGAGTCAACTTTGGACGAAAATCCGGTACGGAGTGCGCTGGAACCCGGCCGAACGTTTGGCCCTGGCCACGAGAGCTCTCAACTTGGAAAAGGTGCGAATTCTGGGATTCAATGATTGTTTTCTGGATTTCTATGTGAACAACTGGGAACTATGCTTCCGAAATTGCGAAATTATCAATTTTAAACTTTTTCTGTGAATTTTATAAGAATGGCTTTCGAAGCCATAAAAATAGCCAAATTTACAGGCAAAACTCTAAAATCATCCAGAAAAAGCAGTTTTGCAGGTGAAAACGATCGATATCTCGATGGACCCTCTGCACGCGGACAATCTGTCGATCCGCAAGTTCTGGCACTCGATAATGGCGCCGAAAGTGCGGCTGACGAACCCGAACGTCCGTGTGAAGACCGAGATTCGCAACGATCGGCGCGCGCCGTTTTTTGTGGCCACACTCGGTAAAAACTTGAAAATTATCGATTTTTCGAATTCAGCTCATCAAACCGATCATGGCCGCTCACAATGATCCGATCAGTCCCAAACTTTGCAGGCTTCTTGGACTTGGACTGAAGTATATTGGGTCCAAGTAATCCACATATCTCGTGATCAGAGGATCTGATCGGTCTGAAACTTGGACCCAGTATACTTCAATGTACGTCTAACAATCTTGCAAAGTTCGGATCCGATCGGATAATTGCAAGTGGGTCAAAAGTACAGGACACGGGCCGGGCAACGAAAAGCCCTGCTAAAAACCGATCATGTTCATATTGAACAAGTGTTTTCTTCTAGACGACGGTCAAAAATTGCACTTCAACACGGAGAACATGACGGCGATGGACGTGATCATGAACTTCAATCGATTGACCGGACAGCCAGAACTCGGCAAGGCGGGAACGAGGCCGCGAGCCAAGATCTGAGCACAATTATTGCGGTTTAATTTTTTTTCTAGTTAGATCACACGAAATACACAATTTGTTTAAATGATGAGGATTTATAGTTGACAAATGATTCGATATCATATGGTCTTCTGGGCGTTCATAGATTTTCATACAGAAACGCATTAAAAAAAATATTTATTACGAATTCGAATAGAATTGATGCATTTAATAAAAGTCTTCAGGGAGATCATAGGCGACTTGCGCAGCCAAATCAGCGACTCCCTTCCGATCGTCCAACATGAGTATCCTGACTGCGTCCGACATGTCTTCGTCGACGCTCTCTCGAAATTCGGCGAACTGTAGTCCTTCGAGCAGCGTGTAAAGCGCCCAAACGACTGAGGCTTCGAGCGTTCCCTCACTGCTCACGGCGATCCGCACGTCATCGATCCAGTGATCCGTTCCCAGCCACGCGAGGTTGACATTTCTCATGAAGGGACGAGAGTAGACGTCGAGCAGATGACGGTTGATCAGAGTCCGGACGTCTTCCGATAGATCCGCGGGGTGGAGAAGTAGTCGGGAGAGGAGCGAAAATGCGAGAAACGCAATGTTGCACGCGGTAACATCGAAAAACCCGTCGTTATCAGCCGGGATGTCAGCCGATGAGAATTGTCTGCAAAAAATCAATAAGTGTTGATGAACCTTCTCTGAATGGAACTCACTTCAATGTCTCAATTGCCGATGGAGTGCGGAACTCCTCGTGCTTTCCGGCACTTCCGATCAGCCGGTTGAGCAGTTCCAGAACGTCGAGTCGAGTCTTTTCGTTATTCCGTGAATGCCGCAAAACGTCGATGAGCCGTTCGACAAACCCATCCGGCGTTTCGAATTCGAACCGATCCAAAATCAGGCGGATCGATGCGACGCAGCTTTCGATGCACACGGCGAAATGATCGTTTCCGCGTTCCTCCTCCAATGTGAGACTGGACAGAACACACAGAAGACGGTCAAGAGCAGGAGTGATCTGCTCTTGCTCCAAATGACTCAGTGCGCACGTCATTCCGCGGAACATCTCGCCGATCACATCGACTGCCGTCACGTCGTCCTTCTGCTCCATCAGCATGTCCATAGCAAGGAAGAGTATTCGTTGAGAGTTGGCTGGCATGTCCACAAACATTCCGATCCTGTGCGTTGACCACAAATACCACGTGACGTATCGTTTGCAATCGGGATGCGACTGATCGCACGCATCGAACACATCCAAAAGTTTGGCGACCCATTCCGTGATCTTGTCGCTCCAGTCCGTGTCAGCCAGAAGAAGAGAAGTTGTCGATTCAGTTAGTGTCCACAAATTAACAACCGCTTCCCCTTGGATCGTGGCGTCGTTTTTGTAGCGGCGAAGGACGGAGATCATGCATGTCGTGAACATCATAATGTCTTCGAAAGGAATGAAGCCGCCCGTCATGTCGAAATGGAAATCATCCGTGAGCACAAAGCTTTCCTTCAGCACGGCGCCAATCATCTGAGCACTGTGCTCGGAGAGGTAGTGCTCCAGAGCTTTGGTCGTTGAGTTCAGCGAGTTGGTGCTGTACCCTTCGACGCGATTACTGAGATCAATGCCGGTTCCGATTGTGCTCAAATGTTGAATTGTCGGAACGGTCCTCATGATCGTCTCAGCATTATTCTTAGTCAGCCTCGTTTTCGATAAATCAAGGGTTCGGAGCTTGAGCAGTCGGGATCCAGCCTCCAGGCATTGACAGAAATGGGCGGCGACGTCGTCGGAACCATCGGCATTGAATTGGAACGGACTGAAAAAAGTGGGTCAAAACAGTCAACATTTGAAAGCGTTTCAACTTACCATGCCATGTTCAAAACTCGCAGCTCTCTAAGATCAAACAGCTCCGTCATGTCCCGAATCTTGTACGGATTCTCCATGATCAAGACTCGAAGTCCACGCATTCCAGAGATGCCATCCAAACTGTCAATGTCACAATTCGAGACATTCAAGCATTGGAGTCCCGGAAAGCTCTGAGCAAGAACCCGAATGTCGACCGGCCTTCTTCCAGCTACATTCAGGCTCACAAGGTTCGGCAGCACGGATCCAATGGCTCTGAGCCAGTCTCCATTGAAACTTTCGCATCCGCTAATGTCCAGATGCCGGAGGGATTGGCGGGTGGCGGCGTTGAACATCTTCTCGAGGAGGGAGACAATGTCCAGGCTGGTGGGTTCTGAAATTAGAGCGTTCTTCAAAGTTGTACGATTGAATGAAAAGTGTCACACAAAAGTGACAAGCATCTTCCAGGCGAAACGGTGCCGCACGCATTTTGCTCTTCAGTTCGACAGTGAAAAAACAAGTGAAAAAACGTTCGTTGTTGGTTCTAAGTGTTTTTTATTCTGAAAAGAAGATGCAACAAGGCGACAGAATAGGTTTTGATAACAAAAAAATAATTTTCTGCTTTAATTTTCAAGAATTCGGTGTTCAGAGCAATGCGTGCGACAGCGTTGCGAAAACTGCGCGCGCTACTTGCAAGAATTGAACGCTTGAAAGGGGCGGGGCCCCATTTGAACTTTGCGGGCTATTCTCAGGGAGCAGGAACGGTGAAGTGATGATAGATTGTGACTGGATAAAAAATGGACTGGCCCCTCAATATGTAATATAACTCACCGTTCTCAAAGCGATACGCATCCATGAGCAGATTTGTACGGCCGAGTGCAAAAGTCTCGAGCTCCTGCTTGCCAAGAAGTGTCACGTCACTCGACGTCACTTCGACGTTCTTCAAGCTAACCCTGCTCACATTGAGACCGGCTAACTGCTCTAGCAGTCTCTGATTTCGGCCAGTTTCCGGCTTCTTGAGCTGGACTAGTTTCTCGAAGATGGCGTTACTCTGCTTTTGAGAGAAACTCGCGGAGGATGTGTCGATGGAGCCTGAAAACATTGGATTATAATGGAAAATTGGGAAATTGTGTACTTACCATTCAAAATGTACTCGGCCATTTTCGTTGAGGCCAATTGGTGGAGCGATTCGATCGACATTGTTGCACGAAGTAGAGGAGTCACTGGTTAGACCGCAAGAACTAATACGCAATGAATAATGGACCTCGACAGTCGTCCTTATATATATAGTGCTGAGGTGGAGGTGCATTATAACCACCGACGCAAAGGTTCTTTCACGGATATGTGCGCGTTTGCCTCTGGGTAAAAAGGCGAGATCTCTCCCTATTGTGACACAAAAAGACAAGATGTGAACATGTTCAGAGCGTTTTATTGTTATTAAAAATCGTGAAATTAATAAAACGGCGCCTTAGGTAGAAAATAGGCGACTTGCGCAGCCAAATCGGCGATTCCCTTCCGATCATCCCGAACGAGTCTCCTCACGGCGCGAGATATGTCTTCGTCGACGCGATCCGGAATGGAGTGTACTGCAGACCGTCGAGTATGTTGAGCCTCCGGTTTAACAGGTCGGAACGACGACCCCGAAAGACTCCGATAGTCTTGGGTCTGATGGACTGCTTGCGGAAGAGGGAAAGAAAACGAGTAAAATTGTATAAGATGAGCGTGGCGAGACATAACACAAGTTAATAAAGAATTCAAATTTATTTAAGTCGAAAGTATAAGAGGCAAAAGGCCCCGTAGGGCAAAAATCCTCTGGGCCGTGGCCGACACGTGGTCGACGAACGGGGGTGAGGAAACCTGTCGGGAACAGGGGAAAAACCTCAAAGAAAATGCATAGACGGTTTGTTCGCAGCTGACATCGCCCGTAGTGACGACCCGTGGCGTCACGACCGTGGAGATCGTGGGCCTGGGCACAGAGAGCGTTTTGAGCCGTAAACTGGCCCAAAAGGCGGCAAAAAGGAGTCACAAAAAAGGCGGAAGGTTTAGCGGAACAGAACCGGAAAAATGTAAGGTAAAAAACGTCAAGTTTTGACGGAAAAAAAGGCAGCAATTAGCTGGGAAAAATCGTTGTTAGTGAATTAATTATCGAAAAACCAGTAGGATTTTGGGTCGCGGGTCTCGCCACGATAGCCGCGCGCGCGGACGAATGTCGCCGGGCGCGGCGCGTTTAGGAGCGTCGAGAACACGCACAACACGCACTATCAGCTGTATCGATTATTTGGAGGGCGGATTCGCCGAGGAAAGTGATAATTGGAGACAAAATTATGGAATTAAAGTGAAAGAGAAGGGAGAGACATAAATAAAGGGAGATTTAGAGAGAATAAATCGAGTATTTATTGAGCGCTCGGTTCATCGGCCGGTGGAGAACGAGGATTCTCCGGTGGCACCGGAATGAAAGAAGATGCGAAGCCGATCTGTTCGTACCGAGTCGTACGAAGGGCTGGGGCTTCGCAACAGAGTATTGTTTGAAGCGCCCAAAAGATCGGCGCTTCGAGAACAATTTGAACGGCGAGTTCGACGAGCAGTACACTTGCCACGTGTTGGACGAGGACAAACTGCTCGATCACATTTCCGAACGGATGGACAGCGACGAGGGCGGCGTCGTCGTCGACTACCACGGATGCGACCTCTTTCCCGAGAGGTTCGCAACCTTTTTCGGCCTTCTTTTTTGATGAAACCATGTGCATTTTGACCAGGGCTTGGCAATTGGCCGGCGGTGGCCTGGATGTTTGAGGCCCCAAACTTTGATGGCTTCTTGGGCTCCGATTGAAGTATATTGGATTCGATACGATATCATATGGTCTTCTGGGCTTTTATAGATTTCCATACAGAAACGCATTTTTAAAAAATATTTATTACGAATTCGAATAGAATTGATGCATTTAATAAAAGTCTTCAGGGAGATCATTGGCGACGTACGCAGCCAAATCGGCGATTCCCTTCCGATCGTCCAACATGAGTATCCTGACTGCGTCCGACATGTCTTCGTCGACGCACTCTCGAAATTCGTCGAACTGTAGTCCTTCGAGCAGCGTGTAAAGCGCCCAAACGACTGAGGCTTCGAGCGTTCCCTCACTGCTCACGGCGATCCGCACGTCATCGATCCAGTATTCTGTTCCCAGCCACGCGAGGTTGACATTTTTCATGAAGGGACGAGAGTAGACGTCGAGCAGATGACGGTGGATCAGAGTGCGGACGTCTTCCGATAGATCCGCCGGGTGGAGAAGTAGTCGGGAGAGGAGCGAAAATGCGAGAAACGCAATGTTGCACGCGGTAACATCGAAAAACCCGTCGTTATCAGCCAGGATGTCAGCAGATGAGAATTGTCTGCAAAAAATCAATAAATGATGATGAAACTTCTCTGAATGGAACTCACTTCAATGTCTCAATTGCCGATGGAGTGCGGAACTCCTCGTGCTTTCCGGCATTTCCGATCAGCCGGTTGAGCAGTTCCAGAACGTCCAGTCGAGTCTTTTCGTTATTCCGCGAATGCCGCAAAACGTCGATGAGCCGTTCGACAAACCCATCCGGCGTTTCGAATTCGAACCGATCCAAAATCAGGCGGATCGATGCGACGCAGCTTTCGATGCACACGGCGAAATAATCGTTTCCGCGTTCCTCCTCCAGTGTGAGACTGGACAGAACACACAGAAGACGGTCAAGAGCAGGAGTGATCTGCTCTTGCTGCAAATGACTCAGTGCGCACGTCATTCCGCGGAACACCTCGCCAATCACATCGACTGCCGTCTCGTCGTCCTTCTGCTCCATCAGCATGTCCATAGCGAGGAAGAGGATTCGTTGAGCGTTGGCTGGCATGTCCACAAACATTCCGATCCTGTGCGTCGACCACAAATACCAAGAGATGTATCGTTTGCAATCGGGATGCGACTGATCGCACGCGTCGAACACATCCAAAAGTTTGGCGACCCATTCCGTGATCTTGTCGCTCCAGTCCGCGTCAGCCAGAAGAAGAGAAGTTGTCGATTGAGTAAGTGTCCACAAATTCACAACCGCTTCCCCTTGGATCGTGCCGTCGTTTTGGTAGCGGCGAAGGACGGAGATCATGCATGTCGTAAACATCATAATGTCTTCGAAAGGAATGAAGCCGCCCGTCATGTCCAAATGGAAATCATCCGTGAGCACAAAGCTTTCCTTCAGCACGGCGCCAATCATCTGAGCACTGTGCTCGGAGAGGTAGTGCTCCAGAGCTTTAGTCGTTGAGTTCAGCGAGTTGGTGCTGTACCCTTCGACGCGATTACTGAGATCAATGCCGGTTCCGATTGTGCTCAAATGTTGAATTGTCGGAACGGTCCTCATGATCATCTCAGCATTATTTTTAGTCAGCCTCGTTTTCGATAAATCAAGGGTTCGGAGCTTGAGCAGTCGGGATCCATCCTCCAGGCATTTACAGAAATAGGCGGCGACGTTGTCGGAACCATCGGCATTGAATTGGAACGGACTGAAAAAAGTGGGTCAAAACAGTCAACATTTGAAAGCGTTTCAACTTACCATGCCATGTTCAATACTCGCAGCTCTCTGAGATCAAACAGCTTCGTCATGTCCCGAATCTTGTACGGATTCTCCATGATCAAGACTCGAAGTCCTTGCAGTCCAGAGATGCCATCCAAACTGTCAATGTCACAATTCGAGACATTCAAGCATTGGAGCCCCGGAAAGCTCTGAGCAAGAACCCGAATGTCGACCGGTCTTCTTCCAGCTACATTCAGGCTCACAAGGTTCGGGAGCACGGATCCAATGGCTCTGAGCCAGTCTCCATTGAAACTTTCGCATCCGCTAATGTCCAGGTGCCGGAGGGATTGGCGGGTGGCGGCGTTGAACATCTTCTCGAGGAGGGAGACAATGTCCAGGCTCGTGGGTTCTGAAATTAGAGCGTTCTTCAAAGTTGTACGATTGAATGAAAAGTGTCACACAAAAGTGACAAGCGTCTTCCAGGCGAAAGGTATCATCGCTACTTGCAAGAATTAAACGCTGAAGGGGCGGGGCCCCATTTGAACTTTGCGGGCTTTTCTCAGGGGGCAGGAGCGGTGAAGTGAAAAAATGGACTGGCCCCCTCAATATGTAATATAACTCACCGTTCTCGAAGCGATACGCATCCATGAGCATATTTGTACGGCCGAGTGCAAAACTCTCGAGCTTCTGCTTGCCAAGAAGTGCCACGTCACTCGACGTCACTTCGACGTTCTTCAAGCTAACCCTGCTCACATTGAGACCGGCTAACTGCTCTAGCAGTCTCTGATTTCGGCCAGTTTCCGGCTTCTTGAGCTGGACTAGTTTCTCGAAGATGGCGTTACTCTGTTTCTCAGAGAAACTTGTGCAGGATGTGTCGATGGAGCCTGAAAACATTGGATTATAATGGAAAATTGAGAAATTGTGTACTTACCATTCAAAATGTACTCGGCCATTTTCGTTGAGGCCAATTGGTAGAGCGATTCGATCGACATTGTTGCACGAAGTAGAGGAGTCACTGGTTAGACCGCAAGAACTAATACGCAATGAATAATGGACCTCGACAGTCGTCCTTATATATATAGTGCTAAGGTGGAGGTGCATTATAACCACCGACGCAAAGGTTCTTTCACGGATATGTGCGCGTTTGCCTCTGGGTAAAAAGGTGGGGTCTCTCCCTATTGCCACACAAAAAGACAAGATGTGAACATGTTCATAGACTTTTATTGTTATTAACAATCGTGGAATTAATAAAACGGCGCCTCAGGTAGAAAATTGGCGACTTGCGCAGCCAAATCGGCGACTCCCTTCCGATCATCCCGAATGAGTCTCCTCACGGCGCGAGATATGTCTTCGTCGACGCAGATCCGGAATGGAGTGTACTGCAGACCGTCGAGTATTGTTTGAAGCGCCCAAAAGATGGGCGCTTCGAGCTTTTTCCTACTTCTTAGGGCCCTCTTGACGTCATCGATCCAGTATTCGGTACCCAGACAGCTGAGGTCAATACACGATATGGAACGATAAGAGTAGGCTTCGAGCAGATAGCGGTGAACTTCAGTGCCGACCTCTTCGGACAGTGCCCCGGGACGGAGGAGTAGTCTGGAGAGAAGAGAACACGCGAGAAAGGCAATGTTGCAGGCGTCTAGATCGTCCAAACGGTTCTCATCAGTTGAAAGGCCGATCGATGCGGTTAGTCTGAACAATAAATCAATAAGTGATGATGAACTGAATGGAACTCACTTTAACGTCTCAATTGCCGATGGGGTGCGAAACTCCTCGTGCTCTCCGGCATTTCCGATCAGCCGGTTGAGCAGTTCCAGAATTTCGAGTTGAGATTTTTTATTGTTCCGTGAATGCCGCAAAACGTCGATGAGCCGTTCGACAAACCCATCCGCCGCTTCGATTCCGAATCGATGCACAATCTCCCGGATTGACATGAAGCAGCTGTTGATGCACGCGGTGAAATGCTCGTTTCCGTGTTCCTCCTCCTCCAGTGTTAGACTGGCGAGACAATCGAGACGAGTGCTGAGAAGAGCACTAGCTTGCTCTCTATCGGAACGGCCGAGTGATGAATAGCGTATAACGTATGTCGTTCTGCGGAACACGAGCGCTAATGACTCGACTGTCGCTGCGTCGTCCTTCTGCTCTATCAACATGTTCACCGCGAGGAGAAGTACTCGCTGAACGTCGACTGGCGTGTCCGTAAATATTCCGTCTCGGTCGCCCCACAACAAAAAATTGGTGACGAATCGTTTCCGGTCGGCGTTCGAGCGATCGCACGCATCGAACACATCCAAAAGTTTGGCGACCCATTCCGTGATCTTGTCGCTCCAGTCCGCGTCAGCCAGAAGAAGAGAAGTTGTCGATTGAGATAGTGTCCACAAATTCACAACCGCTTCCCCTTGGATCGTGCCGTCGTTTTGGTAGCGGCGAAGGACGGAGACCATGCATGTCGTGAACATCATAATGTCTTCGAAAGGAATGAAGCCGCCCGTCATGTCGAAATGGAAATCATCCGTGAGCACAAAGCTTTCCTTCAGCACGGCGCCAATCATCTGAGCACTGTGCTCGGAGAGGTAGTGCTCCAGAGCTTTGGTCGTTGAGTTCAGCGAGTTGGTGCTGTACCCTTCGACGCGATTACTGAGATCAATGCCGGTTCCGATTGTGCTCAAATGTTGAATTGTCGGAACGGTCCTCATGATCGTCTCAGCATTCTCTTCGGTCAATGCCGTTTTCGATAAATCAAGGGTTCGGAGCTTGGGCAGTCGGGATCCATCCTCCAGGCATTGACAGAAATGGGCGGCGACATCGTTTGAACCATCGGCGTTGGGACTGAAATAAAGTGGATGAATAATTCAACTTTTAAAAGCGTTTCAACTCACCAGGCCAAGTTTAAAACACTAAGATTTCTCAGCTCAAACAGCTCCGTCATGTCCCGAATCTTGTACGCATTCTCCATGATCAAGACTCGGAGCCCTTGCAGTCCAGAGATGCCATCCAAATTGTCAATGTCACAATTCGAGACATTCAAATATTGGAGGCCCGGAAAGCTCTGACCCAGCGTACGAATGTCGACCGGTCTTCTTCCAGCCACATTCAAGCTTACAAGGTTCGCGAGCACGGATCCAATGCCTCTGAGCCAGTCTCCATTGAAACTTTCGCATCCGCTAATGTCGAGGTGACGGAGGGATTGGCGGGTGGCGGCGTTGAAGGTTGCGCTGAGGAGGGAGACAATGGACACGGTGTGCAAGTCTGCAATTATTGGCACATAGACTCGTTCCTTTTTTAATCTATTATAATCTTATCTTATCTAGATTATATCTAGATTATAATCTAATTAATTACCCTCCTCATATTTGTCTAGAACACCCCCCGCATCCGTGTTATCACTCACCGTCCTCAAAGTGATACTCGTCCAGGAGCCGATTTGTGTGTCCGAGTACAAAGCTCTGCAACTCCTGCGTGCCAAGAAGTGCCACGTCACTCGACGTCATTTCCACTTGCTTCAAGTTGACACGCCTCATATTGAGACCGGCTAACTGCTCCAGCAGACGCGCATTCTGTTTCGTTTCCTGCCGCTGCCTGAGCTCAACTAGTTGCTCGAAGATGGCGTCGCTCAGTTTCCAAGAGAAAACGACAGACGATGTGTCGATGGAGTCGAAAAACGTTCGATTATAGGTGGAAAATCGGGAAAGCCAGGGGGGGACTTACCATTCAAAATGTACTCGGCCATTTTCGCCGAGGCGATGCGAACGAGCGACGGGACCGACATTTGTACACAAGTAGTAACTGGAGTGACAAAATAGGGGACACGTGCGTTGCGGTCGCGTCGCGGATTTATTGAAGTAATTATGCACCTGCATCGAGGTTCTTGCACGGAAAACGAAGACAACTCGAGGATTTGTGAGCACAAAACACTTGAAAATTCAGTGTGGAAGCAAACTGTTAGCAAATACTTTATAAGCGGAAAAGAACACGTTTTATATGTATATATATATTATCGATTATCAACAATTATTGGCACACACACACAAATCCATCACTTTTTTGGCCAAACTGGCAATCTCTTCACGAGTATCCGACGTCAATGCGCGCACAGCTTCGACAAACGCCTCATCTCCGAGAATCGATCGTCCGAGTCCGCCGCAAATCGTTCGGAGCGTCCAAATCACGGGCGCTTCAAGATGTTCGCTCGAACTGCTCTCCACAATCGCCCTCCTCATGTCGATCGTCCACGAAATTTGCTCCAGCTCCATTTCGGGCAGCGTTTGCGGCAGATTACGGTAGAAATCGAGCAGTTGGCAGTGAATATGGACGCGCGCCTCTTCTGCGATCCGCTCCGGCGACAGAAGAAGGCGGCAAAGGATCGTCGAGGCTAGAAACGCGCGATTGAACGCCGACTCTTGCGAATCATCGCGATCGTCCAAGAACCATCCCAACGCCGATTGTCTGTAAGAAGAAATGAGCCCAAATTGGAACAATATTCGTAACAATGAGGCCTACCGCAAAGTCTCCAGCGCCCCGGTCGCGTAGAATTCGTCGTGTGCTCCCGGAATTGCGAGCAACCGATTCAGAACGACCATAATAATCGTTCGGATGTGATTGTCGTCGTGTGATCGGTGTAGAAGCTCGAAAAGTCGGCTCACAAAACCAGCGGGACCAGTTTTGAATGCCGACTGACTTATCAGCTCGATGATCACAAGAGCACAATTCAGAAACGAGCATTTGACGTGGGTCTCGTCTTCGAGCCACTCCTCCAGATACTGCATCAGAACATCGAGCGTCCGCATCAGACACTCCAACGTTTCATTGATTTTCTGCTCGCCAAATCCATCGAATAATTGTCGCACGTTTTCGGTCAACACCGTCATCAATTCGATCGCCATATCGAGGAGTTCGTAGTTATCGCTCACCGTCATCATGATCTCTATGATAAAGTCGAACATCCGGAGAACGTTGAGGTTCGGCGTGTCTAGTGGGAACGAATCTTTGAGCGTCGACATTAGAAAGAGAATAGCGCTCGATTTGAAGTAGGTATCGGAGCGGAGATGCGGTTCGAAACAATCCAACAGTTTGTGGACGAGCTGGACAATCTTGTTGTCCTTGGCATCCGAATCCGGTTCGTTGGAGATTTGCATGAACATCAGCGGCACCATCACCGTTAAATTCTCGACCATTTTATCGGGAGTCCATGAATCGTACTTGTAACGATGTAGAATTGCGGGCGTCAGGTCCACAAACTGCTCCATCGCCTCGTATGCCTCTTTCTCGACGTATCCGAGCCTCACGTCGTATTGAAAGTCGGCGGTGAGCGCGTAACTTCCATTCAGCACGACTCCGAGCATCTGGACGCTGTCCTCGGCGAGATAGTGCTCGAGCGCCCGGACCGTTGAGCTCATCGATTTGAGATTGTACGTTTCGAAGCAGTCGCAAAGACAAATCCCGGTATCAATAGAGGTCAGGTGTCGAATTGTCGGAGTGGCCCTCAGGATCGTCTCAATGATCCTTTCTGTCAATGTGGTTTTCGAGAGATCCAGGTAGCGGAGCTCTGGGAGACGGTGCCCGGCCTCCAGGCACTGACAGAACTTGACAGCCACGTCGTTAGAGCCATTGAGACGGTATCGGTGCGGACTGAAAACAAAGAATATATATTTAGAGTTGAAGAACTGCTCTACGACTCACCACGACAAGTTTAAAACTCTAAGATCTCTCAGTTCGAACAGTTCCGTCATATCTTGAATCTTGTACGGATTCTCCATAATCAAGACTTGGAGCCCACGCATTCCGGAGATTCCGTCCAACTTTTCAATGTCACAATTCGAGACATTCAAGTATTGAATTCTCGGAAAGCTGTGCGCAAGAATCCGAACGTCGACTAATCTCCTTCCAGCCACATTCAAGCTCACCAGGTTCGGGAGCATGGCGCCAATCGCTTCGAGCCAATCTCCTTTGAATCGTCCGAATCCACTAATGTCGAGGTGACGAAGGGATTGACGGGTGGCGGTGTTGAACATCTTGTTGAGGAGCGAGACGATGTCCAGGCTGGCCGGGTCTGAAAGACGCTTTTTTGTGAATGACCAGCCGTTTTTTGTGGTTTAGTATGTGTGCAAACGACATTTTCTTTCTCTCCGCTTGTAGCAGCCGATTCTCACCGTCGTCAAAGTGAAATGCGTCCAACAGCAGATTTGTGTTGCCGAGTACAAAACTCTCGAGCTCCTGCTCACTAATAAACGCGACGCCACTCATTTCCACGTGCTTCAGATTGATTCGATTTGTGTGGAGTCCGGAGAGTTGTTGCAGAAGTTGCATATCGTGTGGATTTTGGAGCCTAACGATTTGCTCATAGAGCAAATTACTCTGATCTCGCGAGAAATGCATAGTCGATGTGCTGATGGAGCCTGAAAAAAAGTGGATTCGGAAGACGTTTCAACACGAAGAAAGCATGCAAAATTACCATTCAAAATGTGCTCGGCAACTTTTCGGGTTGACAATTGGAACAGCGTCGGAACGGACATTTGTACAGGATTTCGATTTCGTGGATTTCGGACACACTAGCCGGTTGGACCGTACAAGAATGAGTGAATGAGCGGTGCGGGTCAGGAACCACATTGATTTTCGCCTGGAATACAACCCAGAGGGACCAATGCGTTGCGCTACACTCATTGATTTTCGCGTGTTCTTGCGTTTCCCGGTGGAATCTTAACCTTACGGTGGTGTACTGTAGCTGGACCCAAAATTTCAAGAGTTTCAAAGTGATGAAACTTCTGACTTTGTGATGATGTGTAAAATGTGTAAATGGGAAATGAAATGGCAAGTGGCGTCGAAATTAATCACGGTATCATTTGTACTCCTCGTGCGTCAATCCTTCCCATTTCATCTCGTTCAGACAGGGCGGGGGGGGATCCACTGAATCCGTATAAAACGCGCCTCAACTTCTTCATTCCAATTCGAAGCCGAATGCCGTTCAATCTGTGCACCAACATCGCCCTATTCGCGCTTGTGTTCGTCGTCATCGCGCTCATCGGAATGTTCCAACACATCGACTACAACGGCGTCATTGACGCTCGCTCCAACTTGGGATTGCACATTCCCAGCGAGAAGGACGAGCATGCCACTTTGATCTAGTCATCGTCTTGTCGATTCATTTTGTTTAGTGTACTGAACACTCGTGGTTTCAAGACCACTGTACTAACAGGAAGTACATTGAGGACTTTCCAAAAACTTTGCTCGCACTGTCTTAACCCATTTTGGAGCATTCACCTAACCTTACTGTATGATCTTCAAAGGACCACAAAAGTCTACAGAATTCTAGATTTTCTCATTAAAGCCTATTTAGGCCTGTTTTAGTCGAATCGAATCTCTAAACCATTTGTACACTCCTTCAAATTTGGTCCCTAGGACTCTTGTTGAAAATAAAATATTGTAGCAGTACATCTGAACTAATATTGTCTCTTATTACGTGCATTTGTGAAACATGTGTTCTGTCGATAAAATCAATAAAGATAAAATCAATAAATGAGGTCAACTGAAAATATGGCTCGACTTGGTGCCAGAGTTGAGCGGAAGAACACGGAAGATTTTTCATATCTTTTTTAGAAAATTTTTTCATGGAATGTGATCAACTGACGAAATGTATAGCAAAGTGAACTCTGCTCATCGAAAAATAATTGTAAATTTAGCTTTTCATACAAAAAAGTTATTCTTTCCGTCTTCCGTTAGCCGCCTTTTTTCACGGAACAACTCGAATAACTTTTTTGTATGAATAGCTAAAATTACAATTGTTTTTCTATGAGCAGAGTTCAGTTTGCTATACATTTCGTCAGTTGATCACATTCCATGAAAAAATTTTCTAAAAAAGATATAAAAATTCTTGCGTGTTCTTCCGCTCAACTCTGCTTGGTGCGTTCCGGAAATTCTTCATCGTTCTGCACAAAAACCGTCTTGCTGGCCATCGTTTTCAAGTTGGCTTCTTCAAAATTTCCGGGCACAAACTGGAACTTCTGAACTCAGCCCTGTCCAAGTTCGGTGTCAACTCGATCACTTTCCGCCGTGATACGTGAGTTTAAAAATGCAAATTTGTATCGTACTCACAGTTTCTGACTTCCTACAAAAAAACACTCTCTTGAGCACAATTTCGAATGACATGGGCACAGTGAAAACACGTGATCCCCATACAAAATGTACGTGAAAGCATTCGAATCATTTTTCAAAGTAATGACACTTTCGTTGGTATCCAAGTTTATCGAAGAGAATGTGAAAGAAGCGGAGCGACAATATAGAAAAGTAGTCGAGTATTGCAAGTTGTAATTCTACTTTTTTTGCGCGTCTACAATATCGATTTCCAGAAACACAAACACAACGTTCATCGACAAAGATTTTCCGCACACTCGACGATCCTACTACTCGGCTCGGCAGGAATTTTTGTGGTTTTTGGAGAATTTGGTTCGAACTTTAAAACATAAACTTTAAAACAAACGCTCTCAAATGCAGAGCATATCACTCTACCTGTCCGAAAAGGTCACATGGACGCGGCCGGTTCTCAATCCAATGATATCGAGAGATTTCCATTTCAAGCCGTGGTCCGTCATGGACGCGCCGACGCCCTCGGAAATCGTGCAGAGAGTGCTGCCCGACTGTGGACTCATCGCCGCGTTGATGTCGATCGCAATGCATCCGGAAATTGTGGGCGCACTGATGCCTCGCAAAGAGCTGTCCGAGTACGGGGTGTACCAAGTGAGATTGTGTGTGGACGGCGAGTGGAAGCGCATTCTCGTCGACGACTGGTTCCCCAGGTTCGTTGTTGGACTGAAAGGCGTTTTTTCCAATAGGAATCAGGTTGGTTTTTTGGGTGATCACCGATCAGCATGCGACTTTGCTTTGGTTTGAGTTCAGCTCTGGCCGTGTCTCGTCGAAAAAGCGGCTGCGAAACTCTGCGGAACGTACCACGCGTTGTACGGCTTTGATGGAGGCGTCGCGTTCCAATGGATCACCGGCGCGCCCACAACCAGCTACAATTGGTACGTGCGTCCGGAAATCGTGGCAAACCTCTGGGACATACTGCATTCGTCGAGTCTTCACGCTTTTCCAATGACGTGTGGCTCGCAACATGTCGTCTTGGACGAGGAGTCGAGCGGAATCTGTCCCGGACACATGTACTCTCTGCTCGACGCGCTAGAAGTGGACGGATTGCGGCTCGTCCGTATCCGCAACACGTTTGGCAAGTTGATTTGGAAGGGAAAATGGTCGCCGACGTGGGACGGATGGACGGGACGGGAGGATTTGCAGCAAGAGCTGATGATGAGAACGGCGTGGATCGACGACAGCTTCTGGATGGAGTACGATGACTTTGTGAAGTATTTTGATCAAGCGAACGTGTGCCGCGCCCGTCCCGAATGGTTCGTCACCCGAATGAGCCTCGTCGTGGATGGCAATGAAGAGCAGAAGCCGGTGAAAAATGTGCTCAAAGTCACAGTCGCGACTTCTTGTGACGTGGCAATTACCGCCTACCGTCGTGGAGTGAGAACAACGGGAAGATTCCCGTTCATCACGTGGGTCCTCATACACTCTGTGAAAAGTGATGGCGAAGGACCGGGCGAGCTCGTCAGCCGGTCCGTTCTCAGCAGAAACTGCACCGAGGACATTCGTCTCACCGCCGGCGCCTACTTTATTCTGCTCACCGCTCTGGGCACGAAACGAACACACCGAAACGTGGCGCTTCATAGCTCGGCGCCGTGCAAAGTGGAAATGGTTTCGATGAGTCGCGGGCAGTTGGCGGACTCTTTCCAGAAGCTCGTTTTGCAGTACGGTCACGAGATGCGACTTTCGGTGCGTTTTATGCCAAATCAACTAGCTTTACAAGTCTAACGGAATGATTTCAGCGCCAAGACGTGAGCATCAAGACGTACCTATCGGATGATGGCAGTTATATGGTGATCATGGCCGAGAACTACACCCGCGACAAGTTCTTCCATGTCCAGTAAGTTCACCTCTTTCTTGCACAACTTTTTTTCCAATGAAAACGATTTTCCGACTTTACTGCAACAAAATGGACACATATTGGTTTTCGCGTCTGCCGACCGACTATGATGTGTGGTTCGGCGATTCGATTCCTCCAAAGTCTCGACAAGTTTTGTTGGTCGTCTACCGTAACCCTTATTGGCGAGTGCCCGGATTCCCGATGCATGTCGAAGTGGGCGTTTCGGACTTTTCACTACCTAACCGACTCTTTTTTTTCAGTACTACGTGACATCGGAACCGACGACGGTGAAGCATGTGCCGGAGATACACGACAATCATTATGCGCATCGAACTACCACTTTGTTTTGAACAAATTATTTTGCTGGCACTTTAAAAGCTTGTGCTCTAGAAGATTTCAGATGAGATGGACGTCTTCTGAATCTGTCAATAGTCGCTAGATTTTCAAAATGAGTCTAACGTCCCAACCCTCACACAACTCCAAAAATGTTTGCGACGTGTAGTAGGGTCTGACCACAAATGTGCTGATAAAAGCTATTTGTTGATAGCCGTATCGTCGTCTTGTTGTCGCCTAAAATGCTCTTCTGATAAGAATAACGAGCCTGTTTGCCATCAGACACCACCAACGTAATTGTGGGCGGTGCTTGGCGTAGAAGTGTTGTATAAAAGTTGGGATGACGCGTAACTCTTTAGATATTGTTCTATTCGAAGTCTGGCAACATGTCGAAGCCCGCCGAGCCAATCGAAGAAGAGGAGTCGGAGCCCATCGTCGATGATGCCCCTGAAGAGCTCACGGAGCCGCTGGAGCCCAGAAGAAGTCGGGAACTGCTTCAAGAAGCCGGTTTGGAGTCGAGGAATCTCGAGGTCAAGAAGACGGAGCAAAAAGAGCATTGGCAGCCGACTCGGCCACTCACCAAGACGATTTTGCAAATCGCCAAAGAAGAGGGTGATGTTTTGAGCCAAGAGTCGTTGAGTAAGCGCCTTTTCATCTATTGTAAATGATCACACACTTTTCAGAGTTGATCGACAGATCCACTCCGACCGTTCGTAACTATTCGTCGAGTTCCGAAGACGTTGCCGAGGCGATGGAGAAGATCAAAGAGTGGATCGATATAACGAAAGAGTTCTCGGATGCGGGCGCGGTGTTCTTCGAGAAACTCGCCGATAATCTGGAAGTGTTCGGCACTATGGGATCGCTGGTGAAAGTGTTCATCACTTTGACGCAACCGCACAAGGAAGATCCGATTATGAAAGAGCTGGGCGTGCTCAAGAATCAATTGCAAACTGTGAGCTGGAGGAGAACCCGGTCTCTCTCAAATCATGTGTCATTTGTAGTTGTCGGATAGCATGACGCATCAGTTTAGCGAGTTGAAGGGATTCATCGTCGAGCAGCAATTCTTCTCGGTACGCTGCTCATGGAGATTATTGTGCTCATTCAATATTTTCAGAGCTACGCCCACAAAGCGACCGTCCTATTCGAGTACATGCTCGACACGCTGACAACTGCTCATCCAAAAGCCAAAGAGCTGTTCGAGACCGAGTACAACAGCAGGCTACCCGTCACTTTTGTCACTGTACGTTCACGTTTCCCAAACTTTTTGCGGAATTCGACAATTCAAACAAAAACCAAATTGTCAGGAAATGCTGGCAATGCTCGAAACCGACGCTACGAACCCGCTAAAAGTGAACATGAACGGCGATGAGCTCATGTCAAGTGCCACGTTTAACAAATGGACGGATGTTCTGAACAGTACTCTCACACAATTTGTCAGTTTTGTTGAGTCCGTCACAAAAACTGTTCAATTTTAGTTGGTGCTCGAAACGTTTGCTGCCGGATTCCTTCATCCGGACGACAAGTACATGGAGCAGAAGATCATCGAGAAAATTGCGCGGTTTGTGACGCTTGTCAAAAATTGGGACAACGACTACCGGACCGGATCACACTATTGGCCGAAATGTGTTGAGCAACTGGTGTACAAGATTCAAGATGACTCGTCGTTTCGTAGAGACGAGGATAAGATCGAGGAGATTCAGAAGGGACTGCTAAAGATTCATACAAAGTGAGCCAAACGATCCTTGAAGCTACGCCACTCAACTTCTAAACGTTCCGTGTTCAGTGACCTCTTCTACGTCGTCTGTTTCGCTCCAAATCTTCCGTGGCATCGAGTGATTTTCCGGCCCGAACAAGTGTTCTGCTCTCTGAAACGTGGCGGCTACAACGTGTTCGTCTACCGATGCACCAAGTACGCGCCAGAAGACGTCAAACGACTGACGGACCGAATGCACAGTCGCATGATGAACTTTCGCACGAGACAGAACTATGACGCGTGGCTCGTCGAGGCGTATCTCTACGGATGGACGAACAACAGTCTCGGCGAGAACGCGTTCATTATGGTCATCACGTCGGGAAACGTGGCGACGAGATGGCCGAAGAACGTTTCCAACGGTCCCGGGGTGTTCACTTACGAGTCGAGACTCCGCAAGACTTCTCTGTTTGGCGGCACTTATCCGGTTTACATTTTCGTTGGCGCTGTTAATGTCAAGTAGAGGTTTTTCGAATTTTGTTTCTATATTTTTGTTGTCTGCTGTATAAAACTGAAACTCTCCATTACTTCATCGTTTCGCACACAACGCTCTTTCTTCTTTTACCCGGTCACCCCATGGAGACATGCACTACACAAATCAATAGGAGATTCGAACGACTTTGTGCGGACCACCGAATGAAGAGCGCCCAGACAGACAGAGAGAGAGAGAGAAGGAGGTCAATACGAATAACAGTGTGAGCGTGAGCGTGCGTGCGCTTTTGAAGGAAAATCACACGTTTCCATAGTGATAATCGAGTTATTCAATCAACTCGCTCAATATTCCGTATTTTTCAAATTTTTTAGCATTCACATTCTCTGCTCATCCCATTCGACCGAGATTTTTGCACTTGTGACACTGTACACTATTTTCCAGGACGGTTCTTTCTGAAATAAAAAAAAGTGATGCCCGAAATCGCACCCTTGACCCTTTTGTCAGCTCAAAAGGTAGCCGAACTCATTGAGAACGGTTAGTTCTATGCCAAACCTGAACCAAACTTTAAAACACACACAACTTTAGACGCCCTCCCAATCAAACTTTGCATCAAACTTTCCGACAAAGCGAGCAATCAAGTGCTCGCAGTTTTCTACGATAATTATGGGGACCTGAACGAGCGCACGTGGAAGACGATCTATCTGAGCGGAATGTTTGCGCCGAGCGTGCTCGACCTCGGCGGTGTGCCCATCGGATGGAACGAGTTGCCGGCGTGCCAGAGCGGAACGTACACTCGATTCAAGTTGGGCCATCGGCATCGAACGGAAAGAGAAGAAGAAGTGGTCTCGGAGGCGGCGCTCTTGTTCAGGGTGCTCAACGAGACGTCGTGGGACCATCTGACGGGCCTGGATTGGAGCGGACGGCGTCGGCTCAAGTGGTACTCCGCCGCGACGGTTGGTTTTTAGTTTTGAAATGTTTGACATAGTTCTCACTTATTTGACTCACTTTCCGCCAATTTGATCTAGTTAACTTCATTTGCCCCATCTTACCTCGTTTCCCCTGGTTTCATTCACAATATATTCCAGATGTTGAGCTCGTTTCCGAGTTTGACGACGCTCAACGTGGCCAATCAACAAGTTCCGAGCCGTGCTGTACCGAAAATCGCCTCCAACTGCCCTCAACTCAGACATCTGAACATCTCGGAGACTGGCATCCAGAACATCGGGCCACTGGAAAGACTGGAGCATCTGGAAGTACTCATCATGCACAATTTGGACGTGGAAAGTGGAGTCGATGCACTGAAAAGTCTCCGAAAGTTGCGAGTGTTGGATATGTCGACGAGTGAACTTACGTAAGTGAGAACAACTGAACGTTGTGTTGATTTCGCGTTTCAGACACACACTCCCCGCTTTGTTTGTCGTCGAGCAATCCAGAAACGGAGCCGCAGCTTCTCCGTGGCGCGAGCTCCGTTCCATCGACATTGGCGGCTTGGAAATGAGCCCGGAGGCGATGCGAACTATCATCCGAGCCCATCCGAAGCTCGGCGAGATCCTCATACTCGACAACACTGCTAGTCGCGTCGTGATGGAGCAACATCATCTGTGGCCCGGGCTCCAAGTGCTCGGTGAAATCGACCTCCTCAAGCGCTACCTTGCGTTGGATCGTCCGGCGTTTCTGTTGGCGATCCTAGAGTCGATGCAAAATTCCACTCACCTTCTCACACCCGAGCACCGCTACGACCTGCTCAAGATCAGCCTGAAAGTGTCGAGAAAGTACGCAAAAGTGGACGAGCAGTTGATGGAAATCTCGTCTGAATTGACGGAGCAATTATGGGAGGACACGTCCCGCAAACTGTCGAATGCCGAGTTTCAAAGGGCCGTCGGCATGCTGCTCGACATTGCCGACCAGATTGAGCGCGATCAAGACACCGACCAACACATTTGGCCCATTCTCGCCTGCGAGAACGTTCTCGAGAGGTATGCCGATCCGGTGCGACTTGGACGCGCCGCTTTGAGGATTTTGCGGGAATCATTCGCGACGTACATGATCTGTAATCGGATCGTGCTCCACCTCATGCGTACGATGTCTTCGCAGCAAATCAAACAGTTGCAGGTGCATGTGGGGCACTTCAGGGCCATGTTCAGTGCTTTGGAGGAGTTTGCAGGTGAGCCGCATTGTTTCACACCGATTTCCCCTCAATTCATGTGTTTTGCAGACTTAGAAATGAAACCGAATGTTCGATGTCTGGTGTTCCTGATTGAAGCGGTGGCAAACGCCGATACGAGCCTAGTTACCGCGATTTTGGCGTTCGGCGGACTCGGCCGTTTTGCAAAAGTGCTGGTTGTGTGCGATTCGGACCAGGAGTGCGAGCAGGCGGCTCTTCGAATGACGCGCCAACTGTTCACGAGAAGATTCGGAAAGGGCGAGATACCGAAACTGTCTGATCAACTTTATCACGTTCTCGCGTGAGTTTTTTGACTGTTGTCTAGACGAGTGTGCACTTCATTTCAGAAAATTGATGGTCAGAGACATCTCGAGCCACGAAGGACTGTCCGTCTCCTACATGTGCGTTCACACCCTCCTCGCGGCGTCGGCGTTCCCGAGAATGTGGGATTCGCCCCACTTGATCAACATCGCCGATAAGGCCATCGTCCGCCTCGTCGCCAATTACCCGCCTTCCGCGAATATCGGGATTGGCTGCGATGAGCTTTGCCGGCGTATTGAATGGTGTTTGGAGGAGAGAAACTTCGGCTCTCGTCTCATGTTCGCCCTGTGGAATGTGTTGATGGGATTGACGACGGTGCCGGAGTTCAAGGAGAAGTACGACGCGTCGAACGTGAAGCAGTTGGTCGAGGAGATCGCCTGCGGAATCATCGAGTTAGAAGGATCCGAAAAGATTGTCAAGATGGCCCAGAGTATCGTGACGTTTCGCGATTCCAATCCTTCAACTTACCCCTCTTCAATCTAATAAGCCGTTTTCCTCGTGTACCATTTCGTTTGCCAAATGTCTTTCCTCTTATTTTCCTTACATGTATTACATTAAACGGACTTCTACTAGACCTCTGATAGTATTATAGACCCCCGTCACTGCCATAAAAATGTTTCACTTTTCTTCAAGAAGCTTCCAAGCAATCGGGGTTCGATTTCCCACGAACGCAGCTACTTTTTTAGTTGATTTTAATCTTCGTTTACTCCATTAATCGAAAGGAGACGCGTTTTTGGCTCTGTTTCTATGGAAGCGCGTGCACTAGAGTGTGAACGGTGTGTCGAAGGAAGAGGGACCAGACAGACAGACCGAGAGAGAAAGATATATACGAATAAATGTGTGAGCGTGAGTGTGTGTGTGTCTCTGTGAGCGTGCGTTTTCAAAGGACAAACACACTTTTGCATATTTACAGCAAATCGAATTGACCGAGATTCGATTTTTTGAGAAAAACGCTTGTTTTTGCACTTGTGAAACAATGTCACCCAATTATTTGTGCGAATTTTCAGAAAACATGCCAACAATTCCATCTCTGACCGGCTTGGCAGCTGAGAAAGTTGGCGAACTTGTGGACAACGGTTAGTCTACACATTTTTCATTCATTTTTTTCCACACAATTCCAGACGAACTCCCAATTAGCAGCGCCATCAAACTTTCCAACAAAGCGAGCAATCAAGTGCTCGCGATCCTCTACGATAATTGTGGGGATCTGAACGAGCGCACGTGGAAGACGATCTATCTGAGCGGAATTTTTGCGCCGAGCGTGCTCGACCTCAGCGGAGTGCCCATCGGATGGAGCGATTTAGCGGCGCGCCAGAACGGAACGTACACTCGATTCAAGTTGGGCCACAGGCATTGGACGGAAAAAGAAGAAGACGTGGTCTCGGAGGCGGCGCTCTTGTTCAGGGTGCTCAACGAGACGTCGTGGGACCATCTGACGAGCCTGGATTGGAGCGGACGGCGTCGGCTCAAGTGGTACTCCGCCGCGACGGTATGGTTTTGTGTGCTGACCTAGTTTTGAGAAGTTTCACCTTGTTTTGATAGATTTGACTCACTTTCCGCTAATCTACATAGTTTTCACCTATCGTAACTTCATTTGCCCCATTTTACCTCGTTTCTCCTCGTTTCAATCACAATATATTCCAGATGTTGAGCTCGTTTCCGAGTTTGACGACGCTCAACGTGGCCAATCAACAAGTTCCGAGCCGTGCCCTAACCAAAATCGCCTCCCACTGCCCGCAACTGAAACACCTAAACATTTCGGAGACTGGCATCCAGCACATCGGGCCACTGGAAGCACTGGAGCATTTGGAAGTGCTCATAATGCACACCTTGGACGTTAAAAGTGGAGTCGAAGCGCTGCAAAGTCTCCGAAAGTTGCGAGTGCTGGATGTGTCGGCCAGTAAACTTGCGTAAGTGAGGCCAACTGAACATTGTGTTGATTTCGCGTTTCAGACACACAATCCCGGCTATGTTTGTCGCTGAGCAGTCCAGAAACGGACCTTCTCCGTGGCCCGAGCTCCGGTCCATCGACATTAGCGGCCTGGAATTGCCCTCGGAGGCGGTGCGCGCTATCATGCGAGCCCATCCGAAGCTCGGCGAGATCCTCACAATCTTCGACGCTGCTTCCGTGGAACAGCGGCCCGGGCTCAAAGTGCTCAATAAAATTGACCTTCTGAAGCGCTACCTGGCGTTGGATCGTCCGGCGTTTCTGTTGACGATCCTAGAGTCGATGAGAAATACCATTGAACTTATGGGACCTGAGGACCGTTACGAATTGTTCAAGATCTGTATGAAGGTGTCGAAAAAGTTTGCAAGTGGGGACGATGATTTCCTCGATATCTCAATTCGTCTCACTGTAATACTATGGCCCTATGTCGCCCGCACACTCTCGGATGTCGAACTTCACAGGACCGTCGGCATGCTGCTGGACGTTGCGGAGCGATTCATATCTGACTACACCGTTCTCTATCCGATTTGGACGGTTATGGTCTACTATCGTCTTTTGGAGACGTACGGGAATCCGGTTCAAGTTGAACGCCTCGCGTTGGCGATTTTGCTCAAAAAAAATCTGTATGGTCGATTGTTGAATGGTGGAACGATGGTGGAATGGTGGTATGGTGGATGGTGGACGGAAGGAAAGGTCGCTGCGCTTGAAATCGTGCACAAGATGTGTCAGCAGCAACCAGATCAGTTGGATTTCGATGAGAGAGACTTGATGAACATGCTCGCGGATATGGATAAGTACCTAGGTGAGCCCACTCGTTTTCCATCTAGTTGACCAAGTTTTTAACGGTTCGACAACGAGTTCCACTAGTTTCTTTCCTTTTTTTGCAGGTTTACCCGGCTCCGAAATTGTTAGATGCTATCTGCACCTGTTTGAAACCTTCGCGAACACCTACACCCACCTACGGGACCGTTTGGCGCGTGACGGATTGCTCTTTCTTCAGAACGTGCAGTATCGGATGTATATGTACCCAGAATGCCGACAACTTGCTCTTCGTCTGATGCTCAAACTGATCACGTATCGATGTGAAGTGCAGGACGACGGAGTGATCATGACTGATGAGCTTCACCATGAACTCGCGTGAGTTTTTTCGTCGTGCAACTTCTGCGCACACCTTTAGTACCTGTCAAGCAAAAGTCTGGCGATAGTTGCTGAAGATCTGCTCAAAAGTTCCGAGTTTAGAGGTTCTATTTAGAATTTCAGCCATGTTATGATCCACGACATGTACAACGACGATGGACTCACCCTTTCCTACCTGTCCGTGCACACTCTGCTCGCGACGTTCGAACGTCCGAACATGTGGGAATCGCCCGACTCCATCAGAACCACCGATCAGCATATCATCGGTCTCCTCACCAACTACCCGGACATCGACCAAATGGACAACTTCTCCGATGAGCATATGAGGTGTCTGGAGCGGTACTTGGAGGAGAGAAACTTCGGCTCTCGTGTCATGTTCGCCCTGTGGAATGTGTTGATGGAATTGAAGACGGTGCCGAGCTTCAACGACAGGTACGAGGCGTCGAGAGTGAAGCAGTTGGTCGAGGAGATCGCCCGCGGAATCATCGAGTTGGAAGGATCCGAAAAGATTGTCAAGATGGCCCAGAGTATCGTGACGTTTCGCGATTCCAATCCTTCAACTTACCCCTCTTCAATCTAATAAGCCGTTTTCCTCGTGTACCATTTCGTTTGCCGAATGTCTTTCCTCTTGTTTTCCCAACATGTATTACATTAAACGCACCTCTACTAGACCTCTGATAGTATTATAGACCCCCGTCACTGCCATAAAAATGCTTCACTTTTCTTCAATAACTTTCCAAGCAATCGGGGTTCGATTCCCCACGAACGCAGCTACTTTTTTAGTTGATTTTCGTCTTCGTTTCCGTCCAGATTACTCCATTAATCGAAAGAAGACGCGTTTTTGGCTCTGTTTCTATGGAAGCGCGTGCACTAGAGTGTGAACGGTGTGTCGAAGGAAGAGGGACCAGACAGAGAGAGAGAGATAAATACGAATAAATGTGTGAGCGTGAGTGTTTGTGTGTGTCTCTGTGAGCGTGCGTTTTCAAAGGACAAACACACTTTTGCATATTTACAGCAAATCGAATTGACCGAGATTCGACTTTTTGAGAGAAAACGCTTGTTTTTGCGCTTGTGAAACAATGTCACCTAATTTTTTGTGCGAATTTTCAGAAGCCATGCCCGCAATTCCCTCACTGACCGGCTTGGCAGCTGAGAAAGTTGGCGAACTCGTGGACAACGGTTAGTCTACACATTTTTCATTCATTTTTTTTTCCACACAATTTCAGACGAACTCCCAATTAGCAGCGCCATCAAACTTTCCGGCAAAGCGAGCAATCAAGTGCTCGCAGTTCTCTACGATAATTGTGGGGATCTGAACGAGCGCACGTGGAAGACGATCTATCTGAGCGGAATTTTTGCGCCGAGCGTGCTCGACCTCAGCGGAGTGCCCATCGGATGGAGCGATTTAGCGGCGCGCCAGAACGGAACGTACACTCGATTCAAGTTGGGCCACAGGCATTGGACGGAAAAAGAAGAAGAAGTGGTCTCGGAGGCGGCGCTCTTGTTCAGGGTGCTCAACGAGACGTCGTGGGACCATCTGACGAGCCTGGATTGGAGCGGACGGCGTCGGCTCAAGTGGTACTCCGCCGCGACGGTATGTTTTTGTGTGCTGACCTAGTTTAGAGAAGTTTCACCTTGTTTTGATAGATTTGACTCACTTTCCGCTAATCTACATAGTTTTCACCTATCGTAACTTCATTTGCCCCATTTTACCTCGTTTCCCCTGGTTTCATTCACAATATATTCCAGATGTTGAGCTCGTTTCCGAGTTTGACGACGCTCAACGTGGCCAATCAACAAGTTCCGAGCCGTGCCCTAACCAAAATCGCCTCCCACTGCCCGCAACTGAAACACCTAAACATTTCGGAGACTGGCATCCAGCACATCGGGCCACTGGAAAGACTGGAGCATTTGGAAGTGCTCATAATGCACACCTTGGACGTTAAAAGTGGAGTCGAAGCGCTGCAAAGTCTCCGAAAGTTGCGAGTGCTGGATGTGTCGGCCAGTAAGATGGCGTAAGTGAGAACAACTGAACATTGTGTTGAGTTCGTGTTTCAGACACACAATCCCGGCTATGTTTGTCGCTGAGCAGTCCAGAAACGGACCTTCTCCGTGGCCCGAGCTCCGGTCCATCGACATAGGCGGCCTGGAATTGCCCCCGGAGGCGGTGCGCGCTATCATGCGAGCCCATCCGAAGCTCGGCGAGATCCTCACAATCTACAACGCTGCTTCCGTCGAAATGGAGAATCGGGACCAGCGGCCCGGACTCAAAGTGCTCAATAAAATGGACCTTCTGAAGCGCTACCTGGCGTTGGATCGTTCAGAGTTTCTGTTGGCGATCCTTGAGTCGATGTATACTACCTCTCACCTTCTCACACCCGAGCACCGCTACGACCTGCTCAAGATCTGTCTGAAAGTGTCGAGAAAGTACGCAAAAGTGGACGAGATGTTGCTGGAAATCTCAATTCGTCTCACTGTAGAACTATGGCCCTATGTCACCCGCACACTCTCGGATGTCGAACTTCGCAGGACCGTCGGCATGCTGCTGGACGTTGCGGAGCGATTCATATCTGACTACGACGTTCTCTATCCTATTTGGACGGCTATGGTCGACGATCTGGAGACGTACGGAATCCGGTTCGAATTGATCGCCTCGCGTTGGCGATTTTGGTCGAAGCAAATCCGTATGGTCGATGGTGGAATGGTGGAATAGTCGCTGCGATTAAAATCGTGCACAAGAGGTGTCAGCAGCAACCAGATCAGTTGAATATCGATGAGAGACACTTGATGAACATGCTCGCGAATATGGATAAGTACGTAGGTGAGCCCACTCGTTTTCCATCTAGTTGACCTAGTTTTTAACGGTTCGACAACGATTTTCACAAGTTTCTTTCCTTTTTTTGCAGGTTCAAACGGCACCGAAATTGTTCTATGCTACCTGCGCCTGTTTGAAACCCTCACGAACACCTACACCCACCTACTGGACCGTTTGGCGCGCGACGGATTGCGCGTTTTTGAGAAAGTGCTGGTTCGGATCTTTTTGGACGAAGAATGCCAACGACGCGCTCTTCGTCTGATGCTCAAACTGATCACGTATCGATGTGAAGTGCAGGGCGACGGAGTGCTCATGACTGATCAGCTTTACTATGATCTCACGTGAGTTTTTTCGTCGTGCAACTTCTGCGCACACCTTTAGCACCTGTCAAGCAAAAGTCTGGCGATAGTTGCTGAAGATCTGCTCAAAAGTTGCGAGTTTAGAGGTTCTATTTAGAATTGCAGCTATCTTATGGTCCACGACATGAACAGCCACGAAGGACTCACCCTTTCCTACCTGTCCGTGCACACTCTGCTCGCGACGTTCGGACGTCCGAACATGTGGGAATCGCCCGTCTCCATCAGAACCACCGATCAGCATATCATCGGTCTCCTCTCCGAATACCCGGACAGCAATCAAATGGGCAATTTTCCCGACGAGCATATGAGGTGTGTGGAGCGGTACTTGGAGGAGAGAAACTTCGGCTCTCGTGTCATGTTCGCGCTGTGGAATGTGTTGATGGGATTGAAGACGGTGCCGGGCTTCAACGACAGGTACGAAGCGTCGAGAGTGAAGCAGTTGGTCGAGGAGATCGCCCACGGAATCATCGAGTTGGACGAGGCGACGGAGGAGATTGTCAAGATGGCCAGGAAAGTTGTCGATGTGGCGAGATGCGATTTCTAATTGATTCTGCCCGCATTCCAATTCTTCAACAAAATCGCAGCTTATCATCGCCAGGCCGCGTTCGTCGTGTAACGGTCAGCATGTTTCCAGTTGTTTGTTGAATTTCTCTGTAAAAATTTTCTTTGTTTCGCCTTTGACTTTGGTATTATTGTGAATCCCTCCCCGCCACTTGACTACAGGTTTTGGCACAATCACTTTTCGATCATGTTCTTCTTATTTTGTTCCACTTTGTTTCTTGTTGAATAGAATCATCAGAAAATCTACGTGTCCTTGTTCTTTTTTTCGGATTCTCGGATCTGCCCTAGCGGAAAGCACCATTTTCTCAAAAAACGGCGAAAACGAAAATGGAACTCAGTCTGCGGCTTTTTAGAAGTGATTCTGACAGTTTTGGGGATGGGAAATCCGTTTTTGATTGAAATCATTGAATTTTTTTTTATTGAAAGAAAAGTGCATTGAATTCACACGTCATCCGGACCTGTTAACAAAAGCATGCTCACAAAAAGATTGGCAAGTGGAGACGTCGTCATTTTCGGAAGTTCTCCATTCCATTCCCGCCTTCAATTCTTCGATCCGATTCAAATTCGAGCGCATCAAGTCTTCGTCGAACTAAAATATTGTGCTTTTTTGAAACTTCTCAAATGGTGTATGACCTACCAGAGAAATGTGCATGTAGAGTTTTCGCGTCTCGGCTACCTCCTTTTCGCACAAATCCTTCAAATGTTTGCGGGTGATGAACGCTCCGATCGCCCGGTCCATCTGTTCGATTCGGGCGTCTTCCAACGAGATTTCTGCTGTGATTCTTTGCGAAAGAGCGTCCAGATCGTCTTCGATCTGAAAATAAGAAAAAACTAAAACTTTTCTTTATTTTTAGGACAAACTGACCATAGATCTGTGAAACTCGTCCATTGTGCGAATCTGTGCAAGCGTGTGCTTTCCGCCGTGCACAAATGTTTGAAATTCCGTCGCTTTCCGCTCGATTTCCTCGTTTTGCGGCGGATTTACGCAAATCTGAAACGAGACGATGCAAGTGCGCTCCACCGAACGCTTCTCACCGGCTTGCCGCGCGGAGAGTGTGAATTCAAATCGGAAAACGAAAAGTCCATGGATTTATCGAATTTTCCAGCGAAATTCTCCTCGAAAAGCGAAGATCCGTCGTCGGAACTCGACAGAGCAGGCGAAGAACCGCCGCGTAGGCGCGGCTCCGAATCTTCCGACGAGTCGAGCACGAAAATCTGAAAACTGTGCGAAAGTGTGCACAGAGCGCACTTGCCCTCACATCGCTTTTGTCGGAGGAGTCGGAGCACGTGGAGCAATCCTCGCGATTCTCGTAGCACATGCACACATTGTCGACGTGATGGATCGGACGAGCAACCACCGAGATCTGAACGTTTTCTTTTGCGGTAGAGCTCTTTTTTTTCCAAAAAACTGACACTGTCCGAAGGCGTAACCTCACTATTTTTGCGTCGTCTCGAACTGTTGTTGCGACAAGCCCATTCACTCTTTTTCATACGCAGACCGTTCATTTTGGTGATGAAAATTCGTAGAAATACACCTAAAATAGTCACATTTCATAGTTTCCAAAGAATAATTGAGGCAAGGTCACGCATTCTAAAGACAAGAGTGACCCTAGCCGAGCCCTAGCACAGCCCCCAAATTACCGTTTCAGAAACTGCCCTTCAAAACAATTCCACAACATCTTCGGCGCTTCCGTTCGGGAAAAAGCGAAGAGAAGAGTTTGCACTGACCACCACGCAACGATAATTTATCGTCGACAGCTAAAATAATGAGCGGTACGTCTGTTTTCGAGGAATTCTTAATTGCAAAGTGTCTTGCAGACGTTTCATTGACCTACAACATCCTACTACTCGGCGTCTACCTGGCTACGGCTATATGTAAATGTTCTTCATCGTACTTGCACGGGAAATTCGAAAAAAATTTGCGGTGTTTTCCGCTTGTGATTCCTAAACTACAATCAGTAAATTTAGGCCAGAATTTGAAAGTCTATTCCAATTTTTGAGTAAGTCAGGTCATACACTTCGTTCAAAACGATGCATCTCAGCTGTCTCTGCAGAAAAACTGATAAAATGTACATAATTCAACAACTTTTCAGCTGACAACGCTGAGATCTATTGTATTGAAAAAACAGTATTGGATGGCATAGTAATACAGGCTTTTCGCTAGGTTAGTTAGTTAGATCAATTTTAAATAAAGTTTGGGCAGCCTCTTCAAGTTATGTCATTCATTTTGAAAAGCTTTGAATCCACAATAATTATCGATTATTTTTCAGTCACCGCCCAAATGTGCGGAAAGAAGAAGCCGGTGGCGAGGACCCGTCCGTACTCGACGCCGTACTCTTCCTTCTCGACACCCACCACGACCGCTAACACCGCTGTGAACACTCGACTGGACACGGCAGTCCTTCCCAGCAACACCACTACCACAACTACTTCGGGAGCCGGAAAATCGACGAAAAAGACCGAGGACAAGGATCCGGAATCGGTGAAGCTGTACAATAAAAAGGCGAAGAAGGAGGAGGAAAAGGAGAAGAAGAAAGAGGAGGAGAAGGAAAAGGAAATGGAAAAGGAAAAAGAAAAGGAAAAGAAGCAGCCGGAGGAGAAGGAAAAGGAGAAGAAGGAGGAGGAGAAGGAGAAAGAAGTGTCGCCGCCGCCGAAAAAGCATTCGAGGACGCCGCTCGTGCCACGAGTGGTCCCGTTGACCGAGAAGGAGCAGCGGATTGCGAAGGGAATGACGACGGATCGGAAGAACTATCAGACGATGGATGATGTGGACAGCGACTGGGACTCGTTCAAGAACAACTACAATAAGAAGGTAAGGGTTTCCGGTTTCCGCATTCCGCATCTAACTTTTCGATTTTCAGAAGAAAAAAGCGAAGACTTTGTCGAAGGAGGAGAAGGAGAAGGATGAGTCGGAAGAAAAAGAGCCGGAAAATGAGAAGGAGAAGGAGGAAAAGAGTCCCGGAGCGATGAAGACGTCGGAGAGAGCGGCGAAATGACCCACTGATTGATTGCGCACATTAATTTTTGTTTGAAAATGCTTTTTGAATAACGTGAACTAACATCTCGCTTACCCATTCATTTCCGATGGGCGACACGAAGAAGAAGGAGGAGGAAAAAGAGTTACGGATTGTGACGGCCCGATCACGGATAATAGTGGAAGATTTGGAAGAGGCCGAGCAGAAGTATCAGGCAGTTGTCGCCTATTGCAAGTGAGATCACTGAAAGGTTTCCAGAAGAGTGACTACGAATTCAGACACTTCAACACGACATTCAACGACGGAGAGTTCCCTCGGACATTTTTGAGATTGACTCTCAAAAAGATAATCAAACTCAAGAAGATTTCGCAAACGGTCACCTGGATCCGTCCCGTCGAGTACACGAAATGCATACCGATCGGCACAACGGCGGACGGTTTGATCCAACACTTCCGTGAGCCGCCGCAATGGTCCGTGATGGATAATCCGACGACGTCTGAAGTGAAGCAGTCGCGGGTTCCGAACTGTGGATTCGTGGCGGCGCTGGCTGTAGTCGGAGGGCATCCGGACATTGTGAATGCACTGATTCCCCGCAAAGAACTGTCCGAGTACGGGGTGTACCAAGTGAGATTGTGTGTGGACGGCGAGTGGAAGCGCATTCTCGTCGACGACTGGTTTCCAACTGCCAACTTGACGTTCGAAACAGCACATTCTTTGAATAATCAGGCGAGTAGTGTTAAGAGCTTTGTGCTCAACAACTTTGTAACTGTAACATTGCAAACATTTTGCAGCTGTGGCCATTCCTCGTCGAAAAAGCGCTCGCAAAAGCGTGGGGACGATACGCGAGGCTACGTACGGCCCGAATGGATGTGTCGCTCAGTTATTTGACAGGCGCGCCGATAACCTCTCTCAATTGGCATCAGCATCCAGACGATCCTGAAGCACTGTGGGAGCAACTATTGTCGGCGAGGTGATTGATTGTCAGAGAGCCACAGAAGCACAATATCACGATGGTTCAGAGCCAACGACTTTCTGATGACGTGTGCAACGAACCGCAAAGCCAAACGGAGTATGGGTCTTGTTCGACATCACGTATACTCCCTGCTGGACGTCATCGAATGCAGTGGCCATCGACTATTGTACATCCGCAATACTTGGGCTCGATTTGTGTGGAAAGGGAAATGGTCATGCAGTTGGAGTGGTTGGCCGTGGGAAATGAAGAAACGGCTGCTCATGGACAGGACCAGGATAAACGGAGCCTTCTGGATGGAGTACGACGACTTTTTACAGAATTTCGATTCTTGTACGCGTTTTCAAATTTTCTACACTTTTCCGATATTGTTCATTTTCCAGTCGCCTTCTGTCGACATCGTCCCGCGTGGAGTGTGATCCGAATGCATCTGGTAATAGACGGACCACTGGATGGTAGTCAGAAAATGATCAAGATCATTGTACCCCGAACTTGTGGCATCGCATTCACTTCTCACAAACCAGGACTTCATAATAAACATGTAGGCCCATTTCGTTCAATGTACGTTCACCTTTTAATATTGTTCAGTGCTTCACCTGGATCCTCATCTATTCTGCTAGAACAGGCCAATTCGTTCGGCACGGGATCGTATACCAATCTTCAACCGACGACTTGCGACTATCTGAAGGCATCTACCACGTCGTTGTCTGCCACATGGGCACCACAAAAACCGTCAGAAATGTCGCGATCCACAGCTCGATCCCAATTTGTGCTAAACTCATAAACTTGAGCTACAATATCGGCGGAGCATTCCAACAAATGGTCTTGAGACACGGGCGGTCTGTCAAACTTTCCGTGAATCGATACAATGTGAACATATACAAATATTGTATGGGCGGTAACTATTTGATTGTGATGGCTGAGAATCGAAACAAGGAAACGTATCTTCATGTGCAGTAAGTTTCTTAAAATGGCTGAAAAACGAAGAAACGTTCAGTTTGTACGTTGGCAAAATAACGAAAAGTCGCGCGATTCCGTACTATTTTTCGCGTCGGCCGACCCACATCGAGCACTGGTTCGCCGATGTGATTCCTCCAATGTGCCGACAAATTCTTCTGATTGTATACTGTGGCCAGTCGCAGTCAGATGGCTTTCCGATGGACATTGATGTAAGAAGCTCTAGTAGTGTGTGTGTGTGAATTGATAGTATCAACAAAATTCCGATTGCAGTACTACCTCTCCACTGACAAATTTACGAAACTTGGCCGGAATTCGAGAGCGGAACATGTTCCAGAAATACATAAAAATCATCACATTCATCAGACAACTGCAATATAGGTTTACGATTGTCATTGTTTCGAAAAAATTTCATAATCAGAGTCTAAAACACATAAAAAAATATGATACCCTCACTTTACGGATGAGTTGGATGCTAGCGATGCTAGTGATAAACTTTATGATAAGATTGATCACAAACAGTACAAACCACACTTTCTAACTAACAATCTATGAATTCTGGATCGGTTTTGCAAAGAATCAATACACAGAATTACTTATATGCGGCAAGCATGACGAACTTCTCGGTGATAGGGGTAATCGACACAAACTTGATCACTTCGTCATAGTACCAAACGCCGGGACCGTTCGGAAGCACATCAACGTTTGTGGATCGGACTGCGACGGATGACTCCGTCGGCGATTCGATTTCGATGAGAAGCCCGTCGTTGGTCAAAATCGTCGTGGCGAACGAGTCGATCTGTGCCTGTCCCGACGGATTGTTGGCGCCTTTTCGGATGTCTTTCACCAGGTTCATTTGGGTTTTCAACTGCTCCAAATCGGCCATATCGAGCTCTTCTTGTCTTCCGGCCAGACTACAGTACACAATGACGTCGCGACCTCCACGATCGAGAGAGAAGAGCACTTGATTGGGAAGTTTCGAGTGATACCAATGGTAGCTGGCTTCAGGGTAGGAGATTATGTAGAAGATGTCGCTGAAACAGTTTCAAAGTCGAAATCCGCGACATCTAGTATAGTACGTACTCGGTGAGAATTGTCTCCAGACCTTTTTGAATGAGCTCAGCGACTTCTCCGTCCGACTTTCCGGTATTATCGTCTTGAACGTCTTCCACAAACTTTTTGATGTTTTTAGGCCAGAAGTAGGCGTTTTTCTGTAGAAAAAACGGGTAAATATCATTGGATTATTCTCAGCCACTTCCTCACCTTATAGTCCTCTTCCCATTCGTCGACTTTTCCTTTAAACTCGTCCATCTCTTCTTTGACTTTATCGGCAAAATACACATTTCCGCCGTTGATTGCGTTGACGGCGAACAACTCCAAAAACCACTAAACTCTGGCGAAAATTGGCGCGAGACAGTTTTCAACCGAAAGTTACCAGTTGCGAAAAGACGCCGCCAATGTTCTCCTTCCAGCCATTGAACGTGGCAGTGGTCATCAGCGGATCCGCCTGCATTGCCATCTTCAACGGACTCGTCTGCGCGTTGGAGAGCATGAAATTGAGCTCCTGAGTGTGAAAAGCAGTTGAACGTTTGCTCAGTTTCTTCTCAACTTACTCGCGCCAATTGAAGCGGTTTCTTCTCGTTGTATCTCTCCGAGAACTCATTCATCGCAGTGTCCTTTGGCTGATCCGCCGGCACCGGAATGCACGTGTCGGCCATGTAGTCCGTCAAAGTCGAGGCGTACTTGGCAATGTTCTGATAGAACTCGTTGGCCACTATGTAGGCCTTCAAGTCTTCGAAATGCTTGATCATGTCTTCGTCGAGCTGGAAACATGAAGTTTGCTCAACTTTAAAGCGAACTTACGCACCTTCCTAATATCATTCTTGAGCTCTTTCAACTCCTTCATAACCGGCTCCAACTTGTCCGCCTCGGTGGCCGTAATCACATTTTTCGCAAAAAGACCCAATCCGACAATGGCGGCAAGTTGAGGCGCCATTTTCTCGAAAACGAACATTCCGACGTCGGCACAATCTTTGAGAAATTCGGCCACGTGTTTGATGTTCTCCTTGGCTTCTGTATGCAAAATGATGAGTGAGAGGAGTAAATGGAATGGATTGTTGGAACTTACGAGTATAATCATCGTCATTGAGGCGAAGTTGGCGAACGGCCAAAAGTGTTTCAGAGGCCCTCATTGTCAGACGAATGCTTATCAACGCCTTCGGAGCTGACTTTTATACCGCGATTTCTGGAAGACGTAAACAATGCATTTCAACGACACGCACAATTTCGGTCAAACCGTTGACCGATGGTTTCCCTCTTATCGCATTCAATTTGTTCCCGGTCTAACTGGCACAAACAAGATGATGCTTAGAGGTTGATGATTGAAAATTATCGAACAATATTGAGGCAACTAGACCGTCGAACTATACTGTGCACGGTCTGCCACTGCGCGAATGATTTCAATGGGGCGCACTTGCAACACGCGGGCTGTGTCGATTTACGCGGCGGCCGATTAATTAATTTTCAACGGGCGGCCGCGTTCTTTCCATGTTTTCTGTACAATACACCTATTCGAATAATTAGAGCACTAGCTACGCTTTGGTAACAGAAATCTCGCATATCGTTGAGAATTAGCCGAGTTATTTCGATTTGAAGGTTTTGGCCTGGATTTTGATGTTTTTCGAATAGTTTTCGAAAACTGCTCAAGAAAACCAACAGCCGGAACCTGAATTTTGTGAAGAAAGATTCAGCGAACATTTTTATCGTTTGTTGGGCTTATGAAATGCAAAATGAACTGAAATATAAAGGTTTGAAGTTTTGACGAAATGCGAAAAAGACGCTAAAAACACGAAAAACTCTAAATTCTGTAAAGAACGGTTTCCAATCAGTAAAATATTGTTTTCTAGACGTTTTTCAAGTCAAAAAGAAAGAAATAAAGGGCGTAAACCCGAATTTAACTCTATTTTTTTACCTGCAAACTTTCAAAAGCTACAACGACACTCCGCAATTTACGAGCGCACTGTGTTTAGCATTAGCACCCTGGGAGACTGTGCTGTGAACGCCAGACTGAAAGCTATGAAATTTTGTCATTTAGAAATACATTTTGGGCCCTATGAGAATATGCCAAGGACCACAGCTTATATAATTAGTGTATTACGCCAGTCTAGAACCTTGCCTTTCAAAACTATGTTACGAAAACTGATGGAGTGACCAAAACGACGAGAGGGGAGTACATACTTGGCTAGAATTTTCTTCAAAACTCTCTCGAATCATAATGGCCTTTTCTTCGCTGATCTTCTCTTTGTTATTGTCTCGAATTCCTCGCAATCCGTTTGTCAAGACTCTTGACTCAAGAGTGACGGTTTTGCGCAAACCCAAACTCAAAACGCGTCAGCCATGCACTGTTTGCGCACAACATTTCTATGCGTAAAGTACTGATAAGCATAGAAATTCGCATTTCATAGCAAAGTATGTTGTCGCCTGGTAGGGTTTGCTTTTCTCTAGCGTCTATTGATTTTTTTTAAAAACATTTTTCAGACATCATCAGCCCTGCAATTTGCATCATCGACGAGTGTCTTAACGCCGAAATGTTCGTTATCGATGGAATTTCAAGTGAGATCGGAAATATTGTGGCGTTCGGAACTTTTGTGAAGAACTTGAATTCCGAAGAGCCACCGGAAGAGCTATTGGAATTACGCACCAAGCTTGAAAGGGTAATTTCATGAAGGAAATGTTTATATGTAACACATTATAGCTCGAGAAACATATGGAATCCCATTTCGCGGACCTCAATTGTTATATGGATAATCTTGAGTTTTATAAAGTAAGTATCTTGCTGCTTTCATCCTAATCACCTTTATTGCAACATTTGTCTTTTTAGGATGCAACAAAGTACACTGGCGATATGATGAATTTGTTGATTTCGAGTATAGGAGGCGGAGATGATAATCGGATGGCACTCAAGAGAAAGTACAGTGAACGGCCGCCATTGAATAGTGCTATTGTGAGTTTTTAGTGAGAATATATGTGAAAACGTGAATTTCATTTCAGGATTTCCTAACAATTTTGACACTAAACGATCAGATGAACCCGATGACTAAGGCCGAAAACCGGAAGACTTTGAGAAATGGAAAAATGTTTTGAAAGCCCTGGCTGCTCAACTGGTAACTCTTTATTTAAATTTTTCCCCAATTTTCGTTCAGCTCTTCATAGAAACCTATACGGCGGGACTGTTAATTGACGGATATATGGTCGGACCGGAATTGTTGAAGGACTACGTTGAACGTTTCGATCGGAAATTGAATAACTTTCAAAATACAACTTTATGATTGTTTACTTTATTTACCAAAAAACCATTGTTTGTAGAGACTAGTTTTGTCTCAATTGGAGCAAAGACGCTCTACCGCACTCCTGTGTACTTCTCTCGGACGAACACGTTTGTCAGTCATTAATCTCGGTTTTCTTCGGTTTTCGTGCGCGTTTTCTCCGTTTCTCATTGCGAGACTACTTTCCAATCATCTGCCGCTTTGCCCATCCAAACAAACATCGTTTTAGATTGCTAAGACGATTGGAATGCGTCAAAACGCAATCAACTTGTCTTCTATTCTTCCGGAAGATTTGGAAGAGAAGGTCAAGGAGGATGCAAAGATCATACGACGCTGCCGCTAATGCTCCGGCCAGTCGCAAGAAAAAAACAATTCGAGGAGAAAGACAACACAAATGCTGTTAAGAATATGAAGATAGAAGAGGCGGAAGAAGAGGAGGAGCCGCAGAAGAAGGTGAAGAAAGAGGTCGCATCCGATGGGGAATATTCTTCTTATTGTTGTGCCTCCTTCAGCGTCAACATTTTGCATTCACGTTTGGCAGTCCTGGCAGCCTGAATAACCCCATTAGAAATGGCTCTTCCAATGAGAAATACATCGAAGAAAAGCGTTAACACTTGGTGCTGGTCAAAATTTAATTTATTCATCGCAAAAAAAAAGAAACACCGGTATAAGAGGGTAACACCAGCAGGGGGTATGGCTGCAAGATGAATAGGAGAGGAAGAGAAGGGTTTTATGAATGATAAACAATCCAAGCTGATCAGCGTGACCTTCAGTCTTTGTGTGATTGTAGTACAGTTAGTGAATTGCCAACGCTCCCGCTTTTTGCTCTTTGGACAAATGTCGCTCCTTCTCCTTCTCCTGATGGCCTTCCGAACGTGTTCCACATTGAGCACGTCATCATCATCATCCTTCTCGACAAGTACTGAAACTCCATCGACTTCTCCTCCGATTGCAACCATTCCGACACGCCGCAAGTTTCCAAACTCGACAGAAAGAGCAACGATCTATCGGATGATGTTCGACGCGTCGGCTCGTTTCCGAACCGGTAACGAACGACAGACATTTGAGAGAAACGAGACATTTGCAGACAATTACCGCAAGGCGCCGCTGCTGTTCGAGCAGGATTGGGAGCTGTGCGACGAGACATACCGATGGCCAAGTCGGCAATTTCTTGAACTCGTGTCAAATTGTTTATGTGTATGCTTTTCAGAGTGCTGTTTGTGGCGCGACAAGAAGACGTTCGCGAGAGGCACGATCGACTGCAACCACATCAAAGGAGACGTGCTGCTCGAGAACGACTACGACGCGAACCTCTTCCAGGTCCCGTTTCGTCAATCAACTCGTCTCGAAATTGCGCTTTTCAGTCCTTCCTCGACATCATCCAAATCCAGGGCAATCTGGTGCTTCGCAACACTACGATTGTCGCGTTCGGAGTGCCACACCTCTCCAGAATTGGTTTCAACCTCTCGGATCCCAAGAAGTTTCCGGCAGTGATTAACGTCGAGAATAATCCACTGCTCGCGCATTTTCGACTTCGACGACTCGACGAAATCGTCAAAAATGCCCGCCAAAAGTATGGAATTTTCAGCGGAAATCCAAAACTGCACATCGACTCGAAACAATATCAAATTCTGAAGCAGTCCAGCAATCACAGCGATGACTTTGAGCAGTTCACAGAGCGACCCAGTTAGTGTTTTCTTTTGAAATCTGAAACAGTACCCAATCAATCGAGATTCATAGTCACATACAAACGACACGAGAGCTGGGAGTCGTATCCGTACTGGATTCTGGCGGCTATGATCTCGATTGCACTCACTCATCACTTTGTTATGATCGAAATCAACGAGAGCCGCATTCAGAAGAAGGACATTGAAATGATATCGGCGATTCGGAAGATGAGAGACGCAGTGTTGGCCGCCGAGTTACTGTAGGTCCGGGTCTTGAAACGATAATTGAGGTCCTTTTTTACAGACTTCAAACGCCAGACGACACTTTTCTGTCGGTAAGGAAAGTCCGGAACTACCGCACTCCTACAGTAACCCGATTTGCAGTTCGATTCGGAAGTTCTTCATTTGTGTAGTGAACAATTGGATCTGATTCGACAAATTCAAGGGACTATGGACGCGGAGCAAGGAAATCAGTCGAATTAGATAATATTTAAAGTGTTTTAAGTTAAAAATATCAAAGAAACCCCAAGATAAAATGTTCTGAAAACTATGAAAAGCGTCAAGAAAAATGAGATATGTTGATTGACATTTTTTGATATTATCCTCTTGAAACGCATTTTTAATAACTCAATTGAAGTTCACGAACTGTTCCCACCACAACGTCTTCTCGCGCTTTAGTTTCGCGACGACGTCATCCGGTTTCAGGTAGGAGAACTCCAGCGCCTGCGAGAAGTCGTCGGAGGTCTCGGACGGAATCGACACTCCTGCCAAATTTTTGATCATTCTTATTAATTGAAGCAACGGAACCATCCCTTCGCTCCGTTTCTGCACACAAAGCGGTCGAAGTCGAAGAACGCGGCGCGGAGACGCCATTTGGTTTTTTCGTTCAGAAATTTGTAATGGAAACGAAAGAAAAAACTGGACAAAAACCAGGATTACAAAAGTCTCTCAAGGGATTTTCACATTCGCTATCGCGGCGCCCGCCAAACGAATAATTTGTCATAAAGGGCGAGAAGGGGAAAGGGGAAACTCATTTGTAACAAACATGTAAATTTTCGCGCGAACAAATTATTCATTTTGTTCGCTCTGAAAAGGGGGTGAAAAACGAGGGGGGCAAATAGACAAAGAAATGAAAAAGGGACCACCCATTCTCGATTGGAAACAAGTTTTCGAAAGTTTGTGAGCGTATATACAAAGTACAGCAAATACATTATTTCCAAATTTTGATGACGCCATCGTATCCGGAAGAGACGAGGAGATCGGGAGTGAGCAGCATCATGTCCGTGATTGGGGTACGGTGGTACGTGGATGGCTGCAGGACAGGGGACCGTTAGACATGGGACCAAAAACAGATAAAAATATACCTTCGCGTCAAGCGGGACCACCTTCCGGTTCTCCTTCGCGTCCGTGTTCATGACACTCCGCTCGTAGATGACCAGTGTGTCGGTGCCTCCTCCTCCGGCGGCCGCGCTTCCCTGCTCGACCATGTCCTCGAAGATGATCCGGTAGGCGGACCGTCCTTTCGGCGGCGCCGACAATATCTCACAGCCGGCCGCCTTGTGCGGATTCCATTTTCGGATGGCTCCACGCGTGTCACCCGTGTACACGACGCCCGTCTTCTCGCACACGCATAGCGCCTTCGTTACCAGCGATTCCTGCTGACGGAGGTCCGCGTTCTGGAATTGTGAAGGATGGAGTTGCAATGACAGAATTTATTCGAAAATTGCACAGCAATTGTCGAGAAACGTCGGAGAATCGATGGCGATGTGAAAAACTTTGCATTTTCAATGTTTCTGCACGAGCTTACCTGCGTGTTATAGCTCAAAACGGGCGTGCCGCCGGTCCAGAAGACCCTCTTGCGGACGGGCTGTCCGACGCCCAGTTCGTAGGCGCCGACCTCTCCGTGCGCACTGAATCCCACGTAGACTTCGGGCGCTTCGACGCGCGACACCGGATTCGGCCACACGTTGAAGGGCTTGAGTTGGACGTGCGGCGCCTCCCAGCGGAGCACCTCTTCGCGGAATCGGAGGTCGTAGAGAATGAGGTTCTTCGAGTTCGAGTTGTTTCCAATCACCATCCACGCCTGCTGCCACGGGTCGATCGCCGACGTCGTGATCATTCCGTGCGTCTCCTGGAACTTCTTGCGCCACACGTCGTGCCGTTTCAGCGGACCTTCCGAGGCGCCGACTCTGGAAAACATTGATGAATTTGTGAAAATTCCACGTTTTTTGAGATGCTCACCTCAAATCCAATCCATAAAGTGCTCCATGATGTGTTCGCACAATGCACACGGGTCCGTTCGTGTGCACAAAGACGGGCGGTCCCTCGAGCTCGGGGATCCGCACCTGCGTGACCACTCGCGCCGCGCCGCCGCCCACGTCCGCCCAACGGATCACGCCGTCGTTCGTCGCCGCGCACACGTACTGATCGTTCCATCCGACCGCGTGCACGTGTTCGCGTCGCGACTCCGACGGGTGCCACGTGAATTCCGAACGCGCCGAGCCGTATCCTTCGCCGAGAATCGAGCGCGTCTTCCAGATTTTGACGCTTCCGTCCGCCGATCCACTCACGAACATCTCGCCGTCCTGGTTGGCGGCGAGTCTGGAAATGGAATTTTTGTTTAACTTGGTCAATTTCAGTTTTGTTTCGTAACTTTGGTACTTTTGGAAATACTTTGGAAAATTCCGAAAAAAATTTCAGTGATACAGTACATAAGTTGCAAAATAGTGCCACCTGAGTCTAAATGAATTATCGAGTCTTTCCGAAAGGACTTCCACAGTAAGGCCTTAGAAAAAGCGGAAAATTCTGCAATTCAGACTTTTCTTCTCCTGATTTCCCGTGTGCGCTCCTTACTTTGTAACCTGTTTCGAGTGCTCGTGCAAATGCGTTATAATCGTTCCTTTGATCGTCTGACTCTGACTGGCCGTCGTCAACGACGAACTGGATCCGGTGGCCGTGGCCGCGGAAAGTCCGGTCCCGACGCTCGCCGAAGCGGTCAACGGAGAGCGTTTCGCTCGCGAGTGCACATTTTTCATGTACAAATCCGTGAGATGGTCGAGCATCGCGTTGACTTCATTGTCAAACTTCGAGCTTTTCTGGGTATCTGTAGAAAGTATTATGGTTTGATACTATGCCAGTTGTGCTCACAAGGATTCGGCGCATTGGTGACGGTTCTCTCCTCTTCGACAACGACCTCTCCGCCGCTCAGCATGATCGTGTCGCGGCGTTCGTTCGCGTGCTTCGCCACGTTGATCGCAAACGATTGGGCCCTGAAGCGTTAGCTTCTTCTCCAATATAAGTGTGCTCCTTACGGCGGACACGGCTGAAATGCGCCTTCGACGAGAGGTCGATTGTGCCGAGCTGTCGCGTCAGGTACGTCTCCATTCCTGCACTGAAATCAAAAATGTTTGCATGCTAAGCGATAGAGAGGCATGCACAAAAGATAGGATCGAAAACGAAACGTCACCAGAAAGCCGTGAAGCTGCTCGATGCAAACTCCTTTCATTTCCAAACTTACGTATTCCTAGTCTCTGCCATCCGCTCGAAAAGATGTCTGAACGCGTAGACAGCCGCGATCAGCCGCTTCCGCGCGTCGATCGCCGCCTGCACATCGTTGTGCTCCACGACCGATCCGAGTTTCGCCGTGTCCGTCTTCACTTTCGGAAAGATCGTGTTGAACCAGCCGGCTTGCGCCTCGAACGGCTTCTTCGTTTCCAAATGGATTTCTGAACACTTTTCATTGAGTGCGAATCGGGGCGTTTTTGGATTGTTTCTGGGAGTATACTGAAGCTCTCAGTTTTCGCAAAAACCAAAGCTTGAGGGCTTAAAGTCAAAATCAATAAATCTTCAGATCTCAAACTTTTCAGGTAACTACTCCAAACAGAGCTGGGCAAACGGCCGGCCCAGGTTTTATCAGTTGCAATATTCCGATTGGATCCAACCATTATTGCAAGTGGTCGAAAAGCCGGGGCCGGCAAAATGTTCGCTGAATATGTGTGTGTGTACCTAAAAGTGTCGTCAACTGTTTCGTGTTCTCCAAATTGAGCTCTAGAATCTGGTTGAAGATGGTGCGTGGAATCGGGTCGACGAGCTGATTTATTAGCACCGGTTTGCTCTTCAACGTCACAATCTTCCGCTTCGTCTCGTCCACGTACGACGCCACCATCGGCATCAGTTTCACGTGCACTTCGGCCCGATGCCATCGCGAATCGATCGCCAGGAGGATGTCGCACACGGCCGACCGGATCCATTCGTTCTGAAATAGGATTGTGGGGAAGAAGTTTGAACACAAATCCCTACCGGATGCACCAAAAACGGCAAAACGTCGCCGAGAAGCTCCTTGACCGACATCCTATCCAAATTCTCGTTCCCAATCAGAATATGAATGCAGCCGAGCGCCCGCACGACCACGTGCTCCTCGCAATCTTGTAGGCCCTGCAAAAGTGCCCGTTCGGCGGCAATTTCCGCTTATCATTCTTACTAATTGAAGCAACGGAACCATCCCTTCGCTCCGTTTCTGCACACAAAGTGGCAGCGAATCGAAGAACGCGGCGCGGAGACGCCATTCCGTTTTGGCGTTCAGAAATGTGCAAAGGAAGCGGAGAAGCGTGTCGTCGTCTGGAAATTGGTGGTGGAAAATACGGACAAATCAATGGATGGTTTTGTAGACCTCTGTATTCAAGAAACTAGAGACATCACACAATCTTTTCCAAGTGTGTCCAAAACAACGTTCCATGGATGAGGGAGAACTAGAGAGAATTGTACACAATTTACAAAACCAGTCGAAGATCGTCAAACTCACTTCCAATCTTGTTGAAAAACTGGTAGAGAAGGGTGAGGGACTTGCTCTCCACAAGACACCTCTTCACCATCGGCTCCTTGCTGCACAGCGCCGAGAAGATGGCCGAGACTCCGTGCAGGAGTGCGTGCGCGTCGTCGTTCTGCTGCTGCTCCCCGCTCGCCGCCACTTCCTCGTCGAACGGCGCTGCCGAGCGAATCTCCCGTCCCGCCAGATAGAAGCGGTAGGCCGTGTCGGCGAACTGACCGAGCGACGTGGCAATTGCGAAGAGGACGTGCTGCGGACAGTCGACCGAATCGTTCGACATCACATTCTGAAGAATTCGGGAATGAGTGGAAGTAGAGGGAAAGTGAAGGGGGTCTGTCTTACAATCTGAGGAAAGAGGTAATCGACAAATACCAGCGACTCTTCGTACGTCTTCGGCTGAATTGGAGCCAGAAGTTGGGCGGCGGCAGTCACGGCGGTTGCACGGATCTGAAAAATGAGAAAATTGTTCGGCATTGCGTTACAGTATTTGTCAAAGCAGCGTTCATTTGTACTTGCATTGGAAATCCGGCTGTTTTCACCAACCTGAGTTTCCGGATCCAGCCAACAGTGTACAAAATACGGGAGAATGCGATCAATGGCAACACTGGAATCGCTCAGCGTCGACAGTTCGACGAGCATTCCGATCGCGTCCGTCTTCGCCTGAATCGTCCGTAACGCGCGAAGATTTGCAGTGATGAGCGAGACGAACAAGAAGGCGAACGACTTGGTTTCTTCTGTCTCCGCCAACTGCTCCCACCACAACGTCTTCTCGCGCTTTAGTTTCGCGACGACGTCATCCGGTTCCAGGTAGGAGAACTCCAGCGCCTGCGAGAAGTCGTCGGAGGTCTCGGACGGAGACGTCGACGCGCCGTAGAGGGGACGGAATCGGTCGAGGTATCGGAAGAGGAACGACTCGAGGATGCGCGGGAACGAGAGCGCCGCGCCCGTCAGCACTGCGTTCGCAGAGATTCGGAACGTCGGATCGCGGTTGAGCAGGAGGCGGAGCAGCGGACGGTATTGCGGCGGAACGTCGTTGGTCAGCCTGAAAACGTTGGCATGATGGCGGAAAATTGGACAAGTGACAAAATGTTCCGAATTTTCACCTCTGCAACATGTTGGCCGCGTCGCCATCGTTCATCGATCGATACTCGCAAAGGGAGCTATAGGTGAACGGCGGACGGTCGGCGAGCAGCTCGAAAACGATGCAGCCGGCCGAGAAAATGTCCATTCGCGGCGTAAGAGATCCTGAACTTTGGGAAAACTTCGTTTCTTTCGAAATAAAAGGTGCTGCGTACCGAAAAGCCATTCGTCTCCTTTCTCCTGATACTTTTCATTGTACTCGGCGGCGGAAATGAAGCGTTCGGGTGCAATATAGCAGCTCTGCCGCCGACTCGTATCGAAAAAGTAGGTGAACCACGACGGATTGTCCTGCGTCAGAAAACACGGTTTGAAGGGGGCGAAATCGGTTATTTGGAGCCAATTCGACGACGAGATGAGCACGTTTTGCGATTTGAGATCTCCGTGGCACACGCCCGCCGTCTCGCACTGAGAGAGCGCTTTGAACAGCAGAAATATGTACCTGAAATTCAAAATTCAGTTATTTTGAACTAAACTTTGGTCTGTGTTTGTGCAGATTGCTGTTAACTCAAAACTCCTATGAATCAGCTCAAAATGCCATTTTCGCTGAAAATTGAGTTTTTGCTCGAAATTGACAGAATTTCTCGGGTTTTTTCTGCAGCATTACTTGCAGAGTAAGTATTTTCAACTTTTCCGTCTTGAATCTAATCAGCAACTCACCAAAGCTTCTCGGCGTCGACGACGAACGGCCGCGTGCTCATCCGGTCGAAAAGCGTGTGCTTTTGGAACGCTCTGAGCATCACCGCGCATTTTTGCTTGACGAGCACCTTCTTGATCGGGCAGCAGTTGGGACTCTTCATCAATGCTTTCCGAATGTCGATTATTCGCTGCGGCCACGGGTCCAACGACGTCAGATCCTGTCGTACAAACACTTTGTACACAAAGACGCCCTCGTGCGTCCGCCCACGCGCCACTTTCATGAACCGAGTGCTTCCGAGGCTGCAAAAACTGTTTTTAACACAAAGATCAGAAAGAAAAACCAACTTTTCCACGGCATCACAAGATAAATCGTTGAGGTACACCTCTACCGGTAGAATTTCCGCCGGATTTGTGGCGAATAATGAGCTTAAGTTACCCATAATGTGTCTGAAAAGTGAAATTAGGCGGGAAAATGGAAAAAACGAGAAAAACGAGTGAAAATTAGCGATTTTCGATGGAAAATTGAATGCACATGTGAGACGAGAGAGTGTGTGGAACGAGGAGAGCGCAGAGAAAATTAGCAGTGGAGCGCGTTTGCAGCACGCAATTGGGAACGGCGTTTTCGGAGGGAAATTCGAATGTTAAGGCGAAAAAGCAGGAAAAGGCGACATTTTTCAGCGAATCCTGGTTGCATTTTCACACAAAAACAGACAGAAAACCTGAAAAACGCAGCAAAAACGTGTACTTCCCGTAAATCGACAACATGAACCGCAAAAGTGTGCAAGACAGAGCTAACCAACCAAAACAGCGATACTCCGGTCATTACGCGACGCCCGTTATAACAGTAGCTCTCGGGAAGTCAAGATTTTGTCTAGAAGTCGCTGAAACGATGTCTTTTTACGACAATTCTATTGATTTTCCCGAAAATTTCTCGATCGTCGATGCAAAGACTTTTCCTCCCGAAAAATGTGCTCGTAAAGAAGGAGAAAAACAGTGGAGAGAAAATTCTATAATCGTCCGGAAAAATAGTTTGGCGGGAGGGTCTCGCAGCGATCGGACAAGAACATCTGCGCGCATTCGAATTAGTCGTTGCGGTGTTTGGGACCGCTGGGAGGACAGGGAGAAAAAAAAGAGGATCGTTCTGGCCAGGGAGTTCTCTCGAACGGGAGGACCGCAGAACGCGACGCCAAACTACGAACATATGTGTTTACGTGATGACTAACTGTAAACCAGACTTGCAACGGGCCGGCCCGGCCCGGCCCGCGGCCCGGGAGGATGCACCTAAAAATTCAAAGCGAACTAGAACTTCGAAACGAACATAATTTTATAGACTTAAAATTTTATAGACTTAAAAAGGCAATGTTATAGCATAAAAACCTGTTAAAAAATAGAAATTGCTGTTTAAAGTCGCAAAATTTTCACAAAAATTACGAAAATTTTCTCAAGAGTGGGCGGAGCCGGGCCGACGATTTGCTGGCCCGGCCCGGGATTTGGCAAGTCTGCCAATTATGAATATCGAGTTTGTCGCAACGAAGGGGAAAAGAGACTTGGCGGCGGTCAATCAATTCGAAAACAGTCGAAAAAGATCACGGGAGATCATGTCTGCGTGGCGTTTCTGAAAAAGAGAGAAGTTAACGGACAGATCTCCGTCACTGCATTTTTTGGCCACGAGGGACACAGTTTATTTCATGCGCAAAGACGACTGTCGCAAGAGGAAGCTCAAATTCTCATCTCGTAGTTTATTGAACGTCCGTCGCAGAACGACTCGTCGCTGTCGTCATAATTGTCCTTCGCGAAAAGACGGACAGTTAAAGACTATCCGAAAGAGTCTATCTGAAACGGGTCACATGAGAATATCTTGTTTTCATTTTCAAAAAATGCATACCTGGAAGGACTCGTTCACCTCAAGCAAACATCTTCTCGGTGCTTGTTTGACGTCGTTCGGGATGGGACTTCCTTTAGTGTTCAACGCCGTCTCGACATTTTTGGAATCGGGACTGCACGGACTATCAAACGCGAAAGGAGTCATCTGTCTCCGGATTCCGGTTTCCGGTTTCCGGTCTGCGCTTTGGAGTGCTCGGGGCGACCTCCGACTCTCTCTCTCTCTCAAACAACGGCGAACTCGGCTCGAGGATGTTCATCTGTTCGGAGGCCGGAACAATGGAAGACGATGGTCCGGGAGTCTTCTTCGCAGATTGAGTATCGATTGGAGTAGAAGTCATCGGCTTTGCGGAGAATTGCCCTCCCTTCACAGTCTCGAGACCCTTTCTGGCCAGAAACGCGGCCATATTGCGATCCGCCTCACCAATTTCAGTTCCGTCGGTGGGGCGAATCTCCAGCGGGACCATCTCCTTCTGCATCTACTTCACAGCCGGAAAGAGCACAAATAGGCAATTTGAGCATTGTCACTTGCGGTCCTGGATTTCTATCCTGAAAAAAACGTAATGAAGTGCGTCTAATAATGATGACAGTTCTTATATTTCAGAGATACAGCCAGAGCGAGAATAGCATGAAAAGAGCTCGTGGAAGTCGGCGGCCGACTGATTCCACGAAGCCGCTCGTTTTTGACGCAGTCTCTCGATGAAATGACAGCTCCGTTACAATTCTGATCGGCGAGAGCGCCGAGATTCGAGAGAACGGAAGGAAATAAGACTCCGCGCTCTCGGAGTTCAGGGAAACATGCATTTTTCGCAGAGAAACTGTTCTCCTCGTCGAGAAGTGAGAGCAGTCGGGGGAATAGCATGAAAAGAGCTCGTGGAAGTCGGCGGCCGACTGATTCCACGAAGCCGCTCGTTTTTGACGCAGTCTCTCGATGAAATGACAGCTCCGTTACAATTCTGATCGGCGAGAGCGCCGAGATTCGAGAGAACGGAAGGAAATAAGACTCCGCGCTCTCGGAGTTCAGGGAAACATGCATTTTTTGCAGAGAAACTGTTCTCCTCGTCGAGAAGTGAGAGCAGTCGGGGGAATAGCATGAAAAGAGCTCGTGGAAGTCGGCGGCCAACTGATTCCACGAAGCCGCTCGTTTTTGACGCAGTCTCTCGATGAAATGACAGCTCCGTTACAATTCTGATCGGCGAGAGCGCCGAGATTCGAGAGAACGGAAGGAAATAAGACTCCGCGCTCTCGGAGTTCAGGGAAACATGCATTTTTCGCAGAGAAACTGTTCCCCTCGTCGAGAAGTGAGAGCAGTCGGGGGAATAGCATCAAAAGAGCTCGTGGAAGTCGGCGGCCAACTGATTCCACGAAGCCGCTCGTTTTTGACGCAGTCTCTCGATGAAATGACAGCTCCGTTACAATTCTGATCGGCGAGAGCGCCAAGATTCGAGAGAGCGGAAGGAAATAAGACTCCGCGCTCTCGGAGTTCAGGGAAACATGCATTTTTCGCAGAGAAACTGTTCCCCTCGTCGAGAAGTGAGAGCAGTCGGGGGAATAGCATGAAAAGAGCTCGTGGAAGTCGGCGGCCAACTGATTCCACGAAGCCGCTCGTTTTTGACGCAGTCTCTCGATGAAATGACAGCTCCGTTACAATTCTGATCGGCGAGAGCGCCGAGATTCGAGAGAACGGAAGGAAATAAGACTCCGCGCTCTCGGAGTTCAGGGAAACATGCATTTTTTTCGCAGAGAAACTGTTCCCCTCGTCGAGAAGTGAGAGCAGTCGGGGGAATAGCATGAAAAGAGCTCGTGGAAGTCGGCGGCCAACTGATTCCACGAAGCCGCTCGTTTTTTTGACGCAGTCTCTCGATGAAATGACAGCTCCGTTACAATTCTGATCGACGAGAGCGCCAAGATTCGAGAGAGCGGAAGGAAATAAGACTCCGCGCTCTCGGAGTTCAGGGAAACATGCATTTTTTTCGCAGAGAAACTGTTCCCCTCGTCGAGAAGTGAGAGCAGTCGGGGGAATAGCATGAAAAAGAGCTCGTGGAAGTCGGCGGCCGACTGATTCCACGAAGCCGCTCGTTTTTGACGCAGTCTCTCGATGAAATGACAGCTCCGTTACAATTCTGATCGGCGAGAGCGCCGAGATTCGAGAGAACGGAAGGAAATAAGACTCCGCGCTCTCGGAGTTCAGGGAAACATGCATTTTTTTCGCAGAGAAACTGTTCCCCTCGTCGAGAAGTGAGAGCAGTCGGGGGAATAGCATGAAAAAGAGCTCGTGGAAGTCGGCGGCCAACTGATTCCACGAAGCCGCTCGTTTTTGACGCAGTCTCTCGATGAAATGACAGCTCCGTTACAATTCTGATCGGCGAGAGCACCAAGATTCGAGAGAACGGAAGGAAATAAGACTCCGCGCTCTCGGAGTTCAGGGAAACATGCATTTTTCGCAGAGAAACTGTTCCCCTCGTCGAGAAGTGAGAGCAGTCGGGGGAATAGCATGAAAAGAGCTCGTGGAAGTCGGCGGCCAACTGATTCCACGAAGCCGCTCGTTTTTGACGCAGTCTCTCGATGAAATGACAGCTCCGTTACAATTCTGATCGACGAGAGCGCCAAGATTCGAGAGAACGGAAGGAAATAAGACTCCGCGCTCTCGGAGTTCAGGGAAACATGCATTTTTCGCAGAGAAACTGTTCCCCTCGTCGAGAAGTGAGAGCAGTCGGGGGAATAGCATGAAAAGAGCTCGTGGAAGTCGGCGGCCGACTGATTCCACGAAGCCGCTCGTTTTTGACGCAGTCTCTCGATGAAATGACAGCTCCGTTACAATTCTGATCGGCGAGAGCGCCGAGATTCGAGAGAACGGAAGGAAATAAGACTCCGCGCTCTCGGAGTTCAGGGAAACATGCATTTTTTTGCAGAGAAACTGTTCTCCCTCGTCGAGAAGTGAGAGCAGTCGGGGGAATAGCATGAAAAAGAGCTCGTGGAAGTCGGCGGCCAACTGATTCCACGAAGCCGCTCGTTTTTGACGCAGTCTCTCGATGAAATGACAGCTCCGTTACAATTCTGATCGACGAGAGCGCCAAGATTCGAGAGAACGGAAGGAAATAAGACTCCGCGCTCTCGGAGTTCAGGGAAACATGCATTTTTTTCGCAGAGAAACTGTTCCCCTCGTCGAGAAGTGAGAGCAGTCGGGGGAATAGCATCAAAAGAGCTCGTGGAAGTCGGCGGCCAACTGATTCCACGAAGCCGCTCGTTTTTGACGCAGTCTCTCGATGAAATGACAGCTCCGTTACAATTCTGATCGGCGAGAGCGCCAAGATTCGAGAGAGCGGAAGGAAATAAGACTCCGCGCTCTCGGAGTTCAGGGAAACATGCATTTTTCGCAGAGAAACTGTTCTCCTCGTCGAGAAGTGAGAGCAGTCGGGGGAATAGCATGAAAAGAGCTCGTGGAAGTCGGCGGCCAACTGATTCCACGAAGCCGCTCGTTTTTGACGCAGTCTCTCGATGAAATGACAGCTCCGTTACAATTCTGATCGGCGAGAGCGCCGAGATTCGAGAGAACGGAAGGAAATAAGACTCCGCGCTCTCGGAGTTCAGGGAAACATGCATTTTTCGCAGAGAAACTGTTCCCCTCGTCGAGAAGTGAGAGCAGTCGGGGGAATAGCATCAAAAGAGCTCGTGGAAGTCGGCGGCCAACTGATTCCACGAAGCCGCTCGTTTTTGACGCAGTCTCTCGATGAAATGACAGCTCCGTTACAATTCTGATCGGCGAGAGCGCCAAGATTCGAGAGAGCGGAAGGAAATAAGACTCCGCGCTCTCGGAGTTCAGGGAAACATGCATTTTTCGCAGAGAAACTGTTCTCCTCGTCGAGAAGTGAGAGCAGTCGGGGGAATAGCATGAAAAGAGCTCGTGGAAGTCGGCGGCCAACTGATTCCACGAAGCCGCTCGTTTTTGACGCAGTCTCTCGATGAAATGACAGCTCCGTTACAATTCTGATCGGCGAGAGCGCCAAGATTCGAGAGAGCGGAAGGAAATAAGACTCCGCGCTCTCGGAGTTCAGGGAAACATGCATTTTTTGCAGAGAAACTGTTCTCCCTCGTCGAGAAGTGAGAGCAGTCGGGGGAATAGCATGAAAAGAGCTCGTGGAAGTCGGCGGCCGACTGATTCCACGAAGCCGCTCGTTTTTTTGACGCAGTCTCTCGATGAAATGACAGCTCCGTTACAATTCTGATCGGCGAGAGCGCCGAGATTCGAGAGAACGGAAGGAAATAAGACTCCGCGCTCTCGGAGTTCAGGGAAACATGCATTTTTTTGCAGAGAAACTGTTCTCCTCGTCGAGAAGTGAGAGCAGTCGGGGGAATAGCATGAAAAGAGCTCGTGGAAGTCGGCGGCCAACTGATTCCACGAAGCCGCTCGTTTTTGACGCAGTCTCTCGATGAAATGACAGCTCCGTTACAATTCTGATCGGCGAGAGCGCCAAGATTCGAGAGAGCGGAAGGAAATAAGACTCCGCGCTCTCGGAGTTCAGGGAAACATGCATTTTTCGCAGAGAAACTGTTCTCCTCGTCGAGAAGTGAGAGCAGTCGGGGGAATAGCATGAAAAGAGCTCGTGGAAGTCGGCGGCCAACTGATTCCACGAAGCCGCTCGTTTTTCGCAGTCTCTCGATGAAATGACAGCTCCGTTACAATTCTGATCGGCGAGAGCGCCGAGATTCGAGAGCTCTTTCCGCTCTTTCCGAACGCTGGTGTGCAAGAGAACCCTTCAAAACAGTACAAATTATAGCTTGCAACAAAGATAAGCGCCTCGCTGCACTCAGTGGCCGGCACGTACTACTTTTTCTGTCGGAAAGGCTAGCCGATTGAGCCGAATCAGTCCGCTGAGAGGATCGAATGCGGCCACGAACATCTTTGGCAGCAAACAAAAGTGCAAAAGTTAGAGCTTCAAAAAAAAATCAGCGATTTGACAATTTGAATGGGCAATTCAAACATTTCATTGCGCGTGACGAAATTTGTTTTGTTGGAGTTTTAGGGCGTGGTTTAGCCGGGAAAAGTGTTGCTCCGTTTGGAAATAGTTTCGATCGCGAGCGCGACATTCTAAATTTCACAAAAGAGAGGTACGTCGCGATGAAACCGACAAAAGGTCGTCGGAAAAGGAAAAAGAAGGGAGAAGCAGTCAAAATTTGAGGTAAAAGTGTGGCATCGAACGTAAAAATTGTGCAGAACACTGAGTGGAGCGCGTTTGGCTGTGGGAAACAGTTTAAAAGTTATTTTGAACAGGGGACGTACCGAGCAGTGACGAAGTGCCGCCTGTCTATCACAAAGCGGTCGTCCCGAAGGTGAAACGGACGATGTGTGTGATTATGTGAACTATTTACTTGTGCGATTCGAATGAAGATTTTATTTGATTTATAGTTGAGTATCCACCTTATGTGACAGTTTTAGAAGTTGGAAGTACACTGTTCGCATCTCAAGTCGCAGAAATGCCTATAAGCAGAACATTTCAAAGTTGTGGCCGAGGAATTTCAGGAGCAAAAACTCTTCCATTCTGGCAATTAGACATCCTTGCTGATAGAAACTTCCAAAGACTGGGCATTTTTCTAGACCACGTCCGTGAACTAACCTCGCCACGTGGTACCCTACTCCATTTTGTTATCGCTTTCTCGCACATTCTTCGACGAATCAAACAGTTCCGAGTATTCGACGAACGAAAAAAATTTCTGCCTCATGGTCACTGCTTTTGAAGCAAGCATTTTGGACGTCGATCGAGACGAATCCATCGGGTATCAGACTCACAGCAAATTACTCAATGGTGTTGAATGTAAGTGAATGAGTTCGTAGCTCCATCAAAAAGGAGCACATTTCAGTCTCTTTCTCGTCATGTCTCAAACACTGCACTAGCTACTTCTGCGGCGACAATGTCTCTCGCCCTGTTCGAGCCGTTTCTCAAGGTGAGTCATCTCCGATCAGTTTTCCCAAATTCAATTGTCTTTATGCAGACGAAGCCTTCGAGACATCGATGAGAGAGATGCAAGTGATTGCCAGAATCGCCACTGCAATCTACGTGCAACGAGGGCTTATCGAGGGGACCATCCCGGCCGATGAGCTCATTTCGGACCTGCTTCGGATGGGAACGGTCATTCCCAATCACATCATCGGAATGGACAAGAAGAATCTGACGGACGCACTCCAGGCACTTCAGGATCTGCCGACGAAACTGAAGGACACGGCGAGGATGGACGGGGTGCTGAAATTGCTGGATTCGTTGCGGAAAGACGTGGAGGGAAGTGGCGACGTCGGAAATTGGGACAGTTCTGTCTTCAAGTCGGACGTCGAGGCGATGGCTCGGAATGGACTCAACTTGACGTTCGTGGCCAAGCTCGACCAATACATATCGGAGTTTCGTAGTATTCAAGGTAATAACGTTATTATTTTACAAGTAAAAAGATTTTACCTGTACCGTTTTTAAGGGTTTCTCATGAACGATGCGTTTTCAAAGTCGAATGCTGAAAATTATTTCCTGAAAATCAAAAAAGCAGTCGACGAGTTGATTTCTATGGCCGGAACGATCATGTCTGAAAGCTCAAAAGTTCTGAAGCTTGCTCGAAGTGAAAATGCCACGTCAGCAATGGGACCAATCATGAAAGCGGTCGCCGGCTACGAAAAGTTCCAAAAAATTGAAACTGAAACGATTCATACTTCGAAAGATACGGCCGACTTACAATCAATCAGCGATAACTTCGATCTTCTGTTCAACACCACGCGACAGATGAAAGAAGTTCAGCCTCTGTTGGACTTTGTCAAGAAACTGATCGACGCGCAGAGTGTTGCCGGAGAGACACAGTCGCCGAAGCACACTGCCGGATGGACGAAAGGAGCAGGCGACATCAACCAACTGTTCACCGATGTCGACAGTCCGTGGATCGGTCAAGTGGTGAAGGAGAACAGACTGTCGAAGTCGTTCAATCCACTGAAGAATCTCGGAGCACCTTTCGATTCAATCCATCGGCAACTCGAACTAGGGCTGTCTTCTCAAATCGCCCAGCTCATAGTCCATTCGAACGAGCTCATTCCAGAAACTTCAAAGGAACTGTCATCAGCTGCTAACGGTCTCCACACTTGCCGAACCGCCTTCGCTCCACAATCAGTACAAGTTGCCGATATTTCCAGTCTCCGAGCCACTGTGGAATCACTTGATGCGACTATGACCACTTTACGCACGGCGGTGAGGAATGTGACTGATCAATTGACGAGCGGACTGCAAATGTTCAAGGACATCAGTGCAATGTGCAAAGAAGCCAAAGAAAAACCGGAGGAACTAGAGAGCGTCGTTGAGAAATTCAAGAACTATAAAGATCTGGACAATATGAAGAAGCTGGTTGCAGATGTAGATCTACTTCTGGCGCCTTTGAATGCAGAAAATAGCAAAGGAGATATAAAAACAGCCGCTCAAAAAATTGTTGGTAACTTCACTGTCGTAGAAACTACGAAGAATTCTCTGAAAGGGTACGGAAATTTCTTCACGTGTCTCCAGAATGTGAGGTTATCCGATTCGGTGGTCAAATCGCTTGAGAAAACGAGAAATCTGAGAACGAGCCAAGCATCGTCTCCAGCGAACCAAGGACAACAAATCGCGAAAAAAGTCGTCAGCACCGCGGACCAACTGGCAGCCGTCAAAGAGATTCTGGAGAAGATGAAAGAGTTCAGAAGCGCCGAGGCCGATGCTCTGACGCTCTTCGAAGACTCGCACACGCATTCCGCAGTCATCGGAGCATCCACTCGAGCAGTCATGCGAATGAGCACGCTGTTGGATAAGAAATTATTGATTGACGAAATCACCAAAAACTATGAAGTTGTCAAGGCCAAGATGACATTGGATCGGAAACCGTTCACCAAGGAAGATGAGAACACGTTGAAGTCGATTGCCTCAATTAAACCGCTCTTTGCCGGATTGTTCACCGAACTGTCAAAGTGGAAGATCAGCATCAAAACGAGTGGATCCACTGCTTTGAAGAAGCGCGCGAATCTGTTTCCATCCACCACGTCGATCAGTGTCCAGACGGATTTGAAGGCTTTGATTGCGAGTGTGACCAAATTGGAACGAAATGTGACTGATCCGGACGTCAAGACGAAGCTGAAGGAGATTATAACTGCGCTCGTCACTCTCGACGACATTGGTCTCAATTTCTCGGACGCTCAACCGTCTTTCGACAAGGTCAACGCTTCGTTGGCTGCTCTGGACGACTTCTTTGCCAAGTACAGCCGGAAACTCGCACCGTCTCAATCGCAACAATCGATGTCTGCTTTGCAGAACAACACTTTGAGGGTGATTGCTGTTGCGGCGAGCACGGCGGCTCCGTCGTTTTTCGAGTGAGTTTCAAACGTTTTAGTAATCGAAACTGGAATGTTTCAGAGAAAACCAAACCTACGTAATCATCGCTATCGTTGTGGTTGTTATCTTACTCGTCGCGGGTGTATCTGGAATCATTGCATACCTAAAGCATAAAAAGAAGGAGGAGGAAAATGAAAGAGAACGAATTGAAGCTGAAAAGGAAAGAAGAAAACGTGACACAAGCACGAGTACACCGGAAAGTGCGGAGAATGAAGCTGTACATGCGGCTCCCGTGGTTCCAGTGGCTCCAGTGGCTGCTCCGGCTCCTCCCGCTGTTGATAAAAAGGCTGAACTGTCTCTTCAGAAGACGCAAAGTACGTTGAACGTTTTCTGGAAAGAAATTGATGAACAATTGCAGAAATCATCGTGCCCAAAATGAAAACTTCTGCTATGAACAAGCACATCACCGACATGTACAGTTATTACAAGAACGCTTACCAACGGATGGATGTAAGAAAGTGCCTGGCGGGCGCCACTTTCAATTCTGGCTTTATTGAATTTTATTGCCAAATGTTCGAATCCGTAGAAACGTACACGCGGATCTGTCCCGATCTGGAAGCCCTCATCAGTGAAGAGACGCGGTGAGCCACTTGTGATCGCTGTTCTCATACAATAGTCTTTTGCATTTCAGAGCCACCATTTTCTTGATGCCGACATCGAGAGTGTTCGCAAAGGGATGGCCAGAGTGGAACAGTCATCGCGGAAGCGAGTACATGCACGCGAATCGGCTCACCTGCCCCAACCAGCTGCAGTTCATCATGATGCAAGGGCCTCTGGCGGAGGACATCGAGTCCAGGAAACGGTCGACAATTGAGAAAGCGTGGTGGATGATGAAAGAGGAGCGGACCGAGTTCATTGTCATGTTGTGCAAGACAGTCGAGACTGGTTTGTGCTCGCCGCGAAACGTTCCCACCTCGAAACTCATTATTGCAGTGGAACGAGATGGCCAAACAGTACAATTAGAAAAGTGTGCTCAGTACTTTCCGGAAGAGCAGGGCCAGGTCTTGCAGTTTGATAGGCTGAAGGTGACGTGCGCGGAGAAGACGACGCCCAACAGGGAAGTCATCGTGAGGAAACTGAGTGCCGAGTTTGAGTGAGTTGGACTTGCCCCCCCCCTTGGAAACATTTGTTCCTATTCTACTCGTTCAGAGGGCTGTCCGCGTTCACCGTGACGCACTTCCAACACATTGAGTGGCCTGACCATTCGGTGCCAAGAGAATATGATGGCAACATCTTCATACTGAAGCAGATTCGCAAGAGCCTGGAAGCAATCGTTGTTCACTGTTCCGCCGGAGTCGGACGTACCGGCACTTTTGTCTGTGAGTCGTTTTGTTATTGTTGGTCTTCTGACACGTCCAACTGGGACGAATTGCAGACGCCGAAGTCGCTTATCAAACACTGGCCAACAACGGATGTATGGACCCGGCGGCTGTGTTAAGACAAGTGCGTGATTCTCGTGCGATGGCTATCGAGAAGGAGATTCAACTGGCCTACGGCAACATGCTTGTTTATCACTACGCAGATGTTGTGAGTAGAATTCACTCGATCTCAAGCCGCATCTATCCATTATTTTCAGGGAATGCTGACGGTGGAAAACGCCCGACATTTTGAGAGTATGAAGAACGGAATGATCAAGTTCAGAGAAGTCGAGCATATTTTGAATGCCAGAAATAAAGAGAAGGATGAATCCCGGGAATATTTGAAGAGAGAGGGCATGGCGAGGAAGAAGAATATGAAGAAGAATGAGAAGAAGAATGTGAAGAAGAATGAGAAGAAGCATAAGAAGAAGAGCAAGGATGCGACCGTCGATGCCACTCAGGACGACGCGTCGGAACTGAGAACGGCCGGCGGAAGTGAAGATGAAAGTGAAATGGAGTTCGACCCCGAGTTTGTCGAAGAAAACAAACATTTGCCCGACAGTTGGCCGTGGCAGAAGCACGACGACGTCCCGAAGAAGGTGAAGAAACGGTCATGTTGTGTGATTATGTGAGCATCTACTTGTGTGATTAGAATGAAGATTTTGTTTTATTTGTAGTTGAGTATCCACCTTATGTGACAGTTTTAGAAGTTGGAACTACCCTGTTCGCATATCAAGTCGCAGAAATGCCTTTAAGCAGAACATTTCAACGTTGTGGCCTATGTATTTCAGGTGCAAAAACTCGTCCATTCTGGATTTTTCTAGTCCATGCCACAATGTTGTTTTGTTCGTAAACGAAAGGAACATGTCACATTCATGTAAAGATCAGACTCTGGTGGGGAGTTATGATGACCAAAAGCCTACATATAGACATGTACGCTCTTTCAACAAGTCGACTTTTGAAGAGATGACAGCAGCGGAAACGCAACGACATTCCGGCTCCTTGCAATGGAGCGCACTTGCACAGTCCCTTCGCTGGCTGCTTTCTTTTGAAAAAAAAATTCTTCTCACTATTCAAACGCAATTTATGAGCTCAACCATATCATTTCGAAAAAAATTATATTGATCTGAATATTAATATTATGAGAAACCGAAAATTACAACGGACTACAAAAAGAGAATCGGATTCACAATTGAATAGAGAGATATATTTGACAGAGAGAGAGAGAAAGAGTTGCAAGTTGCAATCGAATAAAGAAGGAAGTTTAGAGGAAATTGATATAAATACTAATAACGTTCAAACTGGCGGCTCTCCTCCCCAGAGAACCGGATTCGTGAACTTCGGCTCCGACGGATGGCCGTTCATCACGTTCTTCCACTCTTCGTAGGCAGCATCCGTCATGTACTTGAACGGCTTCTCGGCGAGCGGATCGATGGAGCAGTTCTTGGCGAGAGCCCTACCCTGCTTGACAGCCTGAATTGCCGAAAGCGCTCTTCCGAAGGCTGCCTGCATGAATCGGTAGTTTGTGATGGAGGTCGGATGGGCGAATCCGTGAGTCAGCTGAAAAAGAGAACAATTGTTTGAGTTTAGATGGTTTTCAAGCTTACCGCCGGCACTTGTTCGTAATCAGAATCCAGAGAGTTCCTCTTGACCCGTCTCTCCTTGTACACAATAGCCGGCTGTCGGCTTTCCAATGTCTTCACGAGACCCGGCATGGCGGTCCTGAAAATGAAACTTGTTACTCATTGGCGGTCAGTTACTGATTGACTTACACTCCATTCTGGAGAAAGATCTCGATGGCGTCCGGGGTCTTTCCGCTTGCCAGCATCTTCTCGATCATCTCTCTGCCGATAGAATCCGATGGGAAGTAGGCTTTGTACAGCATGTCGATGTCCTGTGCGAACCGAGTCAGCTCCAGACGCAAGCTCGACACTTTGTTGTCCCGTTCGGACACTTCCTGCATCAGCCACCGCTTTGCTTCAGCATGGAGACCGCGTTCCGTCGCGATCCTTTCACGCTCGTACTGAAATGAACAGCGTAAATATATTCCGAAACACAATGTTACCTCAATGGTTCGCCTTTCTTTTGCATGAATCGCCAACTCGTGTTGATTGGCAACCTTCTCTTCGATCAGCTTTTGGATTTGGTCTTTCAAAGCGAATGTCTCAACAATAGCAGCCTTTTAAGAAACACGCAGCGGAAAGTCCGAAAAGTCGATAGTCTCGAAATGCGCAGACTCGTTCGGATTGGGAAGCTCTCGCATGGGAGATGACATCGGAGCTGGCACCTGCACCTGAGACTTCTGTTTCTCATAATATTAATATTCAGATCAATATAATTTTTATCGAAATAATATGGTTGAGCTCATAAATTGCGTTTGAATAGTGAGAAGAATTTTTTTTCAAAAGAAAGCAGCCAGCGAAGGGACTGTGCAAGTGCGCTCCATTGCAAGGAGCCGGAATGTCGGTGCGTTTCTTTTTTCTTTGAATATCGGTATTTCATCCCGAAAAACGCTTTTTGCGTAGTGTAAATTGCGAAAATATCGATTTTCCATTGAAATTAGCGAATTTTAAATTCAAAATTACAAAACGTGCAAAGTCTTGTTGATAATATCGTTTTCTTCGTTGTTTCTCTTGTCATTCGCGATGACTTAATAAATTTACGAAATGCCAGAAAAAAGTTGCATTTTGTCGTTTTCAGGTTTCGCTGCAGACCATTGTCAGCATCAAAGTGGTCCGTGATGCGGTGCCCAATCAGTACATGCTCATCGCCAAGTTTCGCGATCACTTTAACCACCTACTCTGACAACCGGCCGGGAGTGTTGACCCAGGTCTACGAGGGAGAGCGTGCCCTGACCAAGGACAAAAACCTGCTCGATTTTTTGGCCACGAGGGACACAGTTTATTTCATGCGCAAAGACGACTGTCGCAAGAGGAAGCTCATATTCTCATCTCGTAGTTTATTGAACGTCCGTCGCAGAACGACTCGTCGCTGTCGTCATAATTGTCCTTCGCGAAAAGACGGACGGTTAAAGACTATCCGAAAGAGTCTATCTGAAACGGGTCACATGAGAATATCTTGTTTTCATTTTCAAAAAATGCATACCTGGAAGGACTCGTTCACCTCGAGCAAGCATCTTCTCGGTGCTTGTTTGCCGTCGTTCGGGATGGGACTTCCTTTAGTGTTCAACGCCGTCTCGACATTTTTGGAATCGGGACTGCACGGACTATCAAACGCGAAAGGAGTCATCTGTCTCCGGATTCCGGTTTCCGGTCTGCGCTTTGGAGTGCTCGGGGCGACCTCCGACTCTCTCTCTCTCTCAAACAACGGCGAACTCGGCTCGAGGATGTTCATCTGTTCGGATGCCGGAACAATGGAAGACGATGGTCCGGAAGTCTTCTTCGCAGATTGAGTATCGATTGGAGTAGAAGTCATCGGCTTTGCGGAGAATTGCCCTCCCTTCACAGTCTCGAGACCCTTTCTGGCCAGAAACGCGGCCATATTGCGATCCGCCTCACCAATTTCAGTTCCGTCGGTGGGGCGAATCTCCAGCGGGACCATCTCCTTCTGCATCTACTTCACAGCCGGAAAGAGCACAAATAGGCAATTTGAGCATTGTCACTTGCGGTCCTGGATTTCTATCCTGAAAAAAACGTAATGAAGTGCGTCTAATAATGATGACAGTTCTTATATTTCAGAGATACAGCCAGAGCGAGAATAGCATGAAAAGAGCTCGTGGAAGTCGGCGGCCAACTGATTCCACGAAGCCGCTCGTTTTTGACGCAGTCTCTCGATGAAATGACAGCTCCGTTACAATTCTGATCGGCGAGAGCGCCGAGATTCGAGAGAACGGAAGGAAATAAGACTCCGCGCTCTCGGAGTTGCCGAGAGTTTTGGCCAAATTCGGCGAAGATTCGTAGATGTATTTGACGCAGCTCGCAGCGCAAGCTCTTTCCGAACGCTGGTGTGCAAGACAACCCTTCAAAACAGTACAAATTATAGCTTGCAACAAAGATAAGCGCCTCGCTGCACTCAGTGGCCGGCACGTACTACTTTTTCTGTCGGAAAGGCTAGCCGATTGAGCCGAATCAGTCCGCTGAGAGGATCGAATGCGGCCACGAACATCTTTGGCAGCAAACAAAAGTGCAAAAGTTAGAGCTTCAAAAAAAATCAGCGATTTGACAATTTGAATGGGCAATTCAAACATTTCATTGCGCGTAACGAAATTTGTTTTGTTGGAGTTTTACGGCATGGTTTAGCCGGGAAAAGTGTTGCTCCGTTTGGAAACAGTTTCGATCGCGAGCGCGACATTCTAAATTTCACAAAAGAGAGGTACGTCGCGATGAAACCGACAAAAGGTCTTCGGAAAAGGAAAAAGAAGGGAGAAGCAGTCAAAATTTGAGGTAAAAGTGTGGCATCGAACGTAAAAATTGTGCAGAACACTGAGTGGAGCGCGTTTGGCCGTGGGAAACAGTTTAAAAGTTATTTTGAACAGGGGACATACCGAGCAGTGACGAAGTGCCGCCTGTCTATCACAAAGTGATCGTCGCGGAGGTGAAACGGACGATGTGTGTGATTATGTGAACTATTTACTTGTGCGATTCGAATGAAGATTTTATTTGATTTATAGTTGAGTATCCACCTTATGTGACAGTTTTAGAAGTTGGAAGTACACTGTTCGCATCTCAAGTCGCAGAAATGCCTATAAGCAGAACATTTCAAAGTTGTGGCCGAGGAATTTCAGGAGCAAAAACTCTTCCATTCTGGCAATTAGACATCCTTGCTGATAGAAACTTCCAAAGACTGGGCATTTTTCTAGACCACGTCCGTGAACTAACCTCGCCACGTGGTACCCTACTCCATTTTGTTATCGCTTTCTCGCACATTCTTCGACGAATCAAACAGTTCCGAGTATTCGACGAACGAAAAAAATTTCTGCCTCATGGTCACTGCTTTTGAAGCAAGCATTTTGGACGTCGATCGAGACGAATCCATCGGGTATCAGACTCACAGCAAATTACTCAATGGTGTTGAATGTAAGTGAATGAGTTCGTAGCTCCATCAAATTAGCACATTTCAGTCTCTTTCTCGTCATGTCTCAGACACTGCACTAGCTACTTCTGCGGCGACAATGTCTCTCGCCCTGTTCGAGCCGTTTCTCAAGGTGAGTCATCTCCGATCAGTTTTCCCAAATTCAATTGTCTTTCTGCAGACGAAGCCTTCGAGACATCGATGAGAGAGATGCAAGTGATTGCCAGAATCGCCACTGCAATCTACGTGCAACGAGGGCTTATCGAGGGGACCATCCCGGCCGATGAGCTCATTTCGGACCTGCTTCGGATGGGAACGGTCATTCCCAATCACATCATCGGAATGGACAAGAAGAATCTGACGGACGCACTCCAGGCACTTCAGGATCTGCCGACGAAACTGAAGGACACGGCGAGGATGGACGGGGTGCTGAAATTGCTGGATTCGTTGCGGAAAGACGTGGAGGGAAGTGGCGACGTCGGAAATTGGGACAGTTCTGTCTTCAAGTCGGACGTCGAGGCAATGGCTCGGAATGGACTCAACTTGACGTTCGTGGCCAAGCTCGACCAATACATATCGGAGTTTCGTAGTATTCAAGGTAATAACGTTATTATTTTACAAGTAAAAAGATTTTACCTGTACCGTTTTTAAGGGTTTCTCATGAACGATGCGTTTTCAAAGTCGAATGCTGAAAATTATTTCCTGAAAATCAAAAAAGCAGTCGACGAGTTGATTTCTATGGCCGGAACGATCATGTCTGAAAGCTCAAAAGTTCTGAAGCTTGCTCGAAGTGAAAATGCCACGTCAGCAATGGGACCAATCATGAAAGCGGTCGCCGGCTACGAAAAGTTCCAAAAAATTGAAACTGAAACGATTCATACTTCGAAAGATACGGCCGACTTACAATCAATCAGCGATAACTTCGATCTTCTGTTCAACACCACGCGACAGATGAAAGAAGTTCAGCCTCTGTTGGACTTTGTCAAGAAACTGATCGACGCGCAGAGTGTTGCCGGAGAGACACAGTCGCCGAAGCACACTGCCGGATGGACGGAAGGAGCAGGCGACATCAACCAACTGTTCACCGATGTCGACAGTCCGTGGATCGGTCAAGTGGTGAAGGAGAACAGACTGTCGAAGTCGTTCAATCCACTGAAGAATCTCGGAGCACCTTTCGATTCAATCCATCGGCAACTCGAACTAGGGCTGTCTTCTCAAATCGCCCAGCTCATAGTCCATTCGAACGAGCTCATTCCAGAAACTTCAAAGGAACTGTCATCAGCTGCTAACGGTCTCCACACTTGCCGAACCGCCTTCGCTCCACAATCAGTACAAGTTGCCGATATTTCCAGTCTCCGAGCCACTGTGGAATCACTTGATGCGACTATGACCACTTTACGCACGGCGGTGAGGAATGTGACTGATCAATTGACGAGCGGACTGCAAATGTTCAAGGACATCAGTGCAATGTGCAAAGAAGCCAAAGAAAAACCGGAGGAACTAGAGAGCGTCGTTGAGAAATTCAAGAACTATAAAGATCTGGACAATATGAAGAAGCTGGTTGCAGATGTAGATCTACTTCTGGCGCCTTTGAATGCAGAAAATAGCAAAGGAGATATAAAAACAGCCGCTCAAAAAATTGTTGGTAACTTCACTGTCGTAGAAACTACGAAGAATTCTCTGAAAGGGTACGGAAATTTCTTCACGTGTCTCCAGAATGTGAGGTTATCCGATTCGGTGGTCAAATCGCTTGAGAAAACGAGAAATCTGAGAACGAGCCAAGCATCGTCTCCAGCGAACCAAGGACAACAAATCGCGAAAAAAGTCGTCAGCACCGCGGACCAACTGGCAGCCGTCAAAGAGATTCTGGAGAAGATGAAAGAGTTCAGAAGCGCCGAGGCCGATGCTCTGACGCTCTTCGAAGACTCGCACACGCATTCCGCAGTCATCGGAGCATCCACTCGAGCAGTCATGCGAATGAGCACGCTGTTGGATAAGAAATTATTGATTGACGAAATCACCAAACTATGAAGTTGTCAAGGCCAAGATGACATTGGATCGGAAACCGTTCACCAAGGAAGATGAGAACACGTTGAAGTCGATTGCCTCAATTAAACCGCTCTTTGCCGGATTGTTCACCGAACTGTCAAAGTGGAAGATCAGCATCAAAACGAGTGGATCCACTGCTTTGAAGAAGCGCGCGAATCTGTTTCCATCCACCACGTCGATCAGTGTCCAGACGGATTTGAAGGCTTTGATTGCGAGTGTGACCAAATTGGAACGAAATGTGACTGATCCGGACGTCAAGACGAAGCTGAAGGAGATTATAACTGCGCTCGTCACTCTGGACGACATTGGTCTCAATTTCTCGGACGCTCAACCGTCTTTCGACAAGGTCAACGCTTCGTTGGCTGCTCTGGACGACTTCTTTGCCAAGTACAGCCGGAAACTCGCACCGTCTCAATCGCAACAATCGATGTCTGCTTTGCAGAACAACACTTTGAGGGTGATTGCTGTTGCGGCGAGCACGGCGGCTCCGTCGTTTTTCGAGTGAGTTTCAAACGTTTTAGTAATCGAAACTGGAATGTTTCAGAGAAAACCAAACCTACGTAATCATCGCTATCGTTGTGGTTGTTATCTTCCTCGCCGCGGGTGTATCTGGAATCATTGCATACCTAAAGCATAAAAAGAAGGAGGAGGAAAATGAAAGAGAACGAATTGAAGCTGAAAAGGAAAGAAGAAAACCTGACTCAAGCACGAGTACACCGGAATGTGCGGAGAACGAAGCTGTACATGCGGCTCCCGTGGTTCCAGTGGCTCCAGTGGCTGCTCCGGCTCCTCCCACTGTTGATAAAAAGGCTGAACTGTCTCTTCAGAAGACGCAAAGTACGTTGAACGTTTTCTGGAAAGAAATTGATGAACAATTGCAGAAATCATCGTGCCCAAAATGAAAACTTCTGCTATGAACAAGCACATCACCGACATGTACAGTTATTACAAGAACGCTTACCAACGGATGGATGTAAGAAAGTGCCTGGCGGGCGCCACTTTCAATTCTGGCTTTATTGAATTTTATTGCCAAATGTTCGAATCCGTAGAAACGTACACGCGGATCTGTCCCGATCTGGAAGCCCTCATCAGTGAAGAGACGCGGTGAGCCACTTGTGATCGCTGTTCTCATACAATAGTCTTTTGCATTTCAGAGCCACCATTTTCTTGATGCCGACATCGAGAGTGTTCGCAAAGGGATGGCCAGAGTGGAACAGTCATCGCGGAAGCGAGTACATGCACGCGAATCGGCTCACCTGCCCCAACCAGCTGCAGTTCATCATGATGCAAGGGCCTCTGGCGGAGGACATCGAGTCCAGGAAACGGTCGACAATTGAGAAAGCGTGGTGGATGATGAAAGAGGAGCGGACCGAGTTCATTGTCATGTTGTGCAAGACAGTCGAGACTGGTTTGTGCTCGCCGCGAAACGTTCCCACCTCGAAACTCATTATTGCAGTGGAACGAGATGGCCAAACAGTACAATTAGAAAAGTGTGCTCAGTACTTTCCGGAAGAGCAGGGCCAGATCTTGCAGTTTGATAGGCTGAAGGTGACGTGCGCGGAGAAGACGACGCCCAACAGGGAAGTCATCGTGAGGAAACTGAGTGCCGAGTTTGAGTGAGTTGGACTTGCCCCCCCCCTTGGAAACATTTGTTCCTATTCTACTCGTTCAGAGGGCTGTCCGCGTTCACCGTGACGCACTTCCAACACATTGAGTGGCCTGACCATTCGGTGCCAAGAGAATATGATGGCAACATCTTCATACTGAAGCAGATTCGCAAGAGCCTGGAAGCAATCGTTGTTCACTGTTCCGCCGGAGTCGGACGTACCGGCACTTTTGTCTGTGAGTCGTTTTGTTATTGTTGGTCTTCTGACACGTCCAACTGGGACGAATTGCAGACGCCGAAGTCGCTTATCAAACACTGGCCAACAACGGATGTATGGACCCGGCGGCTGTGTTAAGACAAGTGCGTGATTCTCGTGCGATGGCTATCGAGAAGGAGATTCAACTGGCCTACGGCAACATGCTTGTTTATCACTACGCAGATGTTGTGAGTAGAATTCACTCGATCTCAAGCCGCATCTATCCATTATTTTCAGGGAATGCTGACGGTGGAAAACGCCCGACATTTTGAGAGTATGAAGAACGGAATGATCAAGTTCAGAGAAGTCGAGCATATTTTGAATGCCAGAAATAAAGAGAAGGATGAATCCCGGGAATATTTGAAGAGAGAGGGCATGGCGAGGAAGAAGAATATGAAGAAGAATGTGAAGAAGAATGAGAAGAAGAATGAGAAGAAGCATAAGAAGAAGAGCAAGGATGCGACCGTCGATGCCACTCAGGACGACGCGTCGGAACTGAGAACGGCCGGCGGAAGTGAAGATGAAAGTGAAATGGAGTTCGACCCCGAGTTTGTCGAAGAAAACAAACATTTGCCCGACAGTTGGCCGTGGCAGAAGCACGACGACGTCCCGAAAAAGGTGAAGAAACGGTCATGTTGTGTGATTATGTGAGCATCTACTTGTGTGATTAGAATGAAGATTTTGTTTTATTTGTAGTTGAGTATCCACCTTATGTGACAGTTTTAGAAGTTGGAACTACCCTGTTCGCATATCAAGTCGCAGAAATGCCTTTAAGCAGAACATTTCAACGTTGTGGCCTATGTATTTCAGGTGCAAAAACTCGTCCATTCTGGATTTTTCTAGTCCATGCCACAATGTTGTTTTGTTCGTAAACGAAAGGAACATGTCACATTCATGTAAAGATCAGACTCTGGTGGGGAGTTATGATGACCAAAAGCCTACATATAGACATGTACGCTCTTTCAACAAGTCGACTTTTGAAGAGATGACAGCAGCGGAAACGCAACGACATTCCGGCTCCTTGCAATGGAGCGCACTTGCACAGTCCCTTCGCTGGCTGCTTTCTTTTGAAAAAAAAATTCTTCTCACTATTCAAACGCAATTTATGAGCTCAACCATATCATTTCGAAAAAAATTATATTGATCTGAATATTAATATTATGAGAAACCGAAAATTACAACGGACTACAAAAAAAGAGAATCGGATTCACAATTGAATAGAGAGATATATTTGACAGAGAGAGAGAAAAGAGTTGCAAGTTGCAATCGAATAAAGAAGGAAGTTTAGAGGAAATTGATATAAATACTAATAACGTTCAAACTGGCGGCTCTCCTCCCCAGAGAACCGGATTCGTGAACTTCGGCTCCGACGGATGGCCGTTCATCACGTTCTTCCACTCTTCGTAGGCAGCATCCGTCATGTACTTGAACGGCTTCTCGGCGAGCGGATCGATGGAGCAGTTCTTGGCGAGAGCCCTACCCTGCTTGACAGCCTGAATTGCCGAAAGCGCTCTTCCGAAGGCTGCCTGCATGAATCGGTAGTTTGTGATGGAGGTCGGATGGGCGAATCCGTGAGTCAGCTGAAAAGAGAACAATTGTTTGAGTTTAGATGGTTTTCAAGCTTACCGCCGACACTTGTTCGTAATCAGAATCCAGAGAGTTCCTCTTGACCCGTCTCTCCTTGTACACAATAGCCGGCTGTCGGCTTTCCAATGTCTTCACGAGACCCGGCATGGCGGTCCTGAAAATGAAACTTGTTACTCATTGGCGGTCAGTTACTGATTGACTTACACTCCATTCTGGAGAAAGATCTCGATGGCGTCCGGGGTCTTTCCGCTTGCCAGCATCTTCTCGATCATCTCTCTGCCGATAGAATCCGATGGGAAGTAGGCTTTGTACAGCATGTCGATGTCCTGTGCGAACCGAGTGGCCTCTTCTTCCAGCAGGTACGAGAACGAGTTCGGGTTTCTCTGTCTGTGGTGAGCGGTGAACAGAATTCCATACTCAGCTCCAGACGCAAGCTCGACACTTTGTTGTCCCGTTCGGACACTTCCTGCATCAGCCACCGCTTTGCTTCAGCATGGAGACCGCGTTCCGTCGCGATCCTTTCACGCTCGTACTGAAATGAACAGCGTAAATATATTCCGAAACACAATGTTACCTCAATGGTTCGCCTTTCTTTTGCATGAATCGCCAACTCGTGTTGATTGGCAACCTTCTCTTCGATCAGCTTTTGGATTTGGTCTTTCAAAGCGAATGTCTCAACAATAGCAGCCTTTTAAGAAACACGCAGCGGAAAGTCCGAAAAGTCGATAGTCTCGAAATGCGCAGACTCGTTCGGATTGGGAAGCTCTCGCATGGGAGATGACATCGGAGCTGGCACCTGCACCTGAGACTTCTGTTTCTCATAATATTAATATTCAGATCAATATAATTTTTATCGAAATGATATGGTTGAGCTCATAAATTGCGTTTGAATAGTGAGAAGAAATTTTTTTTCAAAAGAAAGCAGCCAGCGAAGGGACTGTGCAAGTGCGCTCCATTGCAAGGAGCCGGAATGTCGGTGCGTTTCTTTTTTCTTTGAATATCGGTATTTCATCCCGAAAAACGCTTTTTGCGTAGTGTAAATTGCGAAAATATCGATTTTCCATTGAAATTAGCGAATTTTAAATTCAAAATTACAAAAAGTGCAAAGTCTTGTTGATAATATCGTTTTCTTCGTTGTTTCTCTTGTCATTCGCGATGACTTAATAAATTTACGAAATGCCAGAAAAAAGTTGCATTTTGTCGTTTTCAGGTTTCGCTGCAGACCATTGTCAGCATCAAAGTGGTCCGTGATGCGGTGCCCAATCAGTACATGCTCATCGCCAAGTTTCGCGATCACTTTAACCACCTACTCTGACAACCGGCCGGGAGTGTTGACCCAGGTCTACGAGGGAGAGCGTGCCCTGACCAAGGACAAAAACCTGCTCGGAAAGTTGGAGCTCTCTGGAATCCCACCAGCGCCAACGGAATCCTCAATGTGTCTACCACCGACAAGTCGACTGGAAAGCAGAACAAGATCACCATCGCCAACGACAAGGAGCGTCTGTCGAAGGACGACATTGAGCGTCGTGGTAAACGAGGCCGAGAAGTACAAGGCTGATGATGAGGTCCAGAAGAACCGCATCGGAGTCAAGAACAGACTCGAGTCTTACGCTTTCAACCTCATGGAGACGATGTTTTACAGATTCATTCAATAAATAATAATCAAGAAAAAGTTCACAAAAAAAAATCGGGGCGCTCGGAACAACAACCAATTTGTGTGGAACACAGGGCAAAAGAGATTTTCAGACGGGATGGAGAAGAAATTGAATCGACAATCATTTACGTGGGTCTCCGGTAAACTTCTGCAGGAATTTCCGGTACTGGAAAGGGCGGGCGCGTTTTTTCACCAAAAGTCAAAATGCTGGAAATTGCTGAAAATGTGTGTGTGTTTGTGTGTGTGGGGACGTGGCGGGAAACCGTGTTCAGAACACGGGGAAAATCACCGGACTTGGGCGGGGGAGGAAAAAACAAGAAAACGACCGCTTAGCGGTCATAATTTTAGGAAAACGTGGCAATGTGTTTTGTGCTGGGGGGGGTGTTCTCAACAATTGGTACTAAATAAAGCCAAAACCTCGAAAAGGAACAGAATTGGGAAATTCGGGTCTAGAAATGGAGGGGAAACACAATATTGTACTAGAAAAATGAGAAGAACAACGTTGCAGACATACAAAGAAGGAGACGAGGAAAGATCGTTTAGAAAAGGGAATCGTGGTGGGCTTGGCCCCAAAAGTTGGGTAAGGAAGGAAGGAAGGAAAACAGGTTAGTACGCCGAATGGTTCTTCATATTATTGATTAGTGATTGAGGATTGAAAGCGGCCGACGAACTGGATGCTGACGTGGCGGAAGGCGTCGCCGAGATGACCGCCGAGCCCGTGGCCGTGACGACTGCCGTCGCGGAGCCCGTCGCGCCGTTGTACCGTTGAATGTTCTCGAGTGGCGTGATCATGTTGAATCTGAAATGAATTATCCGAATTTGTGGATAAGCATTCGTTCGCATCCTACCCGGGAGTCCGATCGGCTCCATTCTTGGCTGACGCGCTCGTCGTCGTCGTCGTCGTCGGATACTCGCTCAAGTATCGATTGCTGCGAATGTTGAAGAGCTGACTGAACGCGCTGTTCTGAAAGGCCGGGTTCGAGTAGGGCGTGCCGTGCGAGCCGATCATCGTGTTGGCGGCGAACTGGTCTGCAAGCGAGCCTATCATCAGTTGAGCATCCCTTTCTCAATGTTAACTCACTAATGTTGAACGAAGAGGCGTCGTGTCCGCCCTCGCCGCCCATCCCTTGCATCGGATTCCACGCGAGTAGCGATGGGTCGAACGGATCGGCGGGCACGTCGTTTCTGCAAATATTCAACCAATATCAGCACAGAATCATCTTAAAACCAACCCGAACGTGGCGGTTTTCGAGCGATCCGCATGCTTGGTCATGTGCTTTTGAAGGTACGTTTGTTGGGTGTACGACTTGCCGCAAAACGGACAAATGTGAATCTTAAGACGCTAAATTCATTAAAGTTATCCGCCACAGACAGTTTGGACGTTGACGGGCCGCTCACCTTCAAATGTTTCGACTCTTTGTGCTTTGGGATGTGGTCCAGAAGACTCTGCTCGTCGACGAAACACTTGTAGCAGCTGTTGCACTTGAACGGTTTGTCTGTTTGGTGGCAGCGGGAGTGCGATTGGAGGTTCGACAGTTGCGAAAAGGCCTTGTCGCAACCGGTGAACTTGCACTGCAAATTTCGATTCTTATGTGTGTAACTTTAAAGAGATATATCTCGAGAACCAGTGACTACTCTCAAAAGGTTACAACTGAAAAGTTGTAGCAAATTGCATTTTGAACAACTTTGTAATTGACTGTTTTACTTGAAATTGCCTAGTTCTTAAGTTATGGAAGCTCGGTGAGTGAACATTCAAAATTTTCATTTGATTACTTCTAATGCCTATATCTCAAGAACCCTTAACTATGCTGAGTAGTGGTTAACTACAAAATTGTTGAAAATTGCATGCTCTACAACTTTGCAGTTAACAATTTTGCGTCAAAATGTCTCATTTCCGAGTTACAACCAACCTTATAGGGCTTCTCGCCAGTGTGCGTCCGAATGTGCTGCTGGAGATGCGACAACTGCGTGAACTTTTTGCCACAATAGTTGCACGGCCCGAACGGTTTGATGCCGAGATGGATGCGCATGTGCTGTGACAGATAGGACGAGTTGGCGAACGTCTGAAACGGACGGTCTCTCGATTGGATGGAGAGAGGGCAAAACGATCGATCGATGGATCGATCGATCGATCGAGAATGATGGTACCTTGACGCACTGTGTGCACTTGTAGGGTTTCGCCTCTCGCATCTGCATCTGTTGCTGAAGCACCCCCACGTCCGGCTTTTGTTCGAACTGCAATATCAAGGTTGTTGAAGGAAGGATCATTTGGATCGACAATATTGTAAACTTTTTCGCTTTTTTTTTGTGTTGCTCGCGATCGAATTTCAGGTCAATTCTGTCAACAACCAACAAACAGTACAAAGTTTGAAAAAGGAAAAGTTCATAATCGGATAAATGAGAGTGTGTGGGCGGGACGTTTTGAACACCTCCTTCACACCATTTTTCATCCGTCCGTCGTACAGTTTTTCGGGCCGCAAAAAGTGTGCGCGGCCTTTACGGAACCGAATCGAAAACTGAGAGAGCGAGCGGGAGAGGCGAAGAAAAAGTTGGGCTTGATTTATTTTTGATTTGATGAAGTGGAAGTGGAAAACTTTTTCATGATTTTTTGATTTATGCACGAAAATGAGTTATGTCGGCATACGGTACTATAGTGAACCGACAATATCAGGACTAGAGACAAACTTTGGGTGCGCGTATCTCGGCGGAAAATGATCGGAGAGGGACCAAACTCGGTGAGCATCATTTAAAGGGTCTAAGGTACACCGTGTCCAAGTTTGGTCCCAATCCGATCATGTTCCGCCGAGATACACCCGCACAAAGTTGAGAAAATGTAGGGATCGACAATAGCTGAACTTTGCATGGGTTTTATCGAGAAAAACACAATTTTGAACCCTAAAAATCGTTCTTTCTCCTCATTTCGATTTTCTCTTTTGTATGGCGGCTCGCGGACGGCCAAACAACTCGCAACATGTGTCGTCGCGCGCGGAAGAAAGGGGAAGTGTGTCTCGATTTCAAACACAACTTGTCCGAGAGAAGAGAACATTGTTGGCCGACAATCCAAGTACACGGGCTCTAGGATCAATCGGATCGAAAAAAAAACACAAAAAAAGTGGATCCGAGCACATCTGGTTCAGTTTCCTGGGTACTGTTTAGAAAAAAGTCGTGTAACTTGAGAACGAGACATTTTAAGGCAAAATGGTCAACTGCAAAGTTGTAGAGCATAAAATTTGCAACAATTTTGCAGTTTACATCTTTTCAGCATAGTTGTGGGTTCTTGAGATGTAGGCGTTAGAAGTGGTTAAATAGAAATGTTGAGTATGCAGTAGAAATAGGACCATAACTTAAAAACCAAATGGGTTGAAATAAAATAGTCAATTACAAAGTTGTAGAGCACAAAATTTGCAGCAATTTTGCAGTTGACCGCTGTCTGAAAAAATCACTGGTTCTCGAGATAAAAGCCTTCAAAGTTTAGGCGAACAATATCTTTCAGTGTAACGCAACTTTTTGAGCGGTTCAAGTCCATTAAACCGATCAAAAATCTTGCAATCCCGGAACAAAAAGCTCTTTCTTTCTCTCTCTCTCTCTCTTTCCACCGTTCCGTTCCCGCTCGAGACTACACAAAAAAGTGGAGGGGAGGGGAGGGGAGAAAGTGCAACAAACACACAGAAAGAGGGAGACAGTCTAGTGCAAACTCTCCATCTCTAAAGCCTCTCTCTCTCTCTCTCTCTTCCTCAATCGATTTTAGCAATTTTTAGGCAAACTCGGCTGAGTTGGTGTTCAATATATTGTGCTCTTCTCGGTGATCCCCCCGACCTTTAACATTTCGCCTGAAATCGTCAAATTTGGCCAGAGGAGAGGGGGGCGGAGTCTGTTTTCGCCAGACTTTTTTCTCGATTCATTTTCGAAATTTGGAAAAGTGGAAGATACCGATCGAATTACACACGCACACTCGCTCAGTCTACAACAAACGGAGCGGACGGAGCGCGAAAGGTTACTGTACATTTTTTGGGGGCCGAGGACGAAGAAAAACGCGGAATTTTGCGTCAACGCAAGAACTTGCGTTGGCAAAAAATGTTAGAAAGCACTTGGACTTGAACTTGTGACTTTTGGAGACTCTCAGCAAAAGCTGTTACCACTTGACCACGTTGAAATGGCGGGAATCAAGCTCTAGAAGCCTACACAATATCATTTAGAGTACAGATTAGTATCAAACTTTTTCTTTAAGGTGGGGGGCGATGTATTCTCTCATAAAAAGTGCCCGACGCCAAGCAAAAACCCATCACTTTTTATCGTTTTGCTACAGTAATCCGTTAGGGGTCATCTAGCATCCATCGCTGGCCAAAAGGACCAAACAAAAAAAAAAGAGAGCAGAGAAAAAGTTTGGAGAAAAAAGTTGAGAAGCAAAAAATCGAGTTGCCGAGTTGCCGAGGAGCACACAAAAGCAGAGAGCCCCCCGAGGGATTACTGTAGAAAAGAGAGAGAGAGAGAGAGAGAAAGAGAGAGAGAGAGAGAGAGAGAGAGAGGAAAATGGAACGGTTGTTGACTCTTTGCAGTGTTCGATTGAGGAGTAGGCGCCAGTGTCATCTCGCACAGTTTGTGTGCACTTTTTGTGAGGAAAAGCACGCGGCGAGAGGTGAAAACGCACAAAAAGTGAATGTACAATATCGTTTTCGCAGTAAAACGCGGGTTTTTTTGAGCCAGAACTTTGCAAAAATCATAACTTGGCTCAAAAAAGTGATAGACACCCTGTCGACCTTTTAAAATGACGGAAATCGACTGAAAACAATTGGAAAACATAGTGGGCACTTGGAAAGAACGAAAAATTTGCAAAAAGCGCGAGAAATGTGAAATGCAACATTTTTTCAAAATCAATAAAGTATGATCAAAAGTGCGTAGAGGAAATGACGGAAATTATGAAGTTTGAGTGGATTTACAAGAAGAATCGACAAAAATCGACAAAAATGAGGGGTTTTAGGCCGAAGCGCACTAACGGAATAGGATAGGATTACTGTAGAGATGCCACCCAGTCTGAGACGGTTTTTTGCCGACCCCAGGACCTAAAAAGTGTCTCTAAAAAGTGCTACACAATCGGTTTTTTCCGCTCCGTACACACACGCACACACACACGTTTTTTGGGGCCCAATTTCAATTTCAATTACACAATTTCAAGGCGAATTGGGGGGGTGTATAATCTAAAAGGAGGCATCTTTCTCTCCCTCTTTTCTTCGCTCTTTTTTTGGGTAAAAGCCAAAAAAAGTGTGCGTGTGTGTGTTTGTTCTGACCAATGGGCGATAGGGGGCAAAGCTACCGTAATCGCGTCCCCCCCCCCCCAAGTTTATACCGGTTTTGAGTGAGGGCCTTGCCACTTTCCTTCTTTCGAAAAGGAATGAGGGGTGGAGAACAATGTCTAAGGGATTACTGTAGTTGTGAGCGAGGAGGAAGAAGAAGAAGAAGAAGAAGAAGAAGAAACATTTGGAATTGGAAACTGGTTGGTTAAGGCATTGTAGACGTCGTTTTATTGGTTTTCAGGTAGATGCTGCTGATGCTGGGATGAATGTACAGTAATCGCGAACTCTTAAGGATGGATGACGTGGCACAGAAAGTTTTGTGGAAGTTGTTGGATAAAGTTGAAAAGTGTGACACACACACTGATGACGTGGCAACAAATACAGTACCCCCCTGCCCCAGCAACTTACCAGCTCACCTCCACTCGATTTCCCACCATCTTCTGCACTTCCGGACGCTTTGCCAACGGCCAAAAGAAGCTCTTCGACAAGATTTTCCGAATTCTCCATTCGTCGAGAAGACGGGGAAAAAGTGAACGCGGAATAATATATATGAGCGTTTTGAACCGACCTAACGCACATGTGTCGTTAAGACGAAAAAGAGGGCCAAATTATGGGGGGGGGGGCACCGGCAGTCGGGAATCGAGAAGAAAGAAGGAGAAAGAGAGAGAGAGAGAGAGAGACCGGTTTCCATGGGGGTTTTTGTTATCGTTAACTGCTTTTTTTAAAAAAGTTTTGGGTCTAGTAAATGTGAAAATGCGTGGGCGTTGGCGCCAAAAAACGCGAGTGGATAGTAGTGAGCAGGAGATTAGCATTTTATCTCAGCTGCGGGTAGAGATATCAAAAAGTGGTCAACTGACAAAATGTGCGCAATGTCTTTCGGAGCAATTCATTAGTTGACAACGTTTTTCTATCTCTACCGGCAGCTGAGATAATTGCACAATAGCAGTGTGAGTACAACTTTCAGTCCAAGTGAAGTGAGCAAAGTCAAAGCGTACAGTAATCCTAGTCAACTTACCGTTAAGCCAAAGAATCGTCTTACCTTTTTTCGAACATCTTCTCAAAGTTTCCGGAGGACACCATCTGAGGCTGTTCGTTTCTCGAATGAACTACTACTATCCATCCACTTTTTTTCGATCGTTTTGGGTCATCACCCCCAGCCCTTTTTTTCCGCTCTCCCTCTCCGATCTAGCCGCCTATTTGGGTCATCCTCTATACAGTTTTTTTGCACTTCCAAAGCCCCCAAAAAAAACTTCTGTCTCCCCCTTTTCCCTTTGCAAATGTCCGTTCGGGACATGAAAAGTGATCGTGTGTTCCTGTACATGTTCTTCTTCTTCCTCTTCTTCTCCCTCTTCCATCCGATTATTCAAGGCCACAAAAAATGGCTGCTGTACGCGGCGGACAGGAGGAGCGCGCGCGCCAAATTGCTGACCTAAAAAGGAGGCGAAGAAGATGTTCGGAAAGGACGATGACACACAAAAAATGTCTGCGCCGCCGCCGCCAAGTTTTCGAGGGAAGAGTGCAGCGGAACTTAAAGGGAGAAGGGGGGTCTGCCACGTCATCATCATCAACTTTGAACGAATATTGTAGAGTAACAGTTTTTTATTGGAAACTTGACGTCTAGTACGACCATTTTTCAGCTTACACCAGAGTACTGTAGTGTCTGGAAATTAGGGCTTCAATTTCTGTGCTCGAGACTACAGTAACCCAGGGACAACTACAAAAATGTTCTACTAGATGTGAAGTGTTCACAAAACAAATTTGAAAGCCATGGGACTTCAAATAACTCTACAATATCCGTTCAAAGTCTCCTCGAGGGATCCCGCTGGCTCATGGACTCTTTTTCAAAGAACCGTCTAGATCGGAGAACAGCACAATAGCAGTAAAACTACACATTGTTTCGATGTTTCAAAAAAGGTAAAAGCAGTCGAAATCGAATGTAAAAGTGATGCAAAGAGTGGTGGTGACCTAGTGTGTTGTGACATGGTGCCATATGGGAAGAATCCCCAAACAAAGGGACCGATCCGACAGTTTTTTATGTGTCCGGTGGGGAGGTGAGAGTGACAAATGGAATGACCGGATGGGAGCGGAAAGTGAGAGCGAGGTGGACAAACTTTTCGAATTCGGATATGTCTTACAGGGGTTCTCGTCGCCGAGTTTACTCTAAAATTGGAGCAGCGATGGCTCCTAGGCTACTTGCCACGGCGCGGCTTTATATGCATTTTTGCGCGTCGGTGTGGCTCTGCGTACAGTGCATTTTATGTTACGCGCAAACTTCATTTTTTTAGTTGTTGATGAATTTTCTCTAAATATTCATCTTTTTAAAGCGTTTTTCTCTGCTTTCTACCTCAATTTGACCTTTTTACAGATTCCGGATGAAGTAATACGCGAAGAGAAGTCGAGGCGATGAAAAGAAACGCGTTAGTAAGTGAAAGTAAGGTTTTATTCAGAAAATACACGATTTCTCGAAAAACGTCTCTAGATCTTCTCATCTTATGATTTAAAAAGTTCACTAACACGACTGTGAATGTCTTCGAATCAAAAAAAAGTAGAGTGACAGCTCGTTTTCGCGTAAAAATTGGTTTCTTGCCGGAAAACAGTGACATTTCGTTGAAAAAAAGTTTTTTCTCAAAAACCGTTTCTAGATTTTCTACTTTTTTTGTTTAAATAGTTCACTTACATAACTGTAAATGTCTTCGAATCAAAAAAAAGTAGAATGACAGTTCGTAGAAGCAAAAAAAAAATTTTTTCAACGAAATTTCACTGATTTCCGGCAAACTATCGGTTTTTCCGCGAAAGCGAGCTGTCACTTTACTTCTTTTTGGCTCGAAAACATTCTCAGAAATGTAAGTAAAGTTTTTAACCAAAAGATTAGAAAATCTAGTCACGTTTTTCGAGAAATCGTGCATTTTCTGAATAAAACCTTACTTTCACTTACTTACGCGTTTCTTTTCATCGCCTCGACTTCTCTTCGCGTATTACTTCACCTGGAGTCTGTAAAAAAGTCGAATTGAGGTAGAAAGTGAAAAAAAACGCTTTAAAGAGATGAATATTTGGAGAAAATTTATCAAAAACAAACAAAAATGAAGTTTGCGCGTAACATAAAATGCACTGTACGCAGAGCAACACCGGCGTGCAAAAATGCACAGACTGAGGATCAAACGTTTGGTGAATGTCGCAAGACCTTTTTTTTGGTGAACGTCGTTTTGTAGCGTACCGCTTAGGAGCAGGAGGCAACGACGACGACGTCGTCGTTTGTGACGAATTCTGGATCGGTTGAGCGTGGTGATGTCGGCTGACACGGCTAGAGAAACGATGTTGAACTCGACGAAAATTGTCAAGAGACGACGCAACAAAGACAAACAACTTCGGGGAAGAGTCAAAAGTTAAAGGTCAGCGATTAATATCGAAATGAAGCATCTTTTCGGACCACGAACAGTTTCAGAGCACGAAAAAAAGGCTCTGGGGTTGGTATTCGGGGGGCGCTGAGCACACCGATTGAATTGCAAACTCGAGCACACACACACACATGGGCGCCGAACTCCCATCCGTCTCCACCGTGTTCGGTCAACAAAACCAGCCGAAAAATTGCTGTGGCTTTGAGCAGAAAATCGAGACAGAAAGAGAGAGAGAGAAAGAGAGAAAAAGAGTACAAGGACACAGAGAAAAAAGTTCAAACAGTTCAAGAAGAGCACAAAATCCGATGAAAAGGAGTTGGGCTCGAACCGCTGACGTTCAGATTCATGGTGAACGCAAAAATCTGAAGACATTCTCAAATAGACGCATTTTGCAAACCCTTTTTCTTTTCCATATATTTGCTCGACTCCTGGGAGCTCCGCCGCAACGTTTTGTCTGCTGTTCGTTCAGTTTTGCAAGAAAGAGAGAGAGAGAGAGAGAGAGATAGAAATAAATAGAAACAGAGGGAATTGGCGCGAGAAAGAACGAAAAAAGACAATGGTTTTTTGTCAAGTGCAGGAGGGATCACGTCTCAAAAAATTGGCGTTTCACAGCGTTCCAAGTGCAATTCTCGTTGAAACGAGAACGCCATGCATTTCTAACGATTCGGGTCTCTAGTAGCGCGGTTCCGGACGCCCCCACCTGTGGATATCTGCCGAATTGCGAGAACATGTGATGCGGCAGCAGCGAGTTTTGGTGGAAATTGAGAAGATCGGCTGAAAATTGAACGATGTTAGGGCGATCAGGAACGTATCTTTTTTAGAAAATTTTTTCATGGAATATGATCAACTGACGAAATGTATAGCAAAGTGAACTCTGCACATAAAAAAATAATTGTGAATTTAGCTTTTCATACAAAAAAGTTATTCCTTCCGTCTTCCCCGTTAGCCCCTTTTTTTCACGCAACAACTCGAATAACTTTTTTGTCGGTAAAGCTAAATTTACAATTATTTTTCTATGAGCACAGTTCATTTTGCTATACATTTCGTCAGTTGATCACATTTCATGAAAAAATTTTCTAAAAAAGATATAAAAATTCTTTCGTTGAGTTGTTCCGCTCAACTCTGGAGCGTACCTTGATTGAAGTGCGGGAACGGATTGGCGGACGACAGGTCGCCGGTGTGCTGCGACAGAGCCATGTTCAGGTTGGTGGCGATCGAGTGATGGGCGGGCGTGGATCCCGTCGATCCGGTCACATTGTCCGAGTTGGCGCCGTCGGTCGAGTCGGTGCCGTCCGTCGAGCGGCTCGTCGATCGCACTGAACTCAATTCCGGCGTTTGCTATGATCGAGTGGGACCGAAACGTACCGAAATGAGTGGTGGATCCGTTGGTTGTGGTGCCGCCGATGCCCGAGTCGACGGGCGAGTTGAACGAGGAATCGAGCCCGCTGTTTCCTTCCATTTTTACAAAATTTCGCGTGAGGCTGAAGTCGACGGAGTTGAACTGCAAAGAATTTAGTTTTTGGGGTGGCCCGGCCTCAATTTGTTCCATTGTGGCCTAGCTTTTCCCCCCGCAAAAAGTTAGGCCACACTCTATATAAGACGAACCTGCTCGATAGTAGAATAAGTGGGTGATGTCATTTTTGTGAACTGCACTAACCAAAAGTACACAGTTTTTGTGCCGAGAACAGACCACCCGGACACGCAGCTGCGGGTGGCGGGGGGGGGTCCAAAAAAGTGAAAAGAGGGTACGGTAGTGGGGCACAGGGGTGTCCCCCAGTCTCGACACTATGTTTTGACACTAGCGCAACAGCGCTTTGGTGAAACAGTGAAAGTATCGTTGAGAATTACGGTCGTCATGAATCTCCCCCAGTACCTTTTATTCAAAACGCTGTATCTCAGCTGCTAGTAGAGTTATCAAACAGTGATCAACTAAGAAAATGTTCAGAATATTTTAAGGAACAATTTATTAGTCGAAAATTTTTTGCTATCTCCATTGACAACTGAGATATGCTAGCTAGAACTAAGCGAATAGTTTATGCACTGGCAGCTGAGTGTTAAATCGTTTTGAATGAACGGTATTGTTCAATTACAGGCTTTTTGCTCATTTTTGCTTGAAACACTCACAAAAACCTCTCAAAAAATGCGGAAAAAGAGACGAATGAGTCCTTTCCATTCTAGTCCTTCACTTTCACTGAACACGTGCCAACCACCTGTTCGCCCCAGTCCTTTTTTCACTTTTTTCTCCGTTTCGCTTCACTATTCCTCTTTTCAAAGTGCTCATAAACCCAAAGATGCTCCGTTTTCGGCTCTTTGAACCTCGTTTCCGATTCATTTCCACCCCAAAACTGTGTCGAAAACCGATAAAAAGCCGAATTTTAACGACCCAGACTACCGTACTAGTAGGCGGTGATAAGAAAGTTCCAGACAATACGGACAAGTCGTAAAAGTGTTTGCGACAGAAATCAAGCAATAAAGTGCGAGAAATTAGAGTTTAAACAGTTCCAACACGGCTCAGAAACAAGATACAATGTGTAGAAATTGATCAAACTTCGACGGCACGTAACTTGATTCAATAGTGTTATATAGCTCCCAAAATTTTTTTGTGAAGAGCTGACGTCTAGTACTACACTTTTGTAGTTGACCACGTTTTTGTAGGACCTCTGCCTGGAGTACTGTGGTCCTTGGAAGTTGGAACCACTTCCGACACGTCGAGAGAACCCTAACTTCTAGGAGCTACAGTACCCCAGGGAGGGGTCTTAGAAAGAAATGGTCAACTACAAAAATGTTCTACTAGACGTGAACTATTCACAAAACAAATTTGAGAACCACAAGACGTCGTAGAACTCTACAATATCCGTTCAAAGTCGCTCACCTCTAACACTTCTCCTCTCGTGCGTTTCTGTTCCAATTACCCAAGTCTGGAGGGTTCCAGTACACCAAAAAAAAGTGATAAGACTAGTGTAGTAGTGTGTGTGTGTGAGGTTGAACTTGAAGTTCCAGCAGATATTGTATATCTATCCAATGATGTGTCTCTTTTCGGAAAAGAGACTGAAAAGAATGCGTAGGCGTAGGAGACGGAGTTGGACTCCGAAAAGGGGCTTCGCTAGGCGAATACTGGTGGTTTGGAACCTGAAAATCGGGGCATTTTTTTTAGCTTAAACTTGATATCAAACGGATAAAAGAAAGGGAAAGAAGGAGAAAAGAAAAAGGTCATGAAAGTGGAAGGAAGGGGGGTAATCGGGAAAAAAGAAAAAGAAGAAGAAGAAGAAGAAGAAGGACACAAAATGGGGGTCAATTATTTTTGATTTGCATCACACACTGTCTGCGTCGAAATGGAAGACGTTTCTGGATCCGGGGGACTAGAAATATGTAGAAGTGAAAAAGTTGATATTGTAGAGTAAAACAAGTGAGTTTGCTTATCATCAACATAACAAATGCAAAGAGAGTTGAACAGAGAGAGAGAGAGAGAGAGAGAAAGAGGGAAGAATTGATGATAAACTCATGTGCACTCTGTTTATTTTTTAGTAACAACAGAGGAGAAGCGTCAAATTACAAGTTGCAGGCAGAAGTTGGCGTGTGGATGCACCATAACGGCTTCTTCGCGCTCATCAGTCAGTTAGAAAGAAGAAGAAGAAGAAGAAGAAGCAAAGAAGAGAGAAAGATTGGGAAAAAATGGGCGGCGCGGGGCGCGACGGTGTCCGCGCGTCGGCTATCCGTGCGCAAAAACTGCGAGAAACGAGAAATCCTCTTCTCCTTCTTCTTCTTCTTCTTCTTCTTCTTTCTTATCACTCGCTTCGGGCAGGTAGGTAGACGATCCGCGGGGGGAGCGAAAAGAAAAGAAAAGACGAATCATTGTTCGGTTAGGTGTGCCACGAAATGTACATCTATCGGATATCTTTTGATATCAACCTGGACCTAGTGACCACTCGAAAACGGGGGGTTTTGGAACCGAATGGCACCGAGAAGATGAAAAGAAGAAGCGCGGGCGGCGAGAAGATAAAAAATCACGACTTTTTGTGCAGGTATCCGTCCGCATAACACAAAAAGTTCTACGGCCAATGTGACGAGACAAGAGACACATTCAAGACGATATATCTCAGGAGCCGGTGGAGATAGCAAAAAGATGTCAACTAATAAAATGATGGTTATGATATTGTGTACATTTTTCTAGTTGACAATATTTTGATATCGCTAACGGCAGCTGAGATACATCGTGTTGAAAGGACGATACATTTTCAGGATCGCGAAACGCACTATTTTCCCAAGAACTTAAGGATCACAGAGTGACCAGGAGGACCAAGTGACAATTACAAATCACCCGCTCTCTCTCTCTCTCTCTCTCACTTTCTCATCTCAAATCGCAACATTAAAGAGAGAGGGGGGAGAAGGTACCAAATGGAACGGGAAAAACACATGTTGAGATGGAAAAGAAGCAAAACTCCTCCTCCGCTTTTTTTGCGGACAGAGAGAGAGAGAAAAGTTGGAAAAGGTAGGTGTGTATATGGTTATATGGATCCTCACTAATAGCCGCTCCGAAATGCTAAATCGCTTTTCTTTTCAACACTTTTTGTGCGTGTGTGTGTGTGTACAACAGAACACAGTGTTCCGGAGATAGAGAGAGAGAGAGAGCAAGAAAAAATGGGAGAGGAAGAAGAAGTTCTTCTGGTGGTGGTGGTGTCGCCCAAAATCACCAGATGTTTTTGCACGAATACGACGGGGGGACGGGGGGACGGCGGCCCGCGGTGCCCACATTTTTGAGGATCAATGTGGCGGGGGGGACTCGTTTTCTAGCGCAAAACTGTTTCAAACCGACTTTTCAACTCTGATTTGTTGTTCGACAATAATAGCTCAATACCAGAGTTTTGCAGCAGCCAGAAAGGTGAAGGGAACAAAAAGAGAGCCAAAAAGAGAGCCTAGAAACGCAACATGAAGCGCAGACACTCGTTTTTTAGGTCCGAATCGAGTGAGTCAACAGTCCGGAGTTTGCTCGGCGCCAAACGAAAAACAAACAGCTCGCCGGCGCAACTTTCCATTATTGAGAAAAGTTCGGCCACGGCCCCATCACCTGGTGACACGTCAGTGTGCCCCCAGCTGCTTCTTCAGCATTTTGCCGAAAGGCCGCACAACTTTACACATTTCGACGCACCTGTGGGGGGGCGCTCATCCCGGGGCGCCCCGTTTGCTCTGAAACACTCTCTTCAACGAAACAATTAGTTTCAGAACACGGTTTTTACGCGCGCGCGCGCAAAAAAGTGACATTTTGAACTAGAGAAGTCGCCAAAAAAACCGGTTTTGTGCGCCAAACTCTCGGAAAACAAAAATAAAAAAGTTGGGGGCCAGGTAGAGATGAGATGATGATGAGTGCGAAAAAGAGAGCAGTGAGGAGGTGTGACAGAGCGAAAAAACGAGCGCTAGTGAAAAACCAACACTTTTCTTGAAGGATATTGATGGAAAGTTGGCGGCCCAACGGATTACTGTACTTTTAAAAGCGGCAAAGTAGCACAGTGAAACAGAGCGAATATTGGGGCGCCAGAAAATAAATATCGGTCATTTCGAAGAAGAAGAGGAAGAGGAAGAAGAAGAAGAAGAAGAAGAAGAAGAGACCCGTTTTGCGCGTAGATCAAAATCACCGAAATATTGTGGGTTTTCACGGAGCGACGACAACTCACTTTTTTCTACTGTTAGTCTCACGCAATTCCGACACGAACGAGGCAAGATTAGATGGTACTCACTTGATTACTGTAGCTGAGATGGATTCGGAGGAATGGCGGGGAAAACGAGTGGGATTAGGACAAATTTGTGGATGGTTTTTGTGGTGATTAGCCAGATTCTAGGACTAACTTTCGTTCTAGGCGGCATAGGACTTGCAACGTTTACCCGGTGGTGGCCTAACTTTCCACCTAGGACTCTTACCAGATTAGGGGAATCAATTTGGCTCAACTAGACTACTCGGTGGCCTAGAAATCTCCACGGAAGAACTCTTTCTTTCCTGGTGGCCGAGCTTTTCTATTCGGTGGCCTAGAAATCTTGCTTGGGTGGCCTAACACTCCAACTTCGTGGCCTAGCTTTTTCACGCTCTAGTCGACTCGAAACCACCACCACTATAACACTTTTTCTCACACGCACACCTTTTTTTGGCCGACGGTGTCCCGTGGTGCCAGCGAAAGGGTGGGAATCGTTCGTATTCGGGCGGCAATGTGAAAAGATCGTCTGTGGTTATTTTTGTGATGAAAGCGGAAGGAGAAGGAGGTCTGACGTGGGCAAAAGTTCGAACGGATATTGTAGAGTTCGGAGAAGTGCTATGACTTTCAAATTTGTGAAAATAGAAACTTGACATCTTGTACTACATTTTTGCAATTGGCCACTTTTTTCTACGACCACTCCCTGGAGTACTGTAGCGCTTGGAAGTTAGAGGCTCTTCCTGACATGTGAAAAGTGGTCCCAAGTTCCAAGCGCTACAGTACCCCAGAGAGTGCTTGCACAAAAAAGTGATCAACTACAAAAGTATAGTGCTAGATGTCAAGTTTTCGCAAAAAAATTTTGAGAGCAATCCAATAACCGTGGGCCGAGATATGGTCCCTCAAAGTTGTGTCGCCAAAGGTTCTAATCAAAAACGTTTCTGCAGCAACACACGCATGTGATTACTTTACTTTTCTACACCACAAAAACGTCGACTTCTTCTGGCCGCCGAGAGCACCGAAAGTGGGCGTGGCCTTCTCAGACATTCCGGCGGCGGCACCGGGAGGCACTGGGCCTTGTGCGCGCGTGGAGCCAAGAAAATGAGCACGGAGGGCCCGCGCCACACACACACACACACACACAAAGTGACTTTTCTAATCAAGAAAATGTAAAGAGCCCGAGCACTTTTTTCACTTTTTTGCTCAGGCGCTCCTATGCGAACTAACTACTCGTTCTTTTCCAATTTCCTCAAAAGCGGGAGGGGGGGGGCAAGACTCTACATATTATGATGAATTTTAAAAAAGAAGGGGGAAGAAGGGGACACACAATTGGCTCGAATTATATTGTTGTTGTTGGCGGAAAAAAACGAGGGCAAAAATAGGGCTAATGAAAAGGTGTATACCAACCACGGGTCTCCCGATCATTATAATATATCATCGGAGTTTCGGTGCTCAGCGGAGCAGAGGATAATTTTGGTTATGTGTGTGTGTGAGTGAGCAAATTAGGCGGCGGCAAAAAAAGAGGAGACTAGAGTGTGGCCTAGAAACTCGCGTCCGGCGGCCATAAAAACCAACTAATTCCATTTACCTCCCGGTCGGTCGCCCTACAGTAATCCGGTCTGATCCGCTCGGGGTTTCACACACACACAAAAAGTTGACTCTCTTGATTCGAAAATTGGCCCTATTTTCCTACTTTCGCAAAGTTGAACCTACAGTACCCCCGAAACTATAGCCGAATCCCTGGCCACCCATTTTTCGCATAAAATATCCAGAAAAAAAAGGAGCGACTCAGCGGCGGCGGCAAATTCAAACCCGATCGCCGTGCTTTGTGCCGCCAATCCCCCCTCCCCCGGGGGACTAAACGGACGGCGACTTTTTGTGAATGAACGTCTTCTGAATCTCCTCGTTTTCCCATTTCTCCACGCACACACACACACAGATAAGACCCCCGTCTTTTGCCCATTAAAAGAACAGCAAAAAAAGAGGGGAGCTGGCTGGCTGGCCGCCCAGGAGGAGAAAGAGCCGCCGAATGGGCAAAAAGATGGATGAAGGAGCCGCCGCCGAATGCTACTTTTGCACGACGAGCAGCGTGAGGTGGCCTAGAAAATCTAGTGGGAAAACTAGGCCATGTTTGAGGCGCCTAGGTCATCAGTTTAAAACCGAAAACTGTTGGATTCAGCTGGTGACGCTTTTTCAGTGCGTTGACGCACTTTTAGTGAAGTATCAAAGAAGACCACCACGAAAACGCGTATATTGTCGCTCTCTCAAAATGCTCATAAAAGTGCTGACGCACCCGGCCATTTGTGTTCGCCAAGTTGTCTCTTTTGAAAGAGTCTCTCTCGCTCTTTCCCCTTGTGACTGACTAAAAAGTCACAAAAAATGTTTGAATATTTGACTAAACGAAGCTCATAAAAAAAGACGGGCGTCGGGACACTGGCACGCGGCCACCCATTCAAACTATATGGGAGGCGGCCTATAGGACACACAAAAAAACGGGTACTTTTGGTGCGTGCATTTTGCAGAGGACTACTGTAGCACTAGAGGAAAATAGTACGGTGAATTGAAGATTGTTGTAGTAGAAAAAGAAGAGTTACGGTTGTTTTGAGTCAAAAATTTCGAAAAGGTAAGCAGGATTACTGTAGTTTTAAAGTTGAGGGTTATGGTGACCAAGATCTGGATGTTTACAATAGTATCTAAGAGTCAAAGTGAGGTAGAAAGTCAAAAAGAACGAGATCACTTGAAATTCTAGAAAAATCAGCACGATTACTGTACAGTGGCTCTAAAAAAAAGCGTCTCGAAACGGCATGATTTGCGTCGGGTTTGGCATAGAAGAACTAGCGCAAAAAGAGGCCGGATCACAGAAAAGAAGCATAAAAGTGGGCGTAGATTGTTCGGATTCTTCGCTCCGCCCACTTCTCCGGGTTACTGTAGTAGCCGGATGAGAGGTTTTGGCTAATGAACACTTTCTGAAGAGATCGCCCTCTACTTGCACCACCATTCCGTTATGATCGGTGGGACCAAGACGATGGTCCCGATAGACCGGCGCTACAGTAACTGTAGCCCCAAAACTGTTTGATCTACTCGGATAGGTGTGAAATTGAATTGACGACAATTGATCAAACGGTCCCCCCCCCCCCAAACAGTTTGTTTGCATAAAATTTGATTAATGTCTCGTTTTTGCGCGGCAAGTTTGTTTGCCTTTCCGTACTGGTCACTTTTGTGTGTGTTTTTACTAGGACGTGGCATTTTGTACAGTAAATCTTGACACCTAGTACTGTCCTTTTGTAGTTGACAACTTTAGGGATACGGTCCCTTTTTGAGGTTCTGTAGGGCTCGTTTACTTCCAAGAGCTACAGTACCCCAGCGAGGAATCGTATCGAAAAGTGGTCAACTACAGAACGACAGTACTAGACGTCAAGATTTGTTCAACCTATCCCGCAAACTAAAGTAACCTCAAACTTTTGAGATAACAACTTTTCACCTCGAAACACTCATTTCGCCCCCCAAAAGCGAACGGCCTTGGAGGGATGAATGGATGAGAAGTGACCATGTAAATTGTCGCAAAAACTTTTTGCTTCTCCTTTTGCCCATCAATCCGAATGTCTGCGTCTCGCGCACTTTTCACACTGTCTACAGTATCTACAGTAGCCCGCGGCGGGCGTTCGCATTATGATCACTTGAACGAATTCCTTCAGGACATTTGAACAAAAAAAAAGAGTAACGGAGGACGTTCATGCGATGCGACAGCGGAAAAGTACGGGAAAAGTACGGAACTCATAGTCGATTCGACGCATTATATACTAACTAACACTATAATCGGTCTATTACAGATTTTTTGAAAGTTTTTCGACTCGAAAACCCGAACAATTGTTAAGATTTTTGTAGTTTTTCGTGAAAAAAACACGGCCTTTGTCGCGAATCCCTGTAATTATTGAACTTATCATCAAGATGACATTAGACATTCGGATGTTCGACACAAAAAAGTGATGTCCTTGTCGGCGCCGACCGATAATTAGGCATTTGGAAGCGAGGAAAGCGAAAAGTTCAATGGATCGGATTATAATTTTCGGCTAGCTAAAGTTTGCAGAAATTTGCGGTTTTTGGGGTAGTTTGGAAGGAAACCTGCAACAAATTAATCTGAAATAACAATAATATATCTGTAAGTGCTTTATTCTGCAAAAATTCCGACGAAAACGGTTAAAAACGCCGTTAAAACGCAATTTTCGCCGAGATAATTTAATTTCAGCTTGTCCTCGAGAAGTACACCGCCGGATTCTCAATAGAGCGCACTTGCAGCATCTCGTCGGCGACCGCTCGAATTCTGAACTTTGCAGCGATTTCCACAACAGCGGAAACGCACCGACATTCCGGCTCCTTGCGATAAAAATTATATTGATCTGAATATTAATATTATGAGAAACAGAAGTCTCAGGTGCAGGTGCGAGCTCCGATGTCATCTCCCATGCGAGAGCTTCCCAATCCGAACGAGTCTGCGCATTTCGAGACTATCGACTTTTCGGACTTTCCGCTGCGTGTTTCTTAAAAAGTCGTGTTTTTAGTTTTAAAAAAAAGTATTGATTATTGCATTTACAGCCATGGACGTGGATGCTCCGGCCGATTTGGCCGCACAACCCGCCCCCATCGCCGAGGAAGAGCAATCGAATTGAGAAATGGAAAAAGCCGAGTACGAACGGGTTCAGTTCAATCTGAATCAGGAGTTGTTTGATTATCGTGACCGTGTGGATGACCTGTATGTGCTCACCAACAAAACCTTGGAGTTGGAGGTCACCGTTTCGCATTTGAAAATGGAGAAAGAAGAGGGAGAAGCGTCTGCTGCCGATGCTACGAAAGAAGCCCAGGCTGCTATTGTTGAGACATTCGCTTTGAAAGACCAAATCCAAAAGCTGATCGAAGAGAAGGTTGCCGATCAACACGAGTTGGCGATTCATGCAAAAGAAAGGCGAACCATTGAGGTAACATTGTGTTTCGGAATATATTTACGCTGTTCATTTCAGTACGAGCGTGAAAGGATCGCGACGGAACGCGGTCTCCATGCTGAAGCAAAGCGGTGGCTGATGCAGGAAGTGTCCGAACGGGACAACAAAGTGTCGAGCTTGCGTCTGGAGCTGAGTATGGAATTCTGTTCACCGCTCACCACAGACAGAGAAACCCGAACTCGTTCTCGTACCTGCTGGAAGAAGAGGCCACTCGGTTCGCACAGGACATCGACATGCTGTACAGAGCCTACTTCCCATCGGATTCTATCGGCAGAGAGATGATCGAGAAGATGCTGGCAAGCGGAAAGACCCCGGACGCCATCGAGATCTTTCTCCAGAATGGAGTGTAAGTCAATCAGTAACTGACCGCCAATGAGTAACAAGTTTCATTTTCAGGACCGCCATGCCGGGTCTCGTGAAGACATTGGAAAGCCGACAGCCGGCTATTGTGTACAAGGAGAGACGGGTCAAGAGGAACTCTCTGGATTCTGATTACGAACAAGTGTCGGCGGTAAGCTTGAAAACCATCTAAACTCAAACAATTGTTCTCTTTTCAGCTGACTCACGGATTCGCCCATCCGACCTCCATCACAAACTACCGATTCATGCAGGCAGCCTTCGGAAGAGCGCTTTCGGCAATTCAGGCTGTCAAGCAGGGTAGGGCTCTCGCCAAGAACTGCTCCATCGATCCGCTCGCCGAGAACCCGTTCAAGTACATGACGGATGCTGCCTACGAAGAGTGGAAGAACGTGATGAACGGCCATCCGTCGGAGCCGAAGTTCACGAATCCGGTTCTCTGGGGAGGAGAGCCGCCAGTTTGAACGTTATTAGTATTTATATCAATTTCCTCTAAACTTCCTTCTTTATTCGATTGCAACTTGCAACTCTTTCTCTCTCTCTCTCTCTCTGTCAAATATATCTCTCTATTCAATTGTGAATCCGATTCTCTTTTTGTAGTCCGTTGTAATTTTCGGTTTCTCATAATATTAATATTCAGATCAATATAATTTTTTTCGAAATGATATGGTTGAGCTCATAAATTGCGTTGCGTTTGAATAGTGAGAAGAAATTTTTTTTCAAAAGAAAGCAGCCAGCGAAGGGACTGTGCAAGTGCGCTCCATTGCAAGGAGCCGGAATGTCGGTGCGTTTCCGCTGCTGTCATCTCTTCAAAAGTCGACTTGTTAAAAGAGCGTACATGTCTATATGTAGGCTTTTGGTCATCATAACTCCCCACCAGAGTCTGATCTTTACATGAATGTGACATGTTCCTTTCGTTTACGAACAAAACAACATTGTGGCATGGACTAGAAAAATCCAGAATGGACGAGTTTTTGCACCTGAAATACATAGGCCACAACGTTAAAATGTTCTGCTTAAAGGCATTTCTGCGACTTGATATGCGAACAGTGTAGTTCCAACTTCTAAAACTGTCACATAAGGTGGATACTCAACTACAAATAAAACAAAATCTTCATTCTAATCACACAAGTAGATGCTCACATAATCACACAACATGACCGTTTCTTCACCTTCTTCGGGACGTCGTCGTGCTTCTGCCACGGCCAACTGTCGGGCAAATGTTTGTTTTCTTCGACAAACTCGGGGTCGAACTCCATTTCACTTTCATCTTCACTTCCGCCGGCCGTTCTCAGTTCCGACGCGTCGTTTTGAGTGACATCGACGGTCGCATCCTTGTTCTTCTTCTTATGCTTCTTCTCATTCTTCTTCACATTCTTCTTCACATTCTTCTTCTCATTCTTCTTCATATTCTTCTTCCTCGCCATGCCCTCTCTCTTCAAATATTCCCGGGATTCATCCTTCTCTTTATTTCTGGCATTCAAAATATGCTCGACTTCTCTGAACTTGATCATTCCGTTCTTCATACTCTCAAAATGTCGGGCGTTTTCCTCCGTCAGCATTCCCTGAAAATAATGGATAGATGCGGCTTGAGATCGAGTGCATTCTACTCACAACATCTGCGTAGTGATAAACAAGCATGTTGCCGTAGGCCAGTTGAATCTCCTTCTCGATAGCCATCGCACGAGAATCACGCACTTGTCTTAACACAGCCGCCGGGTCCATACATCCGTTGTTGGCCAGTGTTTGATAAGCGACTTCGGCGTCTGCAATTCGTCCCAGTTGGACGTGTCAGAAGACCAACAATAATAAAACGACTCACAGACAAAAGTGCCGGTACGTCCGACTCCGTCGGAACAATGAACAACGACTGTTTCCAGGCTCTTGCGAATCTGCTTCAGTATGAAGATGTTGCCATCATATTCTTGTGGCACCGAATGGTCAGGCCACTCAATGTGTTGGAAGTGCGTCACGGTGAACGCGGACAGCCCTCTGAACGAGTAGAATAGGAACAAATGTTTCCAAGGGGGGGGGGCCAAGTCCAACTCACTCAAACTCGGCACTCAGTTTCCTCACGATGACTTCCCTGTTGGGCGTCGTCTTCTCTGCGCACGTCACCTTCAGCCTATCAAACTGCAAGACCTGGCCCTGCTCTTCCGGAAAATACTGAGCACACTTTTCTAATTGTACTGTTTTTCCATCTCGTTCCACTGCAATAATGAGTTTCGAGGTGGGAACGTTTCGCGGCGAGCACAAACCAGTCTCGACTGTCTTGCACAACATGACAATGAACTCGGTCCGCTCCTCTTTCATCATCCACCACGCTTTCTCAATTGTCGACCGTTTCCTGGACTCGATGTCCGCCGCCAGAGGCCCTTGCATCATGATGAACTGCAGCTGGTTGGGGCAGGTGAGCCGATTCGCGTGCATGTACTCGCTTCCGCGATAACTGTTCCACTCTGGCCATCCCTTTGCGAACACTCTCGATGTCGGCATCAAGAAAATGGTGGCTCTGAAATGCAAAAGACTATTGTATGAGAACAGCGATCACAAGTGGCTCACCGCGTCTCTTCACTGATGAGGGCTTCCAGATCGGGACAGATCCGCGTGAACGTTTCTACAAATTCGAACATTTGGCAATAAAATTCAATAAAGCCAGAATTGAAAGTGGCGCCCGCCAGGCACTTGTTTACATCCATCCGCTGGTAAACGTTCTTGTAATAACTGTACATGTCGGTGATGTGCGCGTTCATAGCAGAAGTTTTCATTTCGGGCACCATGTTTTCTGCAATTGTTCATTAATTTCTTTCCAGAAAACGTTCAACGTACCTTGCGCCTCTCGTTCTTTTTTCTCATGTTCAGTGAACATTGCCCATGCACATGCACCCGCGACGAGTAAGATAACAACCACAACGATAGCGATGATTACGTAGGTTTGGTTTTCTCTGAAACATTCCAGTTTCGATTACTAAAACGTTTGAAACTCACTCGAAAAACGACGGAGCCGCCGTGCTCGCCGCAACAGCAATCACCCTCAAAGTGTTGTTCTGCAAAGCAGACATCGATTGTTGCGATTGAGACGGTGCGAGTTTCCGGCTGTACTTGGCAAAGAAGTCGTCCAGAGCAGCCAACGAAGCGTTGACCTTGTCGAAAGACGGTTGAGCGTCCGAGAAATTGAGACCAATGTCGTCCAGAGTGACGAGCGCAGTTATAATCTCCTTCAGCTTCGTCTTGACGTCCGGATCAGTCACATTTCGTTCCAATTTGGTCACACTCGCAATCAAAGCCTTCAAATCCGTCTGGACACTGATCGACGTGGTGGATGGAAACAGATTCGCGCGCTTCTTCAAAGCAGTGGATCCACTCGTTTTGATGCTGATCTTCCACTTTGACAGTTCGGTGAACAATCCGGCAAAGAGCGGTTTAATTGAGGCAATCGACTTCAACGTGTTCTCATCTTCCTTGGTGAACGGTTTCCGATCCAATTTCATCTTGGCATTGACGACTTCATAGTTTTTGGTGATTTCGTCAATCAATAATTTCTTATCCAACAGCGTGCTCATTCGCATGACTGCTCGAGTGGATGCTCCGATGACTGCGGAATGCGTGTGCGAGTCTTCGAAGAGCGTCAGAGCATCGGCCTCGGCGCTTCTGAACTCTTTCATCTTCTCCAGAATCTCTTTGACGGCTGCCAGTTGGTCCGCGGTGCTGACGACTTTTTTCGCGATTTGTTGTCCTTGGTTCGCTGGAGACGATGCTTGGCTCGTTCTCAGATTTCTCGTTTTCTCAAGCGATTTGACCACCGAATCGGATAACCTCACATTCTGGAGACACGTGAAGAAATTTCCGTACCCTTTCAGAGAATTCTTCGTAGTTTCTACGACAGTGAAGTTACCAACAATTTTTTGAGCGGCTGTTTTTATATCTCCTTTGCTATTTTCTGCTCTCAAAGGCGCCAGAAGTAGATCTACATCTTCAACCAACTTCTTCATATTGTCCAGATCTTTATAGTTCTTGAATTTCTCAACGACGCTCTCTAGTTCCTCCGGTTTTTCTTCGGCTTCTTTGCACATCTCACTGATGTCCTTGAACATTTGCAGTCCGCTCGTCAATTGATCAGTCACATTCCTCACCGCCGTGCGTAAAGTGGTCATAGTCGCATCAAGTGATTCCACATTGGCTCGGAGACTGGAAATATCGGCAACTTGTACTGATTGTGGAGCGAAGGCGGTTCGGCAAGTGTGGAGACCGTTAGCAGCTGATGACAGTTCCTTTGAAGTTTCTGGAATGAGCTCGTTCGAATGGACTATGAGCTGGGCGATTTGAGAAGACAGCCCTAGTTCGAGTTGCCGATGGATTGAATCGAAAGGTGCTCCGAGATTCTTCAGTGGATTGAACGACTTCGACAGTCTGTTCTCCTTCACCACTTGACCGATCCACGGACTGTCGACATCGGTGAACAGTTGGTTGATGTCGCCTGCTCCTTTCGTCCATCCGGCAGTGTGCTTCGGCGACTGTGTCTCTCCGGCAACACTCTGCGCGTCGATCAGTTTCTTGACAAAGTCCAACAGAGGCTGAACTTCTTTCATCTGTCGCGTGGCGTTGAACAGAAGATCGAAGTTATCGCTGATTGATTGTAAGTCGACCGTATCTTTCGAAGAATGACCCGTTTCAGTTTCAATTTTTTGGAACTTTTCGTAGCCGGCGACCGCTTTCATGACTGGTCCCATTGCTGACGTGGCATTTTCACTTCGAGCAAGCTTCAGAACTTTTGAGCTTTCAGACATGATCGTTCCGGCCATAGAAATCAACTTGTCGACTGCTTCTTTGATATTCGGAAAACAATAGTTTGCGTTCGTTGTGGAGACTTGATTGGCAGTAAGCTTATCCCGACATCCTTTATAATTCGCGAAGGCACTGTCCAGATCGACGACGAACGTCAAGTTGAGTCCATTCCGAGCCATCGCCTCGACGTCCGACTTGAAAACAGAACTGTCCCAATTTCCGACGTCGCCACTTCCCTCCACGTCTTTCCGCAACGAATCCAGCAATTTCAGCACCCCGTCCATCCTCGCCGTGTCCTTCAGTTTCGTCGGCAGATCCTGAAGTGCCTGGAGTGCGTCCGTCAGATTCTTCTTGTCCATTCCGATGATGTGATTGGGAGTGACCGTTCCCATCCGAAGCAGGTCCGAAATGAGCTCATCGGCCGGGATGGTCCCCTCGATAAGCCCTCGTTGCACGTAGATTGCAGTGGCGATTCTGGCAATCACTTGCATCTCTCTCATCGATGTCTCGAAGGCTTCGTCTGCAGAAAGACAATTGAATTTGGGAAAACTGATCGGAGATGACTCACCTTGAGAAACGGCTCGAACAGGGCGAGAGACATTGTCGCCGCAGAAGTAGCTAGTGCAGTGTCTGAGACATGACGAGAAAGAAACTGAAATGTGCTAATTTTTGATGGAGCTACGAACTCATTCACTTACATTCAACACCATTGGGTAATTTGCTGTGAGTCTGATACCCGATGGATTCGTCTCGATCGACGTCCAAAATGCTTGCTTCAAAAGCAGTGACCATGAGGCAGAAATTTTTTTCGTTCGTCGAATACTCGGAACTGTTTGATTCGTCGAAGAATGTGCGAGAAAGCGATAACAAAATGGAGTAGGGTACCACGTGGCGAGGTTAGTTCACGGACGTGGTCTAGAAAAATGCCCAGTCTTTGGAAGTTTCTATCAGCAAGGATGTCTAATTGCCAGAATGGAAGAGTTTTTGCACCTGAAATTCCTCGGCCACAACTTTGAAATGTTCTGCTTATAGGCATTTCTGCGACTTGATATGCGAACAGTGTACTTCCAACTTTTAAAACTGTCACATAAGGTGGATACTCAACTATAAATCAAATAAAATCTTCATTCGAATCGCACAAGTAAATAGTTCACATAATCACACACATCGTCCGTTTCACCTCCGCGACGATCACTTTGTGATAGACAGGCGGCACTTCGTCACTGCTCGGTATGTCCCCTGTTCAAAATAAGTTTTAAACTGTTTCCCACAGCCAAACGCGCTCCACTCAGTGTTCTGCACAATTTTTACGTTCGATGCCACACTTTTACCTCAAATTTTGACTGCTTCTCCCTTCTTTTTCCTTTTCCGACGACCTTTTGTCGGTTTCATCGCGACGTACCTCTCTTTTGTGAAATTTAGAACGTCGCGCTCGCGATCGAAACTATTTCCAAACGGAGCAACACTTTTCCCGGCTGAACCATGCCCTAAAACTCCAACAAAACAAATTTCGTTACGCGCAATGAAATGTTTGAATTGCCCATTCAAATTGTCAAATCGCTGATTTTTTTTGAAGCTCTAACTTTTGCACTTTTGTTTGCTGCCAAAGATGTTCGTGGCCGCATTCGATCCTCTCAGCGGACTGATTCGGCTCAATCGGCTAGCCTTTCCGACAGAAAAAGTAGTACGTGCCGGCCACTGAGTGCAGCGAGGCGCTTATCTTTGTTGCAAGCTATAATTTGTACTGTTTTGAAGGGTTCTCTTGCACACCAGCGTTCGGAAAGAGCTTGCGCTGCGAGCTGCGTCAAATACATCTACGAATCTTCGCCGAATTTGGCCAAAACTCTCGGCAACTCCGAGAGCGCGGAGTCTTATTTCCTTCCGTTCTCTCGAATCTCGGCGCTCTCGCCGATCAGAATTGTAACGGAGCTGTCATTTCATCGAGAGACTGCGACAAAAACGAGCGGCTTCGTGGAATCAGTCGGCCGCCGACTTCCACGGGCTCTTTTCATGCTATTCCCCCGACTGCTCTCACTTCTCGACGAGGAGAACAGTTTCTCTGCGAAAAATGCATGTTTCCCTGAACTCCAAGAGCGCGGAGTCTTATTTCCTTCCGTTCTCTCGAATCTCGGCGCTCTCGCCGATCAGAATTGTAACGGAGCTGTCATTTCATCGAGAGACTGCGACAAAAACGAGCGGCTTCGTGGAATCAGTCGGCCGCCGACTTCCACGGGCTCTTTTCATGCTATTCCCCCGACTGCTCTCACTTCTCGACGAGGAGAACAGTTTCTCTGCGAAAAATGCATGTTTCCCTGAACTCCAAGAGCGCGGAGTCTTATTTCCTTCCGTTCTCTCGAATCTCGGCGCTCTCGCCGATCAGAATTGTAACGGAGCTGTCATTTCATCGAGAGACTGCGACAAAAAAACGAGCGGCTTCGTGGAATCAGTCGGCCGCCGACTTCCACGGGCTCTTTTCATGCTATTCCCCCGACTGCTCTCACTTCTCGACGAGGAGAACAGTTTCTCTGCAAAAAATGCATGTTTCCCTGAACTCCGAGAGCGCGGAGTCTTATTTCCTTCCGTTCTCTCGAATCTCGGCGCTCTCGCCGATCAGAATTGTAACGGAGCTGTCATTTCATCGAGAGACTGCGACAAAAAAACGAGCGGCTTCGTGGAATCAGTCGGCCGCCAACTTCCACGAGCTCTTTTTCATGCTATTCCCCCGACTGCTCTCACTTCTCGACGAGGAGAACAGTTTCTCTGCGAAAAATGCATGTTTCCCTGAACTCCAAGAGCGCGGAGTCTTATTTCCTTCCGTTCTCTCGAATCTCGGCGCTCTCGCCGATCAGAATTGTAACGGAGCTGTCATTTCATCGAGAGACTGCGACAAAAACGAGCGGCTTCGTGGAATCAGTCGGCCGCCAACTTCCACGAGCTCTTTTCATGCTATTCCCCGACTGCTCTCACTTCTCGACGAGGAGAACAGTTTCTCTGCGAAAAATGCATGTTTCCCTGAACTCCAAGAGCGCGGAGTCTTATTTCCTTCCGTTCTCTCGAATCTCGGCGCTCTCGCCGATCAGAATTGTAACGGAGCTGTCATTTCATCGAGAGACTGCGACAAAAACGAGCGGCTTCGTGGAATCAGTCGGCCGCCGACTTCCACGGGCTCTTTTCATGCTATTCCCCCGACTGCTCTCACTTCTCGACGAGGAGAACAGTTTCTCTGCGAAAAATGCATGTTTCCCTGAACTCCAAGAGCGCGGAGTCTTATTTCCTTCCGTTCTCTCGAATCTCGGCGCTCTCGCCGATCAGAATTGTAACGGAGCTGTCATTTCATCGAGAGACTGCGACAAAAACGAGCGGCTTCGTGGAATCAGTCGGCCGCCAACTTCCACGAGCTCTTTTCATGCTATTCCCCCGACTGCTCTCACTTCTCGACGAGGAGAACAGTTTCTCTGCGAAAAATGCATGTTTCCCTGAACTCCAAGAGCGCGGAGTCTTATTTCCTTCCGTTCTCTCGAATCTCGGCGCTCTCGCCGATCAGAATTGTAACGGAGCTGTCATTTCATCGAGAGACTGCGACAAAAACGAGCGGCTTCGTGGAATCAGTCGGCCGCCAACTTCCACGAGCTCTTTTCATGCTATTCCCCCGACTGCTCTCACTTCTCGACGAGGAGAACAGTTTCTCTGCGAAAAATGCATGTTTCCCTGAACTCCAAGAGCGCGGAGTCTTATTTCCTTCCGTTCTCTCGAATCTCGGCGCTCTCGCCGATCAGAATTGTAACGGAGCTGTCATTTCATCGAGAGACTGCGACAAAAAAACGAGCGGCTTCGTGGAATCAGTCGGCCGCCAACTTCCACGAGCTCTTTTTCATGCTATTCCCCCGACTGCTCTCACTTCTCGACGAGGAGAACAGTTTCTCTGCGAAAAAAATGCATGTTTCCCTGAACTCCAAGAGCGCGGAGTCTTATTTCCTTCCGTTCTCTCGAATCTCGGCGCTCTCGCCGATCAGAATTGTAACGGAGCTGTCATTTCATCGAGAGACTGCGACAAAAAAACGAGCGGCTTCGTGGAATCAGTCGGCCGCCAACTTCCACGAGCTCTTTTCATGCTATTCCCCCGACTGCTCTCACTTCTCGACGAGGAGAACAGTTTCTCTGCGAAAAATGCATGTTTCCCTGAACTCCAAGAGCGCGGAGTCTTATTTCCTTCCGTTCTCTCGAATCTCGGCGCTCTCGCCGATCAGAATTGTAACGGAGCTGTCATTTCATCGAGAGACTGCGACAAAAAAACGAGCGGCTTCGTGGAATCAGTCGGCCGCCAACTTCCACGAGCTCTTTTCATGCTATTCCCCCGACTGCTCTCACTTCTCGACGAGGAGAACAGTTTCTCTGCGAAAAAAATGCATGTTTCCCTGAACTCCAAGAGCGCGGAGTCTTATTTCCTTCCGTTCTCTCGAATCTCGGCGCTCTCGCCGATCAGAATTGTAACGGAGCTGTCATTTCATCGAGAGACTGCGACAAAAAAACGAGCGGCTTCGTGGAATCAGTCGGCCGCCAACTTCCACGAGCTCTTTTCATGCTATTCCCCCGACTGCTCTCACTTCTCGACGAGGAGAACAGTTTCTCTGCGAAAAATGCATGTTTCCCTGAACTCCAAGAGCGCGGAGTCTTATTTCCTTCCGTTCTCTCGAATCTCGGCGCTCTCGCCGATCAGAATTGTAACGGAGCTGTCATTTCATCGAGAGACTGCGACAAAAACGAGCGGCTTCGTGGAATCAGTCGGCCGCCAACTTCCACGAGCTCTTTTCATGCTATTCCCCCGACTGCTCTCACTTCTCGACGAGGAGAACAGTTTCTCTGCGAAAAATGCATGTTTCCCTGAACTCCAAGAGCGCGGAGTCTTATTTCCTTCCGTTCTCTCGAATCTCGGCGCTCTCGCCGATCAGAATTGTAACGGAGCTGTCATTTCATCGAGAGACTGCGACAAAAACGAGCGGCTTCGTGGAATCAGTCGGCCGCCGACTTCCACGGGCTCTTTTCATGCTATTCCCCCGACTGCTCTCACTTCTCGACGAGGAGAACAGTTTCTCTGCGAAAAATGCATGTTTCCCTGAACTCCGAGAGCGCGGAGTCTTATTTCCTTCCGTTCTCTCGAATCTCGGCGCTCTCGCCGATCAGAATTGTAACGGAGCTGTCATTTCATCGAGAGACTGCGACAAAAACGAGCGGCTTCGTGGAATCAGTCGGCCGCCAACTTCCACGAGCTCTTTTCATGCTATTCCCCCGACTGCTCTCACTTCTCGACGAGGAGAACAGTTTCTCTGCGAAAAATGCATGTTTCCCTGAACTCCAAGAGCGCGGAGTCTTATTTCCTTCCGTTCTCTCGAATCTCGGCGCTCTCGCCGATCAGAATTGTAACGGAGCTGTCATTTCATCGAGAGACTGCGACAAAAAAACGAGCGGCTTCGTGGAATCAGTCGGCCGCCGACTTCCACGGGCTCTTTTCATGCTATTCCCCCGACTGCTCTCACTTCTCGACGAGGAGAACAGTTTCTCTGCGAAAAAAATGCATGTTTCCCTGAACTCCGAGAGCGCGGAGTCTTATTTCCTTCCGTTCTCTCGAATCTCGGCGCTCTCGCCGATCAGAATTGTAACGGAGCTGTCATTTCATCGAGAGACTGCGACAAAAACGAGCGGCTTCGTGGAATCAGTCGGCCGCCAACTTCCACGAGCTCTTTTCATGCTATTCCCCCGACTGCTCTCACTTCTCGACGAGGAGAACAGTTTCTCTGCGAAAAATGCATGTTTCCCTGAACTCCAAGAGCGCGGAGTCTTATTTCCTTCCGTTCTCTCGAATCTCGGCGCTCTCGCCGATCAGAATTGTAACGGAGCTGTCATTTCATCGAGAGACTGCGACAAAAACGAGCGGCTTCGTGGAATCAGTCGGCCGCCAACTTCCACGAGCTCTTTTCATGCTATTCCCCCGACTGCTCTCACTTCTCGACGAGGAGAACAGTTTCTCTGCGAAAAAAATGCATGTTTCCCTGAACTCCGAGAGCGCGGAGTCTTATTTCCTTCCGTTCTCTCGAATCTCGGCGCTCTCGCCGATCAGAATTGTAACGGAGCTGTCATTTCATCGAGAGACTGCGTCAAAAACGAGCGGCTTCGTGGAATCAGTCGGCCGCCGACTTCCACGAGCTCTTTTCATGCTATTCTCGCTCTGGCTGTATCTCTGAAATATAAGAACTGTCATCATCATTAGACGCACTTCATTACTTTTTTTTCAGGATAGAAATCCAGGACCGTAAGTGACAATGCTCAAATTGCCTATTTGTGCTCTTTCCGGCTGTGAAGTAGATGCAGAAGGACGCTCAGGAGATGGTCCCGCTGGAGATTCGCCCCACCGACGGAACTGAAATTGGTGAGGCGGATCGCAATATGGCCGCGTTTCTGGCCAGAAAGGGTCTCGAGACTGTGAAGGGAGGGCAATTCTCCGCAAAGCCGATGACTTCTACTCCAATCGATACTCAATCTGCGAAGAAGACTCCCGGACCATCGTCTTCCATTATTCCGGCCTCCGAACAGATGAACATCCTCGAGCCGAGTTCGCCGTTGTTTGAGAGAGAGAGAGAGTCGGAGGTCGCCCCGAGCACTCCAAAGCGCAGACGTGAAACCGGAATCCGGAGACAGATGACTCCTTTCGCGTTTGATAGTCCGTGCAGTCCCGATTCCAAAAATGTCGAGACGGCGTTGAACACTAAAGGAAGTCCCATCCCGAACGACGGGAAACAAGCACCGAGAAGATGCTTGCTCGAGGTGAACGAGTCCTTCCAGGTATGCATTTTTTGAAAATGAAAACAAGATATTCTCATGTGACCCGTTTCAGATAGACTCTTTCGGATAGTCTTTAACCGTCCGTCTTTTCGCGATGGACAATTATGACGACAGCGACGAGTCGTTCTGCGACGGACGTTCAATAAACTACGAGATGAGAATTTGAGCTTCCTCTTGCGACAGTCGTCTTTGCGCATGAAATAAACTGTGTCCCTCGTGGCCAAAAAATGCAGTGACGGAGATCTGTCCGATAACTTCTCTCTTTTTCAGAAACGCCACGCAGACATGATCTCCCGTGATCTTCTTCGACTGTTTTCGAATTGATTGACCGCCGCCAAGTCTCTTTTCCCCTTCGTTGCGACAAACTCGATATTCATAATTCGAATGCTCTTCTCTTGTCTTGCTGCGAACGACCAGATTCGAGCACGTCTCCTTCTCCCGCATTCTCAGCCAATCCTAAAAGTTCTTGTCTTACTTTCCCTAGGCTGTAATCTTTTCATACCTGGAATTCCATTTCAGATTTGAATGCAACTTTTTCAATTTCAGAATCCGGAGAGTGTTCACTACAGTAGTGGGTCGCCAGATGCTCCCGAGATGGGAATTTCTGCTCACAGGAGGCTACCGGACAGTTGACAGTACTACCCGCTGTGCCCGGACGATCCGATACATTGGAAAGTCTCCGTACACCTACTCGTTCCGATGCCTCCACGCAGATTTTCTAAGTATTTCAAGATATGATAGACGTAAGTTTCAGTGCACCTTAGGCTGTGGATATTGAAAAGGTTCTTCTTCTTCTTCAAATAACAAAATTTCAGCCGGATTCTGCTTTTGGCTCATCTGGTGCATTCGCGCCATGTGGCCTCCGAGTCCTCTCTTACTTGTTGCCAAATGGCCACACCCCGTGCATCTCCAAGCTGACGTCCCTTTTTCCAGCGCCTTGCTTGCAGCCAGCTTCTCCTTGAAAGATTCGACTTCCTCAATTCCAGCTTTGTGTGCTTGGCGCAAATGCCTAATGATGTTCGACGCCTTCGCCGATACATATATGCATCTGGGACACGTGATCTCGAACATTCCATCAATTTGAACTGATAAGGAATTCTAGTTTTTATAGACCACCCTTTCCCACGCCCAACTTTCCCACGCCCTTCGTTCGCATGAGTTTTCTCGTTCCATTTTTGCACGACCCACTCATTACCGTTATTTCTTTTTTCTGGAATTTTCTCTCCATTCCAGGCAATCTCCATCGGAAGCATCTGAAAGCAGTCACACCTGTTCTTGTGAGTGAAACTCTAGTGTTGTTCCGTATCGATTTCCCAAACCGTTTGTTCAAAAAGAATGTCTTTCAGGCTGTCATTCTGCTCCCACACGATTGCCACGCGGATCAACGAGCGGAGGATCAGAAGTTCGACACTTCGGCTGTTTTCTTCAAATTTATCAAATTCTTTCCCACAAAACGCACTCCTTGTTTAAAAATAATTCATTTTCATGCAAAAACCAATTATTGTTAGAGTTTCTGGTGCGATCCTCCCAATTCCCTAATGCTCTCCCATCATTACTTAGTTGTCTGAAATAAATGCAACAAATTAATGATTTTTTACTAGTTTTGTTCATTTCATTTTCATTCGGCTCATACTTCGAAATATTAAGTTGATTGGCTGCCGCAGACTTGCGTAAAATAGTCTTCTTCGAAAGGACTGTGCAAGTGCGCTCCATTGCAAAGAGCCGGAATGTCGGTGCGTTTCCGCTGCTGTGCGATTTCCAGACGTTTCCAGACAGCAAAACATGTTCCCATCACATAAACATAAAATGTAAGTGCCCGAAAATGGTCTGATCTTGAAACTTTCAAAAAGAATCCAAAGAAACCCGTTTGTAAAAATGGTTTTTCGAAAATCGTCCGACACTTTTGATTTTTAGTCGATTTACAGCGTATAAAAGGCCAGGACAATCGTCGGAACGGCACACTATTCGTTTCTGGCCGAAATGTGGCACATTTATCCGCACGCCGACGTCTGGGACGCGACGATGAAGCGTTGGCTCGAGGAGCAGCAGAAGAAGACGGCTGAAAATGCAGAAAAATCCGGAAAATCTACTTGATATCGTGCGTCTTGTTTCTTGATCTCAAAATTTGTTTTTTGTACCCCAGTAGCCGTACATTTCCTTCTGATCAGCGTCATCGCGAAAAGAAGCGAGTTCTGCGAGGCGCCGCCTCTTTTTTCTGTTTCGGACGGCTTCCAGAACTCGAAAATCTTTCATTAAGCCCTCTTTCCGGCCGCTTTTTGCTTATTTTCCTCGAAAATGTTCGCCAACACGAGCTACATGGACGTGGTGATCGCGATGGAGGAGATGGGCGTGAAGATTTCGCGTCGTGACGTCATCTGCGCTTCCGTCGGCTCTTCTGGCGCCCCGCTTCAACGCTGAACTCGATTTGCGGACTTCTGAACGACTTTTCCCGCTAATTTATCGATTTTTCGCCCATTTTTAGTCTCTGTCCGATGAAATGAATGATACGTTGCGTTAAATTTTCGAAACCAGTCGTGCATCAAACATACATTGACGGGCGACATTATTTTCGCTGTCCGTCTATTACTCTTTCACGCCCAACGCTGTTAGACTATGTTTTTTTTCCTGAAATCTTGACGTCTAGCACTCCGAAGCCGGGGAAGTTGGGTCTGATCTTTTGCCAATTGTACGTACTATACTAAACGTTTGTGTCGTGTGTCGTGCAGTCCTGACAGTACAATATACTGCTCTCCAGTAGTCCACGTCGCATTCCGCTATTTGCCTTTCCCTCTCTCTCTCTCTCTCTCTCTGCGTCTCCTCTTCTCCCACACACTCACACTATTTTTTGGGTTTGCACTAATCAAATTTGGAGTTGGCAGTGCTTATCAGTCGGTTGATAAGAGCACCTTCTCAACCTCAACTCCAACCATCTCAATTCGAATTCCTCGCCACTTTTGTGTTGGTCGACAATATTTGAACAGCTTTCCCGCGCCTCCCTTGTTTTCAATCCAGACTTTTACAATATCAAATTAAATTGCAGCATGCCGCTGTTCAAGTCGCTCCTTCTTGCCTCGATGTGCACAATGGCGTGGGCCAAGTGCGAGGATGGCGTGGATAATATCATCAAGTTCAGCGACACCACAAAAGGTCCGTCGCTTTCGCTTTTTTGCCGGACCGTTCTCGAACCGTTTTCAGGAAAGGGAGCGATCGTTTTCACGGACTTTGAGGTGGCCACGTACGACGAGAACAAGGAGCCGGCGTGCAAGAAGGGAAAGCCAGAGTTTCGACTTCCGGGACACTTTAAACTGCACAAGGGTAAGGGGGTGAGGCGGGGTGCTATAGTCTGACACATATTGTACCCCCTTTGACACAAACAACGGGTACGTAGGAGACGACACGTCACACCGCAGAGTTTGGAGCTTTCTGATCGGAAAAGCGACAGAAAAAGATGGGAAAGAAGGGCTTTCTAGACACTTTCATGAGACTTGGAGGTTTTTTTGGCTTGAGGGTTCATCATGAATCTCTTGAAACTTTTCTAAGACTTTCAAGGACTTCGCACGGACTTTTCTGCGACTTTGAGGTTCCCTATACCAAGTCAAACCTCATTCCAGGATTCATCACCGTCAACGAGGCGATCACCGACGAGTCCAGCCTCGAATTGGCGCTCAACGTCGAGAAGGACTCGTGGATGATCGGAAAAGTGTGCGAGAATGGAAAGTCGCAAAACTCTTTCGTGCCGGATCAACTTTGGTAAGCCCCCCTCCCCCCGACACTTTTCCACCCCAATGTATCGTTTTCAGCAAGTTCCAACTCTGCTCGATCGCTCCGAGCGTCTGCGCGCTGCTCAAAGTCAAAACGTCGGGCTCGATCGACGTGACGCCGTTCGTGCAGAAGGAGCCGATCGATATCGGAGCGCTGCCGATCCCGCAGCTCGGCGGCGACTGGAAGATCGGAGCCAAGATTGTGCACAACTCGAAGACGTTGGCCGGCGTGCAGATTGGCAACGGCAAGAGCTGGCTGAGCATCTACTCGCAGGAGGGCTCCGGCTCCATCAACTACGACCCCGTCCCGCCAGCCACGCCCAACTTTGACCACAACGAACTCTAACACTTTTTGCCATTTCCTCTTCACTTTTTTTTGTTATTCTATTTGATTGTTTCTTGTTTGTTGAGATTCTCACTCGCAATTCCTTACTCAATTTCATGACAAAATTGAGTCAGGCTTCAACTTTATTATTAAATAAACATAAGATCGATTTGTTCTAGGTGACCACATGGTCCTTGATCATTCGGAGTTGAACTTCATGAGTATTGTCGAAGACTTGGTCGTGATTGAGATCCGTATACACTCGTTGACCGTTTTGGCCCGGAAGTGGCGAGGTGAGCTGCAAATTGAGGAGTTTAGCGGTACTGGAGTGAGACTGGAAAGGCGCTAAGGCACTGGAAAAGCGTCAAGGATCCGAAATCTCTCCTACCTGTCCACAAACAGTGTAGCCAACCATCTGATCCTTTTGAGTGTAAATGGAATAAGTGTACTGACCCTCATAGTGAGCGTATCTGTTGATGTCCTTTAAAAATCAATACATGTTCAGTTTTGTTAGCCTACAATATCTGTTCGTACCTGAAGAAAATCGCTCTGAGCCGGACAGTTGCCCGAGTACAATCCGTTGACTTGATTGCAAATCGGAGTGATCGAGAGAGCGCACGCGGGAACCGAAAGTGGTCCCAGTTGGGGAGCGGCTCCACGATTCGGACCCGCCACGCCGATGTACGTGTCGATTACACGCGTCAACGGACCGCCCAAATTCTCGCCCGTGTCCACGCAACGACCTGCAAACGATGAGCAACTTTTGGGGACCACTGATCACTTTTAAGCGTGATCTTGACGTCTAGTACAACGTTTGTGCAGTTGACTACGTTTTTGTACGGTCCCTCTCTCGCGTACTGTGTGCCTCTTGAAAGTTGGAACCACTTTTGGAGAGCGAACTTTTGCCCAACTTCCAAGAGCTACAGTATCCCAAGGAGTGGTCCTAGAAAGTGGGTGTCAACTACAAAAACACAGTACTAGATGTCAAGAATCAGCACAACAATTTTCAGAACAATCCGACTCTTCAGAACCCTACAATATCCGCTTAAACTTTGGTTAGCTAATCCCAACTTCCGAGAGCTACAGTATCCCAAGGAGTGGTTCTAGAAAGTGGGTGTCAACTACAAAAACACAGTACTAGATGTCAAGAATCAGCACAAAAATTTTCAGAACAATCCGACTCCTCAAAACTCTATAATATCCGTTTAAACTTTGGTTAGCTAATCCCAACTTCCAAGAGCTACAGTATCCCAAGGAGTGGTCCTAGAAAGTGGGTGTCAACTACAAAAATATAGTACTAGATGTCAAGAATCAGCTCAAAAATTTTCAGAGTCATAGGACGTTTCCTGACGTCACGGTGGTCCCTAGAAGTTGGTGTATACTAGAGAAAGAGAAGGAGGGCCAAGAAGCCGATTTTATGCAAATTTCTTCTGTGAAAATGATCAAAATGATCAAAATGCAAATGCGAATCGAATTACCTCCAAGAATCGCCTTCCTCGACACCGGAACTCCCAACGAGAATCCGATCACATCAACATTTCGGCCAGTGTAAAGACGGACGGCCACAATTAGGGCACGCACCTGTGGAAACAAACGTGGCTACAGTAGTCTGCGGGTGGTGGGTTACGGTACCTGTTTCACATATTCACACTTCATCGAGTACTCGATCCACTTCAACGGATTGCCCTGGGCTCCGTTGAAATAGGTCGTCGAGTAGATCTCATTTCCTTGTAGCCGTGCTGTCTGAAGGCCGTGTTGATGCAAACGCGCTCCACCGCCAAACAAACTCACTTGAACCACGTGGCCGCATAGGTGGGCTTCTCGCCGGCCGTGTCCGACACTCCGTGCACGACTATCAACGGCTGGTTTGAAAGCGAATCGTTTCGGTGCGTCTTTCCGCCGAACGAGCCGCCGGGACCGAGGTCAAGACGCTCGATCTGGTCCCGAACACGCGGTCCGTAGTAGTCGGAGAGCCATTGCGAAAAATCGGCGGTGAATTTGGCGTAAGTCTGCGGGCAGAGGAGCAGCAACGAGGAAAGTGAGAGAAGGAGCAAGCGGCGCATCTTCTGGAGCACATAGGATTGATAAAAATCACAATATCAGATGGAAGAACACTTGCAAATGAGTACCGTTTCTTTAAGACGGTATATCTCAGTTGTGAGCAAAGATATCAAAAAGCTATCAACTAACATTTTAATCACTAGAAAATTGTGCACATTTTCATAGTTGACCACTTTTTGATATCTCTACCGGTAGCCGAGATACATAGTGTTAAACACAAGGTGTTGACACCAAACACTCAAAAAGCGTATACACAGATATTGTGAAACCAAGCTTCTTCGGAGAAAAAGGGGGGAAGGGAAATGAAATGTCTAAAAGTGTTTCGATCGTAATGGCATCTCCTTCTTCTTCTTCTTCTTCTTCTTCTTCTCTCGGAACTTCTCCGAAACCAGTCCCCCTTCGGATCATCGCCGCTCACTTCTTCTCTCGCGCTCTCCTCTAATCTGGCGACCACCATTTCATTCGGATGCCGATCGAGAATGCCGTCCCGTGCGCATACAATAGCCGAGCGGACGAAAAAGTGGACGGATAATATACCTGGATGCTGAATCATAATGTTTGTGATAGTTTGTGTGTTCAAATGTAGTCGTGGTCGAGCTTTTTCTAGGCCATACCGATATATCTCAGCTGCTAGTAGAGATATCAAAAAGTTGTCAACTATGAAAATGTGTACAATAGTTCAGTGATCAATTTGTTAGTTGACAACTTTTTGCTATCTCCAATAGCAGCCGAGATACACGCGAATCAATGGGAAATACACAAAACTGGAACTCCTGAAGTTTTTTGAGCCAAATAATGCATAAATCTGGGACGTTTAGAGCTTGAAATTAGCCAACCTTGTCCATAAATCCATTTTCTGAAGGTCACTCACCACCACCACTTTTTCCCCTTCCATCGTCTCCATTAGCTCGCCGAAACGTAATCATCATCATCAATCGTGAGTGTGTTCAACCTTGTCTCCGTTTCCGAAATTCTGCCTCGCTCCTAATTGTCCATTTTCCAATTTTCTCACCGAGTACGCCCGAGGCGTCAGTCACCCTCTACAACCTACTTACGAAACGGAGGGCGAGGACGCCCTTTTTATCTCATTTTCACATCGAAATTTCAAGAAATCGCGTGCTTCGCCCGCTAGCGGTTTTTCCCAGTTTTTTGCATTGTGGCTTCTGGTTGCCCGCGGGGAGGCGGCCTAACTTTCTCTGTTGGTGGCCTAGGTTTCCACACCCCCCTAACACGTCTTTTGATGGCCCAACATGGCCTAGCTTTTCCACTTCCATCCCATTTTGAATGTTTTTTGCTGTCGGGGGGACTTGTAACGCGGCCTAACTTTCTCTGTTAGTGGCCTAGGTTTTGATGGCCCAACTACTCCAACATCCTTCCTTCATGGCCTAGCTTTTCCACTTCCATCCCTTTTTGAATGTTTTCTGCTGTCTGGGGGGGACTTGTAAGGTGGCCTAGCGTTTCCTCGTCTCTTTCCGCCTCCTTGATTCGATTTGCAAACAAAACAGGTCACGCAGCCGTTTTCGTTTTCCGCTATCATGCATTTTCGCACAATAACAACAGTTTACATTGTCTCCTCGACCATTTTCCGAAGTTCTTGACCAACTTGTGCGGTTCCACAAAACAAAAAGACCAGTTTCTAGTGTCCATGTCCGTGTCCGTCATCTATCACCACAGTAATAGTGTCGAACACGATGATGACGTGGCAATTATATATTCTAGCCCCCACCTAGTACTACAATACTCTATCAAAACAATGACCAACCACTACTGCCGGCCATCGACACCCGAAGAACCCGAGAAAAAAGTGGTGCGGCGTAGGCGTGGTCTTCACGAGAGACGTAGGCGAAAAAGAGAAATTGGGTTGGCGCCCGCCTCTCTTTTCCCTCACTTTTCTAGCCATTTTCCCGTTGGTTTTCCCTATTTCACGCTAATTTTCTGCCTTTTTTCATCGAAAATACACCATGGAAATGACCTACTTTACGGTTGATTGCACCGAAAACGTGTCAGCACGAGAAATGCGTCAACGGCAAGGCGTTGACGCATTTCTTGTGCCCTCGAGTTGCCGTAATCTTTTTGCCCGTTTCCACACAGATTTCATCGAAAAATTTGCCGCGTTTTTTTGCAGGAAAATGAAACAAAAACGAGCGATTCGTCTGCTGGTACCGGATCGACCCCTTCGCGCCGGAACTGTAAGAGATCACTCGACGTATCTCGGTTGTCGGTGGAGATTTCAAAAAGTTGTCAACAGATAAAATGCGCATAATCGCTTTGTCAACATTTTTGTAGTTGACACCTTTTTGATATCTCAACAGGCGGCCGAGATAAATTGTCTCAAAAAAAAAGTAAAAGTCGAGACGGTCTAATCTAATCCATCTGGTTTTTCTTTTTTGCGGGCGCACAAAGCCGCTAATCCTGTAACGGAAAGCTTTCAGAAAGAACTGGTCGAATTGTCGATGCGCATACCGGACGCCGTGCAGATTTTGGACTCGAAAGCCGTTTTTGAGGCATGATTTTTTTTCGGGTTCCACGATTACTGTACTTTTTCTGTTCAGGGTCGTTGCCGAGCCTCTTTCTCCGGCCAAGACTCGCAGCACACTTTGATCGACGAAAAGCTGCACATTCCGTTTTCAGCCATCCAACTGCCAACTACAAAGGTACGGGGGGGCAGTCAGACTACTGTAACATTGAGTTGAGGGTGTGGACGTGGTCCCCGACGGTCAGCACCGTTTGCCAATCTTCCTGACGATTCCGCATCACATGCCCGGCACGTTTAGCGGCAAATTCGGAGCCATCGCCTATCGATTTGTGATCAAAGTTAGTTTGTGAATTTGATTTCGATGTTGGCCCCAACCCCTTCCAATAAAAATTCCCTTGGCGCAATTGACGTGCGCGCTAAACAAGGCGCGTAACGCGTAATTCCGGAGCGTCGTTGTAGAGTTTCTCATTTCAATTTTCCCTTTTTTTTTGCATTATCGCCATCTTTTCAGAACCAATCAGTGTCAAAACGTATGATAATGATTAGAAATGAATAAAAAATGAAAAAAAAACGTTTTATGTGAAAATTACCGAATTTTTTTCCGTTTGAAATCGAAAATTGTATATTTTTCGACGGTTGAGCGCTTAAAAGATGCGCAATAAACTGCTTGTTGAGTGTCCGAACGCGATTCGGCAAATAATCGTTAAAACTCTGTTTTTTTCAGCAGTTTTCGGCAAAATCCCTCAATTTGGTCAATTCTGAACGAATCGGCTCCGTTTCGCGCTTAAATCGATGTTTTTAGCTCAGACAATCGTCCTACGGTTCGCAAAGAACAAAATTTGAGTGTTTATTAAGAGAAAAACGAAAGAATTCTGGTTTTCAATTGAAAAAAGAAACTCCGAGTCGACGGTGGATGCAAGCGCGCCCCATTGACAACTCGCCCTCCAAAAAACGGACTAGGGCTATAAAAAGGGCGAAACGAAAAGAAAACAAAGCGATAATTAGCGTCGCCGACCGCCGCTATGCCCTTCGCTTAACGGCACAAAAGTCCTTGAGAACCATGGGAACCAATTGGCAAATGTAAAGTTTACAGCTGAAAGTGAAACGATTCTCATCCGGCGACGAGGGAACGATCGAGTGCGAGAAGGCGGTCGACGTGCTGGGAAAAGTGTCTTTGGACCAGCAACCTTCGTTCGCGCAGCCAGTTTCCATCGATAGACACGTTAAGAAAAAGGTTTGAGACAGTCTCGAATATTGTAGAGTCTAGACGCGTCCTAGACGTCTAGAATTTGTTTTGTGACATCTCAACGTCTAGCACTTTATTTTCACAGTTGACGACTTTTTTCCAGGACCACTCTCTGGGGTACTGTAGCCGCTGGAAGTTGGGAGCTAGAAGATTCTCTTGAAAAGTGGTCCAACTTCCGAGGGCTACAGTACTCCGGAGAGTGGTTGTAGAGAAAAGTGGTCAACTGCAAAAATGTAGTACTAGATGTCAAGATTTACCAAAAAAAATTTGGGAATGATCGGTCCACTCCTGACGATGTGGAACTTCTTCTTTGCAGGCCTTTTTCATCAACCGCCTCGAGTCGCACATCAAGTTTGAGATCGATAGAGCCGCTTTCACCGTTGGTAAGCTTTTTCGTCAGCGAATCGAGTGATAAGATACGGGCGCAAATCAAGATTTATATCAATGATATCAGTTGCGTAAGCGCACACACACACCTAGCAACCCAATCTTGAACCGGTTCTTCTTCTTCTTCTTCTTCTTCCTCTTCTTCTTCTTCGTCTTTTCAACAAATTTAGACGGAGAAGCGATAGAAAAACTTTGTTGAACTGGAAACAATTTCAGGGGACCACATCCTGGTGAGCGGGGAGGTGAAGAATGAGCATCCGAGTGCTCCGATCAAGCACGTCAGCTTGGAATTGAGGCAACACATTCTGTACGCGAGTGGAGATGCTCAGAGAAGCGAGTAAGTCGGCGCCGGCATCAAACCAGATATTATCAGTTCCGATTCCAGCACGCGCCTCATCACCCGTCTGATCCTCGGCTCCGTGCCTCCGAACGAAACGTTCCCGGTCCATCACTCGCTGCAAATTCCGTTCGATTGCTATCCATCACTCTGTTGGAATGGAAATCCGGTCCAGGTCGGTTTTGGGTCGAAAAATGCTATTGTAGTCGTCGAATTTCGGTTCAGGTGGCCTACGAATTACTGATCACCAACGCGGGACTGTTCGAAATCGGCACCCCGGTGTTCATAGGCAATTGTGGCACAGCGGCGACGAGTCGGAGAAGTATTATGGTGAGTTTATCGGATTTTCTACATAATTTGACAGTTTTTCATAAAAACCGTCCTATGCCAAGATATTTGAACTTTTCTAACAGCCATAGTGAAGCCACAAAGTAGGTATTGTTTGGTAAACTGATCATATCTCGGTACATGACAATTTTCGCCAAATATGATCAACTAGAAAGTTGTAGAGCATGAAATTATCTTTCAAATTCTTTTTTAACCGTTACAAAATCTTCAAATCTGACCGAGATACGGTAGTGCAAAGTTTAACTAGAGATTTTTCGGTTTTGTGGCCTCGTACTATCAAAATCAGTTAGAATGACAACAATTTCGAATATTATCCATTTGAGTACCCCGAATCGACATCCGGCGACGCCGCGAGCACCGCCTACTACCACGTTCCGCCGACGGAGCTCAGTTTCTCGCCGGATCCGCCGCCCTACTCGACTTTCTCAAAACCGAGCCGATTTTCGTGCCGATTCACATGCTCAAGACGCCGTATCGGCCATTCGCACCCGCTTTTCACATGTTCCCACCGAAATACGATCACAACTTCAACTTTAACTGTCAAAGAAGAGCCAGCCGATTGGTCGAGTCGCCGCCTCCGCAACGATTTTCTAAAGATCGAGGAGATTGAGTGATATTCTCATTTATTAACGTTTGAACGATTTGAAAGTTGAAAGACAAATAAAACTGCTTTGATTTTGTGTACAAAACCCGTATGGTCAAGGAATGAGCTAACAAAACAGTCTATCTCAGCTACGGTTTAAGATAGCAAAAAGTTGTCAACTGAACAAATGTTCCTTGCAAAATTTTAGACATTTTCCCAGTTGACAACTTTTCGCAATCTCTGCAAACAGCTGAGATACAACATCAATTTGACTACCCAGATATTGTCGGATTCACCGAAACGCGTTCACATCCGGCGACGGTGTCGGATTGCTGTTCTGTTGTTGGGCGTAGCGAAACGATTCCGACTCGACAAATTGTCGTTTCGAGAAGCTCGACGGACTTCGGACCGACGTGGCCCACGTGAACGCGATCAGATTCCAGTCGAGACCCATCTGGTCCTGACCGCCCGTCAGGAATGAGACGAACGTGCAAATGATTATGAAGATCTGAAAAGAAGAAAGTTGTGGCCTAAAAAAACGAGGGGGGGGGGGTCTTACCAGTAGGCTAATGATGGGCTGAGATTGTGGAGGAAGGTGCGAGACAAAGTAGACCACTTTGTCCATGCTTATCGACCTGGAAACGTTTTGCACTTGAATTGCATAATATCCACATGAAATGGCGAAGAAAATTTTCAAAATCGCACCTCGACGCACTCGTCACATTCGTCGCCGCATCGTCGAGAATACACGAGTTCTGGAACTTTTCCGGCGAGTTGTTCAATAGGTATATAGTGAGATTCAGAGCGGTCAAGATCATTGTCAGCAAATAACTGGTGATGGCGCCTTGGGCCGAGCAGAACGGCAGATAATAGCCGCAAATGGTGACGCCCGACATTATGGCGAAGATTGAGCTGAAAGGAAATCGATTAAAGTCGTCGAAACGTTTGCGAGACTCACAATAGCACATAGACAATAGTGGGCAGCTGTAGTCCGACGGGAATACGGGCCAGGTTAGCCGCTACCGTCGTCACAACGATCGCCGTCGTCAAAATGAGCATTCCGAATTGGAGCGAGCACAGTTGTTGGATGGGATTCCAGGCGCGCAACCGCTTCGCAAGACCCTCTTCCCACGTCAGCGTGACGAGCGACATGAGGCACCATTGGAGCGAGAACGACAATAGACAGAGGCACGAGGCGCACACGGCGAACACTTGCGACCGGCTCGACACAATCGCTTTCGAGAATTGAAAGAACGAGCCGAACGACATGGCGAATTTGCAGTGTTCGCGGAGAAAATTCAGAAAGATTGTGGCGAAAATGAAGATGAATATGGAGAGGAACAGTTGAAATGTGCCGTAGAGAAATAGAGCCAGACGCAGTTTGTGCATGGTTGGCATCGGCGAGTAGATCTGAAAGTTCGAGGGGTTTTGTGTTAAAAATCGAGTTGTCCGTGTGATTTGGAGAGTTTTGATACTAATCATGACGTGGTTTTGTGGATAGTTTTTCGACTAAACACGGGGCAACTTGATTTGCACCAACCTGATACAAAAAACTCGAGTTGAGGAGGTAAAAGTTGACGGTGAATCCAACGAGAAGACTCGATAATATCTCCGACACGCGGAACCGATCCAAAGGGACCAGCGTTCCAAACGACTGAACATCCTGCACGGAATAGTACAAAAATAGGCCGATTCCACAGGTTGAGACCTGAAAAACAAAGTGATACGGTGGGTACAGTGATCTCAGGCGACTTACGAGAATGTAAAGCAAAAAGCTAAAGTTCATCATGCTCGAGTGGCCGCTGAAAATGACGGCGAACAGCGAGAAATAGGCGACGAGCGGGAGGACCAGGTACACGGAAAGGCCTGTGATTGTGGAGAGGAACGAGGCGGAGAGCGAGAGGAGAAGGATCGAAACGGAGGTGAGCAGGAGGCATTGGGTTACGGTGACCAGGGTACGGACTGCAAATTGTGGGGCTACAATATCGACTCAACTTGTGAGAGTTAAGATTTGAGATGATATATCTCAGCTGCCGATTGAGATATCAAAAAGTGTCCAACTAAGAAAATATTCACTAAGAAATGGCGTACATTTTATCAATTGACACCTTTTTGATATCTCTACCGGTAGCCGAGATATATTGTCTTGAATAAAGGGTATTTGAGTGCCCTTCTATTTACAGCTGTTACGACAACTTTGCGCGGGCATATCTCGGCGGAAAATGATCGGATTGACACCAAACTTGGACAAGACATGCTTTATAGGTTCATGTACTTGCTCAAAAAGTTTGGAACGGATTGCTAGGATTACTACTGACGTTCAATTTCCGCAAAAACTCACGTGACTTTGACAAAAACCGCAGCTGATAATAGGTGCTGATGCTCGGCGACGGGAGGTAGTGTAGAATCGGAGACGAGGTGAGTGTGGTGAGCAAAAGAGCCAGCGATGCGCCGAGTTGGAAGAAGATGGCAGAAGGGCCGGGAACACAGAGGCACCAGACGAAGAAGACGGGCACGGAGAGGAACGTCATTGTGGTGGCGGCGCGCCACGGCGATGAGCCCAGAGTGCCCTGGAAAACCCTGTGGTGTCAGCGTATTTTTGTGCTAGACAACGTTTTTGAGTACTGTAGTCTCTGGAAGTTGGAACGAGTGGACCAACTTTCAGCGGCTACAGTACTCCAGAGACTGGTCGTAGAAAAACGATGTCAACTGGAAAAATGTAGTATTTGGTATGGCCTACCTGTTGAAAGTGTATAACACTCTTCAAATTGACGTATTTCAACCCGAAAATCGCGCTGATCAACGGCAAGACAACGAGTGCCAAAAGTGGCAATTGCTGGACGTACTGATCGATCGTCCCTCCGCCATTTCTCGACGTCATGTCTTCTGAAGACGTAAAGTCTTCTCGAAGAAGAATCGCCACGTTTCGTTGAATTCTGGCGCTGAAGAAGTGGGGACAAGTCTCGAGCGGGCAAAAGTGGAAAAGTGGAGGTAATGGGCGGTCGGGGGAAATGTGTCAGTGACCTGATGAGGCGCGAATCGGGCGAGAAGAATGTGGCGAAACAAGAGATGATAAAAAGTAGAAGAGAATTGTTGAAATGAGGTGGAAGGAAAAGTTCAAGTGGTCGTCTAGAGATCTCTAAATGCCGGCCTAGAGAAATCTACTAAAATTGTTCTGGGATACCTGAGACTTTCTAGCGATAAATAGTTGGTGTTATGCCGCCGCGTCCAATGTCTCGGAAAAACCGTAAAAACCGCATATTTTTCTGTCCAAAGTCGGCCGAAATTTGCGTGAAAAACGGGGGTGCGCACAGCTCAATGAATGTAACCGTACCCCTAAAACTACGGTATTTTTTGAAAAATTGCGCAAGAAATTTGAATATTTTCAAATATATCCTCAAGAAATTAACACAAATTTTCAAAAAATGCCGTAGTTTTAGGGTTACATTCATTGAGCTGTGCGCACCCCCGTTTTTCACGCAAATTTCGGCCGACTTTGGACAGAACAATCTGCGGTTTTTACGGTTTTTCCGAGACTTTTTGGACGGGGCATTACATCCTAAGCTTCCGTATAACGAATCATGGTGAGATACGATTGGCTCGTAGAAGATATTGTGCGGAATGCTAAAACGGCAGCGGCACAAATTGCGTGCCGAAAAACGACAATTTCCGTTCCGCCACAACACATAAGATGGTCGAGAAATGAAAAGGAACGGTCGCGCAAGGAAGCCTATATAAGTGGTTGCGGTCGGCGGAAATCGAGAAGAAGGAGAAGCGATCGGAAAATGAGTCATGAACGCGCATTTGACAAATGATTACTCACTACTGTACATACAACATCGGCGCCTCTCTATTTTGGAGAGAATCGTCTAGAACTGCTCTAGGCCACATAGTGGGGAAGTTAGGCTATAAAATAGATGAAAATCAAGGCCACAGAATGTGCTAGATTAGTCAGATTAGACGATTTTTGTGTGTTACAACTCTGTACAAGTAGAGCAGATCGACAAGTTAGGCCATTTAGGTGAAAAGCTAGGCCACCTATAGGTATAGCTGTAGGACAAGTGAAAAAAAGCTAGGCCACGTAAAAATCAAGGTCATAGGAGCGAAAATCTCCATGAAACATGCAAGCTAGGTCATCCAGTTGAAAAGTTAGACCACCTCCAGCTCTCCATCGCAAAGCCAAAAAACCAATGGACATTGGCGGGGAAAGGGTCAAAAACGGTGTGAGTGTGAATGGTTTGTTTGTGTGTTTTGGGATTGTACCTCGTGTGCTCTCCCCCCTGCCCCCCATTAAGCCTTCCTCAATGGAGAATAAAGTGAAAAAGTAAATAGTGGAGACAATTGACTAGGAGGAGGAGAGGAAGAAGAAGAAGAAAGAGATCGGTTTCGAGTGGTGTTCAGTTTTCAATGGGTGGGGTGTAGACACGACGACGGAGACGAATTGATAGAAATATGTGTGTATGTATGTATGTGTACAAGTGTTACTAAACGGGATTTCGACTTTTTTGCACATCATGGGAAAGGTATATTGTAGATCTCATGGGACACACACACAAATCCCAATTTAGGCGCGAAATTTTTGAGCATAAGACAAAGGGAAAGATGATGACCGGGGGGCGCAGGGGCAGAAACGAAAGGACAGGTCGAGAAGTGGCCCGAGATTGCAATTGCACTTCACTTTCCCTCAAACTTTGCATAGAACGGAAAGAAAGAATAGCAGTGTCTGGTTCGGCAATCTATTGCAAAAACTACAAGAACCGAACCGCTATATCTCAGCTGTCGGTGGAGATTGCAAAAAACTGTCAACTAACCAAATGTGCACCATTTCTTAGAGAACACTTTCTCAGTTGACAACTTTTTGATACCTCTACACTCAGCTGAGATATCGTTCTTTGCGCAACTAGTCCTCGAATATTATACAACAACAACAATAGGCAATCATGAAAAGTGCGCTAGTATGCCATTTGCCTCAATCGAAAAAAAAGATAAGAAGACCGCCCGTGCCGCTGTCCGCTTTCCGATATTATTATGGTTTTCTTGTACAAAAAGTGACCATGAGATTGGGAACGAAATGAAATGCGCCGCTTTTTATATATGCATTCAAGAGGAATATGAAAAGAAGGGAAAAAGTAGAGCGCAAGAGGACAAAAACAATCGGGCGAGGGGCTCGCAAACAAATCACCGGCACACAGGCCCATTTCGCAACTGCATAGGACATTTCGCAACCGGACCGCTTTGGCAGCCTACCTAACATTGTTCCTAACGCTTCGATTGAAAGGATTTGAGAAAGCTGACACGTTTCGTTTTGCAACTGTAAAGGGCATTTCGCAACCAAAAGATTGTTATACGCTTCGTTTCGCAATTGATGGACGTTATGCAACCGAGACGACGTTCTGCAACTGTAAACGACATCTCGCAACCAGACCACTTTGGCAGCCTAGAACAAAAACAGTTCCCAACCAAACGAAGCGGAGTCGGTTGCAAAACGTCCCAGAAATTCTCATTTTCTGCGAAACTGGAGAAGAAGAGAAAAAACAAGCGAGGGAGGAGGAGTAAGAGATAGAGAGAGAGAGAGAGACTAAAGTTGAAATTTGTTCTTCTCCCACATTATCATCCCACGAATACACTTTCTCTCTCTCTCTCCCCTCAACTACTCCGCCACAAAACATCAAGTCAGCTGTCGTTGTGCCAACGAGAAAATCTTCGCAGCGAGCCGTTGAAAAACACATAAAATCCGTCGGGTTTTCTGATAAATTTCGCTCATCAAATTCATTCATTTCATTTCGTCTCTCAAATGCTACGTGACAGCAAACGAGTTCGTCTCTCAGGACGACGCCGGCTCGACCGGGTACTCTTGATGGTCCTGCAGCGATCCGACGCCCACCTCCCCATTGCTCATACTCGAAAACGTCGCCGCCTCCGCGGCAGTCTTCTCGATCGCTTCTTCCGCCTTCAAAAAAATTAAAATTCAAACATTTCGCGCCCGAAAAACCGACAATATCCAGTCGAATTTGAGCGACCAGCTGGCTCAAACGCTTCTCGAGCTCTTTGAGCGTCTTCTGATAGTACGGCGCCACGTCGGCCGAGATCGACAGAGTGAAGAGGAGGGCCGGAAGGTTGGCCACGTGGAAGAGCGGCTCGTCGGCCGGCACTCCGTGCGCCAGGCCCTGCACGCGCAGCACTTCTTCGTAGCGCTCAATCGCGTCGCGTTGCTGCAAAGAAATAGTTCAAGAATTTTGAGAACAGCCGGCTCGGGCGCAATTTCGGTGCTGCGTCTTTAAAACCGTACCAAAAACTGCGCTTACTCGCCTTTTTTTTCGTCAAAATCTGATGTTTTGAGCGCTAATTTTCACCGAGATTGCTGTAGAAATTAAAGGCGCCTAGCACACTCTACCTTGGCCTCGAGCCGAGCGAGCAAGTAGTGATCGTTGAGCACTTTGGCCGACATGTCCGACGTTTTCTGGATCGTCGCCTCGATTCCCTTCGCACTGGCGAGCACTCCGATGCACCGTTCGAGCACGTCGCCCGGCACGGCGCCCGCGGCGGTCCCCGAGTGCAGATAGGGCTCGGCCGTCTCGAAAAGCTCGGCGAGTCGCTCGTCGCACGCCTTCTGCTGATTCTGGCCCGTCGTCTTCAGCGCTCGATTCATCTCGCTCATTTTCTCTCGTATCTGAACATGAAAAGGGTCTATTCCTTTGAAAATCGGTCAGTAAAAATGATACCTTTTTCGTCTGCTGCTCGTGCTCGTTCTTGTGATCGGCAATCGCCTGCTGAAACTGGTACAAATGCGCGATTTGGTCCTGCACCTCATCGGCCCCATGCTTCACAGAGAATATCTGCAAAAATTGTAGTGCTTTCCGTCCAATCTCTCCGCCTCGCTCCGTCTGTTTCTCCGTCTGCGTCTCTGTGCGCCGACGCTCTCTCCGCCCGTGTGCCCGCACGATAAAATGTTGTTTTTCACGCGTTTTTGTTGCTTTTCCGCTGGCCTTTCGATTAAAATGTGTCTTTTTGCACGTCTTCGTACAGTTTGGAAGCTGTTTTGTGTGTGCAAAATCACTTTGTCCGATTTGGAAGCGTAGAAAAATAGAGAGAAAGAAGCGCTCAATTTTCTCTCACCCAATTTCGAAAAAATGATTTTTTTTTCAAACGACACTTGACGTGCTCGAAAACATTTCAATTTTCCAGTTTGTCGCAGAAAAAGCGCAGAAAACGCGTCAAAAATCGCAAATTGGCAAACTTGGCCTAGAATCCTATGCAGAGTTCTCTAGGCCAATTTTGCCAAAATGGTTTTTACCACGAAAAACTGTTTTTTTTGGATATTCCCGAAAAATATACCCATTTCAACTCAATAACAAAGTGTTTTCGCAAAAATTGCAACATTTGCCCAAAAACTCGGCGGTACCTTTGCTTTCAAAGCGAGAAGATTGAGGGGCAGCTGGACGGACCCGTTCGACTGATTACTTTCCGATTTCGACGACGACATTCCGCGCGGACACACAATTCTCTCTTTTTTCTCTGCTTCTTCTGCACACAAACTCTCTCGAGATTTGTTGGAAATAATGTCGTTTTCGATCGGAAAACTACGTGGAATTGAGATGTGCTCTTTTTTTTTTTTTCACGTGCAAAAAATCGAATTTGTTCACAATTTTCAAATGATTTCAGCTCAAAATGGAAGAAATCGCCGACATCGTGGCTGGTAACCTGACAAGTAAGCATATAATTCTCTAAAGAAATTGTTTTAACATTTGCGATTTTCTAGACCCGGACACGACAATGTCGGACAGTCTGGACATTGAAACACCTCCGGAAGACGATTTGTGGAACTCGGATCCGGATGTCAAGGTGGCGTTGGTGATGACTATCGGAATCGGACTCGTTCTCCTCGTCAAACTCATTTCAAATCAGTTGAGGTCCTATTTCAGCGACTTTTCCTGAAAAAATCAAGTAATTTTCAGAATTTGGCGAAACCAACGAAATGGACGGACCATTGACGACGGAATGGAGGGATTGGCGCCCGAGCAAGTGGAGCAGCGGCGGATCAATGCGCAGAGAGTACGGGTTTTGAGATTAAAAGCAAAAAAAAAACGATAAGAAGCAGTTCTAATGGATTTTTGCAAAAATTGACTTGAAAAGTCTGAAAAGTCAATAGAAATGCTATTTTTACGTGTTTTCTTGTTTTTAGAGAAAATGTGCTCGTACATATCGAGAGGAACATCGAGAAAAACAGTGGAGAAAATTCTGGAATCAGCCGGAAAAATAGATTGGTAGTGAGCGCGTAGATCGAAAAACTAAGGGTCTCGCAGCGATCGGACAAATATACGGTAGAAAATTCAAATGAGTGCGCGTGTTGCGGTCTTTGGATCGACTGGACGGACGGGGAGAAAAAAAAAGAGGTCAATAAATGACACGAGAATCGGTTTTGCAGCGAATAGACGAGGTGCTGCGAGTGGAGACGGAGCACGACTGTCCGATCTGTCTGGCAGCGGCCGAGTTTCCGGTGCTCACGGACTGCGGACACATCTTCTGTTGCCAGTGCATCATTCGATACTGGCAGCACTCGAAGGCCATCGTCTCCCCGTGCGATTGTGCCATTTGTCGCAGCACTGTACGGTTTTTTAGAGAAAGACTGAATGGGAAATTGGAATATTGAGTTAAATTTGACAATTTTCAGTTCCACATGCTGCTGCCGGTTCGCTGGCCGTCTGCGCCGCAAAACGACGAGGTGACGGATCAGATTCACGAGAACAACATGCGAATCGACGACTACAACCGAAGATTCTCCAATGATCGACCGGTCAGTCGGATCTTTATCGATTTTTCGCGAAAGGTCCGCAAGACGGTGTTTTCTTGCAGGTCTTGGACTACGTCCGCGACATTCCCGTCCTCGTGCCCTACCTCGTCCGCAACTTCTTCAACAACGACATTTTTACGCTTGTCTATCAGTGAGTTTCTTTTTTCTGCTGAAACTTTTTAGCTTCTCGCTTTTTGCAGAATCCGAATAGCGATCGTATTTTTCGTGGTCATCGCCTACTTTGTGCTGCCGGTCGACATGATTCCAGAAGGTGTCTACGGAATTATAGGTACTACTTTCGAACGCTTACAGTACTTTGATAATACGATTTGCTTTGCAGGACTCCTCGACGACTGCATAATATCGGTTGTGCTAATCGGTGCCCTGTTCCGCTGGCTCCGCAATCACATGGCCGATCGTGGACTTGCGGCTCGTTTCTAATAATGTATATCACTCGTTTTTCGTCTGTTTTCTTGCCGCCCCACTGTGATTTGACCCGTTTCTTTTTTTTGACGGGATACAAACCAACCGTGTATATTTTATACAAAATTGACCCCATTTTGCCCGCCTCCCTTTGAGTTGACGTCATGTACAAATGACGAGAGGATTGAGATGATTTCGACGAGGAAATGTCTCATTTCACCCCGAAATTACGCCATTCCATGTACAAACTTGAATCTCGTTTTTGCGCCTTCATGAAAGGCGAAAAGGCCGGCTAATGAAGCGGAAGCTGGATTAGCACATTCGGCGGGGAGAGAAGAAATGTTACATCCTGATGATCCTGGTGAGGGTAATGTAGTTTTGAACCCGTCTGACGAGTCATGAGTATCGAATTGTAAAGTGAACCGAGCGATAAGTAGGCGGCCATTTGAAAACAAATCGAATAGCCGTCCCGTCCCAACTGGTTCCACTTTCCCCCGACTTTTCGTAAGCAGTTTGCTATTATACTGTCTTAGTCAACATTTGTGAGTGCGGTTCTGGCCTTAAAGGTAAGCCTAAAAGCCTAAAAACTAAATGTGAACGAGCTGGAAGGCTTGGCCTGAAAGTAAAGATCTAACAAAACGTTGTTTGTAAAAGTCGTGCCCCCAAGAAAATCCAGAGAAATGGTGGGGCCGGCTAGGCATAAGCCATCCAAAACTCGATCATTTCTTCGTTTTCTTCTCGCCGCGCCACCGTCTCCCTCATTACTGTACTCTCTCGCTGCTTTTGCGGCTAGTGTAAGCCCCCCTCCCCCGCTTTCCGATAGCCGTTTGTCTGTCCGCGCGGCAACCGCTTCCCCCTTTCCTTCCCCCTCGCGCCGCAAGCCTCCAGAAGAAGAAGAAGAAGAAGAAGCCAATATACCATGTCGCTTTTGTGTTTCTTTTTGGCCGATGAGAAAGTAGGTCGTCGCCCCCCCTCTTCTCCTCGTCTTCTGAGGATGAACATGTCTCAAGAGAGTGAGAAGAAGCTGGGACATCTTCAACATCTTCTTCTGAGAGAAAGACGTTCCTTTTCTTCCGATTATCCATCGTGAAGCATCTATCGCTTGCACCTATCTAAACCACTTTTCTGGAAATTCATCTATCCCTCTAATTCAAACGTCTATATCTCAGCTGTCCGCACAGATATCAAAAAGTTGTCAACTAAAAAAATGTTCACAATTTCTTGATGAACAATACATCAGTTGACCACTTTTGGATATCTCCACCGACCGACGAGATATATCAGTTTGAATTAACAGTATTCACAATTTTGGAAAATTTCTAAAATTTTACAACATTTTCGTGGGACTTTAGGCGATCTAGTTAAGGGGTCTGTATAGGTGTTAGGTACCAGTACAGGTACGATTCAATTTTTCGATGTGCCTCAAAATACAAACACTTCTCCCTTCCTGCCGCGTTTTTCGAGATGTGGCGTCACTAAAAAACCTGCCGTCCCTTCGCATTTCCTACTCAAAATGGACTAACGGTCACCCTCACCCTCTCCCCGGAGGGGGCGAAAACTGGAACCTGTCCATGAGTGTCTCTAGCGTCGGAATAGACGAAGAAGAGGAAGAAGAAGGTGTCTACGGCATTTGGCCAAGCATTATCCTTCACTTTTTTGTTGGAAACTTTTTATTTTCGACCTAAAACTCACTTCAAGCCCTCACGTCACATCCTTTCACTTTTCTTTTCGAAAAGGGGGTTAAGTTCAAAGCCTAACGTCATGCCCTTAGCCACACAAAAACTGGTCAAACATCTCTCTCTCGTAGATGTGTGGATCAAACGGATAGTCGGTGATTAGGCGGTGCCGAAATGTACACCGCTTTTCCGTCTGTCTATTCACTTTCTGTGCAGTCATCGCCCGCTCACAGCGGAACACCACTTTTAGAGACAAAAAGCCGAGACGCACCTCATCCTAAAAGCTCGATGAAGCGAGTCAAGATTATGGGGGTCGCGCCGCCGCCGCCACCGCCGTTTTTTGATCATGTATTCCAATTCCATAACGGAAGCGTCGCAATCCAAGTCCGCACGCACAATTTTGTGTTGAGCAAGCGGCAGAGCTCTCAAATGGCTAGCACTTTGCAAAGTTGTGGACAAGAAGAACGAAAGGGAAACGATCCGGGAGGCCGTACGCACGCCTTTTCTCCTTTTCTCGTTTTCCATAGATCCATCCGCGAAGGTTTTTGCGTGCGTTTTGGCATCTCCGTCGCCAGTCAGACGAAGCAGCAGCAGATCCAGTTGCCATCATCCCCCTTCTTCTTCTTCTTCTTCTTCTTCTTCTTCTTCTTCTCCTTCTTTGCTTCAACTTTAAAGCGACCGCATTCATTTCAGGTCGTTAAACCGAAAGCCCAATGGTATCGATATCTCGTGGCGCGGCGGCCGTTTCGCAATGGGTCGAGCAGCAAACGCACGACTTTTTCTATTGGCTCGGCCTCAAAATCGCCGATTATCCGCGCGCGACGCTATTTATCACGTGAGTATTGTTGCAGTTTTTGGCAAGCCCTTTCGTTTCCCGCAACCGGTTTCGACCGATCGCAAACGCGCTTGGAAAGCATTTCTGATTATCAAACGAATCGATACGAATTCCAGAACAGTATGGGCTCTGATGATGTGTGCGGGAGTCGTCCGCTTCAAAGAAGTCAACAATGTTCGCGATCATTTCAGGTACTGTACTTTTTTTCTTTTTTTTGTTGGAAAAATGCTCAACTAGACTGTTTTCAGCGCCTCAAACTCGCCGTCGCGTTACGAGTACCGTGTGGCTCGCGAATTTTTCCAAGAGCTCGGAAGTCCGTTCCACGTGGTTGTGGCGATGCAGGCTGTGGATGGTGGAAGTTTGTTGAGACCAAAGTGAGTGAGAGAAATATACAGTTTATTGTGGCGCTTTGTAGAGATATCAAAAAGTGGTCAACTGGGAAAATGTGCACAATTTCTCGATGAGCAATTTGTTAGTTGACGACTTTTTGATATCTTTATCGACAACTGAGATGTATCGTTTTGAAAAAGAGTGACGGTGAACACGTGTAAATCAACGACAAGTCGACATGATGCGTTCAAAATTTTTGTGCATAATCTTGACATTTAGTACTATGTTTTTGTAGTTGATCACTTTTTTCTAGGACTTCTCCTAAGAGTACTGTAGTCCCTGGAAGTTGGGGTTCGTCGAAGCATAGGATTACTTCCAACTCGGAGTTCCAAGCGCTACAGTACCCCAGAGAATGGTCAACTGCAAAAACATTGTACAAGATGTCAAGACTTCTAAAAAATAACAATAGAGACCGGGGGAAACGTCTTCGAACTCTACAATATCAGTTAAAAGTTGGTTAAACGATAGATTCCCTGCTATTTCCGCTCTCCTGAGACTCTTGTCGCTCTTCCAAATTGTCGAACTGCAACTGAGTCGAAGTATCTCGATCCCTTCGCTTCTTCCGATCCTCTTCTCTTTGCCGCACCGCCGCCTCCTCCTCGAATCTCTGCCGTTCGGCCCGACTGCTTCCCTCCACCAAAAACGGGTTTTCGCGTGGTGCTAGCGGTTTCGGACGCGCCGAGCAGTAGCAATGACAACACCACGGGGTACTGTAGAAGAGCTCTCGCTTCTTGCTCTCTCCGAGCATTGTGCACAGAGGGACGACCACGCCTGAAAAAGCGAAAAATTTTATTTAAGCGAAACGCCTCATGATTATACTCATTTTGTAGGAAATTTCACGCTGATCACTTTTTCCTCTTGACATTTCTCTCTATCTCTTCTAGTTTTCGACTTGGACCCTGTTGAACTTACTGCAACACGCGGAAAACACCAAATCCAGCAGAAAACGCTCTTTATCGTCCAATTTCGGCGAAAATGATAGGTTGACTTTCAATAGCAGTTGAATAGATATTGTGAACTTCAAAAACAACATAATTATATTGTATGCTCACGTGATTTCGATGAAATTACCAACTGGAAGGCGGCAATTGGAAGCGCCTGCCGGATGATATTATCCGAATGTTTGTAGCTTCGACTCCACATCGAAATTGAGAGATAGCCGAAAAAAGAGCCGATGCTCAGCACCAGTTTGCATCCGTTGTCGATCTAAATTCGAAACTTACAATACTTTTACCCCGACAACTACTGTAGGCCTACCACAAATGCGTAGAATAGCGTGTAGTTGTGGAACTTTTCGTGGAAAAATGTGTAGAGCGCGGATTGGAAGGAAATGAAGGCAAATGCGACACAGGTGATACTGGCAAACAGGAGACCCACCCTAAAAACGCATTTTTTGAGCAATTTTCGCAACCGGACACTTGGCAACCAGAGAAAATGAGCACTGCTTAGAAACTGACCCGGTAACTTTCAAACGAAACATTTTGAAGTAAAATGGTCAACTACAAAGTTGTAGAGCTTGAAATTTTGAACAATTTTGCAGTTGACAACTTTTTGAAAGCAACAATAGTTGTTGAGATATAGGGCGTCAAAGTAAAATGATTTTTTACCGAAAGTTCTTTGACGCTGTCAGACCTGATTTTTAAGAAAAAAAAAGTACCACAATCGCAACCGGACATTTCGCAACCACTTACCACCTCATAGAACTCAGTTGCGGAAACTTGTGAGCCAATATTCGATGGAAGCACAAAGTGGCATCCACAACCGAAATTAGAGTAGGGGTGACGAGGGCGAACATGAATGGAATCACAATTATATTGTAGCCTTCAACGTTTTCGCTAGAAAATATTGTTTAGATATTGTAAACTTACGAAAGTGCTCTGCGCCCAGAAACCTCAAAAATGGGGTGGCACAGCCGAAAAGCAGAATGACGAGCGAAACCAACTGAATCGCGTTCATTTCGAGCAAAAGCGGATAGTAGAATAGGCGTTTTTCGTACTTGTATCGACGACACAATATTACAATCGCTCGAACGTTCATATAGAGTCCACAGAGCACGGTGAGCACAAAAGTTAGTACTAGAATTTTGAAAACCGTATAATCTTTGTCCAATTCTTCTTCGTCGCAACGTCTAGAATGCATGGAGACGCGTTGAAATGAAAGTGTGAGTGAGAGTGAGGAGGAAAAAAATGCATAAATATATATATATATATAATAATAGGTGGGCTCGATTCTCACCTGCTCTTATCGCAATCAGCTGCGAATAACAGCGACGTCAGCAGACGTGTTTCGTTCAGGTACATCGACAAGGCGCTCGAGATCGAGGACTTTTTGCAGTACAAGCTCAAGGGCGAGTACGGTAATCACAGCTACGCGTACTCGGACTTTTGCGGCACCCAATGCGAGACGTCCGACGCCGTCAACATCTTTCTCACAATGTTTCGCGATCAGCAGAAGAAGCAGACGGCGCACGTGAAGCTCACCTATCCGAGTATGGACGTGTTCGGACACCGCATCTATCTGGCCAACAACATCTTTCAGGTGCACATCAACAATCGGTACGTTTCTTACCACTATTTCCGCAAGATTCTAGGCGGCAACCTTGACCCCAATTTTGTATGTTTGACATCTAGCGTTTACTATGCTCGCCACCAGAGTTGAGCTGAAGAACTCAACTGAAGAATTTTTATATCTTTTTTAGAAAATTTTTTCATCGAATGTGATCAACTGACGAAATGTAGAGCAAAGTGAACTCTGCTCATAGAAAAATAATTGTAAATTTAACTTTTCATACAAAAAAGTTATTCGAGTTGTTGCGCGAAAATGTCCTTCCGTCTTCCGTTAGCCCTTTTTTCACGGAACAAGTTGATCACATTTCCTGAAAAAATTTTCAAAAAAAGATAAAAATTCTTCCGTGTTCTTCCGTTGAGTTCTTCCGCTCAACTCTGCTCGCCACGGTCTCCAGAGCTCGGCCAAATGGCGTTTTCATGAATTGAGCAGGTTTTCTCTGATTTTTGTGGTCAACGGCGATGAAAAATGCATGTTCGACACGAAAACACACTAATTCTCGCAGAATGAATGACGTTTTGGCGCATTTTTTGCGGATTTCGCGGATTTCGCTTTTTCGCCTTCGCCGCCAAAAACCGCACTTTTCATTTTGCGCTTTCTTGACCGTTTTCCGACAGAATTGATTTTGAGAACGATAAATCACGTGAATACAAGCATTTTGAGCGCTCGAACAGCGAAAACTACCGAAAAGCAACTGAAATTCACGCAGTTTTAGCCCAAAAACCTTCAAACGGATAAATGTGATTTGCGACTTGACCAAATTTGACGCTCTTGCGCTTTAAAAATTCGTAAAAGCCTATACAATCGGTCTATCGAAAGATAAATGAGAAATTATCGGTTTTTCGTGGCTAATCTGGCAAAAAAACACAAATTTTGCAGTTAAAATTTGAATTTCGCGCCAATGTATCGCGGGGCGCACTTGCGCGCCCATTGTCAGCTCTGGAGACCGTGTGCTCGCCTTTTAATAGTGCTTTTTCTACCGTTGATTGAGACGATTGTCATCTGAAATCGAGAAAAAGGTGTTTCCGTTTTCAGATCAAACATTATCGAAGAGTCCAAGTTGGTGGCCATCAATTTTCACGCCATTTACAACAACGAGACCATGTACGAGATTATGAAGCAGTGGGAGAAGGTGATCAGACTCAAATTCAACTAGACCGGCCTACGTTTCTCGAAGAATTGTCTTTCTAAAAAATTTTACCGACTTTCTATCAAGATTATCGATTTCTTGTAACGTCCCCCGTTTCAGAAACTCTTCGACTACTCGCTGTCGACGGAGAACGACGCGCTGATCAAAGTGTACGTGACGAGCGAGGGCCTCGTGTCCGAGGAGGTGCGCCGAACGGGAATTCTCGCGATGCCGCTCATGGGCATCACCTTCCTCATCATTCTCGCGTTCACCGTGCTCACCACGCTCAAAAAGGACCCGGTCAAGTCGAAGCCGTTCGAGTCGTTTCTCGGCGTCATTTGTCCGCTGCTCTCGCTGTGCGCCTCGTTCGGAAATTTGTTCTGGGTACGTTTGTTGGCAAAAGTGTGGCGGCAAAACGTGTGATTTTTCTTCCTGCAGTTCGGCTTCGAGTACTTGCCCATCGTCACCGTCGTTCCGTTCCTGATTTTGTCGATCGGCGTCGACGACGTATTCATTTTCATTCATGCGTGGCATCGAACTCCCGCAAAGTGAGTTTTCCTTTCCTTTTCGACTTTATGCTATATACCCCCATTCCAGACACTCGGTCCGTGACCGTATGGCAGAAACGTTGGCCGACGCGGGACCGTCGATCTCGATCACCTCGCTGACGAACCTCCTCTCGTTCGGCATCGGAATTTTCACGCCGACGCCGGCGATCTACACGTTCTGCGTGTTCATTTCGACGGCCGTCATCTACGACTACGTCTACCAGATCTTCTTCTTCTCGGCCGTTCTCGTGCTGGGCGGCGATCGAGAGGAGCGCCGAATGAACGCGTATTTCTGGTGGAAGTACGAGCCGATTCAGGAGGAGAAAAAGAACGAGAAGCCCGGCAAGCATGTGGAGATGTTCAATAAAGTGATGGGCAAGATTCTGGACGTATGGGTCGACTTTATAATGGCCACGTGGAGCAAGTTCTTCATCGGCGCCATCATGCTCACCTACTGGTTGTTCATGGCTCGCGGAGTGCTCCAGATCGCCGTTGGCCTCAGTTCCGAGAAGCTCTTCCTCGACGACTCGCCGCTCCTTCCACTGGTACGCCTTCAGACGAACGTCATCTTCAAAGAGGGCGGCCAGGTCGCCGTCTTTGTGAACAACCCCGGCAACATGAGCGAACCGGACGCCGTGCCCGAGATTATGCGGATACTGCGGAGGTTCGAGACCGCCAACAATAGTGTCGGCGCGGCCAGCACCCATATGTGGCTCCTCCCATACTTGCCCTACGTCGGAGAGCAAGAGCACGGATCCATCGAGTTCAAGTACCGATATCTGCCCGAATTCTTCAAGCTAATGGAGTACAGACGCTGGTCACACTTTGTCAACCTCGGCAATCATCAGTGAGTTGAAGCAAAAACGGTTTGCCGGCGAGTGGGGATCGAACCTGCGGCCTTGTGGGTGACGGCACAGGTGAAACGCGGTTGATCAATTATACAATTGAGCCAATTGTAGACAAATTATCAACAAATCGCGAACGGGATGAGAAGCAGATTGGCGCACCACACAGTGTATAATAAAAAAATCGCGCTTGTTCGCGATTGATGTATAATTAGTGAATTATTGACAAGTTCGCGAACGAGGGTGCACAATCGACAAACCGGCGAACGGGCTGGTCACTCTGAGTTTCGCTTTTGAATTCAAATATTTGTGATTTTTTCATATTTTGTTGGTTTTTATTGCAATTTCGCATGCTTTTTTGTAATTAAACCAAAGTAGAGCATACAGGTTTCGCATTTCAATTCGTTATGGTTCATTGCCACGACTAATACTTCCAGAAACAGACAGCCGCAGGTGAGAAAATGGATTTTTGATTCAATTGCATCAGAAAAAAGATTTCAGATAATGCGAACGAATTTGGAAAAAGAGAAGAATAACTGGAAGTTATTAATGCCGACCAAGATTTAAAAAAGTGATTCGAGTGTGCCGGGCGCAGAGTTCGAACAGTGTCAGACGGCCTATTCCTCGCAAAAACGAACAACGTGGTCGTTGGACGGTGAGATTCAGAAGGATACATAGAAAATCAATCATTCAATTTCAGTCAATGTTCGTCTTCGAATAGTGTGTGAGAAGAAAACGATGGCGTTTCGAAAAAGGAAAGAAAAAGATGAACACATTCAGCATGAGGGCGAAGTCGCAGAAGTAATCGCCGACTGTTACGTGATTTTTCTACTCAATATTGATCAATTCTTTTTCGATTTTTTTCTTTCACTTCTTCTTTTTGTCTCTAACATTGCATTCTGTTATTTTGTTACTTTTTTCGTTTAATAAAGTTATCTCGTCTCAAGTGCGATTTGTGAAAAATTGGCTTGTTATACAATGGGCGATTTGCGCAGGATTTGTCAATTATATAATGCCCGTTCGCGATTTGTCAGTTATTAATCAACAATTCGCTTCATCGCGCGTACCTGGAGAAAAAATCTGGGATACATCGCGAACTAATTCCACACTTTTCGCGATTCACCTGTGGGGCAAAAGCGCTATCCAGCTAACTAACTAGAATACTGGCATCGGCGCGGCGGAGGGCAGTGATAAGAGTGGTGGGCGCGGGCGCCGTGCGAATTTTATGCTGAAAACAAGTTTATGGAGAAAAAAAAATCAATAATTTCTTGCAGAGACTGTCTGTCGGAAAAGCCGACGTGCCTGCAAAAGTTCGTCTTCTCCACCGGCTTCCACAACGCCGTCTCGTGGTCCGATCGGCTGGAACTTTTGGAGAATTGGCGTCAAATGGCCACCGAGTACCAGCACCTGAACCTGACAATCTACGAGGACTTTAGCATGTACTCGGACCAGCTGCTGACCATCGTGCCCGTCACCGAGTCGACCGTCATTTGCGCCCTCTTCTGCATGATTCTCATTCTGACGCTTTTCACGCCGTCGCCCGTCACTATTGTCACTTCGACCGCCGCCGTGCTCTCCATCAATTTGGGCGTTTTCGGATGTCTCGTCTACATGAACATCGACTTGGACCCGATTTCGGTGAGTATCTCGAAAACTAGAAGAGATTGAGGGGTTTGGGCCAAGAGACAAAGTTGAGCGGCGTGAAATTTCTTGTTTCACTGTCTCGCCAACAGCTAATGCGAAATTGAGCGCCGCGTTAAAACGGAGTGTCGTTGAAAACAAAAGCAAGTCTGAAATTTCGGGATTTTTTTCCGAAAACCCGAAATTTCATCCGAAAATGAGAAAAATCAAGTAAAACAGAGAATTTCTGAATTGTTAATGACAGCTGTGACCTTAAATTAGCGTTTTCCCACAAGAAAGCGCGCATTATTGCACCTTTCTGTGAATTTCGGTCCGGATCCTCAAAAACTGAAATTTCTCAGTCATTTTAGCATTTTATGGGCCGTCTCTGTGCTCAAAATGACCGCCCTTGTCTGCTGAACAATCGTGAGGCAACTGTTTTCTCAAAACTTCCGAACGTTCTTTTTTTTCAGGCCAAATTTAAAAAAAAACTAAATTACTCTTCAAATTTTCACTTTTACACGAGCACTCTGTGATCTTTTTGTAGCTATCGGTCATATGAACAAACGTGAGGCAAACGTTTTGAAGGAAAACTGCGCATAATCCCAAAAACTCGGGAAAACATTGTTTTCAGTTGAAAACCCGTATCCCGTAAATCGACACTGAGAGCCGCACGCAAAAAAATCACTTTTTTTTCGCCGAAGGGGAGACAGTGTGTTTATAGGTAATTTTTCGCTGATCAACTTTCTCTCTTGCCAGTTTTTTGTATCTTTTACGGTTTTCGAGTTTCAGCGTGATTCATTTAGCACGTGAATTCTAGCGGTCATATCTCAAAAACTAGAAAAGATACGACAAAATCTCTAGAGACAAGATTGCTCAGCGCAAAATTCTCTATTAAATGAGCGTAATCAATTTTTGGAGCGACAATTTTCATTTTCATTTTCAATTTTCAGATGACGACGCTCCTTATGGCGATCGGATTCTCTGTGGATTTTGTGGCGCACGTCACGTGGCACTACTACAAGGGCGAATTCCAATCGAAGCGGGCGCGAATCCGTCACGCGCTCGCCGGCATCGCGTGGCCCATGTTCCAGGCGGGAACGTCGACGATGATGGCGATTTCGGTGCTCGCGATGGTGCACGCCTACATGGTGCAAGTGTTCGTGAAAGTCGTCGTGCTCGTCATCTTCTTGGGAATGATTCACGGACTCGTCGTGCTGCCGGTCGTCTTCGCCGCGCTTCCGTTCACAAAACGTCGGGACCGCAGAAGAAAAAGGTGGCGCCGCTGCAGATGCACCAAGCGGGACCGATTCCGAAGAAGGAGGCTATCGAGGACCGGAGGGATGAGGAGGAGAAGCCGAAGGATCACGGAGACGTCGAGAAACAAGTCCGGTGCTCGGAAAGAGCCTAATTTTACCTTTTTCCCCCCCGATTCCAGGATTTGGCTTGGACTTTTGACCCACTTGCAATATACCGATCGGACCCAAACTTTGCAGACTTCTTGGACTTGAATTGAAGTATATTGGGTCCAAGTTTCAGACCGATCGGATCATCTGGTCCCGAGATATACGCGATTTTGCAAAAAACCGGCAAACCAATATATCTCGGGACCACATGATGCTATCGGTCTGAAACTCGGACCCAATATACTTCAATCCAAGTCCAAGAAGCCTGCAAAGTTTGGGCCAGATCGGATTATTGCAAACGTTGGTCCAGCCCCACCCGATTCCCAATTCACCCCAGTTTTCTACCTTCCCGTTGAGAAATTTTCAATTTTTTCAATTTTTCCTGCTCCAATCGTCTTTTACGGGTTCCGTGTGTGTTACACCCCCTCCCAATGTGTGTGTGTGTGTGCTATATGAATTTTTGTCTAAAAAAATGTTCTGACTTGTGTAATATTTGTAGCGCAAGGTCAATTTCCAATGCAATTTTCGCAAGAAAGAAGACTGATAACAGTTTTATCATAAAACGTTTACAAAGTGGCCCTCCGAATATTTTCAAACATGCGCACAAACGAGCAGGTGGCCGCGGCAAAAGCTCCGACGGGACAATTAGCGCTCCGCGAGCTCGCCGCACTTTAATGAGCCTCCTTCTCAGGTAAAATTTTGCAACCCGATCGGCGTGCGCACGCGTTTAATTATAATAAATGTACGGAAATTCGAAATTACGAGTGATTTTCTGGTAAACAGTGACGTTTTTGTAGATTTTTCGCGTCTCGCTCGAAAACTGTAAGAGAGGTACGGTAGATTTAAAGGGACATGCCATCAAATTTTCGCAGACTCCCGGCACGATTAACACTCGGACAATCCGTATTTGAACTTGATTAATTTCTGCACTTTTTCAAAGCTCGTTTTTGCTCATTTTTCTTACATTTTTGGCAATTTTTTGCTGAAATCAGTTGCTAAAATGAAATTTAAACAAAGTAACGCCGAATTTGTGCGAAAATTCCAGTGGTTGTGCGATTTTTCTCCCAAAAATTCAAAATATGTCATTTTTGGCTTAATTTCCGTAATTGCCATCATTTTCTGACAAATTCCCATTCACACTTTCCAGACGTTTTTAAAACTATATTTCAACTGAACTCAACGAAAATGCAGTTGAAAAACTGATTTACTAGTAGCTGAAAGTATCTCTTAGAAACCCAGCTTTCTTACATTTCTGTCGATTTTCCACCACCACCACCAGCGCATTGCTCGAAATTCCTTCTCGAAAACCGACACACTATCGCCTTTTTCCTTTTCAAAACAATATTTCCACCTGCTCACCATTGTGCCGCTCTTTTTTTGGGTATCGCGCTCATTCCGTCTCCTCTCTCAATAGAGCGCACTTCGACGTACGAACGCGACGCAGGCCGCGACGCGTCCTAGCCCACCCGGCAGATTCGAAATAGTCGCGCATTTTCACTAATTTCCAGCGAAAAATCCACAAAATTTCTCGGATTTTTTCGATGCGCCAGTAAAATTGATGAATTTCTAAAAGATTTTTGCACAAAACCGCGAAAAAGGCGGTCGTTTCTCCGGTTTTTACGCGATTCTTCAAAAACGCAATAATTGCTCAGTTTATCGAATTTTTCTGATTTTTTCGAATAAATCGGCGTGTAAAAGAGATTTAGGCGCGATTTTTAAAAATATTTGCTGCTCTAGTTTTTTGCAAAACATCGATACATATTTGATTTTCCCGAATTTGTCCTCCTACGATATTCTTTTTTTTTTGCAGCGAAATGTCTGACAACGTCGAGTATTTCATCTTCCGCACCGTCGGCTCCCAACAGTCTCGCGACGCCGTCAGTCAGGCCCTGGTGAGCTCGAAAAATAGAAAAGTTGTGCAGTTTTTCCGTTTTTTTCAGCGTCTCTACGGCCCGGACCACTTCCAAGACGCGGCGCTTGGCCTCGACTACTCGCGCATCGCTTCGCACAACCTCAAGACATTTGTGAAGGAGGCGCAGAAGAAGGACGAGGCGACGCGCGATGTCGGATTCGCCCACGTGCACATCGACGGAGCCGCCACCGGAACCAATCTCGGACCCGGACGCCCACGCGCCGCCGCAACCAATCTGGGACGCGGACGCCCACACGCCGGCGGAGCCACTGCTGCCCAGCCTCTCGGTACGAATGACGTAGAAGCAGTGTCGGAGGGTTTTAGGACACTGACTATGAGAACTGGAAACGAACGCGTTCGAGAGATCTTAAGGCTTTCGAACCTTGTTGTCGAATTCTAGAAAGAGAAATGAGCGCATCGTAGAACTATAATCGGAGGATCGTAGGGATCGGAAGTACCTGAAAGGGCCGGGCTTCGGACTTTGATTTTAACGCTTCTAGAGGAGGGGGATCCGGCAGGACCGGTTTCCAGCAGATTTCGGGCCCTTTGACTTTTCTGGTCACTTTTAGCTCGTTCTTTAGTCGCCTGCTCGATCCGCGATCATGAAATCCCATTTGTTCAAAAACGAGAGCACTAACGGTTGACTAACGAAATAGCAGTACATTTAGCCCTTTCCCTTCAAATGTTAGTAAAAAATTTGCAGCAAACCGCTTCAACGGAACGCAAGAAATCGAGTACCCGGGAGATAATCCGTCTTCGGACGCGTCGTCGTCACGTCGCGGACGCGGACGCCCACCGAAGGCCGTGAGCGAGGCCGCCGCCCACGAATCGGACGACGATGAGAAGGAAGGATCGTCTGTGGCTCCGTCGAATCCTCGCGGACGCGGACGGCCACCGAAGGCCGTGAGGGCCGCCGCCGCCCACGAATCGGACGACGACGAGGAGAAGGGACCGTCTGTGGCTCCGTCGGCTCCTCGCGGACGCGGACGCCCACCGAAGGTCGTCAGCGCGGCCGCCGCCCACGAATCGGACGACGATGAGAAGGAAGGATCGTCTGTGGCTCCGTCGAATTCTCGCGGACGCGGACGGCCACCGAAGGCCGTGAGCGCCGCCGCCGCCCACGAATCGGACGACGACGAGGAGGAAAGACCGTCTGTGGGTCCGTCGGGTCCTCGCGGGCGCGGACGGCCGCCGGGCGGCGCCAAGAAGCCAAAGGCCATGCCGATGCGCAAGACGGTCGCGCCGGCGAACGGAAAGACAGGACGTGGACGTCCGCCAAAGGCCGCCGTGCGCGCGGAAGGCGACGACGGCGACGAGGAGGAGGCCGGAGAGGCCATGGAGATGGAGGCCGGAGAGGCCATGGAGATGGAGACCGGAGAGGCCATGGAGCACGGAGAAAAGGCCGATGACTAAATTCTCACAATGTTTGCTGTTTTCGCTTATTCATGGGCCTATTCAGTCGCTGTAACTTCGAATAATTCCAAATTATACACTCACTTCTCCCCCGCCCCCTGTCCTCTAAAAAGACCCGAATAAAATGTGTAAACCGAAGAGTAGGGAAATTTTCAAATTTCTGTCGATTTCTGATACCGATTTCTGTTCGATTTCCGTATTATCTGAAATTTTTTAGTTGCTTTTTTACCGTTCCAAGTACCATATAATCCGTGAAAAAGCGCCCATTCTCCATGTTGCAATTGTCCATTCAAATTTTCATGATCCCTCTGCTCACATTTCCTCCATTATCCGCCAATTATAAGCTTCACCCACCGGCTTTCTCGGATATAATCCATTTCTACCTACCTTCAATCCTCTACGGGCTCATTTTCCTGCTCAATTAGTCGCCGGTGTGTGCGTGTGTCTGATGCGGACCGCGACGCGTTCAAACGCTCGCCCGGCAGATTGGAAATGTCATCGCACGTCCTCATTTGCGAACCTAAACGGATTTCCTCCCCCTGAATGATTTTCTGCGCATTTTTCGGGATTTTTGTCGAAAAATATCGATGTTCGGCTAAAATACACTAGACATTTTCAGAAACGAGCGAAATGGCTGACAAAGTCGACTACGTCATCCTGCGCGTCTCGGGAACCACGGAGCAACGCAACAACATCGCCACGCTCATTGTCAGTCCGAAAAAAAACGGGCAATATCCTACAAATTTTAGCTTTTTTGCAGTACGGCGACGGCGAGCAGGACTACCGCAACACGTCGATCGGACTCGGCGCCTACCGCATCACCTCCGCGGATCTGCCCGAGTTTGTGCACAATGCGATCAACGAGGACGAGAGGTCGCGTCGCGCCGGCATCCGTTCCGAGCACGTCGACGCCTCGGAGCTCGAGAGCGTTTCCGGACGGCTCGGAGACGTCGTCCGTGCTGTCAACGCCGCCTTGTGTATGTGGTTTTGCAAATTCAGAGCTTAGCGATAAAATTCGGTGCAATTCTAAGTAGAAAAGCATCCAGAGATGGGCAGGCGCGCTGTTGCTGTACCTACCTCAACCCAAGGGTCATACGCTTTTACTCTAGGATCTGGACATTTAGGGGGACCTTTCGGAGCGTCTATTTCTATATTTTCTCTGCTGATGGACTGTTGAGAGACTGATGAGCCAGCAAGATTTTTGAAAAAAAAAACGTAGAAAGACTTAATAAATCTCGAGATTGTTGATGAAAAGAGCAAATACTATCGGGGCGTTTGGAAGTGAATGCTCCTCTGTTGATATTGTGATTTTCAGTCGGGCGCCAATTGAAAACAGAAAATTCTTATAGAATTCGAATGAAAAGCATCTGAAACTCGTTTCGCGGCTGCAAAATTAGGCACCGGAGAGCACAAAAAGAGAGGTTTCTCAACAGAGCGCATTTACTTTGAAATGTCCCGATAGTGAAACTATAGAAAATACCATCTATTTACGATCTTTGTTGCAGTGAATCGCGACGAGCAGGAGCCCGAGATCGCGTACTACGGAGCGGCGCCGTCCGCCCCATCGGGAACCCGTGGCCGTGGCCGTCCGCCAGGCAAGACCGCCAAGACGGCGCAGAAGGCGGCGGTGAGTCGCGGCGGCGACGAGTCGGACGAGGCCGGCTCGGACAAGCAAGACGACGATGAGGACGCGCCGCCAGTGCGTCGTGGACGCGGACGTCCGCCGATGAAGAAGGCGAAAAAGACGACGGAGTCGGTGGTGACGAAGAGAAAGCGCGGACGTCCGCCGACGAAGAAGGACGGCTCGGACAAGGAAGAAGACGTCGACGAGGACCTCGCCGATAATATCGAGCACGTCGACGACAGTGTTGAGCACGTCGACGAGGACCTCGACGACAGTGTCGAGCACGTCGACGATAGTGTTGAGCACGTCGCCGAGGAGGCCGACGATTAAATGACTAATTCTCACTTTGTACCCGCCTAGTGAGCCCCTTCGCTAGATTGTTCCCCGTCTTATTTTTCCAACAATTCCTCACTCACCCCCGCTCTTTTATCGAATATTTATTAAATTGTGAACTGAAGTTCTGTTCATTTTCCCAAATGAAACCACATGATACGCCCCTTTCCCCCCGATGTCTTGATTGTCACTTTAAAAAGGTTACCCCACTTTTCGCGCCGAAAACCCGTCATTTCTCACTTTTCTCACTCGATTTTTGACTCTCACACACTCCTAAATGGACGATATCTACTATTCGCCGCGGTACGAGGACGACGAGTTCGAGTACCGCCACGTCATTTTGCCACGTGTCATTGCACGACGTGTGCCCGAGCGCAAGTTGCTCACCGAGGCCGAGTGGCGACGTCTCGGAGTTCAGCAGGTACGGTTTTGCGGTTTGTGCGTCAGTTCTGGTGCCGGGTACGGGCTTCCAATTGAGCTGAAACTTGGTCGGAACATTGATTTCGCCTGTCTAAGCACCTTTTCCAAGTTTGAGCTCGATCGGACGCCTACACTCTTAGATATAACTTATAACTTAAACTCGTATGTTTTCAGTCGCTCGGCTGGCAACACTACATGATTCACAACCCGGAAAAGCACATTCTGCTGTTCCGCCGACCGTTGCACTTCACAAAAAGCGACGAGGAGCGCGCGAAGGAGCGTCTGATGAGCGAGATGGCCGAGTACGAACGACGGCAGCAGATGCACCAGCAAAAGTGAACTCATAATGTAAATACATTGTTCAATTATATTCATTGTCAGTCCAAATGTAGTCTCAAATATTGTCGTTCCCAAAAATAGGGTCTTGATGAACAGTCCTTCGAGGTGTTCCGCTCAACATCCAGCTCCACGATCCGTGCGTCCAGTCCCAGTTTTGATAGCGAGCGTTTGATCCGAGATGTATGGGATCGAAATTATTGATTTCCCGTACATCATACCTGCTCTCTCTGTCAAAACATTTTGAAATGGATTCGGATTTAGAAGCCGCTTATCTGCAGTTTCGAAAATTTTCAAATCTTATCATTATGCATATAAAATCACTCAGAACTTTAATACAAACAATTCTAGCGATGAGTTACGAAGATATAGACATTTTTATTGTGAATAGAAAACAAACCCATCAAAATCTATCAGAACAGGTAATCGCAAATACTGAAAAAGTGAATGGAGAAGGTTTGGCGCGCGGCAAAAATGTGGAATGGAAGTAAATAAAATTGGTGGGCGGAAAAATGAGTATTATGAGTGTTTTTGTTAAAGCTTTTCATCAGAATTCCAATTGACGGGCATTATTTTCAAGAAGCTCTGGGGGGGGGGAGGGTTCAAACGGACTTGTACCGGAAAAAAAGAAGTTGCTCACAGTTGCTCATGAAGTGGGGGAAGGGGGAGAAAACTGATTTTTGGTGTCGGGTGACTAGTTGCCGGAAGAAAAGTGACTGGAATCGGGTTGACTGACGTTCAAATCATCACAAAACAAGTGAATGGAATGGGTGACCAGTGGGGGCAAGCGGAGGAATACAATCAATTTCAAAGAAAAAAAAGAGTGCTTTAAGTACGGTAGGGTGTGGAACTTTTGAAACGACTTGAAGAGTCTTTCCGGCCAAAGTGGTGCCGTTCAGCGAGACCATCGCGTTGTACGCTTCTGTGTAGGTGCTCATCGAGACGAACGCGTAGCCTTTGCACTTTTGGGACAAATCGCGGAGAATCTGGAAAACGGGAGGAGGGTTTGGTATCGTCAGAAATGTCGTGATGTATGTCAAACCTTAACATTGATAATAGCGCCGAACGGAGAGAACAGTTGCCACAGCAAAGTATCGTCGGTCTCTGGCGCCAAATTGTACACGAACAGACAGTATCCAGCGGTGTCCGAGGGCGGAAGAGTCGCCGCCAGAGACGCCGAGAGAGCCGACAACTGGGCCTGAGCGGCGACTCCGGCTTGGGACGTGGCCGGCGGGCTTCCGGCCTGTTGTTGCTGTTGCTGTTGATGTTGCTGTTGTTGGGCGACGGCGGCGGCCTGCTGCTGTTGCTGATGTGCGATGAGCGAGGCGGTAAAGTCGGGAACGGCGCCGGCGGTGGTGAACGGGGTGGCCAGACTGGCGAGCGCGTTCAATTGCGACATCTGGAGGAGGGCCGTCGTCGTCAAGTAGTCGGCCGGGAGCGTGGCGGTCTGTTGCGAGGCGGCGGTGATCGCGCCCATCGGCGAATATCTGAAATATTGTCAGATTCGAGACCAACTTCGACTGCTCTCACCTGTACTTGGCAGCAATCGGCGCGTGATGAATCGGACCGATGCTCCCCGCGGCCCGCAACGTCGGAGCACCGAGAATAGTGCTCAGCGGGACGAGCGTGGCGGCCTGTTGCACCGCCTCCAACTCGCTGAGCATTCCCTTCGGATTGTTGCTCGCCGGATTATTGGCAAACTTGACGGTGATCTGTTCCGCGCATCCCGACGGAACACTTCCGTTCAACGTCTTTATCGCCACTTCCGCCTCGTCTTTCTTGTCGAATCGAACGAATCCGACGCCTTTTGAGAGGCCTGAAAAGTGGCGAAAAGTCGCTTTATAGGGAATTTCTAGCGACGACGTACCCGTGACATTATCCGACAGAATTCGTGAGGTGATAATCTGGCCAAAAGGCCTGAAAATCGACTCCAACTCGTGAAGAGTCATCGATTTCGGAATTCCCGACACATACAAATTGGATCCCTTGATCTGATCATTTGACGGACGAGCGTACGAGACCTGCAACCCCAAAAAAGTTGAATCGGATTTGATTTCACGAAAGTTTTTCGCGGTGCCTTACAAGTTTCTCATAGTCAGAAACAAATTAGTAGTACAGGACACATTGGCACACAGGCATACTCTCAAGCTAACAAATTAAAATGAACGGGGGGCGGGATTCTTATCAAAAAACTGGGGTAAAGTAAAGTAAAGTAAAGTAAAGCACACATAGATCTATCCACCCGAAAAAAAAAAAGAAGAGTTTAGAGAAATCGAATGGAATCTAATCCAAAAACGAGTGATATCGGGGTCGGATAGATTTGAAATGAAAAGGAAAATGAGAAAAAGAAAAGTGGAGGAGGCAAGTTGAAGTTGAAGAACCGGACCTTGATCGTCTTGTTCTGCAGGCGAAGACCGTTGAACGAGCTGACGGCGCGAAGGGCGTCCTCCTCGCGTACGTAATTAACAAAACCGTAACCAAGGGACTGTCCTGCAATGAAAAACACCAAAAGAGACTGCCGAGAGACTAGTGGGTTGTTGTTGGTGATGGCGGCGCTGCGCGGCGCTGCGCTGCGACGTGTGCAAGGGGATTACGGTTCTCTGACTAGTTGCGGTGAACCGTAATCCCCTGCAATACAGCGCGAATATGTGTGTGTGTGTGTGTGAGAAAGAGAAGGAACGTCACGGAAAATAAGAGGAGAAAACGGTTGAGAAGATGGGGGGAGGGGACACACATAGAACTACATATTCAATCCAAGAAAAAATCATTATATATAAATATATATTCATATTCATACTAAAAGCTCATTCATGCTCAATGCTGCTCGAAATTCTATGCGAAAAGGTTCAAGAAGAAGAAGAAGACGCGACAGAACAGTTAGTGAAACTCAATGAAGGAGGTGAAGGGAAGCGGTGGCCTAGAAAACCAGGAAGGATTCTAGGCCACCAGGGAGGAGACGTCATGAAGATGTGCGCACCAACCTGTGACTTTATCGCGCACCAACTTGCACGACTCGATTTCGCCGATCGAGGTGAACAGCGAGCGCACCTCCTCCTGAGTCATTCCTTGCGGCAAATAGTTGATGATCAGGTTGGTCTTCGACTCGCCAATCTCCACATTTGGCGCCGTACAGTACCTCTGTGTACTTGTGTAGGTCGTCTGCAAAAATGTTCCGTTTACTCTTTCATTTTCTGGCGTATGCTAATTTTTTCGTCGATTCCCCCTATCAGTTTTGCGTCGGCCAGCAACTTTTAACGACAGCAGAGTTGAGCGGAAGAGCTCAAATTTTCATATATTGTGCACAGCAAGAATTTTTATATCTTTTTTAGAAAATTTTTTCATGAAATGTGATCAACTGACGAAATGTATAGAAAAGTGAACTGTGCTCATAGAAAAATAATTGTGAATTTAGCGTTTCATACAAAAAAGTTATTCGAGTTGTTGCGTGAAAAAAGGGGGCTAACGGAAGACGGAAGGAATAACTTTTTTGTATGAAAAGCTAAATTTACAATTATTTTTCTATGAGCAGAGCACACTTTTCTATACATTTCGTCAATTGATCACATTGCATGAAAAAATTTTCTAAAAAAGATATAAAAATTCTTCCGTCCGTGTTCTTCCGCTCAACTCTGCTGTGCGTTTTTGAGACGGATTCGGATTCAGGATCGTCTGCGTTTTCTATTAAATTCACTCTGGCCCCTCCCCCTAACCCTTTTCCATATGATTTTGAGCCAATACTCTCCTCGGTAACCGGAGCCGTGTGGAAGACATCGAAATAAGGGGAGGGGGAGGGGGCTCTCTCTCTCTCTCTTGGTGCGTGCATTATTTGGTCAACGTCTCGAATTTCACATCTCCTCATGTTCTTCCCACCTCGCGCGCAGTTTTCACAAAACCCATCGGATGCCCCCCCGGGGGGATATGTACATTGAAAAGAAGAAGTGAAAAAAGAGCACAAAGACGATGTAGAGTAGCATTCGAAAAAAGTTTGATGGCCTAGGATCTCGACCGTGCCAGAATTCGTGGAAATGTATAATATCTGCACACACACACACACACACACACACACATTATTATATTATGCATATCCAATCAATTTTCTTGCTCCCTTGTTTTCCATGTTCATTTCCTTCTTCTCCTCCTCCTCCTCCTCCTCCTGCTCAAGGTTCGGCTCTCCAAAATAAATATTGTGGTCTCACTTTTTCCTATGTGGTCCCTCTCCGCGTTTATAATGAATCGTGGAGAGAGGGATGCTTTGAGATTTTTGAAAAATTGCCATTTGGGAATTGGCTCTGTGCGCTTGAAGGCTTCACGTCAAACGCACGCGGTTTACGGATTCTAGGCCACCAGTATAGTACAAAATGGAGCGAGACGCCGTAGAAAAAAGGCGCATGTCGGATTCTAGGCCACCGGTGGCGAAAGTTAGGCCATATACAAACTGAAACGAACCTGCGGTTGTACAGTGCCCGTCGGCATATTGTTGTTGTTTGGTGTCAGCAACGCTTCCATCGTCATCCTTCTTCTTCTTCCACTTCTTCTTCTTCTTCCACTTCCACTTCGTCTCTCGGAAACAAAAGGAAAAGCGCAGTGGCTGTGGCCGCGCCGGAGTGCCCCTTTTTCGAAGAAAAGACAGAGAGAGAGAGAGAGGGAGAGCGGCGCGAGTGGATATGCTCTCTCACAGAAAAAAGGGGCGGAGCCTCTTCTTTTGTGCTCGCACTGCTTCTCCCGGAAGACAGAGAGAGAGAGAGAGAGAGAGAGAGAGAGAAGAAGTCGGTGTGAAGACTTCTGAAAATATCGAAATAAACGGTTGGAAAAGCGAGAAAATTGCGAGAAAACAGGGCGGGTGGCCTAGGATCCGACATGTTCGCAAAATTGTGGGGGAGGTGAGTCAGGAATGGAAAGAAGAAGAGCCTTAAGGCATGCCCTAGGCCATTAGAAGAGAGAACAAAGAAGTTTGGGTTCCTAGGGCCACGTAGCAAGTCCTAGCACTACCAGGACTAGTAGTAATACTAATAATAGTAATAACAATACAAAACAATCGCCGCTCCAATAACAACGTTAATTAGACGGGCCGGATACCGGGCAACCGGCTCGAAGAACCCTAGGGGACCCCGAGATACTATTGTGAGTTTCGTTTGGGACCGACCACTACTATACTACTACTTCACACAAAACAAAAGGGAGGTCGTCGCTGACGCATACTGGGCTGCTTGGGACCGGCAGGTGAACTTGGCACATGTTATATTATTCCGATAATTATGCACCTAAACTTGTGCGGCGTCTAGCCGGTTGGTAGGAAGCGGATAATCGGGGAAGAACAGAAGAAGAAGAATTGGCGAGGGGGAGACAGGTGTGGAAACAATGCTTGATCAAACATGAATGACCTGGTTAGGCATGTATTTGGTTAGGTGTTAGGGCTCAAGCCAAAATCCTCAAAAAAAAAGCGAGAAATGGCGTAGAAATCAAGTTTGACGGATCCTAGAGAAACTGGAGAGGTTTAGGAATAGAGGGAGTGGCCTAGGATCCGTCAAAACTGATCTTGGAGGTCTTGCACACATGGCATGGATGGTCTGATGGTCTGAGCTAAATTGACTCGCTTAGAAATGGCCTAAGATTCATGAAAAGTAAGCTAGGATTCGATTCAACGCTTAAAAAGCAAAAATAAGAGCAGAGGAATGTTCGGAGAAGGTTTAGAGTATGCCAAAACTAGGTTAAGTGGCCTGGGTCCTGAAAAGCTAAGTAGGTGGCCCGGAATTGGCCTAGAATACATGAAAAGTAAGCTAGACGGCCTAGGGACTGTTAAACTGGAAGTAAGTGGCTAAAAAGACGGCCTAGGATCCGACAAAGCAATAGTAGGCGGCTTAAAAATGAAGCAACGATGGCCTAGGATCCGACAAAACCAAAATAGACGGCCTAGAGCTCTCCGCGAGCGCCTGAGTGAATAAAAAGAGAAAAATTCGAGAGCGAAGTGGTGTGAATACATGTACCGAAATAACACAAAACAGACACGCGTGTGGGGGGGGTACTTCCATTAGTCCCCGGTGGTTGGAAAGGGGGGACAAACACACAGTTGAATGAACAAAACCTGAATAGGTAGGGGGGTAGGGGGAGGCGCTCAATTATGTGTGACCCCCCTCTCTAACACATATTGTCGTGGCGAACCGCCAGCATAATTGCTCGACCACTTCATCATACAGTTTCGGGTACACTTTTCAACGACGATCGGACACACTAATAATAATAATAATAATAGTGATGCCGACGCATATTTTAACGCGTTGACGATCGATGGATGGATCATAAAAAGTTGGGGAGGGTACGGAAGTGGGGAGAGGAGGAAGAAGAAGAAGATAATAGCGATGATGATGATGATGATAGAATTGATTCAATTCAATTCAAAACCAGATTTCCGATGATGATCCATCCGGTGGTGAGACACGCACTCACTCACAAACATTTCGATTTCGATTCGATATTGTGTGGTTGATCATCCCTCGGAAAACCTGTAGGATTACTGTTACCCCCCTCTCTATGGGTAATGCCACGTAGGGGATCTGTTGGTTGCCACGTCATTTAAATTTTTGATTTTTGACGAATTCAATCACTTTATCATTGGGCAGAAAGAGAGAGAGAGAGAGAGAGAGAACGATTTGAAAGTCAAATGAGCGTGGTTTGATACGGGTTTCGACACTGGCCAAGCGGACTAGGTTTTTCAGTGATTCATGGCCTAGGATCCGACAAGTTAAAGGCCTAGAATGTGAGGAAATGGCGGCCTAGGATCCGACAATTTGAAGGTCTAGAATGTGAAGAAATGGCGGCCTAGAATCCGACAAGTTAAAGGCCTAGAATGTGAGGAAATGGCGGCCTAGAATCCGACAAGTTAATGGCCTAGAATGTGAAGAAATGGCGGCCTAGGATCCGACAAGTTGAAGGCCTAGAATGTGAAGAAATGGCGGCCTAGGATCCGACAAGTTAAAGGCCTAGAATGTGAAGAAATGGCGGCCTAGGATCCGACAAGTTAAAGGCCTAGAATGTGAGGAAATGGGGGGCCTAGAATCCTCCAAAACAAAAAGAAAAAAAGAAAAAAGTTTGAAATAATATTGACACACACTTTTCGAGCATTTTCACACGAAAAATTGTCCATATATTATACATTCTCTGCGGGAAAGAAAGAAAGAAAGTGAAGAAGAATGCGACACGACAACGACGGCAAATGTTCACTTTTCTCTCTTCGTTTTTTTTTCCATCGAAACTCGGAAGAATAAACGCGAATTTTCGATTCCGCCGTCGCTGCCGCACACATATGCGATATGGGCGGGGGGCGGGGAGAAGGAGGAGGATTGTGTGAATGTATAATATAATGTACATCAAAATTGCCAATGAAACACGACGGTTCAAGTTGGAAACGATGACGCCCAGAAAAAAAGTGGCGGTTTTTCGGAGGTGTTCACTATGGAAACGACTGGGCGAGGAAATAGCGCGTGGAAGACAAAAGAGACGCAAAAAAGGAAAGGGGGAGAAGAAAACAATGTGCAGAAATTGGAAAGGAAGGTGAAATGGTAAAGCCTCATACCTTTATGAAGGTCTTCTACAATATTTATAGGCTCCAAAACGCATGGCCATCACAAGTTCAATGGCTAAGCTTTCAGGGCCCGTGGCAGGCTCGAAACAAGTGTCAATGTATCGAATCACATGGTAAAGCTCCCCAGTACCATCGAAAAAGTTGTCGTAAGCTGCCAGCTTCTCCAAAATCCGTCAAAACCCACCCACTTAACTCGGGGGGAAAACGAAGAGAAAATACGGAACGCTTTAGTCTGTCGTTGGTCAAACCGAGAAAAGAGAGAGAGAGAGAAAGAGAGAGAGAGAGAGAGAGAGAGACACTGACTCGCGCTCTCTCTCTCTCTCTCTTCTCTCTCTTGCTTTTAAAGACGGAGACACAGCGACCAATTAGTATGTCAAGAAGGGGACCCGAAAATGGAATAGAATAAGAAATGGCTGTCTCTCGTCTCTCTTCTTCTCAAATGGTACGAATCTCATTGGAAGCTGCTAGACAGGTGGAAATGAAATGAATTAAAAAGTCATCAATCATTTGGCCTAGAATTGGGATTCATTGGATTCTAGGCCACCACACCCGAGAGGACTTATTGCGGTTGACTTGACTTGTTATCCCCCTCTTTTCTTAGTTAGTTAGTTAGTTAGTCGGCTAGTCGGCTGGGGACCATCGTAAAACCTATGGTGCATCGACCATACTGTCCGGAGAAGAGAACGAGACGCCAAGAGAGTGAGAGAGAGGAAGGAAAAGGGAATATAGTGTGTGTGTAGGGACAAGCACAGCGCCACGAATAATTTGCATAATTATACATAGTCCCTCTGCACACACACACAAGGACCCTAGAGAGGATTGGGGGTCAGAGAGAGAGAGAGAGAGAGAGAGAGAGATGAATTCATTGGCCTAGAAATACTGCGAAACCCGAGGCCCGACGACAAGTTTTTGGAAAGTGAAGTGGACTGAGCTGAGGACCAACAAGTGTGCGCCCAAAAGTGTAAGAGAGAGAGCTCCAACCACACACACACACATACAAAACCACTTTCTTCCTCTCTCTCTCTCTCTCTCTTCCTCTTTTTGACCACTTTAAGTGTGCAATTGTGCGTGTGAAATTCGACCTTTACGACGCGCCCACACCCCCAACCAAAATCACCATCTTCTCATCACTTGGTCCCATCAGTTCTTGGTCCTGAGCTCTCAATCGCTGGCGCTTTGGTTTAAAAACTTTATGTACATGGTCCCAGAGACCAGGATGCGTTGAAAACGTTTCGTTCTCAAGACTGAGCAACTAACTCTGGTCCCGAAAGTCCATAGCCTAATTTTCGAAGAAAAATGGACGCGCGGCACCAACTATAATCGCTCTAAATGGACTCGACTAAAGGACGGAACTAGTGGCACCATAAACGGTAACGTATGGCTGTTCAAAACCTTTATAATGGCCTAGAAAGCTTGAAAATCAAGGCCACACAACTCGAAATTCGCTAAAGTTTCGCGTTTCGCCAGAATCGCAGGTGCAACAGAACATTAAACGATCTGCTGGAAAAAGGCGGGCGAAACTCGATGGGGGACGCTCAAAAAAGTGTTTCTCGGAAGCGGGAGAGAGCGAGCGGGAGAGAGAGAGAGAGAGAGAGAGAGAGAGAGAGAGAGAGAGAGAGAGAGAGAGAGAGAACCGAGAATCACGAAGAGATATAGAAGAGGAAGGTTCGGTTTTTCGGTGCATGTGTAAGAATTGAGAAGAAGATGAATTAGTCGAGGGAAAGAGCGTTTTTTTTCCGGAAAAAAACCCGATTTGTTTAGTGATAACATCGGGGTCAAGTCGTATAGCTTGGCACGAGCAAAAAAAACGCGTGGAGGAGTCGGAGCTATTAGCGATCTAGACGATTCTAAAACATTGAACACATGTGGCCTAGGATCCGACAGTCGGATTCTAGGCCACCGATGCGTGTGTGTGAGAATAACAAAAGGAAGCATCTTCTCGTTTCTTATTCTCGTTCAGAAAGTCAATTAGAAAGATGTGGAAAAGAGATACCCCCCTCCTCCTCCTTCTTTGTATACTCACAATGGCTTATCCGGGAGAGAGGAGGCAAATTGGCAAATTTTGTGCAAAAACAGGAAAAAGAGATCGATAAATAAATTGTGCTGTGAAATATATGTATGTACGTGTTTGCACCGCACCTCCGAAAGCAAACACAAGGCCTTTTTTGTTCAATGAGGGCAATTTGGCACATTGTTATGAAAGGCAAAAGAATTTCGACCACGGCAGGACTCGAACCTGCAATCCCCAGATCCGAAGTCTGGTGCCTTATCCATTAGGCCACGCGGCCACATTTTTAGGCGCCGCCGGACGCCGGTGATATTGAGGGCGAGCGGCGGTTCGGAGCGCACATGGTTTGGATGGGGGAAAACCGAAAAAAGAGGACGAAAATGATGGGTGTTGCCCGGATTTCAGATGATTTTTCAGTTTTTTGAGGAGTGGGGGTGTTAAGTGTCTCAAAGACCTTCTCAAAAGAACCTGTTCACAAGTGGATGGCCGGAGGACAAGTGGGTGTGGAGGAAATGAGAAAACGGCGCCGGAGGGTTACTGTAGACTACTGTATTCGAGTTTTTAATTAAGTTTTTCATCTTTCCATTTCCAACTATTGAACAGCTCACAAATGAAGACAATAGCGGCAGATGATTCAACAAAAAGTGGCATTGTTAGTTAGAAAAAAAAAATTATAACTATAACCCATATAACTAACAAAATATCTCAGTTGCCGGGGGAGATATCAAAAAGTGATCAACTAATAAAATGTTCCTTACATAATTTTGAACATTTTTTCAGTTGACCACTTTTCGATATCTCCACTGCCAGCCGAGATACATTGCTTTGAAAAGATGGTTCTCGGCGGTTTGGCCAGTTTTCCAGGGAACAAAAGCCCGAAAAAGCAAAAAAAAACGATGTTATCAGTGATCGAACAAATGTGATTGGATGATAGCGGAAGGGACAGAAAAACAGAGTGAAAACTCGGTCAGTGCGCAACCGGTTTCGCCTACTTTATCACTTTTTTTCTGGGTCATCTTCCACACAAAGATGGTGGTGGTGGAGGTGGCCTAGAAAACCACGGGCAATTTCTAGGCCACCAAGATTCGAATTCGCGCTAAAATAGGGCGTAAAATAGACGGAGAACGGGGAAATTGCGGCGAATTTGTATACAGTGCCCGGCTACGCAAAACTAATATTGTATAGTCTTCTCCGTCTTTTCTGCTATTGTTTAGCGGTCCTCTCTAAACATCACAATTCTTGATTGAACTAATATAAAATTGTTTATCTCACTTCTTCTCTCTCTCTCTCTCTCTTTTTCAAATATACACACACACACAAGTAGATGCGGGGTCCCAATTGGGTTCATCACGGTCCCTGGCAGTTGGGGGATGGCGCTTAGCAGACGCGCAGCTGTCCGACACTTATTGTATACAAAAATGAGGGACTAGTTTTCGGATTTGATGGCCTAGAATCCGACAAACTCCTGGTGCTCCTTGGAGCCAAAAAGAGAGAGAGAAAGAGAGAGAAAGAGTGTCGATTGTGTGATTGTATGGCTATTGAGAGCCCGAATGAATAGAGCACCTAATTCAATGGAGCCGCCCGACCAAAAGAGGACGTCTTGTCGTTAATGTCGATCGGGCGGTCTGTGTTCTTTTGGTGTGTCATTGACGGCCGAACATGGTGCATCGACCATAAAGCGTCAGGGCACCAGAATCTCTGTGTTTCCATGTAACTTTTAAGCATGAAAAAGTGGCAAGACAGTATAGGGAGAGAGGCGGTGGGCACAGGAAGCGAAAAGGAAGAAAAGAGATCGGGAGCCTCCGCCGTTTTCGGCGCGACGATCAGTTACACAAACAGGCGGGAACACACTCTCTCTCTCTCTCTCTCTCTCTCTCTCTTTCACTCCCGGACCCCTCCCCGACAAATATATAATAGCTCCCCCCGGTTCTACTACACTCCGTTTGTGAATGGAAAAGTTGTTGGCACACACACACACACATTGTAAAAGTACAATAGACGCCGCTTGTGAACTGGGTGTCGGTTCCTAGGCCAGGGCGGGCAAAAGTTAGGCCACCAGTGTTGTCGGTTCCTAGGCCAGGGCGGGCAAAAGTTAGGCCACCAGTGTTGTCGGATTCTAGGCCAGGGCGGGCAAAAGTTAGGCCACCAATGTTGTCGGATTCTAGGCCAGGGCGGGCAAAAGTTAGGCCACCAGTGTTGTCGGATTCTAAGCCAGGATGGGCAAAAGTTAGGCCACTGCCTACAAAAACTAATAAACCAGTGGTGTGACGGCCGCAAAAATGTGTGAAACCTAATGATAAACTGATGACAACTGACTGGGGAACAACTCTTTCTCTCTCTCTCTCTCTCTCTCTCTCTCTCTCTCTCTCTCTCTTTCTGGTCCCTGTCGACTGGCAACAACTCTCGCGAAAGATTGATGCTCTCTTGGCGCCTATTCTCTCATTTTTGCACACGCAAAAAAGTTGGCAAGTTTAATCGACGCATGGATTTTATGGGCGTTTTGAGGTGGAAGAGTGAAGAGAAAGAGAGAGAGAGAGAGAGAGAGAGAGAGAGACGCAAAAAAAAAGTTAATGACCACTGGTTTCAAGTGGATGAGGCATGCGGACGAACTGCTGTGACACTCCTGATCGATGATGATTGCCACTGGATTTTGATTAGAACGCAGCAGGTTCCCCCCCGCGCGCGCGGACCGACAATATCGGAACGTTCACTCGTTCGCGGGAGGTGATCGGATTGGAACCAAGACGTTTTAGCATCAACTAGACGGTCTAAGGTACGCTCTGTCCGAGTTTGGTCCCAATCCGATCGTTTTCCGCGGAGATATGCCCCCGCAAAGTCACCTAACCCTTGTGATATTGTAGGTTAACTATTTCGAGAATAGACGACGACAGTCTTCAGTTCGAAAAAGTGGTCACGGGTTTGTGAACATGTATTCAGGTACTCCTCGCCAAACTTTCCATTTCTATTATGATACAGATTGCCATCTTGGAAAAAAAAGAACGAGGAATCGGGGTGCTGGGCTAGGAGAGCGAAAAAGCGAACAAAAAAGGGTTAAGGGACCATCAAGGACCGCACTGACTTGTAGAAACAACAGCTAGGCCAGCTTGTCGGATCCTAGGCCACGCTTTTCGAGGCCGCCAACCGGCTAGGCCATGAAACTATGCAGAAAGGTGTGAACCTGTGGCCAATGCAATGCCAATTAGTTGGGTTTGTCCTCCAAAAACCCCCAAAAACTGTCTCGGACGGACTAATTGGCAAGAGAGAGAGAGAGAGAGAGAGAGAGAGAGAGAAAGAGAGAGAGTTCTTCTTCTTCTTCTTCGTCTTCGTCTTTGCCATTGAAATGAGAGAGGAGGACAGTGTCAAACCACAATTTGGGAAAAGAAGAAGAAGAAGAAGAAGAGGAAACAGGTTCTATTGTAGAATTCCACAGAATGATTAGCAAAAAACCAACCGTCGCACACCGACGGTCATATGTTTTCGGTCACACACACACACACACACACACGCCTATTCGCTGCGAACTTCTTGTCGCTCGGCGGCGCTAATTAAACTTTGGATCACAAGGCGTCGAAACCGACAATATTCTAGGCCGGCTACTGTTTTTGGGGGGTTGGTTTGCAGCGTTAGTGAACATTAGGCTTTTCGAAAGGATTTAGGCCACTAAAAAAGGTCAAAGGACATTTGGCAACCGGTCGGCGCCCATAAAAACTAGATGAGTAGTAAAAAAGTAAATTGCTCGATAAAAGTGTTTATCGAAGTGACTCCCGCGCAGGTATTTTGATGTCTAGACACTTTGCCACCGGGGGAAAGGACGTTTCGCAACTGGCGCGGAGGGTTGAGCTCAAGTATAAATGAGAGAAGATTGCTGCTCTCCGAGCCTTCTTCCCCTTTGAAACTTGATCCCAATTCGATTCGCTCACTTTTTTGCTCTCTCTCGCGCCGCCGCCGCCGTGGCCTAACTTTTCAAAGTTAGGCCACGTTCACGTGGCCTTTCAACGCGAAAAGCAGCAAAGTTTATTTCAAAAAACCCCCAAAAAACTCGTTAAAACTCGATACTCGCAAAAATTATGACGTCCCAGAGCAATTCGACACTTTTCCCGGCGACGTCTTCAATGATGATGACGTCGAGTACGGTAGTTGTGGATCTGGAAGAGGTATTTTACAAAAAAATGGGGGAAAAGAGTACAAAAACTTTAAATAAAACATCAAAGACGGATCCACCGACTGCACCCTACGTCTACATTCTCATCGAGCTCGTCTATTTGCTACTGTTCACCGTCGTTGCGTACCTCATGAAGAGGTACAATTTTATGAAGGTACCACGATTCTGGTCGCTCATCGCATCCCTACCGTAATCCGTTTAGACTGACGATGACGCCGTCACGAAGCACCATCGTCGTCACTTTGAAATGATGCAGCAGCAGCAGGAGGAGCTCATCGAGGGCCAAAAATCGCGCGAGAATTTCTGGTGGCCAGTCGCAATTGATATAAACATTTGCTGCTCTTTTTTATACAACGTCGAGGGGATATGCGCTTCTAAAACCGGCAATTTTGTGGATGAAGAAGGTATGGACAAAAAAACATGGTTAGAAAATGGATAAGTGATTATTGTAATTGATGAAATTCGGGATTCCGGTCGGCCGTCTGCAATTGTTGCTTCCGCCGCTGTTCCCGGTGCACTTGCTCGTGCTCGTGGTGGCCCGGAGCCAGTGCTCGGACGATCGGCTCCGCGGTGTGCGCCGAGAGCTCGTGTTTCCGCAAGCATGAGCTGCAGCAAATTATAGAACTTGTTAAGGTGTTTTCGTATGCATTTCAGCCGGGGCAGGGCAAATTTGGGCTTTGACCCACTTGCAAGGATCCGATCGAGCCCAAACTTTGCAGACTTCTTGGACTTGGATTGAAGCCCGATCGGACAATCTGTCCAAGACGCAATGTTCGCAAAAACACGGGATCAGAGGATCCGATCGGTTTGAAATCCAAGTCCGAGAAGCCTGTAAAGTTTGAACCCGATCAGATGATTGCCCAGCCCCAGCTTTTTCCCATCCAAATCAGTACTCACTTGTCTCGGAACCGTTTTGGACACTTTTCGCACGCGTACGGCATCTCTTGGTGTGCGTGCGAATGTGGGAGGTGAGTGCCTGACTCTGCGCGAACGCCTTGCCGCAGTAGCCGCACGTGTAGGGCTTCTCGCCCGTGTGCACCCGCTCGTGAACCAGCATGTCCTTCTTGAAGTGGAATCGGAGGTTGCAGTACGCACAGTTGAAGCGCGCCGTCTTTCCGTTCGGCAAAAGATCCGACGACGGCGCCTGACCGCCTTCGTCGAGTCCGCCGCTTACGTGCGAGTGCGCCAACGTCTGAAAATGCTTTTATTGCAATTTTTCAAAGATTTCTCTTTTTGAGATATTAGAGGCGAAATCGATTCAACTATTTTGGCGCAAACCTGATGACTTTGGAGTGCCTCGAGAGTGGTGAAGAAGCGCATGCAATGTCGGCACGTTATCCGCGTAAAGTGCATTTTGTGGTGTCGATTGCGCGCGTCGGCATTTGAGAAAATGCGAGGACAGTAGTCGCACGAGTACATCGGCTTCAGCAGCGAGTGGTCCTTCAGGTGATGCGTCATCGACGTCTTGCTCGCGAATCGCATTCCGCAATTGAAGCATCGGAACGGCCGCGCGTCGCCGTGCACTTCCTGACAAATTTTGAAATCAACACTAATTCATTGGTTATCAGCACTATTTCTATGGAAAAAACGTACGGCGACGTGTCTCTGATAGACCTCCTTGTTGCCAAAGTACGTTTTGCAGTTCGTACAGTGATACAGGCCGGCCAGGGCTTTCGGGGCCGTCAGCGGCTTCGGATCGGCGTTCCAATTGGGATCCATGGGCGGTGCCCCGGTTTCGGGCGGCGCTTCCGGCGCGTCCGACGCGTTGATCACTTTGAACCGAAGGATCCGTTCGCCTATTTTGATGGCCATCCGTCTGAGCGGGACCGGCTGGTGGGGCGCGTGGACGGACGGGTCCGGAACGGGTGGCGGCGGCGGTTCCGAGGAGGTCGACGGAACGGACTGGAGCTCGTCGATCGGAAACTCGCCGTCCATCTCCACGATCTGCTGCTCCCCGAGCACCGCTTCTTTTGGTCCCTGTTGTTGGGGCAGCTGGTCCCGCTGGATCGTCGCCGTTTTTTGCACACCGCTGGGGGTTCTGGAATTTTTAAAGGAAAAATGCGTTTTTCAGAGAAGCAAAAACTTACTTATAGCATTTAGTATCTGTTAGCTCGTAGCCCATCGGTCTGTCCGGGTCCCAGTCGTGAAAAGCGGACATTTCTGAACGAAAATCTCATTTTTCTAACCTTTCCAATTTTCGGCTAACCATTAGCTGTGGTGACTTCTTCCTCGTAAAGAACCATTGCCGACGGATCGTCGACCATCATTCCGTCCATTTGCGCGCTAAAAACCTCAAATTTCAGTCGAAAATGCAAAAAATGTGTCACCTTTTGCTGAGAAAAAATCAAAGCGATTTACGATAAACAAGGCGTCGTCGCGTTATCGCGGAGTGTCGTTGTTCTTTTTCGTCTGCGTCTCTCGTCGTCATCATTTAAATTTACTCTCTCTCTTTCTCTCTCGTTGATTTAGATTAGAAAATGCGGAAAAACTGGATTTTTTTGTTTATTTTAAGTGAATAAAATGAACAACACTAGAACCAAACAAAAACAACCCGAAAATCGTCAAAAAACCCGTAAAATAACACACAAAAGGCAAGCAACTAGTAAATCTACGGTCGATAATCGTCAATGTTCGTATGAGAGCCGTACAGATAATTATTAGCATTCATATTCGAAATCGGATCGAAATAAGTCCTTTCGAAGACTACCTCGTGCACACACTGCACAAAACCAAAGTCGTAGTGCGGATCGGCTCGAATGAATAGGCGCGTCGTGTTCCTGCAAGAGTTTTATGAATGTTTAAGCGTTTTCAACAGTTAACTATTATACATTTTGATAGAGAATTTTGTGCTGATCATTTTTGTAGTTGTCAGTTTTTTGATAACTTTTTTGGTTTTCGAGATATATTGAAAAAACTAAACGCCTCTCAAAAGAAATAAAGATTTTGGAAGCTCTTGGTTTTCGGCGATTATCTCAAAAACCAGAAGAGCTACAAATTTTTTGTCAACTACAAAAATGATGAGCACAAAATTTGCAACAAAATCGCCGTCCTTACCTGATTCTAGGAAAGGCCTCCATGGCGTACAGACACGATCCGTCCACATCGTATTTGTGCGTGTCGCAGTTGTGCTCAACAACTCCCGTCTCGCGATGTTCCTCATCGGGCAAATTGAAGTCGGGAGTTTGTAAAAGGTACTTGTAGAGTCGCTCGTGTTGACTATGACTGATTGTGGCCACGGAGCACAAGTGTTGGATCCAATTCCTCGTCACTTGGTATACTGCAATTTTTTTTTTGTTTTTTTTCAGATTTTTCAGAATTTTTCTCAGATATTGCTTACATTGAGATGTAGTATCGTTAGGATTCGCATTTTCCAACTGTTCCTCTTTGAAATGAACTCTGAAATATAGAAAAAAAAGTTGGAAAACCGAAACTCTGCCTCACCCATTCATCTCGACCATATCGCGAAGTCTTCGAGACCGTCTGGACAGAAATTTGGTAGAATGAAGTGGAATGTCGTGTTCCTGAAACATTTTCGAAGAAAAAAAGGTGTGCATGGCCTAGATTTTGCTAGGCCACACCAACTTACAGCCGTGATTATTGCGTGCTTCCACTCGAACTCGTCGATTTCCTTCAAACATCGTTTGTGCGCGTTTAGAAGGCCGTGAGCCGTCGAAGTGTTGAACATTTCGCGTGGCACCAATATATTGACCATACAATCTCCCAATCGGAACATCTGGAATAAGTGAGAACTTGATGTAAGTTTGTTGGGTCTATACCAGGGGTGTGCGGAAAATATTTCGATTTACCGAAATTTTCCGATTTTCCGAGAAATGTTCGGAAAATTTTCCGACGGAAAATTTTCCGAAAATGTTCGGCAAAATTTTCGGAAAATTAGTGTGGATTCAAGGTCAATTTGTCCGAAACCACCGTATGCTTTTTAAAGGCGCATCACAAAATTTTTGGAAGGGTCTAGCAGCGAGCGTCTTTTTAAATTTGATTTTTAAATTTTACGCAATTTCTTTCGCGCGTCTCATTCTCACTGACAATCGGAAAATACTGGACCCGGAGAGCTTCTCTCGGCTAATTTTTTTGCAAAAAAATATTCCATTGCTTGGCTTCCGCCCACTCAAGTGATTTCAAATCATAATAAGCATTTTTTGTATTAGAACGTTGTTTAAACACTTTATTGAACCAATGAACAAGTGAGTTTTCCGATTTTTCCGATTTTTCCGAAATTTTCCGAAAAAAAAAATTCGGAAAACCCGATTTTCCGAAATTTTCCGAAAAAAAAAATTCGGAAAAACCGATTTTCCGAAATTTTCCGAAAAAAATTTTCCGCACACCCCTGGTCTATACTCTGAGTACGTGCATGTTTTGTGTAAGTGTTAAATGTCATTTTGTAGAAAATTTTGTGCTGATCATTTTTGTAGTTGACAAAAAGTTTGTAGCTCTTCTGGTTTTTGAGATAATCGCTCAAAACCAAGGGCTTCCAAAATCTAGCACTTTTGAGAGGCGTTTAGTTTTTTCAACACATCTCGAAAACCAGAAGAGCTATCAAAAAACTGTCAACTACAAAAATGATTAGCATAAAATTCTCTATCGAAATCTGTTAACGCAATGTTGGTGCGTTGACGCATTTCCAGTGCGCTGGCGCTTTTCCTAACCCTCTGCTGAAACTGCTCATCCGCCGCCGAGTCCAACACAAAGCAGAAGAAGTTGATGGGATTGTACATCATTGTGAGCACTTCTTCAACAAAATCATAGTCCTAAAGGATTACTGTAGGCAGATTACGGTAGGATCAAGATTACTGTACCCTCATGACGACTCGAATAAAAAACAAGTTATGATTGCCGCCCACCGATTTCGGCATGTCCTGCGGCAGATATCGACGTCGCCGGATTTGGAAGCAACTGGAAATGGAATTGATAAACTACAGTACGCCTGAACGGATTACTGTACCTTCGATCATTGTCCGTCGGTGCCAATACCGTCCGATTCTCCAAATACGTCAAATACTCGTCGGAAGTGGCGTTGAGCATGCACTCGCAGTTAATCTCATTGTCCGGCGCGATCGGTACGAACGTATGTAAACTCAAATCGATGGGATTACTGTAGTTTGCCAGCAAGAGAAGAAAATGTTTACCTGTAAGTTGCGTAGGCGGTGAGCGCCACGAAAAGGACCAAAAGTACGCCGAGCGGCAGCGATAGGAGCCACATGGTTCTTGTGCAAATGTCGTGCGACGGCATGGCCTAGAAATGTTCCAGCGTGGCCTAGGATTCCAAATTTTATTTAAAAATTGAAAAGTTGGAGGTTGCGGCCTAGAAATCCGGCTCAATGGCCTAGAAACCTTCTATGGGCCGAACAGTCACCAAATTGAGATTCTAGGCCATCAAATGGGCTTTCTAGGCCAGAAACGAGTAGGAAAACACTGAAAATAATGGTAAAAATATAGAGGGGGGGTCTGGCAAGACGAATGATCACAAAACAGAAAAGAAGGCCTCTCACTGATCGAGACCCACTGATTCCAATCGATATCCAATTTTCTTTCGATAGAACTATAATATCGATGAATGATGATGACAAGGAAGAAGGAGAAGACCGTGACCAGTAGGAAGAAGAAGAAGAAGAAGAAGAAGAAGAAGAAGAAGAAGAAGAAGAAGAAGTCAGGTGAGAGAGAGAGAGAGAGAGACAAAAAGGAAGGAACCTGTTCTTTTGCCCCTCTTTTTCCCTCCAAAACAGTTCGAGATCATCATTATTAAAGAATTTATCAATGTGTACACATAACCAGAATGTGTGTTCGTTTTTCCAGTTTCTAGACGATTGCCACGTGGAATAGTCAAAAAATCGAGTGGGAATGGCCTTGGAAAGTTTAACAATGTTTCTACACACGTTCCGGCCTGGTCAGTGATATTATCCATTTAAATGGTACAGTTTCGGATAGAGAATTTTGTGCTGATCATTTTTTCAGTTGACACTTTTCCAATAGCTCTTCACGTTTTCGAGATAATCGCTGAAAATCAACCGTCTCAAAAAACCGGTTTTTGGGAGCTTATCATTTTCAGCGATTATCTCGAAAACCAGAAGAGCTACGCGAAAAATGTCAATTACGAAAATGATCAGCACAAAATTCTCTATCCAATGATACAATAAACTTTACAATAACATGTTATTAACATGGTACTTTTACAGGTCAAAAGTGGATTGATGATAATGGCTAGTAAAGTGATGGCCTAGAATTCCAAGACTTCAACTTCTAGGCCACAACTTTCAAACAAATTGGTAATGGTCTTGTCCAGCTACAAAACACGTTTCCTGGGTGTTTCGTAGTACATACAGAGAACTGACCTTCGCTACTTTCACTCTAATTGCTTTAAAACGTCAGGCTATGTGTCTGAACACTTTTTGCCCCATGTTTCTGATATTATAAGTTTACAAATGATACAATTGAATAGAGAATTTTGTGCTGATCATTTTTCTAGTTGACACTTTTCTGATAACTCGTTTGGTTTTCGAGATAAATCGAAAAAACGCAAAGGCAACTCGTAGGTTGGTTTTCAGCGATTATCTCGAAAACCAAAAGAGCTACAAACTTTTTGTCAACTACAAAAATGATCAGCATAAAATTTGCAACAAGATGACATTACGTACATGATGAAAAGACAATTATATATAGAGTACATGCGCTACAAAAGACGATTTCAGGGTGTAAATGGTAAAAACATACTGAAAAATGACCTATCCGTCTAACTTTCACTTTAACTCACAAGTTACACAAACGACCTCGTAGATGTTCATGTACAAGATACAATCTTGACGTCATCGCATGTTTTTGTCACATTTTTCCATTTAGGATACCTAATATTTGTCCAACTAAGCGACCAGTTAAATAAAATGCATCAACAATACTTTATGTGAGACGAACCCGAACGAAAATGAAAAAAAGAGATAGTGGGGGAGCTAGGGGCTATCAAACAGAAGAGCTCAATCGTTTTTCTTGTTCTTTGCCAAAACTCTCGGCGCGGCGGCTCCTCTCACGCCGCCAATCAATGCTCCGAGAGCTCGGAAGACGGTTCGGACGGTCAGGTAGACAGCGGACAACGAGCAGAAGATGACGAAGAAGAAGAAGGCGATGACGTCGACGAGGAAGTACTGAAGCACGTTGAGATGATCGGCACCGCTTCGTGCGTGCGGAACCTCTTGATGGCGCTCGATGAACTCGATCCAGAAGGCGGCGTGGTAGAGCTCTGTGTAGGGAACGTCGATGACCATGTCTTGGAACACGAGCATCTCCGTTTTGTACCTGCAATTTGGATACTTACAGATCGTGACTTTTCTGACAACTAGGACTAATTGAAACTTTGAAATCATAAAGGTTTAGATAGTTCTAGTTGCAAAGTGTCCTTTAGTGGTAAAACGTCTAGAATCCACAACATTCCGATATTATCGAAGCAAGTTTTATTTGCAACTGCTTTGCAACTGCTTGAGACGTTCTGCAACTAGGTCAGAACATCCTTGGGATGGCTTTTAAATGTCTTGGTTGCAAAGTGTCTTATTCCGAAACCGCTGGACGTTTTCGCAACCATCGTCAGCCGACACTCACTTCTCATTGTCGACAACCTCCCGAATCGCGTCGGTCAACGCCTCCGCACCGAACCGATCCTTCTCGATGAGCACTCCCGAATCGCGCGCCGTCACCCTCAACACATTGTCGAGTCCACGCGCGGTCAACGGCACGCCGACGACCGGAACGCCGTGATACACCGACTCGATGACACTGTTCAGACCGCCGTGCGTCACGTGAGCCCGACATTTCGAATGGGCGAGCAGGTCTTGGAGGGGAAGCCACGGCCGGACGACGACGTTCGGCGGAAGGTTCGGGATGGCGGCGAGCGAGTTGAATTGCCAGACGAAGAGGAGATCGGGCAGCGAACGGAACGTGTGGAGGTAGGCGTCGCGGATCGGCGCGGGCGCCAGGGACCATTGGGCGGTGAAACCGGTCGAGAGGACCACGAAGCCGGAAGACGAGGCGGTGATCGGATCGAGGTACTCCTGAAAGAGCGTATAACTCAAGAACCAACACTTTTCGAGTAAAGTGATCAACTAGAAAGTTGTAGAGCACAAAAATTGCAACAACTTTCGAGTTGACACCTTTTGCAAATAGGTATTGCGTCTCGAGATATAGAAGTTTTAGTTCTACCTTCGGCAGTTCCACTCCCTTCCGACAATGAATAGCTCCGATGAAGTTGACACGTGGCATGTAGGGTCTCGAAAAGTCGAAAATCGGCGGCGTATTGACGAGGTTAATCGACGCGTTTCGCTCGATTTCAAACGTCGTCTCAACGCCCGGATAGTACTTCTGGGATGGAAATCAATCGATTTGCTTTCGTCCACACAACTACAATACAAGTACCTGAAAAACCGCGTCGATTCTCGGTTGCACAATGTGCTGATGAATGTAGAGCTGCTTGAAGTAGGACGCCACGTTGTAGACGCGCTCGAAAAATGTCAGCTCGTCGGTGAGTCCGGTCCCGGCGACCGGCAGATAACTGGGCGGAGAGGGCGATTGGTTGGCCCACGCGGACTCGGTTCGCAGAGCGGTTTGCGACCAGTACACGTACACCGACTCTGAACACTTTGAACGGATATTGTAGAGTTAAGGCAAGATCGTACGGCCCTCAAACGTTTTGTGTGAAGCCTTGACATTTAGTACTCTGTTTTGATAGTTGATCATTTTTGTCTAGGACCACTTTGGAAGCGCTTGAAAAGAGCGCTACAGTACTCTTCAAAGTGGCGCTAGAAAAAAGTGCGTACTAGTTGTCAAGTGTTCGCTGAAAAACTTCTAGAACTCGAGAACGTAACCCAATTTCCCTTGAACTCACTTTTTAGTGCGGCCAGCAGAATTCCGCACGGATTGTACAAATCATCGACGACAATCGTGTCGAACTTTTGCTCGACGAGCCTATCGAATTTGGCCTTGCTGCGCGCGAGCACCGAATCGCAGAGACGAATCGACGCCAGCCAGCCGGTCGTTTGCTCGTTCGAATTTTGGAAATCCGCGTCCCACAGCTGTAAAAACGGGGGTTTTCGCCTGAAATTTGCGGATAATTGGCTTACTTTTGTGTGTGAGGTGTGATTTCGGAACTGATAAATGTCCTGAAGAGTTTGATCGCCGAATGGGCGGGCCAATGCTCGCGCGTCACCGACTTGGAGAGCACTGTTTTCGACTGAAAATGAGAGTTCACTTTCGGCTCTTGTATCTCGGTCGATTTTCGAGATTTCGGCACGTTTAAAAAACCAATCGATAGCTCATTTTATGCTCTACAACTTTTCAGTTGACCATATTTCACCAGACTTGCCAAATCCCGGCCCGGCCCGGTCGGCCCGGAAGTTAGACCTCAAAAAAAATATGCAAAAAAAATATGAAGGAAGAGGAAAACGCGTGCGGCAAAATTGCTAAAATGGCGTGCCAGAGTTGCAATCAATCGCTCCGCCCACTCTTGAGAAAATTTTCGTAATTTTTGTGAAAATTTTGCGACTTTAAACAGCAATTTCTATTTTTTAACAGGTTTTTATGCTATAACATTGCCTTTTTCGTCTTTTTTTCTATTTCTGCTGGTTTTTACAATGAATCTTCGAAATTGAAGCAAAACGACGATAACGTAGGCCGTTTTCAAAGTTTGGTGGGTAAAAATGGACGAAGACAAAGTGCTTGAAGAAAACGGCGGTCAACTAACTATTTCTGCGAAACAACTGCAAATTTTGGTACGGAAGAAAGATAAAAAAAAGTGATTTTTGAGTAAAATCTGTTTGTACACATTTTGTTTACTTTGTTCTCATTTCTTCGTGGTCCAAATTTGACTGATTTGTTGCAATTTTAAAGGACCAGGGAACCCAAAAATTTTTTGATTGTTTTGTGAAATGTTTTTGTGACTGTTTGAATTGTCTCTTATTGCCTCATACACTGGTGAAATGCTGCCTCTCAAAAATGCCAATGAACGAAACGGCATGCAGTTGAAGTTGTGGCCGTGGCCTAGCGCCAATGGCCGAAAAATATATAACAATATATGCGCTTCTCGGCCATTTTATTTTTTCGGTTTTTTTACACGTTTTTTTCCAAAAATTCACGGTTTCTCCCATTTTGGCACTTCATATCGACTGAATGAAAACAATTTTTTAGCTGTGAAAAAATAAGTAAGTGCCGAACCAATGTCAATCAACTGAAAAATGGGAGAAACCGTGAATTTTTGGAAAAAACCGGTAAAAAAGCGGAAAAAATAAAATGACCGAGAAGCGCATATATTTTTATATATTTTTCGGCCATTGGCGCTAGGCCACGGCCACAACTTCAACTGCATGCCGTTTCGTTCATTGGCATTTTTGAGAGTCACCATTTCACCAGTGTATGAGGCAATAAGAGACAATTCAAACAGTCACAAAAACATTTCACAAAAAAATCAAAAAATTTTTGGGTTCCCTGGTCCTTTAAGTCTATAAAATTATGTTCGTTTCGAAGTTCTAGTTCGCTTTGAATTTTTAGGTGCATCCTCCCGGGCCGGGCCGGAAAATTTCCAATTTTGGCCCGGCCCGGCCCGTTGCAAGTCTGTATTTCACTATTTCGCCTCTGCGCCTTACCTGCACTGGTCCAATCTCGATCCAAGTGATTCGATGGCCGCGGCCGGCCAGCTCGTTTGCCAGCGTGGCCATAGTGTACGAGTGGACGGGGAACAAGGTGCTCGGCACGAAAAGCACATCTGCCGAGCGAACGTGTCCATGGAACACGGCGGCCAAAAGTGTTAGGGTTAGCCGAAGCATGCCTGTAAAATGGAAATGAAGGCGAGGGTTTTTATAGAAAAAGGAAAGGAAAGGGTTTGATGCAATAGCAAAACGAATCGATAGCAAGGTTAATGAGAGACGCGAAGAGAGTGATAAGAGCGACGGAGACGCAGACACGCCTACAACATACATTTGTAGACGGACTGTAGTTGGGGGGATAGAAAAACGGATGATAACTCGAAAAATCGGACAGGTTTGCCGTACTTTGGTACTTGATCCACAGTAGACGTTTTAGTGAGCGCGTAGATCGAAAAGCATACGGTAGAACATTCGAATGAGCACCGCTGGAGCGCTTTGGGCCAGAAAACCACAATATTTATGAGTTGCAAAGTGTCCAAGAGTGTTTAGGAAACGTACGAAAAAGTTGAGGAGGGGGGGGACAGAAAAGGAAAAGTTCATGTGAAAAGTGAAATGTTCGGTCGGAAGCTAGAGGAATAAGAAAGTCTTGGTATGACCTAGATTACCGTTTTATAATTGAGTTTACAAGTGAAACCGAGGCCGACTAATTATGGCCTAGGATTCGCACGCTGGGGATTCTAGGCCGGTGGCGGAGATCAGGAAATGATCTAAAAAGAGGGAAAATGTACCGGGCGCCCACAATCTTCAAGTATTTACACTTTTGATCGTTTGAATTGAAAGTGAAATGAAGAAAACAATTTAAGTGGTCGTACTTTAGGAGACCGACAATGTTTGTTCACAAGCCAATCTTTAAAGGCCTACATCTTGAGAAGCAGTGGCTAATTCAAAAAGTGTTCAACTGAAAAGTTGCGGCAAATTTTGTGCTCTACAACTTTACAATTGATCATTTCACTCCAAAACGTTTAGTTCTTGAGTTATAAGCTAGTTTCTAAACAGTACGGATAAATCGTATGTTTCAAACGATATTGCTGATGCTTCTTTGCTCGCTCTCCCATTCTGAACCTAAAACTTATCGAGCGTTATCAGAGAATAGAGTAAATGGATGGAAATCAGTAAATAAAAGCCATTTTCCCCTTTTCCTTTGTCCGTTTTGCTACAGCATAGCTGTGTTTTAAGGAAAAGACTTGACTAGACTCAACTGTTGTTTCATTGGTCTCGCAGAAGAGAAAAGTTGTATTATCAGCTTATCACTTTTTTAATTGTTAAGTTTACATTGAAACTATAAAAGTTTCACTTTATTTTTAGTCTTTTTAGATTGTGTTGTGAAAATCTGTAAGTAAATACTTGGTCTAGTGAGTACTGGTCAAAAAAAGGCTTGTAACTCGAGAACAGAACATTTTTAAGAATCATTGTCAATTACAAAGTTGTTCAGCATGAAATTATCCATATTTTTGTAGTTGTCAATGTTTTGAAACAATCAACGGTTCACGAGATAGAGGTCGCCGAAGATGTTCCTTAAAAATCAATCAGTTCGGGTCTGAAAGTGTGTACTGTTCAGAAAAAGGCTTGTAACTCGAGAACTGAACATTTTCAAGTAAAATGTTAAATTACAAAGTTGTTGAGCACAAAATTTGCAACATTTTTCCTGTTATCAACTGCTTGAAACAATCAATGGTTCTCGAGATATAGACCTTCAAAGTCAAAGGTCCTAATTTGATCAACTTGAACATTTGCTCTCCACTTTTTTCACAAAGTACATTCTCTATTCGAAACTTTTCCAAGTCAAAGCTCAAAGCGACGTTTCGCAACATGCCCCTAAACATGTTTCGTTTATCTTTTCGTCCAAATGTTTCTGTTTCCATCCTCCGAATTGACCGATGCGATGCCTATCATCGTCTTTTTCCGTCGCCTTTTCACGGTCTCACGACGTCACGTGGCAATGCGCGCGAAAAGAAAAACAGAGAACACTGCAAATTGTCACGTAGGCACGCGCGGAGGAAGCCGCGAGAGAGAGAGAGGCGAGAAGAGAGACCCAAATATTTTGCAGTTCCACTCGGATCCGAGTACACCTAAACTTCTGCCTCCCTCCGGCGTCTTGTGAACAACAGCGGCACGTGTGGTGAACTCAACGGCAAAACAAGTTGCCTTGCACCGCCCATCTTGCCCATTTTTTTCGTGTTCATCCCTTCTCCGTGTCGCGCAAGCCAAAAACTTGATATCATCTTATTCATCATCATTTTGCAAAGCGTTTCCGATATTTTACAAGTGTGGATAGGATCAATGGGTTCACTATCAGTCACGAGACTCTTATCTGTGTTCTATTCTCATCCAACAACACTTCTGAAACACTAAAAGTGCGTAGTAGACCGATGCAACTAGAGACGCGGTGTTTAGACAAACAAACGAGGCGTCTTGAAAATGATCTTTTGCCTCCTCACGGGAAGGTTTTTGCGTACTTTGCGCACCATGTGCTGTTTTTGCAACACGTCAACTTTTCGAATTCGACAATCACGGGCAGCACGACAACAATAACCTGGACTTTGGGGTTCCATGACTTTTGGTACCGCTATGAAAAAATCTGCAATGTCTTAGTTAGTCTTCTTGAGTTTCTCACGCTGTATGTACGGTTTCTTGTTATTTGCGGAACACAATTGCAAAGTACACACGTAGATCGCCAAGAATCCCTCCCAAGATGGACTTGTGATCTCTGTCTTTGGAAACGGCGAACATCGCATCGCATCGCATAGCAGCCAGTCAGTCAGCACAACGGGCGGCCAAAGCTCATCGTCGAAAAAGTGATGAGGAGGCAGCAGAGACCACGTTTTTGGTGGAAATGATCAAGTATTGTTGGTTTGTCGGGCAGCACATGGCGCAAGAACATCAACATTTAGTGCCTAGTGCCTGACGGCTTTTATAGTTGACCATACTAATTATCTAGAAAGTGTCAGAGGTTTCTATGCTCCTACAAAATGGCCAAGATTTGTATAGAAATCGTGTACAATCGCTATAAACTGCATCAAGTCGACATAAGCCTAGACAAAGGATTCTATAGTTAACTCTTCGGTCCCCCTAGATTCTAACGTCTTGACGCTGAAAATGAGAGATCAAAGTAGCGAAAAAACATCTGGCTTAGCCGACAAGACTCTAGTTACACACCAGAAACGAAAATCAGGTTTTTTGCCATCCTAGACGAGAGCATAAGTACATGTCTATTCAGGCAAATGCGGATATAAAAGATCCTGAGAACAAGTTAGGCCATTAATATCTGGAATTTTCCACACTACCCCCTCCACCCGTTTCCCCCTCAGACCACGTGATATCAGTGTCTCGTGTGTGTGTATGTGTATGTGTAGCGCTAGCGGTTGGTGCATCACTCAAGTAAGTACGCAGAGACCCAGACGACAGACAGCACGAGGGGGGCACTTCTCTCTCTCTCTCTCTCTCTCTTTCTCTTTCTCTCTCTCTCTACGTGTGAGACACACGGGTCGTCACCACCACCACCACACACATTTCTTTGCTTCCCGTGTGCCTTGGCGCCCTTCCCTCTATTCGATGCACCATAGATTAGGGCGGATCTGCTTGAAAGATTAACTTTTTTCTGGTGTTGGCACTGTGTTCTGCTCATGCTCTATCACCAGCAGATTTTGACGGATTAGCCCGGTTAGCCAATCGCATTGCTCATGATATTGTCTTGTTTTTGACGTCGCCTAGCTTAGTTCATCTGTAATCTTCAAGCCCACGCGACTATCTCTGCAATTTTTTTTTATGACTTTTCATCCCAAACCCACAGCAAACATCACAAATGTTTCTTTTTTTTGCCGTTTTCTTTACCCCTCTCTCCCTCTGATTTCGCCCATTTCACTTTCGATCGATTTTTGTGTTGTTAGTAGTTATCATCGAAATATCTAGTATGATTGTTTATTGCGCGGCAAGAAAGAACGGGGGGATGTATGGCGATTTGAGTTTCGGATAAAACTTTTGACATTCCTTTGACATATCGAAAAGTCTAGTTTGTCTCAAATGTTGTTCTTCACCGATTTTAACAACCTGTTGATTTCTGATGAATCTGAGTTGAGGTTTTTTTTGAAAAGTTCATAGCTTTAAGGATTGCTAACGGTTTCCTAGATTCCTAGATTCTCAAAAACGTTGTAACTTTCTTGACCTCCTCAAGCACCTCTTCTCTTCCTGATTCTGACCCCCCACCACCAACTGTTGCTCTTCTGCGAGAGACCCCAAAGATCTGACTAACTCGGCACACGTGACACACTTTGTTATCACCACCTTTCGTCCACACATTTGCTCGATTTTGATTCGATTCGATTCGCAGCAGCAGCAGTTGGTTTGTGCAGAGTTCAGCAGAAATATCGTGCGAGGTGTTAGGGGTTTTGGAAACATTTTCACTTTAGATTATTATAGGCGCACCGCACTCGTGGCCGAGTTTGAAAAGTTAGGCCACATTTTCAGTGGAAAGAAATTCGGCCAGTAGCTTTTCTTTCATTCCTCAACTAGGCTTTCTGATCTAGCAAGATCTTAATGACGATCTGCGGTTCCTAGTTGTTCAGAGATGGTTCCACGTCTACCCCCAGTTCACGTTGGCAAACAATAACCGTTTTTGTCTCGTCCGGCCGGCCGACCGACCGACCGAAAAACTGTTGATCATGTCGGTTTCGTCCTCCACCACCATCGGTCGATCGGAGGGGCAACGTGTTTGTGGCGTGTGCGTATCAGAGATTTTGATGATACGTACGTACAACCACACTCTTCTCTATCTTTTTGCCTCCTCGCCTACTGCTGTCGGTCGGTCGGTCGGTGACTGCCCCCCTCGTGACACTTTTCTGTCTTTGATAATCGAACATTCGACGACGCATGACCCTTCTATGTGTTGTGTTGTCATCGTCAAGCATCTTTTTTTTGTGTTTCAGTAAAAACGGCCGGCGCTTCCGCCAGTCAATGTCGACGGCAGCGTTCCAGAAAATGCCCACATTCACATCGGTGATCAGTGTGCCGAGCATCGCGTCCGTCGCTCCACAATTGCCACATGTCAAGCAGGAAAAGGGTGAGCTTTTTTGCTTTGCGTTGCCTACACTTGTGCGCTATCAACTAGATATCGATGTTTCCAGGCGTCATCGGAGAATGTCTCATTTGCGGAGAGCCGTCGACCGGCAAGCACTACGGAATCGTCGCGTGTCTCGGGTGCAAAACGTTTTTTCGCAGGTGAGCACTTGCTCGGGTCTCGCCACGAAATTTGCGAGTTACAGGGCAGTGGTGCAGCGGCAGGATACGTCGTGTAAGCGCGAACGAGCGTGCGATGTGACGACGATGGCGCGGAAGGCGTGCCGCGCGTGTCGCTATCGAAAGTGTTTGGAGAGCGGCATGAGCAAAGAAGGTACGGCCGGTGTTTTTTTGCGGAAAAGCGCAACTTTGTTGCAGCCCTCCAACCGCGTCGCGATCTCATCGGTTGCCGACGAATTCGCTCTCGACCCAGTTGCTCCAACTCGACGCCCACACCGCCTAGGCCTCATATCGAGGACAAATCGCAGTACCTCGCACTTCTCGACAACTTGACTACTATCGATGAGAGGTTACGGTAGGGTTTTGTGCAAGGGCACGAACCAATGACTGTGTTTGTAGGAGCAAAAAGTTGGAGGTGGTCGGATCACGGCAAGCGGCGATCGATTTGTCGAAACAAGCCAAGCAGGGATGTTCTAGTGTGAGTTTTTAGAAGTTTTTTTAGAAAAACAAAAATTCTAGTGTGAGTTTTTAGAAAAAAATAAACTTAAAAAAACATTTTTTTAGAAAAAAATTCTAGTGTGAGTTTTTAGAAATGTTCTAGTGTGCGTTTTTTTAGAAAAAAATATAAAAAAATAAAAAAATATTAAAAAAATTCTAGTGTGAGTTTTTTTAGAACAAAAAAATAAAAAAATAAAAATAAAAATTTTTAGAAAAAATTCTAGTGTGAGTTTTTTTAGAGATGTTCTAGTGTGAGTTTTTAGAAAAAAATTCTAGTGTGATTTTTTTAGAGTTTTTTTAGAAAAATTTAGTCAGGCCTATTTAGCAGATTCTGAGGACATTCGGTACTGTTCTGATTCTCGTCTAGTACAGAGTTTGTTAGTGAGTTACCTCCTTTTCCAGATATCCGACACTTCTGGCGCTTCCACTTCACGATACGTGCCCGGCGGAACACCGCCGGGAAGCGATCACAAAATGATGGTAATGCTCGGAACGGACATCTCGGTGGCCACACAAACCGAGCTCCTAATGATGCTCGAGTGGACGCGAACGTTGCCAGTCTTTGCGAATCTTCCAGTCTCCGACAAAGGCGTCATCCTCAAACGATTCGCCGTGCATTGTCTGATTCTGGAGCATGGGTACTACACGGCCGCCGCCAATATCGACGATGTCTGGCTCATCACGAATGGCACTTGTATGCCGCGAAATGTGGAGAAACTCGAGGAGGGCAGTCGGATTTCGGTGTCGGCCGATCGGCGATGGCGGCAGGAGAAGCTCTACAAACAGATGACCGATTGTTGTATCGATGAGGTGGCGACGCCGTTGCGCAATTTGAAGATGAGTCCGCAGGAGATGGTCGTCATCAAGATTATTGTGCTTTTCAATTGTGGATGCTCTTCCGGTGAGTGCAATTCGAAAAAGAGACACATAATTGTGTCCATAAAAACAAGTGTTCTAATTGCAGACTATTCGGAAATCTCCGAATCGTCTCGTCGTGTCGTGCTCACGTTCCGCAACAAAGTCATCTCCGCCCTGTTCGCCTACTACGACAGTATCGGCCAGCCGAACTACGCGGAACGCTTCGGCAATCTCGTCCTCATGTTGTCGGGCGTCTCTTCTGCGGCCGCCGCCATGCTCGAAGCCTATCAGGTGAGCCGAGCCTGTAAATCAGTCAAAGTGTTTGTGTTTTTGCAGGTGATGCGTCTCTTCAAAATCACTCCATTCGATCCGTTGTCGCAAGAGTTGCTGTTCAACATTTGACTCCTTTTCTAACCACCTTCGCCCCAGTGTAAATACCATTCAAAACCGGCTCAAATCTTGCTCAATTCCTTTCCCCCTGAAAATGACACGACTACCTCGCCGTCCTCGAATTCCTTCGCAAACACTTTGCTCCTTCTTTCCCTCCCCCTATGTATCACTTGTTGCTCGCCTCGATTACGGGTTTTTTGAATGATGAAGTGACCGATATGAATTAATTCAGTCTGGGCAAAATTTGCGTATTCTAGACAAGGATTGAGCGCACTTTTTTCGGCCATAAATAGGCGGAAATCGATCAGAAATGAATGTACACGACTTAACCTAAATGCCCATCCAATTTCTAGCTAACAGATCCTTCGCTGTAAAGGTCCACAATCGGTTGACTTCCTCCAGATTAACCCAAGGCACCGTACTATCTCCCGTTCTGTTCGGAATTCCTGTTGGAGTCAAATGCAAGCGCCTTTCGGATTGATGCTGAAAATTAGCGTAAAGTTCAATCGAAACTCTTCTTTCGTTTGCGAGAGGAATGAAAAAGCAAGAGATACGAGGAGATTCGGTTCATCCTCCGCCTACGCCGGCCTTCTCGCACTTCTCCACCGCCGCGTCGTACTCTTTCGAGAACTTTGCGAATTCGTCCTTTGGCACCGCGTACTTTTTTAGCATCAAGTACTCGAGAATGCATCGATGAACGTAGAGATACTGCATTTCCGTCTGAATCGATTTGAATCGTTCCTCGCGGAGTTTGGTGAGAAGGCGAGGAACTCCAATGAAGTCGGCGAGGCGGAGAGACTGCAACTTGGGTTAAATGAACCGTCTCCAATGGACACACTCACTTCCAGAATGATCAGAATGAGCACCAGTGTGCCCGTTCTTCCGACCCCCGCCGAACAATGGACCACAATCGGCTTCGCACTGTTCTTGAAAGTGCTGAGCAGACGGAACGGCGTCAGGAAGTTGTCGGGCACTCCGTGATCGGGCCAGTTGCGCCAATGGATGTGCTTCACGGCCATCGCCACCGCCGAATCTCCGTACTTTGAGATGCGCATCGTTGACATTTGCAGGTTTTTGTCAAGCTGAAATCATTTAACTCTTCCCACTTTACACCCCCACAAGACTCTTACGTCAACGCTCGACTCCTTGGTGATGGTGCACAGTCTCCCGATCTTCATGCAGTCGCCCAATTTGATCGGAAAGTACTCCGCACTCTTGGGCTTTCCCTTCTCGACGAGCTCACAGAGCATCACAATGTACTCGAGACCCTGAATTGAAACAGTGAGAAGAAATGGAGAATGTCTGGCCGTACGGAGACAATGACCATTTTCCAGAACTCCTCGATGGTCCCGACAAGAGGCGCTTGCGTACAAACGAAGCGACGCGGGTTCGGACCCGAACTGACGAGGTTCGCGTGCAAGTAGAAGTGCGGGTCGTCGGGCAACTTCACTCTCGTCGTATCGCAACACGGAATGTTGTTGTAGCGGTTTCGTGTTGGATTGTCACCGAACGCTACAGCTCTGTCCATCGGCGCGTCGTTTGCGGAATCGCGGTACTCTTTTTTCAGGCCCTCCACTCCGTTCGCCAGAACCAGACGGATCCACAGGTTGATGGCTTCCGCTTTTTTTCTAAACAAGCGCATTGGAAATCTTCCAGGATTGACGGATTCCTCACCTCTTTTCAGACGCTTCACCGCCATCCATCGACACTTCGTCCTTCTCTCTACTCTGCCTCTCTTTCTTGACCGGAACACCCAATGATTCTGCAGGAGGCATCGGCGGCGGATTCGTCACTGCCGCCATCTGTGCCACTTGAGCAGGAGCGGATCCTGGAATCTGGCCGTACTGTGCCGTCGGATTCGGTTGCGGGAGCATTGGCTGTTGTTGGGACAGGCGGAGGCGGAAGCATCATCGTCTTCATCAGCTCCTTCGGCTTCTGCACTTGTCCACTCTGCATTTGCGACGGACCAGCGAGTGAGCGCTTTTGGTTGGCGGGCGGAAGATCGGGGGCGTCCAGCTCGATCGATTGCATGACACTCGCATCCTTTTTGGTCTTGAGAAGGGTGTTGTCGGGCGAAGCGACCAGATTCTGTAGAATGCGATCTTTGCAAGAGTCTAGAGTCTCTCCTTTCATTTACCGTCTGACTCGGGCGCTTTCTGGCCGTCCCTGGTCTTTTTTTCGCATTCGGACTTGGACTCGCTCCTGCAACAGTTGATATTTGAAGATTATGGCAGTCTTCGAGACTTACTTTTAGTTTTCGGTGGCATTTGTATGCTCGGAAAGAGTTGTGATGGGAATGACGAAAGAAACGTCGAGAATGATCATGGCCGTGTCCGGGAAAGGTTACAATAACGTGACAACTTCTTTTTTTACCTTTATTTCGTTCTTCTCCGGCCTTTTCTCCTTGGCAATTTATTCCTATTTTCAGTGCGGCGAGAGAGTGAGAGAGTGCAAGACGGTTAGAGGGCGCCACACCTGACGACAATTTGCGTACTGAAACTTTTCCCTCGAAAATTGTCGTCCCCGGCTGCCAATCGGCGCCCAAAACAGCCGAGCAAGGAGGTGAGTTCCCTCCTCCTCCAGCTCCAAAACAACTATTCATTCTTTTGCAGAGAGAAAAAGGCGGCACCGATTTGGCCTTGACGCGCTTTTCACGCAAACATCGGAAGCGTCTGCCCCTCCTCGATGAACTGCTCGCTCTGAAGCCGAAGAGAGGGCAGAAGAGGCGAGGAAGGGAATGCACCGGGAACCGCCAGCGCAGCTCCTCGGCGTTGTCCACGATCTCGGACGGAGGTGACGCGTCGCCGTGCAAGTACGATTTCAATCCAGTAACTTTTATTTCCACAAAATCTCATTTCAGAAAATCTCCACGAACTTTAAATGCGACGTGTGTGAAAGGCCGGTGGAAGAGAAAGCGCTAGCGGGATTCTGCTCAGGACCATCTCGCCGCCAACGAGGACGGCGTGAGTGGATCGGCGGACGGAAGCGTCAAAATCTGGAAGACGCGCCACGGCGCGGCTTTTGCGACATACGCAGCCAATTGGTCTGCATTTTTGCGCGCCGGTGTTGTTCTGCGTACAGTGCATTTTATGTTACGCGCAAAGTTAATTTTTACAGTTGTGGATGAATTCGTTTCAAAAATTCACCCTTTTAAAGTGTTTATCTCTATTTTTTGTTTCTTTCTAGCTCAATTCGACCTTTTTACAGATTCCAAATCAAAAAATAGCCAAGGGAAACTCGAAGTGGTGAAGAGAAACGCGTAAATCAGGGAAAGTATGGTTTTATTTAGAAAATGCACGATTTCTCAAAAAACGTCTCTAGATGTTCTCATTTTTTGGTTTAAAAAGTTCACTGACATCACTAATAACGTTTTCTAACCAAAAAGAAATAGCGTGACAGGTTGTTTTTGCGGAAACAACCGATCGTTTGCCGGAAAACAGTGACATTTCGTTGTAAAAAAAGATTTCTCAAAAACCGTCTCTAGATGTTCTCATTTTTTGGTTTAAAAAGTTCACTCACATCACTAATAAAGTTTTCTAACCAAAAAGAAATAGCGTGACAGGTTGTTTTCGCGGAAAATCGACGATTTGCAGAAACATTGGCACCTTTTTTCCGACAAAAATGAATTTCTACAAAAAAAGGTCACCGCTTCTCGACTGAATCAAAAATGAACAAAAATTGAACAAAAACGAGCAAGTGAGGAAAACCATCGAAAAACGAGGTTGTTCAGTTGTGCTTGTTGATCCTTGTGTGCCCGCGAGTTTTCTCACTGAAATTTGTTCAGATGAAAAATGTAAAAAATGAAACAAACTCACTATTTCATCGCTTTCAATAGACAGAAGATTTGAACAAAGTAGTTCTTGGGCCACATGCAGCCATCGTTCTTTTTTACTTCTGAACGATGACAGTCTCCTCTCGAGGCGATTGAACTGTGCGTGCTTCGCCTCAATTCCTTGTTCATTGATTTTGCCCAGCGTTTTCTGTTGCTCAGAAACGCCAGGCACGTGGAAGAGCAGTATGTGCAGTTTTTGGGTCACACTTTCTTCTGGGAACGATTCCGCCAGATTGAATGCGAAGTTCCACGCGTTTTCTCGGATTGCTCGAAGATCAGTTTGGTTGAGAAGGCGATTTCCAGACAACGACATGAGCACTCCCAAGTTTTCCATAGATTTTCTCAAAGTTTCCAATTTGGATGTCATTCGACCGTCGAATACCGCGAACGTGGCCTCAATTCCGTTGGCGGTCAGAATTCGGCGTACTTGGTTTCCGTTGAAGGATTGGAAGAAGGCGCGGCGAGATGCTCCAAGGCGTTCCCAATTGAATTCTAATTGTCTGAGAAGTCCGTTTGTTGCGCCGTTCACGATGTTGTCAAATTTATCCTTTTCTTTCTTCAGATTATCCAACCTCAACCGGAATTCCTTCTTCTTTCCGTCAGGCGCTTCTTTCCAGGCTTGGTGGGCCTTCGTGATCTTCTCATTCGCAGCTTTCAACGTGTTTTTCCGATCATTCACAACGGCAAACTCCGTCGTATTATCCGCCGTAACTGCGAAAATCCAGAGATATCGAAGAATGTAACGGTCGAAAAGACCGAGAAACATATGGAGCATTCCGGGCAAGTAGTTGATAAGAAGGACCGACATCAGAAGGGGTCCGAGTCCTTTTTTCACACCTTTCTCTCCACTCTTACTGTACTTCATGTACGTAGACAACGTACGCATCGTGCTTCTATCAGCAGGTCTCAGTTTTCCAATAGTTTGCTTCGAATTCCTCGGATTCTCGGATTCACAGAAGCTGCAGAAATATCTCGCGGATTGCTTCATGTGACTCAGCATCTCCGAAATAAACTTAAAATCTCCTGTTACTAGTTGGCGAACTGGACGAGTCTTCTCAACTCCATTTTCGGTGTACGTGATCTTGTTCAATCGATTTATTTGTTCAAATAGCGGTTTCAAAATCAGCTGCATATTTTCATAGGTGTCCGCGCCATCATACACCGCGACGGTCAAGATGTGATCCGTATTGTTCGGGTGAGCCAGGTTTCCGAAAATTACGCAGAACTTTGTTGTTCCTCCGCCGCAATCGCCTCCCAATCCGAGAACAATGTTTTCACCAGAATATTCGTCAAAAATGAGCTGTTTGTGCATTTTCTCAAGGAAATGACGGATGATTACGAAAATATTGTTGCACAAGATCGCATCCACTTCTTCTCCATCAGAATTGACCACCGTGCGAGCTGAAAACAATAATTTCAAGATAGAAAAGATGGATAGTCAATGTGATCACCTTGAAAATGCTGGATAAGCGACTGACTTCTCGCCACCTTCCGGATTTCTTTAACATTGGGGAAAAAGTCCAAGCCTATCGTACTTTTTAACACTTTCTTCATCGTTTCGATCTGGCGGAAGCTTATCGACGTGCAGGTTTTCAGATGAATGCTTTGTGCGACAGTCAGTTTGAGTTTGAAGGACTGATGAGAACACGTTTCGGTGAATTTCAGGATGTCCACGAGAAACAAATTAATGTCCTTTTCCTTGGCGATTTCTTGGAGGCACTTCAGAGCCAGTTTAGTTCGGTTAAACTTGGAAGCCGTGTTGCGAATTTCACTGTAACATTTCCGCGCACGTAGCGGATGTCCGGACCACTTCAATTTCGTTGACTTTACGTGTCCCGCTTTGCCGACTGTGCGCCTCCAGTTCCGATGAATACTATCTTTTTCGGCGGAAACTTTCGATATATTCCTCCGTATGGATTCGTTGTCGTGTTCTATTCTTGTCACTCGCAGACGTATTTCAATGTTTTCATTTTTTATCATTTCCATTTCTACCGAGAAAACCTCGAGTTCGTCAGTTTTTTGAGTTAGTTCTCGGACAACGTCCGTGTACGACGGGCTGATTCCACATGTATTCCCGTTTTGTTTCCCATGATGTTCGCGCGCATCATCCATCACGATTGAGAATGGCGAGTGATCAGCGTCTGTGTGTGGTCCATCAGTATCGACCAATCTTCTCTGAACAGTATTTTTCAGAAAAAATGGACATCTGATTAATTACCTTCCAGCATTGTGGAAAAGAATCGACGGCGAACGGCGGTTTTCTGCGGTCACGGGGCCGAATCCTTCGATCATCCAGATTAGTCCGCTTCTCGTTCCATTTTCTCTGAAATATTAATTTACAGCACACAAGTCGCTAAACTATCTGCACCTTCGTGGCAAATGGAGCGCAATTGACGACGAACGGCCTTTTTCCACGTGTATCACTTTTTCCTCGACAAGCTGACAATAGTTTGAGCCTTCCGTCTTCTTGCGTCCACGAATCGTTGACAATTAGTGAAGAAGACTGCTAAATTATCTCTCAAAAGTTATGTCTATAGGGGCACCGGATAGAAAGAGCGCGCTGTTCGCAACCTGGCCGAATGTAATTGTAACCGCGAAGTAATTTTCTCACTGAAAACGTGGCGTAACTTTTCAAACACGGCCCGAGGTCGCTCAATTTGCACTGCAAAAAGACTTTCTCAACAGAGCGCCATTTCTGTGCGGTGCCCCTATAATAGTAGCTGCTTACTTACCGACTCCGAATTCATGTTCTCATTGTCACCATTCACACTCGACACGTCCGTCGTGCTGTGATCCACGTTCGACATTTCTTCGCCATTTCTAATTTGTCTCTTTTTCAGATTGTCTCGACTGGCAATTCCGCTTCGTCTTTTGTACGGCATTTCTTAATGTTATCTTTCTTTTTCGAACAATCTATGAAAATCTCGCAATGTTTCGGGAAAACGTCGATTTTTCGCGAAAACAACCTGTCACGCTATTTCTTTTTGGTTAGAAAACGTTATTAGTGATGTGAGTGAACTTTTTAAACCAAAAAATGAGAACATCTAGAGGCGGTTTTTGAGAAATCTTTTTTTACAACGAAATTTCACTGTTTTCCGGCAAACGATCGGTTGTTTCCGCAAAAACAACCTGTCACGCTATTTCTTTTTGGTTAGAAAACGTTATTAGTGATGTGAGTGAACTTTTTAAACCAAAAAATGAGAACATCTAGAGGCGGTTTTTGAGAAATCTTTTTTTACAACGAAATTTCACTGTTTTCCGGCAAACGATCGGTTGTTTCCGCAAAAACAACCTGTCACGCTATTTCTTTTTGGTTAGAAAACGTTATTAGTGATGTGAGTGAACTTTTTAAACCAAAAAATGAGAACATCTAGAGACGGTTTTTGAGAAATCTTTTTTTACAACGAAATTTCACTGTTTTCCGGCAAACGATCGGTTGATTCCGCAAAAACAACCTGTCACGCTATTTCTTTTTGGTTAGAAAACGTTATTAGTGATGTCAGTGAACTTTTTAAACCAAAAAATGAGAACATCTAGAGACGGTTTTTGAGAAATCTTTTTTTACAACGAAATTTCACTGTTTTCCGGCAAACGATCGGTTGTTTCCGCAAAAACAACCTGTCACGCTATTTCTTTTTGGTTAGAAAACGTTATTAGTGATGTCAGTGAACTTTTTAAACCAAAAAATGAGAACATCTAGAGACGGTTTTTGAGAAATCTTTTTTTACAACGAAATTTCACTGTTTTCCGGCAAACGATCGGTTGTTGCCGCAAAAACAACCTGTCACGCTATTTCTTTTTGGTTAGAAAACGTTATTAGTGATGTCAGTGAACTTTTTAAACCAAAAAATGAGAACATCTAGAGACGGTTTTTGAGAAATCGTGCATTTTCTGAATAAAACCTTACTTTAACTGATTCACGTGTTTCTCTTCTTCACTTCGAGTTTCCCTTAGCTATTTTTTGCTTTCGAATCTGTAAAAAGGTCTAATTGAGGTAGAAAGTAGAGAAAAACGCTTTAAAGAGATAAATATTTAGAGAAAATTGATCAACAACTAAAAAAAAATTAACTTTGCGCGTAACATAAAATGCACTGTACGCAGAGCAACACCGGCGTGCCAAAATGCACAGACTGAGGATCAAACGTTTGGTGAACGTCGCAAAAGCCGCGCCGTGGCGCGCTCGATTCTCGGCGAAGGATACGGCTCGGCGCGTTCGGAACGTGGGCGGCGGCGTGGCGCGAAGTGTCATGAACACGGACGCGAAGGAGAACCGGAAGGTGGTCCCGCTTGACGCAAGGGTATATTTTTCTCTGTTTTTGGTCCCTTGTCTAACGGTCCCCTGTCTTGCAGCCATCTACGTACCACTGTACCCCAATCACGGACATGATGCTGCTCACTCCCGATCTCCTCGTCTCTTCCGGATACGATGGCGTCATCAAAATTTGGAAATAATGTATTTGCCCCCCTCCCTTTCTTAGAGCGAACAAAATTAATTTGTTCGCGCAAAAATTTACATGTTTGTTACAAATGAGTTTCCCCTTGCCCTTCTCGCCCTTTATGACAAATGATTTGTTTGGCGGGCGCCGCTTGAGGAAAAGTGAAAATCCCTGGGGGTGTTCTGTTCAGTTTCCTCCTTAAAAACTGAAAAAGCCCATTGATATTTTGAAGCTGAAGCTACAGCAGCCCCTTGACCAGAGGAAACATTTAAATGACGGAGAGCAGAAGGTGTATAATATACAGATTTTCCTTCTTTTCTTCTCCAATATCTTTATGCGAGACGCCGTTGATTAATGGAGCCGCCTTGAGAAGAGAGGTGTCCCGTTTCGACCCCTTAAGGGTTGTAAAAGCACCACAGGGGGGGGGGTTGGTTGGTCGATGCACCATGTGGGGGAAACAAACAGTTTTCGCATTTGAAAATGACAGGGAAGCGGTAAAAGTCAAAGAAGTGAAATAAAAGGCGAGAAAGGTGCGTGCGCTTGTTGCAACGCGCTACCTCTCGATTCTATTTGCATGCAAATTTTATTTCCCATCATAGACGTTGGTTGGGTGTCGGAGAAGTGAACGAGGTTGTTGGCCGATGCACCATGTCTTTTGCCCAAACCGTTCATCTCATTCAACCCAATTCCATCGAATTCCTGATCAGTTTCGATTCAATTTCAATAAAACCGACACCGAAACTGCAGCCCAATCATAATTTACGACCGTCCAGACACCGCCCCCCTCCAGAAGCTCCTCTAATCCCATCTGTCCAATTCCTTTTATGACACCTCTGGGAGACGGACACAAGCTCACGCCCTTATTAGAAGAACCATGGGGTTCTCATGCACACACACACACACCTTTATGACTCATTCGTCCATGGTCCCAATTGTATGCGCTCTTCTATGTATGTCCTATTAAAAGAAGGAGAAGAAGAAGAAGAAGAAGACAATAGTTGTGGAGAAATATGTATTATTACTTTTTTGTTCTGTCGATGCACCATAGAACCATGTCTTGAGGTCTTGAAGTTGTTTGGAAAAGTTTAGTTTTAACATAGAAACGTCAAGCCGCTGTCAGCTGAATTCCTACAAGTCTCAAAATTTTTTTAGGACTCCTTGATATCCAGTACTTCAATTTTGTACCAGATCACTTGTTTCTATGACCACTTTGAAGCAGACTTGCCAAATCCCGGGCCGGGCCAGCAAATCGTCGGCCCGGAAGTTAGACCTCAAAAAAAATATGCAAAAAAAATATGAAGGAAGAGGAAAACGCGTGCGGCAAAATTGCTAAAATGGCGTGCCAGAGTTGCAATCAATCGCTCCGCCCACTCTTGAGAAAATTTTCGTAATTTTTGTGAAAATTTTGCGACTTTAAACAGCAATTTCTATTTTTTAACAGGTTTTTATGCTATAACATTGCCTTTTTCGTCTTTTTTTCTATTTCTGCTGGTTTTTACAATGAATCTTCGAAATTGAGTTCGCTTTGAATTTTTAGGTGCATCCTCCCGGGCCGACCGGGCCGGCCCGGCCCGGCCCGTTGCAAGTCTGCTTTGAAGCCTACTGTAGCTCTTGGAAGTTAGGACCGGATGTCTATTAATTTCACAAACTTCGAAGCGCTACAGTAGGCTCCAGACTGGTCATAGAAAAAAGTGAGCAACTGGAAAAATGTTGTGCTAGACGTCAAGATTTCACCCAAAAAATTGCCAAAGTTTGTCAAGTTTTCGCGTTGTGTTGTCAACAACTAGGGCCCCGCCCACCTACCGTAGTCCCATCTTTCATTTGTCATTTCATTCACGACACGCTTGCTTCGTTTAACACAAACACCCTTTCCCATGACTTTGCCTCTTCTCCTCTTCTCCTCTTTTCCCTTCTTACCCCCCTTCCTCGCTCACTTTGCCTCCTCAAAACGTGGGTGGGGGAGGGGAACTTCTGTTAAGTGCCACGTGTCATAAATATCATTATGACTGGGTGTTGCGCGACAGACACACCTCTAAACGTGTTTTTTATAGATTCCTAGAGCAGCTGCCACGTGTCATAATCGTAGAAAATTGTGGAAAGTGTTCGAGATGACGTGGCATCGAGAACCGATGAGCATGAGTCATAGAGACGCAAAAATGATATTGTACATGTGTTTACCCCCCCACACAACTTTCACTTGAGCTATTCACACTATTCTAAACGTTTTTATCGATAGTTTGCTAGTTAGACATTTCGTTAGAAATAGTCCAACTTTGAACGTTGCCCACAGAATCAGAAGACGTCCTCGGATTCTGAAAATTTTTGGGTCAAATCTTGACGTCTAGTACAACATTTTTCCTGTTGAAAACTTTTTTCGAAAACCACTCCGAAGCCTACTGTAGCGCTTGGAAGTTAGCGCTTAAGCCTAACTTCAAAGCGCTACAATAGGCTTCTAAGTGATCATAGAAAAAAGTGCTCAACTGGTAAAGTGTAGTACTAGACGTCAATATTCTGCTCAAAAATTTTCTGTGCTACAGTACCCTTTTAAAGGTAGTCTAGCCGCTACTGTACTTATTTTTCCGTTAAAACTGAATTTTCCCAAACATGATTGCCTGGTGCATCGATTAAAGTGCCTAGGAAATTGGTTGTAGTGCCCACAAGTGCCCTCCCCCACTTTCCCCTTCCTTCTTAAGAGAGATCTTGATCCGTGTGAGTAGTCGCTCCTCGATCCAATTAGCAGGTGTCCTTTGACACCTGAACGTGATCGATGGGACTCTCCTTTGATTGTGGCCGCCCCCCCCCACGCGGAGGGACACTCAAAAATATTCGAAAGCGCAACACATTTGATGAATTGCCAAAGAGGACCGAGTGTTTTGATAGAAGACCTCCCCCCCCACAGATTGATTTACGGGCACACACTTTTGTTGGAAAAGAGGAGAGAAGGAAGGCGGCTAATTGTCGATTGGGTCGACCGACGCTAAGATTAACATTTGAATTCACAATTTACATTTCATCACATCACATTACATTTATCCGCTCTCAAGTGTTCCACCTCGACAAGTTGAGGTAGAAGTGACCTTGCATTTCTATTTCTATTCCCAATCTAATTCCATTTTTTTGCTTTGGCCTTACAATTAGTCACGCAAACACAGAATTCAGCTTATCACTCTTTTTTCAAAATGTTTGCGCTTAACTTTAGACCATTTTTGTCAAAGTTTGATGGTAATCCAATGCACAAAGTCGACAATTGAATTTTAGCGTTTCCTATGTACAGTTCTTGTCAAGACGATCATTTTGATACCAAAAAACCTAAGCATTTGGAAGCGATTTTCTAAAATTTGGCCTGGCAAGACGTTGCTTCATCAAATCTTATAGTTTTTTAAAGTTTAAGACTCTTTCTTGAGGAGAAGAGTCTCCGGGACATTTCCGTTTCCTTTAACCTGACCATTTTGACTCAAAGTTGTCAATAAGTGTTGATATTATCAAAAGTAACGTTTTTTTATACGATCAAATGGTATACATACAGTAGGAGTAGAGTTGATGAATGTTTATGACCCAATTAGTTGAGTCACAATATCAAGATGACCGACAGTAGCGAATAGATATTTGAGTTGATGCTCAAACAATTCTTTTCCAAAACTCTTCGCCCTTCGACCTCACGAAACATCACGTCTACAACACAGGTGTTTCTAATGTCCCCCTGTCCTAGGCTCCGCCCACTTCCTGATTGGCCGCTTGCTCTCCTCGTTCTCCCCTCACTTTTCCCCTTGCTTCTCTTCTTCGGCCGTCGTTTCCCGCTTTTTCCATAAAAGCTTACAATTTTATGACATTTAAATCGATAAAAACTTTTCAGAGTTTATATATGGCCGCCACCGCCTCACCGCTGATAGCCACGGAATCGGCGATTCTCTCGATGACCGAAATTCATAAAGTCGCCAATGCCAGGTTGGCTTCTTTTCTTTTTTTGTTGAGGTTTTCAGTGTTTACACGCGCTTTTTGATATTGCTCATTTGAGCCAATAAGGCTTGATTATAACCCTAGAACCATATCAAAGTTTTCATAGTATTTAGCAGTGTTGAGCGGAATTCCGTCTTCCGGGAAAAACATTTTCTTCCGTCTTCCGTCTTCCGTCTTCCGGATTTCAAAATTCTATTTCCGCTCAACTCTGGTATTTAGACACTTGAAATGTGTGTAGAACAATTTTTGTATCTTTTTTAGAAAATTTTTTCATTAAATGTGATCAACTGACGAAATGTAGAGCAAAGTGAACTGTGCTCATAGAAAAATAATTGTGAATTTAGCTTTTCATACAAAAAAGCTATTCGAGTTGTTCTGTTAGCCGCCTTTTTTCACGCAACAACTCGAATAACTTTTTTGTATGAAACGCTAAATTCACAATTATTTTTCTATGAGCACACTTCACTTTTCTATACATTTCGTCAGTTGATTACATTTCATGCAAAAATTTTCTAAAAAAGATATAAAAATTCTTCCGTGTTCTTCTTCCGCTCAACGTGTTCTTGTTCTTCTTCCGCGGCCATCTTGAGACAATCTTCGAAAAAAAGTTGACCCTACAATAGTTTTGCCTCAAAGCACCTTTAGGCTTTCATGAAACCGTAGGGATCTTGGGCTGGGGAGATCTGTCCAACTTTGACCTCTGTTTCCCACTTCCCTTCTACATAAACATCATATTTCACTATTCCAAAAGTGTGTCGGCACGAGTTCAAAGCGAGTTGGCGCCTTTCCGCCATACACGGAAATGGATACGTCCTTTGTGCTAATTGGATTTACGTGTTGCGATCGAGGTGCGACCTCTTGCGTCACACACAACTGCTACAGTATGCTCGTGGGATTAGGAGGGGAGGCACCGAAAGTGTACTTGAGAGGCGATGAGCACCCCATCTTTCATACCGTTTCCGGTCGACGACGCTCAGCTACAGTAATCCCGCTAATATTTGCTCCCATTATTTCTCCTTTTTGTGGCCAATGGCCATGTTTGTCACCCCTGATTAAAAGCAGCATGTCTCCCCTTCCAATTCCATCCAGCCGTGACTTTATGACCCCCACGCATCTTTGTGTTTGGCTGATGTCCTCGTCAATGAATTTTCATCCTATTTTGCCCGCGTTGGGGGATCTGGCGAGTATGAGAAAATCGGGAAAAATGAACGGTTTACTGTGGGAAAATCGAGTACGGGGGTCTTTGGAAGGCGTCTAACTCGGAAACTAGAAAAGATGGAGAAATAGTGTAAGAGACAAAATTGATCAGCATGAAATTCTCTATCAAATGGTTATAATCATGTCCAGGTTTTATCAAATCCAAATTCTCAATTTAAGGACCAAAGTCGACGACTACTTCGCGCGTAGGAACGAGCTTTTGGAGGAGATTGGCGAGCTTGAGAACACTGAACGGTACTTTTACCCAAAAAAACCGACAATATTTGATTTCCCTGATCATGTTCCGTTCAGATTCATCAAAGAAACCGCGAAAACGATCGACGAGTTGAACCAGGAGAAGGAGGAGCATTCGGAGATTATTCAGCTCATCAATAAAGTAACTAAATCAGAAAAATATATTATATGACCCGGATTTCAGGACAAAGGAGTTTTGGAGCGTGAAATCGCCGAAGCCGAGTCGGAGAAGAAGGAGCGAGAGGCGAAGATTCAGAAAAAGTACGAAATGCTCTTGAAGCTCATGGAGCAGACGAACGAGCGGCTCAAAGAGTCCGGCATTGACGTGGCACTCAGTCAGGAGGATTTGCCACAGACGAACATCAAAATGTGAGTCAGATGAGTACGGTAGCGGCTAGACTACCTTTAACAGGGTACTGTAGCGTTTGGCAGGTGTAGTGCGGTTCTGAAAAGTTTTGAGTAGAATTTTGACGACTAGTACTACACTTTTCCAGTTGACCACTTTTTTCTATGAGCACTTAGAAGCCTACTGTAGCGCTGGAAAGTTAGGCTTAAGCGCTAACTTCCAAGCGCTACAGTAGGCTTCGGAGTGCCTGTAGAAAAAAACGATTAACTACAAAAATGAACCTCTAGATGTCTAGATTTCATCTAAACAGTTTTTAGAGTCATAGAACATCTCTAAAACCTGAAATACGCCCTCAAACATGATGTACTTTCAGAGAGCCCTCAACCGCGAGCGCGACGCCGATTCTCACCGGAATGCCGACGCCGTTCGCCAATTTCAACCTGTCGAAACTGTTTCAGCAGCCGCCGAACAACTGTTTCCAGTTTCTCGAGCAGCTCGGCGGATTCGCGCCCACACCGCCGACACAATTCAGAGCGCCACCGCACATGGCCGCCGCGATGCAAAGTCATCAGTTGAGAGTGACGGATCATCAGTCACCGCCCATGAAGGTACCGTTCTTGTGCGCCTCCGCAAAAAGGCTGGGTGTCACTTTTTGCAGACGTGCCAATCGTGCTTCCAACAAATCCATCGAAACGCGCCAATCTGTCCGATGTGCAAGAGCAAAAGCCGCAGCAAGAATCCGAAAAAGCCGAAGAGAAAGGAGCCGTGATCAACTTTAAAATGTGTATTACTGTACCTATAATTGACATATTTATTGGTATTTTATATTGAGAAAGCTTCATTCATATGATCTCTTTCTCTTGTTTGTCCCGTCAATAATGTCGGCAAGAGAACGCAAAAAAGGAGAATAAAAACAAAAAATGTTTTGAGAAACGAGTTGGGCGGTACCCAGAGGTACGCTACAAACAAAGCCCCTTCCTCTTGTTTTCAGACTCTCCTTCGATGCTCCATTTTCTGAATTTTTCAAGAATTCAAGAAGATTCTAGGCCTAAAATCGTATTACAGTTGTATGATGTGTGGTCCCCTTAGGTTACAGTAGCAAAACTGACATTCTACTCGGTCCAGGGTTGCCTCAAAAGTTGAAATAGAGCTCAAAGAGGTTACCGGACATTCTACTAGAAATTGTATTACGGTAGTATACGGTGCGGTCCTCTAAGGTTCCCTGACATCTTGCTAGGCCCTAGATTGCACCCTATCTGACCTATTCAAGCTGAACTTATGAAAATGTCAATTGAGTTGAGACACCTCACGTATGAGTAGTCTTGAGAAAGTTTAAGGTTATACACCTTTAGCCTTACGTATGTGCTCCTAACCTAGCTGAACTTAACAAAATGTCAATACGAGCACGAGGAGGTGTGACTTTTTCATGTGCCTGACAGCCTGGTGCCAGCCAAATCTGGTTGTGAAATGGGTGTGTAAGTTGGAAACTGTTAGAGCTCGTAAATTCTAGAAAAACGCATAAATGTGTGGAGACTCCTCAAAGCTTTGAAGTATGAATATAATCCGGTTGCAAAGTGTCCGCGACTGACCTATATTTTAGCTTTTTCAATCCATCTCCAACTTTCCTATGCAGAGCCACATAAAATCCACTTCTTCTTGCTTTCGAATTTCTCGCCGACACACCCCGGTCCCCCCTCATTTCGTTGTCGGTCCGTTTCACCGTTATCACAGACTCGGACGCCGCGGCCTTCCTTCGCTCATTCGTATGCTAATAATGCTCTTTTGTGGAAAAGAGCATCGCCGACCGACGGATGTTTTATTGTCCTCCGATATATTTATGTATGCAAATCAACCTCCCACTTTATCACTTTTCTTCTTCAGTTTTGCTTGACGATAGCGTTTAAGAAACGTTATCTTTAGACACCTATATCTCAAGATGCGATAATTATTTTAAAAAGATGTCAACTAGAAAGTTGTTGCAAATTCAATTCTGAACAACTTTGTAGTTGACAATTTTGCCTCAAAACTCATAGTTTTCGAGTTATCGTCTAATTTCTAAGCAGTATCCAATCGGAGCCTACTTTTTTCATTAAGCTCTGGCCTACGTTTTTTGCACACAGCCCGAGCTTTTCAATTAGATTCACCAAATCAAAGACCAACGTTTTCACGTTTTCATCTTTCACATTTCTAAGCCGTACACCCTCCAAAAAAACGTCTGCCCTTGTCCTCATCATGATCATTTTCAAGTTTCCATCACCGTCGTCACCATCAAAGAAACGTCTTTCGGATTCTATGTAAATGAATCCGTCGTCACGTCGTCATGGCCCATCAACCGTTCCTTTTCTTCTTCTTCTTCTTCTTCTTCTTCTCCCTCTTCTTGTCTTTTTTCGTTTTCTTTCAAAAGTCCCTCGAACAAACTTGTCATTTTGTCATTTGCGCGTTCACCTGGAAGCTGTTCAGCTAGAGGAGACCTCTGGGAACATGGTCTACAGTTAAATTGTACAGTCTAAGCCTCTAGTAGGTTACAGTAACCAATCAAGGGTTTTTTTCTGTTTCAGTCCTCTGTCTATTGACATTTTGTGAAGTTCATCTGTGCTAGGTTAGACCCACTGAACACCTGCTATTCAAAACGGCATATCTCCGCTGCCAATAGAGATATCAAAATGTCGTCAACTAATAAATTACTCCTTGTAAAATTTTGCACATTTCATCAGTTGACACCTTTCCGATATCTCTACCGACAGCTGAGATATGCCGTCTTGAATCACAGTATGTACGGTATTTTCCAAAGTTTTCTGCATCGCTCGCTCCGAAGTTGCTTGTTTTAACAGTTTAAACAAACGACCGACGTGGTGGTGTGTCACACAAAAACCGTACGCCACTCTATCAAATTAAACATGCTTTCAGCGTTTCCCCCGTACCTCACATTGCGATGAGTCAAAGTGTGCGGGCGGGACAGCAGCGGCACACAAGAAGCTTGTTGTTTTTATTCGTCCGCTATTTCCTCTTTCGCGTTGTGACTCGTCTTTTGCAATAATACAATCACTTTGGTTTTTCGCCGCGGCCGCGCCTCACACTTTTTATCACTTCATTCCATTGCCCGTTTTCCAGCCGTATTCCAGCGATTTTCAGTGATTTTCAGCGATTTTCCAGTGAAATGGATCTCGACGTCTTCTCGACGAACGTCCAGAATATTGGCAAACTGCGGTGAGTTTGTGAAACGGGATTGAAGAAACAAACCAAAATTTGCGTTTAGGAGTGGCATCGACGAGTTTCACAAGTTGGCCGCCGAAATTCGAAAGGAGGAGCACGCGGTGCAGTCGCTCGAGAAGCACATTGCAAAGTGTGACGGAGTGCGGACGGAACTCGATCTGGAGCGTCGGAATCATGCGGAAGAGCTGCGGCAGATCAACCAGGACATCAACACGTTGGAGGACATCACGAAGAGCACGACGAACGAGTTGGAGAAGCGAAAGCGCAAGATTACGGTCACGCTCGCCGAGGTCGACGGGCTCCGCGAGTTTATCAACGGAAAACTCGCCGCGATGAACATTCTGCACAAATTGGAGCCGTCCGAGGAGGAGTTGAGGTATCAGAGGACGTCTGGAAGGTTCGTGCACACACTTTGGCAAGCGGTACTGTACTCCTAATGCTTTGGATTCAGACCAAATTCGTCTCAGGAGCTAATCTCTGCGGACGACCCCAGAATTCCGGCTTTTCTTCAGTGTTTTTTGCAAAACACGGGTTCTTCTCAGCCGGTGATGAACGTGGATGGCACGCCGAACTTGGTGAATCGCCACCGAATGCCTCCGAGCTTCGTCGCCGCCAGCAAGATGAAGGTACACACTTTTTCGCTGAAACTGGGCCAACGGGGTTCGCAAAACTTCGAATTTCCATGAAATTTTTGATGGAATGTGTTCCCCCACTCTATATGAGTACGCTCCCAATTTTTTTTTTCCAAAATTTTTGGTACATCCCGAGTTACACCTGTTCAAAGTTGCTGAGGAGGGGCGTGGCCTCGCTTGCAAGTTTGCCGCACGCGTTTTTTCTCATTATCTGGTCGACCAAACCAAAGAGTCAACATTTTAAATGAGCAGAAATGATGTTCTAAAAAAGCAAAGCCACTTTTGAGGTCAAAAGTTTCGAACCCGACACCTCAAAATAGCCGAGCGAGCACTCTGCCACTGCGCCACCCAGGCGGATGCGCGCTCACCGCCAATCGCGTTGAAAAGCTCGGTGTGCGCGGCCCCTAACAGGGGTGCAGTTAGTGCATTTTCGCGCTGAAATTCGAAACATATCGGACTGTAACTTTTTTCGGCGACGTGGAAAATTGTCATTCTAAACGGAATTTTGTCGAGAATTTCACGCAGAATCCGATTTCGTAAAAATTAGCCGTGTGAACGGTACCTGTGACCCTCAAATCCTCGAAAAACTAAAATTTCGTCTGAACAGGCGTTACTCAATCGAACACAAAAATGCTCCTAGGGTGTCTAGAGCTTTGAAAATTTATATTTGGGTTCTCAGAGAGTGTATCTATAGATTCCGAAAATAAAAAAAAAGGGTCATCGCTGGAAAATTTTCCGCTAACTTTTCTGGCAGTTTGAGGATCTGTAAAAAATTTCGGCAACGTGGAAATTTAAATCTGACTTCAAAAACGGATTCCCCATCCCTTAAACTATCGGAATCACTTGAAAATAGGCGTGTGATCCCATAAACTCGGGCCACACGGGCTCTCAGACTGAGTTCCATTTTCGTTTTCGCCGTTTTTTGGAAAAACGGTGCGTTTTCACGGGAATCTGAGTTGTTCATTGGATTCAGCATGGTCGATTACATAAAACAAAACTTTTTGGGTATGGTACTTCATTTGGGGACCTCGGTACAGACCGTCAAACACGCGCGCGCGAAAATCGGGAGAAAATTCGTCAGGCCACGCCCCCTAAAATTATAGTCATTTGATAGAGAATTTCATGCTGATCAATTTTGTCTCTTGCACTTTTTGTCTATCTTTTCTAGTTTTCGAGTTAGACGCCTTCAAACTTCCCGCCGAGCCTACAGTAATCCGTATCCACTTCCTTAAGATCTGCGAGAACTGCGGCGCCAACATCCATCGCAACGCGCCGACGTGTCCAATGTGCAAGATGAAGACGAGGAGCAAGAATCCGAAGAAAAAGTCGAAGAGAACGTATTCGGGCAGTGGTATTTGACATTTTGTGTGCAATTTTTGACATTTTTCACTTTGACCTTCCATTTTCTGGAGATTATGAATTTTTGCAATCATCTTTCAAAGTCACGTGTTCTTGGCACCATGCCAATTCGGTCTCCGACCAAACAAAGCCAGCCCTAGGCCAAATAATGAATGGGGGGCAGGTGGGTGGATGACGTCACCATCTGGTCCCTCGGAGATTGAGGAGAAAATGGGCTAATCCTGACGGTGACAAGGCCATTTTTGATGCGCTAGAGCAGCTGCCGACATCTGGCCGGTTGAACCAGCGGGTCCAGCTTCTTGCCGACCCAAAAACCCCAAAAATAAGTTGAGAATCGTGGCCAAGCTGAATGTGTCTCTAGTCATACGACTCGCAAAAAGCATCTATGACTAACGAGGACATCCAGATCGGCCAGTATCTCTGAGCCTTCAAACTCACCAGTTAGTTGTGCACAAAACACAGTGAGGGGACTCTAGGCCGCCCGGGACAGCAAGTAAACTGTGATATGGTTAGAACGCCGACGGGGCGATTAGTCGTCGCATAAACACAGAATCTTGGTGTCCAGGGCAGTGCCCCTCCTCGAGAAAGAGAGAGAGAGAGAGAGAGAGAGAGAGACCCCAGGCCGGACCTCTGTAGATGTTAACCCGGTGAAGAAGATCAGAACGAACACTTCACCGAAAAAGCAAACACCCACTGAGGTCCGTGGGTCTCTGGCAATTGAATAGAAATATATAGAAATATATAGAAGGAATATAGAGGGAGCCAAGAGCTTTTGGCTGGTTGTAGTAGCACCGAATACGGAATGGTGATGGGGAAAGAAAGAAGGAAAGAAGGGGTGTGTGGTATGAGGAAAGTGGGCGGGGCCGGACATTTGCATCGAGGACACGATGGAGAGACAGACATGACCATCACGGACCGTGTGTGTGTGTGTGCGTGACCCGAATCATGCTGCTGCTGCTGCTGCCCTCGGCCCGATCGCGCGACACACGAGAAAGAGCGTACGAATCGGGGAGAGCGGCCGGGAGGACAGATGGCCGGCACCGGCCTCGCCCCGCCGACGCTTTTTTCCGTCGTCTTACCACCACCCCCCAACAAGAGCGAAAGAAGGAGACCGTTGAAACGATCGAGGCGAAGGGTTGTCAAGGCCACGAGAAGGCTCTGGAAGCTATGATCTAGAATGGGTACCGGACACAAACAGAAGCTCAAGGACCATAATAAACCGTCATTGAACCCCTCCCCCAACCCCCCATGACAAAATTCAAAAATCGCGCTACGACGCAGATAAGAGATCTAATCTGGCGAATTGATCTAAAGTTCTGGTACCTCCTAGTACCTCAGCGTTACAAACGAAAAGATCCGGGAATCGAGAAGAGATCGAATCTGAAGAAACCAGCGGGGTATGGCCCCCGTTTTCGAGCCCGCAAAAACTAGATCCTCAAGCACTTTTTCTGTTTTCCTTTTTCCGTCCAGTGCGCCCAACACACACACACACACACACAATATAATCCATCGCTAGAACATCTGGCCCCACCACCTGTCCTACAGTAATCCCACCATAATGGTTCAAAAAGAAGCGAGACGCTGTCTTACCACACATCATGCTTCTTTAATTGAGGGTGATGGTAGCAGGTGGTGGTGGAACATCTTTTGAATGGACATTTCGCAACCGTAGCCATAGAGCGCTACAAGATTCGTATCAACAAATCATCATGTTTATCTCGGATGATATATCTCAGTTGTCGGTAGAGATATCAACAAGTTGTCAACTGACGAATTGCTCAAAAAGACATTGTACACTTTTCATTAGTTGACAACTTTTTCCAATCTCTATCGGCTGCTGAGATATATCGTTTTGAATCGACGGCATCCGACAATATTCAAAAATCCACACAGTTTGTTGACATTTCTCAGGTACTTTGTGTGGTGCACGTCGTCATTACGACCTCTGGACTGGCGGCGAGCGCGTTTGATGTGTCAGAAAACTCAGAAGCTATTGTAGAGTTCCGTTCAGGACCAACTTTGCTCAAAATGCTCAAAATGCATCAACTATCCCCCAAAATCGATTTAACTATATTATGAGTAATGTGGGAAACTGTACAAATTCGACTGACTATATTGAAAATGTGTTATTGGACAGTAGCTGTACACAACATGCACATAATTTGATTAAACATTTGTTCTTCGTCTCGTCCCTGTTTTCTCGTACAGTTACATATTATTCAATTCAATTCAATTTGTGACAAATGTGCGTATAAAAGGCACAACTGCTTCTCTCTGCCCACTGCCCACACTTTTTCTACTCGTCCTAGAAGCCGACAATATTCGTGCTGGTTTCGCTGTGTGTCTCGTGAGGAATTCGCTCATAGTTACCGGGTTTTTCGATGTCGGTAACTTGTGCAATGCCTCGCGAGAACTACAACAATATCCGTTACGTTTGCGTGCGCGTATTTTAGCCGAAAATGTTCGGATTGACACCAAACAGGGTCTGGTTGCTTTTCATAAAGTTTGCAGAGCATGACTTGAAAATGTGACGGACGTTTCGCAACCGAACCTCGAGCTTACTACAGGGATGTGTCACTGGTTGGTTGCGAAACGTCCATCAGTTGCAGAATGGGCATGGGTTCAGAAAAATCCGTATTTTTTGCATTTCGATCGGTTGCAAAACGTCCGCCTTAGCTGAAACATATCTAGAAAAGATTTTTTCACAGAAAAACCCCAAGACTTTTTAGATTTTTTGATGACTTGCTCATCCTCATCTCAAATTCAAAGTACCTCCGCTTCTGTTCCCTCTCCTGACTCTCATTTTAAACCTAGCTTCTCCAAACTTTCAGATCCAAAACTAGAGCCTCTAAAATACCTCCTGTCCAAGTTTGGTCCCAATCCGATCATTTTTGGCTGAGATACACCCGCGCAAGTTCTGAAACCATGGGGATCGACAATATCTCAACTTTGCGTGCGCATATCTCCGTCAAAAATTATTGGATTTACACCAAACTTGGACACGAGGTACTTTACATGCTAAAGTACCTCCAGTCCGAGTTTGGTCCCAATCCGATCATTTTTGGCTAAGATACACCCGCGCAAGTTTTGAAACTATGGGGATCGACAATAGCTAAACTTTGCGTGCGTATATCTCCGTCAAAAATGATTGGTTTTACACCAAACTTGGACACGTGGTACTTTACATGCTAAAGTACCTCCTGTCCAAGTTTGGTCCCAATCCGATCATTTCCCGCCGAGATACGGCCACGCAAATTGGTCCCATCGTACTGATATTGTAGATTTCGCTTAAAAGTGCAAGCGCGATGATTCAAATCGCTGATCTCTTTCTCGTTTTTTGCAACCGGGGTGGTCACTCGGAGACAAAGAAGAAGAGGAAGAGAAAAACCATAAAAACCTGGCGGGGGGAGGCAGGGCACAATTAATGGGCACAGAAAGAGGGAGAGGGACAAAGCCAGTTAATTTCCGAAACGAATGACACATTATGAGAGCGATTCGGTTAGTTGCGAACAAAGAACGACATGGTGCATCGACCGACGACGAAACATCGATTTGAATTTGAACTCGACAGTTTTTGGTTCGGGTGCAGAGCTGTACACTTTTGTGTGCTACCGTACCTCTCTAGCAGTACTCTCTGACCAATTGGTACAGTCTTTTTCTACAGTACCCCCCTACAGTGACTACTGTACTTTGTGCTACAGTACCTAGAATTGCTGTACCTCGCCCAGGCGGCTACAGTAATCCATAACTCTGAAGAAGTTTCGACACCATTACTGTACTTTTCACTAAAGCCGCATGACTTTGTCCCTCGAAGATTACTGTACTTTTCCAATGTTTGCCCCCCCACCACGTACATATCCTCTAAATCTTGACCCGAACCGGTTGACGTCATTCTAGGGTCACTTGTTATTTGTCTCTCCAACCTGTATTTCTTTTTTGAATCGCTTCTTTCTCGAAGCTTCTTCTCCAGCCGGAAGCCCCGCCCCCTTTCAAATATTGTCCTTTTCGTCCAAACTTTTCGCCAGACTCCGCCCCGTTTTGCGTCCTTCCACCCACACGCCCGCGCGCATTCCTTCATTCGTTCGTCGCCCTTTCGCCGCCCGTCTGTGAGACGAGACCGCCACTACTTTCCGCTATATTGTCCGATACACACACTTTGCCGTCGAAATGCCACGCTGGATGTGCTCGTTGGTCATATCTGTTCGTCAAAATGTGATTATGACTAGAGACACATTCAGCTTGGCTAGTCGATGCTCTTTTCTCTCGCGGCCTAGTTCCCCAACACGTTAGTTTCTAGGCCACGAGCTTTGCAACGCTTTCGGCCCATAAAAAGCCTACTAGTTCCCGAACTTGTGAGTTTCTAGGCGACCAAATTTTCCAGCAATCTCACACATCATTCGCGCATTTCTCTGCGTCTCCCTCTTTCTTCTCAAATCGACCTCAAAACGGTCAAAGAAAAGGAAGGAAGGAAGGAAGGAAGAAAGAAAGGGAACAAGAGAAGGAGGCAAGAAGTGAAGGGCGAGTTCCAAGGACAAGACAGTGTGTGTGTGTGTGTGATCGATAGGGGACCGGAGGAGGAGGAGGAGGAGGCCGTTAACGACGCCCCGGGGCTACTTTTACCCCATGCGGTGATCGGGAAGGAGGGCACGATCAGAGACACTTTTAACGGACATTTGAATCAAAATGGGGTCCTAGGGCCTAGAAACTCTCCGAATTTGCATCTCACTTTTCATTGTTTTCATAAAATAAATAAGGTGGGATTAGGATTACACTTACAGGCTTTAGAACCAAATTGAGTTAAAATAAAGAATTAGAGAGCGGTTATGTGCGGGAAAGTATTATACAGAGATTTACAACAACTGCATGGGATGGTTCGAGATCGCTCATTAAAAAAAAAATAATTGGGAGGATTACAAGATCAAATTGGGGCATAGAACATGAGAATGATTTGGTTTTTGTTCGGATTTCCAAATTCCGAATCCAACGAATCCAGAAGAAGACGTCTAGTCGGAATCCGAGTCGACCATCTTTCCGCGCTTCTTCTTCGGCTGCCTGTCCGAATCGGAGCCCGAGTCGATCTGGTAGGCCGTAGCTTTGCGGGCTCTTCCGCTGCAAAAAATCCGGGTTTTCAGAGTATTTTCAAGAAAAAGAATTTCTCTAGGGACAAAGAGGTGAGCAATTTCTCGTTTCGCTGAAAACTCCCGTACCTCTTCTCTCTGGGAGCCACGACCACATCGTCGTCGTCCTCGTCGTCGTCCGATCCGGCGGCCTTCTTCGACGTCGACGACTTCTTCTCGAAGAAGTCGTTCATCGTGGCGGGCTTCTTCTTCGGCTCGGCAGCGCGTTTGGGTGCCGCCTTCTTCGCCGCCGGCTTCTCGAAATCCGAATCGAACGACGAATCGCTCACCGCCGGTTTCTTCGTCTTCTTAGGAGCAGCCTTTTTGGCCGGAGCCGCAGAGCTCGTCGGCTTCTTCGCCGCCTTCTTCGCGGGCTCTCCGTCCGAATCCGACGCTAAAATGATCTCGTCGTCGTCCGATTGGGTCACCCGCTGCTGCTTCGGCACGCCGTCCGGCCGGCGCATTGGTGGTGCCGGAGACGCGTCGTTGTCGTCGTCGTCGGAAAGATCGAAAATATCGGCCGACTTCTCCTTGGCAGCACGGGCGGCTCCTCGTTCGGCACGCGGCTTCGGCTTCTGGACAATCTCGCGCTCGATGCCGTCGTCGGATCCGTCGAATGACATGTGGTCCTGGAAAAAGAAGCCGAGTTTCAGTTAGGAAATGCTTTTAGCCGAATTTTTAAATAGAAACTGCCTCACATTTTTCTGATAAAATGAGAGTTAAATTTACAAATTTTCCATAGTGTTCCTTCCCAAACTCACATCAAACTCAATATCGGAAGTGTCGGAAAGATCCGAGTTCCACTCGTCGGCCTTCTTCTTCTTGGGCGTCGTCAGCTTCGCCAGCGATGCTCCGCCGGGCGACATGAACTTCGTAATGTCCGCTCCTTCCTTCTTCTCCTTCTTCGGCTCTTTCGGCTCCTTCTTCGGCTCTTTCGGCTCCTTCTTCACTCGCTCCTTCTTCGGCTGCGCCATCTTTTCGTACTTGGCCTTCGTCGCCGCGTCGAGCTTCGGCTCGATGCGCTGTCCGTCCTTCGAGGGCAGCACCTCCGCCGCCACCGCCTTTTTGGCTCCACGTCCTCCGACCTTCGCGTCCGCCGCCAACTTCTTCGCCGCGTTCTTGATCGAGGCGTCGATGTCGGCCTTCTCGCGCGCCTCCTGCTTATCGAGCTCCGTAATGAAGTTGTCGAGGTCCTCGTGCCACAGGTCCTGCCACGACTTCTTCTCCAGACTCTTCACCTCCGCCAACTTCTCCTCCGACTCTCTGATCAGCTTGTTCTTCTCCTCCTCGGACAGTTTGATGAGTGCCATTCCGACGAGATAATCATAATCCGACAGTTTCGTCTCCAATGCCTTCTGAGTTCCGGACGCCGAGGATCCCTCCGCTTCCTCGTCCTGCTCCGCCTGGTCCTCCTCGTCCAGCTCGATCTCTCCGGACTCGCGGAGCTCCTTCAGCTTCTGCTCCTCCTTCCACTTCTTCACCGGATCCGGATCGAAGCGCATCTGGATGAGCGACTCGACAATCGTCGCCTTCTTCTTGTTTTCCAGCGTGATCTCGTTGTTGATCTTGGCCAAAATGAAGCGTGCCTGGTTGGTGAGCCGTCTGCTCTGCGCCTGCAGCACTCCGACCAGGTACTCCTTTCTCTGCACATATTTCTCTTTGCGGCAGTCGTAGAACTCCTGGGTGATCTCCTCGGGCGTTCCGAACGTTCTCAGACATCCGGCCGCGTCGAACAGCACCATGCACGTGGTGTTGATGATCTGCTGCAGCTTGAACACCTGATGCAGCTCGTTGGAGCGCTCCAGCTCGCGCAACTTGCCCGGCGAGAGCTTGATGACGAACTTGACGGTGGTGTCCGTGTGGTACTCTTTGTAGTCGGTGATGATTGGCGTCTTCTTGTCCGACGACTCCATCAGTCCCTCGAGCACCTTCTCCTTGTAGTCCTGTGTCCACAATTTCACCGGCAACTCGGTAATCTCGATGGTATTGTCGTCCAGGACCGACACTTCTCCGTAGCAAGCGTATCTCGACGCATCCACCTGGATTATCTGTCCGCGGAAGTTCTTGTACCATGGCGCCAGCGCCTTTTGCGACTCTCCGGCAATCAGACGCTTGATGTTCTTGACGATCTCGCGCGGATTGAAATTCGGAATATTTGTCGACCATCCGGTTCCGATTCCCTGCGCTCCGTTGACCAACACCATCGGGATGATCGGGCAGTACCACTCGGGCTCGATTCGCTGATTCTCCTCGTACAGGAAGCGAAGGACGTTGTCGTCGTGCGCCGGGAAGATGCTGCGGGTGACCGGCGAGAGCTGGGTGAAAATGTAACGGGCCGAAGCGCTGTCCTTTCCTCCCTGCAGCCGAGTTCCGAACTGTCCGATCGGCAGAAGCAGATTGATGTTGTTCGATCCGACGAAATCTTGGGCCAAGTTCACGATGGTGCCCATGAGCGACTGTTCTCCGTGATGGTAGGCGGAGAGTTCGGCGACGGCTCCAGCGAGCTGAGCAACCTTCACCTCCCGCTTGTCGGCCCTCTTGAAGCACGCGAACAGCACCTTCCGCTGTCCGGGCTTGAAGCCGTCGACGAGGCACGGGATCGAGCGCTCGTTGTCGAGATTGGAGAAGAGGACAAGCTCGCGGTTGACGAAATCCTTGAAGGTGACGGTGCGGGTGTCCTTGTTGTAGAGGTACTCTTCGGCCAGTCCCTGCTGCTTGCGCACCTTCTTCTCTTGCATCCACTTGGTCAGCCAATCCTTGCGCTCCTCGATCTTCTTCTTCGAGAACGCCATATCGACGGCCGAATCGTCGTCGGCGCCGCCGTACTTGAAGCGAATGCGATGGCGCAGCATGTCCGAGAAGTACTCTTTCGCCTCTTTCGACGTCGAAGTACCCAATCCCTTGTAGTACTTGATTTTGAACGTCTTCCAGTTGTCCGTGTTCATGCGCCACTCCGAGTACTCTGGAATCGAGAAGAACGAGATCTCCTCCTTTCCTTTCGACGCCTTCACGATCGGCGTGATGAACTCCTCCACAAAATTGCGTTGGATGAGCGACGGCCAAAAGTGGTGGACGAAATTGATGACGAGTCCTTTGATGTGCGATCCGTCCTGATCCTGATCGGCCATCACCATCAGTTTTCCGTAGCGCAACGACTTGAAGTCCTCCTCCGTCTCGTACTTCTTCTTGTACTGCAGCCCGAGAATCTTGATCATCGAGGTGATCTCTGCGTTGTCGGCCACCTGCTTCATGTTGCCGTCGCGCACGTTCAGCAGCTTTCCTCGCAGCGGGAACACTCCGTACTTGTCTCTGCCGACGACGGCGAGTCCCGAGACCGCCAACGTCTTCGCAGAATCTCCCTCGGTGAGGATCAGCGTGCACTGCTGCGAGTTCTTCGTGCCGGCGTCGTTCGCGTCCTCCAGCTTCGGAATTCCCTTCAATTTCGACGTCTTCGTCTTCGAGCACTTCTTGTTGAGGTCCTCCATCTGCCGGAAGCGCACCCACGACATGACGGCATCCGTGATTCCGACATTCGACGCTGCCTTCGAGAACTTCTCGCTCAGGGTGCACGTGGAGCCGAACTGCTTCGACTGCAGCGTCATCGTCTCTTTCGTTTGCGAGTCGAACGTCGGATTTTCGATGAGCGCGTTCACGAAGACCCACATGTGGTTCTTGATCTGAAAAGTTAGAGTTTAGTGTTGAAAATCGCCAAACTTTCACTCAATTTATGAAGTGTTTTGTCGCCTCAGATTCGCCTTTTAGTAATCACCTATTAGCGAAACTGCCAGAATCCGTCTCAAAACCAAAAAGGCTTCAAAATGGATAATGACGGAAATGTTGCGCCGCGCCTTTAGACTCCCGATTCAAACTTTCTCGGTGAGTCACTAAAGCGTCGCATAAAATGTATCTACTGGCAGAGGAAATGACTCCAAAAGGGGCCAAGAAGTTCCGGGTTAACCTCAGGAGAAGTTTTTGAAAATTCACAAAATTCTCCAGATCATATAGAGGCGCCAGAGAGTTCATTTGTCTAGGTTGAGTCATCACGGGCGGTACGGAAGGGTCAGGGGGTGAAAAGGGGATACTGAAGGTGTCAGAAGGGTGTTAGAGCTCCAGAAGACGCCATAGAACTTAAAAAGCTCTCAAAAGGCTTCAAATGTTCGCAGGAATCACAGGAAACCTTTAAAACTCGCCAGAAGTCGTCTAGAAGCTACAAGTCTCCAGAAGTTCTCAGAAATCACGTGAGAGCTTCAGAACCCGCCAAAAGTCGTAAGGAAGCTCCTCAACGTTCCAGAAGACTTCCAACCCCTCCTAAATCCTTCAGAATCCCCTCCGATCAATCGATTACCAACCTGGAACGGTTTGATGTTCATCGCCGTCTTCGACAACTTCTTCTTGATCGAATCGATGAACTTGGCGACCATCTGATCGGCCACGTAGTCCACGTGGCGTCCGCCCTTCGTCGTGGCGATGCTGTTGACGAAAGAGACCTGCTGGAAGCCCTTCTCCGAGAGCGCCAGTGCCACTTGCCAACGGTCTCCAACCTGCTCGTAGGCGACTTTAATCGGATCGCCCGAGTTGTCGGTGAACTGCGACGTGTACATCTTGACGTAGTCCTCGAATCCCTTCACCGGAATGCGCTCCCCGTTCAGGAATACGGTAACTCCTTTCGTGGATCCGGCCACGTCGTACGCTCTGCGAGCCATCAAATGACAGATATCGTCGTCTAACTTGTCCATCTTGAACTTTTTGAGGTCCGGGTAGAAGGTGATCTTGGTGAAGTCCTCGCCGGTCGCCGCGCGCACCTCCGCATCCTTGTCCCGGTTCATGTTGTTGATCCACGTCTGCTTGAACTGATGCTTGAACTCTTTCGACGACGTCTCCAGCGTGAACTTGGTCGAGAAGATGTTGCAGAGCTTGGCTCCGTAGCCGTTGCGTCCTCCCGTCACTTTCTTCTCGTCGTCGTTGTAGTTCGAGGAGGTGAGGAGGGTTCCGAAGATCATTTCCGGCACGTACACCTTCTCCACTTTGTGGTACGTCACCGGGATTCCTTTTCCGTTGTTGTACACCGAAACCATGTTATTTTCTCTGAAAATATCAAAAATAGTCTTTAAATTCCCGCAATCTCTAAAAGAGTGCAGTAGAAAGCAGCTTTGCATCACTCTACAGTGAAAACACCGAAATAGGGTGAAAAACCGCCGGGATACTCAAATTTTTGCCCAGTTCCACTCACTTATCAATGACAACTTTGATGGTGTTCATCTTCGCGTCTCTCTGCTTGTTATCGGCGGCATTCACGAGAATTTCATCGAAAATCTTGTACAATCCGGGCACGTAGCGAATGTCGCGCTGCTCCATCACCTTCTTTTCCGTATTGTACACCCACATCGGCGTTTTTTCGGTGTACTCGACCGAACCGATGTACGTGTCGGGACGCAGCAAAATGTGCTCCAATTGTGACTTTTTTTGGTAAATGTCCTCGATCGTCATCTTTTTCGAGCCGCCCTTCTTGTTGTCGATAGAAGTGAACACGTTACGGTCCTCCTCGGTCATACCCATAGATTCGTTGACTGCAAATTCGGACAATTTTGAAACTTTCAGAAAATTTTTAGTTTTCCTACCTCCGTTCTTCTTTTTTGGCGACCCATTGGCCTTTTTCGGCGCGGGCGTCTTCTTTTTCGCCTTGGGCGAGTCGTCCACGTCGAAATCGCTGTCGGAATCGCTCATTTGCGCTGGAAATTCGAAACCTACGCTTTTTTTCGAAAATTAACGATTTTCCGAGCAAACGGGAGGATTTTACAAGGCGCAGAGAGGAAATAAACGCGCCGGAGACTGAAATTAGGCCAAGGCGACCAAAAAACGAGGCAAAATCGATGCGAGAGAGCGGAGTGCGTTCGCCGTGAAAAACTGGTCAACAAGAGGCGATTTGAGAGCGCACAAAAGTCGAATCTCCCGCCGCGCGCTGGTCTTGCCACGAACACGCACACTCCACACCGGTGACACCGTACTCGAGCCCTCGTATTTCGAATCTTTGTTTTCTGTCTGCGTCTCTCGGCAATTCGTATGACGAGAGATTGATCGGACGAAAATATTTGGAAAAAAATTCGTTTATTGTCGAATTTATGAGTTTCTCGCTGTTTTTCGGGTAACAAATATGAAAACGCTGTTTTAGTTGTGGAAAAATGAATTATATCGTGCTGACACACTTTGTTGCTACTTTTGTTGTTAAAAATGCTGAGAACGGGCGCGGAAACCTTGATTTCCGCGTTTTTTCCACAAAATCCTTAAAGCTTGCAATTTTCAGACTAAAAAATGTGGATCGAACTTCGAAATTTCTACGACCAAGTGCTCAACTTTCACGATTTTGACGACGATGAAAAACTCGACGAACTGTTTCGGGACGTCGAAAAACATCGTTGGCGCATGACGAATATCCTCACAAACCCGGTATTTCTGGCGAAAATTCAGTAAATACTCACGAAAAAGTAGAAAAAATTTCAGAAAAAAAATCCAGAAGAGCGGAAAAAGGTGGTGCCGGGCGGAAAAGTCGAGATTAGCGGCGTGGAGATCCAGTTGGACGAGGACACGTGCGCCGAGGCTCTTATCATCGCCGACGTGTTCGCTTTGCCCGAATTGGAGGCCGTCGACCTGGTCCTGGCCGGAGAAGCGCAAAAAATCCACTTTGAGGGTCTCAACCGAGGACTCATTGCTGTTATCTGCTATTACGATGCTCACAGGTTGGAAATTCTGCGAAATGCATCACTTTTGTCTAAAATCACAAAATTGCAGACTTTTAGTGACGGCGATCCGTCAGATGCTCAAATGGGACCGCGAAGACCTTCCCCATCGAGTTTGCAACTTCATCGACGACACTTTCATCAATGACGTCATGATGCGCATGTTTTTCCGTAAGAACATCCCGCTGTGACCCAAAATTCATAAATTTTGCAGAGATTCTGAGCAGTTTCACGGTTCAATCGGAATTCGCGCGGCTTCAGGCGCCCAACGTCAACGGATTGGGCGGTTCGAAACATCAGAAGCTGGTATGTTTGTGGAAATTCAGAAATTCCCATTAGAATGCTCTTGAATTGAATTCCAGATGAAAAACGTGATCGAGGAGATCCGAACGGAGATCATCGGCTGCATTTCGCTGATTTGTGAATATCCGGGCCAGGAATCGCTGGCCATCTCGAATTATCTGTTCGGAGTGGTCAAGTCGGTGCCGGCCGAGAAGCTGAACCTTGTCAATTTGACCGCCTGGATCTCCCTCATCAAACTGACCTCCAGCGAGGTGCTCACTCAAGGTACTGTAGTCGAAAAATCGAGCATCCGCCCATTTTCCCATTTTTATCCCCACTTTGACCATTTCCATGAATTGCACCGAACCCCGTGTGGAGAATTTACAGTGTTGGACGCGCAACAAGTGCTCACCTCGATGATCGACCACATTCGGAACGAGACGGCGTGGTCCGACCAGTCGATGTGCGGAACTCTTCAGTTGGCGTGCGCCGTCACCCTCAAATCGATCGCCTCCTCGCCGTCGGATCATTTAGGCATCGAAAACATCAAAGTGGACGTGGAGAGGGTGATAGACCGCGCGATCCGGAACATGGCATTCCAGTACATCCGACAGGCGATCCTAAAATCGGAGCACTTCCGATACGCTCACCAGTTCACGGTTATCGATGAGCTTTTGAAGCAGCTCGTCTCGTTTTTCCCCGCAAAATTGTTGGAAACGGAGAGAAATTCGGCCGACGAACTGTCGAATCTCGATGATATTCAGAGGAAAGAACTCGAGCCGAAAGTGGACCCCAAAAGACAGACGGTCCAAATCTCGGACAAATTGACCGCCAACGTGGCATCAGTGGATCCGTCCGGCAACTATGAGTCGGCTCTTTCGCATTACGAGAACTTTCTGCGATGTTTTGTCGACTTGTACGAGATGCAAATCATGGATTATAGCTATCAGCGGCTGTCGAAGACGTTCCGCGAGCGCGAATTGCAGGAACAGATCGAGGAGAGCAGCATGTCGTTCAGTACCGAACGATCCGTACGTTTCTTGTCAAATTTAGGCATGTTCTTAGCTTTTACCATTTTCCAATTCAGATATTAGAGTCTTCGGAAGCTCTCGAAGCTCACCAGAAGCTCCAAAAAGCTTTTGGTCCCCTTTTCAAGCTAAAACTGCCACTCCGCAACGACACAATATCTTAACATTTCCAAGAATCTCCTTGCAGATCGAGCTGTGCCGTCTTCTAGAACGTACCCGTCTGCCGCACCATCACGTCGTGCACACGGTAGCCTACCTGGAGCTGTGCGCGGCAGTGTGCAAGAACCCGCTCACCGCCGCCCTCCTCTACGACGTCTTCTCGAAAGAGCACGGCGGACCGGACTCGCGCGGATGGGAGTCTATGACCCAAGCGGTCAAGGCCTACGATCGGTGCTTCAAAGAGCAGCAAGCAATGAACAACACGTCGATTCGGATGAGCTCGTCGGCGGCGAACGCCTCCGTTCTCCAGCACCAACGTCTTCAGGCCCAGCAGCCGAGTCTCAACCTGAACATCCGCGCGACCGATCAGATCCAGATCATGGCCTCCGAACTGAGCGGACTCGTCGCCTGGATCCAGATGGCCACCAAAGTGGCCGAGATGAACGACTTCGCCGCGCAGAGATTCGCCGACGATCCCGCGTGGACTCTGTGCTCCTCGGTCGCTTCTCTGGCCACCGCTTCCGTTCCCTTGAGCCTCAAGGCCACGCTTTTGGGGCTGTTGTCGGCGGTCGCCAGGCTCAAGTGCACTGCTCCGAGGTAAGGGCCGAAAAACAGCTCGAAAAGAGTGCTCTTCTATACACTTTTACAACGAAAGTTGGAAGATGGTGATGCCCGTTTTTGTTTTCGTTTTCCTTGTAGGATCCGTTCTTTCTCAGAATCTGGCACATAATCCACGTGAATCAGTTGTCGTACCACGACGCCGGCGGTCAATTGCGCGGAATTCAAGACGAGTTGGAGCAAAGAGAGTGCATTGTGAAGGAGTACGACGTCTCGCTGGCGTTCGTCAAACTCATGACCACCCTACTCATGCACAGGTAGGCGGAAGTCACTTTTGTAGCTAAAAATCGCAAAAATCCCATTACAGATCGCTTCCGGAGTACGGAATGTCGTTCGTGCAGTTCGTCACGCGCAGTATTCTGTCGCAGTGCCTCCATCGGAGCTACAACAACGTGCTCCAGATGTGGGAACTGTGCGAATGGTCCCTCCGAGCCACCAACGCACTATTGGAGCACGGAATCGTCGAGCCGAGAGCCGTGGCTGCCCAGGATACGCACATTGCACTGCTCGCACAGTTGCTCAACGATACGCCAATGTTCCGAGCGGTTAGTCAGAGAAAATGAGCATTTTGAAACTGTGAAATTTGCAGATAACCCGCATCATAATGGAGGATTGCCAAGCACACAACGACCCGTACGTCACCAGAACCGGACCGTCTTCAGATGCGGCTCTTATTGCTCTCCGCCTCTTGTCGCGTACGTTTTTCTGTTGTTTGTGAGATTTTGATGTCAGAATTTTCCTAATACGTGGTCCTTTTCTTGCAGGAGCCCTCGTGCTGCACCCGGCACTCCGAGCGTGCGCCCGAGCCACCTCCGCCGACATCATGGTCGCATCGATCCACTCGCTCGTGTTCTCGCCGATCATCGCCTCCTCGCACTGCACCCTCCTCGATCTCGTCTTCCATTACCTTCATATGTGCGACGATTTCCCCGTCCACTCGCTCTACGCCGCCCGTATCCTTCGGGACGTGAATGCGTCGCGCGGACATGCTCAGGCGGCGATGCTCGAGTTGTTGCGCTCGCGGAAAAGCTCGCCGTCGCACGTAAGAGCCATCCGATCGGTGATATGTGCCACCAACATCCACTACACCATCGACGATTCGCTTTCCAAAGGTGAAAAAGCTCAATTTTACGCAAGAATATTCTCATTTTACAGACGAAGACACCGAAAATCCTGTGTTTGCGCGCGGAGAAACGGCGCGAATCGTGCTGGAAACGCTGACGGAAGCGCTGGACAACCACGTGACGACGAGCGGAAACCGGCTGACCGACTGCAACAACGTCTGCTACTATCTGTTCGCGTTCCGGCCGTCGAAGGCGAACACGAAGGAGCTGTACGAGGCGGACGACGTGCTCACGGGGTTACATTACGTGCTCTACATCATCGAACAGTTTGTCGGCGCCGAAAAACCGTTCGATTTACAGTTTTCCGCACTGCTCGAGCCCGCTTTTCGTCTTATAGTACGGTTTTCCAGATTCTCGACTCTAAAGTTTTCCATCGATTTCAGCAACGCCTTACCTCGCAGTCGTGTCCGTTCTCGCAGGCGGTGCTCTGTTTCATGCGCTCCTCGAATATCATCGAAAAACTGGCGACGTCGCCGTTCGTCTGCTCGGCGCTTGCGCTCGAGGACAACAAGGACTGCACGTACGCGACGGGAATCTTCGCGGTTCGCCGCATGATCGTCGGCTACATCCTTCACTTTTCGGCCGTCGAAATCTCGGCCATGCTCACTTCGGGCCACTTTACAAAGCCCGAATTGCTCTACCGAGCTCTTTTAGAATCTTCTGAGAACGTGGCCGAGCAGACGCTGAACGAGACGACGAACTCGTCGGGAAATGCGACGAATCTCCTGTTTTCGCTGCTCCGTCAGTCGACAGTGCCCCGTCGGAATCTGATGGAATACCCGAGTCTGGTGCATTTCGACGTCAGCAAACTCCACGAGCTCTTCGACGCATGCCTCACCGTCAACATTTACGGAGTTGCACAGTACGACGTACCGTACCTGAATCGTCTGATGCGCCGAGAGATCGAAGTGGTCTATTCCGATTGTGAGGAGGTCAAATATGTGCAAAAAGTAAGGAAATCGGGTTTGGAAAGGCATTTCAAAGAACGTTACTAGAAAATTAGTTCTCAACATACTTATGCCATTGGATAAAGCGACAGAAGTCACATCAATCTCCAGTTTTTCCCAAAAATCTTGTTCAGGACTTGATCAGGGGCCACAAAGCACTTATAAATTTGCGAAGGAAAGTGCTTTGAGGCCTCCCAATGATGTACTTGAAACCTGATGTAACTTTTGGCGCTCTATTCAGTGGTATCAGTACCTTCATCACTAATTTTACCATTCAGGAACTGGAGTCGGTGCTCGAGTACTGTGCCGAAATCAACGCGAGTCTGCTCTCGGAGCGCGCTTCCGAACGCATCGTCTCCGGATGCACCCTTCTGCTCGACGTCTTCTGCATTTTCGCGCCCGTCCACTTCTTCTCCAACCACATGCAGTAGGAACACTGAATTTCCCCGTTCTTAAGTCATTGTCCCGCTTCAGACTGATCATATTCCGCGACGCGAGCTACGTGCTTATTGAAATGTGCTCGGGAGTCGGCGGAATCGCGCTGGTCGCCGCGTGCAAGACCCTCCACAGTCTAGTGCTCACCGTCATGAAATTGGCAAAGATCGAGTACCCGAAGGTTTGTTTTTCGAGAAAAGTGCTGACATTTTAGGCCGAAAATCGGTTATAATAACGAAATTGATAGCTGTTTGTGTAAGAAGGCTTTTTTCCCTCAAATAATTTATTTTGAGTGAAAAGTTTATTGCAAAACGGACACACAACGCATTTATGCCTTGTTCTGATAGTGATCGGCGGCGTATCCGACGGATCCTCCGTGACCTCCTCCGTGTCCTCCGGATCCACCACGTCCTCCGCCGACTCCTCCGTGAGATCCACGAGCTGGGCATGGGCAGTATTCGCTGAAAAATTGGCATGCTCCGATTTTTTAGTAGAAATTGTAGAAAATATGGTTAAAAACGCACGCGTCCTTTCCTGGTCGTCCGACCTTTCCTTCGGATCCTGGTCCCCCATCGAGTCCCTTCTCTCCCGGTCCTCCGGATCCTCCCTGTGGTCCCGCCTGTCCAGCATCTCCGACTGGTCCGTTCTTTCCGTTGTCTCCGACCGGACCGCTCTCTCCCTGAGGTCCCCGTTGTCCCTTTGGTCCTGGTCGTCCGATCGGCTTTCTTCCGTCGGCGCCCTTCTCTCCGGGCCGTCCGTCCGGTCCCTGCTTTCCGTTTGGTCCTGGCGCGCCCATCTCTCCTGGATGTCCTGGATTTCCGTCGTGTCCTGGTCTGCCCAACGATCCGTCGGCTCCCTTCATTCCGCGAAGTCCCGGTCGTCCGTTTGGTCCCGGCGCTCCTGGTGGTCCGGCTGGGCAGTAACTGCACAGTCCAGTGTCCTGAGGTTCGGGGGTCACGTCCAGCGAATCGTGTCCTGGTTTTCCGTCCTGTCCGGGCACTCCGTTCGGTCCCGGCGATCCTGGAGATCCCTTTGGTCCCGCTGGCCCAGGATGGCACTTGTTCTCGGCGGCCGACTGGCATTGGCAAGAGCCTCCGGACGGAGCTGGTCCGGCTGGAGCCTGAGCGCCGAAATCGTGTGCGGGTGCGGCTCCGCCGTATCCATCGTGAGATCCGGAAGCGGCGTAGCCACCCTCCGAGTATCCGGCGTCACGACGACCACGTCGAGAGGCGGTGGTGCCGATTTGCACGAGATCCTTCCACATCTCGTCGGTCTCTTGCTGAAAAAATGAACGTTTTAATAGGAAATCGTTCAAGTGACTCACTCTGAAAGTGCGAATCTCGGTGTCCAACTCGGTCCAGTAGTCCTGAACATTGTTGAAAATCTGGCCGAGCGCGAGAAGAGAGCACAAAAGCGCGATGCCCGACAAGGAGGAGGCGACGAATGTGGCCGTATGCACCTGCATACTGCTGAAAAGTTTTAAAAAATTGTCAAAAACTGATAGTCCTAATGGGTTGTTTGTCAGAAAGTGTTGCACAACCACTCTTAGGAGGTACAAGAACAATTTGAGACTAAACATTTCGCAAAAACAAGTACTGGAAAAGAAGAGCTGAAGAGGATGGCAATGTTTTACGATTATATCCCGCGCCGCCTTTTATACACGCGATTATAACGAGTAACCAGTTGTAGTCCGCGCCAAACTAACTACTGATATGATAAACAGGCGCCCGGAGAACTTGTTAGCACCGCCGAGAAGATTAATGCGAACGGACAATATGCGAAACGAGAATGATAACTGTGCGGATATGGCTGCAAGAGCGATTTTTGATTGATTTCGTGTTGACAAGAAGACATTCTTGATCTAACTATTTTTTCCTTTAAAAAATGCGCGAATGTTTGCAGTTGCTGGCCCAACGTCGTTTCTTCGCGCCGCTCTTCAAATCGCTCATCGAACTGATGATTCAGCCGGGCGAGAAGCCGGTCAACGCGAAGGTTCTACTCTACAAGACGGTCCGGTTTTTGCTGAGGACTCTGTTCGAGAAGAACTCTATCGGGGTACGTTTCCTACTTTTTTTCCAAATTTCCGAAATTTGATTTCATTTCGTCCGAAAAATGATATAATTAGAAGATATTGCCGAATTGTTGCAGGTGGTGAACGAGGTGGAGGAATGGATCCTGGACGGTCTGATCCAGGCGCCGAATCTTCCGTCATCCGACGAAATTGTGAATATTGTGGATAGAATGGGCGAAGACGTGGCACGTCATCTGGAGGCGGCTATTGCCGATCTGCCAAAACACCGAAAAGCCGCAGCGATCATGGTGACCAGCGATCTGATGCACGAGGATCTCAAGTCCAACAAAAAGGTAAATGCAGTTTTTCCGCAACTTTCCGATAATGTCGAATTTTTTGCAGCTGTGCAACCACGTATCTCGAAGCGGAGTGCCGCGAATTCTGTGCGAAGAGCTTCTCTCGATCGATTTCGACTGGGAAACGGTGACGGCGGCGAAAAAGAAGGAGACGGCGGAGACGGGCGCCGGAGCCACGCAGGCCGAGCACCTTTCCAACTACAACCTCTTCGTCTCCATTTTGGTAAGGTTGTTTGCTGAAATTCTGGAAATGTTGACGCTACAACGGAATAGAACTCCTAGATGTTTTTCGCGTTGGGAGTTCTATTCCGTTCAAGTTCTAATTCGTTGCAGCGCTAAAATTCATGGCTAAAATGAGCAAAATGCGGTTCTGGAATGATTTTCTAGTTGTTCTTAACTATTTCCACCAAACGTATCGATTTTCTCATGGGGTTATCCGGTGATGCCAATAAATGGGAAAACCCTGTGCACACACGTTGCTTTTTTCCGTTTCTCGACTCTGCTGAACGTCACAGAGATACAGAAAAGGTTAATTTTCAATTTCAGACATGTTTCACGCGGTACGCGGTCTCGGAATCCGGATGGAATGTGCTCGCCGAGCTCGCCGTCACCGAGATTCTCGCGGAAATGACTGCGTTCACCGAGCCGCCCAAAGAGCTCTTCCTGAAGCCGGAAACTGTCAAAACGTGAGTTTTTGGTGTAAAAGTGATGAAGTCATGAAGAATGCCTAGAAATGGACATTTCGCAGATTTTCACCCGAATCTTTTGCAGAAAAGGCACTTCGGCGAATCTGTACATCAACGCGCTCGATCTGGGACTGCACGTGTGCAAACAGATGTGCACAAAGACGAAATGGAAGAAGTTGTCGCTGAAAGTGCTCGCGTTCGTCCAGAGACTCGGAGAAGTGTTCCAGCAACTGATGCGGGCCGAGATCGAGTGCGACTGCCTCGAAACGGCCAAGGCCATCGTCTACGAGATCGCCATCAATGGTCGGTGTTTGTGCCATTAATTTTGTTTTGAATAATACAATTTGCAGACGAATCGATAATCGGCGCGATCGACGGAGATCCGGTGCTGCGATCGTTGCGGCAGGCGGAAGAGAAGAAGGAAGTGAAGTCGAACGCGCGTCGGAAGTTTGTGAATGTGAATTCGTCGTTCGCGGCGCCCCGACAACTCTTTCCACTCTCACACCATGCTAATTATTTGATTATGCTCATTTCATTTTTTGTATAATTTTTGACCACCACCACCACCACTATCCACTTTTGTTGTCTGTTTCCGCTTTTGATGATTACATTTTTACAAAACAAGAGCAAGACGGAGGAGACCCGCCGATTAACCGAAGAAAAAAAAGAAGAGCACACTTTTGGGGAGGTTGGAACGGAAGAATGAGCGGAAAAAACCGGGAAGTTTTGAAGAAAAATGAAAAGAAACAAACGAAGAACTAGGAGAAAAGCGAAAGAATTTGAGCATTTTTGTGGAGAAGAAAGGGCACTTTGGGTGGGCGGAAAAGGCTACGGATTCGCAAAAAAAAGAGAAACAGCTAATAGTTAGAATTAGAGAGAAATCGCAGAAAAACATTAATAATTACATTTTTAGAGAGAGAAAAGCGAATAATAATAAATAGGCCAAAAAAAAGTGATAATTTTCAGTTTTTTTCTGAGCAAAAAAATGCTGAAAAGTGATATGATCGGGGCGAAAACGAGAAGAAGATCATCGGTAGAAGAAGAAGAAATAGGGGGCTGGGCTTAGAGGCTGTGCAGCAGGGAGATCACGAATTCGTACGTTCCCATCGTGATCGCCGTGTTTGGAACGGTGCGCATTAGCTGAAAATCGGATATTATGTAGGCCATAAAATCGTTTTTTCCACGGTACGAACCTGAACGGAGAGTCCCCTGTACATTGCGCGATATCCCTCCTTGTACAGTTGATGGAGTGTCCGGAAGAAGCCCCTGGTGCCTTCGGACTCCTCGCGCAGTCTCGTACGGACCACCTCGTGCGGGTAGGCGACGACGCACGCGATGAATTTGGCCGAGCCGCCGGCGACCATAAAGTTGAGAAAGTCCATCTTCCTCTTGTCCATCTCGTCCGTGTCGCTCAGCAAAACGCCGCGGAAGTACTCGTATATACAGAATTGGATCATTGTCTCCGAGACGCCCGCGTACGACGCCGTCACGCCCTGCAAATTACAAGATTTTGAGAGAAATCGACATGAAAGGCAAAACCTTCGTAAAATCAACCGACCTTGTAGAATCCCTTGAATCCCTCTCGCGAGTAGACTCTCTTGATCATCTGCCAGATTCCGATGCGCCCCTGATACAATTGCAGTCGTGTTTTGACCAACCAGATCGGGTTGACCGCCGACGCGGCCACAAAACCGGCCGATCCGGCGGAGACCATGTGCACGATCGCCGAGTTCGGCAAGAAGATGTCCGATTCGTTCCAGAAGCGTTTCGACGACGAGTACGTGTAGAAGTACACTGCTCTGCAATCGAAATGTTGACTTTTTTGACTGTTTGAGGGAAATTCAACCGAGACTTCGTAATTGGTAGAAATTGTCGAGAACGCTAATTTTCTCAATATTTCGAATGTTTGACGTAAATTGAACACAGAAAGATCGTGAATTTTGCAATTTTTCGCCAAAATCTCACTTGGAAGGTGCGACCCCGATGAGATTCGGAACGAGTCCTTTGTAGAGTGCTCCGATGCCTTCCGTCTTGACAACTTGCCTACAAAATGCGTCAATTTCGAGCGGACAACGACGAAAATCACCGAATATATCGAAAGACGATGGTTCCGCGACGTGGCGGCGTCTCCGATGCCGTGTTCGTCGACACATTACGCACACAATACTGGACCAGTGACGATGCGGTCGGGTTCGACGCTGAAAACGCAAATTTTATAGAACAATTCAGATCAATTTTGCATCAAACTTTTGCAAATTGACAATTCTCACCTTGGCCCAAAAAATTGACTTTCGAGAAGGCCGCATTCAGGCCGCTACCGCTGAAAATCCTCTCCAAAGCGAATTGACCGCGAAAGTTCGAGCCTACAATGTTTGTCGGGTTGTTAAAGGATTTAGACTGATTTTCGCTCTCTCAAAAATCGATTGCGCTTTTTCCATATTTCGCCCAAAACCAAAAACTTGCCATATCCGTTTCTCTGCGAGACGACCGATTTGATGATTCCGCTGGATTTGTTGCTCGAGGCGTTCGATGAGGAGGAAGAGGAGGACTTGGAGCCGCCCGACGAGGTGCTCGGCCCCGATTGGGTGTCAAGTCCGCGCGACGACTGCATTCGCGTCTTCACCACCTCCAACGGACACGTTATTGCTGTGCCTGAGACAGAAACTTGTAGATTTTGCAATTTTCCACCGTTTTTCAAGACGTCTCCTAGTAGGAAAAAACTGACCAGCAGTGCCACCAGCGGCGCCGCCGATAAAATGAATGGCAGCCTCTCGATCCATGAACATTTTGCGTTGATTCCTCCACTTTCGGCCTCGTTTTGTTCGCGTTTCTCGGTGAAATCGGATTCGAATTCGCGGCCGCCCCGATCCTTTTCCCTCTTCTCGTCGTCGCAACTCTTTTCCGCGTCACGTCGTCGAATTGTGAGCCCTGAAATGTGTTGCGAAACTGTTGTGCAAAAGTGGGGGGGAAAGAAACGGACGGCGGGAAATGGAAAACAAGGAGAGAGAGGAAGAGGGCGCAGAGAGAAATAGAGGGAAAACAGCGGCAAAGTGCACTTTTGGCTTTCTGGCCATTAAATTCTGGGATATTGACGAGGTTTTGATGTTTTCTGGGCCACTTTTCTGGAAAGATTGAACGAATCTGAGCCATTTCCGTTCAAAAAGCTTATTTTTGGCGGGAAAATGGCAAATTTTTACTCCGTCAGCCTAAATGGCATAATTTTTTGGCTGATTGTTTGTTTTTCAGCTGCTACAAGCCTGGAAAACGCTAAAAATTGATCTAGACGCCCGAAACCTCTAGAAAATGAGTCAAACCCGGCGCCCGACCACTTTTCCCCCTAGAATCACGTGGAAAGGCGGTCGAGTTTGCAGGAAAGTGTACTCATGTGATGATAGCGATGGGTGGTGTCGAACCGGCGAGGAAAACAATCGAAATGAGCGCGAAAAGAGATCAAACTATCAATTTTCACGCCAAGAACAACCGCAGATTTTGCATCATTTCCGTGCCGATCGCGTCAATCGGTTCTTTCCCGTTTCGCATCAAGCCCCGATTTTAGGCCTAAAACGCAAAACCGTTCCCATCGGGCGGATTGATGAACACAAAATGTTTGTGAAACTAATTCCGGCGCCAGTTTGTTGCCATTTCTCCGTCGTTTTCTCTATTTTCTCTGCCTTCTCCACACGTTCACGTGATTCTCAGCGGACAATGGTTTTCACATACATTTTTTTAGGGTTCTGACCCGCCTACCATCTTGAGATCCTAATGTTTTGAGGGAAAAACTGAAAACTACTGTAAACGCGGGGATTTCCGCAAAAAAATGCAGGAAAGTCAAGTTTGCGATCAAAGAACGATCAGAGGGAAACATTACGTCGAGTGTCCTGCTCACGGGGCAACAAAGATGCAATCGGAGAAGGAGGAGGCAAGCAACGTGGGAGCAAAAGTACTGAACTTTGCTAAACACTCGTGTTCGCGCTTTGAGCCCTCAAAAATGTGATCGCAATGCTTTATGACAGGATTATATTGTGATTGCTGATATTGTGATTCTGACACTAATTGCATTGAAATTGAACAAAAAATCAGGGCGGTACAATACACTATGAGAGAATTGTTAGATTTGATAGAGGTATCTGTCGTAATTGCTATTTAATCTACGTTGATCTACCCACAGCAGTAACGTACCGCCCTGAATTTTTCCGGACTTTCAAATTCAATTTTTTGACAGATTTTAGGGCGAAACAATGCGAAATTTGACTCAGCATGAAGCAACGCCCAGAAAAACTGTAATTGAGATCAAAAACGCTACGAATTGCCCAAGAGCACTTGTTTCTGTGTGAAATTCGCCGTACTTTGCGCCCAAGGAATGAGAATGAAACAATATCAATAATTTCGAATCAAATGCTTGGATTGACACTCGCCAAACGAACAAAAGGCGACAGTTGGACGAATCCGAGCAGCTTCTACCTGTCAATTTGAGTTCAAAAATGGTTTTTCCCATTCTCGAGCCGAAAAGCTCCATCAACCAATAGATTGGACACGAAAGCGAAAAAAAAGAAAAGAGAACACAAGTGTGATGAGACATGTGACTGGCGAACTGAAGAAGACTGACAAACGGACCGACTGCCGAGGAGGAGGAGGAGGAGCAGACGGCGCGACACAGAAACAGACAATATAAGACCGATAACCAGTGGTGTTGCAGCAACAATTTCAGTTTGTTTAGGGTGTCTACACTGAAAAACTCGGGATTTTCTGGGCTTTTCAGACTGAATCTAGCGTTTTGGCATTAAAATTGATTTTTCTACGTTCCGGGCCTTCAAATACACTAGAATGGCTATTTAATGCTTTTGACTCCAAATTTGCGCCCTGAAAGCAGGAAATTCGCCGAATTTAGGGACAGTCACTCATCACTCAGAAAACGGTATGATACCTCGATTTTTCGCCAGCAACTTCAGCTTTTCTACAGAAATTTCTAGAAAACAAGTGTCCCCCCCCCAAACACATGTGACCCCGCAACTATAACATGACGAAATCTTTCCCTTTTACAGTAAACAGCAAGGCTTTTACACCCGCCACACACGTGTTTAGTTCTCTTGATGAATTCATCACCTGCTACATGAGTTGTTGAGAAAAATTACAGATTTTGGGCCTGCATTGCCGACACGTGATCGGAGGAACGACAGAGAAGTCGGTCAATTGGCCGGCGCGGGTACAAAGTCAACAAATGAGTGATCTTTGGAAAAATCGCTGAGAAAGCGAGAGAAGAACGCTGTTTTGTGGAATTTTGGTTGAAATTACACGATTTGCCCCCTAGACAGGCTATTTAAACAGAAAACGCTGAAAATTAGAGCAACTTTGGAAAAAAAAAGTTCCGCCGAAGGGTCACATTTCTGTGTCCAATCCGGCTAACGGGTTGACGAGGCGACGAAACGCGGTCATAATGATGATTTCTATCCGTTTTCCGAAGGGTCTTACAAATTTTCTCGCCAAAAACCACGTGTTTTCCACGTGTTTACTCGATTTTTGCGAACTTGATTCCAGAAATGCGATTGACGCGGGGAAATGGAGCTATTCGGCTGGAATTTTGTGTTGTGAATGATTTGAAAGCTGCAAATGGCGAAAAAATGGCGAAAAAATGACAAAACAACGGAGAACAACGGCAAATTCTGGGCTGAAAAGAAAGTTTTTTCAAAAAATCGGGCAAAAAGTTGAGGTGCGGCGCTGAAAAGTGGGCGGAGCTTGTCGATTTACGGCGAGTTGCAATGGCGCCGCGCACTTTTTCAGCCACTTTTCCATTTATTTATTTCGGCGGCAAACCTTCAACTTCACACGGAACCCCAGCATTCCAATGCGCAAGCAAGTTGTCAATGGGGCGCGCTTGCATCCACCGTCGGCTCGGAGTTTCTTTTTTCAATTGAAACCCAGAATTCTTTCGTTTTTCTCTTAATAAACACTAAAATTTTGTTCTTTGCGAACCGTGGGGCGATTGTCTGAGTTAGAAGCATCGATTTAAGCGCGAAACGGAGCAGATTCGTTCAGAATTGACCAAATTGAGGGATTTTGTCGAAAACTACTGAAAAACCGGAGTTTTAACGATCATTTGCCGAATCGAGTTCGGACACTGGCATTCGAACCGTCCAGTCAACAAAGAGTTTATTGCGCATCTTTTAAGCGCTCAACCGTCGAAAAATATACAGAATTGAGATAATTGAGGCAAATTTTCGATTCCAACAGGAAAAAAATTCTGTACTTTTCACATAAAACGTTTCGAAATTGATGACAAAGCAGTTAAAATTTTATTTTTTATTAATTTCTAATCATTATCATAAGTTTTGACACTGATTGGTTCTGAAAAGATGGGAATAATGCAAAAAAAAGGAAAATTGAAATGAGAAACTCTACAACGACGCTCCGAAATTACGCGTTACGCGCCTTTTTTAGCGCACCTGAATTGCGCCAAGGGAATTTTTTATTGGAAGGCTGGGGTTCCGTGCTTCATTCGATTTTCAGCCACAAAACAAGGTAATTGACAACTTTATTCATGATATTCATGATACCGAATTCTGAGAAGAGAAATTATCACACAAAAAGCAAGGCACGGCACAGAGACCAGCGAAAAATCCGAAAAATCGAAAAACAATGTATTCTAGGTGCAAAGACTGTCGAAAGCCGAATAAATATGATGGAAAATGACTAAGATTGCAGCGGGTATCACAGGGGAGGCGCCAAATTGCAATATTTTCGAGAAAAGTTTGGAGATTTTGTGTAAAAATGAGAGAAAACAGAGGAGCGGAGAAAAATTGGGGGAAAAGGGGGGGAAAACACCAAGTAGAACACCCTGAGAAGCTGAAAAAAAAAACAGAAAACAAGCAAAAGGGGAGGGAGAAAAATCAATAATCAGGAGGAATCCTCGTCGCCGGCGCCCACGTGCACCTCGACTTTTTCGTTGCCGACCGAGATGTTCAGGTCGGAGGCGTCGTTCACCGAAACTCCGCTATCATCCGACAAAATGCTGAGGATGTTGTCTTTGGTGGCCTGCGTCTGCGCCTGTTGCTGCTTCCGACGGCTGTCGGCGCCCGGGAAGCACATCTCCAGAAGACGACGGTATTCTTCGCGAAGTTCCGCGCTGAAATCGCGTTTTTTTTGCTGGGCTCAACTTTGATCGATCATAACTCGGCTGGTTTTTGAGTTTTCAACAATGTTAAAAAACAGTTTGATAGATAATTTTCCGCTCTACAACTTTCCAGTTGACAATGTTTTATGAAATTTTTGATGCGCCGAGATATTCGCATTTTTCAAAGCTCTTTGCTAAAATTGAAATATTTTGCTTCTCAGACGATATGGTAGAAGACAGTCAACGGGAAAGTTGTAGAGTATAAACTCATCTTTCGATTGGTTTTTAAAATGTTTACCGAGACTCACGCAAAATCATGCGGCTGCAGTTTCGCCTCTCCATGCGTTTCCTTGATGTGCGTCGATGCCAAGTACCGTCTCGTAAAGCTCGCTCCACATTTCGGACAACTAAAAATTACCTTCTCTCAATGTTCTTTCGAGCTTATCAAAGACCAACCAATACTGTTTCTTGGAGGCGTGCAACCGCGCGTGTCTCGACAAATGATTCAGCAGGTTCGCATACTGTCCGTGCCTCGAAATGCTCTTTTTGCACAGCTGGCACTGGTAGAGCTCGCCGAACGGCTCCAATTCCTGTTTGGCCTTCTTGTTGCGCGGTTCCTGAAAGTTGGTCTACACTTTTTGAGCTGTGAGCACGCCTTCAAGACGCGTCCTTACCCTGTCGAAGAGTTCGAGTGCCTGCGAGAGCGTGAGATCCTCCAGATCCTCTTCGACGTCGCCCGACATGTCCGGATCGTCGGCCGGCTCGTCGGACGGCGGCTCTTCTTTCACGGCGATCTCTTCGTATTTGGGCGTCGTCGCTTCCGGTTGGATTCGATGCGGGAGGATCGGCGAAATCGGAACGAACGGGCGCTTCAGTTGCGACTTACTATCACAATTGCCGTTCTTAATAGGCGTCGAGCACACAAACTCGCGTCTCGGCGACTGCATCAATCCAGAAGACGTCGTCGCCTTCGGAGACACCACCATCATCGACATTGACGAAGAGGTGGGTGTGGAGGGCGACGTGGAAGACGTCGTCGTCGAAGACGTCACTGCCGAGGCGGTCAGACACGACGACGTCTTCTCGCACGTCGGACACAGGTTCTCGATGGTCTCGCCGATCGAGAGCTGGCGGTGACCGTGCGAGAACAGCAGTTGGACGACGTTCTGCAGCATTTTGTCGTCTTTCAAGTTGAGTAACACATACATTTTGGGTCTGGAAATGTTTGGCGGTTTGATGGTTGGATGGAGAGAATCAAAGTCAAAATTATATCAAAGTGTGTGCGGGTTGGTTGGTGGGGTGTAGACCGCCCGAGACCGAGGACCGAGAGGGGAAGACTTCATCACTTTGCAAATACATATTGTCTGTCCGCACACTATCTCTCGCCCATCACCTCCTCTCGCTCTCTCACCTCTCGTCTGTACACCCAAATGATGATCGCGCCACGACCCCCAGCGAGTGAAGAGAGAAAGAGAGAGAGAGAGAAAGAGAGAGAGAGAGAGAGAGAGAGAGAGAGAGAGAGAGTTCTTCGGGGGTCGGGCGCTCTTCTTCGCCCGTCCGACGGGAGGGAGGGAAGGGAGTAAACACCGTTTTTAGGGGCACCTAGCTGGCGGCGGCTGTATAGGATGTTGGAACCCCCGGTCCAACAGTCCAACCGTGGTCCTGACCTTCGTCGCAACTTTCCAAACCTTCACTCCCCTTTTACAACACACAACGTTTGGCGCCGAGACGCCTCAAAATTAGGACACCAATTTCTATCTGTCTTTTCATTTTTCTTCTCGTCTCCTTCACCTACTACAAAAAGAAGAAGACGTCGACGACGAGAAGAAGAAGAGAGGCGTCAAATTACCTTGGTACAGTCTCTCTCTCTCTCTCTCTGTGTCTGGTGCGTGTCGTGGCGATGACCAACACAGTGTACGGTTAGAAAGGAAAGTGTAAAAAGTAAAGTGGTCGATGCACCATGTCTCTAGCTCATTGGCGATTATGCTGAGGAAGACGATGAAGAAGAATAGGACAATATCCAATTTGCGCCCACCACAACACCAATGGAATGCACAAAAAGATGATGGATGGCGGGCGCGCGCGCGCGTGCGTTGAAAAAATAAAAAAAAGGGGGGTGGGGATAATGTGGGAAAGGGAGCGGATAATGGGATAGTGTGGTGGTGTGTGCGTGGTGTGAAGGGTAAACAAGAAGGAAGAAGAAGAAGAAGAAGAAGAAGAAGAAGAAGAAGGAGGAGGAGGTACAGTAGCCGAGGGTTCCACACGGAAACGGGTCAGGCAGGGCAGATATAGAGAAGTTTGGGAAAAAGTTCGGATTTGGTGGTCGAACAATCGCAAAATTATAACAAAATTGTTCACAACGACGCACCGTGTGTGTGTGTGAGAGAGCGAAATTGAATGTAAAATGTTGGGAGGAGGGGAGAAGGAGGGCGCGCCCCCCGAGACACCAACCATACTGTCTCTGTGTTTGTGTTGTGACACAACACTGTGCTGCTGCCACACACCGAAGAGAGAGAGAAAGAGAGAGAGAGAGAGAGAGAGAGAGAGAGATGGAGGAGGGGGAGGTGGCGACGGGACGGGAGGAAGGGAGGGAGGGGGAAAAGAGGGCGCGGGTGTGCGCCGCCGCTCTCCTCCACCTCCACACACACAACTTTTCGAAATATCGCGTCGGTGTGCGGGAGCCTTTCTCGCCGCCGCACTCTCCTCTCTCTCTCTCTCTCTCTCTCTTCCTCACACTCGCACCGAACAGACCGCCCGCGAAATCTATTGGCGACACGTTGCGTTGTTGCGCCGTCGCCGCCGCCGCCGTCGCCGTAGGGAGGGAAGGAAGAAAGGAGGCCTGGTAGAAAAAAAGGATGGAAAAGGAAGGCGAAGGCGTCACCACCAGGGGGACCACACCTCACACATCTTGCACGGCCCTGGCCAATCTTCACCACGAAACCCATAGAGCCAAGTACACCAGAGGGTTGAGCCGAAGAATTTTTATATCTTTTTTAGAAAATTTTTTCATGGAATGTGATCAACTGACGAAATGCATAGCAAAATGAACTCTGCACACGGAAAAATAATTGTGAATTTAGCTTTTCATACAAAAAAGTTATTCGAGTTGTTCCATGAAAAAAGGGGCAAACGGAACAACTCGAATAACTTTTTTGTGTGAAAAGCTAAATTCACAATTATTTTTCTATGAGCACAGTTCACTTTTCTCTACATTTCGTCAATTGATCACATTTCATGAAAAAATTTTCTAAAAAAGATATAAAAATTCTGAGCTAACTCTGAAGTACACTTGCCCTTTCCTCTTTCCATTCATTTCTCATTGTCACTTTCTACACGGGCACAGCTCCTGGCACCTACAGTAGGCGCTGTTAGTCATCGCTGCACAATGTGCATATTGTGCATCATCATACAAGGTGTACAACACGAGGGAGGACGCAAAAAAGTTTGTGTGTGTGTGTGTGTGTGTGAGGGCGAGCCGCCGAGAATACTAAAGGGGCGCCGGAGGACGACGACGAAACGGGAGGCAAGGCGAGGGCAAACATTGAGCATACACCAGTGCTCCACACGGGCGCCAACCAACCACACAGCCTCGCCGTCGCCCTGGACACTTTTTTTTCGAAGGCGACGGAAAGAGGGGGAGGAAAAATGCGGGGCGGACAATATCAAAGGGATGGTTTCGCAAAAATTTCCGCTCTTTCGCGCGGCTAGGACAATGGGGTCGAGGTTGACGGACAAAAAAGCCATGAAATTTGGGGATCCTGGGGACACTGTCTAACTAGCGGTGAGGTCATGGGTTCCGGAACAAGAGGATATTGGGGATCCCTTGAGATGGTGCCATAAAGAATGGAAAATTGAATCCTTCTTCTTCTTCTGCTTTTCAGATTCACTTCTCTTCTCAAAGCCAAGGCCAGCCATGGCGGCAGAAATGGCGAAGCGGGATGAAAGAGAAGAAGAAGAAGAAGAAGAAGAAGAAGAAGTGGCGAGTGTCTGCGTCTCTTCCGCTTTTACACTCTTTCTCTCTACCTGATGCCATCAATTTGTGTGAAAGAAAGAATGACGGGCGCCGCCGCCGCCGCCGCCATGTTTCTTGGAATCCGTGGGGGACCAGAAGGGCGAGTACTCGAATACAGTAACCCATCCGAAAACCGACCCGTAAATCAGTGATAAAACCACTTTTATCACTCATAAACCCATTATTACCACCCGTAAATTGACACTATATAAGTCAACCAAAAGCGCCGCCCCCCTCTGCCTAGTTTTCGTGGCGTTCTGTTCCCTTTTGCCGGCTCAACCAGTTGGGACCGGTGCCGTGCCGTGCCAGGTACATGTTACTGGTCGATGCACCATGTTATCACTAGCCCACAAGGAGTTTACAGGATCCTAGGGAAATTTGGTCGATGCACCATAGTGAGAAAGGGAGTTTAGATGTGAGGGACTAGGATTTTGCTAGGCCACAGGCCTAATAGACTCAAGGTTCTCAGGATCTCTAGAAAGTTTATCGATGCACCATATCAATCCGTATCCCTTTGGGCCTACAATATTCGTCTCTGAGCCCGGATGCGTACAAATTACGCTAATAATCTCTGGGTGTGTGTGTGCGTGCCGAGGGGGGGAAGCGTGTGTAATAAAACTGAAAATAAATGCATTATCATCCATCCTTGAGCCATATTACTTCATCTTTTTGCAATGAGGATAGAATATTTCGGCTCTAGATTTAGGCAAACTCCCAAATATTGTAGTTTTCCGCAAATAGTGTCCCGTTCCTCGATAATCCGTCTCGTCGAGCTACGGATACGAATTATTGTGTTTTCCAATACAATCAATCAAATCCAGTGTGTGACGAAGTGATAATCCGCCTCATTCCCCCAAATTATTAATATTATTATTATTATTATTATTATCCCCCCACTCGGCTCCCATGTTATTAGTGCCACTTTTCGAGGAAGACTACTAGTCATAATTCCTCGCCGTCCCGCCGCCGCCGCCACTAATATTAATCGGAAATGTGGTTGGATGGCTCAGACGCTCACTATCAGCGCAGCAGAGTGATAATCATGTTTTTAGTTGGTCTTCTGGAATTCGGCGTCTCTTTTTGATCATGTGAAGACGGAAATTTGTGCACAAAATTGGGATTTCATGGCAATTCTAAACTTTGCGTGGGCGTATCTCTGTGAAAAATGATCGGATTGACACCAAACTTTTACAGAAAATACTTTGAAGTCTCTAGTACACTTTGTCCAAGTCTGGTGTCAATCCAATCATTTTCGGCCGAGATACGAACATACAAAGTTTAGCTATTGTCCGTCTCCATAGTTTCCGAACTTTGCATGGGCGTATCTCGACGGAAAATGATCGGATTGACACCAAACTTGGACAGCATGTACGTTTAAGGCTCTAGTACACTTTGTCCAAGTCTGGTGTCAATCCGATAGTTTTTGGCCGAGATACGCCTCGGCAAAGTTTAGCTATTGTCCGTCTCCATAGCTGCAAAACTTTGCGTGGGCGTATCTCTGTGAAAAATGATCGGATTGACACCAAACTTGGACAGAAAGTATTTTGAAGGTTCTAGTACTCTTTGTCCAAGTTTGGTGTCAATCCAATCATTTTCGGCCGAGATACGCCCCGGCAAAGTTTAGCTATTGTCCGTCTCCATGTCTGCAGAACTTTGCGTGGGCGTATCTCTGCGAAAAGTGGCTATATTGACACCAAACTTGGACAGTTAATACTAGTACCCACAAAGTTCAGCCTCTCCAAGTTTTGTGTCGATCCGTTCAAATTTGTGCACAGATACACCCACACAAAGTTCATAGTTGAACAAAACTTTTGATAAATCCACGTCATGCATGTACAAATAATGACGATTGTTGTTATTATTGTCATTATCCGATGCCTCGAAAGGTGTGCCCTCTTAATCTCCTCTCGCGGTCCGTCCCAAATCCTTGCATTCAATTACTGGCTGCCACTTATAATATAATGACTAATTCCTGCTCTCTCTCGCTTTGTTTTGGTCCCTTTCGATCGGACGGCACCTGCCCGACCTACCTACCTACCTACATATTTGCTCAATTCGGTGTGCTCCTCGCGGCGGCGGCGGCTCTCATTATTGTTATTGCCATTAGAGCTCTGCTTTCTTCTCCTTCTTCTTCTTCTTCTTCTTCTCCTCCTTCTGTGACTAATCCGGCGGTGATGCACCATGTCTCTGGGACTCATTTGGACCCAAATCTATAACTGTCCATGTCTTAGACGTGGCCTGAACCTTGGGACCAACTTGAGGACCTGTTCCTGTTCCTACCCAACTTTTAGGGACCGATCTGTAAAGTTTGATGACCAGCAACACACACACACACACTTTGACAAGTACGCAAGTATGTGTGTCCTCATTATCAAATCTGCTAATTAGGCAAACGGCTAACGAGCGCGCGGTCCCGGTCCGACCGGCACTTCCAATTCATTTTCAATGTTCGATGTATGTTCGCAATCGATAATTCTAATTCTAATTCTAATTACAATTGTAATTGCAATTGCGCGCGGCCCGCCGCCAGCCCGCAAGAGAAGGCGGTGACTAACCAAAGCGCGGGCAATTTATTCCGTGCGCGCTGGCCGATGCACCATGTTGTACACACTGCTTTGCTTTTCGATACTATCGCTTTCCCAATCGTTCGATTTCAATCGATATTTCGGGATTTTTGGTCGATGCACCATATGTCGAACTGGAAAAATTCAAATCAAGGTTGCTAACACGCTTTTGAAGAGATGAAATTTTATTCGAAACACATCCGCATTCGCATTCTTGTCCTCGTCGCCTAATTGTAATTGCAATTTCGATCGATAATTGGACACAGCCTCGGGCCGCGCGCACGCATTCCGCATTATCTAATTACTCGCTCCGACAACCTTCCTCACCACTATTCACGTCTATTTTGCTGATTAGCCCAAAATGTTGTATAGTTTTGAAGTTTTTGACTGACAATTTTGACTAAACTATCCTAAAACTTGTTATATTCTTGTTTCAAGGCGATATATCTCAGCTGGCGGTAAAATTTCAAAACGTTTTCAATTAATGAAATGTACAAATTTCTTGATGAATAATTTATCAGTTGACAACGTTTTGATATCCTCGCACACAACTGAGATACAACGTATTGAATAAACGGCGCCCAATTGAAAAAAACCGCTATTGTAGTTCTTCACATATCTCAGTGGCCGGTAGAGATATCAAAAACTTGTCAACTAAGAAAGTGTTTACTAGGAAATTGTGTACATTTCATCAGTTGACAACGTTTCGATATCTCTACACACAACTCTGATACATTTGCTCAAATTGTGTGAATTTCATAACAACACCCGCGCCGGCTCTCTCTTATCACTTGTATTTATTTATTTATTTTTTGCTGCTGCGCACTCACAACCTAGTTAGTTTACGTACAAAGCGCGGCTTTTTTTGGCGATAAAATTGGGGCCGACGGTCTCAAATTTCACTCACTCCTACACACACACACACACACACACACCAGCACCCCGTCTCGTCAATTTTTCATTCATGAACACACTCTACTTTTCTCGTCTCGGCGTCTCTTTAATTATTGTCCCACTCACCACTCTGCTCTCGTCAAGACGGAGCAATTGTCGACCAATTTGTGCGCGCGCGCGTTTTTTTTAAAATTTTTTTTGAAGCGGATTTTGTCTAGATTTTGTGATTCAGTTCAGTTGCTACAATTCTCGTCGTTCGCCCCCTCGTTCAATTTGCCACCCGAAAATTCCAATATTTTAATGAGGTCTTGTCAGAAAATCGTATTAGCTGGAGAACATGCTCCGTTGAGCATTTCTAACGCGGCACCACCTGATCTTAGACGTCGGCAACATGTAGGCTGTCATTAGCATGACGGTGGGAGTTGCGACAACTTGTGAGTTTGTAGGTAGGTTAGTATTAGTCCACAGCCTAGCAAGAGCTCAACGAAAGAGCACGAAAGAATTTTTTTATCTTTTTTAGAAAATTTTTTCATGAAATGTGATCAACTGACGAAATGTAGAGCAAAATGAACTCGGCTCATAGAAAAATAATTGTAAATTTAGCTTTTCCCACAATAAAGTTATTCGAGTTGTTCCGCGAAAAAAGGGGGCTAACGGAACAACTCGCATAACTTTTTTGTATGAAAAGCTAAATTCACAATTATTTTTCTATGCGCAGAGTTCATTTTTCTATACATTTCGTCAGTTGATCACATTTCATGAAAAAATTTTCTAAAAAAGATATAAAAATTCTTTCGTGTTTTTCCGCTCAACTCTGCAGCCTAGTCATAGTTTAATCTTCCTAAACACCTCCCTCCACCTTCTTTAGTATACTTAATCACATAATTTCCCCGTCTTCTTTTTCTTTTCAAAAAAGAAGACGATGATGATGAATCTTTTCATCATCATAATAGTCATAACTGCTCTGAATTGAATTGAATTGAATTGAATTGGCTGTCCATGTGTGTGTGTGTGTGCCGGGCCCAAATCCAATTCAAAGCACCACTCACTTTTTTCCCACACCCCTTCTTCTATAAGCAGCGTCCTTTTATTTATAAATTAGCTCTTAAGCAGTTGAAGATTTGGACTTGCTATACTTGAACTACAATATCGAGCAAGTGACGAATGATATGCGCCTTGTTTTCTATAAAGTTTATAGTAGTTCAGCCGGGCCCTATTTTCTAGGACGACAATATAAGAAATGATTCGTAATTCCTAATCTGCCCCCCTCCTTCCGACCACTTAACCACACACATACACACACACACGGGGGGCAATTAACTAATCGGGACGGGCCTTGGGGGCAACACAGAAAGGGAGAGGAAGAGAGAGAGAGAGAAGGAGTGTCCCTTTTCTCTCTCTTCCTCTCTCTCTCTCTCTCTCTATTCCTTCTTCCTCTTCTGCCCATCGTTTACCACTCGCCCCCGACGCGCTCTTCCTTTTTATTGGGCCCTCCGCGCTTTCGCTATGAGCCGACCCCATAACTTTGATTTTCCATCTGTATTGATTGATTTTTGGGGTTTTGGTGAGCCGTAATTACACAATAATTATCACTCAATTTGTGTCCGTATGGTGCATCGACCCGATCTCATTGCTCTCATTGATGCATTCAATCATAAACACACACACACATGGTGCATCCATCGGCCCAGTTTTTCACACTTTTCACCCATTTTCAGTCGATTTTCCGTGATTTTTCCGCTTCTCCACCCGGTTTCTCCCCATCCTAAACCGACACTTTTTGCAGCCGTTTCGTTGAAAAAACATGACAACTGCGTGTCGTGGCAGCATGTTCGTTTTGGTGAACGTCGACAAGCATCGCGATGTGATGGGCGATATTGTCAAACAATTGGTGAGGGTTTTTACAAAAATCGATCAAGACTTTATACAAATTGTATGGCAATGATCTATGTGCAAAGACGTTTGAAAATTTCAAGTATCTTGAAAGTATAGAACAGCACCACAATACCGTTCATTCAAGACGATATATCTCGACGGCCTATAAAGATATCAAAAAGTTGTCAACTGATAAATTGTTCATCAAAATCTTGTCTACATTTTATTAGTTGATCACTTTCTCATATCTCAACAGACAGCTGAGATACATAGGTTTTAGTATTGGGAACAGTTAAAGTGCCGGTCTTAATAAGACTAACTCATTAATTCCAGGTGACCGACTACGGAGTGCCCGTCTCGATCGTCGACAACGTGCAGAAGATCTGTCCAAAGTGTTCTGCGCCATCAGCGGAGCCGGATTGCTCCAGCTCCTCCAGCTCGACGACCTCCACCTCCTCCAGCTCGACGACGACAAACACGACGACAACCTCGAACTTCCTCCACAACTCGTCCTCCTCTTCCGACGAGTTCAACAACTCGCCCGACGAGCCGTTGACTCCACGGGCGGCTCCGAACAGTTTTGCGAATATGGTGGTGAAGTCGGCGCCGAGACGAGACGAGGAACACGAGCCGGAAGCGAAGAGGTCTCGGATGGAGCCGCCCGCCGAGAAAATGTTCATTCAGAAGACGATCAAGGAGGAAATCGTGCTCGGAGCATCGGGCGCCGAGATCGATTCGAACGAGGTGCTGGGAAACGTGTTGGCTGCTCTCCAGAATGGGTCAGTGTTTTTTAAATGTTTTCAAAAGATTCTTAGTTTAGGAAAATAGTGTTGTCAATAGTGGCTAAAGACTAAAGTTGTTGCCTGAAAGGGGTAATGCTCAGAAAAACGGCTATAACTCAATAGTAAAACATTTTGGTATAAAATGTTCAACTACAAAGTTGTGCGGCATAAAATTTACAACAAATTTTCTGTTGATTACTATTTGAAATAATTATTGTATCTCGAGATATAGGTGTCCAAAGATAAGGTACCGTTCTTGTAACTATTAGTCAGCAAAACGTCTATAACTTTGGAATAAAGCGTTTTCAAATAAAACCGTCAATTACAAAGTTGTTCAGCATAAAATTTCCAACAATTTGCAGTTGACAACTTTTTGAAATAAACAATAGCTCTCAAGTTATACACTGTCAAACTTTCAGATCTCACATGCACACGGATTTCACCGGAAGAGCGACCGGATCGGCGGGCAGTAGCGATGACGGAAACTCCAACTCGAGCCACATTTACGATGACGAGGATATGGTCAGTCTACACCTTTTTTTCTGACCCTACAATATTCGCTTTCAGAGAACCGCTCCATGGGCGAGTCCGGACTTTCTCACCAACTTCATCACCTCTCAACCGGACATTTTCGCGAATGGCGCCTCGAATTTATCGAAAATTGTAACATTTCCATCATATTTTTGTACGGCAAAAACCTTCAAAACGTTTGCAGATGAAACCGTCCTCGAATTGCTCCACTTCTAGCGGTTCGAACAAGAGAGGCGTTCCGCCAATGTGTAAGTTTTTCGAACAAAACTGAACACTTCCAAAAACCGAACAATTTCAGTGACAGTGAACGGAAAGACGAGACGTGGCCGCATTGTTTATACTCCAAACGAGTTGGTTAGTGATTCTGGCGGGAAAATAGTCCTAAATGTGGTCTTCGATGATCCAGGATCTGTTGATTATGTCCTAAAAGTGCCTCAGATAGCCTATGACTCATTATGGTGCCCTAGAAATGTCATTGTAACCTCAAAAATGTTCCAGATGGCCTAGAAACCTCCCAGAAACCACCAGACAGCCTAGAAATCCCTTAAGCGGCCTAGAAATCCCTTAAGCGGCCTAGAAATCCCTTAAGCGGCCTAGAAATTCCCAAAATGGCATAGAAATCCCCTAAATGGCCTAGAAATCCCCTAGACGGCCAAGAAATCCCCTAGACGGCCTAGAAATCCCCTAGACGGCCTAGAAATCCCCTAGACGGCCTAGAAATCCCCTAGACGGCCTAGAAATCCCCTAGACGGCCTAGAAATCCCCAAGACGGCCTAGAAATTCTCAAAATGGCATAGAAATCCCCTAGATGGCTTAGAACCATTCTAGAGGGCCTAAAAATGTTCCTACTGGCCTAGAAATCTCCAGGATGGCCCAGAAATCTGCTATACAGTCTAGGAATCCCCTAGATGGCCTAGAAATCCGCCTGGACAGCCTAGAAACCCCTCTGATGGTCCTGAAATCCCTAAAAGGCTCATAGAACCTGAACACCTTGTTTGTTTTTCCAGACCATTCTCGAAAAGTACTACGAAAAGGATCCGAACGCGTGCGCGGACCCGCACAAACGCGAGATGATGTGCAAAACGCTCGAGATTGACTATCATCGAGTGAGTAGCGACGCGTGTCGACGCCACGCCCCGACTTTCCTAGTTTTCAGCTCAAAGTGTGGTTCCAAAATCGGCGACGAAAGGACAAGGTGCGATCGCAAGAAGAGGCGGCGGCCAGTGGCACCAACGACTATTACGAGTGCCATATGTGATGAAACTGGAAAAAATCAGTGGAAAAAAGCTTTATGTTTTTGGTGTTGTTTTCCTTTTATTAATTTGCTCAGTGATGTCAGTGTGTGTGTTTGTGTGTGAGAGAACTCTTAATAAACATGTGTCCGGATGATACTGATCAATAATTACAAAAGTCTGAGCACCAAGCACTGACACGCTCCGCCGCTCTTCATAAATTCGCTCATGTCCACCTCTTCCACTTGCTTTCCACGTGATTTTAGAGCGTCACGCGTCTTCTCGGCGACTCCGATCGGCGAGATTACGGTATCACGGACTGTGATGGCGTTGCAGACGAACGCGTTCGCTTCCGCTTCCGAGACGGCGATCGAGTTGGGCAGACGGCGTAGGATCTGGAAATTACAAATCTTTTGGTGGCCGCTAGCTTTTGACCTACCTCCTTGTTGGTCGCTTCGGAGAACGCGGGCGGATAATAGAGAGAGGTGGTCTCATCGACGGGCGCGAAGCAAGTGTCCAAATGGTAGAAATTCGGATTGATCATGTCGCAGAGCACAATGTCAAACTTCCCGAGCGCCTTGATCCGCTCGTACACCGACTTGGAACTGCGCTCTCCGTAGCCGGCCCACAGCGTGTGACGGTCCGAGAAGACCGCGTCGCCGCCGCCCTCGAAGATCTCCTCGTAGGCCTCGCCGATCGTCGCCACGCCGTTCTTTTTGAACCACTCCAGGTAAACCGGTTGCTCACCGCTTCTGAATAGATTGTTGGTTTTTCGAGGCCACCGCCACGGCCGAACCGACCGCTCTTTGTGACGGAATCTCGACAGATAGACGCGATTATCGTAGACGAGACCGCTGTTGCACACGAACACTTGATCCGGAAGGCCGGCGGTCTGCTCCAAAGTGAGCACCCGGACGCCCTGACGCTCTATGGCCGATTTGAGAGAGTTCCACTGCTCGTGCGCCTTCTGCCGATCGACCACACCGCCCATCCACGGATTGATTGTGTACTCGACGGTGAAGTGCTTCGGAGGCACCATCAGAACGCGTTTGAGGAGGTGCGCAGCCGATTTCGACGATGACGTCATTTTCTGGAAAAATTGGAGCATTTTCATCAGATTTCGATTGAAACAGGATGGCCGTCATTTTCTAGCGAATACGAAGAGAAAAGTGTACAATAGCTTATCACTAGCACATTTTCGCAACCTTAAAGCCACTAAATTTGACGGTTTTCGAAGAAAAACAACAAAAAAAGCGTATTCGAGTGTGTGGCGTTGACTATTGTCGTTTGACGAAACGGCCAAGACACGACGTCTGTCTTCCCCTCCCCGCCCCCTCATAAATCGCAGTGGTCGATCGACGTCACTGCGAGGTTTATCAATGATTTATGATAGTGTTTCTATGATTGTATCATCTTCTTTTTGTTGCTGTACACCATGTATTATAGGGGCACCGGAGGACACAAAGGGCGCTCTGTTCGCAATCTCGCCGAATTTCTAGGCCTCGAAGTGATTTTCCACTGAAAACGTGGCCTAACTTTTCAAACTCGGCCCCGAGGTCGCTCAATTTGTACTGCAAAAAGAGTTTCTCAACAGAGCGAGTAAAAATAATAAACTAGGTAGATCGAAAGTGTACAGTGTCGTCAGGTAAGGTGTCGCGTCTGCAAACACCGTCACTCGAATTTCTCTAGACTTTTCGCTACACTCTACCCTCCCTTATCGCCAATTGCGTCGTCTACACTCGATTTGACCGCATAAAAGCGCAAAACCCACGTGTCTCTCGTCTCGTTTCGGTTTGCAGTCCAATTCTTCGATTCTCCGTCGCAAAAAAATGCCACGTTTGCCACGCATCGACTACTATTTCGACGTGATCTCACCGTACAGCTACGTCGGATTTGAGGTATGTTGACGAAGACGCGTAAAGCATTTAAAATTATAACTAATTTCAAAAAAATCGTACTGACTTGGTTCAACGCTCAAATTGTAGGTATTTGGATTGTTCATCAGGAAAATAATTTGAAAATTCGGCAAAATTTCGTGCTCTCGGCCCGGCCCGGCCCATCCCGGCTACTTTTTCCCGGCCCGGGGCCCTACTGAAATTTTGCCGAATTTTCTAATTACTTTTCCCTAATGAACAATCCAAATGCCTACAATTTGAGCGTTGAACCAAGTCAGTACGATTTTTTTGAAATTAGTTATAATTTTAAAACTGCGGGCCCGGCGACAAGTATGCGAAAAAGTAATGGGATTATTCAGGCTGTGAAAAAAATGATTGTTTTCCGTTTTTTTCGTTTTTTTACGTCAAAAAATCCAATTCAGCGTTGTAAAAAAACGAAAAAAAAACGGAAAACAAACATACGCTGAATAGCCCCATAAAGTGGGGAACAACTGGCTTCAATTTCAGACTTCAAGACCACAATTTATTGAATGAGAACCCTTTTAGACACAATTTTGCAGGCACTGAACCAACTGCAACACCAGTGGAAGGGCGTCTCCGTGCGCTACATCCCCTTCTACCTGGCGTCGGTGATGAAAGAAGCGGGGAACCGGCCGCCGGCATTGGTGCCGGCTCGCGGCGCCATGATGATGACTGATCTCGGACGGACCGCCAACTACTGGGGCATCCCGCTCACGTCGCCACCACTCTTCATGGACTGGATCCGCAAATACCGTACCATCGACGCGATGCTCATCCTCCTGGTGCTCGAGGATCGGGATCCGGGCCTGATGGCGCGTGCCGCCCGCGAAATGTGGCTCCGACTATGGTCTCGCAGCGAGAAAATCTTTGAGGAGCACGATTTTATGGAGATTTTGCGAGCGGTGGAAGTGTCGGACGCGGCGGCGGTGATTGCGGAGAGCAAGACGGAAAAGTACAGGCAGCGGCTGACGGAGAACACGGAAAAATGCAAGGAATTGAGTGTGAGTCGGCGCATTCTTATAATATCCGGGAAGTGTGTGTTCTAGGCCTATGGAGCTCCGTGGATCAACGTGCTCACTTCGGACGGCGCCGAGCACTCGTTCTTCGGCTCCGATCGTTTCCATCTCATCGCCGAGCTTCTCGATCAGCCCCAACCCCTTCCGCACCGATTGTTCAATAAGAAATCGAATTTGTAAAGTCTAGAGATGTTTTATGAGCCCAAGCAATAAACGAACACGTTCACCTGTATACTATTGATCCGAGGCAGAGGTGGACAATACTCTAACCTCCATTTTCCTCGTTCATTTGCCATTAATGGATAATATTATCAACTACAACGTCTCGGTGCATGCCACCAATTTGAGGAGCAAAATTAAGGTTTGTTCTTTGTTTTTCCCTAGAACTACAGTACCCCTCCTACAGTAATCCTCGAATTTCAGATCGCTCAAGCCCTCCAATATCTGCTCACAACGCCTATCAACCTGTCGATTCTCCAAAAGTTTGAGATCAAAACCGTCACCGTGCCGATTCTGAACGTTCCGGAACATTCGGAAAGAGCGCAAAAGCTGCTGAACCACATAAATCGTCTGGAAAAGTCGGAAAATCTGGACGGAATGGCGTTGGAAGTGCACGAGGAAAATTACAGTGGAATGGATCCCGAACTCGACGAGGAGGTGGCCCGGGTCATGGGTCAGGAGGAAAATGAGCCGGGGCCAGAAGTTGGAGACGTGGAGCAACGTCCGAGCGCCAGAATGTACACGGAACAGTGTCAGGACTCGCCGAGACAGGCGGCCGAGCGACGCAACTTGTGGGCAACGATTTTGGAGCAGGAAAGAGGCGAGCCGAAGACGCCGAGCCCGAGTCCAAGACCCTTTGGCGGGGACATCAAGATTTGTGAGGTAGGCCAACTTTGACCGTGTACCATGAGGCCAGGAGATGTTCTATGCGTTTCAAATTTTTTTTGTGAAAACTTGACATCTTGTACTACATTTTTCGAGTTGATCACATTTTTCTACAACCACTTCTAAGAGTACTGTAGCTCTTGGAAGTTAGGATTCATTTCAAGCAGTTGAAAAGCGCGCCAACTTTAAAGCGCTACAGTACTCCAGGAAGTGGTCGTAGAAAAAAGTGGTCAATGGGAAATATGTTGTACTTACCCTCAAGCTTCCATATAAAAAATTGTGAAGCTGTGAGATTACTGTAACTACAGTACCATCGCTTTTTTTGCAGACTCCTCGCTTCAACCCGATCAATCGTCAAAACAGGCACATCCGCGGCAAATATCGTCCGATTTCAATGTTCGGACTCTTTAAAGACTCTGTCTAACTGATATTCAATACTTTTAAAGATGAGTTCGTCATTTCTTTATTTGAAAACATTTCAATAAACACATGTTTCTCAAGCCTTGACCATTCCACCGAACACTTGATACAAAGCGAACGATCCGTCTGGCATCTGCTTCTGAGAAACTTTTCGCAGTAGTTCAGATCGTGCTTCACATTGAGCGTTTCAATAATGCTCGGCGGGTTGCCCATCTGAAAAAGGTTCGATTGAAGAACTTTGAAAGCGTGACGGGAAACAGAAAGACATCCGTTGGGTACCGTTTATTCAAAACGATATTACTCAATTGCCGGCAGAGATATCAAAAAGTAGTCAACTGATAAAATGTTCATTAAAAAATTTTGCACATTTCGTCAGTTGACCACTTTTTGATATCTCTGCCCGCTGCTAAGATACACCAACTCACATCATAAATCAAGAACGCCCACTGTGGTTTGTTGACGAAATAGTTCAGCGCCTCGGCCATAGTGTCTAAATCGTCGTACTGCGCGACGACCTGATCGACAGTATCCGAAACTGAATTGTCGGCGCAAAAGTCTTTAAAAAATGCAAAAATTGGTTTAGATATTGTCGTCTTACTGTACGGATCGTCGTCTCTCTCGTTCGGCACTCCGCCGATCAGCTCTTTTTCGATTTTGACTCCCGATTCTTTGTGGTGAAAGCGACGCACTTTGTAGGTGGCTGAATTGTGTCTACCGTAATCCCAACCGCCGTACCCCGTCACTCACGAACTGCCGTCGAGGTGTTGGCGAACTGGAAGCGCACGGCCGCCTTGACCGATTTTCGGTCGGCACAATGAGTGATGCACCAGTTTGGACTGAAAACGGACAGTTTGCTACCGAGAACCGAGAAGGTTTTTACCGAATAAAATCGAGTCCGGAAGAGCGAAAGTCCTGAATCGGCACCGCTTTCTGCGTGGACTCATCGCCCTGCGCCTTGTAATTGCACACGTTTCCCTGGGGAGCAGTAGTTGGTCCCGGTGCTCCGAGAGCCAAAACCGACAGGCACACGCTCAAAACTACCAGTTTCATCTGGAAATACGAGGTGATGAAACTACATATATACAAAATTATGGAAATGTGGAGTTGAAAAGTGGCGGGGCGGGGAGCCGGTCAAATTAGCCGCGAGTTATCAGTTATCAGTCCACATTGGCATTGAGAGAGTGAAATAATAATTGGTGATAAGAGTTCGGGACGGAAATTAGAATGATGTCATTTGGCAGGAAGCGTACAATATCGCGTTTGAGCGGATATTGTTGATCTGGGAATCGAGTTGTTTGGAGCATTGATTTTGTAGTTGTACCAGAGATGTTGGGAATAAAAATTTTACTCTACGGAACACGGAACACGGAACACGGAAATTTTTTTTTTACGGAACACGGAACACGGAAAAAATATTGAAAAAAACGCGGAACACGGAACACGGAACACGGAACACGGAATTCCCAACATCTCTGGTCTGCACGTCCTCCTAGGACCGCTGCATAATTCGTTTCGAAAAGGTCACGTCTTCTGAAGCGCCCAAAAGTGTAGAAAGGGGGGCGTGGCCTAATCTGAGACGCGTTTTCTGAAAATTGCCGCAATTCCAGCACACTTTTCCGATATTTTTGTGTGTGTTGATATCGACGAAAGAAGAAGAAGAAGACATTAAAGAGAGGAGAAAACATTGAAATTTTCGGGAAAACGTCGCGTTTGAGACGTTTTTGGCTTTTATTTTAAGTATTTTAAGCGTTCAAACGGCAAAAACATTTGACAAAACTGAACCACTTGGCTCATGTGTGCTCTCCACTTACTTTGAAAAAAAGACATTTATACTGAAATTTCTGATAACAAAGTGAGGCCAAAAAAGTAAAAAACAGTCTGCGTTCGGGGGGAATCGAACCCCCGTCGAATGCTTGGAAGGCATCCATGCTGACCATTACACCACGAACGCGGCGAGGGAAGCCGAGCGGCGGGGCGATGTCATGTAGCGCGCCGCCGCGGATTTTTGATGCAATCGAGACAAAATAAGCATTTATTCACATAGAAAACCCGTCGAAATGTACATTATCCGTTTATTCCCTCGCTTTGAGATGCATCCAAACACTGTCCGGCTGCGTGGTGGCCCTTCCGACCAACTTGAGCGGGATGCGAGTGCGGGCGCCCGGCTGGAAGGTGTACTTGCGGAGGAGATGAGCCAGGAGCAGCTTCTCCTCCATATAAGCGAGCCGCATTCCGATGCATTGTCGCGGTCCCAGTCCGAATGGAATGTAGCCGCCGCTTTTATGCTGCTCCGCCGCGCCTTCCCATCTTTCCGGCCGGAATGACTCCGCGTCCGCGCCCCAGATCGACGGATCCGTGTGCACGGTCCACGTGTCCACTTGGATCATCGTTCCCGGTTCTATCGATACGTCGCCGAGCTGGGTGGCTCTCATGCACTTCCGCGAGTTGGCACTGAAGCGGATAAGGTTGGTTTCACTAAAAAGTAAAGTGAAACTTACAGTGTTCCCAGTGGATACAACCGGAGGGTCTCTTTGATGACACAGTCCAAATATTTCAGCTTTGTCAGTTGATCGAATGAAATTTCGGGGTCCGGACACTCTTTGTCCACTTCTTCTCGCACTTTTTGTTGAATTTCCGAATGAGTGGCCAACAAAAACGTGGAAAAAGAGAGCGAAAGGGCGGTTGTGTCGAAGCCAGCGATGAGGAAAACTGATAGTTGACTCACAATCTCCTCTGTAGTCAATTGACGATTCGTCTGTAACTCAATTACATAGATTTACACGGATATGAGTACTCACATAGCTACTGCTCTTGCTGAAATCCTCATTTCCCTCCCCAAAGTGTTGCACTTCATCCGCACGCGCATCCAGGAACAGATCGATGAAATCCTGCGGCTCCCCCGCCTCGATGCCCCGTTTTCCGTCCTCTTCTCTCTGTTTCATCCGATTCTGCACCGCCGCGACCATGGTTTCCGTGATGTGAATAAAGTGTCCGGCGCCGAGAAACGGCAGTTTCAGCATGAAGAATCGGAAAAACTGGGCGAATGCGGGCAGAATTCCGCCAATGAGGAAGATGTGTTTGCGGTCCTCACCGAAAATCTAAAGATGAGATTGATGATAAAGTTTGAAAGACTGAAACGAATGTAAGTACCGCTTTGACATGTTTCAACAGTGGATTTCTGAATTGCAGGGATCCGATTTGGCCCATCGCAATTCGACCGATCACATCCATTGTGAACTCTTGATAGAATCTGGAAAACAGAGGCTTATAACGATTGTGTTGGCCTAGAAAACAAGAGATATTTGTCTCACTACGCTTATGCAAACCCTCAACTCACTCCAACATGTCAATCTGTTGCCCTCCGGCCGTCTGCTCCTCAATGTGTCTCAACAATTCCATCGCACAATCCTCCACCGTCTCGTTGATTTTTCTCAGACTGTTATTCGAAAACGTGGGACTCGATATCGCTCTCAATCTTTTCCATCGGAATCCCTGCGCGTTGAACAAATTGATCCGCTTGTCCTTGTCCGGATCTCCCTGGATCGGATTCAGTTTGCGTCCGTAAAAGTTGTCGTACTGTTTGAGGAACACCTCCTGAATCATGTCCGGATCCGAAATGACCAGTGTCTTGATGGTTCCCTCCGTGAATCCGTACACGCTTCCGTACTCTTTTGTCCATTTTTTCAGCTGCAGGTACGGCGGGTTCTGGCTGTCCAGCGTTTTCATGAAGACGCCGAGAATCGGAAAGCCCATGGGTCCGGGGATGCCACGTCGACGCCAATATGTCCATGTGAACAGGAAGTAGCTGGAAAAGGGTTCAGATTGAGAAAGTGTTGAAAAAGAATGGAAAAAACCTCAAAAATCCGATGAGAATCGTTGGAATCGCAAGTAATATCACGCTCATTTTCTCTTTGGTTGACAAGACCACTGGCCAAATCTAACCTATTTATACTCGTGTCCGCGCAAAATCGATCACAAAATGTCTCGTTGTGGTTTGTGTCGCGGTTCTCCGAGTGACAGGTTAGATCAACATTTAGCGAGTCACAAGTGTGTCTAGTCCAATGTTAACTGTGTTCTTATGTGTAGCTAGTCGAAAAAATCTGTATTTATGTACATAAAACTGATAAAAAAAAGAACAGTAAAAAAAGGTGTCAGACCGGACAAGATCCGTTCAATCGGCTCAACGAGTCCGAAATCTGATCAATGATCTGGTCGATTCCGGATCCGGTGGATGCGTCGCAAAAGTGGAAGTTATGTTGGAACGGGAGGGCGTCGAGTTGGGAGAGCAGCGCGTCCATGTGACCGTTCAGTGTGGAGCCGCTGTAACGAAATCTGTGATATCCGCACTTTGCGTGGGTGTATCTCGGCGGAAAATGATCGGATTGACGTCAAACTTGGACAGGCGGTACTTCTGGGTTCAAAATTAAGATGATTATGACACTTTTTGATCTCAAACGCTCCGAGAGTCTTCAACAATTTCCGAGTCATAACCAGACACGATTCTCTTAAAAACGAACTCTTTCCGGTTGATGGCCACAAAAACGGGACAAGTGCCGACGAGTGGGTCGCTCATCACTTTGTTCAGCTCTCTGATCGCCTCCGTGAATCGCTCCACCGCGTGTCCGTCGATCACGTAGAAAATTGCTGAAAATCGCGAAATTTGCCAATGTTGGCCGGGCATTTTGCGCGCTCACCCTGCGTGTTCGTATAATAGTGCTTCCAGAGGTGTCGGAGTTTCGGCAGACCGCCCACGTCCCAAAAGTTGAAGCGGTAGTTTTTGTAGTGAATCGTTTCGATGTTGAAGCCGATCGTCGGGTACGGCGCCATCACCGCGTCGATCGCCACTTTTTTGAGCCGCCGCACAATGCTCGTTTTGCCGGCGCCGTCAAGACCTAGAGAACCGGGGGTTGATTGATGATATATTTGCACGAATGTTTTCATGGCCTAGAATCCTCCGACTGTCCGTCAAACTGACCCAAAAGCACGACGCGCGCTTCGATGAAGTCGCCAATGTGCAATTTGCGGTCGGGGGCGAACGAGAAGGCGATCCGGGTGGTCAGCTGCGACGAATCGGGCACGCCCATCGGCTCGGCGACCGTCGATTCGGCCAGCGCCAGCAGATCGTCCTTCCGGTCGAGAATCTTCCCCTTCTCCATGATCAGCGCCCTTTGCAATGCCACACACGTCGCTCCGATCTTTATCGAGTGCGCTTCGAGCCGCTCTTTTAGATTGGAAAGGGTCTCGACGCGATTCTGCGCGTAACTGTCCAGGGTATCTATGGCGGTCGATTCGTCGCGATCCAGGGCGGAGCGGAGACGGCGGAAGTGGTTGCGCACCTGGAAAACGAGTTCTTATTGCTGCTTTTTCAAAGAGATTTTTGTTCCTCAATTTGTGCTTGTCGTTGACAAGCTTTTTCGCCTCCCCGACGTCTCGAAACGAACTTTCACAACGCAAATTATCGCCAAGTTCTCCACGTTAGCTGCGAAACGTCGAGAAGCCGCTAGCTGACCTATATAACCCCCCTCTAGATCCGTACCCCTTGTCTGGTATCCTCGAGTGTTCCGTCCTGTTCCCCGGGTGTCAGATCATGAATCGAGCCGTTGATGAGCAGCAGCGAATTGTCGACCGTCTCGGCCTTTTTCGTCAGCTCGCCCAGATGCTCGCGCACTTTCTCCCTCAGCTCCTCGACCTCCTTCTCGATGAGCACGTGCGCGTGTCCCTTGTGCCGTCCGTAGTCCCTGCACATCAAACACATCAGCGCGCTCTCGTTGTCGCACGACACCTCTTTGCAGAAGAACTCGACGACGTAGGAGGAGTGCAGTTTGCAGTGCACTTGCGGCGGCGGCTTTTCGCTCAGCGGGATTCGTCGGTGCCGCGAGAGGACGTTCGTCGAATGCGACGTTTCGGAGCACCGCTCGCAGAGGTTACTGTCACACACGGTGCAATAGATGACTGCCACGTGTTCGGCGTGCTCGTCGCACTCCACATTTAGAATACGTTCGCGCGCGTAGCGGTCCGAGCGCGGCGAGTCGGCGGTCCTTTCGACCACGGTTCCGTCGGCGATCTTCTCGAGCAGCTCCAGAAGGGCAAAGTTCTTTTTGAGATTCTGCACGTCGCCTCGCGGAATCGAAGTCGTCGTTCGGTCAAATGGACAGTAGAGGATGAAACTGGTGCCGGCGATCGACGTGGCGCAACTGTGACAGATCGTGTGACCGCACCCTGAAAAATTTGTATTTTGTCTCATTTGTCGGGAGCTTTATCGGGAAAATAGGGCTAAATTCAATGCGTTTCAGCAAATTCTCGGAAAAATTCACTTCTTCCCCGGCCGCGGCCTAACTTTTCCCATTTTTCATTTTGTAGGCCACAAACCTGTCAACACGCGCGGCGCTTTTCCGGGAACCGTTGTCGAGTATTCGTCGTTGCACACGTTACATCCATACTCGTTCATCTCCTTAACAAAAAACAATGTTTCAGTTAAGATTTTTAAAAGATCAAGAGAAATAAGATAAGAGCGGTGTTTACAACCGTAAAAAATCGCGAGAAGAACACAACAAATAGAACACGTGTTTATTTTCCCTGAAAATACTCATAGACAGCATTCGTATCGGAAAAATCGGCTCTGAGTCGTTTCTTGATGCGATCCTCTCGATTTTTCTGTTTTTCCAGCATTTTCTTGGTCACCGGCGCCTTCTGAATCCGCTCGTTTTGTACGGCTTTCGGGTCGCGCGGCCCGAAGTGCGTCACTTTTTTCGGCAGATTTTCGAGGCCCAGTCCGGTTCGGTTCCGCTTCAGAATTGTTCGAATCTGGAAGGAAAAATGTTGAGCAGTCTAGTTTTCCGCCTATTTCGAGACTTTACCCGCAAAATCTACAACATGGTCTGGGTTTTCCTCGGCCAACATCGTTTTCGGGCTCTAACTTTTTCAAAATCGATTTTCGAGCATAGCTCTAACAGCATTTATTGTTCAGAATAAAATTCTGCGTCGATTGAGATACACCACGCCTAGGGTGCCTAAAATGCTCACCGGAAAGCGGTGTCCGTCGGAATTCCGTCCGAGACCCTGTTCCTCCGTCCATCCACTGGCGCACATCAATCGATATCCAATGTTGGACGGTCCCAACTGTATGCCCGTCTGCGGCGCCGCTCCTTTCCACTTTCCGTCGTTCAGCTGGTGCGTTATCGTCGAAATGTGCTCGGTGAGCTCGGATTCGCCGAAGAACGTGTTGCACGCGTCGCAGAATGACATTCGATCGGGTTCTCGGCTCGTCGAAGGGATGTGGCTGCAAAAAATGGGAAAATGACTTAAGACATGCAGAAAAATGTAAAATGAACTTGATTTAGCGCAAAATTCTGCGTCGATTGGTATACAACACAGTTCACTTTCAAACAAAACAATGCTGCTCACCTGGAACAATAAAAATCCATCAACTGTTTCACAAATCGATTCTGTCCTTTTTCTCGTGCAATATCGAGGATTCCGCGGCCACGCGAGTCCCGAACTCCAGGCTCCGCCCCTTTTTCCAGCAAGAGGCGGCAAACTTCGAAATTTCCCTCGGCCGCCGCGCACATTGTCGCCGTCCAGCCGTAGAAATCCGGCAGGTCTATGGGCACTTCTGGTAATGACTTTTTTTGTAAATGTTCATGAAATTCCCAGAAAAAAACCCACTCTTCTCTCTCAAAAGTCGTTCAATTTCCTCCAAACTCCCGTCTTTTGCCGCTTTCAAAAAAGCGTTCAAATCGCGAATTTCGCACTTGCTCCGCGAATGTTCCGGTTCTTTTTTGATTTCCACCTCATCCACTATTATTATCTCGTCGTCCTCCTCGATTTTCACTCGAGTTTTCGTGTCTTCCGCGGATTTTTCACTGTTTCTAGCGGTGGATGTGCCAATGATGCTCCGAAGGTCCGAATTTGAGGTGGAAGGGTTTGAGGGGGCTGAAAAATGAGTTTTTCAAAAAATTTGGTGTAAAGTCTTGAATTTACAGGCTTTAAATGTGTTTTTGAGCTTTTAAATTAAAATTTCTGCCCGGGTTTTTGAAAAATGGCCTAGAAACCCGTCTTGTCGGTTTCTAGGTAAGATTTTCGGAAACTGGCCTTAAAATCAATTTTGTCGAATTCTAGGCCACGAACCTTTTAGAATATCATCCGAATTGTCCGTCTCCACCGTTTCTTCCGCATTTTTCGCTCTCACAAACGTGACGCGTCGGTCCGCATCCAAATTTCCCAAATTCTGGGGCGGAAGCTCGTATTCTGAGCTTATCATCTTCTAGAAAATTATGGAAAAAAATAACAAATCAACGCTCCGCATAAAAAGTATGAAGATGGGTTCTGAATACCGTAAACATCACAAAAAAAACCCCGATAAAATTGGAATATTTTTAGAGATCTTTGAGAAAACAAAAGAGTTCAATGCATCAATGGTCCATCGGTTCGTCCTTCGTCTCCTGGGTTACTGTATTTCCTGGCTCCGCCGCTTTTTCAGCTTCTTCTTCTACCGAATCTTCTCGAAACGGCGAATAGAGGTAGAGGTTCGTGTGCGCCTGCAAATTCGGTAACATGTTGAAAAATCTCATTACAAAAAATGCAGAAACGTACAGTCTCGTCGTCCTTGGCCTTTTTCTCTTCCTCCACGACACCGCCCTCCTTCTCCTCCTTCTCCTTCTCTTTTTTCGACTCTTCTTCCGCTTTCAGCTCATTTGCGGCCGCGTGCAGGTAGCCGCGGTGCTCGAACGACGGAATTATCACTGCAAACAAAACATATCACTGCAATGCCTCGAGTAATCTCTCAAGGAACTTTCCCCCGGACGTGGCCTAACTTTCCCTCGGACGTGGCCTAACTTTCTCTCGGACGACGCCCAAAACTTCTATTCGTTTAGCAAAAAGCACGATTTTAGAAAAAGTTCAGAAAATGCTCTTACCATGACACCACTCGGGCAGGTACTCGAACGTCGTTTTTTCCTGCATAAATTTCAGCTCGTCCGCTTTTTCGTCGCCCAAATCCATTGTGCACGAGTCGAGTTCGATGAGCTCGTCGAGCAGTTCATCCATGTTCCAGTGGTCTGAAGCTAAGAGAAAAGTGATTTTTAAAAATAGCAATGCTTTCACAATTTGTTGAAATTGTTTCGTGTCTGTTCACTGTCCGAGTCCCAACTCTCAGAACAGCCTATAAACAGAACAGCGCGTAGTTAAAGCTGTGGCCGTGGCCTAGAGAACTCAGGTGTGAAAGCTCTTCCAGTCTGGTGCTCTTGCACTATACTTATGTGTGTGTGATTGTTTGGCAACGTTTGAAGAATGTGCCAAAAAGGGTCACATGGCCTAGGAGTTTTCTAGGCCACGGCCACTACTTTAACTGCGCGCTGTTCCGTTCATAGGCCATCTTGAGAGTTGCGACTCACTTGTCAGGCAGTTCATTCAGACAGACACATAGACTCGCACAATTCCCTGGTCCTTCAAAAACAGTCAGAAAAATTGACTTACATTTGAGCGATTCGGCTCCGTCACCACAATTGACTCGTCTGTCCGTACTTTCCGACACTTTATCGCTTTCCTTCAAATCCACCTCCGTCGCATCCGTCAAATGGATCCGCTGGCCGAATTGATCGATGAGGGCTCCGTCCGAGCACATGCACACCAGTTCGGCGCCGTTTTTCAGCTCCTGGAATTGCATACAAAATTACAATATGAAAAAAGTGGAAAAGAAAAAAACGTTTTCCGCATTTTTGCCTGAAAACTCACAAAATCATCGATGAGATCCTTCTCGCGCAACATTTTCCCCACATTTTTCACCTCCTCAATCTCGTTGGTGTTGAAAAGGTCTCGGAAAGCGACGAACGCCTCTTGCATCCGTTTTTCGTTGCTTTCCTCTTCGAACTGCAAAACAACTACTTTTTACGGTCAATTTTTGCGAACAAGGCTACCGTCTTCTGCACTTGTTCGTGAATAATTTGCTCGAATTTCGCGAAAAGACACAGTGACGGCCACGTGCGAATCATGTAATTCACGAGCGAATTCACTCCGTTCCTCTTTTTTTGCGCCATCGCCTCGCGCACTTTTTCGTAGCTGAAATCCGGCTCTTCCACAATCTTAAATCGATTTTTTAAAGGTTTACAATTCCTAGGATTTTGCGGCATTTTCCAGCACTTACCTCGGTTTTAATGTACGTGTGCGGGTCCGGAAAGGGTGGAAGCCAGTCGAAAACGTAAGAAGGATGTGGGCGGGGCGTTCCGATACGGAAAGACGACGGTTTCGTTTCCGGGCGGTACGTTTCGGCTGCAAAACACTTTTCTGAGCTGAACATTGACGATAATCGAGAGAAACTTACGAGCATGCACAGTGAGTGCGCTGGCGGCCTGTTCGAGCAGAAATCCGTGCAGGCTGTTCACTTTGATGCCCATATTCACGAGTGCGAACCAGACGTCGCCGGGACTGACCAGGGTCCGTCCGGCAACTTCGCAAGCCAGTCGCGACTGCTCTCCGATGCGTTTTATGTCTGGAAATTGGGAAAAATGCAGTGCTGGACAAATTTCGGCACAGGCTATTTGAAGATTTGAACTTCTGGCCCACTTGCAAAGATCCGACCGGGTCCAAACTTTGCAGGATTTTTAGGCTTGGTTTGAAGTATATTGGGACCAAGTTTCAGATCGATCCGAGCATTTTCTAGCAAGAAAAACTTACATGTATGAAAAAGAAGCATGAGAGTCTCGAGGGCGCCCTCCTCGATGTCATCGAATCCGCTTTTGTAGCACATTGCAGTGACGACCTGCTCGAGCACATTATGGTAAGCTTCGTTGACGATCGACGGAAAATAATTGGCGCCCACTTGCTTCTGAGCCCGAGATTCTCCCGTTTTCGCCGGAATCGGAGTGCTACTGTGAGATGTTTTTTATTGGATTAACTTTTCGGTTTTTTCAAAAAAATTCTGGTGTAATTACCTTGTGGGCGGTGGAAATTGTTGTGGCACTTGTTGTTGGGGTACGTAGGCGTGCACCGGATAGAAGTTGCGCGGCGGAATCACCCCACGACGCATGAATTGGCTTTGTTGAGGGTGCATTCTGAGAAAATCGCAATCATTTTCACATTTTGACGTGGAAAATCGAGAAACAACGTGAAAATCAATAAAATCAATAGGTTTTTTACGCGAAACGTGCTCGAAAATGGTGCAAGATGAAGAAAAATTGGTGTGGATTTACGATTGCACTAAGCCGCGCGCGCAGGCGTCATTTCGGAGTCTCGTAGTTTTCTTTTTCTCTAACCCTCTCGCGTACGTCAATTTTCCAGCGAAAAAAAACAGGAAATCGCGAAGAAAATGGAAAATCGGACGAGGAAAAAGCGAAAATCTCCCAAAAATAATAACAGGTAAACGAGCCGATGCATCATGTGTCGAACATGTAATTATTTTCGGTCGAGATCTTTGATTTTACACAAAACACTTGCCCTCAATAAACTTTCCAGTGTCAGACGCCTTTCTGGGCGCGTTTGCAGGAGAAAATGCTAAAAATAGTTGGGCAGCTGAAAGATATGTTCCGGAAAAAGTGCTCTATTCAAGCCTCTCAATTGCAAGACAATTATTCTGACAAGAGCAATTTTATCCGGGCTCAAAGTTGTGTGACACTAAACATCGACGTTTTGTTCGAATGCAACTTTGTTCTTCTACTAGACGCCTTCCAGCGGCGCTTGAACCCTTTAATCTGTAAAATTTGCAAAACGCGATTTTCACCCCGATCTCTGCTCCAAATTATGGCCCACAATCACGAAAAGTTCTCGCCCTGTGCTCACAGACGACGTCGTCTGGCATTTATCTTCCTGCTCGTGTGTGCGCGTGCTTTGATTTCCGCTTGATCAGCACACCTTCTACATCTCTCTTTCGCTTTCTCCTTCTATGACTTCTTTTCGCAATTTCGTTACTACTCACGGTCGCTAGGCGCCTTTTTCTTTGTTTTGTTACCCAAAGCCCTCATCAATGTGTGTGTGTGTGTGTTTCCGAGTAGTCCTTTTTATTTACTGCGAATAGAACGTCTCTAAAACCGATACGTCGAGACTACAAGACACGCAAACAAGTCAGGACTGTAGGTAACGTTAAAGACCACATTTTAAAATGCCCCGACTTGTCTAGTTTGAAGCTAGGAACGCAGAGTTATGAAAAATCTAAACTTGCAAAACATCAGTTTCAGAATTTCGGCCAATCGGCTGTTTTTGAAGTATTCAGGAATTCCGCAGTCAAATTCCAATGTCTACAACACACAAATTCCTTTTGAAACACCTGCTCTTTATACATTTTTCGCTGCTCAAGTTATTCATAAGCCTTCTTCTAATAAATGAACCACCACACAGAAATATCGTTTTCCCTGTCCCATATTACCACTTCCGTCCCTAGAGAAAGAGAGAGAGAAAACACGAAAAACAGAACTCACTTGATTCTGATTCTGATGTCAGCCAAAGATGACAAATCACGAATGTGCTCCCGCTAGTTTTCCTCCAAGGCGCCGCGCATGACGGAAAATGCACCTGCACGGCCGGGTTAACTCTAATTTCTCCAATCTAAATTCTCCAAGCATCCATGTTCTACATTTCCTAAGCCACGCAAAAAAGTTAATTCCGTTGCGGGGAATCGAACCCCGGCCTTATGGGTGAGAGCCATAAATCCTAACCCACAGGTGAATCGCGAAAAGTGTGGAATTGGTTCGCGATTTATCCCAGATTTTTTCTCCAGGTACACGCGATGAAGCGAATTGTTGATTAATAACTGACAAATCGCGAACGGGCATTGTATAATTGACAAATCCTGCGCAAATCGCCCATTGTATAACAAGCCAATTTTTCACAAATCGCACTTGAGACGAGATAACTTTATTAAACGAAAAAAGTAACAAAATAACAGAATGCAATGTTAGAGACAAAAGAAGAAGTGAAAGAAAAAATCGAAAAAAAAAGAATTAAGTAGAAAATCACGTAACAGTCGGCGATTACTTCTGCGACTCCGTCCTCATGCTGAATGTGTTCATCTTTTCTTTCCTTTTCGAAACGTCATCGTTTTCTTCCCACACACTATTCGAAGACGAACATTGACTGAAATTGAATGATTGATTTTCTTTGTATCCTTCTGAATCTCACCGTCCAACGACCACGTTGTTCGTTTTTGCGAGGAATAGGCCGTCTGACACTGTTCGAACTCTGCGCCCGGCACACTCGAATCACTTTTTAAATCTTGGTCGGCATTAATAACTTCCAGTTATTCTTCTCTTTTTCTAAATTCGTTCGCATTATCTTAAATCTTTTTTCTCATGCAATTGAATCAAAAATCCATTTTCTCACCTGCGGCTGTCTGTTTCTGGAAGTATTAGTCGTGGCAATGAACCATAACGAATTGAAATGCGAAACCTGTATGCTCTACTTTGGTTTAATTACATAAAAAGCATGCGAAATTGCAATAAAAAAACCAACGAAAATATGAAAAAATCACAAATGTTTGAATGCAAAAGCAAAACTCAGAGTGACCAGCCCGTTCGCCGATTTGTCGATTGTGCACCCTCGTTCGCGAACTTGTCAATAATTCACTAATTATACATCAATCGCGAACAAGCGCGATTTCTTTATTATACACTGTGTGGTGCGCCAATCTGCTTCTCATCCCGTTCGCGATTTGTTGATAATTTGTCTACAATTGGCTCAATTGTATAATTGATCAACCGCGTTTCACCTGTGCCACTAGACCACAACGGACACGGAAATCCGCGAGGCCGAGGGTAATCACAAGAGTGCGGGTCGGCGGCGCATCGCGGCAATTTTTAAGTGTAACATCTTGTCGATTTCATTGAATTTTGCTCAAGTTTCGATAGACTTCTACACTTTCCAGCACTTTCCGTACTCGAATAATAGCGTTATTATTACTTTCTCGGCACCTGATTGTCTTATCAGCCTTGTCTACGCGGTGTAGCCATGGAAATGGCGAGTTAATTTCCTGTGGGAATAGTCTTTTTCTGTTTTCATCGTTTTCATTTCATCCCCACTCGAATCTATACGATTTTGAATTGAAAACAAGACCTCCTGTTCTTTTTATTGTTTTCTCCAGAAATGCCCGCAGAATTGCCCGTTTTCAGGTGGTTCTCCGACCATTTCGGCCATGAACATCGAAGTCTTCATTTTCCCGCTCTCTTTGACGCTTTCCGTCGTCGGAATCTACCTCAACTTGTGCTATCAACGAGCCACACACCGATCCACAGTCTACGCGCGGTTTCTCGGTCGAAATTTGCGATTTCTCTCGTTGGCACACATTTTTCTCGCCTTCTCCAACATTATCTTCACAGGTGGGCAAAGCAAAAGGGCTTTGCGGGTTGACGGATTCGAACCCCGGTCGTGTGGGTGGCGGGCAAAAACGCTAACGGGTTCGCTAGGCGCACTAGTTCCACTAGACCCCGGAGGGCGTTGATAAAAGACGGCGATCGCAGAGCTTTTCAATGTCGAATAACTGCGAAATTCCTCAAAACAGACTAAAAGTGTCTGAAAAATGCAAATTGCAGCTGCGATGTGGGGGACGAAAACTAATCGGAGCAAGAAATCAGAGGCCTTCTTCTCGACGACCCTCTCGCTGACTCGCGCGCTTCCAGCTGCCACCATATTCTGGGTGACCGTCGAGAGAATCATGTTCAATCGAATTCCGAGCCTTCGCGAAAATGTGAAAACCAGATATATCGTCATTTTTCGGGTAAATACATTAGTTTTTGATGCAATTTGTGATAGTTTATGTAGAGTGTGCAACTTTTCGGCTCGATGATCGCTGAAATGGTGTTGCGTGGTGTTTACGAGAACTCGTTGGATAGTTTCGAGAATTTAATGGCGGAAAACGGTTCGGACGATCCATTTATACGAAGTTCGCTCATTGAAAACCCCTACTACGACTACTACCACGGTTCAATGTTCCTTTTCAGCATTATGGTAAGTCTAGCCCTCCCAACTCTTGAAATTATCAATTTTCAGGTAATGTTATTAATTTTCAACGTGTCCACGGGCTCGTACACCCGCGCCTTACTCCTCGGCGGAATGCGAAACGATCAAAAAGTGAGTGTCCTCCTTGCGAAAGTGTGGCCGCCGGCGCATTCGTATACGCCCTGCCACCCCGACAATTTCGGACGGGGGTATAGCTCAGTGGTAGAGCGCTCCCTTAGCATGGGAGAGGGCTGGGGTTCAATTCCCCATACCTCCAGAAACGTTTTGTCTTTTTTTGTACGCATTTCTTTTCAGATCCAAAACTTGAAGGCGCAAAATTCGTTTTTCAAACGAAGCTACATTCCGTTATACGTGGGATGTTTTTCCGATTTCTCACTGCATTTGTTGGTGAAACGGGGCCTGAGCGTAGGTGAGTTGGGTTAACAGATTTTTTATCGGAAAATAAAATTTCGGAGTCATTTAACAGGTTATCGAGCCAAAAACGAGCGTTCTAGCTCAATTTTAAGCAAAGTTATGCGCTTTCAAAGTTTGCCACAACTATTGTAGCTTCATTTTTTCGCAGACGACCCAACGCTCGACGTCCTGTACCTGCTGGCCCGATCTTACCTTCCGATCGTCTACCCAATCTCCCTGATAGCAGTGCACAAAGATCTGCGAGCCGACTTCATCGCCAACTTTTTTCTGTGTCGAAAAGCGCGCAATCTGCATAAAGAGTCGAAGGTGAAGGTGATCGCGACGCGCGAATCGCAGGAATCGATAATAGCGAATCTGAAAATGATCGGAATCCTGAGCGACGTGGACACTGTCAATCCGGGAGCGGTGCCGGCTGGCGGACCGCCGACTTTCGCACCGAGACCCTCGAATTCATCAGCGACACGGAGCGTCATTTCGAAGGATCCCATGTCGAATACGTCCATGGGAAGCCTGCCGAAGACGAGCAGTGCGTCTGCGGGAGTTGCCATGATGTTCCACACGAGACCCAAGAATTCGGTGCCGAGTGTCGGATCTGTCGGATGATTTTGTTGGATTTTATTGCATATTAGTTGCCAGGAAATCTTCATTTTTTGTTGTTGAATGAACTCTTTATTGTGACCAACACCGAGAGCTAAGAAACAAAGCAAATTCTCGTCCTTTAAAACTATAATATAACCAAAACGTTTAATAGCAATCCTCTCCTCATTTTTCCAGAAGAAGATGCGTGTGTACAAGTCAAAAAATAATAGACTTGTTTTCGCGCACAACAACAAGAAAAATGAACGTTGAGGCGTGTGTCTCATCACAAAAAGAGTCGGAGTGGTGGTATTTCGAGACACTTCTTATAGAGTTTGCGCATATTAAGACGAAGGCAACAAGGCGAAAGATGGAAAACAAAGATTTGGCGGGGCCAGAGGAGACTAGTTAAGCGCCTTTTCTTCTTCATTCCGATTTTCTCCCATCGATTTCTCTGATATTGTCGGATAACTTGAAATTTTCGCTCCTTCTCTGACTCCTAACGCTTTTAATATGAATATCCGTGACTTTTTTCTGAGAAAAAGTGAAAAGTTGGCACTTTTTGTTGACCACGTCGGATGATTTTAGAATTTCCACTCCTTTGAGCACCTTGTTCTCTCGTTTTTCTGTTAAAGTAATTATTCTGACTTGAACTGCATTTGAACTGGTTCAACATGGTCCCAGCATGCTCCGAGCTCCGAGTTTTCTAGAAATTGTCCAACGTTTTCGATGCATGATGCGTACATGGTGCACCAAAAAAAGCGCGTGTACTTTGAACCGTTTTCCTCCAAAAAACGAAGCGCATCTTCTCAAATTTCATTGAAAAATTGCTCGAGCACACACACAAGTGGGGACAAGTGGATTTCCGGGGCGCCACTATGTTTATTTGCACAATATTCTTTTTCTTCTCTTCTTGCGCCGTCAATTTCGCCACCAAGTCCATCTTGTGGGCCAATTTCACAAATGTCAACTTTTTCCGGACCACTTGGCCACAAAACTTTTGATTTTTTGCAATTATTTCCAGTTTGGTGACCTTCTCCACGTCATCGTTGGCGAATTTGATATTGTCGAGTTTTTTCGTAGAAAAATGCGCCGAGTTGAACAAAAGAAGGGTTCCGGAATGAAAAATGGATGCTCCCTCTCTCTCTCTCTCTAACTTTCCTTTTTTTTCACTTCTTCTCCCTACGCTCTCGAGACCACGCCCCTTTTTGGAAGCACTTGGCACTCGCTCCTTTCTCCTTTTCCGCCTCAAACGGAAAAGAAGAAGCAGATGCCAGTGCGGCAACACCTTTTTTTTTTGTTGTGTCGTCCGTGTCGAATGATTCAATTCTATTCACTGTTTGCAGCAAAAAAAAAGAAGAGAAAATGTCGACGGCTTCCGGTGCGATTCCCCAGGAGAATGGAGCGGCGCCAGTGGCGGGCAACAATGCCAACGGCCCACAGGTTCGTGTTTTTGGTTTTGAATGACGACGCCATTTGACTGCAATAGAGCGCGATTGCACTGTTTCGATGTGTTGCGGATCCGCGTGCATCGCGCGAAAAACATGTTGTTTTTGATCCGAAGTCAGCCGTACGGATAATCGGATAGAGTACCGCAAATTCGTACGTATCCGGTGAAAACACGCGTGTGTTTTGAGCAGTTTTGCTAGAAGATTGTTAGACGCTGGGCTGTGCGGCGCCTGGACTTTTGCGCTAGTGGCAATTGGGACCTAAACTTTACATTTCACCGCAATCGCAATCACAATGCAATGACCGCGGGGCCGAGTTTGAAAAGTTCGGCCACAATTTCCGGGAAAAAGAGCTAAAACATTACGTCGCGGCCGCCGAAAAACTCGGCCAGATTAGAGGAGCAGAGCGCGGTTCGGAAAATGCCGTAAGTGTCATTCGTGGACGTCAGCCCGAAAAGCCGTTAGCGCAGACAGAATGAAAAAGGTTCTTCACCGCTTATAAATGAGTTTTCTCCCCCCCTCCTCTTCTATTTTTCGCATTTCCCGACGTCTTTTTCTCCTTCGCCCTTTTTTTTCCGAATCCATTTGGCCGTTTCATCTCTGTGGCACAGCGCGTGTGTGTATATTTATGCGCCGCACGGACGTTGGCCAAAAGCAATTTGGGACGGCAAGAAAAAGAGAGAAAGAGAGGAAAAGTTTTTCTATAATATTGGCGACAAAATTGCACCTGTTAGTCGAATGAATTAGTCATCTTTCGCGTGTTTCCGAGAATTCTGAAAGGAAATTCCATCACCTGTTATTATCAATGATTCATCGATGACGTGCGCTTTCATTGGCAAAAATGCTCATTTCCGCACGATCGCCCGGGTTTGAAACGAGAAAACCAACAGTTATTCGGTTGTATCGGTTCGTAGACGTGTCACTTGATCGCGAACGCATAATAATGTGGGAACTGTCTGGCGGACAGTCAATCGACGACCAAAGACGCGTTTCTCATGATTTGCATGACGACAAAATATTGCTGGCGCGGAGTTTTCTGGAAAATTTGACGATTTTTAACGAAAAATTGGGAAAAATGGAGAAAAATCGGGGGAAAAGCAAAATTAACGTTTTCAGGAAGAAATCGACATCAACCTCGACGATCCGCAAGTCCAGGACGCGGCCAAGAAGATTCAAAACGTTTTCCGGTAGGAGTTTTCAAGTTTTTGCTGAAAAATGACCTTTTTCAGCGGAAAACGATTCGGAGAGAAGAAGACTGCTCCGGCCGCCGAGGCTAAGCAATAATTCGTGCTTTTTTTCTACGTTTTGTGGCGAAAAATCTGAAGAATAAACGAATAAATGTGTTTTTGCAGAAGTGAAAATGTGGTTTTCCACCAATTTCGACCGATTTTCGGCTCAAAAATCAGAAACGCATTGTACCTTGTTGTGTGATCAGTGATGTTCTTCTCATTTGAACCCGGCGGCGGCGACAAAGCACACAAAAAGTTCAGAGAAAAACAGCGCGGTGATCCGAGAGACGCAGACGGTTATACGAATCGGAGTGTCGTCTTTTTCTTTTTTTCCCCGACTTTTTATGGCGAAAAACACTGAAAATCGCATAGTTTTCCCAAAAAATTCAGTTCGAAATAGAGTGCTGCGCCTTTAAATCTACAAAAATCCGCCCGCCAGTTGTTTTGTTTCTCGTTTTCTCGCTGAAAAAGCTGTAAAATGTGCCCGCTTTGTATCGAATGTGTGTTGTTTTGTTTGTAACGTTTCGAATTTGTCAAAGTGATCTCTTATCAGTGGTCGATTCTCTCTCTCTCTCTCTCTTTTTCTGTTTCCCACCCCTCCACGCGACGGGTGGTGTTTAGGCCCCACTCGTGACGATAAAAAGGAGGAGGAGCACAGAGAACGTGCCAGTTACCCGCTGCTTTCTGGCTGAGCTTCAGTCTTTCCGGAAAATTCGGATTTTAAGCCAAAAATTTCAAATTTTCAGCCAAAAAATGTCGCTGAAACTTGCCAGCAAACTCTCCAAGACTGCCGTCATTTCGAGGTAAGCTAGTACAATAAAAAGTACAAAACTACAATTCTTGCAGAAAATTCACTCTCGGACCGCAATTGCCGACGAAATTGCTGCACGCCAAGCCGGGATCCGTTCCCAAATACGTTTCAGCCGATGAGGCGCTTTCCGTAGTCCATTCCAGTGAGTTTGGAATGTAAAATCACTTCAAAACCCGCCTAAAACCCTCAAAATGCCCAATAAAAGCTCAAATTTTTCCAGACACGGACATTTACGTGCAAAACCACGCGGGAGCCCCGAATGTGCTTCTGGAGGCGCTGTGCCATCGTGTGGACGCCGCCGGATTGGATAACATCCGCATGTCGCACTTGATTCTCAGCGGACACTGTCCCCAATTCGACTCGAAATATCATGGTGATTATCGATTTTACAGTAGAAAATCGCCGAATCCAAAAAATTGCAGGAAAAATCCGCAACAACAGTCTGTTCATTTGCGGCGGAAACCGGAAGAACGTGAACTCGGGCGCCGCCGACTACACGCCCATCTTTCTGTGGGAAACGCCCGCACTTTACACGAGCGGACAACTGAATGTCGACGTGGCACTTCTGACCGTCTCTCCGCCAGGTTTGCCATCGAAATTTTCCCAAAAACTTGCCATTTTGTTGCAGATGAGCGCGGATATTGTACGCTCGGAGTCGACGTCGATTGCTCGCTGGCCGCCGCATCGAGCGCCAAAAAAATTATTGGTAAGCATAAAATTTTGGCCCAGGCTTTTCTTTTTGTAAAGTTTGGCCCTGATCTGATCCTTGCAGTGGGTCAAAAGTCCAGGCCTCAAAAAGCCGGGCCGAAATTCGTTCAGGCCTGGAAAAACGCGAAAATTCCAAAGAATTTCAGCGCTGGTGAACAGCACAATGCCACGCACTCGTGGCGACTCGACGGTCCACTCGTCGCACTTTGATTTCATGGTCGAAACGGACCGTCCGATCGCGTTCCGTCAGGGCAACGAGGAGATGTCGGCGGTCGAGCAGCGCATCGGCAAGATCATCGCGCAGAACCTCGTGGACAACGGAGCGACGCTCCAATTGGGTATCGGGGCGATTCCCGACTCGACGTTGGCGGCGATGACGGAGCACAAGGATCTGGGCGTGCACACGGAGATGTTCAGCGACGGAGTCGTCGATCTCATGGACCGCGGCGTGATCAACAACCGCACAAAGGCGTTCATGCCCGGAAAAACCGTCTCCTCTTTCGCGTTCGGCACCCAGGAGTTCTACAAGAAAATCGATAACAATCCGGAATTCCGTAAGCCTTTAGCTTCTGGCCGTTTTTCTAGTATATCTGTAACTTTCCAGACTTCGCGCCGTGCGACTTCACGAATCACATTGACATTGTGCGGCAAAACAGCAAAATGACGTCGATCAACTCGGCGATCGAAATCGATTTAACCGGACAGATCGTGTCCGACTCGATCGGACGCAACTTTTTCAGCGGATTCGGCGGACAGGTCGACTTTATGGCCGCCAGTCCGCACGGATTCGACGGGCACGGAAAGGCGATCATCGCGTTGCCGTCGCGCACGAACAAGGGACACACCAAGATTGTTCCGTTCCTCACTCAGGTTCGGAAGTGTATGATTTGACACCAATCTTGAACAGGGCGAACATTTGTAAACATGGATTGAATCTGCCGCCCGTATTCTGTCGCTGCGTAGCGACTCATTCGGTTTGCGATACGGAGCGAGCGAGCGTGTTCACAAATGTTCGCCGAGTTTGGTTTGTGTAACAATAGCACAATATAAGTCTTGATTTCAGGGTTCGGGAGTGGTGACGACCCGCGCGCACGCCCGCTACATTGTCACGGAGCACGGAATCGCGAACCTGTGGGGCAAGTCGATCCGTCAGCGAGCCTACGAACTCATCCAAATCGCCCATCCGGACGACCGTGAAGCTCTCGAAAAGGCGGCGTTCGAACGATTCAAAGTGCTCCCGTCGCCCTAAATGATTGTAGATTTCTCGGCGGCTGCCGTCAGCATGGGTCTCGTTTTTGTTGTAAATATCCATACATTCTCTAGGTCATCATTTGTTTCTCTCTCAACTGGTTTTTTCTCTCTCTCTCTCTCGGTTCTGTTCTTTGTTTTTTATCGCATTTTATTTGTGTTCTGGGCAATATGTGATTCATTGAATAGTGACGAATGCTCAAGAAGGTATAGACGTTAAGGTGCCGATTGGTTGAAGCGCGATTTTCTTTTCAGAACGGCCTGAACTTGTTGTCGTTTTTTTTGTTGTTATTCTCAAAGCTCGACTCACCGAACACTGCCGCGCGAAAATCTTTGATGCAAAAAATGGCGACGAGCGGCTCGAGCGACGGATAAACGGCCAGACTGGCGCCGGTGAAATTGGCGAATCTTCCGACGTGAACTTGAAAGATCGGAAGGGTGAGCAGAAGGCCCACCGGACTGTACATCATGAAAAATGGAAGGACTGTCTGCAACGAATGCGAGCATATAAGAATCACGTGGAAAGTTGCCTGAAAAGTGAGTGTGGCCAAAAGTTGGCGATTCAAATCCAACGCTTTGTGACTCATAAGACTAGCGGTGCCCTTGATGGATGTGTAAATGTGCGAGGCACAATAAACAATGGTCGAGAAGCAGGACGTCTACAATATCACAGTTTTTTGCGCACGAATTGAGATATTGTAGGCTGACAATAATAAAAACACAACCCAAAGTGCAGAAAATCTCGAAAACGTTCCAAATTTTGTGGCCCTCCTCCGAAACGCGCCAATATTTGCCGGCGATGAACGAAACGCGGGTCGAATCCTCGTTGTAATAGGTTTTGAGCTCCTCCCTAAACATTTTGGCACCGATATTGTCGAATCAGTCTCTCAGTGCGATCACCGTAGATATTCCTGCTTCTCGCGAGTGTTCTCCATTCCCCAGAAGATGAATTCGAACCAGGCGACGAAATAGAATAGGCAGGGAAGGATGAGTTTGTAAAGTCTGCCGTTCTCTATTTTGTGCAAGTTATAGGGTCTGTAAAGGATTTAAATACTAAATGTACTTTTAAAAAACACGCTTGACTCGCCTACAAACAGCCACAAATCGATAGAGAAACTGAGCGGCGAGTAGTGAAATGACGCCGGCGAACGAGCCACAATATAGGCCTAAATGTTGGAGTGGAGCCTACAATTTTGCGGTATTCGGCACCTACACGTGATAAATTTGCCAATCCACTTTTCGTACTTTAACGGACTGTCCATGTAGACGACGTAGACGGGCGGCAAGATGTGCATTACCTGCAAACGCGGTGTGATCTTCGGCCCGCCGAAAATTTGTCGTGTTGAGCCGAATTCACCCCCCAGACACTGTACTTTACGCACTCTAATGGCATCAGTGTTCTGTGATGTTAGCGAACTTAAAGTGCGGAGACACACGAGAGAGAGCGGCAAGCGAACAGCAAGTTGCTACGGTAGCATGGGGTGAGCGTGTGTCACGCACGGATCCGGCATGGCATCAGCATGGATAGGGCGTACAACAGAAAAGAGTGGGATGGGAGGGAAGCAAGGTTTTTGAGCGGCACGGGAGCAGGGTTGTGGCAAGGGTTCAGCGCGTAGCAGGCACGGAATCGGCACCCCCTTACAGCTTATTCATATTCGATTAATCCAAGTACTCGGTTGGGAAGTACTAACGAGGCTGAACTTCCAGAACAGACTTCTGGCACCCGTCTGTCCTAGACTGTCTTTATTTCGGTCTCAAAAGAGGGGGGGATTAGCACCTAACTATTCAATTGTTTTCTAGTTCGGTACAGGGTACACCGGCTGTCAATTGTACCCTGTTTTGGTAATCATGTTCTTCTTTGTAATCGCGCGTAAATTGAAGGGTTACGGGCAGAGTTGAGCGGAAGAACCCAACGGCAGAACTCAACGGAAGAATTTCTATATCTTTTTTAGAAAATTTTTTCATGGAATGTGATCAACTGACGAAATGTTCAGCAAAGTGAACTCTGCTCATAGAAAAATAATTGTAAATTTAGCTTTTCATACAAAAAAGTTATGAGTTGTTCCGTGAAAAAAAGGCGGCTAACGGGGAAGACGGAAGGAATAACTTTTTTGTATGAAAAGCTAAATTCACAATTATTTTTCTATGAGCACAGTTCACTTTGCTGAACATTTCGTCAGTTGATCACATTCCATGAAAAAATTTTCAAAAAAAGATAAAAATTCTTCCGTGTTCTTTCGTTGAGTTTTTCCGCTCAACTCTGGTTACGGGTTACAGTTACACACTTCTATTTTGGTCCCGATCGGATCAAAATGTCCCGCTTACCGGTTGCGTAACGACCTCGATCCACGCGTAAACGAGCGAGTAGGCGGCGTAGACGAGCATCAAATATCGATAGCTTCCAAACTTTTTCCGGTCCGCCCTCTTGGCAATCAAGCAGAGCAACGTGGCGTTGGTGAGTTGAGCGCTCACGAATCCAACGTACTGGATTATTTGGAGGGCGAGCATTCGAGACGTAATTCAAGTTTGATGAAAGTGATGAATGCGCAAAAAACCCCGAAAACAGCTCCAATTTCGCTCTATTGTCGACTCGATTATTTATGGTCTAGTGACGTTCAGGCTTTAGAGGAGGAAAAAAGTGAACAGCAAAAAAGTGATGATGCTCTTTTAGCACCAGAAATCGCATCAGAACGATGAGCTGGCAAGAGGTTAAAGAACGAATCACTTTTTGCTTGTATCGTAGCCATCATGGTGCATCGTCCGAGCGCCATTCGCCCATTTCAACCCCGAAAAACGAGAAAAAAAGACGTTTGCAAGTGAAAAACGGCGAATTCGTTCGTGTGCCTCCAATTTTCTCCGATCCCTTTGAAATTGTTTTTTTTTATGTGTGTCCGCCGCACAAGTGGGCCTATTTTCGACCTCTTTTCAGTAATTGAGCACAAATTTATTGACGATGGATTACTGTAGCTTTTCCGCATTTGTTCCCCCTCTCTGCAAATGAAACGTTTCGAATGACATCAGATTCTCACACACACACAATGATCATATATTCTGCACAAAATCTTGATGAAACTTTTGGCTTATAAATAATGAATCAAGTTTGTTTGGTGGGAAAATGACGGAGAAAATATTGGCGGCCGCATGGTGCATCGGCCAATTATATTGGCGGCATCGTTCCGTTTTCCAGAACCTCAATGAAAATTTTCACATGGTGCATCGACCAAGTCTACTTTTTAACACACTTTTAGTTGAAAAGACATGGTGCATCAGCCTTTTGCTAACAGATTTATAGAACCCCTTGGTGCATCAACCAATTTTCATGCACAACTTCTAGAACCCGTTGCTTGGCTTGGGAAAAGCCAAGAATATGGTGCATCGGCCGACTTCCTCGTCTTATTATTGCCCTCAATTCAACAACTAATTAAAGCGACAATAATGAATTGCGGCTACAGGAATTTCACCCACCACATCCGGTTATTTGTCATTACGCGCGTGGGTGTGTCGTCTCGAATTTCATTCCTCGGCTCACAAATTGCAAATCGACAATATCGCATTCATAACAAAACACTTTATTCTCTCGTCTTTTCGACGGGGACGACTCACACACAAATTTCCAGAAGTACAATATAAATATAATGGGTTTGGGTGAACATGGGGGGACAAGAGGACGAAGAGGAAGAGGAAGAAGAAGAAGAAGGAGATCTGACCAAAACTTTGAAACTTGAAGGAGCGGGGGGGGGGTAATTATCGGGTAATCGGAGATCTTAACGACGTCCGGCTCGCTCGAGAGCATCCGAAAGTCCGAGAGCGTCTTCGAATTGATAGGCCGGCGAGATGGCCGCCGAGCGCTTCTTCTTTCCCGCATCAATCAGGCGGCTGTACATCTGAAAGTGGGCTCAGATCAGACTACCGTAATCCCTCTAACAATCCGCCGCCGTTTTCGTTTTCTTTCACAGCAATTACGCCATTAGCGCCTACGCTTTCCCCTTCGTGTGCGTGTGATTCTAGGAGGGAAAAAAAACAAGAGTGGGCTCGGAATAGAATGTGAAAAGAAGGCAAAAATGACATTGTGTTGTCTTTGTCTCCTCGGACACAGATTGAGTGAGAAGATAGGCGGGTGAGAAGAGAAAGAGTGACGTGATCATGGCGGAAAAGTGGATTTGAGAGAATGAGAACAAGTTCAGGATCATTTTGGACCGCTAAGATTGTCTAGGCAGCTTCCAAGATCACTATGGATCCCTAGGAATTACAAAAGTTTCTCTAAGGATCATAAAGGATCACTGAAGCACACTGAGCATCATGTTTCTTCACTTAGAACCATCAGGATCCGTCAAATACTATCTGCGAACTCTCTGCGGATTTCTAAGACTCAATCCTAGTTCTAGATCCATAAGGTTCACCTCAGGAGCCCTTCGGATTGCCTAAAACAAACCTGGAACTGATCGCCGTAGTCGGAGGCCATCGGAGCTCCGCGCTTGCCCACATCCAACAAGTTTCGCATGTTTCCGGCGTCGATTTCGACGTCGTACGACGGCGAAATGTGCCGTTTCGACTGAAGGAGCGGCGCACGTTTGTACGGCGATGGAGCCTGTAACGATGCACCATGAGAAGCGAGAAAGAGAGGAGAAGAGCAGCATTTAATTCCGTTTTACTACTGCTATCAATTTGCGGGAAAAGGGAAGGAAATTGGAAAAACGCAACGTGAGAAATGTCAAAGGCGTTATTTTTAGCCGAAAAAACGGGTAGTAGTGCAAAATCGAGTTCTAGTCAGACACCCAAAGACAAGTGTTTTCGTTGACGGGGCCACGTCTTCTCCAGCCTTCTCCAGACACACTTTTTGAATGGCAAAGGGTAACGTGGGGGGTGTCTAGGCGTGTGCGACAATTTTTCGTAGGTTTGTAGTTGTATAGTTGTGGTGGCTTCTGTTCAAAAGTCTACAATAGCTATTGTGGTTCTGACCTTTGATCTTTCACTTGTAAACTTTCAAGACATGGTGCATAACTATGTACTTGGCACCCGTAAAGGTATAGAGAAGGCGCATTTATGAGGACACTTTGCAACCAACCTCGAAACCATAAACTGCCACGTACGCGTTGTCGTCATCGGCGGATGCGGCTCCGACGCCAGGTTTTGGCGCAGCGAGCACGACGGCGACGAGTCCGAGCGCTGCCAAAATCGCGCACGTCTTCATTTTCAATCGTTTTGGGACCAAGATTTCTGAAATTTATTAATTTCAAAGTATCGAGAGAGAGAAAAGCGCGCCGAGCGCCGAAACACAAACGAATCCCTTCTCCTCTCTCTCTCCCGATCCGGGCTCCGCCCAGGGGCGTGGCGTCGTCACACAATCGAATGAGGCTCCGAAAGATACTCTCATTCCATTTTCTCGAAAACAACAATACTAGCAGGCGCCAGAACACATCTGAGAGGACTTTGCGTGGGCGTATCTCGGCGGGAAATGATCGGATCGGGACCAGACTTGGACAGGGGGGTACTATGAACCGTCTAGTTTATTCTCAACAATTTTGAAGACCCTGGCTTGAGAAAAAACCCGAAACGAAATGAAAAAGTTGTTGGGGGCCTTCATGGAATATGAAATGAAATCTTGCGGCTCTATAATAGATGAAGTAGGCACACTTTTCCTCCCTTTTCACGCTAAAAAAGGAGGGGAAACGAGGAAAAGTAGGAGAAGAAGAAGAAGAAGAAGAAGAAGAAGACAATTTGATTCGAGGGGTAAGTGAAGAGAGGAGTCTTCCTAAGGGACGAATATTTCAGATGGAGAAGAAGAAGAAGAAGTTTGGCCTGGTTTTTGATCGTCCGTCTGCCTTACTCACGCTTTTTTCTAGCGCCTAGATGCTAATCGTCTTGATTTAGTGGCGAGCGAGCAAGATTGCAACTGACAGGCCGCCCCTCCTTTTTGTCTTTTCTGTCGGTGACGCGCTAGCAGCGAATAACTCAAAATGGGCTCGAGAAGCGGTTGAATTTCGAGAAAGGCGTCAATTTAGAAGAGCAATTCGCTGCAAAACCGCAGAATTGTTCGTACAACCATTCCTGCCACGTCATAACGACTCGCTCGACGCGACGGGGGTTTTCAAAGTCATCGGCTAGACTTTTGGCTAGACTCTTCTCGGCTACACTTTGTGATCGCCAATTAGATCGATTTGTTGCCGGTGGCGGGTATATAAGCGCCCGAGGATGGACAATATCAATACCCGACGGTATGACCCTTCTACTCCTTGCTATTCCAGCCTTGATCATTGGGGTTTTGAGGTAAACTAAACACATAGACTATTGTACGCTTCCTCCTCCAGTTATTACCTGTTCACATGGACATATTGGCGTCGACGTGGCATCCCCGGACCCATGGGCTATCCGATCCTCGGCGTCTTCATGAAAACCCTCGATTCGGACAATCCGCCACCGCTTCAACTAGAAAAATGGACAAAAGAGTACGGAAGTGTGTACGGGATTCACGGAGGGAACCATCAAGACCCTGGTCATTTCGGATCCGGACCTAGTCCACGAAGTTTTGGTCAAACAGTATGACAACTTTTACGGACGGAAAACGAATCCGATCGATGGAGATCCGGACAAGGACAAGCGGATCAATTTGTTCAACGCGCAGGGATTTCGATGGAAAAGATTGAGAGCCATATCGAGTCCGACTTTTTCGAATGGAAATCTGAGAAAATTGAAGGATACTGTCGAGGATTGTGCGATCGAATTGTTGAGACACATTGAGGAACAGACGGCCGGAGGGCAACAGATTGACATGTTGGAGTGAGTTGAGGGTTTTTTGAATACAATTGATCATAGTTTGGTCTAACGCAATTACTAAATTTCAATTCAACGCGCGTTTCCTAGGCCATTTGCTACAACATTTCCCAGAATGTTCTCATCGTTATTAGCCTCTGTTTTCTAGATTCTATCAAGAGTTCACATTGGATGTGATCGGTCGATTGGCGATGGGTCAAATTGGATCCCAGCAGTTCAGAAACCCAATGTTGAAACATGTCAAAGCGGTAAGTCGATTCTACTCACACTTTTCCTATTCAAAATTCAATCAAATTCCAGGTTTTTGGTGAGAACCGCACGAAATCAACGTTTCTGATCGGCGGAATCGTGCCCGCGTTCGCCCAGTTCTTCCGATTCTTCATGCTGAAACTGCCGTTTCTTGGGCGCCGCCAACTTCATTCACATCATGAAAACCATGGTGGCGGCGGTGCAGACTAGGATAAAAGAGAGAGAGGAGGACGGAAAACGGGGCATCGAGACGGGGGAGCCGCAGGATTTCATCGATCTGTTCCTGGATGCGCGCGCGGATGAAGTCGAGCACTTTGGGGAGGGAAATGAGGATTTCAGCAAGAGCAGTAGCTATGTGAGTACTTTTTATGTGTAGACCATATCGAAAATGTTTAGGCCAACCGTCAGCTAACAATTGAAGAGATTGAGAGTCAATGTTTTGTTTTCCTCATCGCTGGCTTCGACACAACCGCCCTATCGCTCTCTTTTTCCACTTTTTTGTTGGCCATTCATCCGGAAATTCAACAAAAAGTGCGAGAAGAAGTGGACAAAGAGTGTCCGGACCCGAAATTTCATTCGATCAACTGACAAAGCTGAAATATTTGGACTGTGTCATCAAAGAGACCCTCCGGTTGTATCCACTCGCTACTTTGTAAGTGACTTTTGCTATTCTAGTCTATTTCTATCAAAAAATGTTTGAGAGGAAACTCGCGGAAGTGCATGAGAGCCACCCAGCTCGGCAACGTATCGATAGAACCGGGAACGATGATCCAAGTGGACACGTGGACCGTGCACACGGATCCGTCGATCTGGGGAGCGGACGCGGAGTCATTCCGGCCGGAAAGATGGGAAGGCTCGACGGAGCAGCATAAAAGCGGCGGCTACATTCCATTCGGACTGGGACCGCGACAATGCATCGGAATGCGGCTCGCTTATATGGAGGAGAAGCTGCTCCTGGCTCATCTCCTCCGCAAGTACACCTTCCAGCCGGGCGCCCGCACTCGCATCCCGCTCAAGTTGGTCGGAAGGGCCACCACGCAGCCGGACAGTGTTTGGATGCATCTCAAAGCGAGGGAATAAACGGATATTGTACATTTCGACGGGTTTTCTATGTGAATAAATGCTAATTTTGTCTCTCGATTGCATCAAAAATGCGCGGCGGCGCGCTACATGACACCACCCCGCCGCCCGGCTTCTCTCGCCGCGTTCGTGGTGTAATGGTCAGCATGGATGCCTTCCAAGCATTCGACGGGGGTTCGATTCCCCCCGAACGCAGACTCTCTTTTACTTTTTTGCACTCAAATTCACTTTATTATCTGAGAATTCAGTATAAATGTCTTTTTTTCAAAGTGGAGAGCACACTTTAGCCAAGTGGTCCAGTTTTGTTGAGAAAAATGTTGAGAAAACAACGTGTTCGGTCGATTTGATTGCGAAAAAAAAGAAGTTTATTAGTCTCAAATTCAAATTCAATACACGAAAATTAGTGACGTTTAAATTAGGCCGGTCGCCCGAGCATCACATCCTTCAGCAACAGCACATTCATGCTCAAGCCGGTGCACCTGAAATGCCCTCAGATTCCGTTTGACTAGTTGGGACCATGGCTTGAGCAGTATCCTCGCAGCGAGTCGGGCAATTTCCAACGAATCTTCGATTGCTTCGATAATGTCCCGTTTGCTCAACGATTCCCATATCCAATACTGGATAATTTCGGCGATTTCCGTCGGTGTCGAGTAGTCCGGATGCTCGGCGAGCTTCGACAACAAGTCCGCCGTCGTTTGCACTTGAGAAACCGAGACTTTGTTCCCTTTCCAGTTGACGAGCAAGTGATTGATGCCCATCACCGCCTGATAGACCATTTCCCTGTCGCCGGCATGTTTTAGGATGACCTGCTGGGCAAGTCTCAACAACTCGACCACCTCCGAACGGCTCATTGGTGCATCCATCATAGTGGCTCTGAAGAAAATCTCGCGCAGGAGATCGTGGACGAAGATCGGGCGATCTGTGGCCATGTACCGAGCGGCCATCTCGATGGGACTGAGCACTTTGAGCCCTGGACGGAGATTGAGCTCTTCGAGATGTGAGCCGTAGGCCAGAAGCTCTTGGAGCTTCGGATGAGCGTCGATCACCTTTTTTATGTTTTCAGACGTCATCTTCGAGCCTCCAAGGTCCAGGGATCGTAGTTGAGGCCATGGCGACGCCTTCCGCTTCTGCAGTGCCTTTCGCGACTTCCTGAGGACGTACTCGGCCAGCGATGCTTCACTGAAACACAACTATTCACAACTGTTCCCACGTTGCTTCAACTTACGACACATCAATCACCGAAACATCCAACACTCTCAAATTGCTCAATGCCTTCAGCGCATCGAATCCGGACTCGACGTGCAAATCGTGCGTGATGAGCACTTCGAGACGTTCGAACGCGGCCAGACTGCTAATGTCCGTGATGCCAGTGCAGGAGATGTCGAGACACTTGAGTTGGGGACATCGGACAGACACCTCCTTCAGGACGCGCTTCGAGATTGGTCGATTCGCGAGGATCAGTGTGCAGAGGTTCGGCAGCCGGGGAAGTAACTGAAAAACTTGTGATTATTGAATAGCAAATCGAGAAAAACTCACTCTAGACGGCCAGAATCGAGAGATATCACGGCTCCCACTCAAATCCAATACTTTGAGCTGTTGGCGGCATCTCTTGTTGAGCACCGACCGCATGAAAGTGCTCTCCGACACCTGATCGTGCTCGTCTTCCTCCATCGGCTCTCCGTATCCAAGTTTGAACGACGTGTAGTGGTTCCTTTTGATGGTCTTCAGGTCCATTGACGTCAAGGGGATTCCGCTGGTGTCCAGTCGGCTGGCGGCGAATATTCCACTCTGGTACACCACCTCCCATTGCGGTTCGGTGAGCTCTCCGTGCTTTTCCTGATGCAGTCGGAGCACCAAATCGGTCAATGTGGCCGGAAGAGCGGAGACCGTCATCGGGAGGCAACCAGGATGAAGAGCCGGACTTTTGAAGAGAAACGTACTCTTCTCAAGACAATCGGCGACTTTCTGGGCGGCGAGAAGGGTAAGCGACGGAATCAAAGTCATTATTGATTGCGTGCAACCCAGAGGAATGACTGAATGACTCGAGAAGGGTATCTTTTTATTGGAGACTCGCATCTCCACCTTCACACGGCCACCAAAAACGTAAAGGGGCGTGGCCTAGCGTGCACGGTTTATCACCCACCATTTTGGCGCGAAATTCGAAATTTAACCCCATTTTCATGTTTTTCGTCAAAAATTGCCAAATTTTGTACGATTTCGACGATGTAATTGCATAACTTTGTTAAACTAATCATCGCGCGCACTTTTTGAGCTTAAACGACGAGCAGGTTTCTTTTTTTCTTCTTTTTTTATTGAAAGAAAAGTACATTGAATTTACACGTCATCCGGACCTGAAAACAAAAATAAACGTTTCCTACAAACCGAACATTGTATGCTCACAAAAAGATTGGCAAGTGGAGACGTCGTCATCTTTGGAAGTTCTCCATTCCATTCCCGCCTTCAACTCTTCGATTCGATTCAAATTCGAGCGCATCAAGTCTTCGTCGAACTGAACTTTTGTGCTTTTTTGAAACTTCTAAAATGGTGTATGACTTACTAGAGAAGTTTGCATGTAGAGTTTTCGCGTCTCGGCCACCTCCTTTTCGCACAAATCCTTCAAATATTTGCGGGTGGTGAACGCTCCGATCGCCCGGTCCATCTGTTCGATTCGGGTGTCTTCCAACGAGATTTCTGCTGCGATTCTTTGCGAAAGAGCGTCCAGATCGTCTTCAATCTGAAAATTAGAAAAAATAAACGTTTCTTTATTTTTAGGACAAACTGACCACAGCTCTGTGAAACTCGTCCATCGTGCGAATCTGTGCGAGCGTGTGCTCTCCGCCGTGCACAAATGTTCGGAATTCCATCGCTTTCCGCTCGATTTCCCCGTTTTGCGGCGGATTTACGCAAATCTGAAGCGAGAAAATGCAAGTGCGCTCCACCGAACGCTTCTCACCGGCGGATGATTGTCGCGCGGAGAGTTTGAATTCAAATCGAAAAACGAAAAGTCCGTTAATTTATCGAATTTTCCAGCGAAATTCTCCTCGAAAAGCGAAGGTCCGTCGTCGGAACTCAACAGAGCAGGCGAAGAACCGCCGCGTAGGCGCGGCTCCGAATCTTCCGACGAGTCGAGCACGAAAATCTGAAAATTGTGCAAAAGTGTGCACAGAGCGCCCTTGCTCTCACATCGCTTTTGTCGGAGGAGTCGGAGCACGTGGAACAATCCTCGCGATTCTCGTAGCACATGCACACATTGTCGACGTGATGGATCGGACGAGCAACCACCGAGATCTGGACGTTTTCTTTTGCGGTAGAGCTCTTTTTTTTCAAAAAACTGACACTGTCCGAAGGCGTAACCTCACTATTTTTGCGTCGTCTCGAACTGTTGCTGCGACAAGCCCATTCACTTTTTTTCATACGCAGACCGTTCATTTTGGTGATGAAAATTCGTAGAAATGCACCTAAAATAGTCACATTTCATAGTTGCCAAAGAATAATTTAGGCAAGGTCACGCATTCTAAAGACAAGAGTGACCCTAGCCGAGCCCTAGCACAGCCCCCAAATGACCGTTTCAGAAACTGCCCTTCAAAACAATTCCACAACATCTTCGGCGCTTCCGTTCGGGAAAAAGCGAAGAGAAGAGTTTGCACTGACCACCACGCAACGATCATTTATCGTCGACAGCTAAAATGATGAGCGGTACGTCTGTTTTCGAGGAATTCTTAATTGCAAAGTGTCTTGCAGACGTTTCATTGACCTACAACATCCTACTACTCGGCGTCTACCTGGCTACGGCCATATGTAAGTGCTCTTCATTGTACTTTGACGGGAAATTCAAAAAATTCCGGAAGAAATATGTTTGAAATATCAGCTTTCTAACACAAAAAGTTCTAGGCCACACTGTATCTCGGCTGCCGGTTGAGTTATCCAAATGTTGTCAACAGCAGGGCTGGGCAATTGGCCGGCACGGGCTTTTCGTTGGCCGGCCCTTGCTTGACCTGGACTTTTGAACCACTTGCAATATTCCGATCGGACCCAAACTTTCTTGGACATGGGTTGAAGCATATTGGGACCAAGTTTCAGCCCGATCGGATTATTTGGTCCCGAGAAATGTGGAGCATTGGCCGGAATTGGCTGGAAGCCCGGGCTTTTTGGAAAAAATCGGCCAATGATCCACATATCTCGGGACCTGACTATCCGATCGGGCTGAAACTTGGATCCAATGGCCTTCAATCCAAGTCCAACAATCCTGCAAAGTTTGGGTCTGATCGGAATATTGCAAGTGGTTCAAAGGTCCAGGTCAAGGGTCGGCTAACGAAAAGCCCGTGCCGGCCAATTGCCCAGCCCTGGTCAACAGATAAGGTGTACATAACGTTTTGATAAACAATTTGTTAGTTGACAACTTTTTGATATCTTTACCCACAGCTAAGATACGTCGCTTCGAATAGACGTTATTAAGGCACTACAGTTAGGCCACCCATTTTGAGAAGCGTTCAATTCCGAATATCTTTTTTTCAGTTACGGCCCAAATGTGCGGAAAGAAGAAGCCGGTGGCAAGAACTCGTCAGTACTCGGCCCCGTACTCTTCCTTCTCGACACCCACCACGACCGCTAACACCGCTGTGAACACTCGACTGGACACGGCCGTCCTTCCCAGCAACACCACCACTACCACAACCACTTCGGGAGCCGGAAAATCGACGAAAAAGACCGAGGACAAGGATCCGGAATCGGTGAAGCTGTACAATAACAAGGCGAAGAAAGGGGAAGAGAAGAAGGAGAAAGAGAAGAAGAAAGAGGAGGAAAGGGAGAAGAAGAAAGAGGAAGAGAAGAAGAAAGAGGAGGAAAAGGAAAAGGAAAAGGAAAAAGAAAAGGAAAAGAAGCAGCCGGAGGAGAAGAAAGAGGAGAAGAAGGAGGAGGAGAAGGAGAAAGAAGTGTCGCCGCCGCCGAAAAAGCAGTCGAGGACGCCGCTCGTGCCACGAGTGGTCCCGTTGACCGAGAAGGAGCAGCGGATTGCGAAGGGAATGACGACGGATCGGAAGAACTATCAGACGATGGATGATGTGGACAGCGACTGGGACTCGTTCAAGAACAACTACAATAAGAAGGTAAGGGCTTCCGGTTTCCGCATTCCGCATCTAACTTTTCGATTTTCAGAAGAAAAAAACGAAGACTTTGTCGAAGGAAGAGAAGGAGAAGGATGAGTCGGAAGAAAAAGAGCCGGAAAATGAGAAGGAGAAGGAGGAAAAGAGTCCCGGAGCGATGAAGACGTCGGAGAGAGCGGCGAAGAAGTATCCGAAATGACCCACTGATTGATTGGACGCATAAATTTTGTTTGAAAATTGTTTTCATCTAGGTACAGTGAGGCTTTGAGAGAATTGAAATAACGTGAACTAACATCTCGCTTATCACTCGGAGCCCATTCATTTCCGATGGGCGACACGCAGAAGAAGAAGAAAAAGAAGAAGACGGAGGAGGAGGAAGAAGAGTTACGGATTGTGACGGCCCGATCACGGATAATAGTGGAAGATTTGGAAGAGGCCGAGCAGAAGTATCAGGCAGTTGTCGCCTATTGCAAGTGAGATCACTAAAAGGTTTCCAGAAGAGTGACTACGAATTCAGACACTTCAACACGACATTCAACGACGGAGAGTTCCCTCGGACATTTTTCAAATTGACTCTCAAAAAGAAGATCAAACTCAAGAAGATTTCGCAAACGTTCACCTGGATCCGTCCCGTCGAGTACAGGAAATACATACCGATCGGCACAACGGCGAACGGTTTGATCCAACACTTCCGTGAGCCGCCGCAATGGTCCGTGATGGATAATCCGACGACGTCTGAAGTGTCGCAGTCGCTTCCGAACTGTGGATTCGTGGCGGCGCTGGCTGTGGTCGGAGGGCATCCGGACATTGTAAATGCACTGATTCCCCGCAATGAACTGTCCGAGTACGGGGTGTACCAAGTGAGATTGTGTGTGGACGGCGAGTGGAAGACGATTCTCGTCGACGACTGGTTTCCGACTGCCAACTTGACGTTCAAAACAGCACATTCATTGAAAATGCAGGCAAGTGTTGACGAGTAGCTGTGCTCAGCAACCTAATTTGCAGTTATGGCCATTCCTCGTCGAAAAGGCGCTCGCAAAAGCGTGGGGAGGGTACAAGAAGTTGAAGGGAACTTCTATGCGGGTCCTCGATTATCTGACAGGCGCTCCGGTAACGGAAACCTTTTGGAATGAGTATCCGGACGATCCTGAACGACTGTGGATGAAACTATTGTCGGCGAGGTTGATGCTTGTTGCAATACCGCATAACAAAGATTTGATTGTTCAGAGCCAGCAACTTTTTGATGACGTGTGCCACCAGCGATAAAGTCAAGTGGAGCATGGGTCTTGTTCGACATCACGCATACTCCCTGCTGGACGTCGTCGAATGTAATGGCCATCGACTATTGTACATCCGCAATACTTGGGCTATCTTTGTGTGGAAAGGGAAATGGTCGGACTGGACAGGTGGAAAACCATCGATGGCCGGCGCCTTTTGGATCGAGTACGAAGACTTTTTGCGAAATTATTATACGTGTACGTTTTTTTGTTGTTGTTGTTGTTGTATCGAAACGTCGAAAGCCCATTTTCCAGTTGTGATCTGCCGATATCGTCCCGCGTGGAGTGTGATCCGAATGCATCTGGTAATAGACGGACCACTGGATGGTAGTCAGAAAATGATCGAGATGACTGTGCCCCGAACTTGTGACATTGCGTTCACTTGTAACAAACCGGGACATTATGATGAATCTGTAGGCCTGAAGTCAGAGTTGAGCGGAAGAACTCAGCGGAAGAATTTTTATCTTTTTTAGAAAATTTTTTCATGGAATGTGATCAACTGACGAAATGTGTAGCAAAGGGAACTCGGCTCATAGAAAAATAATTGTAAATTTAGCTTTTCATACAAAAAAGTTATTCGAGTTGTTCCGTTATCCCACTTTTTTCACGGAACAACTAAATTTACAATTATTTTTCTATGCGCAGAGTTCACTTTGCTATACATTTCGTCAGTTGATCACATTTCATGAAAAAATGTTCTAAAAAAGATAAAAACTCTTCCGTGTTCTTCCGTGTTGAGCTCTTCCGCTCAACTCTGCCTAAAGTATTTATTTTCTCACAAATCCCTTCAGTGCTTCACCTGGATCTTCATCTATTCCGCCGAAACTGGTGAATTTGTGCGACACACAGTTTTGCACCAATCTTCTTCTGATGATTTTCGACTGCCGCAAGGCACCTATCACATCATGCTCTGTCACGTGGGCACCGCAAAAACCGACAGAAATGTGGCCGTCCACAGCGCGGTGCCAATATGCGTTAAACTCGTAAACTTGAACTACAATATCGCCGGCGCATTTCAACAATCGGTCCTGAGACACGGACGGTGTGTCAGACTGTCCGTGAATCGAGCGGATGTGAAAATATACAAATTTTGTGTAGACGATAAACATTGTTTGGTGATGGCCGAAAATTTGAATAGCGAAATGTATCTTCATGTGCAGTAGGTTACTTTGCTTTAAAAGCTAAAAAAAAAGTGCAACATTTTCAGTTTATACTGCAACAAAATTATGAATCTAGACGACCATGATCACGTGTACCAATTTTCGCGTCAGCCGACCCACACCGAAGACTGGTTCGCCGATGTGATTCCGCCAATGTCTCGACAAATTCTTCTGATTGTATGCTGTGAAGGAAGTCGAGGGTCAAAGAAGCAATTTCCGATAGATATTGACGTATGCGAATCGATAATATCGAAGCACAACAACAATCTCTTTTTTTTTTGGTTGCAGTATCATCTATCCAATGAGAAAGTGACAAAACTTGGCCGGAACCGAAAAGCGGAACATGTACCCGAGATACATAAACGCGATCACATTCATCAGACGACTGTCATCTAGTGATTATTGTTTCAAAATATTTCGTAATCAGAGTTTGAAATGCATAGATGAAGTTTCAAACGTTTCAAACGGTTCGGAGAGAAGGAAATCTGGCGAAAATTGAACGCATGTTTATTTGCGACGGAGATTACGGTAGAAGTCGCGAACGCCCTTGACGACGTTGCGCAGGGGCTTCTCTTTAAGTCCGTCCTTGTCGAGCCGCACCAACTCGAGCTGGTAGTCGTTGTAGAAGGGACTGACGACGTTCGCGTCCACCTTCTTCTCGAGCCACTTCTTGAAGTGCTTCTCGTCGATCTTCTCCGGCTTGCCCTTGTCCTCCATGTACACACAGTACTCCTCCCACGGGTCGAACCGATGCTCCCGCTCGAAGTCTCTGATGTGCTCCTGCAGCCGCGCGACTCCCGCGTGCTCCTTCTTGAAGCGCGCCGCCCACTCGGCCTCCGCCTCGTCCTCCTCCATCAGCTCGTGCATCGTCGGATTGCCCATCTGCCGGAGCGCCTGCTCGACCGCCGCCGCGAATCGTTTCGACTGCTTCTTCGGAATCTCCTTGCCGTTACATTGAATGTTGATCGCCGCGTCTTTGCCCACGTTGAAGTTCAGCTCGTTTATCGCATCAAGACCCTCGGCCACTGAAATCCACCAATCAATCAGCGAGTGTACTTCTCTCCGATTACTCTACCCTCTTTCTGTGCGTTCTGCACGATGGCGTAGTGCTGGCGGCGGTCGGGCACGTGATGCGTGTCCGACTTTCTCGGCAGCTCGTCCTTCTCGAGCATCCACTTCGAGCGCAGGTACCTCTTCCACTCGCGCTTCGCCAACTCCCGCTTCTTCCACTCGTCCCACTCGTCTGCGTCGTCGATTTGCACCCGTGCGGGCATCGGCGTTCCGATCTTTCCGAATACCTTCGGCGGAGCACGTTCCGGACTGAAATCTCGGGTTATTAATCTAGTTAGGCTGTTAATCAGTCACCTGAAATCCTCCTCCTCCGCCGAGTTCGAGCTCCTGTTCTGTGCTCGATGTCCGAGAGCACTGCTAATGTCGAGCTCTTCCGATGACATTCTCGTCTTCGTCGATTTCTGTTTTATTCCGAAAATAACTTGTTTGCCTGCCCCAAAACTCTTCTCGATTCTGGACAATTAGAACAAGGCCACGTAAAATTTTGCAACTTCTAAACCGTATGACTCACAAAAAGCGTCCAAATCCGAACAATTCGGGCAAAGTGACGGTTCCGCACAAAAACGATCCGCTTTCATGATATGTGCAATGTTTTTGCTGAAAATTTATCGATAAATTTATCGAAAACGGTCAAGCGCGTAATTTTGTATTTCGATAAAGTTTTGTCGACAAAAAGATAGGCAAAGTGGGTTAGAAGGATCCAAAAGGAATAAGAAGATCAATTTATTAAAATCAATGTGTTGTGGCCTAGAAATATCCTAGGCCACGTGTTTCAGTCATTAAAGCACCATATGAGTTGTACACGAGAAACGAAACGGAAAACCTAAAAGTCTATGCCCTCTTCGGCTTTCCGCTTCCTCGACGTCGCTCTCCGAATCTCCGTGGCCATTTCCCGAATGAACTCTTCAACGGGCTCGCCTTTCCACACTCCACTCGACAACTTTTCAATGATATCCGCAAGGCCGTACTGTGAAATGTTGCTCCGCGCCTCGTCAGGCGTCTCGCGAACCTCTGTTCGCATCGCGTACAAATGATCGGCGATAGTGCCCATGTAGTGCGCAACTTCCATCTCCTCCTTTCTTCGGCTCCACGTCAGCCGGCCATCCGCCTCCAGTCTCACACGTTTCTGCTTTGAGAGCCATTCGAAGAAGGCGACGAGCGTGCGATTGAGTTTGTCGGCGGCCGTCAGACTTCCGGGGATTCGGAGTGGCGTGAGGAGGATCGAGGCGAGTATCGAGTTGGCCGCGTAGACGGTCTTTTGCGCACTCTCGCGCTCCTCCAACGTTTGTCCTGCGATGCGGCTGAAATTAGAGACTCTATTGAACTCGATCGAACACGGTACTCACGCAAAGGTGTCCAACGCGGGTTGCGTGTAAAACACTGGCGAGTTCTCCTGTTTCAACACCAATCGCTTCAAAATCCACAAAATCTCGAACGTCATTTCCTCTTGATGAATACGCGCAATTAGTTGGACAGTGTTCAACATGTACAGCATGAACTCGGCCATTTTCATCGATTGATCTAGGTCAACCATAATTTCAAGCGGCTCCTCAAACGAATGCAATCGCGACAGTGACGAGATGATTTTGAGGAATTGAAGGACGTCGCCGAGTGCTTGTTCGGTGGCCGCCGACATTCGATTGCGCATCAGTTCGCTCACGTACTTGCACCCGTCCGCCGTCTCGTTGCCCGTCAATCGCGAGAGATCAGCGCGTGGACAATATTTTAAAAGACACGCGGACGCCTCTGTCACAATAGGGGTTTCAGTCTGGCAGAGCAGTAGGGTGCGGACGACCTCGAAATGACATCCGTAATGCAGATAGTCGCAAAGTCCGTCCAACAAAAGTGTGTGCATGAGGGGTCGAAGGAAGCGTCCCACAAATGGTCTCGGTAGTTCGTATTGCTTTTGGGTGTAACGCACGAGATAATCAATCACATTCGATACGTCGGATCTTTTGAAATCTTTGCTTGAAATCATTCGTTTCACACTGCAAAATCAATCGTCGTTACATATATAGATAGAATGAGACCTCAAACTCACAGTTTGGGCAAGTTGTCGAAAATGTCGTCAATGTCATATTCACAAATCGCTTTTCTGCTCAACGCCTTCACAACGAGTCTGTAGAAGCTCCAAAGTTCGTAGCCGGTACACTTGGGCTCTCCGCGCACCCTGCTATTCATCGGATTCAACGCGAACGCTGTTGAAACGAGGCGGTCACTTTTCATAAGCATATAATGCTCGATGGCGGTGATCGTGTTCTGCACTGTTCTGACGTTATACGATGGGAAACGTCTCGGACGACATGCGCGGCCACCTGTAACATATTAGCGCGAATAGTTGTTACACTTTCCTGCTACACCGTCACTAACCGATATGCGAAAAGTGTTCGAGTTTCGGCAGTCTCTGCACAATCTCCGTGTACGGCACAACGACATCGTCCTCGCACAAGTCCAAATATTTGAGCTCGGGCAGTGTCAGACCCCAATCGAGACAATCACAGAATTGGCGGATTAGTGAACGTTCGCCAGAATGCCGATAGCTGAAAGAATCGCGTTAACTTTGTGATAAATGAGAGTACATCATACCTCAGACAAATGCACAGAAACTCTAATTTTTTGAGCGTGAAGAGTTCGGCAATGCCTGGCGCCCCAAACTCGAACTCTAGAATGAGCGCCTCGAGATTTTGAAGGCACGAAATGCCTTCGATTGTATCCACACCCCCCTCGCCGTATTTCCAGCTCAGATATTTGAGTTTTGGACACGCGTCCGCCACTTTTTTGATGCTAGAGTTCGCAAACGCCCTCGTATCGAGACGTTGGAGGTTGGGGAAGAGCAGTCCGACGCTTTCGATCCAATTGGCACGGACGAATCGTTCATGGCATGCCTGTGTAATGTCCAGATGGGTCAGGCTGTGACGCGTTTCGACACTTGTCATGGTCCGAAGAAAGCCGTGAATATCATCTGAAAAAGACACAATTTCAGTGATTCTTCAAACGACTCACCATCCCCTTCTGCATAGCCCCTGTAGCCAATACTGAAGCCGTCTTCGTTTCCGATGATCAACGAATTGAGCGTGAACGAGCGCATCATCTCATAATCTCCGTTCTCAATGCGCCGATCTCCAAAGTCCGCCTCGGTGATTTGCAATTTTGTCAGCCGTTCCATCACCACACTTTTATTGCTCATTGAGAGCCAGTTTGTCATTACCCGCGCGAACACTTTGTTGCCCGCCGGAATCGGAGTGCCAATGTCGTACGGGCCTGAAAACCCATTGTTTTTAGGAGGCGCAGAGATGTGTACACTTTTCCGCAAATTGTCACAAGTGATTATGAATGGGAGAGTTGTCAAAGTTCAGAAAAACCCCTAGGCTTCATTGTTTTGACATTGGCACGGCCAAAATTCGTGAATATTTAATTTTAGCCGAGCAAAAAGAGCAAACTATCAAAAAGATGTGCCCAAAACTAACCTTTGTGAATATTCAGTGCCACTTGTTCAACAGCAAGATCGACGAGCGATGGAATTGCAAGCATCCTTCTCTCTGGAATGTTCTGCAATGTTAGTTTGAGAGTAAATTGCATAAGAATTAGGTAAATATTAGAAACAGCGAATGTGAACTGGTAGAAGCAAAAAGAAGGAGAAAATGAGAAATAAAACCGTTTATTGAGGCAATACCAGGCTTTTTCGACCCTTTGATCGCTTTTAGCGATAATCTAACCGAAACTCGTTTTGGCAAAACAATATGCGTTCAATTAAAGATACATAAATCCACGTGGACCATTAGTTCCTCGACTTTTTGGTCCTTTTCTGCTCATCCTCGGCTCTCCGCTTCTCGCCTCTTTCCCAGCCGGGCTCCGTCACGTCGCGAATCTCTTTGGCCATTCGAACAACGCACTCGTCGACGTGCTGATGCTTCCACTCGCCGCGTGACAACTTTCTCATAATTTCTTCGAGTCCAGCATCGAAAAAGTGTTGCGGACCGTTCGGCTCGTAGCGAACCGACTGATGAATGGCGCACACGTGTTCGGTGACGGTTCCCATGAACTGGGCCGACTCGATTTCGTCGCGCGCCTTATCCAATTCCAAAAGTTTCGGCGGATCCGCGAGCGACGAAAACGAGCGGCACAAGTGCAAAAGTGTCTCGTTCAGGCCGTCAGCCACCTCCATTCCTCCCTCGAATTGCTCCGGAAACAGGAGGAGTTTGGCGAGAATCGAGCCGGCACAGCTCATCGAATGCGGCAAGTTATCCGCCGGATTCTTTATTGTTTGTCTGGAAATTCAATAATTGTGCACATATTCTATCAGTTGGTGTCTTACTCGAAAATGTTGACCGCAAATGAAGTGTAGAGCGCCGGCGGATGAACTCGTTTGCATAGCATTACTCTAAAAATGCACAACACTTTGAACTTGATCATTCCGCGATGAAGCCAACGGCCAAACTGCGGCCGACTGATCATTTGGAGCAGGAACATGCTCATCTCCTTCGAATAATCGCCCGCCTCGATGTTGTCGGGCTCGGCGAACGCGCTCAAAGCGACAAAGTGCGAAATGATGCGGAGACAATCGAAGATGTGGTGTTGCGCCGGCTCGTTTTCCGGCTCGTCCATTCGATCGTACACACTTTCCACCAAATACTTGAACGCCAGCTTCAAGTCATCGCCGCTGAGCTTCGTGTGATCCTCGGGCGGACAATAGTCGGTGAGAAAATCGATAATGTTCGCCCTCAGGTAGTCGTTGGGGAAGTTGCGCAGTCCGATTCGGCAGATTTCGAGATAGTTTTCGGGGGCGAGAAGACCACGGATCCCGGGCGTCGTAAGCGTCTCGCAGATGACGTTGCGAAGAATGTCAATGTGTGGCACTCCGCTCGACTCGAATTTGCGAAACAGACGGAGCACAAACGCGACGAATCGCCGAACTTCTGCCTCGCTAAACGTTCGGCTCGCGATCATCAACTTTAGTCTGCAAAAGACGTGTTCATTTGATCAGAACATTCTTCTTACATCTTCGGACAGTTGCAGCAGACAAGTGTTCCGGTCGTCAAGCCAGTCGGTTTTCTCTCGATCAATTTATAGATCAATGCGATGAACGTGCGGAGTTCGTGCGGTGCGCACTGCGGAATTCCCTCCCGAAAATCGGCCATCTGATTCGCGTACAATACCATCAGGAGCATTCCGTCGTTTTTCAGACGCAGGTAGTGTTCGATCGCCTCGATTGTGGATCTGACCGATTCTACGTTGTATGACGGCAAATATCCGAGATAGGTTGAGCTGCCTGCAAGTCTCAGCGGTTCGACTTTAAGACTTTAAGCAACTCACCTATACACGTAAAGTGTTCCAGTTTGGGAAGTGCTTGAACAATCGCGTCGTAGGGAATGTCAATCGACATTTCCGAGCAGTCAAAGTATTGCAGCTCGGGAAACGTGAGCCCTCTGTCCAGACACTCTCGGAACAGGTAAATGAACGGTCGATTCACGTGTCGTGTGCTGAAAACGAACGAAAATGCAACAAGTTCCGGTAGAATTTCCTACCCCGGAACGCTCAGAACTCGCAACTTTTGAAGTTGGAACAATTCCTCCACATTCTCCTCGTCGGTTATACTCTCGATCATCAGAACTTCAAGATTTCGAAGAAGACCGACGCCTGTGATCGCGTTGAAGTTTCCCTTTTTGCGCAAGTTCAGACTCTTCAGGTTCGGGAATGCGTTCGCCAAATCTCGGTATACGTCGTCGTGATAGCCGACGAGATTCAGGCTCTGTAGGTTGGGAAACAAGTTCGCGACGCCTTGTGCCCAGTGCTCGGTGAATCTGTGAACAGAAGCACGCATCACGTTCAGATGAATCAGTGTTTGACGTGTTTCAGCGCTGGCCATGTGCTCCAGAAGTTGTACCATGTTGAGCTCACAAGTATCTGGAAATGATGGGAATTTGCATTGAAAACAAACAGCTTGGCCAATGACTTCAACATACCATCTCCGTCGTTTTCAAGCCCATCCACGACGTTTCGCTCGTATCCGATCACCAACGACGTCAATGTCATCTTCTGGAGCATCACAAAGTCCCTTCGCCGGATGCTCTTCTGCCCGAAATCCGCTTCAGTGATCGGAAGCGTCGCCAGCACTTCGAGCGCCTTCACTTTTTTGCTCTCCGCCGCCGATTCGATAATCGACCATCGGTTCATCGCACACGCGAACACCTTATTGCTATCCGGCTCCGGAACTACAAACGTTCGCGACGACGACGGGCAAACCCGGCCTGAAAATCAATATATATACATCCTCAATTGATCCACAAACCTTTGAGTATGTTTCTGGCGACTTGTTCAACTGTAAGCTCCTCCAACGATACAACTGACATGATTATTTTGCTGGAAAAAGATGCATTTGAGAGTGAATTGCGTAGAAAACAGGTAAAATATTGACAACAACAAATATTAGCGAGAAATGTTTAGATGAAATGGATAAGAGAGCATTTATTGAGGGTAACACCAGGCAATATGTACAGTAAATCAAGATTGTTGAACCATTTTTTGGTCCCTATGAATATTATGCCTCGGAAAAACCGTAAAAACCGCAGATTTTTCTGTCCAAAGTCGGCCGAAATTTGCGTGAAAAACGGGGGTGCGCACAGCTCAATGAATGTAACAGTACCCCTAAAACTACGGTATTTTTCGAAAATTTGTGTTAATTTCTTGAGGATATTTGAAAATATTCAAATTTCTTGCGCAAATTTTCAAAAAATACCGTAGTTTTAGGGGTACGGTTACATTCATTGAGCTGTGCGCACCCACCCCCGTTTTTCACGCAAATTTCGGCCGACTTTGGACAGAAAAATCTGCGGTTTTTACGGTTTTTCCGAGACTTTTTGGACGCGGCATTATCTAGCTATAATAGCAATGTGTCGGTTCAAAATACGATGTTTCCAAATGGTTCACTAGAAAAAAAGAGCATACAACCGTATCTGTTATTCTTGGCTCGGTCCTTGGTCCTCCTCCTCCGTTTTCACCTTCTTCGCGTCAGTCTCCGCATCCTCCGGCTCGCCCTCTCCATCCGCTTCTCGCTTCTCGGCCCTCTCGAACTCAACGCCCGGCTCGGCGATGCGCAGAATGTCTCTGGTCATGTCGACAACCCACTCGTCGACGAACCGTCCCCTCCATGCTCCCGTCGACAATATGTCTCTCACCACCTCCTGCGTTTCAAAGTGGCGAGCGTAGAGCGGAAAGCCGTTCGTGTGGCGGACGTACTCGCGAACGGCGTAAATGTGCGCGGCGATTGTGCCCAAATAGTGCGTCTCGTCGATATCGTGCCTCATTTTCGACCATTGAATCCACATGCGCACCGGCGGCTCGTTCGTCGCATTTTCGAGAAGCCACTGGACGCCGTCCAGCACTTGTGCATTGTAGAAATCGGCCAATTCGTCTTCGACTCTGTCCGGCCGAACGATGATCTTGGCGAGGATCGCGACGGCCGTCGTGACAATCTGCACAATGTGCTCCTCGCGATCGTTGCGTTTGCGGATTTGTGTCCTGGAAAAAACAACAACAACAAAAAAATCTATTTTTCAACGTTTAATAGCTCACCAGACACTTCTCAACGCCCATTGATTGTACAACACTTGCGGATGATCGTCTCGACAGACGATTTTGAGCAAAACGCACAGAATGTTACACTTGATCCGTTGGCGGTGAATGCAAGCGGCCAGCTCTTCGCTGGTGAGCAGTTGGCAGAAGAAAAGGATCATGTGCGGCGAGTATGTTCCGGTGTCCACGTCGTCGGGCTCCTCGAACACTCGCAAACCGACGAGTTGCTGAATGACGAACAGGCATTTATTGATCGATCGTTGCGCGTGCTCGTCCGTTGGCTCGCTGAGCCGATCGTAGACGGTCTCCACCAAATACTTGCACCCGTCCTTCACATCCTCTCTGCTCAGTCCGGTATAATCCGCGTTTCCGTAGTGATAGATGAGGCACTCGAGCGCCTGGTCTCGCAACTCGTCTACTCGCATCGATTTCAGTGCGTTTTTGAAGATTTCGACGCAGAACGGATGGTAGATGTTACTGTGGATCCCTGGTGTCATGACCGTCTCCATCACCGACAGGTTCATCATGTTGCGAAGCTCGAATTGGAATCGATTGAATTTCCGGAAGAATACCAAGACGAAAAAGATGAACTGTCGAATCTCCCAGGTGCTGAAATTTCCACAATCGAGCATCATCCTTAGTCTGAAAAAGAGAAAGGATACAATTTTTTTATCCGGGGCACACTCACAGCTTCGGATAGTTCAGAGAGACGAATGCGGCAAACGTCGTGTCCGTACTTTTGCGTGTCATGATCGTGTTGAGAATGCACTGAAACTTGCGGAGCTCGTTCGCCGAGCATTCGGGAATGTCTGGCGAGAGTTTGCTCATCGGGTTGACTCGGAGCACGAGGAGTTGCATGCCAAAGCACTTTTGCCGCATGTAATACTCCATGGCAGTGAGAGTGTCCTTGATGGTGTCAATCTTGTAACCGGGCAAGTTTCCGACTGTCGACGTGCTTCCTGCAAAGCAACACTTGTCACGCTAATTCTAACCAAATCTCAGTATTTGTCTTAGGCTTAGCTTTACAACACCAACGTACCAATACACGTAAGATGGTCTAGATTCGGAAGAGCTTCGACAATCGCGTCGTAGGGAATGTTGGTAGAAGCTTCCGAGCAATCGAGATATCGGAGTTGTGGAAGTGTCAACCCTCTCTCGAGACACTCTAGGAATTTGCGCGTGAACGGACGGTTTTCAGAGTTTGTGCTGAAAACGTTTCATGTTTAACCGATCGTTTGCCACGGCTTCTCACCCCGGAACACTCAACACTCGCAAGTTTCGGAGTTGGAACAACTCCTCGACATCCGGAACATCCGTAATATCATCGATCATGAGAAATTCGAGATTCCGAAGGAGACAAATATCTCTGAGTTGGGTCGTTCCGCCCGGTGTTGTAATGTAGAGAGACTTCAAGTTTGGGAAGCAGTTGACGAGGTCAGCGACGTTCGTGCCTCGATATGCGATGAAATTGATCGATTCGAGGTTGGGAAACAAGTCGCCCACGCTTCGCATCCAATTCGGTTCGAATCGTCGGTTGGGCGCCGACGAAACGTCCAAGTGCATGAGGGTGTGACGTGTGCCCGTACTCGAGATTCTCTCCAACAACTCCACAATGCTCAGATAGCGGATTTCTGAAATAACGTTGTACAACGAGTATCCTCCATATGCTCACCATCCCCAGCGTTCTCGTGCTCGTCTCCGTTCACCACACTTCCTTCGTACCCGATCGTCAGCGAGACCAACGACCGTTTCATGAAGAGCGGAAAGAATCGGCTGTGCAGTTGCATGTCGCCAAAGTCGGCCTCGGTGATCTCGAGTTCGGCCAGTTCTCCAAACACACTCGCCTCTATTGTGTTTTGTCGTGTTTCGTCCAATCCCGACCATATGACCATCGCATGAGCGAACACTTTATTCGGGCTCGGCACCGGATAGCACACGTTCGACGGGCGTAATCGGTCTGAAAATGCACATTTTTCCACCTTAATTTCGGGGGTTAAATTACGGTTTATGATGTTTCGGGCGACTTGTTCGCACGACAACTCCATTAGCGGCACGATTTGTTTCATTTTTCTGCAAAAGACGTGGAATCAATGCGAGAACGACGGCACGACGTGGGTGGCGAGAGAGAAAGAGACGGAAACGGAGCGAGAGAGGAGAGAAGCAACGAGAGGGGTGTAGAAGAAGAAGAAGAAGAAGAAGAAGAAGAAGAGAGGGTGTTCTGCCGTTCGATTGCAAGACGAGAAGGTGCACAATTAATGGATTTTTGTAGAGCCATCAACTTTGGACTAGCCTAACTCGGTCAATTTTCAATATTTCGGCAGTGTTAAAAAACCAATCGATAGCGAATTTTGTGTTCAACAACTTTGTAGTTGGTCAAATTACACGAAAAATACAGTGCGCCGAGATATTTCCAATTTACTGTAAGCCAACGCAATTGCCGAGCGCGTGCTCGGCGGAGAGGCATTTTGGTGGAATTTAGTCAAATACAAAGGTGTTCGGCACAAAAGTAGCTATCAATTCGCTGTTTAATAACTTGATAATATTCAAAACTGGCCGAGATACGCTCGATTATCGGCACGCAAAATGCGTATCTCTGCACCCTCTCATCAGTTTACACTTTAGTCCATTTCGCCATGGCAACAAAGAGACGCCCGTCTTCTGACTTATTGACAAGTCTTCAAAGATAGAGGAGTGTGGAAATGAGGAGCAGAACAATATGTAGAACAAATCGATTTGAAAATGGGTATTTTCAGAGAATAGGAGGGGAAAATGAGAAAATACTCGGAAGGAACCGGTGTTGAGTGGAAATACAATTTGAAAACACGGAAGACGGAAGACGGAAGACGGAAGACGGAAGACGGAAGAAGAAACAATTATTCCCTTTCGGAAGGTCCAGAGAACCCAAGAAACGTTCGCAAGTTTCGATAACAATGAAAACGATGAATCAGCGCCTCCAGTGCCACGCATCTAAACGTCCTGGCCTAGTTTTCCATAACTCGAGGGAGCTAGGCCATGGGGCCGTGGCCTAGTTTTCCTCTACTTTTTTGGCTGGCTGCCAAAGTTACTTATTCGAAACAATAAAAAGGAATGATTACGGTGGATTAACCGTTGAACAGATCTCTCGATAAGGGAAAGAAAGGCGGGAAAATGGGAGCAGTATTTTATTAGACGGTTCGGTACGAATAACTTGATTAGATTACAATTATGAATATAGAGAACGTTCAAATTATGAAAAGGACCCCAATTAGACGTCCATCTTCGCCCTTTTGACATCTATCTCCGCCTCATCTTCCTCAGCTTTCCGCTTCTCGACTCTCGGCCCCACGATCCTCCGGATGCCCATTGCCATCGTCACAATGCACTCATCGAGTGGCTTACCGTCTCTCCAATCTCCTCCACACGACAACTTCCGTATCGCTTCTTGAAGTGCCACGTGGCCAGCGTACATCGGAGCTCCTTCAGTTTTCATGACATATTCTCGAAGGCCGTACACATGCGCGGCGACGATGCCCACATGCGCGGCCCGTTCAATTTCGCCGTGAATTGTGGCCCAATTGATGTGGCAGGCGGTCGGTGTTTCGGAACGCTGTCGTAGAAGCCATCGGACAGTTCGCACAATGTGTTCACTGTAATTTACGCCTGTTCGGACGAGTTCCGGATAACGGATGAGCTTGGCGAGAAGTGCGGTCGCCGTCTCGACAGATTGCACCGAGTTCGTCTCGCAGTTGATCAGTATGCGCCTGAAGAGTGTGATGAGAAGTTGTGCGGTAGCCGAATCAACTCACGAGATACTGTTCGTAGCGGTGACATGATACATTATGTCCGGATAATTGTCGTTGCGGACAATTCTCATCAAAACGCGCAGAATAGTGTCGGTGATCGGTTTGCATCGAACGGATGATTCGCTGCGATCGACGCCCGACATCAGAGTGCAAAGCAGTAGGATCAGTGGCGGCGGCGTCGGCATCTCGTCGTTCACATATCTATTCTCCCACCTGTCGAAGACGTAGAAATCGATGAGTTGCTCGAGAATGAGCACACAACGATGCACGTATCTTTGCGCTTCCTCATTAGTCGGCCAGCGGATCCGCCGACGCGCACTTCTCAGCAAATAATTGCATCCTCTTCGCACAATTTCTCTGCTCAGCATCGAAAGATCCACGTGTTTATGGTATTTTAGCAGACAAAGCAAATCGAGCTCTCCTGACGCGTCGCTCGGAAACGCGCACAGTGTGTGCTTGAAGATTTCAAAGTAGAACTGATGGTGGATGTAATCATGGACTCCCCGTGTCATGACCGTCTCTATTACGGAATTGTACAATGATTTGCGGGCGGGAGATGAGAATCGAGTGAATTTTCGGAAGAATAATAGGACACGCTCGACAAATTGACTTATTTCCAGGGCATTAAATTGGACGCTCGACTGCATCAGTGTTAATCTAAAAAGACAGGCGTTAAGTGATTGATGCTACAACAGCACTTACAGTTTTGGAAAGTTGAGCGCCACGGCGGCCGCCAACTTATTGTCCGTCGATTTCCGCTCCATTATTCCTTTCACCATGCACAGAAACTTTCGCAGGTCCTCAACTGGGCATTCGGGCGCGTCTGGCCGACGACGTGCGCTCATCGGATTCGATTTGAGAACGAGTGCCTGCATGACGAAGCACTTGACGCTTATATAGTGCTCCATGACGTTTAGAGTCTCTCCGATGGTGTCAAGATTGTGGTGAGCCAAGTTTCCGACTGCCTGAGCGCTTCCTAAATATTGTACTTTTCAGTGTTTGTCTTTGTGCACTCTAGCAAACTAGAGACAGTTTTTGAATCGACTTACCCATGAATGTACAGTGTTCGAGTTTCGGAAAGCTGCTGATCATCAATGTGTACGGAATGTCAATCGACACTTCGGAGCACTCAAAGTATCGCAGTTCGGGCAGTCGGAGTCCGTCCTCCAGACACTCTCGGAACAGTCGAATGAATTGACAGTCTTCACGTTTTGTGCTGAAAATGGGTCAATGTGTGCGGATACAAATTGAAAATGTGCTACCACGGAACACTCAGCACTCGCAACTTTTGCAATTTGAACAGTTCCGTCACATCCGTCACATCTTCGATGCCGTCGATTCGCAGAATTTCGAGATGCTCGAGACTACAAATCGGCGCGATTTGCTGTGATCGGATGGTGTCGGTCATTGTGAGCGACTTCAAGTTGGAAAATTGGTGGCCTGTCCGAAGCGCTGATACTCTTCAGCGTGTGTTATGGTCACGTTTAGACTTTGTAAATTTCGAAACATGTCGCCGACTTGTTCCGTCCATGTTCGCCCAAATCGACGCGCACCGACCGAGGCGATGTCCAAGTGTTGGAGGTTTTCACGTGTTGCCCCACTTGAGATACTCTCCAGCAACGTGACAATACCCATTTGACTGACTTCTGAAAAAAGAGCGTTTTGAAAAATGAGATGAGCAGAAGCGGTTACCATCTCCAACGGTCTCATTCTCGTCTCCGTTCGCCGCACTTCCTTCGTACCCGATCGTCAGCGAGATCAACGACTGTTTCAGAAGAAGCGGGAAGAATCGGCTGTGGAGCGGCGTCTCGCTGAAGTCTACCTTCGTGATCTCGAGGTGCGACAGCTCTCGGAGCACGAGCGTCTCTTTTGCCAATCGTTCGCTCTTCTCCAAGTTCGACCATATCGTCAGCGCTTCTGCGAACACTTTGTTGCCGTTGGGCACCCGCCAATCGATCGTCGACGGCCGGAATCTTTCTAAACATGAACGTGCTATTGATTTTTTGCCTAAATGGCCTGAAACTAACCGTCGATAATGCTCTGGGCGACGAGTTTGGCGCTCAGATCGGTCAACGACACAATGGACATCATTTCTGAAAAAAACTAACATTTGACTGTATTTCTATCGAAAAAACGCGGAAATCGTGGATAGCAATTCGAAAAACGATCGAACGCGGCTAGGGAGAAGAAAAACGAGACGTACAATAGAGCGCGGTTGCAGAAAGAGTGAGAGAGAGAGAGAGAGCGAGAGCGAGAAAGACGCAGTGGCAGGTAGATGGCAGTGTATAATGTACATAATGCAACAAAAACGTTTGGACCAACTTTGAACGCCTCTAACTCTGTCAATTTTTGGACCAGTGAGAAGCTTCAAATACTGTAACGCTACTGTAAATCGAGACTATGGATAGTCTCAATAGACCTTAACAGACAGCCCGTTCCTTAAGGAAAAACTCGAACAAATCAGTGTTTATTTCAGAAGAAAGAGAGAAAGCTAACCGTAAAATGAGTATCGAGGAGGAAAAATAGATGGGGGAAAAAATTGCTATGAATCTTGACGCTGTCCTTGTTGGGGCTCCGAGTTGGGCTGCTCGGTGATCCTCCGAATATCGATCGCCATCGCCAGCACCAATCCATCAATCGTTCCGTCCTTCCATCTTCCACACGACAACTTTTGTATCACATCACGCACCGAAAGGTTTTGAGCGTACAGCGGTGCGCCTTCGGTTCTCCGCACGTACTCGAGAATGGCGTACACGTGCGCCGCCACTGTTCCCACATACGTAGCCGTTTCAATTTCGCCACAAATCGAGTTCCAGTTGATCCAGCAGTGGGTAGGCGTTGGCGACGCGTTTTCGAGAAGCCATCGGACGCCGACCACAATTCGTGCGCTGTAAAAGTTGCCCTTTTCCTCTTGGAGTTGTTGCGAACGCATGATGAGCTTGGCGAGAATTGCCACGGCCGTTTCGACAGATTGTACCGAGTTATTCCTGCAGCTGTCGATCACGAACCTGAACAACGTGGATCGTGAGCAAATTTTTTGAAAGAACAGCCTACCAGACACTGTTAATAGCCATGTCATCATAGAATTTCAGCGAATAATCGTCTCTGCGGACAATTTTCAGCAGAATGCTCAGAATGCTCTCTTTGATCGCGTTGCGTTGAAGACAACGACCGAGCTCGTTGGACAAGAGCAATTGGCAAAACAAAAGGATCATGTTCGGCGAGTAGCCGTGTGTTGTTATATTGTCGGGCTCCTCGAAAGAGCGCACAGCGACCAGTTGACGAATGATGAGCAGGCATTGGAGGATGTAGCGTTGTGAAACTTCGTTGTTCGGGTCGATGATCCATGAAAGCAGACTTTCCGCCAGGTACTTGCACCCATTCTTCGCCTCTACACTGTTCAAATTCGCAATTTGATAATAGTGGACGAGACAGCCGAGAGCGCATTCTCTCAATTCCGCGTCTCGCATCGAACGCAGCGCGTACTGGAAGACATCTGACGCCTGCGGACGGTGCATGTGATCTTTGACTCCCGGCGTCACAATTGTGTTCATGAACGAGACGTGGAACGTGGTGCGAAGCGGGAATTGGAATCTTCGGAACTTTCGGTAGTATTTGAGCACAACGAGAAGGAAGTGATGAAGCTCGCGGTCACTGAACGATCCGCTCGTCAGCATCAACTTTAACCTGAACAACAACAAATTTCTTCTAGCAGACATCATCTACACTCACAATTTCGGATAGTTGAGGACGACAAACGTGGCAAGCGTACACTCGGTCGCCTTCTGACTCATGATTTTGTGGAGCGTGTCGCGGAACTTTCGGAGAACGCTCGGCGAGCATTCGGGCGTTTCCGGTTGAATTTTGCTCATCGGGTTCAGGCGAAGCACTAATATCTGCATTCCGTAGCACTTTTGTCGGACGTAGTGCTCGAGCGTCGCGACGGTGTCTTCGACTGTGTCAATTTTGTGTGACGGTAGGTTGACGTCGGCCAAAGTGCCTCCTGAAGAACCGAACAATTGTGTGGTTCTCAGTGTTGGAGCTGTGACGCCTTACCGATGCATGTGAAATGCTCGAGTTTCGGAAGTCTTCGCACGATCTCTTCGTACTCAACGTCCGACGTGGCTTCCGAGCAATCAAAGTAGCGGAGTTCGGGCAGTGTGAATCCCACCTCGAGACAGTCTCGGAATCGGCGGATGAACGGGCGCGTTTCAGAATTCGTGCTGAAAATTGTCGCGTTTTTTTTGACAATTTCAATTGAATATCCAAACCCCGGAACACTCAGCACGCGCAAATTTTCGAGCTCGAACAACTCCGTCACATCCGTCAGATTCCTGATGTCGTCGATCGTCAGAATTTCGAGTTTTCGAAGCCGACTTATACCCTTGATCGATCTGGTGCCGCCCGAAGTGGACATTTTGAGCGACTTCAAGTCGGGGAAGCAGTGGACCAGTTGCGCGATTTTTGTGTTTCGATACACAGTTATATTGAGGCTTTCTAGGTTCGGGAACATGTCCGCCACTTTTTCCATCCACTTGGGGTTGAAGCGGCTGCTGGGCGCCGCCGAAACATCCAAGTGCATGAGGGATTCGTGGGTGCCCTCACTTGAAATGTTCTGTAGCAGTTGAACAATGTCCATTTGATGAACTTCTGAAATGTCACTGATTTTATCGATGCTTTTTTCCAGTATTACTCACCATCTCCAGCGTTCTCGTCCTCGTCTCCGTTCACCACACTTCCTTCGTATCCGATCGTCAGCGAGACCAACGACTGTTTGAGAAGAAACGGGAAGAATCGGCTGTCGATCTGATTGTTTCTAAAGTCCGCCTCTGTGATCTCGAGATGGGCGAGCTCTCTAAGCACGTTCTTCTCCCTCTTCTGTCTGTGCCTTTTTCCCACATTCGACCAGATTTCCATCACGTACTCGAACACTTTATTCCCGCACGGAACCGGAAAATCGATCGTCGAGAGGCGGATTCTTTCTGAAAATGAACATCGGTCGATTTTCGCTCTGTAAGGCTTGAAACTAACGGTCTATAATCATTTGGGCAACGTGATTAGCGGCAATGTCGATCAACGGTCCAAATGACGACATTTTTTCAGCGCGAACCACTATCGAAAAACGACAAAACGAGGTCGGCGCGGAGAGCGGAAAAGAGACGAGCGACGCAGGCTGTGAAAGGGGAGCGACACGGCGAAAGGGGGGGGTGTAAAAGAAGAGAAGGGGGTCAACTATTCAGTGTATCTTGGTAGACTTTCAAACGTTTTTCCGTATGCTCATCAACCTTTAAATAGGTAAAATATACCGAGAAATCATGCATAGTCTTATCGTCAAAATAGCTACTTACTATTAGTCTTTGGGTTTCAGCACAAATAGAAATCTGGAAGAGGATAAAATAAACTGGTTTATCCGAGAGAAAAAGACAATTAGAAGGCTGTAAAATGCATAATTATTAATTGAGTGAGCTAGCCGTAAAATAGAAAGGGTAAAGGGGGGAAATTAAGTGAAATGGCAACTTGATAAATGAACCGGCTTCTCCTTCTTGGCGTCTCTCTCCTCCTCTTCCTCAGCTTTCCGCTTCTCGGCCCTCGCATATCCCGGCTCCGTCATCCTCCGAACGTCCTTCGCCATTTCCACAATCCATGCATCGACCGGTTCGTCGTTCCATCTTCCACTCGACAACTTCCTTACCACTTCACGCATTCCGACATGTTGCACGTAGAGCGGAGCGTCGCTCGGATTCCGAACGTACACGCGGACCGCGTACACGTGCTCCGCCACTGTTCCCATGAATTCAGCCGCCTCGCATTCCCCACTAATTGTGTGCCATTGGATCCAGGAGCGGTTTGGCGACGCGATCGCATCATTTTTCAGAAGCCACTGGACACCGCCCAGAACAAGGGAGCTGTAGAATTCGGCATTTCCGTCTTCGATTCGCTGCGGCGAGAGGATGAGTTTGGCGAGGATCGACACGGCAGTTGCGACAATATTCACCGAGTTCTCATCTTGGTTGACACGGTGTTGAATCAGATATCTGAAATGTTATTGGAAATGTTTAAAAAAAACAGAATTAAAATTCAATCCAACTCACCCGATCGCGTGTAAAACTATTTTATCGTAGAGGTCCGGCGAATGCTTCTCGTTCGCGACAATTTGACGAAAAACGCGCAGAATCCTCTCTTCGATCTTTTCGCGTTGATGGGAATCGTCCAGCTCGACGCCAATCAGAAATTGTCCGAAGAACAAGAGCATGTGAGATGAGTACACGTCTGCATTAATATCGTACGGGTCCTCGAACACTTCCAAACCCGCTAGCTTCTCGAGCACGAACAGGCATTGAAGGACAAAGTGAAACGCGACGACATCGAATGGCGCGCTGATTCGCGCGTACATACTTTCCACCAAATACTTGCTTCCCGTCTTCACATCGGCTCTCTCGAGCTGCGCAAGATTCGCGTATTTGGTGTGCTCGAGTAGACAGGCGAGCGCACTTTCTCTCAACGGATGTTCGGATAACGCGCGCAGAGCGTGCTCGACAATTTCCAGGCAGAACGGACGGATGATGTTGCTGGCGACTCCCGGCGTCATGACTGTCTCCAAGAGGTATTGGTGCAGATGTTGATGAAGCGGAAATTGGAATTTTCTCATTTTCCGGAACAATGACAGCATGTGTTGGACGAATATACTGATTTCCGATGATGAAAAGTTGTTGCTGTCGATCATCAATTCCATTCTGAGAAAAAAGGGTGGCCAATCGTTGGTTTTTCCAACAGACACACTTACAGTTTTGGACAGTTCGCAACCACATATGTCGCAATCTTCAATCGCACAATCTTGTGTTCCATCAATCTGCAGATCACGTGCAGAAACTTTCGGAGATCGCTCGGCGAGCATTCGGGCATGTCCCGTAGATTTGCATTCATCGGGTTCTGGGAAAGCACTGTCTCCAGCATCAGAAAGCTCCTCTGCCGAAAGTAGTGCTCGAGAGTCGTGACCGTGTCTCCGATCGTCTTGATACTGTGGGATGGCAAGTTCACTCGCGAGAAAGAATCGCCTGCAAAATGGAAACGATGTAGGCTGAACCGGTGTCCAGAACTTACCGATGCATGTGAAATGCTCGAGCTTGGGAAGTTTTCCGACTATTTCGTCGTACTCAATGTCCGATGCGGCTTCTGAACAATCAAAGTATCGGAGTTCGGGCAGTGTGAGTCCGTTCTCCAGACAGTCTCGGAATCGGCGGATGAACGGACGGAAAAATGGGCTGAAAATTGGCACTTTATTGTCAATTTTATTCGATATAGCTTACCATGGAACACTGAGTACACGCAAGTTTTGAAGTTGAAACAATTCCGTCGCATCCGTCACATCCCTGATATCGTCGATCGACAGCATTTCGAGATTTCGAACGAGACCAATGCCCTGCATCGATCTGGTTCCGCCTTCTGTGGTCAAGCTGAGAGACTTCAAGTTGGGGAAGCAGTTGACCAGGTCCGCAAGGTTTGTGTTTTCATGTGCGTGAAGCTTGAGGCTTTGCAAACTTGGAAACAGTCGCCCGACCCATTCCATCCAGTTCGGCTCGAAGCGGTCATGGGAAAATGGCGAAATGTCCAAGTGCTTGAGCGATTGACGCGTGCCCGCACTTGAAACTTCCTCCAACAAGTGAACAATGCGCATTTGATGCGCTTCTCAAATGCGATAAGATGATTATTGATTGATATTGATTCTTCGCTCACCGTCATCAGCGTTTTCGCCCAAATCTTCATCAAACGCCGTGAATTGGGTGACTTCGTATCCGATCGTCAGCGATTCCAACGACTGGTTCAGGAGAATCGGAAAGAATTGTCGTTCGACGCATCGCTCGCCGAAATTCGCTTTTGTGAATTTGAGATACGACAATTCTTGAAGCACACGCACATCTCCGCTCAAAAATGACCACTCTCTGATGGCGTGCTCGAAGATTTGATTTGCGCACGGCACCGGAACGCCGATGGACGACGGACGGAATCGTCCTGAAAATCGAAATGCGATGCATTGTTTGCCTCAGACTTGCCAAATCCCGGGCCGGCCCGCTCGGGCCAGAAGTTAGACCTCAGAAAAAATATGCAAAAAAAATATGAAGGAAGAGGAAAACGCGCGCGGCAAAATTGCTAAAATGGCGTGCCAGAGTTGCAATCAATCGCTCCGCCCACTCTTGAGAAAATTTTCGTAATTTTTGTGAAAATTTTGCGACTTTAAACAGCAATTTCTATTTTTTAACAGGTTTTTATGCTATAACACTGCCTTTTTCGTCTTTTTTTCTTTTAAGTCTATAGAATTATGTTCGTTTCGAAGTTCTAGTTCGCTTTGAATTTTTAGGTGCATCCTCCCGGGCCGGAAAATTTCCAATTTTGGCCCGGCCCGGCCCGGCCCGTTGCAAGTCTGGTTTGCCTAAACACTAACCTTCTACAATGTTCTGGGCAACTTGTTCGGCGCTCAGATCGATCAGTGAGGCCATCGAGATCATTTTATTCTGCTGAAATTGCTGCAAACATTCGCAAAGTGGTTTTTATACGATATAAGAGAGTTGAAATGCGGAGAAGAACCATCATCATAACTTGAAATAAGCGATACAGTTGAAACTTTATTTGATTGAAAATGAAGAGTTAAAAAAACCCGTAAAATAGTAAAACGGCAAGTTGAATTGATTCCTGAGTGAAAATTAAATGAGCTTCTATGAATCCTGGTTCTGTTCCAGCTCCGGCTTCTCCTTCTTCGCTTTTATCTCCGTCTCATCGTCCGGCTCTTCCGCTCGCTCAGCTTTCCGCTTCTCGGCCCTCGCATATCCCGGCTCCGTCCTTCTCCGAATACCGATCGCCATTTCCACAATCCATCCATCGACCGGTTCGTCGTTCCATCTTCCACTCGACAACTTCCTCACCACTTCACGCATTCCGACATGTTGCACGTAGAGCGGAGCGTCTTTTGTGCTCCGAACATACTCGCGAACCGTGTACACGTGCTCCGCCACTGTTCCCATGAATGGAGCCGCCTCGCATTCATCGCTTATTTTGTGCCATTCGGTCCGGCATACTCGCGATTTCGTAGCAGGCAGAAGCCATTGAACCGCTTCGAGAACGAGGCAGCTGTAGAATTCGGCTTTTCCGTCTTCGATTCGCTGCGGCGAGAGGATGAGTTTGGCGAGGATTGAGATGGCAGTGGCTGTGACATCCACCGAGACTGCATCTTGTCTAAGGCGCTGTCGGATAAAAAATCTGAAAAACAAGCAGATTAATCTGAAGAGGAATCAAAATGCAATCCAACTCACCCGATATTGTTCAAAACTGATTTATCATAGAGCCCCGACGGATGCTCGTCTTTCCCGACAATTTGACGCAAAACGAACAGAATCGCCTCTTCTATTACACCGATATGACGAAAACGTCGGAGCTGGTCGCCATTCAGCAATTGTCCAATAAACGAGATCATGCGCGGCGAGTATGCTCCTGCGCGCACATTGAGCGGCTCCTCGAACGCCTCCAACGCGACCAACTTGGCGAGCACCATCAGGGATCGGAAGGCGAAGTGATACGCAACTTCATCGGACGGATCGCTCAATTGCGCGTACATATTCTCCACCAAATACTTGCATCCCATCTTCACATCCTCTCTGCTGAGCTGTGTAAGATCCGCGTCGCTTGTGTGATAGAATAGGCAAGCCAGCGCACTCTCTCTCAACGCGTGTTCGGATAACGCGTGCAGTGCGTGCTCGACGATTTTTGAGCAGAACGGACGGGGCACGATTTCGTCGACGCCCGGCATCGTGACTGTCTCCATCAGGAAGCGGTAGAGCTTGTTTCGAAGAGGAAATTGAAATCGTCTCAGTTTTCGGAATAGTGGGAGGACGGAGTGGACAAATCTATAGATTTCGCTTCTGCTGAACTGGTCGCTGTCGATCATTGCCCTTAATCTGAAAATCAGACAACGATTCGTCGCAGTTGAAGCTCTTACACTTACAGTTTCGAATAGTTCGCGCCGACAAATGCCGCAAGCTTCATTCCCGCGCCCTTCCGATTCATGATTTTGTGGAGCGTGTCGCGAAACTTTCGGAGATCGTCTGGCGAGCATTCGGGCATGTCCGGTTGCAGTTGACTCATCGGGTTGAGGCGAAGCACGAGCAGCAACATTCCGTGGCACTTTTGCTGCGAATAGTGCTCGAGAGTCTTGACTGTGCCGGCGACTGTATCGATCCGGTGAGACGGTAGGCTTACGTCGGCGAAGGTGCCTCCTGAAAAGTAGAAATTGTCTAGAGGGCCCGAAATAATACACTCTACAATAGTTGATTCTCTATGCGATCCTACCGTACATACCTTAAATGTTGACTTGGGACACAGTTAGTCTCGCCAAGCTGACAATACTTAGCTTAACATAACTTGGCTGAGTTCAACGTTAGCCGAACTAAATCGACTTACCGATACAGGTAAAATGTTCGAGCTTGGGCAATTTTCCGACAATCTCATCGTAGGGAACATCGATTGTCGTTTCCGAACAATCAAAGTATCGGAGTTGGGGCAATGTGAGTCCGTTCTCGAGACACTCTTGGAATAGGCGAATGAACGGACGATCGGACGGCTCGTTTTCAAGATTTGGCCTGAAAAGTGTCAGATTCAGCAAATTTGTTGTTGCGAATATGTTACCCGAACGAAGGTGTAGCCGGAACAATCAACACTCGCAGATTCTGGAGTTGAAAAAGACCCGTCACATCCGTCACATCCCTAATATCGTCGATCATCAGAAATTCGAGATTTCGAAGGAGACCGATTTCCTTGATCGAATTCGTTCCGTCCAATGTGTTCATGTTGAGCGATTTCAAGTTTGGAAAACAGTTGACCAGGTTCGCAAGGTCTGTCGTTTGATGTGCGACAAACTTTAAGCTTTCCAGGTGCGGAACAGACGCCCGACTCTTTCCATCCAATTTTCATCGAATAGCCTGTCGGGCGCCGTCGAAACATCCAAATGCATGAGGTTTTGTCGGGTGTCCGCACTTGACAGACTCTCCAACACTTGCACAATATCTATTTCATCATCTTCTGAATTGGTTTTCCATTGTTTTTTGTCTAGGCGCTTCGAAATCTTACCATTTCCATAGCCGGCCTCCAAATCTTCATCCTCCGTGCGCACTTCGCTGCCGATCGTCAGCGCTATCAACGATTGCTTCAGGAGAATCGGAAAAAAGCGGCTTTCGATGCATGCCTCATAGAAATTCGCCTCCGTGAACTTGAGCTCGGCCAATTCTTCAAGCACATTTTCTATCGTGCTCTGTGGTGCTCCGTACAAAACCGGCCACATCTTGATCGCGTGCTCGAACACTCGATTCCCGCTCGGCACCGAAAAATCGATAGTCGACGGGCGAAATCGTTCTGAAAATGAAAAAGGCGCGATGGGTTTTTGTGCATAAAACGTCTGAAACTAACCGACTAGAATGTTCTGGGCGACTTTCTCGGCGCTCAGATCGATCAGCGACCCGACTGACATTTTGTTTCTGCAAAAACCAGCAGTTGGACAATAGCTCTATCGAAGAAGCGTGGAAAACGTGGAAATGTATTCAAAACACGACAGAATGCGGACGAGGAGAGAGAAAAGAGACGCAGACGGAGAAAGAGAGGGAGAGAGACGAGGAGAGGGGGTCGATGCAAACGAATGTTTGGGTCAACTTTGTACTACTGTATCTCGCTCAATTTTTGGAAGTTTTCTAGTTTCAAAAAACCAATCGATAGCTTTTTTTGTGCTCAACAACTTTGCAATTGAACAGATTTTACGAAAAAGTCTGTGCGCCGAGATATTTTCACTTTACCACACAATAACCGGGCGTGTTGCTTTCAAGCACCCATATCTCGACGGAGAAGCAATTACACGCCCTCAATGAACAAACGATGAAGTAAATCTGGAAGAAAAAGCAGAAATCAGACCCTTACTTGGCCCACAATCAATTTGAAGTTATTCGCGGGTAAACGGACAACCGGCGAAGATGAAGTGCTGGTGAAATGCGGGCGAACTGGCAAAAATGGGTCTAGACGTAACTGCCTTTCTTTCTCCGCTTGTCCGGCCATTTTTTGTTGTGAAGGAAAAACGAATAAATGGATACGTGAACTTTCGAACGGTTAAGAAGAACAAAAAATGTCGACTGCGTTGAAGCGCTTGCATTGCAATATTGTCGGAGGTCTTTGGCTGCCCTGGAAGTGATTTCGAGACCAATGTCCAAGAGAATGTGATAGTCCGACTACTAGGAACCCTTGTTTTCCTAAAGGGACCATCAAATTACCAGGAGTACCCGGAATAGCGAGCAAACGAAGCCGCTGCCCGATTTTTGCTGTAGCTCGAAGCTGCCGGGTTTTGATGCGAAAAAGAGACAAAATAAGCATTTATTCACAGAGAAAACCCGTCGAAATGTACAATATCCGTTTATTCCCTCGCTTTGAGATGCATCCAAACACTGTCCGGCTGCGTGGTGGCCCTTCCGACCAACTTGAGCGGGATGCGAGTGCGGGCGCCCGGCTGGAAGGTGTATTTGCGAAGGAGATGAGCCAAGAGCAGCTTCTCCTCCATATAAGCGAGCCGCATTCCGATGCATTGTCGCGGTCCCAGTCCGAATGGAATGTAGCCGCCGCTTTTATGCTGCTCCGCCGCGCCTTCCCATCTTTCCGGCCGGAATGACTCTGCGTCCGCGCCCCAAATGTTCGGGTCGTAGTGGAGAGTCCACGTGTCACACATAATCTCCACTCCCTCCTCGACGTCGAACTCTCCGATCCTGGTGCTTCTCATGCATTTACGCGAGTTGGCTCTGAAATCAACAAATTCTCTATTCTGACCTCCCAGTTGCAACAATAAACTTACAGCGCCCCGAGTGGATACAATCGAAGTGTCTCCTTGATCACCATCTCCATGTACTTCAGTTTTGCCAGCTGATCGAAAGTGATCTCGGGGTCCGGACACTCTCTGTCCACCTCCTCTTGCAATTTGGCCATAACTAGTGGGTTGGTTGCCAGGAGGTAGGTAGAATACGAGAGTGATAGCGCGGTCGTGTCGAAACCAGCAATCAGGAACACGAAACACTGTCCGACGATCTCGTCGGTCGTCAGCTGCCGCGACACCTTCACTCCCGCCTTGGTAAAATCGTCGTTGCTCTCGGCGAGCATGTCCACGTCGGCCCTCGCGTCCAGGAACAGATCGATAAAGTCGGCGGGCTCTCCCGGCTCGATTCCCGCCTTGCGTCCGTTTCTCGTTGGCCTATCCGCTGCTCGACCGCCTTTTCCATCTGTTTGAAGATGTAAATGACTGGATTCGAGAAGAGCGACGGGTAGTTCATCAAGATCTTTCTCATGATCTTTCCGAATCCCGGAATCGTGCCGCCGGTCAGGAAAATAAATTTTCGAGGTTCTCCGAAGACCTGAAGCATCCGTTCGAGTTGAAGAGTGAAAAAGTGAGAAACTCACTCGTTTCACAAAGGGTAACATGGGGTTCTTGAACATTTGTGTGTCGGTTTGACCCATAGCGATTCGGCCGATCACATCCAAAGTGAATTCTTGGTAGAATCTGAAAAGCTTGTTCCAACCAATTGATGGCCTAGCACCCCCAACTCACTCTAACATGTCGATCTGTTGCCCTCCGGCCGTCTGCTCTTCAATATGCCTCAACAACTCGACCGCACTCTCCTCCACCGTACTCTTCAACTTTCTCAGACTGCTATTCGAGAAAGTGGGACTGGAAATGTTGCGAAGTCGCTTCCATCGGTGTCCCTGCGCCGCGAACAAGTTCACCCGCTTGTCCTTGTTCGGATCTCCCTGGATCGGATTCAGCTTGCGGCCGTAAAAGTTGTCGTACTGCTTCACGAACACCTCGTGCACGAGGTCCGGATCCGAGATGACCATGATTTTGGCGAGTCCTTCGGTCATTCCGAACACTTTTCCGTACTGTTTAGTCCATTCTCTCAACTGCAGATACGGCGGATGCTCGGCGTCGAGCATCTGAAGAGCGATTCCGATGAACGGGTAACCGATGGGTCCATCGATGCCACGTCGCCTCCAGTACGTCCACGTCCAGAGGTAGAAGCTGAAAAGTCACAAGTTGTGTTGGAACACGATGGCGCTTACCTCACAACTCCCACAATAAGAGCACTGATTGTCAAAAGTATAATAGCCATTTCCTGATTAGAATGCTGCGAAAGTAGAGTCTACTTGGCCTATATATATACTTTCCGCTATTGTCGAGTCACAAACCGTAAAATAGTCACAGTATTTGTCGCCCTGCGTCTCCTACGGCACCACTAGACTCTCGTTTCTTTGGTTTGTTCGCCGAAGGGGCGTTTTATGTCGAAGATCGAAAATTGTGTTCACTTTTTGTGCCACCTCGTGGCCTAGGATTCCCCATCCGTGTTAGACATTCAAAATTAACCGTTTATCTCTACAACTTCTTCAACTGGTGGCCTAACTTTCACCCGTCATTAGTCACTTTTTGTACCTTCTTATCAATTTTCCCGGTCACAAAGTGTTATCTCCCAAACACAATAGTTTTTGTGACTTTTTGTGATTTGTTCTTGACACAATAAGTGATGCAAAAAAAAAAATAACGTTTATTGATATCAGAGGGTATTGGAAACTTAAAAACTGATAAGAAAATGCCAAAATCATTGACACTGATTCCAATTTGTTTGTATAATCCTACTAGTTACATACAATATTATACAATCAAGTGAGAAGCACAACTAGTGCCTGGGCCTCAAGTGCATCCAAACACTGTCCGGCTGCGTGGTTGCCCTTCCGACCAACTTGAGCGGGATGCGAGTGCGGGCGCCCGGCTGGAAGGTGTACTTGCGGAGGAGATGAGCCAGGAGCAGCTTCTCCTCCATATAAGCGAGCCGCATTCCGATGCATTGTCGCGGTCCCAGTCCGAATGGAATGTAGCCGCCGCTTTTATGCTGCTCCGTCGAGCCTTCCCATCTTTCCGGCCGGAATGACTCCGCGTCCGCGCCCCAGATCGACGGATCCGTCTGGACTGCCCACGTGTTGACGATCACATAGGTGCCCGCTTCTATACGGTATTCACCGGCTATTGTGTCCTTCATACATCTTCGCGAGTTGGCTCTGAAACATAAACGCATAAAAGTATCCAAAGACTTTAGAAAACTCACGGAGCAGCCAGTGGATACAGCCGAAGTGTCTCCTTGATCACCATCTCCATGTACTTCAGTTTTGCCAGCTGATCGAAAGTGATCTCGGGGTCCGGACACTCTCTGTCCACCTCTTCTTGCAATTTGGCCATAACTTGAGGGTTGAGAGCCAGTAAATAGGTGGTAAAGGCCAAGGAAAGCGCGGTCGTATCGAAACCAGCTACCAGGAACACGAAACATTGCGCGACAATCTCTTCAGAGGTCAGTTGCTTCGATACTTTTGAATGGGATCTCGAAAAGTCGCCTCCGTTCCCATTCAAATCTTGCTCATTTTCAGCTCTCGCGTCCAGGAAAAGATCGATAAAATCTTCGGGCTCGCCAACGTCCACACCACTTGCCACATCCTCGCTCCTCCGCCGAATCCGCTTCTCGACCGCTTCAGAGACCACCGTCAAAATGTGCGCGCTCGGATTGTTGTTGCTCATCAAATTGAACTTCTGAACGGTCCATCTGAAGAGGCGGGTGAACGTCGGCGCGACGGCGCCCATCATGAACATTCCTTTGCGACTCTCGCCGAAAATCGCGCGCACGTGTGGCAACATGGGGTTTTTGAACATTTGCGAATCGGTTTGACCCATTGAGATTCGGCCGATCACGTCCAGCGTGAATTCTTGGTAGAATCTGCAAAAAGTACTGGTTAGGACCCTTTAATAAACATCGCTTTTGCTGTGACCATGTACCAAACTCACGTCAACATGTCAATCTGTTGCCCTCCGGCCGTCTGCTCCTCAATGTGTCTCAACAATTCGATCGCACAATCCTCGACAGTATCCTTCAACTTTCTCAGATTACCATTCGAAAAAGTGGGACTGGCAATCGTCCTCAATCGCTTCCAACGATATCCTTGAGCGGCGAACAACGTGACCCGCTTGTCTTTTTCCGGATCGCCATGGATCGCATTCAGTTTCCGACCGTAAAAGTTGTCGTACTGCTTCACAAACACCTCGTGCACGAGATCCGGATCCGAGATGACCAGCGACTTGTTGAAGCCTTCCGTGATGCCGAAGATGGGTCCGTAAACCTGGAAAACAAAAGGTTGGCAGTTGGAAGGAAACTTATGATAGTTTGGGGCTCACGTTTCCCCATTCCTTGAGCCGTAAAAATGGCGGTGAATCGCTGGAGAACATGGTGTTCGCGAGGCCAATTACCGGATAACCTCGCGGTCCACGGATCCCTCGACGCATCCAGTACGTCCAGTGCCATAGGAAATAACTGAAATTCCAAGGACCTACTTTTCCATAATCTTTAACACATTTACCTGAGAATTCCGATGAGAAAAGTGATAAAATACACTGCGATTGCCATAATAAAGTTGCGAACAAGTCAAAAAAGTGTGTGTGTGTTTATATACTACCCGCTGATGTTTGTTCCGTTTCAAAAAGTCAGAAAACGGGGCACACGATAACGTGAGAATGTTGGCGATTTTGCGACTTTATTGTGTTGCGAAAAAACAAATTTGGAAGCGACTCTTCTAGCGTTGAAAACTTTTTGGCCAAATATTTGGCGGTTTAATGGTCGGCGCCGACGGCGTGCGAGATTCGTTTGAAGCACGACGATTGGCTCGACGGTGACTTGCCACGTTGGAATCGGCCGCGCGCCTCCTCTTCGATCAACTGAAACACGACGTGGCCGAGGATTCTGCTAGTCCGTCTCCCTACCTTTCTAGTCTCCGAGGTCAGGTAGGCCGGGGTCTTGTCATGAGGCACCGGGCCGCTGTAACAGAAGGCACATTGGGCGACCGGGACACTTTGCAACTCACTCTGGCGCCTTGCCGGTCTGTTGGTACAGTTGCTCGGCGGTCGCCTCGGCCGAGTACAAATTCATCGGCGAGTTGTACTGCAAATGATGCACCGATGCTCCCGGCGAGAGCTCGTTTCGGCTGCGCGCGCCCGGCGAGTGATAGAACACTTTCGAGGGCGAGAGTCCGCCGCCCTGGACCCCGTGGATCGGCGCTGCCGCCGCTGCCGTGTTGATGAACGTGAGCTGGTTGAGCGGAGTGCCGCCGGAGCCCGGCCCGTACGAGTGGGCCGTCGCGCCGTTGTTGTAGCTGGAAAGCGGATTGATCTAACTGCTATAGGCTGCCGGTCTTGCCTATAAGTGGCCGGGGTTGAAGGAGTCGGAGCCGGAGCCGGAGCCGGAGCCGGAGCGCCAAAAGTTCCACTACCATTCGGGTGCTTGAAGCCGGATCCGGATCCGGATCCGGACCCGAATCCAGCCGGCGAAGAATTGTAATTATTGTTCAGAGCACTCGGGTTGTTATGCGCCGGCGAGTGACGGATCGGAATATTGTGATGCGACGTGCCTCCGATGCCGACCGAAGAGAAGTGGCTGCTGAAAATTGCATTGATATTGTACATCAACATTTTTTGTTTCAACACCATTCATTATTCATACATCACTGTGCTACACAACTCAAAACCGAAAGGCAGCAATTATCTAAGTGGTTTCAGGACTGCTCCCACCTTTGATGGTTGTTGCTGCTGCTGCTGCTTCGCTGATTGACGCCCGAGCCGGTGCCGAACGTGGATCCAAAGTGCGAGTTCTACAATAGCCGCCCGTACTCTCGATACTGTACTACTACTACTCGTTGGTACCTGACCACCGAACGCGGCACCGCCGAATCCGCTGCCAAATCCCGGCTTCATCTCCTCAACAACCATTTTGTTGTCTTTTTCGTTCAAAGTCCACGGGAGACAGGTGTGAGCGGTCACGAATCTGGAAAAGGGTTACTGTAGGAGGAGGGAGGAGGGTACTGTAGAGGGTACCTTTGAAGCGAGAGTCGGACCTCGTTGAACGAGTCGTCGATGAGTCGATTGGCGGTGGAGGCGTCGAGGCCACGTGTCGAACGGCCGTTGATCTGGAAATGAGTAAAAATCAACGGGTTACGGTAGGTACAGTACCTGATCAACTTTGTCATTGTGCTTCACACCCGCCTTATCCGACAGCGATTCGGCGTCGACCTGAAGAGCACAGAAAAAAAATTGATTTGATAATATGATTTTTGCTCTTCTCATCTTCTCTCCACCCTCTTCGTCGGCACACGGTCAACTGATGAACGTGTGGGAGGAAATACGGCGGAGAAAAAGTGGATGTGAGAGGGGTTAGAGAAAAGTTGACGGCAAGTTGTTTGGTGATAAGAAACGGATCGGGAGAAGTGCAATTTTTTAGTCGACTCACTTCAACTAGGTACCGTAGCCGGTTTCCCTCAAATTCTACACGTCTAAAACTTCAATTTTGTAGTTGACCACTTTTTCGTGTCATCACTTTGAAGCCGACTGTAGCTGTTTGAAGTGGCGGCTAGTTTTTGCGCTTTCCAAGAGCTACAGTACTCTTAGAATTGATTTTAAAAAGAAGTGGTCAACTGCAAAAATGTTCTACTAGACGTCAAGATTTCACAAAAAAATTTTGAGATTGATTGGACTATTCTTGACGCTACAATATCAGTTTAAAGTTCAGCTACCCTGTTCAAGGTTTCAACTAGCTTTTCAGGTTTCTCATGGAAGTTTAACTATAATATCTGTTGCCTATACCTTTCAGATACCCTAAAAAAGCCCAAAACCAGTCCGTACTCACCCGATCAATGATGAGTCCGTCCGCTTGCTGCCTCACCGAAAATCCCCAACGAATGTTGCGATCGGAGCGGTTCATACGAACCGAAATCGTCTCGTACGTCATCCTCAGATGTCTACAATATCCATATCGACATTTTCAATCAATTTGAGAACTAACAGAGACATGGCGAGGCGTGTGCAAGCGTGGAAGTGGAATGGAATCTAACTCAAGAGTGAGATGGAGAAGGGGGGTAAAACCGCAGTGAAAACATCAAAAACACATGTTATTTATGTGGCGAAGAGTTGAAAAATGAAAATGAGAAATGGGAATGCATAAATCGTACACATGTTAGGGATTCGATCGAAAAATTCGAGGAAGGGGAAGCGGAATGGCACGAAAAGTCGTCTTCGGGGCGGGTTATCAACGACACATGACACTAGGAGCGGCAAAAAAGTTGGGGCGAAATGCCTTCTCTCTCTCTCTCTCTCTCTCTTGTTTTCTTCTTCTCATCGAAGAAACCGAGAGATCCGAGCACAACAACTTTTCTCTCTCTTTCTTCCTCCACTTATCATCTTATTTTTAGACCCTTCTGCCACGAGAGAGCAACCTGTTAGATGAGATGATGCACCAGCAAAAGCGAGAAAACGAAAAAGAACTGACTCAGATATTGAGCTTGTTTTTGCAAACACGAAATGGTTCAGAGACTCTAGGTTATCCTATCATTGTCAGTCGGGCGGGCATCGAACCCGCGGCCCGCCGAGCGGCAAGCGAGTGCGCAGCCGACTGCGCCATCGACTTCGACCTGGATAACGCGGCAGAGGGCCATGAAGTGAGTGCGTTGCACGGGCAGTTGAGCGGCGGACGACGAGTTGGCGTGTTGATTTTTGCAGATTTTTCGCAGGTTTCGCTTGTCCCCATAGCCTTGTGTTCTACGTAGATATTCGTGGAATTGCATTCTGTAAAACGTTCGAAAACATTTTCAGTCAGAATTTTTCTTTTCAACTCATAAAAATTGATTCCGCGTTTCGCATTCCTCATTCTGACTTCCAAATCTACAAAACATTATATCTTACGCGCATGCGAGTGTCACTTATCTTTTCTTCTTCTTCATCCTCTTCGTTTTCCGATTATGGTCGCTAATTGTGTGCGTGTGAGTGAATGACTGTCTGACGTGGCCGTTTCCCATTTCTTTGCCGCTCTCTCACCGTCTGCGTCTCGCCGCCTCGCGTGCTCTCTCGTGTGCGATAAGAACTCACCTGTCGCCGGTTAAATACGCACACGTTTCCAAGTGCATTCTCGTCTTTTTTTGGCGTTTTACCCGTTTAAAATGTGTCAAAAAGTGTTTTGCTTAAATTTTCAGGTAAAATGAGCGAAGCTAGCAGCGAATTCTACTATCCGCTCTACTCGGCGCTCGGCTATTTCGCCTTTGTGTTTGGCGTCGGCGAAATCTCCCGAATTGTGAGTTAATCGAATGTTTTCACGTTTTTACATCTATACACGTCTAGAAGACGTATTTTTCCACGTTTTTCGGGCGGAAATCGAGTGTTTCGTGGTAGATTTATTTGTTTTCGTGGCAAGACGCTTCGCAAAATTTTGCCCAATGCGCCTTTAAAGTATTTTTCGCTTTCTGAGTAAAAAAACGCGGATCTTTCAATGATTTCTTTGCAAATTTTGACAATAATTACGCCCAAGACGATTGTTACAATTTTGCAGCTCGCCGCCAAGTACACGAAAGGAAACGCGCAGCTGTTTCTCTATGAGCTCATCGGAACCATCCAAATGTGCACGTGCGTCTATGAAAATGGTACCAATCAGTTTTTCCACACGTTCTCCTAACCTTTTCGCCCTTTTCCAGGCGTGATCTTCAAAAACTACGGTTTTCCGGCGATCTTGTGTGCGTGGGCCTTCTGCTGACCGCCGGCGGCCTGTTCAACCGCGGAGCCCTCACGAATTGCGCTCCGATCATCGAGCAGTACTACTACAACAACTGCAGCTCGACGAAGCTGCTCACCGTGCTCACCGCCCAGCTCATCGGCGCCACGTTCGCCTCAAAGTTCGCGTACGCCATCTGGAATCTGACGGCCGCCTACTCGACGGCGCACTTTGAGAATGCCGCGCAACTCGATTGCGTTCTGCAGTATAAGGTGAGTTCAGGCTTCGAAAACCCGAAAAAACTAAATATCTGCAGCAATCCGCGGGAGTCGTCATCGGATTCGAGATCGCCGGAGCGTTCCTGGTTCGAGTCGTCGTCGCCTACCTGGCCGCGCGTCCGTCGCTCGCCAAGACCATCCCATTCGCAATTTCGCTCTACCTTACCGCCGGTCAGTGTTCGACTTTCCTCAACTGAATTCCCAACATCCCATTTCAGCGCTGTACATCGTCGGAGTGCCGGGCCTCAATCCGATTGTGGCGACCGCCCGTCTCTACGGCTGCCAGGGAATCGACAATCACTCGTTCCTCGTCCTCTACTGGGTCAGTGTCTAGCACTTGCTTATTGATTACAAAACGTTTGCAGATCTGCCCGATCGTCGGCTGGATCCTTGGATCGCACTTTGTCGGCACCGCCGGTCCCGTCAAAAAATCGTCGAAAGAGGCGAAGGCGGAGAAGAAGCTGAAGGCGGCTAAGAAGGCCAACTAATTGTTATAATAATATGTGTGTAAAACTTAATTTATGATCCCTCTAAGTGCCTCTTTTTGTTACTATTCATTTTGGTTATTTACGTGTGTTCCCCCCTCCAAAAAAACTACAATGAAGGTTACCTTTTGAAAGGCGCTGGGGAAGGAAGCGAATTAAAAAATGCACATTGAGCATGTGAATGTGCTCCAAGAGCTCGTGCTTCTCGTTCATTCATCATTTGTCTCTTTTCGTTCCACCACTCCATCTTTTTCTTCTTCTTCTTCTCTCTCTTTCCTACTACAACATCTTCCGAAGGTAATTGGATTAATGTTATGCAAATGTGAGCCCTCCCCTTCTCATCCAAAACATTGTCTTTCAGTCCGTTTCATTGGAAGGCAATGAAAACATGGTGCATCGGCCTATTTTCCTCAAGATTTATAGCCTGTTTACATGAATTTTGAACGATTAGACGTCAGCAATCGGCCCGGAAATGGATGGGCAAACTTTAATCTCTGATAAAGGCCCTAAACTTTAAATCATCGTATCTCGGTTCATTTTCAAGATTTTTCAATGTTTAAAAAACGGATTGAAAGATAATTTTGTGATGAACATCGTTGTAGTTGACTAAATTTTACCATCTCTAAAGTCGGTTGAGATATTGTCGTTTTTCTGCCGCGCACCACCCTCCACAGTTGCGCCACAGTAAACTTATAATATCAGAGCGGGCAGGTTAAATGGTGAAATATTGTCAACTGCAAAGTTATAGAGAATGAAATTATCTGTCAAATGCTTTTTTAACATTGAAAAAATGTCAAAAATCGACAAAGTTACAGTAGATCAAAGTCCGCCTATCAACTTTTTTTGTTGTTTCTGTCTTTCAACTCATTTCCGAGCGGGAAATGGTCCATTTCCATGCTACATTTTACGATTATTTTCCGGTCCGTCTACCATTCGCCCATATAACCCCATTTTGTTCATCAGAAAGGAACAAATATTGTGAAAGTCTCGCAAAAGGAGGGAGTGAAAAGTCATGGATACATGTGTATGTGCCTTCTTGAATTACACTCCTTCCCCGTTTTTTTTTTGGTCATTTTTCATCTCTTTGCTTTTCTTCTAACATTTTTCTTCAAGGTGACGTCTTCTTCCAAAAATATTCTTCTCCTACATTTTTGCTGGTTGTACAATATCGATAAACGAGTGGAACATGGAAAAATTGCTACAAAACTCTGGTGGAATCTTCTGTGGCTTCTGAAGACGTCAGAGATCTGAAAAGATGTTCCGATTTACGAGAAAGGATAGGTAGGTCTGTTGGAGGAACTACAGTAATCCTACGGGCTACGGTAGGTGAACAGGGGTATGGTGCATCGGGCACAAAACTTTGGCAAGTGCCAAATTTTTTATGGAGTTCTCATCAATTCCATTTCCACATGGTGCATCGGCCATGGTGGTACTAACCCTACGCTTCGTGTTCAATTCATATTCTTTATGGTGCATCGACCAGTGACGCTCAAAAGTCTTGCATTTTCCTATTCTATGCAAAAACATCACTCTCTCCACATGGTGCATCGGCCAGAGTGCTCGTTGAACTTGCACTGCGCCGCCCATTTGAACTTTCTCATCTCAAATTCGAGCAGCCCGTCTGACTAATCAGCGCTATTAGCTCATTCTGTCGATAATTCATGAGGAGGAGCTCTTCAAAGATCGGGCAATTTCGAAACGACTCCCCCACACGTGTCACAATTGATCATCCGCTCGCGGCAAGAAGAAGAAGAAGAAGAAGAAGAAGCAACAGAGAAAGAGGAAGAAGAAGAATGGAAAAAGAGAAAAAGAGACATTGAATGATAAGGGCGGGAGGGGGAGCGGGGCAGCTGTCGGCACGGGAGCCCCCGGATGCTCATCGAGAAAGGTCGCTGACTCTTTTGCGCCGGTCCCGAGCAGCTCAACTCACTTTTCCCCGATTCGCTTCTTCTCGTTGTTTTCGCCCACTTTTGACCCAGTTTCGATCAGGTCACTGGGACCCGGTCCGTCTCAGTCCGCGGGATGCGATTCGGTGGTGGTGGGCGTCGAAGGAGGGCTTCTGGCAGCAGCGACGACGACGACGACGCAGCATCCGACGGATCCGCTTCGTATCGCCAGCACAAGGAGAAGGAGGAGTGGAAGTGGGCGCAGGCGTTGGCCAGGTATTCGCAAATTTACAATATCCGGGACGTTTTGCAACTAGGACACTTCACACCATTCATTTTGGTCCCAAACTCCTCAACTACCCTCGTTCTTTCCTTTGTTGGCAAAAAAAAAAGAGTTTTTGCGCTCAATTTTATCCCATAAAAGCCGCGATTGGCGCACACTTATCACTGTCCTGCTACCACAGGTTTCCCTTGGGCTGCATAGCGCAGTGGTAGCTCTTTTGCCTGTCACCCACAAAGTCGCAAGTTCGATTCCCCGGCTGGTCAGAACACTTTTGCTATTTCGCAACCACACCATTTATTTAGTCCCAAACTCCAAACTCCTTTCAAAGAATTCGGTCGATCCTCACTGCCACGTCATAAAAAGCGCTCAATCCTGAAAATTGTCGTTTTTGTGGTTCGATGATACTTTGTCAAACCCACACGACACTTTGTTGGTTGCGAAATGGCTCATGTCTCAAACGTGGCATCAAGGCATCACTGAAAACCGCGTGTTGGTGTTTCAACACCTAGCTAGATTTTCGCGTCTGGCGGGTGAGGTGAGCCATGCAAAAAGGTGCTCGCGGAGTAAGAGTTCACCACGTCATCTCATCCTCTCGCACTTTTCTCATACACACTCCCCTCACCGCGTCTCCTTTTCAATTTCGCTCATTTATGGAGCCTCGTGCCGGCTCAGACTCATCTCTCCTCATTTCCATCCCATCGCCCGATCCATTTCTATCTATTAGTCTGCTCACCGAGCTGAGCTCTCCCCCCACTGGCTCCGCCCCTTTTGCTCCGACTTCATCTCGTGTCATTCCACTTTTCGCTACACTTATTATTATAATCTCACTCTCTCTCCATCTCTCACTTTTTCATTTTCGATCTTTAGTGAGAGATTAGCATTCTATTCGTATTATTGTCAGGACGGACACGAAAATAAGTGTGTGAGCGTGTAGCGAAATGGCAGCGAAATGATCGACAGTTTGATCAGGTAACGCAGGAAAAGTTGAAGAGTTGAAAGAGTTGAACGAGACAAAATTTCGAGTCGATTAGTGTTGATTTTGCGCCAAACGTCACCAAGTACACAGAAATGAGCGTCTAGACGTGCTGAGCCGACGAATTGTCCTCATCGGAGCTTGAGCGTGCAAATTTGACGCATTTTGAGCGCAAAAAAACAAGTATTATCGTCTCATCCCTTCCCCCTAGCTACAGTAACCCTGGGCTGTCGTGAGGTGTGATGTTTGGTAGGGTAGGGCCAACAGCACTCACGTCTTCTTTTTTAAATCTGGCTAATCTGATATCATTGCACACATTTCCGCGGATGAGAGCGCAAACTTTGAGCGAATAGGATTACTGTAGTTTTGTGTCGTCAAATCTAATGCACAAGCTACTTTGTTTCAGACGTCTGGAACAAGTGTTGAATGTGCATCCGGAAAAGTATCAGAATGGGTGCAACAGCCAACGGGTCAGCCGTCAATCTTCGCCCGATCAACTGGCTCCGATACGCAGCCAAAGTGCGGATTACGGGTGAGTATGTGAGGCTACAGTAACCCTGTAGGATCGATTTGTGTAACTGCTACCGTAATCCTTCCCATAACTCACATTCAGTTTAGTCAGATTCATGAATAATGCAAAGAAAGATCAGTGACCAACTCATTACCCATTCCCGCCAAACCCGACTCCCAATATATTTTTCTGATAACATTTCTGTAAACTGAACTTGAGACGAGTTCAAGGCAAGTCGAAGGGCTACAGTACCCCAGAGAATGGTCGTAGAAAAAGGTGATCAACTACAAAATCAAGTACTAGGTGTCAACGATGTGCTCAACAATTTTTGGAGCTCAAGCACCACTACCGGCTCTACAGTACCCCCCGCAAAGTTGTACAACTCCAGCTTTTGGAGAGGCCCGAAAAATCTAGATTTTCCCGCTCAAAAGTGGACCCCCATTAGTCATTCCAACTATTGTTCTTCTCCCTGTTTCTCTGTTTTCTGTGTGTGACAGCCAATTAAAGTGTGAGCCTTCTCTGGAAGAGTTCTTTGCCTTTTTTGCCCTCAGCTCATGCTTTTTCGTATGCTCGCCTCATTTTCCACTATTTCCATTGGAAAAAACTGAACAAAACCTCATTATTTCTGTGCAGAATTGCAAATTTTAGACGGCGAAGAATTGGAGAAGGGGAGGAGGATGTCAAAAAAGAGAAATTTGGTATTCCTATTCCTATTCCTAGTCCCCAGTCCCCCCGTTTACCAATTTTTTGATGGAGAAAAAAGTAAAAGTGCGGAAGTGGAAGCGGAAATCCGAGAGAATCTACATCAAACAACTCTTTTTTGTCTTTATGTGCAAACTTTCTCGTTTTAAAGCACTTTTGAAGCGATTCTGAAGCTTGCAACGCGTTTGATGCCTTTCTAAAAGACAATGTTTAGTTAAAGACCTGTAACTTGAGAACTAGGCATTTTCGGATAAAATTGTCAACTACAAAGTTGTTGAGCATAAAATTTGCAACAACTTTTCTGTTTACAATGTTTTGTGATAATTATTTGTTCTTGAGATATACGCTTTAGAAGTTGACTATTGCAAAATTTGAGTTTTCACTTACCGAGCGACTTACTTTTTAGAAATCGGCTCATAACTTGAGAATTAGAAACTTCCAGTTAAAACGGTCAACTACAAAGTTGTTGAGCATAAAATTTGCAACAACTTTTCAGTTGACAAGTTTTAGAAATGAACAATAGTTATTGAGATATAGGTCATCAAAGAAAAGGCAATTTTTTGAAGCTCCAGAATCTTCTAAAACTTCCGTTTCCCCTTCTATTTTTTCTCCAGATTCTCTTATGGTTCCCCTATAATTCGAAAGCTGAAAAGGAAGAGAAAATGTGGCGATTCAATCGAATCAGAAGGTAATCTCTACGAATCTCTCGATGCTCATCTAGAAAAGGAGAGCAAAAAAGAAGGGAGAAGCCATAAATTGTAGTGGAAATTAATGAGATTCTTGTCGGCTCTCCCCTGGGGACAATTTTGGAGTGTTTATTGCAAAAATGGGATTATACAATCGAGGAATATGAGGAAAAAACTAGTCTCACACCTTTTTTGGTGCTTTGACGCAAATTTTGTTCTCCGATCTCGTGACGTGATGACGTAACCATGGAGAATGTGAGGAACCCTCCCAAATGTGTCATTTTTCGATTTCCCGCCCAAAAACTTTGTTCTAGAAAGGATTTAGAAAGAGTTTTTCGATTTGCGCTCAATTTTATCCCTAAAAGCCGCGATTGGCGCGCACTTATCACCGCCCTGCTACCACCAATTCTTGTAGGGCTGCATGGCGCAGTGGTAGCTTTTTTGCCTCTCACTCGCCAATCCAAAAGGCCACAAGTTCGATTCCCCGGCTGGTCAAAACACTTTTGCCCCGGTCAGATCACCTCATTTTCAAGTGGAACATTGAGAAATGCCCCCAGCTCATTCATCATTTGGGACGAGAAGAGATTAGGGGGAAAGAGTTTGGATATTATGAAAAGAGTGCGACTATTACGAAATGAGAGGGGTGGGAGGGGGGTCCGACGAGGAAATTCTGAAGGAAGCGGGGGTGTCACCTGTTCGCGACTCTTTCTTCCTCTCTCTCTCTCTCTCTATCTTCCTCCTGGATCCTCTTACATCAATTCTCGGGTCATGAACATTTACTCTTCCTCTTCTTCTTCTTCTTCTTCTTCTTCTTCCTCTCTTTGAGCCGACAATCATATTTTTGACGATTCTCGTGATAAATGCTCATAGTTTGTGACTCATTGCCTTCGAATTCGGCTTTTTTCTGGTTATTTTGGCCCAATTTCTACGAATTTTGCCGACTTTTACCACTGAATTCGTTTTTCCCTGTCCAACCCACTTTTTTCCGATTTTTTTGACCCCTAGCCCAACTTTTTTCGCTCTCTTCTCACAACAATCTGTGCGAGAGAGAGAGAGAGAGAGAGAGAAAGAAGAAGTAAAAAAGCCAAAGTGAAAGGACGAGGTGGGGAGGTTTTTAATGTCGCTCCAGATGTCCCTCACACGCCCATTTTTTATGACTTTGAAGTTAACGCGAAGAGGAAAGAAAATATGTGGTGGAGGACGTTTTGAAGGGTTTCGTGTGTTGTTTTTACAACCTTTTCCCCCTTTTTCCAAATTTTTGCGTATTTGCAGAAGAGCCGCCGCCGAAATGGCCGGGAACGAGGAGGCGAAAGGAATGCTACTTCGAAACGGCGGCGATGACATCCGAGCTCATCCGAGCCCCCAACGCGGTACGCCGGACAGTTCGAGCACGTAAGTCGGCATGGCCTAGAAAATTCTAGGCCACCAACCCGCTCCTCTTCCGTTTGCAGCCAACCGCAAACGCATTCGGAGGCGATCGTCACGATCAACGTGTCCGGACTTCGGTTTCAGACGTTCGAGAGCACGCTGGCCAGGTATACTGTACTTGCCTCGGATATTGTAAACTTGAAGAGTTGTATTATAGGTATCCGAATTCGTTGCTCGGCGATCCATCGAAACGACAACACTTTTTCGTGCCCGACACCAACGAATACTTTTTCGATCGGCATCGAACGACGTGAGCTCTTTTTTTGTTGCAATAATCCTACTGTAGCTTCATTTTCCCCCTCTCGAACCCGTCTTCTCCTACAGTAACCCCCGTAGGAATACTGTAGCTCCAGAAGCACACAAAAAACGCGTCCGATTGTAGCTGTTCCTCGTACAACTTTGAAATTCGGAACCATCTGTAAGCCACGCCCACTGTCTTTTTTTTTTGGTAGCTTGTTTGGCTTTTCGTCCTCGTTTTTCCCTATGTGATCACCGGAAGACCAGCTTCTAATCTGTCTCTGGCGACTTACAGTAACCCCGCGCGCGCGCAGAGTACTGTAGATATGATATTTTCAGATTCGAATCGATATTGTACATTTACCAAAGTCATGGCCGTGTGAAACGACCCGAGATAGTGCCGATCGACACGTTTTTGAGGGAAATGCGCTTCTATCAAGTGAGTTTTCGAGTTTTTTGTCTAAAACTTTTGAAATTACGTTTTCAGATGGGCGATGAGCTTCTGGAAGAGTTCTGGATAGCCGAAGGATATGAGAAACCGAAAGAAGTGCAAATGCCGGCGAACAAAACGCAACGGAAAATATGGGAATTGATGGAGTACCCGGACAGTTCGCTTTCCGCCAGGATTATCGCTTTCATCTCGATTACCGTCATTGCGTTGTGAGTTTTTCCGGTCCAAAATTTCAAGATGAACAACTTTGTAGTTGACAGTTTTTCACGATTTTGTCTGCGCGCCGAGATATTGCCATTTTTTCACACTCATGTAAGATGCTGCTTTTGGAAAACGATAATATCTCAGTCCACAGACGGATTCATGAAATATTGTCAATTACAAAGTTGTAGAGCTTGAAATTGTCTATCGAATCGTTTTTAAAACGTCAAAAAATGTTGAAAATGCACAAAGATACGGTAGCGCAATCAAAGTTTATCACTGCGAGACCGTTTTTGCAGATCAATAATATCGTTTTGCTGGGAAACGGTGCCTTCGGACCCCGAAAAAGCAGTCAACGCTTCCACCGGCGAGCTGATCGAAGAGCTGGAGGAGAAGTCGTTCTCGCCCTTCTTCTGGATCGAGCTGATGTGTATTCTTTGGTTTACCATCGGTACGGACCTCAAATATTGTCCATCAACACTTTTTTTTTCTTGCAGAATTGATCCTTCGGTTCATCTCGTGTCCGTGCAAAGTCACCTTCGCCACTTCCGTCCTAAATATCATCGATTTCGTGGCGATTGCTCCGTTCTTCGTCAACTTTTTCTTGTAACACCAATTTCGGATTGCCAAAAAACTAATTCCGCTCAAATTTCAGAGCCGACACGAACAAATCCAACTCGTCAATGTCGTTTGCGGTGCTCCGCGTGCTCCGACTGGTCCGCGTCTTTCGCGTCTTCAAATTGAGCCGGTACTTTTTGCAGTTTTGAATCGAAAAACACAAGCAATATTTCTTTGCACAGACACTCGGTGGGCCTTCAGATTCTCGGAAAGACGTTCCGCTCGTCGGTCCAAGAATTCTGTCTTTTGATCTTTTTCATGGCGATCGCGTTGGTTTTGTTCGCCTCCGGAATGTATTTTGCCGAGCAGGGAGAGCCCAATTCAAAGTTCACCTCGATTCCCGCCAGCTTCTGGTTTGTGCTGGTAAGTGAAGAAAAAGGCGACGAGCCGTTTCGCAACCGGACATTTGGCAACCGGCACAAAATCATCGAGATTCAGTTGCAAAGTGTCCAGTTGCAAAAAGTTTGAGAAATCAAAAAGTTTGAGAAGAGAAATGCAAATTTGCAGGTGACAATGACAACAGTCGGGTAAGCATAATATATATTAGTGTCGTTTTCGAGTGCGGTTCTCTTTGGGTCCGTCCCGTGTTGTTGTGATTTCCTCGTTTTTCTCTCCACGCTTTCCCCTCCCCAAAACAGTCCGTTTTTGCAGGTACGGCGACCTGGTCCCGTTGAGTCCGTTCGGTAAAGTCGTCGGCGGAATGTGCGCGCTCATCGGTGTCCTCACTTTGGCCCTTCCCGTCCCCATTATTGTCAGTTTTTTTTTTTTTGGCTCATGACTCCCAATCTTTGTCGTTGTTGTCAAACCACGAACAATTCGGATAATTTTGAAAGACGACCTTGGTTGATATCCGTGCTTTTTTTCTATTCTACGATTTCTGTGGAGTATTGTGGCATGAGAAAAAAGTATCTTTTTTAGAAAATTTTTTCATGGAATGTGATCAACTGACGAAATGTAGAGCAAAGTGAACTCTGCTCATAGAAAAATAATTGTAAATTTAGCGTTTCATACAAAAAAGTTATTCGAGTTGTTGCGTGAAAAAAGGCGGCTAACGGGGAAGACGGAAGGAATAACTTTTTTGTATGAAACGCTAAATTCACAATTATTTTTCTATGAGCACAGTTCACTTTGCTCTACATTTCGTCAGTTGATCACATTGCATGAAAAAATTTTCTAAAAAAGATATAAAAATTCTTCCGCTCAACTCTGCTGTATTACTAGAATAATGCATAACCAGCTCAATTTGGGGTTTATTGGGGCTCCGAATGAGCATTATTTGGCGGACACTGCCACTTTTTTCGAGTGCCGCGGCATCTTTTATCCTAAAAAAGCGAATTATTTGCAGGTGGCCAATTTCAAGCACTTCTACCGTCAGGAGAACCGTCTGGCCTCGATGAAGAGCTCGTCGAAAGGCGGCGGCGGCGGAGGCGGCGACGAGGACGAGATGCTCGCGTGACGGTGCGAGGGCCTCACGGCTTCGTGCGCTTCCGAAGTGCTCAGCGAGTGCTGCTCCAGCCAGAGCTCTTCGCGCGGGGGCTCTGCGCCGCCCGTGCCGAGCACCGGCAGTCGGAGGCCGTCCACCACAATTTTGCCCATTTGATACAATTTCTGATTGGATACGGGTTACTCACACTCATCGATTCTCTCTCTTTTTACAAATTCCGGTTCTCGACCTTCTACATAAATAAACCGCTTCTTTTCCACTCTTTGCTTTTATTTTTTCTCAGAAATCACAAAAATCGTTAGGTTTTAGGTCCAAAAATGACGTGGAATGATGATGATGATATGTGTTCGTGGGGGGCACTTTGAAACAACCCATGGTCGAATGAAGAATGAACGGGGGACAATTAGACAAAAATAATGAAAAAGAAAAAGAGACGAAGAATGGACAGAAATTGAAAGAGAAAATGGGGGGTCTGGAAGATCGAGTAAACAAAAATGGCACAGCATCGATGTTTCGAATAAGCATTTTTTGGGGGGTTTTCTGAAGAAAAGGAAAATGTGAGAGGTTTACAGAAAAATTGGCGTGTGTGGGGGCTAGGAAAAATCAGGGGGGAAAAGAACAATTATTATCTCTTGTGGACGGGCGGGTGCACAACAACAATTAGATTTCAGTCGCCCGACGCCGAGTTGCGCAACGATCTCTGAAGATCAAAATTACACTATCGGCGCATTTAAAAGTGAATGCGTGCCAGTTAAATACAGAGAAAACTCTGCAAAATTAGGAGCTTCTTAACTGAGCGCATTCACTTTGAGATGCCCCGATAGTAATAGTAATTGAATTGAGGGGGTGGAAATGATGAATTATTATATAAAAATGGAGTGGGGGGAGAGAAACAATAAAAGAAGAAGAAGGAAATTGAACTAGATTTTCTTGACGCTTTTGGCGGGAGACGGAAGACACTCCTGGTCCTCCTCATTACCCACCGCTCTCGAGCGAGTCACCCGCATCGGCTGGATCCTTTTTGACGTCTCCGCAGTCGGCTCCTTCTCTCCCTCCTTCTTCGTCTCCGGCTTTAGCGGCTGCTCCGTCGGATCGTCGAGCATCTTGAAGTTTAGTGACGGCGCCGGGCGCATCACGCGCCGTAGGTTCCTCATCAGCATCGACGGCGGGCACGAGAGCGGCGGCGGAATCGCGTGCTGCAGCGGCTCCTCGTTCACCTCGTCCGCGTCGTTGTCGTCCGAATCGAGCCGGGCCTCCATGCGCATCATCCGCTCGTACTTGTTGCGCATCCACGCCGCGCGGTCCGCATTCGTGAACGTGTCTCCGGATCCGCCGTGGTCTTGTTGGGCCGGCAATCCGTCCGGGACCGCCGGCGTTGTCGGGCGCGCTCCGAACGGCGGCAGTATGATCTTGCGCGCCGATTTCGGAGTTCCTCTGCAAAGAAATTTGGATTATTAGACAGTGATTATGCATTTTCATCGAAATCTCTTCGTTTTTGGAATAAAATCAGCAAAACTGGCTTGTTGTCAACCCAAGCAGCGGAAATTTGCGATGATATCGAAGTTTTCGGCATTGACACGGAAAAAACTGGTAAACTCACTGTCTCATCCAGGAGGCACGATCTCTGAGCGGCCGTGACGGCGACGCGTTGCTCTCGATGGCCGACGAATTGGAAGAGGAGGTCGCCGGCTCGGCATCGTCCTCATCCTCGTCGTCGTCGTCCAAATTGAAGCGCGAGACAGGGAGCGGATTCGGGAACAGCCGACGGTGCGCCGTGTTCTCGTCGTCCGAGTGGTCGAACGGCGTGGAACTGCGCACGAGATGACCGGTCAGCGACTCGGAGAAGACCTTCGATCCCTCGGGCGACTGGATCGGCGTGTGCTGGTTCTGCTGCGTCGGTTGTTGGCCCGCCAGTTCGGAGAGCATCGCGGATCGACGGGACCGGACGGCGCTGAGCATGGCGATCGGCGGGTGGAACACCACGGAGAGGAACGCAAGGAACCAGGTGATGACGGCGTAGAAGACGCTCCTGAAGTTGTGGATGATGTGGACGTACTTGACGAACACCATGCGCCGCAGGAGGCGCCGCTTGACCGACGGGAAGTGGAGCAATTGGGTGGTCGTCGGGCGGCGGGCCGGATTCGCGTCCAGCATCCACGTGATCAGGAACTTCATGTCGCTCGAGATGCCCTCGAAGAAGCGCTCGGGGATCTTGCCGGTGCGGATCTGGTGCCACGCATCGCCGTTTGACGGAATGTCCAGGTCGGTGGCCGCCTCGAGCAGCGTCACACCCAGACTGAAGATGTCCGACGCCTTCGACGGCTGGCCGTTGAGCACTTCCTGGGCCAGGTACTTGCTGTCTCCCTCCTCGGCCGTTTTGACGTCGTTCGGCTGAAAAAAGTTGGTGAAAAACTGCATTTTCAGTGGAAAACTCTACATTTTTCAGGTCGATGACGAGTCCGAAATCGCCGAGCTTGCAAATGCCCTCGCGGGTGAGCAACACGTTCTCCGGCTTGATATCGTCGTGAATCATGTCGTTCGAGTGCAAATGGTGCACCGCATTGAGCAAATCAATGAGCACATTCCAGAGGGTGGCCTCGGGCAGCTGGTGCAAGTGGGTGCAGAAGGTGAGCAGGCTCATCTCGCACAGTTCCGTCTGAATGTACAGCCGTCCGGCCTCCTCCCACGCACGTTTGAACTCGACGAGATTGTAATGAGAGGGCAGCAGCATGTGGTTCTTCACTTCGCGGTACTTGTTCGAACAGTTGTGGCGCACCAGCGATATCGACACTTTCACCGCGTACATTCGAGAATCTTCGAGCGAACGCGCCGAGAACACTTCGCCGAATGAGCCTTTGCCGATTATCTCGTTGATCTGGAACGTCTGCTCGAAGAACGAGAGCCGCTTCGAGATGTCGTAGATCGGACTGTGCAGTGGTTCCGTCGATCCTGCAAACGGAGAATTCGTTTTTGCTTGTTAGGAGTGGAAAACAAGGGTTATCGACCAAATTTTGGCAGTTGAAGGTTGTAAGCTTTTTAGGCTCCATTGCCGATAGTTTCGCGCTCAAATTTGGCCAATAACCCATGTTTTACACTAGAAATTGTTCCTAAATAAGTTAAAAACTAAACGTACCATCCGTGGAGACCAATCGTGGCATCGGGTCCCTGGTGACCGAGTAGACGCTGCGCATCGGCGGCGCCGTCTTGATCACTTTCGGCGCCGGGCGCCTGAATCTCGGCGTCATCTTCGACTTTTCGCGTTTCGTCGACAACGGCGACTCCAGGTTGAACGTAGCGATGCGGGGTGTGGCGAGTGGGCGTGGGCTCGGCGGTCCGACCTCGACCGATTCTCTCGACGTGTTCGCCGCCGACTCTCCCTTCATATCGGCCAGTGCTGCAAACAGCAGTGGCGATTTCGTCGGGTCCGCACAGCGGATCTGACGGTCCAACATCATGGAAAATCCACGAGTTGGAGCGACGGAAGGGTGTGTGGAGGGTGAGTCAGAGAGCTCATTCGAGCTCATCTCTCTCACTTTCTCCGCAATTTCTTCCTCGCTGAATTTTGGCGAGGAAGACATTGCTCGGCGAACAGTGAGCGAATGAATGAATGAATGAGCGATCGAACGAACGAATGGCGAGCCTTTATAGGGGGAGGGTACGCGACGTTGCGTCTTAGGTCTCACAGCGACGAGCTCAGAAGGAGATAATGGGGTTGAGGACAATAGGCAAAATAGTGGACAAGTGACAGAAATGGTGAGAAGAGTGATGGATAGCCCCCACCTCTGACAAATGGGCACAGGTCTAGATAGTTCTAGGCGAGTCTGGCTTGATATTATGCAAAAGTACTATCTTTCACTCGAAAATAAACTTAAAATCTGAAGGAATGACTGGGGCGAAGCGAAAGGATTGATTTATGACGGAAAAATGTGATCGAACTGTGAGTAATGGATTTTTTGGAGAAAGCGCTAGGAGAAGAGCTAGAAGTAAGCTGAAAAAACTAGAAAGGAGCTGGAAAAGCGGATTTTTGGATTTTTTGAAACAAACAGGGAAATGACCGATTTTTCCGGAAAACTCTGAACGAAATGTGCCTTTCCACTTCCAAACTACGAACGAATCACTGAGAACACGTAAAATCGGCAAAATCCGACTGGCCAACCGATTTTCTCGAGGAAAAAAGATAAAATGATGACAGAAGGCCAGGAAAGTGCTCCGTAATGCACAAAGCGAGATGAACTAGGCCTAATTGAGCGGAGGACGAAGGGGAGAAGTGACAAGTGACAGAAGAGCCCACCGGCTCGGAACGTCGGCCTCGGCCTATCGAATTTTTGAGAAATCGACTTTGGAAATTCAGAAAAGAGCAAAATGGAAGAAAATTTGGCGGATTACACGCAAAAAACTGGCAAAACCGAGAAAATCCGAAAACCGTGCAAAATCTATATTTTCTATGCGTTTATGGCAAAAATGCAAACAAAAGTTGTGTTTCTTCACTTAAAACGTGAAAAACACACTGAAAACAGCGAATGCGCAGTGAAAAACAAGTGAACCGGACGGAAAATTGAAGAAAACCTATTTTTGCGCCGAAAATCGAGAAAAATTATGACAAACAAGAGGAGGGATTGAAAACAACAATACAAAGTGGAAACCAACAGAAAACGTCGGAAAAGCAGAAAATCGCGCCGGAATGGCGGAGAAGAGAGGTCGAATGCACGAACGGGGATTCAAATGAGCGCGCGAAAACGGCGTGGACGAGGTACGCAAACACCACGACGGCCTACTGCACACATTTGTCCACCGTACCACTACATACGAAATGATTGCATTTCGTCAATTTTTCAGGCGTTTAGCTTAAAATCACTGCAAAAAACATATTTTTCAAGCGGAAAAAAGAAAACTCCATTTATGAATCAATTGTCAACAACATTTATTCAATTGAAAGCGAATAAGACCCAAAAAACGTAACACATTAAAAAGCTGAGTGAATACCCGATAAAATGGGTGAAAAAGACCAGAAAGCATGAGGAAACATCACAAATGCAAGAAAACCATCAAAATCGTGAATGCGGACGAGCACCCGCACAGAACTGCGCCATTCCGCACCAGTTTCTCGGAAGACGGGTACGAATACTTTTCCGGCTTGTACGTCGACATCAAATGGTTTCTCGCGTGCTCCGCCTCGACGATAAGCTCTCCGGAAGTGACCAAAAGGTTGAATTCGGCTTCCGGCGTCGATTTCCGACGGTAGAAGATGAGCGGATGGTCAGAAAGTGCGCGCGTTTGGCGGGAGAGGACCGCGGAGCCGGCGGTTCCCGAAGAAGCACAGTTGTTCACCTGTAAATGAAAAATTCTTAATTTACAGAAACTTTTTCCATTAGAAAATCCGCGAAGACAGCCGCAGATTTTCCCGCTGGTAATTTACTAACCGGGCACTCCTCGGTCGGGTTCTTCACGCTCATCCGAATGGAGCATTTGAAGTAGACGACGTGCTTGTCCGCAAATTTGAATGCCTGGGAGCTGGCCGCCGCGCGCATCGAGCCGCCCTTGTACTTGATCGGCGACAGGAGTTCTCCGTCGGTCGTGCATCCGTTCGCATCGACTACCTGCACGTGATCCGAGTCTCCGTCGTCCGCCGAGCAGTTGTACACCTTCAATTTATGCATCATAAGCTACTTTGTCTCCGGACCCGAACATTTTTAGGTTCTTGAGAAAAACGACTAGTTTCACTGACCTGCATGCAATAGATATCGCTGGGCGCGTCTCCGGAACACGTCCAAACGTGCACGACCGCTTCTCCGACGGTCACGACGGGCGCGTTTGCGTCGGAAAGCGAGGAAGTGACGACTCCGCCGCCGCGTGACACTCCGCCGGCCACCTCGACCCGATAGTCGCAGCTCGGCAGCTTCGGTTCGTCGGAGAGAATGCGTGGTCGGGGCGCCGTGACATTCAGGAGCGTCTGCACTTGACTGTGCTCTTCCCGGTAGAAGCAGTCGATCTGGTAGGCGACGTCGCGATGGGTGATGATCGCGCCGTGGTACGAGACGACCAGCACCGACGACATCGTCATTCCGCGAGGAGGCAGGATCTGCAAGAAAGGACTGTGTTTTCGTCTCAACACATTTAAAGTTGTGGCCTAGAATCCGACAAGGTACTAGCTTTTCCCTCTGACCGGATCGCCTAAAATCGCCCCTCTTTACCTGCCGTTTCCTCCTGCTCGGACACTCGTCGAAACGAGAACTCGAAAGTGATGTTCTGGCTGGGTCTCGCGACGAAATCCGCTTTACAGGACTTCCGATCGGCGGATCCACGCATGAAGAGGGCTCCTTTGAACGGCTCGTCGGTTTCCATCATTACCGTGATCCCGCTGGGCGCGCATTTTATACGCGGTTCTCCTAAAAGTTTAGCATTTTCAAGAATAACCGATTAAAAGTAAGTGGTAGTACCTATAATAGTTGCAGCTGCGAGAAAAGTGCAGAAAATCAGAGAGACGACCAGTTTTTTCATGGTAAAGAGTGTGACTAATAGTGATGGGGATGGCGACGGAATGAAACAAGGAAAAGGAAACGCGGGGGGCGCGTCTTTCCAACCACTACTACTACTAATAATAACAGTAATCAGTGGTGGCCGGGGTGAAAGAAGAGGTCGGTGCGGAAGGAAATAGCGCGGGCGGGAGGCGAGACGCGCGGAGGGAATAAGTGATGAGCCGAAGGTCAGATTGATATCGGACAGGGTGCGGACGAAATAAATCCGATGCGGTGGAACCGTCGTCCGATCGGGGGGTCCGTGCGGGAAATCTTGGACGAAAAAGGGGTCGACTAGACGAAAATCGGAAAGTTTCGCGAAAAATGCTCGATTTTTCAGGTTTTTTACTCGGAAAAGGGTGTTTGCATTGGAATTCGCTTGTAGAAGCCGGAAAATAATTTTTGCACGATTTTGGACAAGAAACTTTAAAGGCGCGTCCCATTTCTTTGAAAACTTTGTCATTATCGCTGCGAGACCCATTCGACCTACAGCCCGCGCACCGCGAAACGTTTGATTCTCGGCCCGTTCTAGATGTTTCTTCGTTCGCTTTTTTCTGTTCCGATTAATCCATTTCTGAAATATTTCCCTCGAATTTTGCCCTTTTCCCCTAAATTTTCGCTATTCCTGACTGGAAAACGTAATTTGCAAGCTCTAACTCACACGAATTCACGATTTGTACACAAATTTTGTCTCAAAAATCGTTGTTTTTAATTTTCAGCGCAATTAATCGACTTTGTAATTTTTCTTCGAATTTCCCTATTACAAGCGCCAAGGTCACAATTTTCAAACAAATTTTGTCTCAAAAATCGTGTTTTGAGATTTTCTTGTAGAGTTTTCAGTTTAGACACTGTTAACATACACTGAAATCCCATTAGAAGAGTTGCAATTTATACGAGTTTCAGAAAATCCATTCAAATTTCCGCCAAAGTCCCTCCGAATCGATTGCAACTTTTCTCTCCTTCTCATCATTCGGTCCGACTTATCCGACTTGGGCAGGCACGGGGCGCCATTCAAAACCGTACAAAAAGGCGTCGAGTGGCCCAGTTCCCCTCGGTTTTCTTTGTTTTCCGCGTAGGAAGTTGCGTTGCGCACCTTTTTTCGACACTTTCTCTGGCTGGTTTTTAGTGATAAGCGGTCGAGCGAAAGGGATTTCACTTTCGGAAAAGGATCGGGTGGTCTGGCAAGTACATCCCATCGCATACATGCCTGTCATGGCGATTGCACGAAAACGTGTTCTCGTCTGGTCAGCCACATAGGTACGTCATAGGTTGTTACACCTTTTGTTTTAGTTTGTATTTTACTTGGTCCCCATGAAGTATTGTGCATGTTTCAGTAAACATAGTTTGTTGCCACTCTTTTTCATTAGTCCAGATTGTGCTACATCATTTCTCAGCCGAAGAGATATTTATACCTTCATCTGCTCCAAAATTATCATAAAAGCATAGTAACTATGTCATAGTTGTACCAAAAAGCGTGCAACTGACTCTAGTTTTCCAGCTAAGACCTTCAAATTTTCTCAGCATAAACTAGAGCATAGAAAGTGTCTCTTGTCGAAAAAAATTTAGCAAAGATATATTTAGAAACCAAACATTTTCCGATATTGTGAACAGAACAGACACATGCACTTGGACACTTTGCAACCATTTGGCCAATTTCACTGTCAAGTCTCTTGAATTTCCCTGAAACGTACATGTCTGTGTGTTAAAGTGCTCCATCATTCGATTCCGTTTCGCCACCTCTCCCTCTCCATCTCTTTTTTTTGCTTGCTCATTTCATTTTCCATTTTGCGCCGTCCGTCCCCTTTTCCTCATATGTTCCCCTCCAATAAAAAGGGCTCCGGGCTCCAAACAGCTAGGAGTCGGAGCCAGAGAGACGGGGAGAGAGAGAGAGAAGAGAAACATTTGCGTTGGCGAAATGAAAAAGAAACAACACGTTGGCAAAAGCCGCGAGGAGAGACGAAAAAGAAAATGCAACTACTGGTTCTTCTTCTTCTTCTTCGCCGTTTCTTCGCCGTCTTCTTCGCCGGTCCGAAGGAGGCACTTTTTATGAGCACACACACACACACAGAGCAAAGAGTTCCGTCGCCGTCTTTTTTTTTGTTCCAAATGGGTTCCAAGGGAGACTTTACAAAGTACGCACACACAACACGCAACTCCACTTCTGGAGCACTAAAACTTTTTGGTTTAGCAATCTCGTAAAAGTTGCGTATAAACTTTGTGGGAGGCAACTAAAGTTTGAAGGAAGAGAAGGAGTTCCCTAGGAAAAAAGGTGGCCTAGGAAAAAAGTAGGGCCACCAACATGCTTAATTTAGCTCAGAATCTCATAATTGTATTAGTATTTTGTGGTTAGAGCAACAATATAGCGAGAGTGTGGGCAGCCAGTAAAGTTTGGTGGTCTAGAAAATTAGTTAGGCTACCAAATGTCCTAGACTTTTCGCTCAATCCCGAAACTGGTAAAGCTTGTTTCGATGCGTTTAGTTGGAGCAGTTTTAAGAAGATAGGGAGAATTGACTGGTTGCAATGTGTACCCGGTTGGAACTAGTTAGTACTCCAGGCCAGACCCCCCCCGTTCTTCTCACAACGTGCCGTACACTCGCCTCCGGTCCGATCGGTTATCTCTCCTGCTCGTTTCTGCTCACTCCCCCTATCCATTCACCGATGCCCCAGCGGCTCTGCCTGGGCTCTCGTGATAAGTCTTACGGTGGAAAAGTATCCGATTGCGAATTAGAGCCTCTTTTTTGTGCGCTTTTCGGAGATTTTTTGGAAGGAAATGCTAGACGTTTGGGTAGATACTGTCCTGAGTCTTGTAGCTGGTTGAAAAGTATCTCATGAAAAGTGAAACCGGTTGCGAAACGTCTAGGAATCGAGCATTTTTCTCAGGTAATCACTCAAACGAGAGATAAGTCAATAAATCAAACTTGTTTTCTGCTAAAATAGACGCTCGTTCATCCAGTTTCCTGTTCGAACAGGACGTTTTGCAACCGTTTGCAACAACTTGGATGTTTTCAACTGGACACTCTTTGGCTGTTCAACGGTGGCATCCGCGAGTGGATAGGAGAAGTGAGCAGCAACTGGCGAGCAGGGCGATTCGCAATTCGCAACATTTTGCTGAGTCACTAGGACTGGCGATCTGGCCTAATGGAAAGGGACCTTTTGTAGCCGGAAGGAAAATTTTGCAACTATTCAGATCCTTTCAAGCGTCTCCTTCCCAGGGATTTTGTTGATTTCTGGCTCAGAATGTATGATGTCGTCGTTGAACAGGGTCCTAGTTGCAAAGTGCCTATTCGGTTGCAAAATGTCCAGTAAACACTTATTTTTCTGGGGCCAGGTCCCCGGTTAACCCTCGGCTCTGCCCGATGTAGTGACTCGAAGAAAAATGTTGCGTAAACGAAAATCGCCGGGACAGTTGTTCTTCCTCTCCCGCTGCTCACTTCTCCTATCCACTTATCTAAGTGAAGGTCTAGTTGAAGAGCGTCTAGTTGCGAGGTGGATCACGAGAACGGTTACAAAGCGTCCAGTTGCAGAACGTCATGCGTTCGAAGGAACGGTTGATTGCCTAGCAAACAGTGATATTTTCCCATGTCTTTAACTTTAATCGTACCGTTCGCTTTGCCATCAAGCTGATTGCAAAGCGTAGTCCATAGTTGCAATATGTCTCACGTACAGTTATCTGGTTGCAAAGCGTCGACTGAGGCCCCAAGTCCCCAGTTAACCCCTCACAAACGTGGGGATGTTTTAAAATGTTGCGAAAACGACTAAACCCCCAGGACAGTTGTTCTTCGTCTGCTTATCCTGCTTGCTCAACACTTCCTCTGATCGATCGAATTGACAATTTTGTGTGCCTGAAAAACATCCAATTGCAAAGTGTCCAAAAAAAAAAGAAATGGTTGCAAAGCGTCCAGAACTTGAGACAAATACAAGAAAATCATCCGGCTCGCTGTCAGCGCATTTACAGTTCAGTTCGTTCCTAGAAAAATCTGTGCGGTTGCAGAATGTCCTTGTAGTTGCAAAGTGTCTTTTGAACATCTAACATCCAGTAAACACAAGTGTACAGGCAGTCAGACCCCGTGGCCAGTTGACCCCCTTCCCGTGACGTAGTGATTTGTTGCCGAAAGCCCTGCCCGGCTGTTATCCCCCTCAGGCAGCTCACTTCCCCTATCCTATCGCCAATGCCATCGTATCACAATTCCGTCTAGTACGTTTACATTTCGAGTTTAGTCCCTACAAGGCCTTGTGTGGTTGCAAAGTGTCCAAGAATAAGTCAGCTGGTTGCAACACGTCTTCAGAAGAAATTATATCGAATACAGTATACCGTGTACAGTTGAAACATGAAACAGACCAAAAAATTGAATGTGCAGTTCATCCCAAAACTTTACCAGAACATTGTAAATTCACCAAGTGTTGCAAAAGTTGACCTGAAAAGCGTCTGGTTGCAGAGTGTCCAGTCAACCCCCCACTTCTCAAATTTAGTCCCCATTAGTTGAGAACCCCGAGCGCCCGTCTACCCGGTGATCTCTGACCGTGTGACGGCGGCTCCCAACTCCTGGCTCCGTGCCTCTCCTCGCACACTTTTTTCCTCTCGAAAATGTCTCCTTCCTTCTAGTTTCTGTTTCATTTCTCCTCACCTATCATCCAAACTATCATCGTTTTTGTTGCAGGTCAAATATCTTCTTCTTCTTCTTCTTCCCCACACAGACGACGAACGAGAGAACGAGAAGGGAAACATTCGAAGAGGAAAAGGGAAAAAGGCTTGCTGCCTTCAGCAGTAGCAGCGGCTTTTAGATCAAATTACTTTTCTCACTTCTCCCGCTCTGAACACTGCGCTGAAAAAGACGGGGGGAACTCGTTGACGTAGAAGTGGAAAAAAGTTGCTGAGAAAAAGGGATTAGCGATGGAGGAAGTGAAGCAGAAGGAGCAAACGGAGCAAAAGGAAGGGTTGCTCATGAAATTCTGAAAATCTGAACCGAGAACATCACAATTTTACAGATTCTCTTCAACTCGCGGACGCCATTCATGCCCAGACACTCTTTTTCTCTTCAGATTCTGTTCAGATCCTCAAAATTTCAGGACAAGGAGCAACATATCGACCCCGTGGTATCGAATGAAACTCTCCCCTCCCCCTTGGCTATCCACCTATCATCACCAGTTGCTCCGAGCCGACGGCACCACTCGACAATTGTCTCTTTCTCAACTTCCTCCGAATCTCTCGTTTATCAGCAGAGGGCAGGTATCCGAAGGTCGTTAAGGGTCGTTAGAGCATTTGTAGAAGATCTGTAAATTTGCAAGTGCTATGGCCGAACTTCTTCACGGCCATCATCAAACCATGGTGTGAACACCGTCTGGCCTAGCGTTTCGGCCATCATCACAGCATGCCCTAAGTAAACCGGCAACACCTCCTGGCCTAGCTTTTCCCAGTCTACAGCCACTTCCCTCTAGCTCACAGCTCAACAAACACCGAACGCCTATCACTAGCCACCTAGAATAATTCCATCTTTTCCCAAGACCCCCCTGCTCGCTCTCCCAACAGAGATGGAGACCTCCCGCAACGCAATGCGTCGGCAAACAGTGTTCATTCTCCGTTCCTCTCCGTTCTTCTTTCTCGCCAAACACCGAACACTCTCGAAAGTGTTGCGAAAAACGTCTGGCACTGTGTCTCCGCGCATCAAACGCTCCCTCTTTCGCTTGGACGCATATTTAATTTGAGGCGCCGGCGCCGTACTCACACACACACTCACTCAAATCGGCGGCGGGGGAACACACACAACGCAAAGCAAAGCACGGCGGCTGGCGAAATAGGCCAAAAAATGGGGAGACTGAGGCGTAGAAACGAGACGGGCAGGAAAAGAAGAAAAAAAACGAAAAGAAGTGCACTTTTTTGCGAAGACGACCAACTTCGGGGGGGGACTAGAATGGTGTTGATGGACAAGGACGAGTGTTGCGAAAAGAAGAGATGATAGTGATCTAGTACAAGTTGGTTTGACAAAAAAAAACTGAAAAGAAGGCGTTGGAATTTATCGAGTTTTTCAAACAAACAAAATAGATTAGACAGTCGGCTGGCTTGAACGTAAAGATGATGCGCTACAAGAACCCTTTCAGAGTGGCCATGTGCACACGGCGCGCCAAAAGTGTAGAAAGGGGGGCGTGGCCTAATCTGAGACGCGTTTTCTGAAAATTGCCGCAATTCCAGCACTTTTCCGATATTTTTGTGTTTGATATCGACGAAAGAAGAGCACATTAAAGAGAGAAAACATTGAAATTTTCGTGAAAACGCCGCGTTTAAGACGTTTTTGGCATATTTCGCAATACGCTCGCCGCCGCAATTTCGGAATTTTCATACCGGCCGTTCTGAATAGTTTTAAGACAAAGTGAGTGTCGGAAGTGATTAAGCACGTTAATACAAGTATTTTAAGCGTTCAAACGGCAAAAAGTATCAGCGAATGAGTGAAATTCGCGGATTTTGAGCACAAAACTTGAAAATCGATTCAATTTATTCATTTCTGAATGAAACCTGCTCCTTTTTAAGCTCAAAAAGTGCGCGCGATGATTAGTTTAACAAAGTTATTATGCAATAACATCGTCGAAACCCGTACAAAATTGGTAATTTTTGACGAAAAACATGGAAAAAATGGGTTAAATTTCGAATTTCGCGCCAAAATGGTGGGTGATAAACCGTGCACGCGCTAGGCCACGCCCCTTTCTACATTTTTGGTCGCCGTGCGCGTGTGTGCAAAACGGAACATTTCGCCACCTTTTTGGCGCGCCGCTTTCGTTTCGCCAATCGCATTTACATCTTTCGCAGTCCTTTTTTTTTCCGAACGTGTGCCTGCGTCTCCGCTCTCCTCTTCATCTTCATTGTTGCGAAAAGCCATTCATTTTGTGTGGCGCCGCCCGTCAGGCCCCACGACGCACGGACTGACGGACCGAAGCACTTTTTTGCAACAAAAAACATCGATCCGTGGGGGGGGATCGGCGCGGGCAGAAAGAGAGAGAGAGACAGCCGTTTTTTATGGGGACGCCCCAGTTTTCTAATGGGTGGCCTCTTCCTCTTCTTCTTCTTCGGAATCGGCGGAGCGGGCAGATAAAAGAACGTCTCGGGCGGCCGCAGTTTGAATTCATTCGATTTATGAAGGCCCCCGAGAGGCTAGACAACTTTTTGTGATGCCACGTCATCAGAGGATGAGCATCAAGGGGCCTTAGTGTCATAAATTATTAGCCCGCTTGAGTTGGAAGGGGAGCGAAAGCTTTGTTCTTCCTCTTCTTCTCAACTAACACTACCGTAATGCTGAACTCTAAAAGTACCCCCAATCTCTCAGATTTTCAAGTGAAATCTGAGCCAATCTCACATGCTCCCTCTCTGCAATTGGCCGCACTTATGCAACAATGTGTCTAGTGCGGAGACGTTAAAAATACGGGCGGTCTACGTGTGTCTAAAGTGCGCGTCCATCCTCGTTCTTTGCTTGCGTCGCGCCGGCCGAAAAACGAACGAAATAGTGGTGTTCTCTCATTTTTTATTCCCACACAGACACACACAGAGACAGACAGGGAGGTCTGTGAGTGCTACTGTCTAGACGCGCTGATCTTCGCGACGAGCGGCGGGCACCGATCAGAGAACGTTTCCGAGGAGCTGCCTACAGTCTATTACGGATTACTGTAGCCTTCGAACGACGAATTCGAATTATAACCTTGCCGCGCGCCCAGCTAAATGCTCGGCCATTTTCGTGTCACCTCCATCGAGAACCCGGCAAAGTGGCAATTTGAAGGCTTGCAAGCAGAAAAAAGTGGATAATATATGTTCTCGATTCAGAGTAGTAGTGTGTGGTTAGTACACGTACGGAAAGTTTCATCGACTCTAGATTTGCAAAGAAACGCTCTTGAAAAAGGTGTACAAGTCATGAGATGGTCGGGTTTTCGGCAGCAAGGCAAAAATGTTGAGAAGAAACGTTCGCGTATTATTACACACATTTTCAGCAACGGCAGCGACAGCAGCTAAAGCAACATGGAGGTTAAAGAGTGTGAGGAGGAACGCAAAAAGTGTTTCGCTCTCTTTCTTTCGCTCGCTTCTTTCGCTCGCTTTGTCTCTATCGTCCGCACGCACTTTTCGGTGGCGCCCGTTCGAAGATAGCGCGTCCGGGCGATACGCAGAAAAGCGCGCGTGTCTCGCTGATACGCCACACTCTCGCCTCGCTCGTTTTTTTCGTCGTGTGTGGTCTATCCAATCGCCTCTCTCTCTTCAGTCGCCGAAATCAATCGGGCACGGCGGCGGCGGCGGCGGCGGTGGGGCGGAGCTTCGTCGCCGCGACTCGTCTCGCTGGGAGGGACCCGCCCCCCGGACTCGCCACTCGCGGGGAGGTCGCCGCCGCGTCTCAACCCACAAAGCCTCGCCAACCTTTACTTTGACTCTTCGACTTCAGTGTCTGACACAGAAATTGATACTTGAATGCTATAGAGCATCTCTTCTTTTTCTTAAATCATGTTACAACAGGGTAAGTTCATTTTCTATCCTATTCTGTGGCGCTTCCAAAGACTCTATGTATACCTGAGCTGTATTTCAATTCATAAAGGGCCCAAGATCCTTAGATTGACAATAGTTAGGTCTTGAGGTGTTTAGGTTGACCCTAAAGTAGTCATAGAGTTCAAAAGTTTCTTACTAGACGGTTTTTCGAAGCTCAAAAGTTTACCCCCGTTGCGTTCTGTTTACCTATACGTTGCTACCACCTTTCGAGTAAGCATACCCACAAAATACCGTAAGATTCTCTCACCACCACATAGATTAATCAATGATCACGTGCGAGGGTTCAGACTAGATTATGAAGTGAGAGTTGGTAGAAAGGCATGAGAAGCGAGGATTCCCATGACATTTCAAACTTTCCCTTGGGACTACCGTCGCCCTTTTTCAGAGGAGCCTATGCTCACCGAGGACTCTGCACCGGAGAACATCAGCAACGGCGACGACGAGGTGGTCGAGCAGATTGTCGAGGAGCTCGAGAAGAACTACTACTGTCAGCGGTGTCTCAATCACGGAGAGCACAATCCGCGCAAGGGACACAAGCCGGATTGCGGGTACGTATGAGTTCAGTCTGTCCTAGTCGTTCTTTTCTTTTTTTTTTGTTGCTATCAGTACATGTGGGAGTGATAACAGCGCTGCCACGTCATGAAGCTTTTCGTGAAGTTGATAGATGGCCACTATGTGTGCCACGTCATGAAAGGTTTCGGTCGAGTTATTTCTAGCCACTATGAATGTTTCTACTGTAGCGTTTCCATGTAATTCGCGTTTTCGACAAAGTTTATGAGATCGCCAGTATGTAGCACCAACCGAAACTTGACGTGGCATCTACCATCTTTCGAAACGACGTGGCACCGCGCCTACCGTAATCACACGGCTACAATAGCCATTTACAAGTGGCCCGAAAGGTCGAGCGAACCTCCTTTCCCTATAATAATTTCTTCGACCTCCCATATAATAACAATTTCCTCCGTTTTCATCCATTTCCACAAGGACACCACCCAGTTTAGCTGTTTTTTTTCGTATAAAATCGGGGTCGTCGTCGCCACCACCCTTTTTTTTGGGATATTGTGTGTGTGTGTGTTCACTTCACTAAAATGGGCATCGAGAAAGAAATCTCAATAAAATTGGATGCTTTTTGACAAAAGGAAAGGCAATATTATAAATGGTATAGATGGTGGTGGATGGTACCCGTAAAGCGACCGCGGACAAATACAATATCAACAGGAGGGGAGGAGGAGGAGGAGCAACTTTGAACACATTTATATATATATATATATTTCAGATACCTCAAATGCCCGTGCATAGAGTGTAATATGGTCGAGCGGCGACGACAGTTGAACAATTTGCTGAGCAAGAAAAAGGTTGGTGGGTTTTTTGTTGTGAGTTTGACGAATTTCGAGAAGGATAATAGAAGAAGACGCACTTTTTTTTGAACAACCGGAAGTTTCGCCTAATGTGACTGTAACCACTTTAAAGGCGCATCACCTAATGCGGCCCGTTTTGTCGTGACTTGACGTGGAAACGCTACCGTATCCATTTTATGCTTTTGTCAACGTTGATGTATGCTGTTCCTACATGATCCTACTAGGCTCCAAATGACGTGGCACTGAGTTGATGTACCCACTATGAACGAATAGGCATTCCAATTGGTTCCGCTCCTACAGTAGCCTTTTGCAGGTGAAATGCGCGCCGACGTCAACGACGCGGAACGGAAAGCGAGTGCGTGATCCGCACTGCGCGCGATGCTCGGCCCACGGGGTCCTGGTCCCGTTGCGCGGACACAAACGCACCATGTGCCAGTTTGTCACCTGCACATGCACTCTGGTAAGCCCATTATCCCGTCAACCTTTTCCTTTTTTTGTGTGTGCGTCCTTTTGCCATCGAAAATTATACGTCAGTTTCCCGGAGGGGCCACATGTAATTTCGTTTCGTATGGTACTTACTGTACAAGTGGAGGCGTGGCCGTCCAATCCATCGCGTTTTCAGTGCGCACTCGTCGAGAATCGGAGAATGCTGATGGCGGCGCAGATAAAACTGCGACGTCTTCAGCAGAAGACGCGCGACGGAAAGGAGCCGAAGGGCAACAAAAAGGAGAAGAGCCAGAAGGGACCGAAAAAGCACGGACTCGTCATGATTCTCGACGCCAACGCGACTAATGGACACGCAATTGGAGCACAAGCGATTCAAGTGACTGTCGGAGAGCAGCGCAAAGTGCAAGGTGAGCAGTATGGTCATTTTTGCGAACCCGACAATATCAGTAGACTTTGCGTCGGCATATCTCGGCCCAAAATGATCCGATTTACGCCAAACTTGGACAGGCGCTACTTTAAAGTGTCTAGTTTATGCGAAAAACGTTTTTGGAGCGTCTCGCTTGAAAATAAGGATCAGAACCACGCTTTTAGCGGTACACACGGTTCTAGGTGTTGTGAGGACTTGAAAACTGTAGTCTACTGAGCTCAAATGTCAAAAAATTTGTTTCAAACGTTTCGAGCCTTAGCTAGACCCTCTAAAGTCTGTCTTGGCCAAGTTTGACGTCAATCCGATCATGTTTGGCCGAGTTTGAACTGATATTGTAGTAGCGTTCAACAACGTTCAACTAAATATTGTAAATTTGCAGGTTCGCTCTCTCCGTCGCCGTCGAGCACGGACACAATGTCGCCGTCGCTGTCAATGACTCCCCCCTCCTCTCCCTCTCCCACTTCTTCTTCTTCTTCTTCTTCTTCTTCTTCCAATCTCGTCGCCCCCGTTCCCATCTATCCGCTACCGTTCCAATTCCTCCAACAACAGCACAATTTGTTCCTCATCAATTGTCTCCAACAACAACAACAGCATCAGTTGTCGGCGATGGTGGTCCCGACGCCGTCGCCATCCCAATTGTCCACCGTGAGCCCGTTCCTGCTCAACGAGCAACTTGGCGCCGCCCTTTGCTCCATGTACCTCAAGGGATGCCTCAAAATTTGAGCACACAAACACACACACAATCACTTTTCTATGCACCTTTTTCACACAACTATTGTATTGTTAGTCCGTTCTTCCAAACTCTGCGTCCGAAACGATTTCTCACCACAATCTCTTTTCTATTTTTGCTGTTCCAAACTCCACACACCTTATTTTTCAATTTTCTGCCCAATTCGTCTCCTCATTTTAATCGCGCGTTTTTGATGGTGGCCCTAGGTTTTGCATGTTGTTGCAAAACTTCGGCCACGGTTTTCTTCTCATTTTTCTCTCACCAAGTGAACGCTTGTTTTTGCAAAGACCCCGTCTTTTCCGCTCTGTTCTAATCATGTCAATCCCATTTTCTTCCCCCCCAATTTATCGTTTATAACTTTTTGAGCTGAGCTCTTCGCCCCCCCGGATTACTGTACTTTTGACCCCCCCCGCTCGCTCTGCGTCCTCCCTCTCTTTTTATCCGCATTTCTGGCGTTGTGCCGCAAAATTTTTTCTATTGTCAGGATTCAATCCGTTGTTCCCCCCTCCCACACCCGCATCCTAGATCCTCCCGACTGTTTTGGTCCCACTAGTCGTAGCCGGTTCCCGTCGTCCGCCCCCACCCACACAAACACACTTTTGACTGACCCGGTGGTCTCTAACTTTATTTCTCACCTATTCTTCCTAATAATAATTTCACCATTTTTCTTCTATTGCGGAGTGGAGTTGTATCGCATCGAGCCTAATAAATTTCGTTGAATACTCGAAAAACAGTTTTTAATGTGTTCATAGGAAACGAGACTGACAGTGAGCTCAACAAATTCTGGATTAAATTTGGGGGAAAATTAGGAGGGAATAACAAGGAGAAAACAGTGAAAACAGTGAAAATGGAGGGAATTTAGAGGCGTTCGGCTCCGCGGGACGCCATGTTGCGCAGACTTCCGTACACTTTCGATGGGTTCGATCCTGCAAAAAGAAATGGATTATTTCAGATTTTCTGACCTGTATTTGACAAAATATTTCATTTCAATGAACCACAGACTTTCGACAACTAGTACCCGACCAGATTCTGCACTTTTTGCACACCACCACCACTCATTGTGTCATTGTCATCACCCGGAAAAAAGCGTAAAAGAGTGGAGGAAGAGAGAGAGAAGAACATCAATTCGGTGTCGCATCGGCATCGTCGGCCGGACGGGCAATCCCATTTTATGTGCCTCTCAAAACCCCGCACGGGTTAAAGCCTCATCTCTTTCTGTGTGTGTGTGTGGTCGTTATTCTCATCGGTGTGTGTGTGCGTAGAAGAGAAGAGAGATGACACACGGCGACGCCGCACACATGTAACACAAAAAACGGCTGTTTCTGTGTGTTGCAGTTGACGACCGAACCGAACCGAACCGAACCGGAGAGAGAGAAAGAGAACATTCGAAGGACTACAGCCACACGAGGGATCTTTTCTCTTCGAAAATTTAAACTATTCACTTTTTGATTAACTTCCAAATCTCTTCTTTTAGTCGCATCTCGTGAGAAAACCAAATTCTGCTGCAATTCGAATATTTTCAAACTTCAAATTCCAACTCCACAATGCTCTTTTCTGTCGTGTCTGGCGCCTTTCGCTATCATCCAACTACTATCATCGACCGATTGAAAATGTTGCGAAAAAGTGCACATTTTCAGTGGCGCCAGCCGCTTTCCACACTTTACACAAAGCGATATGATAATGATAAAACGTCGCCGTCGTTTTTGTCGAAATCGCAACATTTTTGGCCGTGTTGCTGATGCTGCCGACTGCTATAAGCGTGTCGTCGTCGTCGTCGTCGCCCACCGACTATAGTCGCACCGAGCGAAATAGACGGGCGCTGCGCCCAGACACACACGGACTGATAACGAGAACGGCCGCGGAGAACACGACATATGGGAAGAGCCGGAGAAGCCAGTGCTGGCTCGTGCTCGGCAGAAAGTGTGACGCCCATCTTTGTACGTGATGATCATCGAAAGCGATGATGAAATATGGGACGGCGAGAAGCGCTAAAAGTCTAGACCCGCCGGAGTTTGGCGGTGTGTACGAGGGGGAGACTGGGAGTACTGTAACGTCGAGAATCTGCTCGAATCGGCCTAAAATCGAATCGGAAAAGTCCCGTTCCAAAAGTCGCCAATGTGCTAAACTGCTCTGAAAATCGATCCGTCTCCCAGTTCTCGAACAAAACCAAGTCCAATGTCTTTGCATTCCGGAAAAACGAGTAGGCGTCGCCACCCTCCCTTTCGCCGTCCAAAAAAAGTGATCGTTTCCCATTCGGATGGCATTTTCCTCACTTTCCACGGTGTTCAGAATGTGACACGTCTGTTGCGACAAAAGGGCGAGGAGGAGGACCTCCGGACGAAGCAGAAGAAGAGGAGAAAGCAATTCGGAGCGAACGACACGGCGAAACAGAGGGAAAGATCCGGAAAACGAGGGACACACAATCGCCGATTGACGAGATGAATGGGCCACACACACACACACAAAAAACATGTGTGTGTGTGACAAAAAAGTGACCGAATGGTGGTAGCTGGTAGCTCTCCGCGACAACATGTAATTTATGCACTTACCGAGGATCAGACTGCAGATGGCATTTCGCGCCAGCTTCAGGTTCTGGTACGCGCCCAGAATGTGGATTTTCGTGTTGGCGACCACTGCAAAAAAATGGGGATTTTATGGGAAAGTTCAGGTCGTTAATGGAAAATATGGACGCTTTCATCAAAATTGGAACCGTTCTCTGGAAAAATGCAGAAAATTAAGTGATTGTCTCGGTTCTCTTCAAGATTTTTCGAACATTTTCCCATTGCGCCTACCAATTCTCGTCTTGGTCGTGTTCTCGATGACCAGTTTGGTCCGTCCGTCTTTTCCGGCGATACGTCCGATCGCACGGCTCACATGGTCCCCTTTCAGCGAGTGTTTCACGTCGGCGATCTGAATTATGTATTTTTAGTAGTTTTCGCTTGTTCTGTTCAAAAAGCGCAACTTTTGGACAATTCATTTTTCAGTTTAAGGTAAATTCCCCTCTACCAGTTATAGGCTAAATTTCTAGAATTTCAGCCCGACTTCGGTTAATTTTAGGCCAGAGCGTTCAATTTTCTCGATTCTCTTTAAATAGTCGTCATTTTTAGGCCAATCCACTTTTGAATTTTTGCGTTTGAGTGTGGCGTGTTCTGTTATCACCACACAGTTCAGACGTTTTTGGCCGTCCTCTCCTCCTCCTTCTCCTCCTGCTGCTGCTGCTCCATTCCGTCTGTTTGTCTGTGTGCACTAGTTTCTCCTCTCCATTGCTATCATCAAATTTCAGTGTCGAGCGCCACAAAACTACCGTAATCCGTCGCCTTTTCTTCAGTCGCCAAATGGGCGGACTCGCGACGTTTTGTGGCGACGCCGAAAGCGAAAGATAGAGAGAGAGAGAGAGAGAGAGAGAAAAGGTGTCTCTCCACACTTATTAGACCGCTCCTCCATTCGAAAACGCGTTCGAAACGAAACGAAACGCGCAAGGTTGAAATGGAATGGGGAAATTGATAATAATAACAATAACAGCAATGGTAATGTGCTCCTCTGCGCCGTCGTTTCAAGGTTAATGGCGGTTCGTCATGCCGGCGCCCGTCCGTCCGTTTCATCCACAAAACGAGAATCGGTCGGAGGATCGGACTATCGAATGGATGGATGATGGAAATGCGGAAATGCAAATGCAAATGGAACATCTGTCCCAGGTGCTTTGAGCAGACAAATAAAGAGGTCAAACGGGATTGACACGAGCTCCGGGGGACCGACTTCATGGAAAACCGCTCCGAGAAGAAAGAAACTGAACAGTTTTGCTTCACACACAGGAAAATGGATGGTGGCACTAAAAACCTAGAACACCTTCAATTTCTCATCAATTTTTGCTCATTTTGTATCCTTTGCTCGCTCCGTACCGTCCGTCGTTTCCATCCGATTTAACGACGTTTCAATGATATGCCAATCTCGACCTTTCCTTTTCCCCCCATCAAAATTCTCTTTTTTTGACATTTACGAGTTGTTGACTATCGAAATATCGAGTCTCCGCCGACCTATCTATACACAGTTGATACAAATTCCTGCGAACAGGCAAGACGATGCAAAATCGACGATTTTCGAGTGGCAAAGTACCTCAAAAGTCTCTAAAAACAGGTGCTCGAGACGGATGAGCGCAATCGCGTCGTTCACCTCGAATCCCAGAATGAAGGCGCGCACAAAGTCGGTGGCCTGCAAGACATTGGATTAACAGTGCAAAAAGAATCTCCATTTCTCTTCCGTTTCCATTTTTCCACCATTTTCTCTCACCTTTTGCAAATCGGTGGTGTCCTCGCGATCCTCGGGATTTCTGATTTCCACCTGTCGCTTCTTGAGATTGAATCGGATCTGCAGTCCGAGATTCTTGACAATCGGCGTGAAAATGTTGACCCAGTTCTCCTTGAGCGGAGTATAACGATGTTTCGGCACCGCCACCACCCGATGCTCGCCCTTTTGGCCCTTCGAACGTTTCGCCGACTTTGGCTCGCCCGATCCTTCCTCGGCGACGTCGTCCGGTTGCGAAATGTCCTCCATCTCCACGTCGATCGCATTTCCCGACTTTCTCTTGCGTTTTTGCACCTGAAATTGAGCGAAAATCTATTTTCCATAATTTCCATCAAAAATCATCAGAAGACTATCAAAAACTAGTCGTGGGTGGTCGTAAAAGCTCTGAATCACCCGCCGTCGTCATCATCAAACAATCGTCTTTCTAGACCTCATGGCGGCGACATTAAAATCAAAAAAAAAACCGTTCCTTTGTGTGCGGGTGTATTCAGAGGAAGACCGCCGCGCGCTGTCAAGGCTAACCAAACGAAAAATTATAGTACAAACGCACAAAAAAAAAATTGGATTTTATCGAGAAAAGAGAGACTAACATTTCGCATTCCCGGAATTTTTTTCAGAAAAATAACTCTGGCAAATCGATCTTATCTGATCCGAAAGGAGTGTCGTAACGCGTTTGGTTTATTAGAGTTTACTAAAAGTTTATTAAACCGTCCGAGTCTGATCAGAGCGTTTTCCTAGTCTGATCAGGAGATTTCCGGACCAAATCACGCCGCGTTAGGTCCATGCTAACTCTCGAATGAGATAAGGATCGATTTACCAGAGTTTGCCTTTTTCGCCAAACTGACCAATTTGAAGCCGTCTCCCTTAGGGGCGGTGTCCAAATTCTGTTCGAGAAGCGACGGAAGAGCGCTCGGGAGCTCGTCGTCGTCGATCAGTTCGGGCATCTGCTCCTCCATCGGGAGCTCATCTGCAAACGCCGAGCTGCTGGTGGCCATGTTTACTCTGTCTGAACTCGCAAAATACGGGAAATGAGCAAGAAATGAGCAAGGAGATAGATGGGAAATCCGTTGAGAACGGTTCAGAAGATGAAAAATTGAGAAAAAGTGAATACTCGGTTTTCGTAAAAAAAACAATAAGAAAGAGCTAGAAACAACAAAAGATACAATGAAAACAGTGTAACAAAGAAGTGGGTAGAGATCTCTGAAAAACAAAAACAAAAACAATAAAACATTGGATTTTTTCAGATTAATATGATATCATCAATTCTACTCGATTTCATCCTCCTAAAACGGCCAAATTCTCCAGCGTTTTCCTTCGAATCCAACAAAACTAGTGTTAAACGACAGCTCTCATCTGTTTCCAGACGAAATCGAACAGACTGACGTCCTGCTTGGCCCGATCGAGCCGATCCATGTGTCGTTGGGTGTAGGGTAGAAGTGATTCGACGTACGAGGCCGCGTTGGGCAACTGCAGCAGCTCGTCCGGCGGACAAATGTGGATGATTTCGAAAGAAAACGCGTTGGGCCACGTGGGAATGACGGCTGTTCGTGTTCCATTTCACCGTGAACTGCAGCAGGATCTCCGTTTGACGGGCGTCCAGACGACGGATCGCCGCCGACAGCGCGTCCGGCGATTCCTCGGATATTAGTGCGTTTATCACCTGCAATATGAAAAATTTTGGTTTTAAAGTGGAAGAGCAGAGAAATTATGCATTTTGAGCCATGTTCTCGAAAAAACGCAGGAGATCTCTGATTTTTCAACGTATTTTTTGAAGTTCGAACAATACCAGCGAATTGCAAATCCACTGTGCCGAACGTCAAAACCTCGCCTTTTCAAAGAATTACATGAAAACTGGCTCAGAGCATCAGTTCTCTTCGTTTTTCTATCCTTTTCCCTACCTTGTAGGCACAGTAGGGTTTGGCGAGTGTCAAAGAGAACACGAGTGCCTCCTTGAACCGTTTCTGACTGAGCAGATTGGTGAGTGTCTGGTCCTGTTCGATGGCCTCGCGCCGTTTCTCGTCCTCCGCCCGCTGCTTCTCCTCCGTCACATCCTTCCACACGACGATCCGACCATCGGTGCCCGCCGTCACAAACTCCTTCTCGTGCCTATCCGCACTCAGGGACCAGATTTTGTCGGTGTGTCCGTCGACAGTACTCTCGCAGTCCGCCGTCTTGATCGTCCAGATCTTGATGATGCCCGCCGAGTCGGCCGAGATGATCTGTGTGTCGTTGCGCACGAAAATGACGCGGAAGACGGCGCACGAGTGTCCGGTGATCGTCTGCAGGCAATTCTTCTCCGCCACACTCCACACTTTGATGCTCATGTCGCCCGAGCAACTCGCCAGTTTGTGTGCGTTCCGCGCGAATTTCACGTCGCCAACGCCGCGCCGATGGCCCGAAAGGGTGCCGCCGATGCCCAACTGTATCTTTTGGCCGTCCACTTGCCACAGTTTCACCAGTTTGTCCATTCCGCCGGTGGCGATAAGGGCATCCGATTCGGAAATGTCAATGCAGTTCACGTCTTTTCCATGGGCCACCATTGTCGACGAGCATTGCAGTTTTGGACTGTAATTAAGGGAAAATGAAATTTGATGTAAAATCGATGAGAATCCAAGATTTCTGCTCAAAGCAGCATTAGAAACGAGAAAAGGAAGGAGTGACACCGGATTTGTGACCAAAATTGGGAAATGTTGCGAAATCTGGTGGAAAAGGCTCCAACCTCAAAATTCCATCAATTTTACCAGGAAAACTCGGTGTTCTATTCGAAATTCATCGATTTCTACGACTGGCGAAAATCATGTTTTTCGTTTCAAACTTACAGCTGCTCCACAAAATCCCCCTCGGCCTCCACTTTCGGCGCCTCTTTCGCCTTCGAAGCCTCACCGATCGGCCACAATTTGATGGTACAATCACTGGAGACCGACGCGAGGAACGGCGATCTCTGCGTGTTCGAAACGGCCAACGCGGTGACCGAATTGGCGTGTCCGGTGGCCGCGAAGAGCGGAATCAACGTTGCCGAATCGTCGGAATCCGCCGAGCAGAGACGCCACAAAATGATCGAGTTGTCCTTGGAGCACGAGGCGAGCAGGGAACAGTCCCACGCGGGCGAAACCACGGAGAGCACCGACTCCGAGTGGCCGCGGATCAGCCGGCAATCGAGGGTGTCGGTCGAGTAGAGACGGATTTCAGCGGTGTTCGACGCCACCGCCATGTGAGATTCGTTGTTTCCCAGTAGACAGCACGAGTAGATCTGAAAATGTGGAAATGGAGTGAATAAACGTGAAAAAGTTTTTTTTTTCGTTTTTTTTGGCGTTTTTTGAGGAATTTCTGCAGCAAATTTGTCAAAAATAGCTTTAAAATTGTATTTGAACAAAATTCTCATTTTCCCGTCCTTGCCTCGTCATGAAATCCGACAATCTGTCTGACAATCTTCAACTGCTCAAAATCCACCAAAATCAGATTCTGTTCTGCGGAGACGGCCAAAAATCGATTGGACACCGGATCGTAGGCCAGTTGATCGATTCCGCCGCCGCAAATTCGCTTTTTCCGCACGAGACGGGCGGTCTCGATGACGAACTCCTTGACGAGTCCCTCCTCGCCGACCGTGAAAAGGTTTCCGTTGTGACCGATGGCTCCGGATTCGACGGATTCGAAGAGCGGAAGTACTTTTAGGGTCTCCTGGGTTTCCGTCTCGTGCAAAGACATGGTCTGATCACGGGAAAGGGCCACAACTACTCTCGACTCGGGCACTTGCAGCAGGGCGGTAATCTGTGAACTGTGTTTTTTCCACTCGTTCGCCAACTTTTTCGGCGCGCCCTTTATCAAATTGTACAAATTCAGCTGGCCTTCGATGTAGCCGACCACCAGTTTCTCGTTTCTGCCGAACACGATCGCCGACACGACGGACGGTCCCTTGAGAGTGTGCGTGCACTGCGATTCCAGAAGATTCCACACTTTTACAGTGTGGTCCGCCGAGCCGGTCGCCAGGAAATGACCCTCCTCGTTGAACTCCATCACCAGAATCGGGGCCGTGTGCATTGTTTTCCACGATTTCGCCAGCTCGGGCTTCTGCACCGACGGATCCAGCGGGATCGTGTACTCGCGGATCACCTGGTTGTTGTAGGCGATCAGAAGACGGTTCCGGTTGCGATCCACCACCGTACACGTGATCCGCAACTCGTCTTCCGGGTCTCCGATCGTATAGCTGCAAAAATTGAGGGGTTTTCTGTGTGTTCTTTTGAAATTTTTAAAAAATTTGCACTTGTCATTATGTTTTCCGAAATATGTGCTCTTTTTAGTCATCATCTGTTCGTAGTCTGCCGTCGCGTTCTGCGGCCCTTCCGTCCGAGATGACTATCCGCCGAGAGCGATCCTCTTTTTTTTCTCCCCGTCCTCCCAGCGGTCCCAAACACCGCAACGCGCGCACTGTAACTTTAAAGGCGCATCCAAAAACTGTAGAATCTTTTAGTTTTGACCCACGCGCGGAACCGCAAAACAAACGATTTTCGGTCGGTTCGATAATTTTCCTTGTTGTTTTCCTCTCTTTTCGTTCCGATGCTAACCCATTTTTTGGCAAAACACGAAAAGAAACGTGCTTTCGCACGTTTTTCACAGAAATTTGGAGAAGCTTTGGGGAAATTAACGTAGGTTTTGAAGAAAACACATTGTTTCCACGTTCTTAGAGATCTAGTTTTTCAAGCTGATTAAGCTACCATTCACACGTTTTTGTTCAAATTTGGGATGAAAATCCGCGTTTTCTTGACTAACCTGGCGTTCGTCTGCTCCAAATCGATAACTTTCACCACATTCGTACACGTGGAGAACAATTTTTGGCCGTTCGCACTCCATCTGACCGTTCCGCCAGTGTACACCGCTTCCACACTCCGTTTCACCGCTATTTCCTTTATCGGCTCTGTCATTTTGCCTAAAAAATTGAGAAATTATCCATTTTAGTACAAATTTAACTAAACAATAAAAATTATTGCGTTTTTTTTAGCTGAAAATAAATAAAATAGGCAAAATCACATGTCGTTTTGGAAAAAATCGCAACCGTAAATCGACACAACGCCGAAACGAGTGCGACCGTAGCCGATCGTGGCGGGATCCGCCGCTGTCGTTTATTCGATGCGCCTTTAAAGTGCTCGCCTCGCCTTTTCCCTCCTTTATCGACGTAATTCACCCGGCTCTTTTTGCTCTTTTTACCGCGTTTTTGGCGCGATTTTTTGAAAAATTAACGGAAAAATTAAAAAAACGTAAATTTGCGGCAAAAAAACCGCAACGACACCGCGAAAAATCAAAATTTCCGGGCAAGCAGTGTTCAGTCGGAAAAAATCACAAGTTTTGCATTTTTCGGGTTTTTTTCCGCGTAAACTTGAACTAAATTCGAGTTTTCTGAGTTTTCCGAGTTCGCCTCTCTGTTTTCTGTACATTGCGCCGCCGAAATGTTCGTCGTCTCGTATTATCCGGGAGGTTTTCAGGATTTTGAGAATTTAGGTGCGAAAAAACCCGTTTCTCCTTTGTTTCTCGTTGAATAAAATATTCTCAAGCGATTTTACAGTTAACTCCCACTTGGTAATGTCTGGACAGCAGTTCCAGCAACATCCACAACATCAGCAACAACAACCGCGTGCACCCGTCGTCTACAATAATAACAATAAGAGCGGCGCGCCGAACAACAACAACAACAACAATTCGACGACGACGACGACGGCAACCGCAGGAATCGTGTTGAGTACGCCGAACCGCCCGGAAATACGACGAGAACGACGCCCGACTCGGGACTAGGCACCGACGATCAGAAGACGTCCGCGTCTGGAGGACAGCCGCGAGCGCCGCCCGGATTTGTGAGTGCTCAGAATTATCGGAAGACGGAGGAAGAGGAGAAGGAAGAGTGCAGCATAATTTTTTTGTGTTTTTAACCATTTTTCGTCTGAGAATTGCAGAGAAATGCCTAAAAAATCGGCTAAAATCCCGAAAAATGTATTTTGCAAATATCAGATTTCCAAACGTAAAGCAGGTGCGGTTCTTCCGAATGTTACCGAAATTTCCAAAAAAAAATTGCTGAAACCTCGCAAAAATCGTACCCGCCAAAACATTTCTTCCGTCTAACCAATTTCATCCGCTTCGTCTCAATGGCCCAAAAAGCGCATAAATCTGCGGCGGCGGCGAATCCCACAATTAACATGTTCATTTTTCCATTCTCAGAGTCGCGGAGGAGTCAATCCAACGCATCTTCAACAGCAGCAGCAGCCGGCCCACTATTACCAGGGAACTCAGCCGATGCGTCCGCAACCGCAAGGCGCCCCCGGAATGGTCTACTACAATGTTCCGCCGCAACAACCACAACAACAGCAACAATATCAGCAGCCACAGGGACCGCCGCAGGACGGATACGATTACGGATACGAACAGGCCGGACCGCCCGGACGCCAATACCACAGAGTTCGTTTTTTCCCTTGATAATTGTGAAAATTCGCAAAATTCTACAAAAATCTATCAAATTTCATGTAAATGCATCTAAATTGGAGTTATTCTGGGTGAAATTGATGCATCTGAAAAGCTTGGGAGTGTCAAAGTGGGCAATTCGTGCCCAAAACCGGTTCTTTTTCATCTAATTTTTCTGCAGTATCCACAAGAAGGCGGCTACGACGACGGATCCGGCGTCGGAGGAGCCAACAACAACTTTGTGATCCACGGACCGAACGACGGATTCGACGGACGGTCATACAGTAATCCGCCGCCGCAGGCTCAGATGATGGGCAACGCCTACGAGATCGAACACTACCGTCAGGCGTCGGGACCGCAGCAGGGACAGTTTCCGGGACCGCAGGGACACGCTCAGTTCTACACGGGACCGGTGATCCATCAGGGACCGCCGCCGCAAGGGGGCTTTCCCGCACAATTTCAGAGAGGACCGCCGCCCCCGCAAGCCGGTGGACCGCCCCAACAAATGATTCCGATGATGCAGGCGGGACCGCAGCAGCAACAGCAGCAACAGCACCAGGCGGCCCCGATGATGTACGGACAGCAGGTGGTCTACACACCGATGTTCCTGCCGATGCCGGCGCCGGTGGTGGTCCGGCAGGCACCGGCTCAGACCGATAAGGGCGCCAACAAGGGGAAGCGGAACAGTCAGCAGTCGGAGCAGGAGACGGACGAGGCGGTTCCGCAGGTTCAGCCGTCGCCCCCGCAGCAACAGCAACAGCAGCAGCCGCAGGAGTTTGTGCCGAACCCCTATTGGAGTCATCGTCAGCAGCAGCAGCAGGCACCGATGGGATTCCAGGGAGGACCGCCGCCTCCGCAGACGTTCTCGCCGCAATTGGAGCAGCAGCAGATGCACATGCAACAACAGCACTTGCAGGTTCGAGTTTGAACTATTCTAACTAGGGAATGGCCTGCACTTACCTTGGGCTTTTGGAATGGGACCTATATGATTCGAAAGAGAATTTCACGGAGAATCCGAATCTGCTCTCCATTTTTGCTAAAGAGCACTGGCTGGCGAGAAAATCGCATCTGAAATTCCAGTGCTAAATTCATTTTTTAACATGTAATCTGCAGTTTGGTGCAGAGGGTGTGGGCGCCCGAGCGACTGTTGTTGTCACTCGCCCAGTTTCAGTGCTTCCGCAGCAGCTGGATGGTCGAATGGTTAGTGAGTTAGAGTTGTGAGTGGTAGGTATGGGGTTCGTGTCCGCGCTATGGAAAAGTTTTTGGCAATCTTTTGCTCTTTTTTTTCGAACAATTTCTGGATATCACTTTTGCATTTTTTCGTCATTATTTTTTTAACGAGTCGTAACTACTGACCCTTCAAAGTCCCGAAAAATGAATCTCGTCGCTCTGACTCCAGTACTCACTTTTTTCTGCCTGTTTCTGCCTCATTTTCTAGCAAGTTCATCTTCGGCGATCTGTATCTCAAGAACCACGCGTCCGTTGCAAAAGTGGTCAACTAGTAAGTTAACGCAAATTATCTCGTGAATAACTTTGTAGTTGATCGTCTATTTTTAAAAAAATTAGTTTTCGAGTTATGAACTGTTTTCCTAGAGCGACAAGAGCTGGGGTCAGAGCGACGATAACTCGAAAACTAATTTTTTTAAAAATAGACGATCAACTACAAAGTTATTCACGAGATAATTTGCGTTAACTTACTAGTTGAATACTTCTGCAACGGACGCGTGGTTCTTGAGATACAGGTCGCCGAAGATGAACTTGCTAGAAAATGAGGCAGCAACAGGCAGAAAAAAGTGAGTACTGGGGTCAGAGCGACGAGATTCATTTTTCGGGACTTTGAAGTTAAAAAAATAATGACGAAAAAATGCAAAAGTGATATCCAGAAATTGTTCGAAAAAAAAGAGCAAAAGATTGCCAAAAACTTTTCCATAGCGCGGACACGAACCCCATACCTACCACTCACAACTCTAACTCACTAACCATTCGACCATCCAGCTGCTGCGAAAGCACTGAAACTGGGCGAGTGACAACAACAGTCGCTCGGGCGCCCACACCCTCTGCACCAAATTGCAGATTACATGTTAAAAAATGAATTTAGCACTGGAATTTCAGATGCGATTTTCTCGCCAGCCAGTGCTCTTTAGCAAAAATGGAGAGCAGATTCGGATTCTCCGTGAAATTCTCTTTCGAATCATATAGGTCCCATTCCAAAAGCCCAAGGTAAGTGCAGGCCATTCCCTAGTAAGCTTCAAACGGGCAAAACTGAGGAATTTTCGAGCGAGCAGATTAGACTATTTTGACCCTAAATAAAATCGAATAAGACAAAAACGAAAAATTGGAATCAGAAGAACCACAATTTTCGTCTTTATTTTTCAGCAAATGGGACCGTACGGAATGGCAGCCGGAGGACCACCGCCGCACGTGATGCAGCACCCGCACATGCCGCAACCGCCGTATCCGGGCGCCTTCATGCAAATCCATCCGACTCACCAACAGCAACAGCCACGGCGCCCGCCAGTCGAACCACTCATGGGCGGCTTCCCGCAGCAGATGGTCGGCGGCGGCGGACGCGGAGGATTCGCGCCGAACGGAGGACCACTCCATCAGCAGGCTCTGCAGCAGCAGCTCCAGGCCGGAATCCCGCACCCGATGGGCTACTTTGGACAACCGCCCACGCAGCAACAACAGCAGGCGGGACGCGGAAGCGGAAGGGGACGCGGAAGAGGCGGAGGCGGCGGATGGAGAGGCGGAAATGCGAGTCAGAGCGGAAGCCAGGCGGAGTACAGTCACTCGCGACAGAACTCGAGCCAGAGCTACGATTCGCGGCACAGTTGGCAGGGAGGATACGCGCGTGGAAACGGACAATATATGGATCAGCAATATCATCAGCCGCAGCAGCACAACCATCCGCACCAGCATCCGAGCCCACCGATGATGGAACCGCAGCAGCAGCTGCAGCACGAGACGGAAGAAGTGACCCTCCTCGCGAATCGCATCGAACTCCTGCAGCCGGTGTCGACGGCGTCGAGATCCGGATCGCCGAACAAGCAGATGCTCCAACTCGTCGAGGCGGCAACGAAACTCGAGATCACCGAGACAGTCGAGGAGACGATCATTCTCGTCAAGAATCCGAGCCGCTCGGTGTCGCAGTCGCCGACCGATGGAACGGGGAAGAAAAGCAGAAAGAACCGGAAGAAGGAGCAGATTGTGCTGGAAGAGATCAAAGTGGACGAGGAGCCACCGCAACAGCAGCAGCAGCCGGAGAAGCAGGCCGAGAAGGAGGAGGAACACGTGGCAGATCCGGAGCACACGGAGCAACAGCAGCAGCAGCAGCAGCAGGAGAAGCCGGGAAGCGACGAGGAGGAGAAGGATGCGGCCTACTGCTACAGATGCGCGTGTCACGAAATGTCCGAGGAGGAGATACGATCGCACAAGTGAGCGCTTTTTTTTAAAAGGAAGAGTAGACGAAAATTGAAGGATTTCAGCTATTTGCCAAAGATTATTGCTCTAAAGTGGCGAATCGCTTGCATAATCGTACCTAAAGTTTTAGGTCCTAAACCCCGTAAAAATTGCAGCATCCGCAACGAGAAAGGCGAGTTGGAGTGCGAGCACATGCGTGCGCAGACGTGTCCGTTTTGCGGAATCACGGGCGCGAAAGGACATCATCCGCTGGTGTGCCCGAAGAAAAAGGAGGAGGAGAAGGCGGAGAAGTCGCGCGAATCGTCGGCGAATCGGGGAGAAGAGCAGCCACAGCTTCAGCAGCACGGAGAGCACGAGCACCGCGGCGACGAGCAGTACGAGGAGGAGCATCCGCAACATCCGATGCACCATCAGCGCCAGCAGCAGCAGCAGTACTACCAGCAGAAGCCACGCCACAACTCGGGAAGTGCCGGCGGAGGAGGACACCGCTTCAACAGCAACTACAACAACAGCTATCAGCAGCAGCAGGGCGTTGGAAACGGCAGCTTCCGCGGCGGAAAAGGACGCGGAAACTATGGAGGAACACGCGGATATCAGCCACGTGGAGACCATCGCGGCGGCGGAAGAGGACAAGGATCGTATGAGGTAAAAATGTTAGAAAAAAGACTAAATTCCACGAAAATGGCGATTTCCTGTAAAATTCTTCAAAATTGCAAATTTGTTCATAAGAAAGCGACTAATCCCTTGTCAGTTTTCAGAATAGAAGGCAGTGAAGAGATGTGCTCTACTCCTTCTTCTTCTTCCTCTCATTCATCGCCGTCACCGTCATCTCAACTCGACGCGCACGCAAAACGCACAAAAAGAAGACGATTGTGACAATGACAATACGATCTCTCTCTCTCTCTCTCTGCCCATTTTTGACCCGTTTCGTCCCACCCGCCTCATCCCAGTTTTCGTTCCGTTTCCTTTTTCTAAGCTTTAATTTGCCCCCTTCTCCCTGATTTTTGCGCGCGCGCACTGAAAACCACTAATTCGATTTGAATCTTTTGTTGTTGATTATTCTGTTGTTATTTTTGGTTTTTTGATTCCCCCATCTTTCCCCTCCACACTTTTCTCACTGCTCAACAGTGCTCTCGAATGTAATTCGTTGCCATGCCCACACATTTTTTTTTCTGAAAATATGCTCTTTTCTAGGTCCCCCATCCCATGCTCTTGATGAAAATCTGGAAAAAGTCTTTTTAAAAGTTACTTTTTCCCGATTCTTTCCCCCGTTTTTCCATTCCTTTTTTGTGTCTAATTTAAAGCCTCCCCCCCTGTCACACTTTATATATGAGCGCATAATAATGATAAACCCACCATAATAGAGTAGGGGGCGAGAAAAATAGTTTATTAGAAAGGCGAAAAAGTTTATCGGTGCCGGTTCCTTGCCGCCACCAGACCGCCCCTCTCACTGGCCCATTTATGCATTTTGCGTTCACGCGCCATCGCCCGCGCCTCAGCCTCGGATTCGTGGGCGGATTCGGCGGACGAGAAGCGGTCGGCAAAGGGAAGAAGTGGAATCGGGACACTGCAATTCCCATTTTCTGATATTATCCGATTCTCCCGGCAAGCCTTACCCGTTATCGTCGATGAACGCGTGGTGCTGGCGCGTTTTAATGGGCTCGCCGCGGAACGAGCCGATGTAGTGAGCCTGGAAATGAGATAGTGTAGGGACCGCTCTAGAGACTACTGTACCGATCGCATTCCGACGTCGGCGTCCGATGTACGAAAATCGGGAATACTCGTGCGCACGTCTTTTCGGTGTACTCGGTCCAGGAGGCTGAACGGCGAGATTGCTGAAAGATGGGGGGACTGGGAAAAGTTAGGCCAAGTAGAAAAGCACTGTCTAGTGTGGCCTAACTCGTTTTCAGTTGAAAAGTTAGGCCATCAATTTCATTGGGACTAGGTTGTGGGATGGCCTAACTTTTTCACGACTTTGGAAGTTAGGCCATGCCTTTCAATTAGGCATAAAGTTTAAACGCTTCAAAACCAAGCAGTTTCTTTTTGAGATCTTTGGGACTCGGCGGCCTAACTTTTCCCCTAATTGGAAAGTTAGGCCGCAACTTTCTCTATGACTAACCAGCAACTAGACTGTAGAGAAGGATCCAGAAAAAAGCGTTCACGCTTTGCGATATCATCCTTTAATGTTTGTGTTGCCGTCTGAAATTGGCTAAAATTTGGAAAATTTAAGGGAAAAAACAAAAACAACCAACTAGAATCGAGACTATTTTCGGTCCTCTTTTCCCATTTCATTTCATCTTTTATACTCATCAACTGACCGTTTTGATGATTACGAGAGAGTGCGAGAGAGAGAGAGAGAGAGAGAGAGAGAGAAGAATGCGTGTGATTTGATTCGGTTTTTGAGCGGTTTGATTTCTAGATTCTAGGCCAATGTTTGGAAGGCAAAGTTTTGGGGTGGGCCAACTTTGAACCGATATTGTAGAGTTCCGAGTGATCCAATGGTTCTGAAAATTGTTGAGGGTAATCTTGAGGTCTAGTAGAACATTCTTGCAGTTGAGCACTTTTTTCTAGAACCACTCCCCGGGGTACTGTAGCGCTTGGAAGTTGGGACTAGTCTAGAGCATGAGAATTTCATCCCTAACTTCCAAGCGCTACAGTACCCCAGGCAGTGGTCCTAGAAAAAAAAGTTCAACTACAAAAACGTTCTACTAGACCTCGAGATTACCCTCAACAATTTTCAGAACCATTGGATCACTCAGAACTCTACAATATCCGTTCAAACACAAGTGACAATGGACATGTTGAAAAGACCAGAAAAATCGTGTAACTACAGTAATAAACAGATACAGTAACCACTCGAGAGTCAGCAAAAGTGAAAGTTACAGTAACCCTCTCTAGGATTACGGTAACAAGAGCATTCCAGAAAAAAAAAACAGTTTTTTGAGACAAAAAACTTGAAAGCACTTTAAAATTAGTGTCGATTGGCAACAATTGAACGCAAGTGTTTTGACCAGTTCCAGACTCCGCCTACGCATTTTGTGTTCCCCAACAAATATTGTCCTTTTCATTGACCACTCATTTTCAATGCTTTTCCACAAAAAAACCGAAAATTTTCAGTTTTCAGATGATCTCTTCAACGTCTTTCGCTTTCCGACTCGTTCTTCTAATATTATCCGTCCACAATTGTTGGCCAACACCGTCGCACCAGCCAAGACGGCCCAATACCTATAAATGGCTCGCCCAGAACTCTTATCTCTGTGAGTTTTCACTTTGCTCGGCCACAATCATCAGTTTCAGGCGATCCGAGCCTGTTGAACCGGCGGTCCCATCGGTTTCTGGCGCCTCGGGAGGCGACGAGATTGCGGTGTTCGTGCGGGGATCCGTTGGTGACCAAGTCCGCGTGCGCGAGACGGAAAAGCAGCGAGAAACCGCGATGTTTCAGATGTGAGTGAAGGTTACAACAGTACCGGTCATTCAACGCGATTTATCTCAGCGGTGTGTAAAGATATCAGAAAGTGGTCAACTGAGAAAATGTGCACAATGTCTTTCTGAGCAATTTATCAGTTGACAACTTTTTGATATCTCTACCGACAGCTGAGATATAGCGTTTTGAATAATCGCTATCTGGATTAGGGTGGGGTGCGCTATTGTAGTTCATTTCTTTTGCAAATCAGGCCGTCGATTTTTAGGAAAGTTAGGCCACTAAGCGAATGGAAGAGGTTTGTGCAAAAGCTAGGCCACATACCTGGAAAGTTAGGCCACCAAGTGTTCGAGGGAAGTCTTTCTGAAAGAGAAAACTAGGCCATGGAAAGAAATTGTGCAAAAGTTAGGCCACCAATCGTCACGGCAGGGGTTTCTATGATGAAAAAGTTAGGCCATCGACTGGAAAAACTCGGTCACCGCCTCAATTACCATTTTTTCAGTGCCAGAAGCGTGTATCCAAGAATACACGGTGATATTTGCGAACGGAGGCAATCGCCTGTCCAGTAAGCCCATTTTTCAGACCCTTTCCAACCGAAATCCTTCCAGAACCACCCAAACTTGCCCGTCGTCGACCGACCGTATCCATTACCGCAAAACGGAGACCGACAGTAATCCAGAGGTTTTTCTGCACTTTTTTTTGAGGTTTTTGCACTATTCTGGTTTCAGACGACCACATAGAAAGCCGAAAATCGTGTCGAAACAGTGGGTGAACACGGTGCTTCGAGTCAAAAAGCCCACGAAACCCGGGAAATCGTGAAATTCCATTTTTTACTATAAATTTGTAAAATAAAAATTCAGAAATCGTTGTGTCGCACCCAACATCCGCTCGATTCCAGCGCTCTTGTGTAGGCCCCCGGAGAGCGGGCAGCCGTCGGCCTCGATAGCTCAGTTGGGAGAGCGTTAGACTGAAGATCTAAAGCACAGGTGAAATGCGGATTAAGCATATGCTTCAAATATGCTTATGCGCCCATATAGGATTCCTATGAATCCCATTTTGAAACATAGGGATCCTATATGGGCGCATAAGCATATTTGAAGCATATGCTTAATCCGCATTTCACCTGTGAAGGTCACCAGTTCGATCCTGGTTCGGGGCAATTCTTTTTTCCTTCACTTTTTGTGACACTTCGTGTAACCAATTTCTTTTTTCGACATCATCACAGGATCAAAAACCATTTAATTGAAGATATTATCAAATTCTGAATGATCTGGTCTCTCAACTTGGTTCCCCCAAACTGTCAAGACCAATCAGATTCGTGTCGAGACGAGTGAAGAACGATCAAGGTTCAAGGCAAAAAGCTTGCAAAAGACAATTGCCTCAAACCAGGATCGAACTGATGGCCTTTAGATTTTCAGTCTAACGCTCTCCCAACTGAGCTATCGAGGCCGAAGCCGGCCGCAGCTCCACAGGCCATATACGAAATCGCGCACGCGTAGGTGTCAAAGTACAAAAGTTTTTACACTTTTGCACGCCGAAAAAAACCTTGCTGATATTGTACATCTGCCAATTTATACAATTTATTTATTGTAATAGTCTCGAGAAAGGCAAGACATCGACCTGTTCTGGTTTAATAATGATAAAAAGTTGAGGTGAGGCAGGAGAGCGAAAAGAAGATAAACTTTTTATTACTCAAGTGTACGGTAGGCCATTTAAAGGCGCATCTGGTCGTGTGATAGTCTGATCTCTCACAAGAACGAATATTATATGCAAATCTCGTTTCGACAAGGTGAGAAACGAGACGAATCACTGTGACGCGCTTCATTTTTGACCTTTTCGCCGTCTATTCATCAAATTTCCAATTTCCAATCATATTTATATTGTCGAACAACTTTTTTGTGGTCTAGGCGTGGGCGGGCGCTCATGTGACCACCCTGTTATGATATTGTGCGTCTTTTCATCGAGAGAACGCGCATTTTATCACTTTTCTTCTTCTTTTTCCCCATTCCAAGTACGGTTTTTTCGGTTTCTAGGTCCGTGGCCTAACTTTTGAACTTGGCGGCCTAGAAATCCAAACTGCCAATTTTTTGCCTGTAATTCCACATGTCCTAGAAAACCAAATTGCCTCCAAAGTCCATCATAACCCGTTCGTGGCCTAGAATTCCGATTCGGTGGCCTAGAAAACCAAACTTCAATCAACCCGCATGGCCTAGCTTTCCAGCTGGATGGCCTAGAAACCCAAATGCCTCAAAAACACCTCCACGACCTAGAATTTCAACGCGATGGCCTAGGTTTACACTAGAATCTTCTCTTGGCCTGTCTGAAATCCTAGAAACCCCCCAGACGCTCAAAAACTACAGTAACCTCTTCCTGGCCTAGAATTCCAACCGGCTGGCCTAAAACCCGAACTCGTCCTCAACCGATAGTCGAAATTTTTGTCAAAAAACATTTTCGAAAACGTTGAAACGCGGTGAACCCGAACAAAGCCCCAATAATACAACCGGTAGGCTGTCGCCGAAAAATTTGCATAAAAACTTGTCACATTTTCAGTTTTCGACACTTTTTGCCAACTTTTTTTATTCGAAAATCGCTCGACGTACTGATAGGCGTCGTGGCAAACTGTCAGCGACAGTTCAAAATGTTCACCCAAATGACATGTGATCGTTGTGATCATCGAGACAACCAGAAAACCTAGACCGACAATATTTATTGTTGTTTCACGTTCGCCACTTCTTTCACATGTTTTCAAACATCACAACATATCCATTTTCAACTTTTCGACGAGGTGGAAATGAAATAAAAGTGATTGATCTCCTCACTAATTGCATGTTGTTCGATGGAGATGTCAAGATAATCGGGAAGGAACACGCGTCATTCGAGAATAAGGAAAGCTAGGCCATGGCCTAGAATCCGAGAGTTAGGCCACGCGTCAAAGTACATATCGCTCTCGTCAGCACTCCACTCTACTTCCTTTCCTCTAGACAAAAGAAAGAGGGTGTGTAACTAATCCCCCCCCCCATAAACACATCTCGCTCACAATTCTCTTCTCTTCATGACCATGTTCGGGTCTTGTGTTCATATCCGTCTCTTGGATCTGGTTCTTTTGGAGCTCTCAAGGGGGTCGGTGTGGCTCCGCGCCGCCTCTCTCAACTCGGCTCAACTCACAACAATCAAACATGATCTTTTTCTCGTCTTTTCTCTCCTCTCTGTCCACTACACTCCACTCCAATGTTTCTGACACGCTGCCGTTCTTGCAGAAGACATGGGTGTTAGCACGGAAAAGTCGTTGCGTCGCTGGCGGAGTTGGCTGACGAAGAACATGCTGCTGCTGATGACGCTGGCCGGGATAGTCGGAGGAGTGATAGTCGGAGGAGTGCTCCGCTCGGCCGAACCGTCTCCGGAAGTCATCCGATACGTCGGATTCCCCGGCGAGCTCTTCATGAACATGCTCAAAGCGATGGTCCTTCCGCTGATCGCGGCCAGTATCGTCTCAGGTAAGAATTGCATTAAAACTATCAAGAAGTACCCAATCCTCACACGTTCAGGCCTCTCCCAACTGGACGGCAAAACGTCGGGGCGTCTGGGCTCTCGGGCGGTGATGTACTACGTGCTGACGACGACGCACGCAGTCATCCTCGGAATCATCGTCGTCTCGATCATTCATCCCGGAGATCCGGCCATCAAACAGGGAATGGGACTCGAGGAGGGCGCGGCTGCCGACGTCTCCGCCGCCCAGAAGTTCCTCGACCTCTTCAGGTTCGTTTCCAGACCCCTGTTGGTGATAATCCTATCGTTTTGTTCCAGAAATGCATTCCCGGAGAACATAATGCGAGCGACGTTCTCCCAAGTGCAAACCGCCTACGTGAACCAGACGACCAAGCACGGAGCAGTTCTAAAAGTACCAAAAACGGAGTATGTCAACGGGATGAACGTGTTGGGTATGAAAGTACAGTAACCCCCGATTCAATCCAAATGTGCTCCAGGCATAATAGTGTTCTGCATCGTGATGGGTCTCGTCATCTCGCGACTCGGCGAGGAAGCGAAGCCCCTTGCGAATCTGTTCCACGCGCTCGACCTAGTCATCACCCGGATGGTGATGATCATCATGTGGCTCGGCCCGATCGGCATCCCGTCGCTCATTGCCCAGAAGATGCTGGAGGTGTCTGACCTGGCGGAGACGGCCCGCATGCTCGGCCTCTTCATGTTCACCGTCATCGTGGGCCTCGCCATCCAGGCCTTCGTCACTCTCCCACTGATCTTCTTCCTCGGCACCCGTCACAACCCGTACCGTTTCTTGCGCGGCCTCGGACAGGCGGTGCTGACGGCCCTCGGCACTTCCTCGAGTGCCGCCAGTCTGCCGGTCACCTTCCGTTGCCTCAACAAACTCGGCGTCGATCCGAGAGTGACCAAGTTCGTGTTGCCCGTCGGCGCGATGGTCAACATGGACGGGACGGCGCTCTACGAAGCGACCGCCTCCATCTTCATCGCCCAAATGAACGGCCTGGACCTGTCGGTCGGACAGATCGTCACCGTCTCCATCACTGCCACGTTGGCCTCCATCGGCGCCGCCTCGATTCCTTCCGCCGGACTCGTCACCATGCTCATCGTGCTCACCGCACTCGGACTCCCCGCCACCGACATTTCGCTCATTATCGCCGTCGACTGGTTCCTGTGAGTTGATCGAAAACCTTTATCTTTAAAGAGAATCGCGAAAAGTGACCGACCTTGTTCCGTCGAAATTTTCATTTCCGTTTTGGTGGTCAAGAGGCTGAAGGTCAATTTGATCAGAAGACCTTCAATTTTAGAGTCCTCCTCCACTTTTTTCATCAAAAGTTGGCCGTGTTCAGAGACCGCCTGCGCACGAGCGTCAACGTGATCGGCGACGCGTTGGGATGCGGATTTGTGCACTACATTTGTGCGGATCATCTGAATGCCGACGTGGCGGAGGCGGAAAAGAACCAGCAACACGTGGAGGCTCATGCAAGTGAACTTTTGCAAGGACTACGAATAGTTATTTCATTTCCAGGGCGTCAATTTTGACGAGCTCGAAAAAGAGTGCGCACAGGAGAACAACAACGACGGAAGAGGTGTGGAGCACGTGTGATGCTTCCGATTCGACTCGATCCGCTTGAACAAATGTACATTAGGCGCCTGAAATCTCTAGCATTTTCGCCCCCCCCTCTCACGCACCTTTCCGGTGACTTTTACCGACTTTTCCATCTTCGTCTTCTCCATCAGCTTTAATATTTTTGCACAAAGTTTCGGTTTGTTAATAAATTTCTTTTTTTTTTGATGTTTGATGGAGAATAAGTGAAGCCGCGAACTAATCCGCCTAAAAATTTGCATAACGTTTTTCGACTCGATGCTTTTTTTCCAGAAATCTAGCCAGAAATCAGCAGTTTATACGTGTAATAGCTACCGCATCTTTTCGGGATCACTGTCGCTTTCATTCACTTTCTATAGTAACCATTCAGAAGAAATGTGCCGCTGGCGGAGTTGGCTGACGAAGAACATGCTGCTGCTGATGACGCTGGCCGGGATAGTCGGAGGAGTGATAGTCGGAGGAGTGCTCCGATCGGCCGAACCGTCTCCGGAAGTCATCCGATACGTCGGATTCCCCGGCGAGCTCTTCATGAACATGCTCAAAGCGATGGTCCTTCCGCTGATTGCGGCCAGTATTGTCTCAGGTGAGATTCTTATTAAAAACTATCGAGAAGTACTCAATCCTCACACGTTCAGGCCTCTCCCAACTGGACGGCAAGACGTCCGGGCGTCTGGGCTCTCGGGCGGTGATGTACTACGTGCTGACGACGACGCACGCAGTCATTCTCGGAATCATCGTCGTCTCGATCATCCATCCCGGAGATCCGGCCATCAAACAGGGAATGGGACTCGAGGAGGGCGCGGCTGCCGACGTCTCCGCCGCCCAGAAGTTCCTCGACCTCTTCAGGTTCGTTTCTTGAGATTCGGACAAAAATTGTTGCTGTTTTGTTCCAGAAATGCATTCCCAGAGAACATAATGCGTGCGACGTTCTCCCAAGTGCAAACCGCCTACGTGAACCAGACGACCAAGCACGGAACAGTTCTAAAAGTACCAAAAACGGAGTATGTCAACGGGATGAACGTGTTGGGTATGAAAGTACAGTAACCCTCCGATTCAATCCAAATGTGCTCCAGGCATAATAGTGTTCTGCATCGTGATGGGTCTCGTCATCTCGCGACTCGGCGAGGAAGCGAAGCCCCTTGCGAATCTGTTCCACGCGCTCGACCTAGTCATCACCCGGATGGTGATGATCATCATGTGGCTCGGCCCGATCGGCATCCCGTCGCTCATTGCCCAGAAGATGCTGGAGGTGTCTGACCTGGCGGAGACGGCCCGCATGCTCGGCCTCTTCATGTTCACCGTCATCGTGGGCCTCGCCATCCAGGCCTTTGTCACTCTGCCCCTCATCTTCTTCATCGGCACCCGCCACTACCCGTACCGTTTCTTGCGCGGCCTCGGACAGGCGGTTCTGACGGCCCTCGGCACTTCCTCGAGTGCCGCCAGTCTGCCGGTCACCTTCCGTTGCCTCAACAAACTCGGCGTCGATCCGAGAGTGACCAAGTTCGTGTTGCCCGTCGGCGCGATGGTCAACATGGACGGGACGGCGCTCTACGAAGCGACCGCCTCCATCTTCATCGCCCAAATGAACGGACTGGACCTGTCGGTCGGACAGATCGTCACCGTCTCCATCACTGCCACGTTGGCCTCCATCGGCGCCGCCTCGATCCCTTCCGCCGGACTCGTCACCATGCTCATCGTGCTCACCGCACTCGGCCTTCCCGCCACCGACATTTCGCTCCTCTTACTATTGATTGGTTTTTGTAAGCGAAAATTAAAGGAAGAAATTGAGAAGTGTTTTGAGGGGCCGCCTACGCACGAGCGTCAATATAATCGGCGACGCGTTGGGATGCGGATTCGTGCATTATTTGTGCGCAGATCATCTGAATGCCGACGTGGCGGAGGCGGAAAAGAACAACGCTGTCGTCGAGGTTCATGTAAAAAACGAGATTTTCCGTTGCTCACTGAAAATTCGCATTTTTCAGGGCGTAAACTTGGAGGAGCTCGAGAAAGAGTGTGCACAAGAGAATCACAACGATAAAAGAACAGTAATAGATGTCTAATATCAGCGATTCGTTAAAAATGGTGCAGTTTCGCCAGAGCACAAGCATTTTCTTCTATTTTTCTTTATTTCTCTGCCCCGATGAAAAATTAATAGAAAAAAAACATTTCAGTGAATTTTCAATGTATTTCTGTCATTTTAACCTGAATAAATTATTTCTCATGCGTCCTTAGCACACGGTGATTCTTTGCGAGGGTGTAGTGAGAAACCCGCCGCGAACTCGGCCACCATTCAAAGAAGGGGCGTGGTCTTGCGCAATTGCCGCACGCAATTTTGCAAGTTTGGCGCGCGCGCTTTCTGTTTAGCCGCAATTGTTTCCGACAGCATTTTGAAGACGTTCTTACTGCTTTTCAGGAATATTACACAGCGCTGTTATTGGTTTTTGCTGTTGGCAATTTTTCTCTGTCGATAACAATTACTAAAAAATAATAAAGCTTCTATAAACTGCGTTCTTTCATGTTTGAGATGAAAAAAATACAAAAACTCAGCCGAAAAACAAGCATTAATTGACAGAGAACAAGCGCTAAAATATGAAACAAGCGCGAAATTCGTGAAAAATTCCCCATGGCCGAGTTTCTTCGGTTCGGCCTCCTGGCCTAACTTCTGGCGTGGCCTAATAATTTCTTGTTCAGCCGGGGGACTCGGCGGAAACCGTGGCCTAGTACCACGGCCTGCGACCCCGGGCCAAATGGACTAGAATTTTCCTCGTCACCCTCGCAAAGAATCACCGTGTAGCAGGAAAAGCTGAAAACCTGAATTTAAAAGCGCGCCGAAAGTTGTTTGTACGGTGGAGCGCACTTGCTTACCGCCACTCGGCGTCGATTTCTCCGTCGATTCTCGCCGTTTCATCGCCGATTTCAGCTCAATTTCTATCGTTTTTCCGCATTTTTCAGTAAAAATCTGTCAAAAGATAATAATTTGATCATTTTCCAGTAATGGACCCCACATATTACGGCCATGACGGCGAAAATACGCGGCAACGGTCGAACAGCACCGCCGGCGGGCCTCCCGACGAACAAAACGGACAGTTTGGCGTGCAAGCACAACTCGGAAAGATGGTTTTACTCGATTTCCATTGTATTCTAGTCTAAAATGCGTTTTTCAGATGTGGGAGGCCGGATCGAAGCAAGTTCAAGACACTTTCAAGTCCTACGGCCGGATAGACCTATTCCGGCCGTATTTCGACGTGGAACCGGCGGAAGTACGTGATTTAAGCCGAATATCGAAGAAAAACTTGATTTTCAGGTCAGAACGCGATTAATTCGCTCATTTATCCCTCGGAAACCGTCTCAAATTCAAGTTTCGCCCGATTTGTACGGTCCGTCGATGATCGTCCTCACAATGGTTGCTCTGCTGCTGTATAACATGAAAACTAGCGGGTAAATTGAGAAATAGAATCGAACATCGAAAACATTAAAAAAATATTGCTTCAGAATCGTGATTCAAAACGGAACTCTGATGGGAACGGCCATGTTCACCTGCTTCGGCAGCTGGATGCTCATTTCTGGAGCCATTTGGGTCGCCTGTTTCTTGTTGGCCGCCGAACAGCCATTCCTCACCATTTTATCCACGTTTGTGAGTGATTTATACAGTGAAAAACTCTTGTGCTCGTATTAAGTGCTCTCGTTATTCAATTGAGACAAAACTAGAAGATCATAGCCCATAGAAGTAATGGAGACACTTGGGGCAACCTGACAACCTCCAATCTAGTCATTAGTGAACTTTTTAAAAATTAGAGTTTCAGGGTTATTCGCTGGCGTCGCAGTGCCTCGTGCTCCTGCTCACTTCACTTTTCCACTCATCTCACGACCACCTCTTCTTTTTCGTCCTTCTCGCCTCGTTTTGCGCACCTTCCGCCCTTCGAATGGTAATTTTTGCAATTTGATTTTTTTCCAGTCATTTTCTCGATTTTCAGGGTCTAATTGTGTGCCAACAGTCGCGGATCCCGGCCAATCGGCTCATTTTGATCGGATTCGCAATTGCCGCCCATTTATTGCTCATCATCTACCTCCATTTCGGATTTCACGTCGTTTTGGAAGGTACAAATGGATTTCCAGAAATTTCCGCATTTTTTATCTTGCAGAACTCGACGAAATTGTGGGCGATGCGATCGAAATGCAAGTCGTTCAGGACAGCCTTTCCAATGCATAATATCTCCTTCTTTTCCTAAAAATCTAATTTTTGTTCAAATTCTATCGCTTCCATTGTGATTTCGCTCATCTAACACGGGATTATTTATTCGTTCGTTTTTCGCAAACGCTAGATTATCGACTTTTCTTTTGAAAGGTTTTGAAAGCCTTGTCTCTATACTTTTACGCTTCTTTTTTAAGGTTATACATTTCAGTCAATTTTTGTGCAGAAAATGTCTGTGATCAGCGAGCATCAAGTGCAATTGGCCAGCTTTGAGCCGATTGAGAATTGCGTGAAATCCACGTGTCCAGGTAGATTTTCCCAAAAATGTTTGCCCATGCATTGTTTTTCAGGTTGCAAAGCGAGCCGGATGTATTTTTGCTACGATTGCCGCACACCAATGCCCGGAGTGTTCACGCCGAGTGTCAAAGTAGAATTTTTGCGAATTTCGGGGAGAACGAGAAAAAAATTTACACGAACCAGGCTTTTCGAAGGCTTTGGATCCACTTGAAATAATCGGATCGGGTTCAGACTTTACAGACTTCTTGTACTTGCATTGAAGTATCTTGGGTCCAAGTTTCAAACCAATCGGATCATCTGGTCCTCAGATATCCGGTGTTTGCGGCATTGCGGCCTCTGATCCACTTATCTAGGGAGCCGATAGTTCGATCGGACCTCAATCAAAGTTCAAGAAGCCTGTAAAGTTTGGGCCCGATCAGATCGTTGAAAGTGGGTCAAAAGTCCAGGCCAGCCTTTTGCCCAGCCCTGACTGAAAATAAGAAATATAAAATGGACAATATTCTCAGTAAAAATAGTATAGAAATTTTATTAAATTTGCAGCTGCCCTGTCAGGTGGACATAATCAAGCATCCGATGGAGAAGAACAGTAAATCCAGCGCGCTCCACTGCAAAATCGTGGCGCCGGAGCAGACGAGAGTAGGCGAGACGGCCTGAAATTCCCTTATGGCCAAACTTATGCAGGTTTTTGATCATCCCGACGTGCACGATTACCGCGAGGATTCGGAGGAGGTGCGCCAAGGGACCGCCGTCATTTTCCCGTCCGAATCGGCCATTTCCGTGGAGGAATTCGTGCGTAGGCGGGGCCCGATTCGACGGATTATTGTGCTTGATTGTACGTGGTTCCAGGTCGGAGTCATGCAGAAAACACCCGAAATTCAAGGTTTGTAGAGGGGAGAAGTGTACAAAATCGTTGTATTTCAGGACTGCAGCACGTGTCGCTGGGCTCGTACCGTACCGCGTTTTGGCGTCCGCAGCACAATGTGCCCGAGACGGGTCTCGCCACGATCGAGGCGATCTACTATTCGTTGCGCGAGCTGGTCGAGTTGGGTCTCGCACGGAAGTACGGCGGCGAGTTCGACAACCTCCTCTACTGGTTCTTCCACACGAAACACCTGGTGGACGCCCGCCAAAACGAGTATTTGCGACGGAACAACGCGGAAAATCGATAATTTTTGAAATGTTCCTGTTTTTTGTTATTTTCTCACATGATTTGCATTGCATGACCGGTCTCCCCAGATTACGTTTTTCCCCCCTTTTTTTCCTCCCGACAAAAAGTGAATAATCCGTCGATTTTTGCGCTCGAAATTGTTGCGGAAACAATTTGATATCTCATGATTTTAATTGTCGTTTACCGATTTTTATTGAACTTAAAACTTGCAGCAGCAATGTTGAAGCCGTTGTTCGGAAAAGCGGATAAAACGCCGGCCGACGTGGTGAAAAACTTGCGCGACGCTCTTCTCGTTATCGATCGGGTAGGAAAATTATCGTTAGAACTCCAAAAAGAGCATCGGATTCTAGGCCAACTTGGCCAATTTGCGACTTTCGATTACTGTCCCTATAAAAAAACGTGTTCATTGCAGCACACCTCGTCGCAAAACGAGCGTAAAGTGGAGAAAGCGATCGAAGAGACGGCGAAAATGCTGGCGCTGGCAAAGACGTTCATCTACGGATCTGACGCGAATGAGCCAAACAACGAGCAGGTCACCCAGCTCGCCCAGGAAGTCTACAATGCAAATGTGCTGCCGATGCTCATCAAGCACCTCCACAAGTTCGAGTTCGAGTGCAAGAAGGACGTCGCGTCGGTGAGCGCCTCTTTTTCTCGATTTTTTCCGTAAACTCCTCATTTTGAGGTGTTCAACAACTTGCTCCGCCGTCAAATCGGCACCAGATCGCCGACCGTCGAGTACTTGGCCGCCAGACCCGAAATTCTCATCACTCTTCTTCTCGGGTCAGCTTTTTTCCAGGGTTGATACGGAACAACATCTCGCCGGTAGCCTCCTCCCATCCAAATTCGCATTTGCAGATACGAGCAGCCGGACATTGCGCTGACGTGCGGCTCGATGCTGCGAGAGGCGGTCCGCCACGAACACCTCGCCCGAATCGTGCTCTACTCGGACTACTTCCAGCGCTTTTTCGTGTTCGTCCAGTCGGACGTGTTCGACATCGCCACCGACGCCTTCTCGACTTTCAAGGACCTCATGACGAAGCACAAGAACATGTGCGCCGAGTATTTGGACAACAACTACGATCGGTTTTTCAGTACGTTTTCCCCCTTTTGTTTAAAAGACCAGGAAAGCCTTCGAGTTTATGTGTCTGTCTAAATTGCTTCTGTCCGAGTCCCAACGCGCAGAAATGCCAATGGACGGAACAGCGCTTTTTTAAAGTTTTGGCAGTGGCCTACAAAACTCCTTGGTCATTGGACGGCGCCAAACATTCACAAAAATCAGCAGCCATAAATAAATAGAGCAAGAGAATCCAACTGCTAACAGGGAAGAGTTTTCACACCCGAGTTTTCTATGCCACCCACGGCCACAACTTTAATGCTGAAAAAGGAGAATTGAATTTTTTTTTTGCAGGCCAATACGCGGCGTTGACCAACTCGGAGAACTACGTGACGAGAAGACAGTCGCTGAAATTGCTCGGAGAGCTCCTCCTCGACCGCCACAATTTCAGGTAGCAAAGTTTTTGAGAGGAACATGTTGAAAAGTCAAGTTGAAAATGGAGATTTCTGAAAGAGAAGAAGACATTTCAGCGAGATAGCATTTTATTTTTCTAAAAACGGGTTTTGCAGCACGATGAACAAGTACATCACGAGTCCGGAGAATTTGAAGACGATTATGGAGTTGTTGAGGGACAAACGACGCAATATTCAGTACGAGGCGTTCCACGTTTCAAGGTTCGCGCATTTTCCTGCAAAACGTATTTCGTTGTTCAGATTTTCGTGGCGAACCCGAACAAGCCGCGCCCGATTACGGACATTCTGAATCGGAACCGCGACAAACTCGTCGAATTCCTGACCGCGTTCCACAACGACCGCACCAACGACGAGCAGTTCAACGACGAGAAGGCCTACCTGATCAAGCAGATCCAGGAGCTCCGCGCTTAACTTTTCCGCTTTCTCTCTCTCTCTCTCTCGACGCCCCCGCCAACTTTTTCCCCTTCATTATAGCTTTGTGTAGTGCATCCTCTCTAAACAACTCGCGCTTTAGGCATTGATCTGTACCGTCTTTCCCACATAATCACCCCCGAAAAAATGAATGAAAATCATGTAAAAATTAGCCACGGCCCCCTCCTTTTCCCCCTCGAGACCCGTTCTACGGTTAGTCCCCTCTCCCCTCCCGTCCCCTCCACTCCACTTAAATTATGATGGTTTTGACCGTATTTCTCTTGTATTTTACTCCTCAACTATTATTATTATTCTCAACTCTCTGATTCTTTTCCTTTTTTTCTTCTTTTCCTCTCGGATAAACTTGTCGCTTTATTTCAGGGAAAACACTGGGCGTGACCATTCCAATCACTACCCCATTTGCTTTTTTATTTTCCAAAAAAAAAATGCCCTCGGAACCGAATCCAGAAGTCATTCAAACACAAATGATGGCAAGAATGCTTCAAGAAAAGGCGAACAATGACGGGAAATTGAGAGCCCGACTCCGCGAGCGAAAAATACCGAAAAAGAGCGCGCCTGAAGTGCCAAAAATCGATGAGGAAATCGTCGAATCGATGCGACTGCTGATTCCGGCGGTTTTGAGAGTAAGTGTGCTTTATCGAACGCACAGTAAGCCAATGTTCAGCTTTACACCTCCTCACCGTCTTGGCTCATTCGTGACCGTGCTCTCGAATGTCTCCGGCTGGCACAAGAGAAATTGGGAAAAGAGTTTGTGAAAGAACACCTTGAAGCCATTTCCGACGAGAAGAGAACTGTTTTGGAGCGTGCTCTCTTGTAAACTGCGATTTTTATGGATTTTTACGGATATTGCGCGCACGGTCTCCAGAGCTGACAATATGGGCGTGGCCTCGGCGGCCAAATGGCGTTTTCACATGAATTGAGCAGGTTTTCTCTGATTTTTGCCGTCAAAGGCGATGAAAAATGCATGTTCGACATGAAACCACACTAATTCTCACAGAATTAATGACGCATTTTTCGCGGATTTTGCTTTTTCGCCTTCGCCGCCTAAAAACCGCACTTCTCATTTTGCGCTTTCTTGACCGTTTTCCGACAGAATTGGTTTTGAGAATGATAAATCACGTAAATACAAGCATTTTTAGCGCTCGAACCGCGAAAATTACCGAAAAGCAACTGAAATTCACGCAGTTTTAGCCCAAAAACCTTCAAACGGATAAATGTGATTTGCGACTTGACCAAATTTAACGCTCTTGTGCTTAAAAAATTCGTAATTTCCTATACAATCGGTCTATCGAGAGAAAAATGAGAAATTATCCGTTTTTCGTGGCTAATCCGGCAAAAAACACAAATTTTGCTGTTAAAATTTGAATTTCGCGCCAATGTATCGCTCTATTAGGCGGGGCGCACTTGCGCGCCCATTGTCAGCTCTCGAGGCCGTGCTAGGCGTACATTTGTGTGTGAATGAATGCGTCTTTATTCAAATCAATCAATGATCAGACATCATCCCATCCTCGACTTGGGTCCTCGACTGCTGACAAGCACGCTTCTCGTCGACGCGTTCCGTACCGCTTCGCGAGCCTTGACCTTCACCTCTCGCATCGCGGGCTTCAGAATTTCAAACGAGATGACGAGGTTCTCATCGACAATCATCACGCCCGCATTGTTGTCAAACTCGCCACAATACTTGGGCGCCGAGAAGATGGTCACCAAGCGTTTGTTGGCGAAAAACTCGTAGCCATCCTGCACGACCTGGTGTCCGCGCGCGATCAAATCAATGTTCATCTTGTCGGTAAAGTCGCGGACGACGTCGGCGCCGAACACGTACGAGACTCCACGTGTATTCTTCGCCCATCCGTTCATATTGTTCTCCGGGTCCGCCCACAGCAAATCCATCGCGATCGACTTGTTTGGCGGGTCGAACGGGCGCTTGATCGCCGCCAACTGCTTCCACGACTCGAGTTGCGGGCTCAGACCGCCGTGCATACAGAATATGCGGCCAGAGATGAGGGCGCACAGGGGGAGCGCGTTGAACAGATCCTAAATCACAACTATTGTACAACCCAGTCTCCGCAAATGTTCACAATTGTCAAACCTGAAACGCATTGTACAAACTGAGCGAATATCTCCGTTTGCACTCGTCGTAGAATCCGTAGGTACGGTTGATCGACGCGCACTCGTGGTTGCCGCGCAGAATGAAAAAGCTGTTCTTGTAGCGGATTTTGTAGGCCATCAGCAGGCAGATCACTTCGATCTGTTGCCGTCCCCGATCGACGTAGTCGCCGAGGAAGAGGTAGTTGGTGTCCGGCGGGAAGCGGCAACGGTTGAAGATCCGAAGCAGGTCGACGTACTGGCCGTGGATGTCGCCGCAAACCTGGAAGTTTATATTCTAGGTCATAATGGTCCCGGTTTTTCAGTCTGTCGCCTAGCTTTTGCGTACCGCGATCGGCGACTGCACCTCGACCATCGTCGCCTGATCGAGAATGACCTGCGTGCACATCTGAATGACTTCGTCAATCTCGGCCTCCTTGATGCAGTGCGTCAGCGACGGATTCGTTGTGTCATTCACTGGAAAGCGGTGCACTTTTCTCGCACAGCTCTTGCCAAAAAACGACTACCTGACAAAAGTCGATCGATAAAGCTGGGTATGTTGGCCATTGGTTAGTAGAGAGATGGTTGAGAGAAAGTGGTTAGTCGCGAGTGGTTAGTCGAATATGAAATGAGCATTTTTTCCGGCGAATTTTTCGTTTTTTTTAGCGCCCCCCACCCCGGGGTGAAGGGAGATGGGTTTCAATGATAAGGCGCCACGTGGAAATGGAGGGGTCAGTGGGGGTTTACAGAAGAATTGCGCGTGTTCTTCTATATATTGTTGCCAGCCACTTTGTTCAATTGGATAATATTGAACATTGTCCAGCTCTCCCTCTTCGTCTCCCCTACATATTGTTCAAAAAAACCACTAGACGAATGTTATGCAAATCGTGCGCTCTGTTCGTTTTCGGCCGCCGGAAGCGCACAATGGTGATTAGCACCCGAACATGATGTCAAGTGGCGACGGCGGTCTTGTGCTGCACACCACAAAGAGCACACACACACACACATTCCGACGACGACGACGATAGCATGTCGGATTGAAACCCGATCCACTCCGGGGCGGTACGTCCTGTGTGTGTGTGTGTGTCACATTGGACACTTCCACCACTTCAAACTTGTGTTTGGTGGAGAGGGGGTCGGTAATGATGATGATGATGATGATGAAGAGGAGTTGCGCAATGAGCCGCGTGGCTGTCAAGAACTGACAATAAGTGTCAGGGGACTGCTGGGACCAACTTGATCCTATCTGGAAGTTTGCAAATCAACCAGGAATCGCGGTATAGGTGATAAACGTGATCCTACAATATCAAAGTCTTTTCATACTACCCTATGTTCCCTGCAGATCAAACGAGCTCCGCTCTATCATCTGCACAGTTCAAGTGTACCTGACACCAATTATCCCTCTCGCTAGCGTATTGTCTTCCCCGTTAATCCTACAATACTCATTACACAACTCCTCACTTTTGCCTCCCCCCCCCTTCCCTCTTTCTCTCTCTCTCTCTCTCTCTCTCTCTCTCTCTCTCCCTCTTCAGCTTCCGCTTTAAAGGAAGCCGATGCGAAAGAGTACGGTAGATACAAGTGGGCGGAGCTTGAGCTTAGGCTCGGGCTCTTCGCGGCTCACGGTTAGTCACTCATGGCTTCTCAACAAACGACGACGTTGTCGCAAGAGCAATTGCTGCACTTTTGGGGTGAGTATTCGGATATTGTAGACTTTCAAGACTAATCTCTGTGCATTTCAGGCGCTCACAACAATATGGGTAAGATGACACGACGGAATTCGCACTCGGACGGAAGTTCGAAGCCAGCTGGCAGTAATAGCGGAGGTGCTGGCACGAAACCAAAAGTAAGGGACGGGAGGAGGGGTTACGGTAGTTCGTAAAGTGCGGCACAAGTGCTACAGTAATCCTAAACTTCCACTTTGATTCATAATAGTTCGGGAGGATTTTGAAGGTCAACGTGTAACTACAGTAGCCCTATGTACCAGGAAAGTGAAGTTACTGTCATCCTACTTGGTTTTAGTTCAAGTTTTGCTATGAATCTACTACTAGAGTTTCTGAAACGTACAGTAATCCTTCATGGACCTTTAGTTTGGTAAAACTACAGTAATCCCCAACAAAAAGTTTTCAGGTAGCGACGCCTCAAGTAGTGGCCAAAATCGAGCAGTACAAACGCGACAATCCCACCATTTTTGCCTGGGAAATACGGGAAAAACTCATCAATGAAGGTGCCGATCATTTTTCGGGCCTACAATAATATTATCAATATTTTGCAGAAGTGTGCACTACACCGCCTTCCGTCTCCTCGATCAACCGAATTCTACGCACCAGGGCCGCTGAAAGAGCCGCCGAAGAGCTTCAAATGATATTGTCGGCACAACATTTGGCGCGTCCGGCAGTTCGTCCTCAGCCCGGATCCCGGATGATCCATCCGGGACTTCCGCCGTTTCCGTTCCCGCTGCCGCTCGTCTGGCCCGGATTGCTTCCGAATCCCGCTCAACTTTCGTTCCTTTTGAACGGAGTTCCTGGATTGGTGGCGCCGCCTGCTCAGCTATCGAGTGATCCGAACCTGAACCAGAATTTGAACCTATCCGAGGATGATTCTGCCGGCGCCAACTCGAGAAGACTGTCTAGAAGCACGTTTAGCAATGGTAGGGTAAACGAGAAAGTTGGCTATCTAGGATTACTGTAGATCTACTTGCAGAACAACTGCAATCCCTGGAAGAAGTGTTCGCGCGCGAGCCCTATCCAGGACCCGCCGAACGCGCGGATCTCGTCAAACGGACCAATCTGCCCGAGGCCCGCATCCAAGTATGGTTCTCGAATCGTCGCGCGAAATGGCGAAAGACCAATTCGAGCGAACGGGATGAGGGACGCGCCGAACGATCGGAGACGGACGACGCGATGAGCACGACGAGCCAGTCGCCGACTCCGGGAGCCGAGGGAGCCGCCACGCCCGGAGCCACGACTCCTCGCGTCGAGGGAAGTGCTTCGGAGGTGCAGCAGCAGCAGCAGAAGAAGAAGACGTTCACTATTTTCAAGCCCTATGAGTGATGATTTGTGTGCATTTGTTTCAATAAAGTATGGATCTGGCCTAAACCCAGTTGGACTATAGGCCCTTTTGGCCTGAGATTCTCAATTTCTCTTGACCTTTCTATTTTTGCCACTTTCGGACGCTACAGTAACCCGACTAGTACGGTAGTACTGTAACCATGGCGCAAACAATTGCCCAGATGCAAACAATCGCCGTCTCCTTCTCGCCTTTTGTCTCGCCACACACACATTTGCCCCGCTCTTTGCAACTTATACGGTAACGGATACGGGAGGATCCCGGTGGATCCGAGGATCGCATTTCAAAGAGACACATTGATTTGGTGCGCGAGCAAGTGATACTCTTCGCGTGTTATTGTTGAGCACCGCCGCGCGCAAAGCACCCGTTTGTTTGTTCACTTTTTGGAGCGAGCGAGCGAGCGGGAAAGGTGTGAATGAGTGGATGAACAAGCGGATACTCTAATAGAAATCGGTCAGACAATAGCGGAAAGGCGTTTCGGTTTTTCGCGGCTAGACCCCCCGTTTTTGGTAGTTGGTCTCAGATCCCTCTATTAGCCTTCTGACTAACATTTGGGGCCATCAGAATTGTACTTACACATCACAAAGTTACACTTTGTTGAGCGAACGCTCAAGGATCACAAATGACCTAGTCTTTCCGAGCCAACACCGGGTTTCCATGGAATGAAAATGATTTATTGGTTGACAAAAGTGTACATGTGCAATATTATCGTCTTCACTGATTCTGTCCGTTTCCTTGCTGAGCCTGTTGTTGTCCTCCGAATCCGGCCTCTCTCTTTCCGTAATATCCGTAGCCACCGTAGTACGGATATCCGTATCCATAAGCGCTACCGTATCCGTAGTACGAGGATGGATAATATCCGTATCCGTATCCATAGTACTGCGCTTGAGTTTCGGTGACCGCGCAGAAGAGGACGGCGAGCGAGATGAGGATGAAGCTGGAATCGGACAATAATTGGAAAGCTACAATATTTGAGGACTTACAGCTTGGCGTTCATGACTGACAGTTTGTTGAAGCAGATAATATGTAGATGATCTGATGAGTTGTGCGAAAAAGTTTCCACTTTTATACCTTCCCGCTATTGTTTGATTAACTGATCGTTGGCAGTGGCAAGAGTTTCGTTTTCTCTGGTTTGACACTTAATGCGCCAAAGTTCAAAGTATTATAGATCTCTCGAAAAAGTTTGGATTGGCAGGATTGGGTCAGTTTATTAAGTCAACAATACTCTATTCTAGGCGGGTATAAAAGCGTACCGATCTTCTCAATGATACTTTCAAACCATGAACGCCAAGCTGTAAGTCCTCAAATATTGTAGCTTTCCAATTATTGTCCGATTCCAGCTTCATCCTCATCTCGCTCGCCGTCCTCTTCTGCGCGGTCACCGAAACTCAAGCGCAGTACTATGGATACGGATACGGATATTATCCATCCTCGTACTACGGATACGGTAGCGCCTATGGCTACGGATATCCGTACTACGGTGGATACGGTTATTACGGAAAGAGAGAGGCCGGATTCGGAGGCAACAACAACAGGCTCAGCAAGGACATTAATGCTATAAATATTCATGACAAATTCGTTTTATTATTGTTCATCGCCGCACTCCATCGATTCGTCACAAACTTTGCCGTTTTTCCGTGTCCAAATCCGCTCGTCTGCTTCTCCAGATCGAAAATTCGATGCGGTATTTTAGGAAGCCTGTCTTGTTCCATATTCCGGCTAAGGGAGTCCACTGACAAGTCTGGAATTGTAGACAATATTCATTTCAATGGCTGCTAACCAACCATATCTGGTCGCGGCAGTTGGGTTGGTGATCTGAGCTTGTAGGGGGAATAGCTCAGAGATCGACGTCTCCAGCTCGTCCAAGGCGTCTTGGTCATTCCGATGATTGTTGCTGACGTGGCAGACATGTCGGAGAGGAAGGTTCGGAGGAGAATCTGAGTTTCTTCTAGTGCTGGCCTAACTTTCGCGCCTACCTGTCGATGAGTCATTCCCTTGTGCTTCGGGTCCTTCTTCAACACATCCAACCGATCGATGCTGATCAACAATCTGCTCTCCTGTCGTGCCAACTTCTTGATAACCGTGTAAATCCTGCGCTTCGCGAGGTTCACCACATTCTTCGAAATGTGGACGTGAGTCACGAAGCAAGCGCGTGCGATTCCCCTCGCCCACGCAGTTTTGCCAGAGTTTGAGAGCCCGGAGAGCAGGAGCCGACGGCCCGGCTCTTTGCCAGACTTCCACGTGGCAACGGCCATGGGGATGCACACGGTGCACACTAGAAACGAGCGGAGATCAAAGTGAAATTGACGAGCGTCGATTCGGCACAGCTCTTTTTGCGAGACCAGCTCATGGAGCTCGATGGCGGCTAACGGAGAGACAACTCCACGAAAACACGCGTCTCGGAACGCGTTATCCGTGTGCTCTTTGAGCCTTAACAATTTGGCGGGATCTGGAAGCTCGCCAGTGGACGAGGCCAGAAAGAACTGAGATTTGAGAAGGTCCAGACACGCTTCGAGGCTCGACGGCTAGAAAAACACGTGATATTGTCGCTTTCTGGATTTGCGTACCATATCCTCCACCTGCTGCACTTTTTCCATTTCCACCTCATCGAGCTGCTTCCGTTGCCGCTCGGCCAACCGCACACGAATATAACTTTCGGGCGTCATGCCCAAAATGTTGAGCTCTTGTTCACGCATCTCTCGCACCATTTTACGCGCGAAATAGCCGCGGGTTCTCTGGAAACAAACGGGGAAATTGGGCAAACGGGGGAAGTGTAACGGACCGCCTGAATTCTGATTGCCGCCTGCGTCGCGTCAATTTCGACTTTTTGGCCGTGCAGTTCGGCGGCTCGTTCGCGCACGAACCGCACATAGTTACGACGCGATATCGATTGGTATTCTGGCAAAAAAAATGCTTGCTACAAGGTGGACTAGTTTTTAATAGAAACTTCTCTCCAACTTCTGAATGATCAGAACGGCGTCCTCGATCGACAAAAGCTGCGTCTCTTGATCCGCCTCATGATCGTCGAAATCAATGTCAAAGTCGGTTTGCGACTTGAGAAACGACTCGCGGAACGCCTTCTGCTCCTGAATCGCGCGCTTCACTTCGAAGTGATGCGCGTGTCGCCGTTTTGCCACGTCACTAACGACTCGTGACGTGGCACCGACTGCCACGTCACACTGCGTGAGTCCGTGTGCCACGTGGTACTCATCGAATGCGTGTTGCAGTTGAGACGCGGCAAGTTTGGTGAATGTGGACTCGAAAAATGTGGCGAGAAACTTGGCGGAAACTGGAAAAAAGGGGCGAGACGAAGAGATGGACAATATTTTAGTTGACACACACCCAAAAGACACTGCAAATTGACCGCCGAGCCCTCGATCGAGACCATTTTATCGGCCACTTTGAAGAGTCGAACCATTCTCAGAAACAAATCGAAAATCAAATCTCTTCGAGCGCCTCCCTCAAGGCTTCTGATCATTCTTGTCTGGAAATGGACGTTTTTTGCTAACAAAATGTCTGGGTTTTCAAGATTTCCTACCCTCGGCGCATTTTGCGAACGGTTAAGGACTTTCAGCTTTTCGGATATTGTCGTCATTAGGTAGAGCAGCTCTTCTTTCGTCAAATGCGTCGTCGCGAATTGCGGAGACGTCATTTCTGAAGCAAATATTGTCGTGTTACAGGGCAGTCAGGTGGAAATATTGGCGAGCACCGCCTACTTAACAGATTTCGGTGCAGAGTTTGGTGGACGCCAAAACACCGTTTGTTTATAATAGTATATCTAAGCTGTCGATGGAGATAGAAAAAAATTGTCAACAGACAAATTGCTCACAAAGACATTGTGCACATTTTGTTAGTTGAACACTTTTTGATATCTTTAACGACAACCCAGAAAACATGGAACGAAACCCGAGACGTTTCAAAACAGCTGATCGGCCAACCGTCTAATCATTCTTTGAGCGCTATGTATAATCGAATCTTCAACGCACCTGGTCACAGACCACAGTGATTTGTGCCTACCGTTGTGTATGTGACTGACCTCGAGAAACACCAGGTAAACATTAGGGTGTATATATAGAGGAACACGAATTTCCGAAACAAGTGACTCGAAAATGAGTGTCACAATACTACTATTCACCACTTTTTCCATTGGTTTCATCGGCTATTACCTTTGGATCTGGTCCTATTGGCTCAGAAGAGGCATAAAAGGGCCGATGGGTTATCCGTTTTTGGGCGTCATCAATGAGATGTTGGATCCTCGAATTCCGCCCGGCGTGAGACTTCAGAAGTGGACAAAGGTAACTAAACATGATATTAACTATATGAATCAACGATTTTGAGGAATACGGACCGTATTACGGTATCACAGAGGGTACGCAGAAGACGTTGATCACTTCGGATCCGGACTTTGTCAACGAAGTCTTCGTGAAGCAGTTCGACAATTTTCATGGCCGAAAGACGACTGCACTTCAAGGAGATCCGAATAAGAACAAAAGGGTGCATCTTTTGGCGGCACAGGGACATCGCTGGAAGCGTCTTCGCACCCTCTCCTCGCCCACTTTTTCCAACAACTCTCTTCGCAAAATTCTCGGCTCTGTTGAAGACTCTGCAGTGGAGGTGATGCGACTTTTGGAGGAGAAGGGCGGCAAAGGCGAGACTTTGGATATGTTGGAGTAAGTTAGGCCATGGAGGGGCAAAAAGTTAGGCCGTGCTATTGCAGCTTCTATCAAGAGTTCACTTTGGATGTGATCGGAAAGATTGCGATGGGGCAGGTCGAGTCGAAGATGTTCGAGAATCCAATGTTGGAGAGGGTCAAGGCGGTGAGTTGGGAGCACGCAGGCGATGGCCTAACTTTTTCTCTTCCAGATCTTCTCGGACGGCCGCAAACCCGTTCTCCTCATCACTGGCGTCTTCCCGTTCACCGTCCCGTTTTTTCGCGGACTATTCACTAGATTCTCAAGTCTCCAACCCGTATTCGCGCTCTTCGATGTCATGGAAAAAGCGGTAAAGGCGAAAATCGAACAGAGAGAAGCGGACGCTCAGAAGGGAATCGAGCCCGGCGAGCCACAGGACTTTATCGATTTGTTTCTCGACGTCCAGGCAGACGTCGAATTTTTCGAGGGAGAAGCCATCGAAGTTGGCGAGTTTGCAAAGAGTCAAGCGTCGAAAGTGGACCGCCATCTCACTTTCGACGAGATCATCGGACAGTGCTTCGTGTTCCTGCTCGCCGGCTACGATACCACCGCTCTTTCGCTCTCCTACACCACTTATTTGCTGGCCCGCCATCCGGACGTTCAGAGGAGGGTGCAACAAGAAATGGATCGGGAGTGTCCGAATCCGGAGGTCACTTTTGATCAGTTGTCCAAATTAAAGTACACGGAGATGGTGGTTAAGGAGACGTTGCGCATGTATCCACTGGCTTCCATGTGAGTTTTAATGGCAAAAGTTGGGTCTTGAACAGGGGTGTGCGGAAAATTTTTTTCGGAAAATTTCGGAAAATCGGTTTTTCCGAATTTTTTTTTTCGGAAAAATTCGGAAAATCGGTTTTTCCGAATTTTTTTTTTCGGAAAATTTCGGAAAAATCGGAAAAATCGGAAAACTCACTTGTTCATTGGTTCAATAAAGTGTTTGACAAAAACACGCTTTCTCACCGTTTTTCCGCCCAGTTAAATATACGTCCCACTTTCCCATTACGTCAGCTTTTCTGAAAAAACAACACAAATCGCAACAATCGGTTCATTAGAATGAGAAAAACGAAAGAAATTGCGTAAAATTTAAAAATCAAATTTAAAAAGACGCTCGCTGCTAGACCCTTCCAAAAATTTTGTGATGCGCCTTTAAAAAGCATACGGTGGTTTCGGACAAATTGACCTTGAATCCACACTAATTTTCCGAAAATTTCTCGGAAAATCGGAAAATTTCGGAAAATCGAAATATTTTCCGCACACCCCTGGTCTTGAATCTCTGCAACTATTTTCCTTAAGATTATAAATAAAATAAAGACACCCTCCAAGAGTTGTATTAATAAGAATGATGATGATAACGGGCGGACACACACACACACACACATTCAGCAACATTTCCTTTTGTTCTCCACCTGATAAGAAAGTGTTGTGTGTGCCGCCGACTAACTATGACATTCATACTCGAATTTGCAGTGTTCATTCACGCAAATGCATGCAGAGCACCACTGTTCTTGGACTGCAGATCGAGGAGGGCACGAATGTGGCCGTGGACACGTGGACTTTGCATTATGATCCGAAGATTTGGGGACCGGATGCAGAGGAGTTCAAGCCGGAGAGGTGGGAGAGTTTTGAAGCAAAATGATCTGTTACTGTTACAAAGTTGTTCAGCACAAGATTTACAACATTTTTCTAGTGCACAACTTTTCAAAATAATCATGAGCTGTTGAGATACAGGTCTTCAAAGTTGAGAAGTTAGCTTAATAGATATAAATAAGCTAGTGAGCGCCTAGGATCCAATTGAAACCCACAACTGAAACGATTCCAGATGGAGCTCTGGCGACGAGTCGTTCATGAAACGTGGCTACCTGCCGTTCGGCCTCGGCCCTCGCCAGTGCGTCGGTCTTCGTCTGGCGTACATGGAGGAGAAGCTGCTGCTCACCCACATCCTCCGCAAATACTCGTTCGAGACCACTGCCCGGACAGACATCCCGCTGAAGTTGGTGGGTCGCGCGACGACCGCTCCGACGAATGTTTGGCTAAAGTTGCGAGCGAGGAACTGAACAATTTATCTCATTCCTCTTCTTCTTCTTCTTCTTCTTCCTCTCTCAGCCACACATAAAAATTGGCGGGTGATTTGTGTAGTGTTCTCGAAAATGTTCTTCTTCTTCTTCTTCTATTCGGCCTTGAGCTCCCGCTCGCCCCCCGATCGCAATCGCTGCGTGTCGACGTGAGGGTGAAAAAGAGAGGCGCCGCAGCCACAATTTTGTGACTTTTTATTGGCACACACACACAAAGATGATGATTAGAGACTGCAGAGTGAGAGGAATGGACACGGCGGCGGGAGTGACACGGGCGCCCGCCTTCTTGTATAAATATCATCTCGCGAGAACACTTTGCCACCTTCTACCTGTCCCCTGTTCCTAGCCGAAACCGCTCTCGAATGGCCCTTCTTCTCACTCTATTCCTCACCGCTCTTATTGCATTTGTGGGCCACTACCTTTGGATATGGACGTATTGGATGCGAAAAGGAGTCAAAGGACCGCGCGGCTGGCCGTTCGTCGGCGTTCTCGATCAGTTGTTGGAGCACGAGACGCCCGGAATGCTCAAGTTGGGCGAGTGGACCAAGGTGAGCTCTTTTTTTCTCAAAAACCGTATTTAGGGCCTGATCTGGGGTCTCAATTTCGCGTTTCTCGTCGTTCTAGTGGGTACTGTTTAGAAACTTGAGCATAACTCCAGAATGACAACTTTTTGAATAAAATGCTCAACTACAAAGTTGTTAAGCTCAAAATTTGCAACAACTTTTTAGTTGCTCAGTTTTTGCAAAAATTATTGGATCTTGAGATATAAGTGCCCAAAGATAAGGGGTTTTTAGTGAGAGGAGGCGGCATCCTTCAAAGTGCAACGACATTCAAAAATTAGTTCCGTCACCAAAATATTGACTATTTACGCGTTGACCATGTACGTCATTGGTGGGTTTCTCATCAAAAGTGCACAATATCGGAATGCACTCGATGTGTTCTTCTACCTGGGAACCGGATCTTTGCGGCGCCCACACAGAACACTAATCCGATTAAACGCCTCAAGGCCTTTCTTCTCTCGTTTGCAGAATCAGAATCAGAATCATTGCAGAAATACGGCGCGGTGTACGGTATCACGGACGGAACGCAGAAGACGTTGGTGGTCGCCGATCCGGCGATGGTCCACGAGATCTTCGTGAAGCAATTTGACAATTTCTACGGCCGCAAGTTGAATCCGATCCAGGGAGATCCGGAGAAAGACGCGCGTGTGCACATGTTGGCGGCACAGGGACATCGTTGGAAGCGCTTGAGGACCATTTCGGCGCCCACTTTCTCGCACGGCAGTCTCCGGAAATTGAAGCCAACGGTCGAGGATTGTGCGCTGGAATTGTTGCGGCACATTGAGAAGCGGACGGCCGGAGGCGAGCAGATTGACATGTTGAGGTGAGTAAAACAACAAAAATTCGCCTCGAGTATCGAGTAATTCTGCAGATTCTATCAAGAGTACACGATGGACGTGATCGGCCGAGTCGCAATGGGTCAGCACGACTCTCAAATCTTCCGCAACCCGATCGTCGACGTCGTCAGAGATGTAAGAATTGTCGCAAGTGACAGTCTCTCTTATCAAAAATCAAATTTAGATTTTCTTGCGGCAGTCGCAAGAACCTCATGCTGATGTGCCAAGTGTTTCCGGCGGTCGGCCGCGCGATTCGAACTCTCACTTTCAAGTTTCCAAAGCACGGCAGTCCGGCGTTCAAACTCTACAGCATCATGGAGGAGGTGGTGCGAGCGCGCGTCGAGCAGCGGGAACAGGACGTGGCACGGGGCTCGGAGCTCGGCGAGCCGCACGATTTCATCGACCTGTTTCTGAACGCGAAAAGTGACGTGGATTTCGGGCACGAGGCGAACGAGGCATTCACGAAGAGAAACATGAAGGTGACGAAGGAATTGAGTGCCGAGGAGGTCGTCGGACAATGTTTTCTGTTCCTGATTGCTGGTTTCGACACGACCGCTCTATCCCTATCGTATTCCACGTACCTTCTGGCAACCAATCCAAAAGTCATGGCCAAATTGCAAGAGGAGGTGGACAGAGAGTGTCCGGACCCCGAGATCACTTTCGATCAACTGGCAAAACTCAAGTACATGGAAATGGTGCTGAAAGAGGTGTTGAGGATGTACCCATTGGCTTCTATGTGAGTGTTTTGAACCCAAAACCACTATAGACTCTCTTTCCGATTGATAAGAACCTTGAAACACAGTTTGATAAGAGTGTCAGGTTCCATAGTCTAGCAACCAACTTATCTACCATTTTTCCAGCTCCAACTCTCGGAAATGCATCCGCGACACCAATGTGTGCGGGATGGAAATCGAGGCGGGCACGCACGTTCAGGTGGACACTTGGTCCATTCATTACGATCCCAAGATTTGGGGCGATGACGTGGCAGAGTTCAAGCCGGAGAGGTGAGTTGCAATCGGGATCGGATTACTGTAGAGAAACTAGCTCAAATCAATTGCTATTCCAGATGGGAGACGACGTCGGACGAGCATCTGGAGCACAAAGGATCGTACATTCCATTCGGACTGGGACCGCGCCAGTGCATCGGAATGCGTCTCGCCCTAATGGAGCAGAAGGTGCTGCTGGCTCACATCCTGAAACGGTACACGCTCGAGCCGGGCACGCTCACCCGAATCCCTCTGAAGTTGGTGGGAAGTGCGACGACTTCGCCGCAAGACGTCTACCTCCATTTGAGACCCAGAAACGTGTAATTGCTCCTTTGTTTTCTCTCGTTTTGTCCATTGATTGACCCTTCTGTGTTTTATGTGCTTGTTGTTGTTGTTTTTTGCCACAGTTTTCGATCTTGATTCATTTTATAGTTCTACCTCATGAATAATGCAATTTGGATGATAAGAACAGAGTGAGTGAGCGAACAAAACAGGCCGTCGAAACCTGGCCATGACGTATATCAATTTGTAGCGAATTTCACGCCGATCACTTTTGTCTCTTAACATTTTCGCGCAGCGCTTCTCGTTTTTCAGATAACCCGCGCGGAAGCCGTTGTCAGGATGGTCCCCCCGAGGGAGATGACCGCCGTACACACACCTGACTTCAAGGTGTAATTAGTCGGATATGAAGAGCTCCGTGAGCCCGAGCTAGAGTTTCCCCTTTTTCCACTTTTACTCCCCACTTTCTCGACGTCTTCTAGACGTTTCTCAGAAGGTACTATGAGCGAATCGACTTCCACTGGCGTTCAGGATCAATTTCCCAAGCTCAAAGAGCTTTTGGAGGCGATTCCGGAGACTGTGAGTTTATGGATTTGATGAGGATCATGACAGTTTTGTTTGTTGCAGAAACCGCAAGTGTTCAAGGTCCCGAAGCTCGCCGAAGCGCCGTCTTTGAAGCGCAAGAGGGATGCGGCGAGAGCGGCGTGTCAGTTGATGGTTAGTCTAGACACATAGAAGCCTAAAAACCACGAAACTTTCTATTTTTTTCAGCGCGTCGCGCCGGCCTATCAACTCGGAAGACCCCCTCGCAGAGCTCGCGTCTTCAAGCCCCCAAATCTTGAAAAAGTGCATCAGAAGCCGCAGAAGCCTATCGTCAAGATTCCCGAGACTAAGGAGGAGCCGATGTCCACGTAGACGACCAGAAAACGACTATATTCACACATGTCTACCTCAAAATTTTCGTTCTATCTCAATAAACTGAAATGTCTCTGTTTTCCCATGAGATTCTTGTTTCTATGGCAATCTGGGGCCGGCACATGATTCATGCTTTGCGCTTTTCTCGTGCCTTGACGCAGCTCCAGGGCCTTTGCTTCATAATAGCCGAAACAAACGAAAAAGGACGGGCGAAAGAAACAGATTAATTTATTCAAAAGTACTGAAATTCTCGTTGATTTATCACTTTTTGGTCATATCAAATCATCATCCGCATCCTCCTCATCTCCGTCTTCTCACCGCGAAAACTCTCCCGCCGCCGCCGCCGCCGCCGCCGGCCGCTCCGTGCATCTGCGTCAACATCTTCGCCGTCTGAATGCGTTTGTTGAAGAGGCAGTGGATCGGCGAGAAGATGCACCGACGATCGGCCTTCTGCCGAAGACGTTGCTGTTTCGACGCGTCGCACGAGACCTCTTCGCCTGCAAACCTAGCCGATTTTGTTGAGAATTGGCGGCCACGTGGCAACGGGTGTCTGACCGTCAAAGTCGAAGAGACGCATCATGTTGCCGATGTAGCTGACGTATATCCGTTTTCCGCTGGAAACGCGAAACTTTTGTTGTGTTTTTTCTTCGCGTGCCCCTCTCCCTCCTAGTTCCGGTGGTTGAAGTGTGGTTTCTAGGCCACGTGGGTGAAAAGTTAGGCCACGGAAAGTTCATCTAGTTGGACACACAAACCTCTCCTGCATCGTCTTGAAACACCGCAACACCTCGAACATGTTCTGCGCCTCGTTTACCGTATCCATCGACGACGTGGCACCACCGGCGACGTGTGCGGACAGCACAACAACAGCAGTGTAGGTGGCGATCAACACGAAAAGTGTTGATGAGCGGCCCATGTTTTACCTGCAAAATCGTGCATGAACATTGGTCCGCCGGCGAGCAGTGGAGAAAAGTGGCGCGGCGACTACTAAAAACAGATGGGGTGGAGCTATAAAACAAGGCGGCTGAGGAGGAGGAGGAGGGGGTGAGCAGCTGAAAAAGTGGTGAATACTTCGTCAATTAGATAGAGCACACGAACAAATACGCGCTCATTTGTGGATGGAAGCGCGAGAAAGAAGAAGAAGAAGAAGAAGAAGGAGTGAGCAAAACAAGGTGACTACTATAATTGTTCGCGCGCGCGATTCTCATCATAAATGATGTGTTTGAGTGGAATTCATAGAATCACGCTTGTTGTCGGTGATTTGTGAGCGCCCGAATTGCGGATTACGTGGGAAAGAAGCTAGGCCAGTTGAAGACGTTTTCAGATCATTATCCTAGTCATAATTATGTAGGTCAAAGTTAGATTTCTCTAGGTAGCCCAGAACCTCCTCCTCCTCTCGGGAAAAGCGGAAATTGGCCAAGTGTGATGAAATGAATGAAAACAAAAACTTGCTTTTTCTTCTTTTCATCTGCCACCGGAAGGAACACGAGAACGAGCAAGGATTACGGTAACTCGAGCACGAGAGCTCATAAAAGCCGCTCGGTGCTGTGTGTGCAAGAAAACCCGCAACTACTAACCCATTCCACCCTCCGCACCCATTACCGCCCTCTTCGGATCGAATTGCACCAAAAAAATAAGGCACTTCTCTACAAAATCCGATAAAGTACTACATAGTACTAGAAGACGACGACGACGACGGCAAAAAAAAAAACGAGTGAGAGCATAGTAATGGAAAGCAAATAAATGAGGTAGGAAGGAGCATGAGACACTTGATCCGTTTATCGCAAAGACTCTCGGGAGACATGTGACTCATTCCGAATTGGAATATCGGACAGATGACGTGGCGGGACGGGGGTGTCTGGTTCGGTTCGCTCGCCTAACTAGTGGTTGGCTTTAGATTTCCTCTATCTAGTCCAGAACTCCAGCTTTCTGATCTAGAATATCATCTAACTAACTTAAACTGTGAACTAGTTGAGCCCTACAAGTTTTGTGCTCAATCTAGAAGCGTACCTGGATGGCCTAACTTTTGCTCAAACTAGTAAGCACACTGTAGACACAAAAAAATCAACTTGAATAGCCCAAGAACCCAATAGATCTAAAGTATCTTGGTCTGACGTGGTCTTGGAATCGAATTTTGTTAGTGAAAAGGACTAGATGGCCTAAAAACCCTCTTTAGAAGTTTTATAATAGCTCTAGCTGATGGCTAATTTGTGCGAAATTACCCTCGCCTACATTCTTAATCCAACGTCATCGGATCCGACTTCTTGAAGGTGTACACATACATAATTATATAGAGATGGCGTCCTTCCGCCCCTTCCGACGCGCTCTTTCGGTTCAATGCTCTTTGGCACAAGAGCAGTGTGACGTGAAACTTCATTTGCTAGATACACACATATAAATATATTTATATACATACACACAAGTTTCAGAGCTCTAATTTTAAACATCCCTGGGCTCGACGCGCACGTAGACACTCTCGGGAGACACGGTCAGTTTGCCGACGAGTTTCAACGGGATTTGAGTGCTGGCCGTCGTTTTGAACGTGTATTGTCGGAGGATTTGAGCCAACAGCGACTTTTGCTCCATCTGCGCCAGACGCATTCCGATGCACTGACGTGGTCCCGAGCCGAACGGGATGTAGGCTCCTGTGTGCTCCAGACGCTCTGTTTTCGGGTCGAGCCATCTGAAATCAAACGTTTAATTGCAAATACTCAAATAGAAGCGACAATAGTCGAACCTCTCGGGCTTGAACTCCTCGACGTCCTCTCCCCAGATCCTGGGATTATGGTGCATCGTCCACGTGTCCACCTGCACATGCACGCCCTCCTCGATCGTCAACCCGTTGATCGTCGTCTCTCGCATACATTTTCGAGTGTTGGCACTGAAAATATTAGCAAAAATAGTTGCACCTGCTAAGCGATCGAAGATCAAACATACGTAGTAGCTAGCGGGTAGAGTCGGAGGCTCTCTTTCATGACGAGTTCCATGTACTTTAGTTTCGCCAGTTGATCGAAAGTGATATCCGGGTCCGGACACTCCCGATCCACCTCTTCTTGCAGCTTGTGTTGGATTTCCGGATGCGTGGCGAGCAGATACGTGGCGTAGGACAGCGAAAGTGCGGTGGTGTCGAAGCCGGCGAGGAGGAACACGAAACATTGTCCGATGATCTCGTCGGCCGTCAACTGTTTTTGCACTTTTACGGCGTTCGTCTTCGAGAAATCCTCATTGGTCTCGCCGAAATGGGCGGAATCGGTGCGCGCGTCCAGGAAGAGATCGATGAAATCTTGCGGCTCGCCGGGCTCAATTCCCTTCTGCGCATCCGCTTCTCTTTGTTTGATCCGTCTCACCAGGCCCTGCTCAATGAGCCCGAAGATTCGGAACGAGGGCGCAAAATCCTCTGGCAGATACTTGTGGATGCGGCGGACGAAGCTGGCGAGCGGCGGAAAGACGCCGGTGAGGAAGAAGACGTTGCGCGAGCCGTAGAACACCTGAAAAGTTGACTTGAGCGCATTTAAAAAGAGCCCTTCTGAAAAACTCACTTCTTGCACCTTTGCCAACAACGGATTCTTGAACATTTGTGACTCGGTAAGCCCAAAAGCGACTCGACAGATCACTCCCAGTGTATATTCTTGATAAAACCTGAATAAAAGTAATGAAAGCTATTCGAGAACTTGTACAACACTCACTGCAACATGTCAATGTCCTCCCGCTTCTCCACTTTCTGCTCGATGTGCCACATAATCTCGGACACGCACTCTTGTACCGTACTCTTCACTTTCCGAAGCGAATTGTTCGAGAAACTGGGCGAGGACAGCGTGCGTAGACGTTTCCAGCGTTTTCCCTGTGCCGCAAACATGTGGGTCCGTTTGTCCTTCTCCGCATCGCCGAAGATCGGCCTCGATTTCCGACCGTAAAAGTTGTCAAACTGTTTTACGAATATCTCGTTGACCAACTCCGGCTCCGAAATCACCAACGTCTTCTGCGGACCTTCTGTGATCCCGTAAACCGATCCATACTTCTTTAAAAAAAAATGTATAGGAAAAAACGGTCTCTCTTTTCAGTACCTTTGTCCAATCCATCATCTTGAGAAACGGCGAATGTTCATGGTCCAGAGTCTCGTGGAACATACCGATAATCGGAAAGCCACGCGGTCCCTTGATGCCCTTCCGTATAAAGTAGGACCATTGCCAGACGAAATAGGCGAAGAAACCGAGAGAAATAGCAAAGATGAACAGAAGAATCATAGTGGTATTTGGTCGTCGTCTGGTTCTCGGTTGACCCTTATATACACAGTCGTCACAGGCGGCCACAAACAACAAATTGGGGGTGGGGGACAGGAGACACAAAACGATTGTAGTCGGAAAGTGTAGTCATGATTAGATGGATAATAGGCCGTTTAGATGTATCAAAGAACATTGGCACTGGGATACGATAATGGGAAACAAGTTTGTTTTAAAATGAGAGTACATACTTAGAGTTGGAATCAGAATCTCGGCTTTACCGAAAGCCACAAATCAGCCGGTCTCGTCGTGGATCTACCCACCAACTTCATCGGAACACTTGTCTTGTTGTTGGCGACGAAGGAGTGCTTCCGAAGGACGTGAGCCAGAAGGATCTTCTGTTCCAGATAGGCCAAACGCATTCCCAGACATTGACGGGGTCCCGCGCCGAACGAGAGGAACGTGTGGGCGGAGGAGGTCTCCCATCTCTCCGGCCGAAACTCCTCGACATCCGGTCCCCAGATGCTCGGGTCGTGATGAAGAGTCCACGTGTCGAGCATCACGTCCACACCCGCTTCAACTGTCGTCTCGCCGAGTTTGGTAGTTCTCATGCATCTACGCGAGTTGGCGCTGGAAAATGTAGATATTAGATGGCAAGGGTTGAGGTAATACTTACAAAGAAGCCAGTGGAAAGATCCTCAGCGCTTCCTTGATAGCATTTTCCACGTACTTCAGCTTTGCCAGTTGATCAAAAGTGATTTCCGGATCCGGACACTCTCTATCCACTTCTTCTTGCATTTTACGCTGTACTTCAGGGTGCAAAGCAGCAAAATAGGCTACAAAAGCCAAAGAAATGGCAGTTGTATCGAAGCCAGCCACCAGAAAGACCACACATTGGCTGATGATCTCTTGAACGGTCAGCAGACTGTTATTGTAGACAGTGGCCTTGGTGAATTCCTCATTGTCTTCTCCAAAATGAGCGACGTCATCCGCCTTTGCGTTTAGGAAAAGATCAATAAAGTCTTCGGGCTCTCCGTGCTCAATTCCCTCTTTTTCGTCCGTTTCTCTCTGCGCAATCCTTGCCATCACCGCTTCTCTCACTGTTTTGTGCACTTTCACAAACGGTCCGGCGCCGAAGAGTCCCAGTTTCAGGAACATCGTTTTGAGCACTGTCACAGCGAACGGAAACGCTCCGCCGAGCATCCACATCTGCCAGCGATTGTTTTCAAAGAACTGGAAGCGAGAAAGTTGGAGTTGTAAGGAAAGTATAAAGGAAAAGTACCCCTTTACAATCATACAATAGCGGATTGTTGAACATTTGTGAATCCGGCTGTCCCATTGCGATTCTCATGATTACGTCCATTGTGAACTCTTGAAAGTATCTGAAAGACGGGTCTCTGGTTGTGTTTTGTGTTTTGCAGTACAGGTACATATTAACACCCTCCTCTCTGGTCGCTTCTCTCTCCAAATGCTTCAAAAACTCCAAAGAACTGTCCTCGATCCGGCCCAACACCTTTCTGATGCTATTGTTCGAGAACGCTGGCGCCGTGATGGTCCTCAATCGCTTCCACCGGAATCCCTGAGCTCCGACAATATGCACATCCGCATCCTTATCCGGATCTCCTTGAATCGGATTCAACTTGCGGCCATAGAAATTGTCGTACTGTTTCACAAAGAGCTCCTGAACGAGACGCGGATCCGAGAGCACGAGCACTTTTTGCATTCCCTCCGTGAATCCGTACACTTTCCGTATTCCCGGGCCCAATTGCTCAGAATCTGGCCCGGCGGGGTACTGTCGTCGAGCAGTGTGCCGGATTTTCCGAGAATTGGCAGCCCCCAGGGACCGGGCATTCCACGACGTTTCCAGAATGTCCAGTGCCACAGGTAATAGCTGAAATTGTACGGTTATGGGATGAAATGTGTGAATTGAAGGTACCTGGCCACTGGAATCAGCAGAGTTATGAGAATTGTCAGTAGGAATGCCATTGTGAACAGTTTTCTGCAAAAAAGTTGTCCCCAAAGCGTTATGTACCCCTCCAAAAGTCTCATTTTGTGATCTGGAACACAAACCAAACTTTTTCACGTCTTATTTCTCATCTCACAGAATGATAATAGACGGAAAATGATAAGAAAGTTCTGATTTGTCTTTTGTGATTTGATGCCAGATTTCAAAGGGTTTATTCGGAAAATATCACAGAAAAAGCGCATGAATCACTTGAATTTGTAGACCGGATAAAGTGGCGCAAACTTTTGCACATCTCGATTCTTGAGCACAGTTGCCGAGTAGCCGAACACTGACTTTTTGTAGTCAAACTTAAGATCTACAATATTTGTTCATATTTGTGAATATTCACTCCGCCCCGCCTACCACTCTCAATTGGCACATTGCCAATAATGAACGGAAGTTCCAACTTGATGGCACTCGGAAACGTGCCCAAAGTGCTCATTTTCACTTTCAGATAGTACTCGACATCGATAATTTCGCAAGTTTTGGTGGAAGGCGCCAACGGCGGAACGCTCAGCGCCTTGTCCATCTCCACCTTTTCGTTTTTGTCGATTTGGATGTCCTAAAAGACGCAATTGCAAGTTGATATTATTATTATTGTTCACTACCACAATATCCTCGGAAATCTTGCGTTCCTCGACTCGAACTTGTGCGTTCAGACGTGTCGCGTACGTGATCTTCTCCTTTTCATGGCCGATGCACGCGTGCGACTGCGAGTTGACGAATCCGTCACGGAACCCGGTGTACGTGACGCGTTGGACTAGTCGTAGGCTTATCTGCAAGAGAAATTTAGGGCCATGACACAACTCAATAGAATACCTGCTTGAACTTTTTCGACGTTCTATTGTCGATCTTCATCTCGACCGGAATATGCTCTCCGCACACAAATCCCTGCTTCGGTATCCGAATCTCAACGTTTTGCTCTCCACAAACTCGTTCACATAATCAGGGTTACCTCAACTCTCACCGCGCCTCTTTTCCACAAAACCGCTCCGATCTGCTCGCAAACGTGCTTCCGCGACGGCAATTGCGAATTCGGTATCAGCGACAGATCGATTTTGGGTAAAACTGTGAAGCACGTGATGAACTTGTCGTCGAACTTCCACGGACGGTCGATTTCGACTTTGATAAAGTAGCGGATGAAGCCGAGATCGCCTGGACAAAAAGTGGAACGATAATATCAATGAGTATATGTACATTACCCTCAAAACTAGGCGGTGCCCAGTGTGGGAGTTGGAATGAAAACGGAAAAGTGTGCTCGCCGGCCGGCATCTCGTGCTTAGTGCCGTCACTTTTCCACACGATACTTTCGAACCGACAATACACTATTTTTCCCTTGTGATCCGCACAATTGTGACGGACTCGCGCAATGTCACCGTTTCTGTAAACTTGTGTGGCTTTTAGTGCCCGAAATCCCAAAAACCCACTTGATTTTGGTGTTGTTCTTCACGTTTCCCTCCCAGTACGTGTACGCTTTGCCGATCATCTCCATTCGTACCTTGCGAGCTTTGAAATCCTCGTCCGCAACGATCATCTTCACACTTCCGGCCAGTTTTTCGCCGGGCGAGTATACTGCGGGCGTCTTATCGAAGTCTACACTGCACGTCGCCATCGGGGGGGGAGCCGCTGAAATTAAGACTGGATGGGACCAAGATTTTACAAGACAATTCAAAGAAAAAGTGCTGTTTCGTTTACCGAAAAGAGCAAAAAGACACGTATGATCAAATTAAAAGTGGCTCCGCTCTCCTGCTCATTGTTGCGCACCAGTAGTACCTAACTACTAATTAGGTTATCTGCGTGAGAGCTCGAAAAGCGCCGCGGCTCCATCATGCTCCGTGCTCCATCTAACCGCCCACATTTCCGGTGACTTTATGAGCCCTCGTATTTATGAGCACACACATCTTCTTCTTTCTTCTTCTCGTTTTTCTTCACATCTACTGGGTTTACACGACAGACGAAGATGGATGAATTGGAAAACAAGATAAATTTAAATTTTTAATGTTTTTTTAGGGCCCTGTCACGAAAAAAATGTACATTTGAACGAAAAATGGGAAGCGGCGGGGGAAGAGGAAAAGCAGCGCGGAAATGAAATTCGAGAGATTTCAGCCAGATTTCTGATGGCGCTCTCTGTTTGTGTGTGTCGCGCGCGCGTTTGCCTTCCCGTTTTTTCGAGATTCGAGATAACAAGCTAGAGAGAAGGGCGCACACGATAATCAAATGAGCACAAAGAGACGGGCGACCTGAAAACGGATCATTGTCGTCGATGCACCATGTGCACCTTCACTTACTTCTATTAGGACGATTGAGCAAGAACGCTAGGAGCATTCGGACCGATGCACCATGTAGGAGTATTCGGGCCGATGCACCATGTAGGAGTATTCGGGCCGATGCACCATGTAGGAGTATTCGGGCCGATGCACCATGTAGGAGTATTCGGGCCGATGCACCATGTAGGAGTATTCGGGCCGATGCACCATGTAGGAGTATTTGGGCCGATGCACCATGTAGGAGTATTCGGGCCGATGCACCATGTAGGAGTATTCGGGCCGATGCACCATGTAGGAGTATTCCGGCCGATGCACCATGTAGGAGTATTCCGGCCGATGCACCATGTTTGATCTGAAGACGTTAGCCTTGCTGATGGACCACGTTGTGAGTGGATATCGATTTTTTTGGTTGATGCACCATGTGGAGGCTGGTCCGGAGCTGACGATCCGGGAGGAACATGATCGTCGGCGGAAGATCCGTACACCGGCAGCGGTCGGTACAAGAGCGATGCACCATATCGAGACAACTTGAATCATAGAAACAAAACCGATGAATCGAAAACATGCCTTATTAGAAAAGAATAAAACAGAGAAGTTACAAAATCAGTTAGATAGGCATCAAGTAATTATGGAGTGTATGGCGGTGGTGGAGACGACTCGACCTCCTCCTTCTTCTTCTTCTTCGTCTCCACCTCCGATCCATCCGACTTCTCGACGATCTTCTTCTCCTCTTTCTCCTCGCTGAACTTCAATAGGTCCGAAGAGTGGAGCGGAGCGGTCATTCTCGCGCAGTACGAGACGCTCATCAGTCGATCCGAGAAGGTGATGTACCAGTTCGGCAGTATAATCTCTCGCTCCAACACCATCTTGGTCTTCGGCGGCACGTTCACGTCGAGAACCGTCTTCTCTACCTCCTTCAGCTCCATCGTTTGAGCCGTTCCCTCCTCCAACGGGCAGTAAAATCCCTTCTCGCACGGTTTCGTTTGAGGACGGGCGTGATAGTGAGTCCAGCGGTTGACGTGGAAGGTCAGCGAAGTGAGCGGCCTCTGGCTCAGATTGTCCACCTCGAGCTTGATCAGAAACTTCTCACCGATATTGTATTGATTCGGGAGAGTGAGCTGAAATTATTGATATTATAGAGTAGGCAGTGTGTTGTATGTACCTTCAGCTTCACAACTCCATCAGTCATGAAAAGGCTGCCCATTCTGAACATGGTGTTCAGCGGATTCGTATACTTCTTGTCCGTCTCCGGCTTCTTCTTCTGCTCGCCGCTCTTCACAGAGCCTCTCACTTCGAACGTCTTCTTGACGCGGATGTCGAACCGCATCGTACGGTTCAACGTCACCTGGACGTAGTGCTCCACTTTCCCGTACTTTCCCTTGAAGCTCGGCGAGCAATCCTTCGGGAGCTCAAACGAGAACGGGTACGAGTGCTTGCCCGCCGGCAGTTTCCACTGAAATCGAGTTATCTTTAAGGTGAGGAGTTTAGTGTGGAAGGAGCGAACAGATTTAAGGCTCTACACAAATTTTGGGCGGTTGCAAAGTGCATTTCGCTACAAAACTGGTTGCAAAGTGTCCAAACAACCGTACCTGCCCATCTTCACAGCACCAGACGGTCTCGTCTCCCGAGTAGAAGTTCAACGGCACAAAGTCCGACTTCTTCTTTGACCAGTGGGTCGATCCGATTCCCTGCCACTTGATCGTCAGAAAATTGGCCGAGATCGGCGTCTCGGTCTCAAACGAGACGTGTCCGTTCACCGTTTCTCCGCTGCGGTACGTCGATTTGTCGAACACGATGCTGGACTTGTTCAGGAACGACGGCATGACTGACGGCTGCAAAGCGGAACGGTATAATAGTGGACAAATAGCGAAAGAGAGTAGAAGAGCGACTCGGCCTCTCGAGAAGGAGGCCAGAGCCGAGAATGAGTGTGTTATCGACGGGTGGCCCGCGGGGGAACATTGGAGAAGGGTTGTGCGGCGGTCCTTGGCAGCTGGTGGTGCACCACACCCGGTCCTTGTCCCTCGGTGCCGAAGGGAACATCTGTCCTCGCACCGGTTTTTTTATCTCGACGCCTCGATGCACCATGTTAGTGGTGCATCTGGTGTGTCACTAACAGGTGCCGATTACGATGAACCATGTGCAAAAAAACAAGTTTATTCATTGACGCCATTCAAAAACATGTCAGAAATTTAAGCATCCTCCTCAGGTTCGTCCTTTCCGATCTCTCCGCTGATTGGGTACAAGTCGAAGACGCGCGGGATGGCCACGTGCATCATGTACCTCATCGATATTAGCGAATTGTTGAACGGCGCCACAATACCGCCACGTCGACACGGCACCTCGAACTGTTTCGTCAAGCGACCCATCGCCAAAATGTTCAACTCCAATTCCACGTGTACGATGGCCTTCGACGAGTGCTTCACGTTCAACCGCTCCTTTTCGTCTCGATCCAGCCGACACCGCTCCGCCGAATCGCAAAGATGATCCTGTGCGCGGGCGTGATAGTGCGACAAGCGGCTCATATAAAAGTCGAGGGACGGAATGTTCTTGGGGCTCCGGTTCTCGACGGTGATAACCAGAGGGAACGAGTCGAGCGCGTAGAATCGGAGCGGGATGTGGCCGTAGATGTTGAGGCATCCGCCGGTTTCGAAGTGGACGGTATCGTGGAAGTCGAAGCGCTTCAATGAAAGAGCCAATGAGCGTGGGATGCACGCTTTTCCGGCGACTATTATCGGTTTCGAGGCGTTCGCATTGAACCACCACCAACGGGACAACGACACTTTGACCTGATACTCGACGCTTCCGAATTCTCCAACGAAGCTCGGCGAGCTGGTCTTCGGGAGCACAAACTTGAAGGCGTAGTAGTTCTCGCCAGCTGGTATATGCTTCTGAAAGATTTAGGATAAAGTAGAACCAAGCACAACACATTCGAAACCAACCTCTTTGCCGAGCGCTCGCCAAACCGTACGTTCCTCGGAGAACAACTTCATCTCGGCGCGTTTCTCGTTGTTTCTCCAGCCGGTACGCGCCACTCCTTCACACGTCACTTTGAGATGACGGGCTCGAATCGAGCTTGGTGTGTTGAAGAAAATGTATCCGGAGACCGAGTCTCCGGGAAGGTATCTCTTGTGTGGTTCGTCGAAAACGATGGAATCCTCGTTCAGAATCGATTGCATCTGCAATTAAAAAGTTAGAGAAGTTAGGGACCATCATCTGCGATGAAAAAAAGCTAAGTGAGTATGAGCTGGCGTTTTGGGGCCTAATACGGTAGGAGAAAAAAATGCAAATCTCACCGTGCACAACTGTATAAATAGGATGGTCCGGGTGCGATTGCGTAGCCACATAAAGGACCATTCTTGAATGTACTGCGCGACCCCATCAGATTAGGGGTTGCGCAAGCAACAAAGGTCCCTTCTGTTCTTTCTCCTGCTCTTATCGTGACCTCCTTTCCGTCCTACGTCAACAGAAGACGTCCTCCCTCGCTTGGCCGTAACGGGGAAACGGGGGACCCTTCGATCGGGGCTAGGTCGCATTTGGCCTCTTTCTGTGACTCCCTTCCCCTCTTGCCCGAGGAACAGACGACGTTTAGCCCTTCATTACCAATAATAATAATATGCTCAACGTCAAGAAGGATTGTATTGTCTTCGAGGAACCGAACCGGACATTTCTCCCCCGGTGACATTCGACATTTCCTGAATCGGATTCGTTTGAATGAGTTGAGAAAGCCCGAGAAATACGGCTTACATGGACTACAGCTTCACCACGTTTTTGGAGGCGATACAATGATCTTTTGCGATTGTGAGATTGATAAATTCGACTATATTCTGACTTGTTTTATTGTTGCCAATGAGGGGTTATTCGAATACATTTGGTCGCAGCTGCTCTCGCTCCGTCCCACGTCAACAGAAGACGTGTCCTTCCCGTCCGCCTCCCGTTTCCGAGTCTCTTGTCGCATTTGCTCCTGCCTTCAGCCGTTCATCACCAATATGCTCAACCTCAACAAGGATTGCATTGTCTTCGACGAGCCGGACCGGAAATTTCTCCCCGGTGACACTGTATCCGGACATGTTACGTTTGTGACCAAGTCGCCGACGAGCGCCCGCTCCCTCGACATTTCGTGGATCGGATTCGCGTGGACTCGCTTGTATGCGTTAACAAAGCCCTATAACTCAACCACCTACTTCTCCGATCAGTATACCGCTTGGAGCTCTAAAGATGGAAAGGTAGACTAGTTCTAGTTCGATGCAACCCCTCCATAACATGTTTTATTTCAGGAAAAACTTCCAGCTGGCAAACACTCGTTCCCCTTCTCCTTCAAGCTACCGAAGGAATGCTCGCCGAGCTTCAAGGGACAGAACGGAGGCATCGAGTACTTTGTCAAGGTGGCCATGAATCGACCACGTTGGCGCAAGAATCTAGAGTTCAAGAAGCGCTTTCCTGTTACTAACGAGCCCGTAGAAACGAGAAAAAGTGACGCGTACAAAAAAACGCCACTGAATTTCCATATTGCACTTGGAACCGGTGGCTATTGTTGCGTTTCATTCGGCGAAGTCAAGATCTCCGGCAGCATTCCCGTGGCGCAGGAGTTCGGTAAGACGATGCACGTGACGCTGACGGTCGAGAACATGAGCAGCAAGCCGGTGAAGTACGTGAACTTGCACATCACTCAATGGTCTCATTATCACGCTCTCAAAACGTCGTGTAAATGGGCAGCCGGACACGAGTGTCCTCTCAGTTCGTATGCAACGAGCACCTGTTCTGCCGGCCTTTTCAAGCAGAAACTCAAGTTTCACGTGGCGCCGATGATGAAAAAGACGCAAGAGTTTGAAGTGGAGCTACCCGCCAAACGTCCGACAATTTTCACGGATCCACTGATGGCAGTCACATTCGACTTCCGATTGTCCGCTTCGAACTCTTCAGAAGGGCCGAAGAGCTTCACAGGGATGGGTTCAATGGCATGATTTTACGGAATTCCGGAAAACATTTGTTCACGTTTTATTGTATTATAATCGAATCGCATCAAAATAAAACGTTTCCATTCACTCAAACACTATCAATCCCCTCCCTCTCGTTTCGCCGATCCGATCGTCTCCAGACGCTCCTCTTCCCATCACCACGTTCTCGAAAATAAAAGAGTTGACGCCGAAAATGCCGCGTTCATTTCCATCACATATTTGACCTTCACGAGGTGGTCTGAGAAACTCGCGATTCCGGATTTCGGAGGCTCTGGAATCCGGGACACACTCGAACATCCATCTTCTCTTGGGCTACAATAGTTCGACGTGTCATTGTCATGCAGCATCCAGAGTCGAACGATAGCTGTCCTTTGTAGGTGATGAGCTCGACGAGACGGAGTTTGGCCTTTGTGACGATGCATTTGGAGGAGTTGTCGATCATGACCTCGATTGGTATGTCTTCGGGGGAGTGTGAACTGAATCTCATGAACTTTTTGACGAGAAAAAACATCAAGAACTAGCCAAGATCTCCACAAAACCGTTTGAAAATGGCCAGCTGCCCGAATTGTCAATTCCCGAGCACTCAACGGGCGAATTTTTCAGAGCAGCCGCGTTCAGACGTCTCGAAGCCACTTCCAACGTTTCCATTTTTATCAAATTTCCAGCTACACCGGATCTCTCGATGCAAACAGATACCGAGTACTCGATACTTCCTCGCGAGCCTTCATTTCACTATTGTATTACTGAAGAAAAACATCGGTTTAGTTTTCCATGTGATAGATAGTCTTCTGCAAGTGCGCTCTACTGAACTTTGATCAGCGAAGAACCCACGTGATGCAAAAGCTCATGAATAAAATGAATAGACCCAGCGGTTATATGTACAAAAGAAACCAACTGACACGGCCGTCCAAAGACCACCAGACAAGCGACGATTCGTTATAGAACGTGTCCTTCGAGTTGACATCGATGTGATGACGAAATCCGGAAACTCGACTCCGCGACATTCCATTACACCCAACTTTTATCGCCTTCACTGGAATTTCCTTTTTCACGTCCACAATAACACTTCCGGATACGGTCCCTCCGACGATGGCTTGCTTGTCGAAAGCAAAGTCAATGTTGTGCGGTGAGAAACTCGAATAGTCGCACAGAATATAAATCTGGGAACCAAAGAGAATATGGAAATGTATGGAAAGCGAGGGCAAGTCACATGTCTTTCCCCCGATACGAATCGGGCAGTAAACTTTTGCAGGACGAGCACATAAAAACGGATGTTAACAATGGTTTATTCGGAAACCGAACGAGTTCAATTAAAATCCTTCGGCGAGCTGGACGTGATGAGTGTGGCGCCAAGTTTCGAAGCGCTTTCTGAGGCCGCACACCTTCATCTCGACGAGATGCTCCCGCTTCACGAGCTCTCCGTCGAAGCTCGGCATTCCGTTTGCCGGCACCGCCAGCTGAAGAGTGTCGTTCCACAGATTTCCGGGCAGCACGAGAAGCTGATGCTCCGTCTCGGCGATCACTTTTTCGCAGCGGAGCGTACGTTTGCGGCCGATCGAGTTCGGCGACTCGTAGATCAACGCCTCGATGAGACGAAGCTTGAGCTTCTTGACGATACAGCCGCAGAAATTGTCCAACATCACCTTGATCGGAACGTTCTCGCCGAAGATGAGGCACTTGCGCGGGAGGGTGAACTGCAAAATATTGCCCATCTTTAAATGTTCCCTTTTAAACCGGTTACCTTGTAGTTCACGACTCCGTTGAAGAGCATCCAAGTTCCGGACTTGAGCGATCCCTCGCACTCGATCGGCTTCTGGACCGCCTGGATCGCGGCGACGTCCACCGGCTTCGGAACCATATAGAACTTCTGGGCGCGAATCTGTCGCTGCTCGTTCGGAGTCTCCATCCACACGGACACACAATAGTCGATGCTTCCGCGGTGGGCCGTGAAGCTCGGCGGACAGCTTGACGAGACGTCAAAGTTGAACGGGAAGACGTACTTGCCGGCCGGAATGATGTCGCGACCGTCGTCGGAGTTCCAGACAATCTTCGAGTCGCTGAGGAACGTGTTCTCGGCGTGAAAGAAGACGACGGAGCGGCGAGCGCCTTCCGGCACCTCCGTATACGCCTTTCCGATCCAGGCGATCTTGAGACGTTTCGCGCTCGTCGGCTCGCGAACGTACATCACCACTTGTCCGCCGACGGTGCCTCCGAGAGCGTAGGTGGCGTCGGGACTTTTGAAGAGCACACGAATGTCGTCGGTGAATTTCGCCATCACCTGCAAGACAATCGATTGATTTTATGCGGCTGGAAGAGAAGAGAAGAGAGGGAGCGGCCGGTCGCGGGCCTCGCAAATACATGGTATGACTGAGGAAGAAGTTTGGGGGAGGCGTGTCGAAACCGAGAACAAACAAACGAGAACGTGTTGGCCGGCTCTGCCCCCCACCTCCAACAACATAACAGTTTCGAAAGCGATGAGGGCGCCGAATTTATCGCTTTATTATCATGATAATGGACCCGTGAGAGAGGCGAATTGCGCCCGAACATTCGAATTTTGGAATAGCGACAAATCAAACAGATTCTAGGCGAATACAGGGATCATTTAGAAGGATATATGTCAGGTGCCGATAAAAATATCGAAACAGTGTCAACAGATAATTTGTTGATTGATACATTTTGCACATTTTATCTGTTGACAAGTTTTCGATAACTCTACCGGCAGCCCAGATACATTTCAGTGAATGAACAATATTAGCGCGCCGACCGTCAAAACAACAGATTCTATTTGTTGTATAGCCTGACTCATCATAGGCTATGAGTCAAATTGTTGAAATCTAAAAGTGAAAATGCAAACGCGTCGGCTTTGAAAGTATGCAGGAAAACAATTTCTCAATCGTTCTTGGGTTTCTGAACAGTTCTTCTGAGCACAACTTTCGTTTCTTTCCCAAACTTTATTAGAAGCAAAGGCGACAAACTCTAAAAGATAATGGATATTATGGTTGAATGAATGAGATTAAGGTTGATAGGGTGGCGGAGCGTCCTTCTTCTCCGTCTTCTCGGCCAATTCTCCGACTTCAAATCGAGCGTACATCGGATAGTTGTTCGGAGTGTCGAGACATATCTGATAGGTGACCGTCATCAACGAGTCACGGAAGCTCGGCACCGCGTCGTCGGGTACTTTCAGCTCAAACTCGAGCGTCTTCTTGCTCATCGCATCGACGCCGAACGGCAGTTTTTTGAACGTGGCCACCTCTTTCGACTCGAACTTTTGACGCGTCAAATCGAGCGGACACTCCTTGGAAAAGGGCGATTTGCACGGCGCGAGTTGGGGTCGGGAATGCGCGTGACAGAGCCGGAAGAGCCGGATGTTGATGGACGCAATCGGTTTTGTGCTCATGTTCTCCAGGAGCACTTTGACGGTGAACGACTCGCCCGGCGCGAACGCCACTTTCGGCATCTTCATCTGCAAAAAAGCGGTATATTTCGCAACCGCAAATCAGCGCAAACCGCAAATCACCAACCCCACCTTAATCTTCACAAGTCCGTCCTTGAAAACCAATCCCGACTTGGAGAGAATCGAGTACCACCACGACTTGAGCTTCTCCGGCTCGGCCGAGAAGTCAGTCTCCTGGGTGACCACGAAATTCTTCGCCAGTTTGAAGTTGGACAACTTCCACGGACGGTCGACAACGACACGAACGCAGTACGCGATGTTGGCGTACTTGCCCGAGATGCTCGGCGAGCAACCCTCCGGAAGAACAAACGAGAAGGGGAAGACGTGCTTGCCAGCGGGCAGTTTGTTCTGGAAAAGGATAATAGTTAGTTGAATAGGTTGGAATAGAGCCTGTACCGAGCCATCCTTCGAGCACCACGCGATCTTATAGTCCGAGAAGAACTTCTTTCTGGTGAACGTGTCCGCACAGAAGAACCAGTCGGTTTTGGCGATTCCGGACCAGTAGATCTTCAGAAAACGAGCAGCCAACGGCTCGGTGTTGAGCAGAGTCACCTCGCCGCTCACTTTCTCGCCCGGAAGGTACTTACGGTCCGGTTGATCGAAGTTGATCGACAAATCGTCGAGGGCGGGCATCTGGAACAACAGACGACAATATCAAATGAGAATGAAACTTGAGATCGATTCTCTATTCGGATAAATCATGGCATGACACAAATATAAACACAATTTCTGCAAAAGTAGTTTGGCGCAAAAAGTAATAAAGAAAAGGGGAGCTTGAAGTCAGAGCCCTTCTCGGAATGCGAAAGAGAGAGAGAGAGAGGGAGCAAAAAACGGAGGAGGAGAAGAAGAAGAAGAAGAAGAAGAAGTGAGAGAAGAGAGAAAAAGCACTCCGGAGATGGGAGGACGGCTCGCGCTCTCCTTTTTTCTATCATCCTACTTTTTCGTGCCCCTTCTCATCTTTTAGCGCATAGAAACCGAGACCTACAATATCGCGACTTTGCGCGGGCCTAGTATCTCAGCCAGAAACGATCGGATTGACACCAAACTTGGACGAGGGATGCTGAAGGATGACTAGTTTGTGCTCTTAAATTTGGAAGAGCCGCGCTTGAAAACGAGTCAACGTTTTGTGACGAATACAAAGGAAATGACGTAAATCCGGCAGGATTCTGATTCTGAGATTCTGAGAAAATGAACTTCAAATTCGGAGAACAACGCCGCGTCTAACCTACAATTCACCGACTATAGTCAGAAAACGGGCTGAGATTTGTGGGAATTGGAATTGAAACTGAGAACAGGTGATTCTGGAAATGTCAGAATCATGACCAAGCAGTTCTACAATATCAGTTCAATAGTCACAAGCTTGCGTGGGTGTATCTCGACGGAAAATCATCGGATCGAAGCGAAACTTGAACAATAGATTCTCTATGGTTTATAGTTTGTGCTGTGAAATTTTGAAGCTTCTAACTTGAAAATAAAGGCCAGGAGCATACTTTTCGCGATAGAGACGGACTGATATTGTAGAATCGCTCAAACTACAGAAAAAGCAGTTCGGAAGGCGGAATTTCGCGCTTTTAAACTGTCAAAGACCACAACAACATTATGATTTCTGCAAAACCACGTCACCTTTGCGTGTGCTTGGCTAGATTCAAGTGGAGAAGACGGCGTCAATGGCAACGGGACAACATACACGTTTCCTCTATGAAATTTTATCGAAAAACCACAAAAAGATAGAGGTAGAACATGAAAAAAAGAGAGAGGAGATGAATAGGAAAGAGATGTTGGAGTTTGTATGGTTGCAAAGTGTCCTCTGCGAAACTATTGAGCCTGCGAGATCAGGAACGACGTCTGCAGCCAGCATCTGAACGGGAACCACCACGACGGCTCGTAGACGATTCGGAGTCCATGGTCCACGAGTTGACTGACACCCTCGTAGGACGGAGGGCACTCGCGCGGGATGGGGAACTTGAACGGGAGACTGTAGTTGGGGGAGAACGATTTCTGTAAAATGGATAATAGCTTGAGAAGCACGGGGTTTTGCCGGATAGTAGCCTAAAGTATCTTGCGATCAAGTTTCAGACTCATCGGATTGTTTACTTTCGAAATATGTGGATTAGAAGCCTAAAATGTCGGGTCTTTGATCCTCACACCTCCCGGATTATCCGATCGGGCTGAAACTGCAACCTCAGATACTTGAAATCAAGTCCAAGAAGCTCACAAAGATTGGGGTTTGCCGGGATTGCTCGAAAGAACCAAATAGTCTCAAGTTTGGTGCCGCTAGCTCACCCCCATCAGTCCTAGAATCCAAGATCCTTATAGTTAGTTCTATGCTCAAAGTTAGAGAACAACTGACAGTCTATTAGTGCGCTTACCCCCGAACTTCAAATAAAAACGTGTTTTTGTTAGTTAGTCCCACCAAAGTCCCGAGTTTACCTCCAGGTATGTAATCAAGGGACGCTGCTCCTTCGGACCGCTCAACTTTTCGGATCCGATCCAATTGTGCTCCCATCTCAGCAAGAGCGGACTCTGCATTGTGATCGGTGTCGGATTGAAAAAGTTGATGGTGCCGGTGACGGTCTCGCCGGGATAGAAGATCCGATCCGGATCGTCGAGTTTGATGAACGGAAACGAGGGGAACATCCAGCTGACGTCCGTCATAGTTGGGCTGAAATGAAATGGCTGCGAGTTGAGGAGAAGAGAAGAAGTGGAGTATTCAAGAGAGTATGTCTCCGTGACAACGACGATCATGCGATAATTAGCGATTCGTATGTCCTACGCGAAAGTGGTAAACAATGACATTTCTCAATTTCATGGGAACGAACTTGTGAGCACTTGTGAGCACTTGTGAGTACTGTTTCCCAGCCCAATATCATTAATTTAATGGTAATGGGTCGAATTCCGCTTTTTTTTGGCTCTTCTCTACTCACAGTTAGGATTTTCGACGTTAGGGGCAACACTTCTAGACAACCTAGCTTGGAAATGAAACGTCGGATTGGTTAAAATCTTGGAACCTGGGTTGAACTAGTCGTAAAGAACGTGTTTTGAAAGATTTTTGACTTGTAAACTTCTTGGGACCATTTACGGAGCAGTGGAAGCTTCTAGACAACTTTTTAGCAACTGGGAAGGTCTAATTGGCTCAAAACTTGGAATTTGGGTAGATTTGATCATGAGGGACTTGTTTTCTAAGATTTTGAGCTATTGAAGTTCTATGAACCGAATATGGGCATGTTCAAGCTGAGCCGAAGTACACTATAGTTTGTCATCATTCAAAAACTTACCACATCACTTCAGTCGGCCTAAAACTTGGAAAATGTGTAGATTTGACCATAAGGGACCTGTTTTCTAAGATTTTTGACAAGTGAGCATGTATGAACTTGAACTTGGCTACATTATAGTGCAAAACCGGATTTTTGCGGTACCAAATCTCACCGCTAATGCAGAATGATAGTCGTCAAAGAAAATGTTCAGAATAAATTTATTATACATCATTTTAAACATGGTCAAATGAAATTTGTGTGTGTGTGGGGGCGAATGCTCAATATCAGAGTGTTTGGGGTAAAATTATGGGTTAGTTAGTCAGGCGAGAAAAGCAAAGCGGCGGGGCTAGATATTGTCGGACTCTAGAGAGACAACACGACAAACGGAAGTCTGGCTTTCAGGTCCGCAGTTGCTCCGAGCACTCGATACGACACCTCGACGTTGTGATCGACAATATCGGAAGTTGGAGTCCTTCGCGGCAGCTCGATCGAGAAGTGGCAGGTGTAGTGAATGGGGAGAGGGTTCTGCAAACTGACAATATAGTTCGAGCTTCAAAAATTTATGAAATTACCCTAGTTGCAGTGAACACAACCGCCTGGAAACATTCTTTGAGCAGCCTGGGAACGGTGGCCGGGAAAATTCCAATTTTCAGATCAAAATCCCACTTGACAACCGCAAGTTTTTGGGGCTCCAAGTGCAGGGGCTCCAAATTGTTGAACAGAACAGTGCCGCGCACCGTCTCTCCGGGATAATACTCGGTTTTTCCGTCGTTCAGCAGGATATCGATGTCGGGCATGGAATAGGAGGAAGGAATAGTGAGGAGGAAGGAGAAGAGAAACTGATAATTAGTCTTCGGCAGGCAGCCGGAGTAAATCCCGCCAAGTCTTGCGTGGTGCGAAGCAAGAACCTAGCCCCGGCTGCTATGGTGATCATTGAGAAGACGTCTGCGGGTGATAGATGCAAAATGAGTACTTTGATGCTGGGTGGTGGGTGACTTGACGGGGCTCTATCAGAGTTGAGCGGAATTCCTTCTGCCGTCTTCCGTCTTCCGTAAAAAAAAATTTTTTCCGTCTTCCGTAATTTTTTCTTCTTACCGTAAAAGAGTAATAGCTTTTCAGAAGCCATTTACTAGCCCCGAAGAACGCGAATTTCCACGGGCAGTGACCCAGATCCAAATTTTTTGTTGCTTTAGGTTTAAAAAAAAACCGGAAAAAAAGGTTCTGCATTGACGATTTTTTTGTTCCGTCTTCCGGGAAAAAAGTGTTCTTCCGTCTTCCGTTTTCCGTGTTCCGTGAGAAAAATTTTCTTCGGTCTTCCGTCTGCCGTCTTCCGGATTTCAAAATTCCATTTCCGCTCAACTCTGGCCACAAAGCTCCTTGGAGCACTCATGCTATCACACAATTCTCATTCGAGCCCACCAAACTCGTCTCATTTGCTCGCTCTTTTGCCAGTTTCCAGTAGGAATTGAGTATTGTTCCGTTTTTCGCGCTGTTTGTGGACCACCGTTGTCGACAGTAACCGGTAAGCTCAAAAATAGTGTAAAAAACAAAAAAAGCAAAAGGGATTGGGGGGCTGGGACTGGGAATTATCACATTCACATTCTCTATGCCCCCTTCCCCCCTTGTACTCTGAATTTTTCGACAAGAATCATCACGGATTGTGCGAGACAACACACTTCATAGTTCACTACAAATGTCAGCCACCTGTGTATGCACCGAAAAACCGCAATCACCGGGCCGATTTGCATAAGCAGGTCGCCCGTCCTATAAAACGTACAACTCCTATCCGATCGAGCATCGAACAACTGAAAAATGTCATCATCTCAAAAGCAAATTTCAAGCGTCACCTCAACCACTGACACCGTTACCAGTGATGAAACCGCAGAAAGGCGGTACGGTTGTCTCGGCGCCAATCGTTACATTATCCTCGTCATTTCTTTGCTCTTTTTGAGCTTTAATCTTGCTTCGTAAGTGGTTTCGACGGCGATCCATTCGTCCCATTTGATCACATTTTTTTGCAGAATCATCGCCTACAACGCGACGTACGTGTCAATGGTGAACCTGGAATCGTCGCCTTACTGGGAAGAGTTCATTGGCTCGAACAAGACCGTCGACGAGATCGACTGGAACTCTTCGGACCTTCCTCTGTCCGAACGACGTTTCCTCTTCACCTCTCTCCATAAAATGTTGGGATTTGCTGGCGGTTTTATGGGTGCCATCGCCGCCGTCTTCCCAATGACCCACCTTTCGACCAGATTCGGAGTCCACAAACTGATGACAGCTACCGGCATCCTGGGCACCATTCTCGTCTGCATCACCCCGATCGTCGTGTCGTGGTCCTTTCCGATCTTTGTGGTGCTTCGTGTAGTCCAGGGCTTCACCCTTGCCAATCTCTTCACGACCGCCGGAGTTGTCGTCAACGAGTGGGCGACCGTCAACGAGAAGGGACTCTTCATTTCGGTGCTCTCTGCCCACGTGGAAGTCGGCGCCGTGTTCACAATGCCAGTCTCTGGCGCACTTGCCACGTCGGCTGGATGGCCGTGGGTCTTCTACCTGCACGGCATCATTCTCGGCGCGTTGACTGTCCTTTGGGCCGTCTACTATAAGGATCGTGCGGTCAAACATCCGTTTGTGAAGCAAGCCGAGTGGCGCAAGATTAGCCATGGAAAGCGACCGCATACCGGAGCAAAACCGCAGGTGAGCACACGTTTTCAACAGTTTTTGTGGCCCATAAAACCGGGCTTCAAGTTTAGCAACCGAAAAAGCCATACATCTCTGCTGCCAGTAGAGATATCATAAAGTGGCCAACTAACAAACTTTTTATCAGAAAAGTGTGCACATTTTCTTAGTTGGTACCTTTTTGATATCTCCACCGACAGCTGAGATATATCGTCTTAGCTGTAGCGTGCGTTTTGAGCGTCATTGTATGTCTCCGAACTCTACAATACTCGTTCATGACTCAGGACCGACACTACTACTGTAGCCTTCCAATTTTTCAGACACCCGTCCGCAAAATCGTCTCGTCCATCGTCATCTGGGGTGTGTGGATCGCCGTGATCGGAAACTTCCTCGTCTCCCAGTTCTCCATCTCCTACGCCCCCATTTATTTGCGCGGAGTCATCGGCTGCACCCCGACAGAAGCGGGTCTCCTCACCCTTATTCCGATGGCTTGTCTGGTAGGAATACAATATCTAAATTCAACAAAACCTTAAACTTTTACAGTTAGTCATCAAATTCAGCACGGGATTCTTCTCGGACCGCATCAAATCGATTTCGGATCTCACCAAAATGAAAATGTTCAACTCTTGTGCTCTCCTTGGCTCCTCCATCTTTTTCATAGTTTTAGCATGCTCGAATCCTGGCGGCAGCAAAGTTCTAGACGTTATTTTGCTGTGTAAGTTTCCATTTAGTTGCATAATATCTAAAAATGTCAAATTCAGCGATTCCTATGGCGCTTCTCGGCTTCTCCTCAGGCGGTTACAGTAAGTGCGCGGTCATGGTGGCCGGACAATATTCGCCGTTCGTCATGGCTATTGTACAAGTGAGTGGATGCGCAATACAAGTCTACAATACGGATATTATACTTGCAGATAATCGCATGCGCTTCCCTGATGGCCGGCTCTTTCCTCGTGCCCGCGTTGACGCCAACCGATAGTTTCAGTGAATGGCAGAGAGTTTTTATGATTTACGGAGCGGTCTTGGCCATCACCAACACAATTTTCATTGTTTTCGCGAGAGCCGAGCCCGCCAAATGGTCCCAACAAAAAGGCGATGTCATTTTGGCGAGAGCTGTGATGGGCGGAGCCTCGGACGGCGCCACAGAGCCCCGGGAGCCGGCGGAGCAGCCACGAGAGCGGTGGATTGACGCGGAAGTTGGCAGAGTGAATGGGACGTTAGACAGAGGAACAAAGAACGTTTCGGCTTCAACCTGAACCGCCCGAATGCCATGCTCAATAGTTTTAAATGTATAATATCTTCACAAAAGTTCTCAATTCAAGTGTTCCCATAATCGCTTACGTTTTTGACTGAAAGTCTATGAATAAACTGGAAATCACGTTGAACCAGTACACTTTTCAACCCTCTCCCCCTAACTTCTAATGTTCTCATTTGTTTTTCGACACTCCAGACTGACTACAACTATATATTTATCATTGCCACACCACCCCCACGAGGTAGACATTAACTCGAGCGGAATAACAGGAGAACGCGTAAACAACTGAGCACTCTAATGAGCACGGATTGAAAAGGAAGGACAACTCGAGTTTGTTTTGTGATTTTTTGTGTTATTCTGCTTGAGGGGCGTCTTGAAGAACTCCCGAAATGTGACAATCTCATTCGCCTCGATCCAGATGTCAGTGTCATTGGAGATCGCCGCTCGATGAACGCCTCCAGACGCATCATGTAGTTAAGGGTCCTCGAACGACGGCGCCAGGTCCTTGGGCACCGTCACTTACGGCTTTTGGACCTGGAGCTCAAACGAATCGGCTTTGTGACCGCGAAATTGGTCTCGTTGGTCACTGTGATAGTTTTAGTTTACGGGCTCCGCGAGCTCGTCGGTTGCTCTGGAAACCGGGCACACGCACACACAAATTCTCGAGCGTTTCGAGTCCGATAATAAATTTCTGACGAGCGGAAGCAGGGAGGAATTCCGCGCGAAAGTACAAATAAACAACAACAGATGCATTCATTTATTCAAAAGCGGCACAAAGAACTCTCGGACTGGACTTTTGAAGCACTTGCGATATTCGGATCGGGCTCAAACTTTGCAGAATCGTTGGACTTGGATTGAGAGCCAGTGGGACCAAGTTTCAGCCCGATCAGATCGTCGGGGCCCGAGATATGTGATTTTTTTCAAGAAAACCCGGGCTTCCGGCCAGCTTCGGCCAATGATCTAAATATCTCGGGACCAGATGATCCGATCGAGCTGGAACGTGGTTCCAATTGCCCTCAATCCATGACGAAGAAGTTTGCAAAGTTTCGTTCCGATCGGAAATCTGCAAGTGGCTCTGCTCTCCGCGGCTCATCCTCGGGATTGATGACCTGGAATCCGAGGGAGCAGTAGACCGGCTCCGACGACTCGCCACCGTCCACGACCGCCTTCACCGCGTACTCGACAGTGATCAACGGATGCTCGAAGCTCGGCACCACATCGAGGGGCAGATTTATATGAAACTCTTCGGTTTTCCGCTCCTGCGGCTGCACTTTCATCTCGACTCCGCGCTGCTCCACAATCTCCCAGCTGAACTCTTGATTCTCGGCCCGCAACGGACAATCGACGGGGTACACCGATCGACAGGGACGCTCCTGCGGAGAAGTGTGATAGTGGGAGAGCTGATGGAGGTAGAGATCCACGCGCGTCACTGGCGTCAGCTCGAAATTGTTTTTGATCGAGACCTGCGGGACGAGAACGTCCCCTGGGTAGTAGACACGTTTCGGGAGGCTCAGCTGGAAAACAAAAGTTGTTTAGCATCGAATTTCTGCCCACCTACCGTAATCTCCACCTCATTTGCCTTCTTGGCGTCCACACGATCCGTCGAAGTGCTCCAGCAGCGGGTCATCAAGTTCGCGTCGGGATTTGCGAACGGTTTGGTGACGGTGAACTTGCGCTCAAAGTGCAAATTCGGCAGAATCGGACGGTTGATCGTGCCTTTGATGGTGTACTCGATGCTTCCGAACTTTCCGTTGAAACTCGGCGGACACTCGTCGGGGAGACGGAATGAGAACCGAAAGTGTTGGACGCCGGCGAAGATTTTGGTCTGAAGTAGCGGCCGCGTATCTTGAGAACTGGTGATTACTTCAAAAAGTTGTCAATTGGAAAATTGTTGGAAATTTTGTGCTCTACAACTTTGTAGTTGATCATTTAACCTCAAAACGTTTCATTTTTGCGTTACAGAAAATTTCAACTAACACTACAGTACGGTGTCAGCTAATTTTCGGTGCTCACAGAAACCATTTAGAAAATGGCCCATAACTCAAAAATGACAAAGTTTAGAGCAAAGTGGTCAACTACAAAGTTGTAGAGCACAAAATTTCCAACATTTTTCCTGTTGACAACTTTTCGAAATAACCACTGGATCTTACCGTTCCAACATCCTGTTGCCAGACGAGTTTCTCGCCTTTAAAGAAGACACAAGGGGCGAATGCGTCAGAAGCTCCGCTCCAGCAAGTGCTCGAGCGGCCTTCCCACTCAACTTTCACAAATCTCGCCGACATTGGCGTGCGATTTCCGGTGACAACGCAGCCGGTGAGCACGGAACCGGGCAGGTACTTTCTATCATAGGGTCCATTGTAAAATGCGATTCGAAGCATCTGAACCGAGTTGAGATGACACAAAAAGACGGGCGGGGGGAAACTTTCGAGCAAGAGAGTTGATGTCTGTCGTCCCTGGCAACCGAACTCGCTTCTCGAGCAAGAGAGATTCAGAGATTCAGGCTGAGTATAGAGGAGCATAAAGGGGAATAAATGAATAAATGTATACTCTCGTTAAATTCAATAATTATTATCAATCTTCTAATGGTATGGTGGTGGCGGCATTGTCGTGTCCCACAGATATCTGGCCTCGAATCGATCCGGAACCCTCGGAGTCGACGTCGTCGGCGGCCTCAACGTCAGCCGCTTCAGCTTCTCGTCCAAAGACACGAGCGTTCCGATGGCGATCCGAGCATTGCACTGCAACTTGTTGCCGCTCCAAGACTCGCTCTTCGCGCTAAAGCACATGAGGTAGCCGACGGAGATGAGTGGCGACTGGAAAGTGGCGAGCAGGTCGTCCGGCAAATTCACCTCCACTTTGATCACTTTTGTCGAGAACGGAGCCACGTTCACTTTGCACGACGCCTTCAGAACCGATCGCTCCGAGTCGGCGCTGTTCGAAACGTCCAGTGAACAGTTGCGCGAGTTTGAGATCGAGCACGGAGTCGTGAGGGGTCGGTGATGGTAGTGGGCTTGTTGGAGGAGGTTCGCTTCGAGGCGGGTGATCGCCTTCGACGAGTGGTTCGCGAGTTCGATCGATGCGGTGATGGTGTCGCCGGAAAGGAAGGCGCGTTGTGGCAACGAGACCTGGAATGATGAGATGGTTACGTTTAACGACAGGCCTCGTAGTCTTAATATAGGCTCCTCAGAAATCAAATAGTTCCAACAAAAACCACAAACCTTCATGCAAAACGATCCGTCCTTGAAAAATGAGGCCAGCGGTGCGATGGCTCGCAAACCTGGCCGTCTTCAACATCTCCGGCGCCGTCAGCCTCAAATCGTTCGTGCCCATCACGACGAACGTCTTCGCCGCGCCGACGTCGGCCATCCACGGACGGTTCATCTCCACCTCGACCGTATAATTGATGCGTCCGTACGAGCCCCGGAAACTCGGCGGACACTCTTTCGGCAGGATGAACTCGAATTGGAAAGTGTGTGGACCGCGTGGAAGTTTGTTCTGAACGAGCGATGCGATTTGATGATAGATTTACAATAAACAAGCCAAAAGTTGATACCTTTCCGTCGGGAGACGTCCAAACCACGTTCGCGTTGTAGAAGTGTCGTTGACGTCCGTTTCCGATGCCGCCGAAATTGGTTTTCGAGCATCCTTTCCACGAGATTTTGAGGAATCGCGCCGAGATTGGCTCCTCGTTCAAAAGTCGAACCGTTCCGGACACTTTTTCGCCCGGATAGTATTTCATCGACGGTCGATCGAATGTGATGGCCGATTTCTCGTCGATGATCTTGATCTTAGGAGCGGGTACGACGAGAGCGAACATTTTTCGGCGAGGGTACAATAGAAATCAATGGATGGGGACCGAGAAGAGAGCAGCGAACCAGAGGTGACGAATGAACGAATGAGGGAGTGAATGGATGAGCGGGTGAGCGGAGGGACCTACGTAGGTGAAGATGTCGGGAACGCGACGCGTCGTTTTCGTTAGAACGGAGTGTCGTTGCAAACAAAAGTAGGTCCGAAAGTTCGACGTACAAGATCACGCTGCAATTTTCTCTGTCCTCGACCTGCCACGTGGCACGTTTCGCGCGCACACCTCCCGTCTCCCATCAGTTTCGACTATTATACCTTTGCGATTTTGCGAAAAAATTCTCGCATCGAAGAAGAAAAAATGCAAAGCAAGTCGCCGAGTGAGACGAACAGAACCAACGAAGTGGACAAGACGCAGTTGCAGATGAAAAAGGTGAGGAAAGAGTGTTCGACGCCTCACATTTCGGCGCAAATTGCAGAAAACGCCGGCCGAGCTGGCGCAAATGGCGATTGTGAACCGCGCGTTCTCGGCCGAATCGATCGACGAACCGCCGCCGCTGTCGCAAAAACGATCGGAGACGTCGCTGGATCCGCTGAAGACGCAGCTCAAATCGGTGCCGCTGGTGAAGGCGTTCAACTCGGCCGAGAACCATTTGGAGGAGCCGCCCGAGAAGAAGTGATCGATTGAACTGATCGCCGCGCGACGCTTTGTTTTGGTTTGAAATAAATGAGATGCCACGGTCTTTGTGGTCAACGGCGACGAAAAATGCTTGTTCGACATGAAAACACACTAATTCTCACAGAATTTAAGGCCTTTTTGGCGCATTTTTCGCGGACTTTGCTTTTTCGCCTTTGCCGCCTAAAAACCGCACTTCTGATTTTGCGCTTTCTTGACCGTTTTCAGACAGAATCGGTTTTGAGAATGTTAAATCACGTAAACACAAGAATTTTGAGCGCTCGAACCGCGAAAATTGCCGAAAAGCAACTGAAATTCACGCAGTTTTAGCGAAAAACCTTTAAACGGATAAATGTGATTTGCGACTTGACCAAATTTGACGCTCTTGCGCCTAAGAAATTCGTAATAGCCTATATAATCGGTCTATCGAGAGAGAAATCAGAAATTATAGGTTTTTCGTGGCTAATCTGGCAAAAAACACAAATTTGGCTGTTAAAATTTGAATTTCGCGCCAATGTAGCGCCCATTGTCAGCTCTGGAGACCGTGTAGGACTAGATAAAATTGATCTTCATTCCATTTTCGATCGCTTTCTCATTGAAAATACAGTGTAGTTTTGTCAATTCTACGCCATAGACCACTAAAAGTTCAATAAGACAGAGACAAATCGAAGGGGAGAGAGTGAGACGATCCGAGAGACGCAGACGGTCATAAAAGTGTTGTCTTTATATCAGAAAACCTCAAAAATCCATAGTCTCCGGAACTTTAGGGCTCACTTCTTGGTCCCTGACTCAGACCCTTCTCCCCAAAGCGACGTTATGAAATTGTGCGTAACCTTGCTCATCACTGATGATTACAAGAAGCCCGAAACTAAATATTGTTGATTCAATTTTGTTGAAACCCACACGCTGATTCACTTCTTGCTCTGTTTGTTTTGTTCCGCATTAACAGCAACCTACATCCACTTTCGCCGAGTATATAAAGTTGTTCACGTACACGTCTTTCCGCCACTTTTCCCTCTTTTTCCACAAGATGGCCGGTGAGTTGCTTAAGCGCTTTTTTCTACTATAAAAAGGTGCATCTTCTTGTAGACGCCGAAAAAATAGTGTTGGACTCTATAAAACTGACCAAGGACTGTCTGGACATTGGAAAGTTTGCGAGCGAGGAGCTCGCAAAGACGCTTCCAGTGTTCGGAGCATTCGGAGTGCTCGTCATCGATCTGATTGGTGCATCACAGCATAAAAAGGATTCGGTGAAGCCGATGCTCCAAAAGTTGGAGAACAATATCCGGAAATTGTCGCAGCAGACCGCGAAAGGATTCGATGATATGAAGGCGTTCGTGACGGAGCAGTCGTTCTCGAGGGTTAGTACACTAAATGACGATCACACCAATAGATTTATCTCTGCTGCGAGTAGAGACATCAAAAACTTGTCAGCTGATAAAATGCGCATCAGAAAATTGTGTACATTTTCTTAGATGAACGCTTTTTGACATCTCCACCGACCGCTGAGATATATCGTCTTGAATATGGGCAATAGTAAGGTATAAGCAAACCGTTTGCAGGACATTCTGATGCCCGTTTCCACACTCATCAAGTTCATGCTGCCGACGGTCGAAGATCCGAACACGCACAACGTCGAGCACTTTCGAAAAGAGTGCGCCGCCACTTCGGCGCTCCGTATCGCCAACGACATGCTGAGTTGTCTGGAGAGAAGCGCCACGAATCCGCTGAAAATGGCGATGGCCGCAGAGACGGAAAAGTCCACGGCCACTTTCAACAAATGGAAAAACTTGTTGATGACCGTGATGGGCGAGTTGGTTCGTTTTATTCATATATCACGGAACCCCAGCATTCCAATGCGCAAGCGAGTTGTCAATGGGGCGCGCTTGCATCCACCGTCGGCTCGGAGTTTCTTTTTTCAACTGAAAACCAGAATTCGTTCGTTTTTCTCTTAATAAACACTCACATTTTGTTCTTTGCGAACAATAGGGCGATTGTTTGAGTTAAAAGCATCGAATTAAGCGCGAAACAAAGCAGATTCGTTCAGAGTTGACCAAATTGAGGGATTTTGTCGAAAACTACTGAAAAAAACGGAGTTTTGACGATTATTTGCCGAATCGAGTTCGGACAGTCAACAAGGAGTTTATTGCGCATCTTTTAAGCGCTCAACCGTCGAAAAATATACAGAATTGAGATAATTGAGGCAAATTTTTGATTCCAAAAAAAAAATTCTGTAATTCTCACATAAAACGTTTCGAAATTGATGACAAAGCAGTTAACATTTCATTTTTTATTCATTTCCAATCATTATCATAGGTTTTGGCACTGATTGGTTCTGAAAAGATGGGGATAATGCAAAAAAATGGGAAAATTGAAATGAGAAACTCTACAACGACGCTCCGGAATTACGCGTTACGCGCCTTGTTTAGCGCACGTGAATTGCGCCAAGCGAATTTGTTATTGGAAGGCTGGGGTTCCGTGTGTGTGTACGAAAACGTTAATGTTCAGCTAATGCTCGAGACGTACATCAATGCAATGTTCTGGCAGCGAAACATGTGGGGACCCAATGAAATGATGAAGAAGGCAAAAGTTCTAGAGGAACACATTGATCAATGGGAGACTGAATTAAGGTACACACTGACACACAACCGTTTCATGAGTTCAAGATTTGTAGGACAACTACTGGGAGGGTGTTGTTCAGAAATTGATCGAAGAGACTCAAGACAACTACACACACGTCGGTAACCGAGAAAAAGCGGACATTCTGGAGCGAAAATGAACGCGGGACTCAAATAGTGAGGCGACTTTCCACAAAACGAAGCGAACAAGTGACACGTTTCAGCAAGAACAGTTCCTACTACATAATGGTGTACAACGATTGCACCGGTTACGGTCGGCACTCATTCTACGCGCCGAATGGAGCGGGGAAGCACTCGTTCCGTCGCGGCGGATGCAATGTGTACGTGTATTGGAGCAGTGATTGGAACAAAGCGAGTCAAGCGGCGAGGGATCGATTCACGCAGCAAGCACGGACATTCGGAAATAAAGGGCTACCAGTGTAAGGGCTTGAACGAATGCAACTAGCATCCAAAACGTCCTAACCAACCTAGAAAATGCGACGAAAGCTTTTGGAGCGGCCCGGATCTCAACTACTCGGGCTATCCGAAGCACGTGCTGGATAACGAGCTCACCAACGCCGGCTTTGTGGGAATGATCAGAGACGATCAGGGTCTGACGCTTCGAGTCTCGGCCTGTGTGACACCTACGCCCGGATACCACACAGAGATGACACTCGGCATCCCGAACTCGAACAATCCGAATGTGTTCGGTCTTCCCGGCCGGTACGAAAAGTTCCGGGGGACCAAGTATATGATGATTTTTGGATATTATTGAATGGCGGTCGTTGATTCATAAATTTGTTGAAACTGATTCCAATCATTCCGAAAACGCTACTGCTCCTGTATTAACCGAAAACTGTATCGATTTTGTGGAAAAAGCACGAGTTGTGTAATCTTATCGTTGCAGAGTTTTATTCGATGAGGCCTGGACACCTTTTTTCAACACACTTTGCTAGTTCTAGAAACTTGCATCACCAAAAAACCTATCGTTTACAAAAGAATCTCATTTTTGTTTCCAATGTTTCTCGGTACGCGCGTAGATCGAAAAACTAAGGGTCTCGCAGCGATCGGACAAATATACGGTATGCGCATTCAAATGAGTGCGCGCGTTGCGGTGTTTGGGACCGCTGGGAGGACGGGAAGAAAAAAAAGAGGATCGCTCTCGCCGGAAAGTCCTCTCGGAGGGAAGGACCGCAGAACGCGACGCCAGACTACGAACAGATGATGACAAAACCAACGAAACAGTCGTAAAGATCGTTTGATCTCTGCGACATTCTTGAACGGTCCCTGACCCGGTCACCTATTGTCATCATTTTGGCGTCGCGTTCTGCGGTCCTCCCGTTCGAGAGGAGGACCAGAGCGATTCTTTTTTTTCTCCAGCCTCGCCTGCCGTCGCAATGGCCGCAACGCGCCCACTGTAACTTCAAAGGCGCATCCTATTTCTCCGAAAACTTTGTCATTATCGCTGCGAGACCCATTCGACCTACAGCCCGCGCACCGCGAAACGTTCGGTTTTCGGCCGGTTCTAGATGTTTCCTCGTTGTTTTCTCGCCTTTTTCTGTTCCGATTAATCGATTTTTGTGATTTTTCACTCGGAAAAAACGCATTTTTCTTAGAATTTCGCTATTTCAAGCCGGAAAAACGTTATTTGCGTGGTCCAAATTTCAAAAAGCCGTTTTTTTCTGATTTTTCACTCGGAAAATTGCTGTTTTACATTGAAATCAGCGAATTTTAAAGAAAAAAGATTCAATTATAAAATAAATGACTTAAATACACGTAATCACAGGAAAAGATCATCCAGAAACTCGTCGATCTCATCGTCCACTGTTTTTTCGGTTTCCACCGGCGCCGGTCCTTCCCAAATGTCCGTGGAGGCGGAGAGCGTCGATGAAGAGATAGACGATCCTGGTTGACCTGAAAATTGGAAATTTTGAGTGAAAAATCGGGTCTAACTACGTGTTTGATTAAATTCACAGCCAAATTTCTTTAAAACGACAAAAATCTCGATTTTTCTTGAATTTTCCCATAAAAACCTACCTTTTTCCGGCTTTTCCTCAGTTTTCCCCTCGTCCAAATCTTCGTCCTCATCGGATTCCCTCCGCCGCTTCCGCTCCTCTTCCCATCGTCGCACCGCCCGTTTCTTCTGTTTCACTTGTCGTTTTTGTGAGCCGTAGTTCAGTTTTTCCGAACATTCCGGACACAATCTCGCCTTGACGAGCGTATTCTTCGAGCGGCCTCCCTCTTTGTACGCAAAGTTTATCTAGATATCAAATTTTTTCAAAATTTTCAGGGGAAATTTACCTCCCAACTGGCAAGACGCGCAGTTTCCTGACACTTTCTGGCTCCGCACACCAATTGCCCTTTTCCGTCCTTGACTTCCGTCTCTGTGCGCCAACGCATTCCGATTTTGCTCGTCTTGTACATGGACAAATCGACGATGCAATACTCTGAAACCCAAAATTCGCTAAATTTTCATCTTTCCTATGATTCTCAGCACCTTTGAACAATTTTTCATAATATTTCTTTCGCCATTCTCTTCTCCCACGACTCGGGCGCACTGCGATCATCCTCCTCGCTCCAGACGAACCGGTGATGTTCTGCGAGCACGTCTAAATCCGTTTTCTCGTTCTGAACTTTCGATCGAGCAATTTCGTGGCGCCCGGATACGAGATATAGTATAAATTGATCATTTCCTTGTGGCGCTCGTACGCATTCATCGACATCATCTTCGCCATCCGTCGGTGCATTCTGCCGTGCTCCTCCTCGAATCCAGCCCTTCCTCGCCTCTTTTCTTCTTTGGCTCTTCGCCCGGATGCTCTTTTTCCCAAAAATCGCCTTTTCGCTTCGTTTTCGACGAACTTTCGGCAATGTCGTCGCCAAATTCCGAGTTCAAATCGTCGATTCCATGGTAGGGGTTGCGGGCGGCCATTTCTGAGCAAATATTGATTTTTTTATGTTTTCAGATATTTTTTCTTTCAAACTTTCGCAATGTTTTGAAGTTTTTCCACAAAAAATCGTGAAATTTGAGCAAAAAACAACTGCAAAGGCACTTTTTTGCAAAAAAATAAAAAGACACAGCTGACACGAGTGTTACCGTACCCCGATGCGCCTTTAAATCGTTGCGTGGCAAACGTGTTCGCCGCACAGTTCCGTCGACAGTTTTCAGTCATTTTCTCGACAGCGACGCCGGATTTTGCGATTTTGACCACTTTTTCGTTTTTCTCAGCTCGAAACGCGTCAGAAAAGTGTAATTTTGCGCGAAAATCATCACCTGGCACCTGTTTTTCGGTGGAATTCCACGAACCTCTCGGTTTTGGTGTTGAATAAAAAAAAACAAATTCATGAGCATTTTTCGCGCTCGTTCTCTTTTTCAATTTCCTTTTGAGCCAATAACTGCCAAATACGTCACTCAAATTCTCTGCTCGCGTCGCTCCGCTATTTTTTTCATTTTTCGGGCCCCGCTGCCTACGCTTCGTTACGCTTCGCTCTGCTCGCTCTTCTCCCTCCCACTTCTCTCCGTTTCGTCTATAAATCGAGTACCGTATTCGTCGCCCCCGCGTTGCAGTTCGGGAGAGAGGAGGCACGTTTTTATTATTGATGTGGCAATCGAATCGCGCCGGCCGACCGCATTTTGGCCTTTCAGTCGTTTCCAGGCTTATCAGCTCGTCGTTTTATCAAAAATTTTGGACATTACAGCAGTGTCCTTCAACTGTCCGTCATTAGAAGATCCTTTTACGTGTACCTATCATTCATACACTCGCCCAACGACCTAGATTTTATCGCTAGGCAGTTAGTATCTTCTCTAGCGGCTTCGGGAAAAAGACGATCATGATTCGCTTCAGAGATACAGATACCGCGTCCCTGACCTGCTAATCAGGATCGGGTTTTTTTGTAGTTTTCATCCGAGTGCCACAGCTCAATTAGAAATGTTTATATTATCCATCTATCCGCCCACACTCACTCACTTCCTCCTTCGTTATTCTCATCAGCAGCACGCACGCACGCACAAATACGCACAATTCATTGCGATTCCCACGTCATCTGCTAGAGAGTTTAAAAAATTCGGTGGGGCCCCGCTCCGTTCCCCCTCTGCTTCTCTATTCTGTCGAGAAAAAAAAGATGTGGCCAGCACGGGAAGGCGTTTTGCGCAAACAACAGCGAATCTGGAGAGACGCAGACCACATGTGTGTGTTCATTCCTATGGAAAACGGACGGGGGACGGACTGTCCCCCTTTTCGCCCATTCTCTTCGCTTACTGTGTAGTTAGTCGGTCGGTCGGTCGGTCCTCCTCCTCCTCCTCCTCGTCGCATTCTCTGTGCGGGCCTAAGCGCTCGCCTGTTGTGTACGTCGCTGGTCGTAATACGACCGCCGACCCTGACCTACTAGTCTGTCCGAAGCGTAGTTTTGCACGTTTTTGGATTCGTAGAATCTAGGCCTAACTAGTTTTGGTTTTGATCTCCCCCTACTCGGGGCGCGAACAAGTGATACGGGCGAACCAAACGAGGAAGAGGAAGTTGTTCCTCCACTTTTTCTACACTTTTCACGACAAGATCCGTCGGATATCTCTATCTATCTATCCGTTGTATTCATCGTGCCGCGTCGCAACTTTTTTGCTTCGCTTAGTTCGACGGCTGTTTCGCACTGCGACACAAGAAGAAACGCCAGAACTAGGACAGCTGACCCCAATTGCCTTCGGAGACACTCCCTTCGCATCAATCGATATAAATTGTCGCGTTTTTAGTTGCCTTGCAAAGTTCATGCAAATAGACCTGATGTTTGACTGTTCGAAGTTCGAACTGCGAAGTTTTCCCATCGTCGTCATCATGTGAGCCTCATGGCGGCTCAGCAAACACCAATCATCCGTCCATTTCCTTTTTCCTCTTCTTTCCTTCGTCTCCTAACCAAACTCGATCATCGCTGATTTTTGTAGGTATTGTTTGATTCGGACGGTGTGGTCTAAAGAGCCCCGGTTCGGTCAACACACAGGTCAGCCCTCGGACTCTTTTGCCGCCAGACACCCCCCGATCGGATTGATTGTCTCCTGCGCACGGAACCCCGGACACGGACACAGCCCACCCTTCTGACAACACGAATCATGGACAACGGACATATTGGTACGGATTTGAGCCTGTCTTTTGTGAAATTTTCAGCCTGGTTGAATTATCTAGAGATGTATTGAATTGAACAGGAAAGGTTTTCCGGTTCATTTCAATACATCTCTAGATCGGATAGTTCAATCGGGCTGAAACTTTCACTAAATATAATCATTTTCAACTCAATCATCTCCCGCAATTTTCAGAAGAGACTAACAACGTTGAGGTCGACCCGGCCACCGGAGGAGTCGTCATGAGCTTCAGCTACGCTTCTGACTTCCCGACACTCCCGGAAGCGGCGCCGGCGACGGCTCCAACTGCCAAACAAGTGAACGTGTGGCACCGCTCGAACCTGTCGAAGGCCGACGTGACGATCACCTTCCGTTTGGCGTCGGACGAGCGCTCGAACAAGGTGAAGAGCTTTGGAAACACGTCGGACGAGTCGAAGAAGGCGCAGGCGATCGCTTCGGCTACTAGTGAGTTCAATTGAAGCGTTACAGCTCGAGTAACTATAAAATTGTAGAGACGAGAATCGAGTTGTCCGAGTCGAAGGACGGAGAACTGACGGTGGTTGTGAAGGGAGAGCGCGCCAAGGCCGAGGAGGCCCGTGCCCGCATCATTCGCGACCTCCAAACCCAAGCCTCTCGCGAGATCAACATCCCGAAGGACCATCACGGACGTCTCATCGGAAAGGAGGGACAATTGCTGCGAAGCCTCGAGGCGGAGACCAACTGCCGCATCCAGATTCCGCCACGCGATGAGAAGACGTCGATCATCACGATCACGGGACCGCGCGAAGGCATCCAACGTGCCGCCCAGCACATTTTGGCTGTCTCGGAGCGCGAAGCTCGTCTCGCCACCGAGCACATTGTCTGCCCGAAGCACCTCGTGCCGTTCGTACGTGGACCGTTCAACGAGACTTACGATCGCCTGAGCAACGAGACGGGCGTCAAGATCAACATTCCGCCGTCGCACGTCACCAACGAGGTCATCTCGGTGACGGGAGAACGCGACGGAGTGCTCCGCGCCGCCGCCGAGATCCGCAAGATTGTCGAGTCGAAGAAGGACGTGTCGACAATCACTGTGCAAGTCGCGCGCACCCAGCACCGCTACATTGTCGGACAATCACGCTCCGGAATCCACGAGGTGCTCCAGAAGACGGGCGTCGTTGTGGAGGTGCCGCCAGAGGACTCGAACTCGGATCAGATCACTCTGATCGGAGCCGCCAACGATCTCGCCAAGGCCCTCGCGCTCGTCATCGAGAGAGCTTCCTCCGTGGTCACTCAGTCGATCGCCGCCCCGAACTGGCTCCACAAGCACCTGATAGGACCGAAGGGAGCCACCCTGGCCGCCCTCGTTCCGAACAGAGGAAGTGTGCAGATTGAGTTCGACGATTCGAACCAGATCTTCCTGGAGGGATCTCCGGAAGAGGTAAAGGCTGCTTTTGAGCCGCTGAGCAAGGAAGTCGCCCGTCTTCAAATCGAGCTCTCGATTGAGAAGGTCAAGGTTCACCCGACCCTACATCGCCACGTGATTGGACGCGGAGGATCGTTGATCTCAAAGATCAAGATCAGACGGGAGTGCAGATCACGATCCCGAACGAGGAGACGAACTCGGACGAGATTGTCGTCGAGGGAAAGAAGGACGGAGTGAAGAAGGCGGTTGCCGAGATTCGTGCCATCGTGACGAAGATAGAGAACGAGAAGTCGAAGGACATCATCATTCCGCAGAGACTTCACAAGTTGATCATAGGAACGAAGGGATCCGGAGTGCAGGTCATCCGTGACGCCACCCGAACGTTTCGATAGTGTTCCCGGACGCCAAGTCTAAGTCGGATGTTGTCAACATTCGCGGAGATAAGGCCGAAGTTGATGCTGTCTACAAAAGCTGACTGTTCTCTCCAAGGAATATGTAAGTTTGAACGCGTCTTGTTTCTCGAATCTATGTGAATCTATTTTCAGGCTGAGAACAACTACCAACAGACTGTCGCCATCTTCAAGGAGTTCTTGAAGCACATCGTCGGAAAGGGTGGAGCCACGATCCGCAAGCTCCGCGACGAGACGGAGACCCGCATCGACCTGCCGGAGGCCGGATCCGACGACGGAAAGATCACGGTGACTGGAAAGCAAGCGAACGTCGAGAAGGCGGTAGCCCAGCTGAACAAGATTCAGGAGGAGCTCGCCAATGTCGCCGAGGAGTCGATCGAGATTCCGACGAAGGTTCAGAGCCGCTTCTTTGGAAACGGACGTCGTCTGATTGCCGACATCGAGGAGGAGTGCGGAGGAGTTCACATCAAGTTCCCGACCGAGAAGAGCGAATCGACGAAGGTGACGATCCGCGGACCGGCCGGAGATGTGAAGAAGGCTGTCGCCCTGCTGTCGGCTCTCGCCAAGGACAAGGAGGACAACTATGTCGAGGACACCGTCAAGGCCAAGGCCGAGTTCCATCGTTTCCTGATAGGAAAGGGCGGATCGAAGATAGCGAAGCTCCGCGACACGCTCAATGTGCGCGTCATGTTCCCGAAGGAGGGCGACGCCGAGAAGGAGACGATCCATTTGCTCGGAAAGAAGGACGACGTACCGAAGGCGAAGGCCGCGCTCGAGGAGGCGATCAAGCAGCTCTCGGAAACGGTCGACATCAAGATTCACGTCGAACAGAAGCACTACAAGCAGTTCCTCGCTCGCGGAGCCGCTCTCATTAAGGAGATTCAGGAGCAGAACGGCGGCGTCGTCATCTCATTCCCGAAGAACGGCACCGACAGCGATGAGGTGTCGATCCGCGGTTCGAAGCAGTGCGTCGAGGCCGCGAAGGCTCGCATCGAGGACATTGTCGAGGATTACGAGAAGCAGGTCACCGACACCGTCTCCATCCCGGCTCAATTCCACCGTGGACTGCTCGCGGGACGTGGAGCCAAGATTCACGAGCTGCAATCGAAGTTCAACGTGTCGATCCGCTTCCCGAACAACCGCGAGGAGGGAGCCGAAGGAACCGACGTGGTAACCGTCTCAGGACGTGACACGAAGGTCGAGGAGGCCAAGGAGGCTCTTCTGGCTCTGGTGCCGATCTCGAAGGTCATCCAGCTGCCAGTCGACATGCATCGTTCGATCATTGGACGTGGTGGAGAGACTGTAAGTGATATTCGACTTTTTTGCCCGTTTCAACCAGATACTCATTTCAGGTGCGCAAGCTGATGCAAGACTACGACGTGAACATCTCGATCCCGAAGGACAACTCGTCGGAAGACATCACCGTCACCGGACAAGTCGAGAACGTCGATCAGGCCCTGGAGGCTCTCCGAGAGAAGCTCACCGATTACGAGGCTCAGGCCGAGGACCGCAAGCTGAAGCAGTGGTCGATGACGCTGAACGTGCCGACCGACTACCATCAGAAGATCATCGGACATCGTGGAGCGACGATCATGGCGCTCAAGGACAAGTTCGGAGTGATCATTAACGTGCCGCGCGAGGAGGGCAACGAGACGATCACGATCTCGGGATACGAGGAGAAGGCGAAGGCGTGCGCCGCCGAGATTGAGGAAATGATCTCGGAGCTGCGCTCGATGTTCACTCAGGAGATCTCGCTCGACTCTCGCTACCACCCGCGTCTCATCGGACACGGCGGCAAGAATCTGAAGAAGGTGATGGACGACTACCGTGTCGAGATTCGCCTTCCGCGCCAGGGAGCCGAGGACCCGAACCTTGTGGTAGTCGCCGGAAAGGACGAGAACGACGTCTACGACTGCATCGACTTTTTGCGCGCCGAGGAGGAGGAGTTCTTGCTCGACAATGTTGAGAGAGTGAGTTTTTCAGACGTTTTTCGGTATAATCTTTTTAAATTTTCAGACCCAGTACCTGTCGCCACGTCATCAGGAATCATCGTCGTCTCGCCAGCACCAGGCTCCGGTCACCGTTCAAATGAAGGGCGCCCCGTGGCAATTGGACATTGGAAGCTCGGAGCAGTTCCCAGACATGGGCGCTTCGTCGGCTCCAACTGCCGCTGCCGGAGGAGCCTGGGGAGCCGGACGCCGTCATTGGTAAACGCGCCCCCGATCGGATGATTCAACCAACGTCAACGTCTCTCTAACTCGAAATCCCCCAAAAACAATTGTATTTATTAGTTTTTTGTCTTCTTTTCTTGTTGATATATCAAAAAAACATTTCCCCACTTTCTTTTTTCTGCTTCTCCAAACTATTGTAGTCGTTTTTCCAGTCCTATTTATTGCCTCCCAGCGAACGGTTATCCCCACCCCCAAAAGTGCCTTTTGAACAAAAAAAGAATAAAAGTAGTGATAATAAGTTATTGGGTACTACGTTAATATCCGCGTTTTGATGGTTTCTTCGTTTTTTTTTGCTGTTATCTCCCCGTATCGTTTTTTTCTTTTTCAATGTAATATTTGTCCGCTTTTTTTTCGCCAAATTCCACCAGAGGTTTTATCTTTTTCCCCCCGAAAAAATCCCAATTGACGTTGGTTTTATCATATTTATATTCTCTTTCCCTTCACCACCACACACATGCTGATTGATTTTTTTTGTTGTAAAGAATAAAAGTGCTTTGGTGAAGAGTTTTGTAGGCGATATTGTAGGATTTTCGATTATCACAAATATCTACTAACCACTGAACAGGTTTTCGGAAACTATTGGGAAAATTGTAGAAAAATGGGGGAAATACGATGGATTTTGGCGGTCGGATCGGCTCTGATCGCCTTCAAATGCCTTCTGATACCGGCGTACACTTCGACGGATTTTGAGGTTTGTTTCTGGAGGTTTCTGGGGTAATGCAGTTCTGAAGGTTTGGGTTACTGTAGAAGTACGGTATTATTAGCTAGAGAGCTGGAAAACTTAGTTTTTCAAGATTACAGTTGTTTGAACTGTAGATTACGGAAAGAGCCAAAAATTGCAGTTTTACTGTAGGTTCCAGAAAGACAGAGTTACTGTAGAATAAGAAGAGAAGTGTAGGATTAGGTAAACAGGATTGCTGTAGGTCCACCGCAACTGGATGGCCGTGACGTGGCACCGACCGATCGGCGAATGGTACACGGAGGCCACTTCCGAGTGGACACTCGACTACCCGCCGTTTTTCGCGTTTTTCGAGCTCGCCCTGGCCAGAGCGGCACACTTTCTCGGGTACGGTACTCGCAGGATTACTGCTGTCGACTTTGCAAAACTGAAACAATTTCAGAATAGATGAGATTCTGGAGATATCGAGCACGCCGAAAATGTCACCCGAAATCCGCGTGTTCCAGCGACTTTCCGTCATTTTTACCGATGTTTTCTATGTAAGTCACACACGGTTTGAAAATGTTCGAGTCATGAAGCAAATATTGTTCAGATCCTCGTGTGCGCCCTCTACTCGTTCCGGTCCCATCGGTTGACCGCACGGATCCCGCTGAAATTGCGCCAAAACGCCCGTGAGGCCTGTTTCGTGCTGCTGACGTCACTCCAGGCACTGCTCCTCGTCGATTCCGTTCATTTTCAGTACAATTCGATGCTCACCGCCTTTTTCCTGCTCTCCCTCTATTTTGTGGACTCTGGAAGGCTCTTGGCGGTTGGTGATGGTCTAAATAACGGAACGTTAGGCCATAGAGGACTGGGTGCCTGAACCTTGGGCTTAGTTGCACTTTTCCGATCGGACAGGCATTATGGACTTGGATTGAAGTGGCTTGGGTCCAAGTTTCAGGCCGATCGTTCAGTCCCCCGGTCGCTAGCTGGCCTATCTTTCCAAGTGGCTATTCTAGGCCACCTCGCAGATTTGAATAGTCTTTCCTAACTTTCCTCTTCTAGGCCGCCTTCACCTTCTCGGTGCTGCTCAACTTCAAGCACATTTACGTGTACTACGCCTTCGGATACGTCTTCTACTACATGGCCGCCTATTTTCAGTACTCTGGATCGGTGCTCGGCGAAAATGTGCCGAAAGGTTCCGGAAAACCCGTGTACTGACAATATCCATTTAATTGCAGCGCTCCTCCTCGCCGTCTCCCTCCTCGTCCCTTTTGCACTCTCTCTCCTCCCCTTCTTCATTTTCGGCGGTGGTCCCAGTGGCTCCGAATCCCTCCGACACATCGCCGTCCGCCTTTTCCCCGTCTCCCGTGGCCTTACCCACGCATTCTGGGCGCCCAACTTCTGGGCCCTCTACAATTTTGCCGATCTCATCCTCTACCGCATCCTGACCCTCTTCAAAGTTGGCAATTTTCAACCGCCCACGTACACTTCCGGTCTGGTACAAGAATACGCGCATAGCGTACTGCCGAACGTCTCCACTTTGGGAACTTTGTGTCTCGTGACCGTTTCGTCTGTTGTGGTCCTTATTGGACTGGTGATCCGAAGACGAAAAGGTTGGCGTTGGCTAGTAAACGTTTTAGTTGAAATCGGTGCTTCCAGACTCGAACCTTCCGGATTTCTCGCTTTTCGCCGTCCTCGCCGCCCTCTCCTTCTTCTACTTTGGATATCACGTTCACGAGAAGGCCATCATTCTCGTCGCCGTTCCGATGACGGTTTTCGCGATTAAGGTGAGCACTGGAAACATGTGGAAAGCGCAAACGGAACGCGTTTTTAATTTTTAACACTAACTGACACTTGCTGGTCGTCTCGAGACCCATCGATGATAAAAAATGCGATTTTATGAACGTGCAATATACAAAACCGGTCGTTTCACTTTTCCTTCCCTTGATTAAATACTGTAAAGCCAAAAATCGCCCAGTTGTTCTCAACGTTTTTGTGTGAAATCTTGACGCCTAGTGAAACTTTTTCAATGTTTGTTGTATATTGTACGTTCGGAAAACGTATTTCCCGCAATTGTCTATTCTCCTTTCAGGACCCCAAATACCTGCCTCACCTCGTCCGTCTCTCCACAATCGCCTCGTTTTCCCTCTTCCCGCTGCTCTTCACTCCGCTCGAAATCCCGCTCAAATATGCCATTTGCGCCGCCTATTTCCTCCTTCAACTCGTCGTTTTAAAGTGAGAAGTCAGCCCGTTTCTCTCAAAAAACACTTATTCCAGACGATTCACTAGAATTTCGCTCTGGGACCTTTTGCCGACGCGCCATTTGATGGGATTCGCAATTCTCGCCCTCGCGGAAGTCTACAACACTTTTGTGCATCAGGTACCTACCGTACTCCTTCTCGCTACAATACCCTCTTCTTCTACAGTACCTCTTCTCCACGCGACTCCCATTCGCCCCTCTTATGGCCATCTCGGTGCTCAACGCCGTCGAGCTCACCGACTTTTTCGGTTCGCTCATCTGGAGCACCTTCCTCGACGGCCTCCTAGAAACCACGTGGCACAAGGCGACGTGCCGCCTACGCGAACAGCTCATAATCGACGCGACGTACTCGGTGCAGACGGTCGACGACGTCGAAGAAGTGCAACTCGTCGCTGGCGTCGACGTCTCCGCCAGCAAAACCAATCAGGACCTGGTGGTCGTGTCGTTGAGTGTCTGGAAGTTTCCGCAATGCGAGCACGTGGCTACAGTAGCTGATACGCGGTGCCTACGACTACCCTACATCCCGCAGTACCTGGCGGTGCGGGAGGCGCAAGTCGTGGCCGAGTTTGTGAAACAAGTGCTGGAAGAGCGGCCGCAGTTGAGGCCCGACGTGCTCATGTGCGACGGATTCGGACAGTTTCATTCAAGAGGTAAAGATAGAAAGAGTCAGGGCAGGGAAACAAAAAGTTTCAGAGACCTAGTCAAGTTGGCCTTACGGAACAAACGTACATAGCTAAAAAGATTGTAACGAGAGGATTCCAAATGTATTCTTGAAAAACTCATCTGAAACATGATTTAGAGGTCGGTAGCAAAATTGAAGAACACGTTTCGAGAATCCTCTTGTTAAGATCTTTTGATCCATGTAGGTTGTGTGCCGATAAGCCAACTTTTCTGTAGACAATAATGAGTCAAACCCCCATCGATTCCAGGTTGCGGAATGGCGTGCCACGTGGGCGCCCTCACCGGAATCCCGACAATTGGAATCGCGAAAAAATCTGGCGCTCCACGACGTCTACGAGACTGTGGGAATGGCGAACAAGACGAGAGTTGACGAATTTGTGGACAGCATTCGAGAAGTTTGAAAAACGCTAAAACCGCTTTGAATTCCCGTCAATTTAGGCATTCAAATCGAACAAAACGCCAGGATTTGTGCCGTTCGATATTGTCGATCCGGTCAAACTGAACGTGATCCGAATGGGCGGCTCGATGAGCGGCGTTTTTGTGTCCGCCGGTTACGGTATCGAGTTGGATCTCGCCACGCGGATATCGATTGGAATGCTCGCGAATAACACGACTTGTGAACCGATCAGAGCGGTACAGAATTTTCAGCAAAAAAATTGGATCAAATTGAAATCGGCTAACTTTTAGGCGGACCTCTCCTCACGGGAACGCGTTCGACACCATTTCGACGGCGAAAAACACGATTAATTTGAGTTTTTACGGGTTTTTATATACATATTTAAACATGATGAACTCTAACTTTATTAGAACAACAAAAAAGTTGAGTACGAAATCGAAATCCTAGAAGCTACTCGAGTTTTGTGGTTGGGGGGCGAGGGGCGGTGGCGGACGAACCCGTTTTCATTTCCAAGTTTGACCCGTGAGAGACGTTCCAGAGATTTTTCCAGACAATTCCAAAACCTATTCTGGATCCTGGATGCCTGTATAGGCGGCCGGTTTCGCTGGAGACCTGTAAGCAACCGGGCAGATCAGATTGAGCTTCAGGAGCGCCGAAAAGACGAGGATTATGGTCGAACAGCAGCCGAGTATGGTCAGGATTACGATCACCTGGAAAGAAGAGAACATTTGAGTGGAATGGAACGTTTTCTGAGATTTCTGGGCCTCGACTTATAACCTCACTAACCCATCCCTGAATGGCGAAACAACAATCGGTCTCGTGCGGACCGCAACAGTCGAACTGATGAAACGCCGAAGCTTGTGGGCATTGGGTGTGCCTGAAATTTTAGACGTTTTGAAACCACATAAAAAGCTTTCAAAATGCCCTACACTCACTGATTAACTGTGAAATTTCGGCACCACTGTCCCAGATTCTTCTCGGACCAATTGCGCGGTTTGACCACTGTCGAACGGGTTGTATTGCGGTCAAGTACCGGCCAGACTACCTGAAAATTGAGAGATCTACAATAGCGGGCTCTTCCACTTTTTGCTATCGGGGCACTAGGATTACTGTAGCCATTGCGGACACTGACTTACCATCGAAAAAGTGACGGGTAAGAGTACGAACAGCAAAAGTGGCATCGATTTTGTCATTTTTGATGTTAGTCCACCGAGAAACGGTTCAATACCTGCAAAAGTTTAATGACGCAATGAATCGGACCGACAATATCAGTAAACAGATGAGAGGGAACGGTCAGAAAGAGAGAGAAAGAGAGAGAGAAAAAGTTTTCGGAGATAAGTTTGGCGAACTTGTCTCCTTTACTTTTTTCTATCAGTTTTTGGGAATCGGACAATATATATGCTTAGTTGTTTGTCTCACTATCATCTACTTGTGAAGCGGAACACATTTTTTGCAAAGTGTAATGCTTCACATATAGAATGCGGATGTTTCGAATAGCAAAAGTCAACTTTTTGGGGGTGGGAAATGTAATAGTTGGACAATAGTTTTGTTGCCACGTCATTGAGGACATTATAGTGGGTAGGAATAGAAAAAAGTCGAAAATGAAGTGAACGGTACTTTTGGTACAACATTTGCGATTTGCAAAAAACATCGTCAACAATTCGGGGGCTACTGTAGTTCTACCAAAAAAAAACGAAAATGTTTCGAGATTGATGCGCGCGCGTGCGACAAAATGTTTACTTGATGATTCAATCGCGAATTTGCATCTATTTTTTGTGTGAACCCACCTCAAACTTGGTAAGTTGTGGTTCGAGGACCGAAAAGGGGCGGCGCCGGCCGGCCTTGCGCCGTTTTACCGAAGAACACAAATTGGCGAACAAATAATATTAACCAGAAATTGGAGAGAGAGAGAGAGAGAGAGAGACGGAGAGAGACGGAAAATTGAGATGGAAAACAGAAATTGGGCGAGAAATGCGTGACGTGGTAGGAAGGTTTTTGTGGAGAGTTGTGAAAAAGCGAGAATACTCGAGTTTCCACACAAAAATTGACGAATTTTGGACAAAATGGAGATTCGGGGGCTTCCCTACTGTATTCAGTGACGTGGCAAACCTAAAGCATTCGGAATTTCTACAAAAACTGGAGCAGTTTGAGCCAGCAACGCGATAGAAAGGTTTGGTGTGAGTTGAGGGTGCCCCACTATGTTCAATGACGTGGCAACAGCGTTTTTGGAGAGGTTGAACATGGTGACATCCATGAAAGAGGGAAATTGGATCGAAATCTTCAACGTCTTTTCGGAAAAGGGGCGCGAAAAGACGAAGAAGAAGAAGAAGAAGAGACAAGAAATGGAAAGTGCGTCTGTCTCGAGAAAGAGAGAGAGAGAGAGAGAAAGAGAGAGAGAGAGAGTATAAACTGGACATCGGGTCTCTCTTTCTCGGATAAAACGGTGTACAAATCGGAGAGAACGACAGAGAAAGATCCGAGAGGATATGAGGACAATGAGATTCCTGGAAGATGGGGGAGGGCGAGAACGAGTGGAAGGAGAAAACGGGCGAGAAGGAAAGGGAGTAGGAGCATCTAGGATGGCGGAAAAGTGGAAAGGATTACTGTAGATTTGAGTGTCCAGCCTATAGAAACAGTTTCAGTTGGAAAAGAATGAAAAGAAGGACAGGATTACTGTAGATCTCTATGAAACCATCCTCCAAAGGTACAGAGGTCAGGATTACTGTAGGTGGTGCCGATCGTCCGCAATCTCTCCGAAATAACACGTTTCTTCAAGTTTTTACCCCCTTTTTTCCTTTTTCACTCTCAAATGGCATCCCGAGAAAGAGAGAGAGAAAGAGAGAGAGAGTGCGTGGGTTTGTGTCGGAACAATCACGGATTCCTCGTTTTCCTTTCATTCTTTCGCTTTTCAAATGGCATGCGCGGCGGCAAAAGATGGCAATGTTTGAAGTGAAGGGTTTTTCGCAGTGCCATTCACATTTTCCACTCTTTTTTGTTCTCGACAACTTCTTTGAGAGGAAGAAGGGGTCAAACGTTGAGGATTACGGTAGTTATAGTCCAAAATGGGGCGAAAAACAACGTACGCGTTCGGAATATTGTCCATTTCCGAGTAGCCTACGACGTAGCGGCAATGAGGTCAGAACCAATGAACCGGTAGACAATTGGGAGAAGAAAAAGAAGGAGAAGAAGAAGAAGTGGATGATATTTGACCTTGGTTATTGTCTCACTAACAAACCGGGCTTCGAAAAGTGTAATAGAGTGGTCAGAAACTGAAAAGGAGTAAAGAGAACCGACAGTTTTTGTTCAAATGGGCCGAATTCAAACATTGCCAGTTTTATGACCAAAAACTTGCAAAAAAAAATAGGAAAACGCTCGAGAGATTCTTGAAAATCACTTAATCACAAACATTCCTTTGTTTGAAGTGGTCGAGTGGAGTTTCCGGAAAAAACTTCAGTCTTTTAGTGGGTTTGAACCTATTTTGCAACTTGGACACTTTGCAACCGGTTAGTTTTGATTTTCAAGGACCCTAGTTGCAAAAAGTGTGGTTGCAAAACGTCTCGACAAATTTTGACCTCATAAAGAGGTCCCAGGCGCCAAAAGACTCACTAGACAGCCCTTCAACTCATCTAAAATCTCATGACCATGTCATCTACCATAACTTGGAAATGACACGTTTTGCAAGAAAATGATCAATAACAAAGTTGTTAAGGACAAAATTTGTAACAATTTTTCTGTTGACAACATTTTGAAATATTGTTTGGTTCTTGAGATATAGAGGTTTAAAGATAAGAGACAATCAATTACTACGGTCTTTCAAAAATACACATAGCTCAAGAATGACGGGTTTTGGAATGAAATGGTCAATTACAAAGTTGATCAGGACAAAATTTGCAACAATTTTCATGTTGACAACTTTTTCAGATATTGATTGGTTCTCAAGTTATAGGTCTTCAAAGATAAGTGAAAAATTGATATGGAGAAAACTGATGTGCTGTAAGTTTTCTAATGAATTTTAAGTCCTTTAGGAGCTGAAAAACTCAAAAATGAAACAGTTTGACACTCTCTCAAATGTTACGTAAAAGCCGGCGTAGCATGACGAGGCGGGATTGGTTATGATGATTGCGTAACTGGAAACTCTCCCTCTCCCCCCTGCCTACTCGAAAAAAAGCGAAAGGGGGATGGGTCTGTGGGCTAACCGGTCTGTTTGAAGGAAGCCTAAACGAAATCGGATTGGCAATTGGCGGAGGGATAAACCCAGTATGTACATTGGCAAATCGACACCAAAAGTGAAATCGAACCACTGTTTTTTTTGGAGCGCTGATCGGTTTTTTGGAGGGAAACGAAAGGAAACGAAAGGTGGATCGTGTTCTCGAAGTGATTTACGTCTTTTTGAGCCAAACCGGGGAGTGGTAGCATTCTTTTGAAGTTTGTTGTGGCTTTGCAAAGTTATCCAATTTCTGATGGCTTCTGACACAGTGAGTGTTGATTGGATTATGGATAGACTTGAGACGAGTATTGTAGCTTTCCAAAAAAATGTACGAACACGTTATCAAGCGTCTTGTGATTGATGAACATATCTAGAAAAAGGGAGTTAAACTGATCTACACAAAATCGCTGATTTTTAGAATTCTAGGGTACTGAAGACATCTACAGTAATCCAGAAGGGACCCAAATGAGCCTGAAACCTCAAAGCCTGAACTTTTTTCGGATTTTTCTATTTTTCCTGCATATTCAGGAAATATCTGGGCCACCCGCTAGCCGCAAAACCCGCGCGACTTCCCTGCATAACACCGCCCCGCAGCCCGCACTTTTCCCGCCGCGTTCGTGGTGTAATGGTCAGCATGGATGCCTTCCAAGCATTCGACGGGGGTTCGATTCCCCCCGAACGCAGACACTCTTTTTCTTTCTTTGTCCTTTGTTTGAGCATCGCATTATCGACTTCCAGACAGTGTTAGTCACTGAACAAACAGTATAGTTTCATCAATAACCATGACCAAAAAGTTTACTCTCTTCCTGCTTTCTATTCCCAGTTGAGCAAATAGTGGAGAAAAAGTGACGTCATAATAATACTAATCGATAATAGTCATTGCTTGCGTACATTATATCACTTTTCGAGCATGTCCCTGATAACTGTTTTAAGTCATCAATACCCGGGCGTATTTAAAACGGAAAACGAAAAACTGATAGCATTTTCATTCTTGACTTTCATTTTCACCTTCCTCTGCCCCTTTTCTCTTTGTTTTTTCGAGTTTTCATAAAAAAACAATTTCAGATGGACGATTTCCGAATCGAATTCGACAATCAGCAAGCGGTCTACTTCCCGGGACAGGCGGTGACCGGCAAGATTTACATTCAGAGTCGGGAGTCGATAAAAGCACGCTTTTTGAAAATTTGCATTCATGGCGGTGCGCACACAAAGTGGTCCGAACACGAACACAAGCACAGAACGTGAGTGCGGCCTGGGAATCGCACGGCCACGTTCGGTGGCCTAGAAATCCCCCTGGTTTTGTTCTAGGCCACCTAGAAACCGAAATGCCCTCATCTAGGTGATGTTTGATGAAAGTTGGGTCATTAAAAAGGTATTGCGAAATGTTTGAAATGAAACTGATATGCCGATAACTTTGTTGTGGCCTAGAATTTGAACTACATGGCCTAGAAATCCAAATAGTGGTTTTCTAGGCGATCACCCTAAAATGTCTTTGTGGCCTAGAAACCTTTTGATGGCCTAGAAACCATTTGATGGCCTAGAAACCTTTTGATGGCCTAGAAACCATTTGATGGCCTAGAAACCTTTTGATGGCCTAGAAACCTCTTGATGGCCTAGAAACCTCTTGATGGCCTAGAAACCTCTTGATGGCCTAGAAACCTCTTGATGGCCTAGAAACCTCTTGATGGCCTAGAAACCTCTTGATGGCCTAGAAACCTCTTGATGGCCTAGAAACCTTTTGATGGCCTAGAAACCTTTTGATGGCCTAGAAACCTTTTGATGGCCTAGAAACCTTTTGATGGCCTAGAAACCTTTTGATGGCCTAGAAACCTCTTCTTCCAGAGACGCACGAGGACGAAGTGAAAGTTTCACGGAGCACGTCGACTACTCGTCCACAGTCAACTACCTAACTGGAGAATCGATGGCCTGGAGCTCGACCGACGGATCGGTACGTGGCCGAACTTTTTCTTTTGCTTCTTCTAGGCCACGACCGATCCTCCCTTCACTTTCGCTTTCAGAACAAAATCCCGGCGGGCCGCAACATCTTTCCGTTCGCATTCTCGACGCCCGTCAACTGTCCGCCGTCTTTCGAGGGAATCCACGGATCCATTCGATATTCGGTACACGTCGAACTCGACCGCCCGTGGAAATTCAACAAGAAATCGCGGAAATGCTTCTCGGTGATACCCGCCTACGACCTGAACATCACGCCAACCGCCATCAATCCGATGGTCAACTCGACGTCGAAAAATACCGGATTGATCTTCAAGAAAGGCGTCGTTTCGATGACGGTGAGTGCTCCTACGACTCTAAACAGTTTCTATACGAAATCTTGACATCTAGTACTTCATTTTCGTACTTGACAACTTTTTTCCAACACCAGGGGTACTGTAGATCTTGAAAGTGGAAGTAATTGGACACTATCTCAGGGCCTGGTGCCGAATCAAAGTAAAAGAACTTTTCTGGCGCTTCTCCGCCACTAAAAACCTCCATTTTGCAGGTAAGCCTTCCGAAACGTGGCTACGTTCCCGGTGAGCTCCTCCCGATCACCGTGAACATTGAGAACGGCTCGAAGAAGCCGGTCTCGGTGGTGCGTGCGAAAATGATGCAGCTGTCTGTGTTCAACGCGAGCCGCGGCCGCTCAACGTGCCACGATCCGATGGCGACCGGCTACGCGCACCCCCATCAACATCACAAGAACGACGAGAAGATTGTGGCGGAAGGGAGGCGGAACGTCGACGTGCCCGCGTGCTCCAAGGGCCAAGTGATCCTATCGTTGAAGATTCCCGCAATTGTGCCGTCTTTCCAATGCCCCATCATCACCGTCGACTATTGTATCTCTGTGAAAGTGGACACTGGCGCCACGTTCGGCAACACGTTGAAGTGCGAGTTCCCTCTGATCATCGGAACCATTCCGATCCGTCAGATGGCGATGCCAGCCGGCTTTCCGACCGCTCCTCCGGCCACCATGCCCACCGTCAACCCCTCGGCTCCACCTTATCCGACCGTAGGGGACCAGGGAGCCTCCGCTCCTCCCGTCTATCCATCTGGAGCACCTTCAGCTCCTCCGGCTTCTCCCACCGCCCCTGGAACCTTTGGCCTACCGCCATCCTACGAGGAATCCGTGTACGGAGCCAGTGCGCCGAAAGGGGACACTGATTCAGAGGTACTTGCCTTCAATTTGTCTGAATATTTGTGATTTTCAGCCCTTCGCTCCACGGTATCCGGTCTACAACAATCTGGAACAGTCCGCACCGGCTCTCCCGCAGAAAACTGGATTCTAAACTTTCTAAAAGTATACATTTTAATTAATACTACACAAAATTAGAAAAAACGCTGCCATTTTGAAGATTACAGCTTCTCAACTCAAACAGTCACAAAGTACACCTTTTTGGGGCCAGATGTAACAATAATAATGACAATTTCAAGTGATTCACATCCTTGTCGATGACGTTTTTGGGGAACGTGACGTAAAACTTGTCTGTGGGTATACATTTGTATTTAAGAACTGATAAAGCGTCGATAACAGTTCACAGTGTCCGGAAACAGTTTCTTTTTCCTCCACTTTTTTCTTCAACTTCATCACATCTCGTGTAAAAATGGAAACGTTCGAGATTGAGTACGACAATCCGACTCGAGTCTATGCGCCAGGAGAGCGAGTCACTGGAAAAGTGATAATTCGCAACTCGCACTCGCTCAACGCCCTTTCGCTCAAAGTTTGTATACATGGAGAGGCTCACAACTTTTGGCGAAAGTTTGAGAATAAGGGAAAGTTGTGAGTTTTTGAATGAGTATTGTAGCGTCAGGAGATGGCCTATGAGTCTGAAAATTAATGTGCATAATCCTCGACATCCTGTACTTTGCTTTTGTAGTTGACATTTTTTCAGTACGACCCCTCTCTGGAGTACTGTACCTCTTAAAAGTTGGAACACCCGTTCACTGCACTAAAGTTGTCCCAACTTCCAAGCGCTACAGTACCCCAGGGAGTAGTCGTACAAAAGTACAGTACTAGACGCCAAGATACCGTACAACAATTTTTGGATCCCTGGAACGTCTTCAAAATGTGCTCAACTGTAAAAACGATCAGTTTTCAGTGACAAAAACGGACGTTGGTACACTTTTTCGGAGCACATCAACTATGATTCCAGGATTATGTACTTGAACGGCGTCGCCAAGCCTTGGAGTTCATTGGATGGAACTGTAGGTGGCCTCTGAAGGCTCGGAAACTAGTCCATCCACTCTTTCGTAAAGTTAGGCCACACAAGTAGTACCATTCATGCGACGAGTGACTGTGGCGACGCAGCCTGAGTGTCTGCGTCTCTCGTATCGCATGAACATGGCTAAAACTGTATTCTAAACGGTATTCCACGTTTTATAACATGGCCTAGCTTTCTCTAGGCCACAAAAATGCTTTTTTGCAGAACAAGATCCCGTGCGGCGTGAACATTTTCCCGTTCGTCTTCCAACTTCCCCTCAACTGTCCGCCGTCTTTCGAAGGCTCTCACGGCTCGATCCGCTACTCTGTCCACGTGGAACTCGACCGCCCGTGGCGCTTCAACGCCGACACCAAAAAAGTGTTCTCAGGTTTGGTGCTCAAGGGTTACGGTATTCATTGATTGTTACAGTAATCCCATGCACCGACCTGAACACCATCCCTAAAGCCGTCAATCCGATGATCGCGCATGCGTGCAAACATTCCGGGTTTTTGGGGAACAGGGAGGTTAAGATGAAGGTTAGCAACTACAGTAATCCTTTTATTAACCTATAGTACCCTTCCATTTCAGGTCAACATTCCTAAACGAGGTTTCATCGCCGGAGAACTCATCCCAATCCACATTCAAATCACGAATCACTCCAAAAAGCCCATCAACGAAGCGAAGGCCCAGCTCATCCAACACGTGCACTACTCGGCTCAAAGAGCCCATTCGCATCTGTTCCCGCAAGAGCACTGCGAAAAGCATTGCGAGCACAAGACCGCCCGAACCGTGATGGCCGAGATCGAAAAGAGCGTTCGCGTGGAGTGTTGTACTGACGTCCGCGTGGATCTTGTGCTCGTCGTGCCACAACCATTGACGCCTTCGTTCCACATTCCGATTCTAGACGTCGATTATGTGGTTTCGGTGGAAATGGGCGAGAAATTGAAGTGCGAATTCCCACTGATTATTGGCTCTGTGCCGGTCAGCCAGATGGTCTCGATAGTTCCACCGCCAGCCTTTGTGGGCAGCTCAAGGGATCCGGAAAAGGTAAAAACCTGTATTTTTGTAGTTGTTCCATGACCACTCCCTGGCGTACTGTAGCTCTTGGAAGTTAGGACGACTTGGGGTGGCCTAGCTTTCAAGAGCTACAGTATTCTTAGGAGTTGAATACACTACTACGTGCCAAGATACTGTAAAAACAATTGCAGAGTCATCTCGGCCAACTCCTAACACTACCGTACTCTCTTTTCAGATGACCGCTCCCCCCGAATACACCGTCGGAGAATCATTTTTGACACTGAACACAAATAAATAATATTGAACAAACCGCAACTCGAAGACACGTTTCAGAAAGAAGGGAAATTGTGCGAGTGACTCTGAAATTGCGGCCAATTTCCGCGTCTTGTGGCTCCGAAACCGGCGCAAAACGAGCACATTTTGTGTGTATTCAAGTGTTTCCGCGACAAACCGTTTTGTTATGCGATAAAAAGTAGACGTACAATATCAGTTTCTTATCTCAACCAGCGAAAAATGTCTTACCATACTCTATTCTTCCTGTTATTCTGCTCAACTCTAGGCTACAGTAATCCGCCGGATCTTTCTCAGTTGAAACTTGAATTCGTTCAAGCGGTACGTGTACAGTACACCCACGCCCACACAAATCTTCTACACACTTTCAGATTTGGCGGCATGGCGAACGGGCGGCTCTTTCCGATTTGTACCCGGTTTTCGAGGCGAACTGGACGTTCGGAGGCGGCGGATTCGGAGAGCTGACGCCCAGAGGAATGGCTCAGATGGACGAGTTTGGCGCGTTGATTCGCAAGCGATACGTGGCCGAGCAACTGTTTCTGACGCAGAGGTTCAAGGCGAATCAGGTGCGTGCCCGGTTGACTCATCTACTTTCCACTTTCCACTTTTTAGATCCACATCCGTTCGACCGACGTGAACCGCACGATCCTGTCCGCTCAATCGCTTCTCTACGGCCTCTATCCTCCCGGCGACTGGAATGTGGCAGGTAGGGCGAAAGCTAGGCCACCGCCCAGAAATGCTAGGCCATCTCTCAGGTCTCGACTACCCGGCCACCGATTTCTGGCAGCCCGGATTCACCTTCATTTCGGTGCATGTCGACGGAAAGGACAAGTGTGTAGGTTATAATACAAAGAAACGTTCTAAAATTTTATTCTTAGGCCACTTCGCAGACGTGTGATTGTCCCAGGATCTCTGAACTTTTGACAACGATGCAGAAACTGCCGGAAGTCCAAGAAGCGATGAAAAAAGTACGAAATTCTCTATTGTCCTCGTGAGAATTCGCATTCTCTTGCAGATTTTCGCTCTGAACCGTCAAGTGGCCGGCTACTACAATATTTCGAAAGATGCGGATCAGTTTATGACGTACGCGGATGCGTGGAAGTGCCAACGCGCCTATTTCAACGATTCCATGTACCGACAACTTCCGTTCTACACCGAACAACTCTACACGACCGCGCAAACCACGTACGCACCCTACAAGGGCTTCATTCAGGGATATTTCAGTGAGTTTAGAGGAGTTGCGCACAGAATTCATCGCTTTTTTTGTCGGGAATTCTACGATTGTCGACGGAAACGATGTTGGCAGAGAGTTGAGAGCTTTGAGGGCGGGGCCTTTGCTCAATGAGCTCTATCAGAGGGCGCTGGAGAAGTTCGAGTGCTCACAGAGCCCTGGAACCTGCGGAGGCTACTTGCGGGCGATGAAGTTCTACGGATATTCAATGGTAAGCGATTTCTAGGCCACATAGGGGAATTCTAGGCTATGTAGGATTGTCCACGGCCGTCTAGGAGAATCCTAGGCCACCTTGCATCTTCCAGCACGACAACAACGTCTACTCGACCCTAGTAGTACTTGGCCTACAAAATCTGACCGGAACTCTGGACGGCTGGCCCGACTACGCTTCCGGAATTGTCTTCGAGTTCTTCCGAAACTCCACGTCGAATGAACGCTTTTTCAAGGTCTGCAAAAGTTAGGCCACCACTCGAAAAACCTCGGCCACCCGTTTTTCAGGTCCTGCACCGCGCGAAAACGGGCCAAGACCTTCAGGAAGTGACCGAAATGATCGCCAATTGCGATGGATCCACTTTTTGCCCGTTTTCAGCGTTTCAGAAGTTGGCCGACATGTATCGACCGGTGCCGGACTATCAAAAAGTGAGCAGATAATATTGGAAACGTGTTTTTGCATAAAACTCTTTTCAGGCTTGTCTCGCAACGACTTCATCCTCGAAAATCAATGTATTCGCAGTTTTTCTATGCATTTTTGTACTAGTTCAATAGTTCAGTGCATTTTTTTTGTTGTTTACAGCCTCCCCCCACACACACTCATAACTAGATCTAGGGATTACCCGAAAACCCCCACACCGACCTTCTTTTTTTCTTTTTTTTTTAATTTTTATGTACCTCTGTTTTGTGATGCAGAAGAACAAAATAAAGTCAATATTTGAGCTTGCCTTCCTTTACTTTTTTCAGTTTTTGTTTGAGTTTGGATTAAAGTAGGACAGAACAGACGGTTGAACACTTTTCTCGTTGTTTTTTGGGTGTTCCGTACTGTTTCTGTCGGTTTTTGGGTATTTTTCATTAGTGAGAAGTCATTTCAACGCAGAAAATAGAGCGTGGCAGTTATTTTCAATGAGAATTACGGTATTAAAGGCACAGCAACGAATCTTTGACAAGTTAGGAAAGTTGATCAACTTTCAACGCATATTTCTGCGTTGGCAGGCGTCCTATGACTCCAAAACTTCTTAAGCCTAATCTTGACGTCTAGTACTACATTTTTTCAGTTGACAACATTTCTCCACGGCCACTCCCTGGGGTACTGTAGTTCTTGGAAGTTAGGGCACCTTTTCACCGCACTAAAATAGCTCTAACTTTGAAGAGCTACAGTACCCCAGGAAGTGGTCGTGGAAAAAAGTGATCAACTACAAAATTACACTATTACACGTCAAGATTTCACACAACCAATTTTAAAGTCATAGAACGTCTTATAAAGCTACAGTACGTACTTGAAGTTGGCCCTTTTCCAAGTTCGCTTGCAATTCGATATTGTAGTTGTTTTCGACTGTTTCTTACGGTCTCCTATTGTACCCATGTAGCTCTAAAACTCTTTTTGCTTCCTCATTCCTTTGATTGTGTCGAAGAGCAATAAAAAATTACCTCAACAAACACCCAAAATCAGATCAAAAACCACAACGCGCTCTCTCCGAAAGTCACTATCACTTTATTATCATTTCGGCTCGACATTGTTCGTACTCTTCTCTTTTCAGATAAAAACCGTCTCGATTCGTTATCAGCCTACTTCCAGTCTGAAATCGAAACAATGCTGCGATTTGTGATCTTTCTTTCGGGCATCTATGGACAAATTCTCCTTCAAAACGTCATTGATCCGAGTTTTGTGAACGAGAATGATCTGGAACTTGAGTTTGTGCAAGCTGTAAGTGACCTAGGAACCCAAAATGCATTGATTCTCTAGAAAGACCTACAGTAATCGTTCAGGTGTGGCGACACGGCGATCGCGCGGCTCTCTGGGAATTATACCCCATCTCCGAGGCGAACTGGACATTCGGAGGCGGCGGATTCGGAGAATTGACGCCCAGAGGAATGAGCCAATTGCATCGGCTGGGCGCCATTTTCCGACAGAAATACGTGACGGATCAACAGTTTTTGAAGCATAGATACGCCGCCAAAGAGGTGAGCTCACGCAGTTTGGGTTCAAGAAGCCGTGAAGTTGCTCCGCATTCTTCTCCATCATTTTGCAGGTGTACATCCGCTCCACAGACGTCAACCGCACCATCATCTCCGCACAATCGCTTCTCTACGGAATGTACCCTCCAGGCGCCTGGAACGTGCAAGGTTCGAAACACATTCACTCTCACTCTTCGCTCAGACACTTTGATGTCTTTGAAACTTCGAATGATACTATGGAAAAGCATAAAAACGGCATGTTATAGGCGTCGATTACCCGAACAGTGTCGATTGGCAACAAGGTTTCACGTTTGTGCCAATTCACGTGGACGGCAACGATGCGTGTGTATGTTGTGGCCTAGAAAACGTTAGGCCACACTCGTTCTTCTTCCAGGCCGTCAATCAAAAGTGCCAATGTTCGCGTCTCGCCACACTTTTAACACTTTCCGACGAGCTGCCCGAAGTGCAGACCGCTCACGCGACTATGCTGGAAATGAACAGACGCGTCGCCGGATTCTACAATATCACCGCGAATGTCGAAACGTTTTACGAGTACCCCGACGCGTGGAAGTGTCAGAGAAACTATTTCAACGAGTCGCTCTACCAACAACTTCCCTGGTACAGCGAGGACCTCTACGAAGAGGCACAAAGAGCTCAGGCGCCGTACAAACAGTTCCAGGAGGGGCATTTCAGTGAGTGCGCGCGGATGGGACGACTCTAGATCGCGATGGTTTGCAGCGAATTCGTCGGTGGTCGACGGAATCGATGTGGGACGAGAGATAAAGACGTTGGTGGGAGGGCCGATGCTCGCGGAGATCTACAATAGAGGACAGGAGAAGTTGGAGTGCTCGGCGAGTCCGACAAATTGCACGAGCTACACAAAACCCTTGAAGTTTTACGGGTACTCGTCGGTGAGTTTGGCCGCTCTCTTGAAGTTTCTCACACAATTTCCCAGACAATTTTCTATATTTTCAGCACGATATGATAGTGTACGGCCTCCTCGTCCTCCTCGACATCGCCGATCTCGTGCAAACTGTCGATGGCTGGCCAGACTACGCCTCGGCCGTCGTCTTCGAATTCTACAGCAATCCCGACACGGACGAGCAATTCTTCAAGGTGCTCTATCGAGACAACGCGGAGAATCCGCTGGCCGAAGTGACGCACAGGATTCCGGTGTGCAACGGAGCGACTGTGTGCTCCATGCAGAATTTGCAGAACATTGCAGAGTACTACACACCGAAACCGGATTTCAAGACGGTATTCGCGTTGAAATGACATGGAATAGAGATGAAAATTAAGTTGTAGGCCTGCAAAACACCTCTGAATCTGGACAAAGCCTCGACAACGTCTTCAGCTCTTTCTGGCACCATTTTGTTGATCTCAACCCTAATTTCTACGTATTTTATGTAATATTAACACTTACAATTAAAGCCGGACACAATTTTGAAATAAACAATCGTTGAATGCTTGAAATATGTTGACGATATAAATTGGCATGAACCCTTGACGGTTACGGGTACGCGGCAATGATTTGATTGTTTGCAAAGGATTTTTATTTTGGAAACGTTCAGCGGGGGAAGAGAACGAAAAGACATTGAAAGTATGAGCCGTTACAGAAAATGTTAGAAAATCGGGAACTTTGACACGTGAATGAATGGATGAAGGGTAGGAAAAATAAAAGAAATGGATAGTATTATAGTTTGTGTCGTTTTGCGAGTGCGGCGATTGCCTCGGCGGCGGGCCGTTTGAGGGTGGCTTCCGGACGTCTGTGCACATTCCGATTGATTGCAACCGCCGCCATTCTCGGGTCGAAGGCGAACGGTGCCGGCTGGCTCACCGGCTGGTCCCGTTGGTTCTTGCGACGAGGTTTGTTCGTGGTTGGAGCAGAGGACGGTTGACGTGGAGCACGGGGTTTCTTCGTGGTTGGAGCAGAGGACGGTTGACGTGGAGCACGGGGTTTGTTCGTAGCTGGAGCCTTGGCGGGAACTGGAGCACGGGGTTTCCTCGTCGTTTTCGGAGCAGCAGCAGCAGAGGTTGTGGACTTTTTGATGGCAGGAGCACTTGGTTTCGGAGCAGGAGCCGCTGAAGTTGTGGACTTTTTTTGATGGCAGGAGCACTTGGTTTCGGAGCAGGAGCCGCTGAAGTTGTGGACTTTTTTTGATGGCAGGAGCACTTGGTTTCGGAGCAGGAGCCGCTGAAGTTGTGGACTTTTTGATGGCAGGAGCACTTGGTTTCGGAGCAGGAGCCGCTGAAGTTGTGGACTTTTTGATGGCAGGAGCACTTGGTTTCGGAGCAGGAGCCGCTGAAGTTGTGGACTTTTTGATGGCAGGAGCACTTGGTTTCGGAGCAGGAGCCGCTGAAGTTGTGGACTTTTTGATGGCAGGAGCACTTGGTTTCGGAGCAGGAGCCGCTGAAGTTGTGGACTTTTTGATGGCAGGAGCACTTGGTTTCGGAGCAGGAGCCGCTGAAGTTGTGGACTTTTTGATGGCAGGAGCACTTGGTTTCGGAGCAGGAGCCGCTGAAGTTGTGGACTTTTTGATGGCAGGAGCACTTGGTTTCGGAGCAGGAGCCGCTGAAGTTGTGGACTTTTTGATGGCAGGAGCACTTGGTTTCGGAGCAGGAACAGGGACCAGTTGAGCCTGAGGGACTGGAGACGGTTTACGTGGAATTGCCGGCGGAGCAATCGGAGTTTTAGGCAGCTTCGGAACGGACCGAAGTTGTGCACTTGCAGGAGGCGGTGGTGGAACTGGCGACGGCTCCCGGTTCTCCTTATCCTCCGAATCGGATTCCTCCAAATCGGATTCCTCCTCCGAATCGGATTCATCGGAATCGGACTTTTCGGACTTGTGGGCCTCCCACATTGCGCGCATCATTTGGGCATTCTTCGACGGAGCATTGGGATGGACGGGTCGGACCGGCAGAGGCATGTCTTCTTCGGATTCGGATTCGGAAAGATCGAGACCGTACTTGGCGAGCTTGGACGGAGAAGACATAGTTGGTTTGGAATAGAAAGACAAAGTGAGAAGTGTGTCACTGAGGTGTGAGTTGTGACGGTACAAACGGATATATATATATGTTTTGTGAGTGGGCGGAGCAACAGGGAAGATCCGTTTTAGGGGGGGATTGGAGGTATACTGGGAAAACACCCGGTGGTCCTTTTAAGACCGCCCGGCTGTGGGGTCGTAAATTCATAACTGGAGGCATAGATGTCAGGAAACTGCCTCGAGGAAGGTATGCATAGGGAACACACCGAAAGAGGTCGGGAGATTGGTTGGCAAAGGACGGGAAAGTGATTTCAGGAAGGAAAAGGAACGAAACTTCCTTGGTTTTGTTGCAGTTTATCATGTACATTTCGATTCCGATATCATCAAAACGCTGGTGGACGGCCAGTGTCACCCCGAAAACATGGAAACTTCTTTTCTGAAAGATAGATCAAGGAGGAGTGCTTTCAAGTGGTCCAATCTGTCTGAAATGCACTCCAATGGCACTAGAAGAGGGGTGATAGTCTGAAACAGTATCAGCGCAAAGAAAAGGTGTGAATCTGACTTTAAAATCGGATTCAGCACATCAAAACTATCGAATTGCGTTGTTACATGGCCGGTGGATTTGCTTTCATCTCAAGATGGCAATCTCATCATAGACCCCCGTCTGTTTGTTTGGGAAAACCATGACAGTTCGGCTCAAACTGACACTACCAATGGATTCGAAGAGGTCGACTACATGCATCCAATCACATCTTATGATTCAGTATCACCGGGTGACCGTAGGTGGCCACAGACTCCTCATTCACCTACAGTGCGCGTCATAAAGATAGGACACAGCCCCCTAAAATGATGTCCTAGAGACAACTAAGCACATTTTCGAGAAAAACTGTGAATGCCATTCGATTCAGTATCCAAAGCAACCTACGAAACCAATTTTTTAAATTCCTACGTCAAAAACTGAAGCTACAGCACTGAAAAGTCTTAAAATCGGGCGCGCCATAAAGATAGGACACCCCCCAAAAATAGAGGGATTTTTAAACTTTTTATGCTTTGTTCAGATAATGTTCCGGTTTTTGGGTTGTATTATTAAAGTTTCATTATTCATTTGTGTTTTTATTGAATTTCTGACAAAACGATCCAATTATAGTGTTGTTCGCATAGATGTTAAGTTGTTCCGGACAAAATTCGAAATCTTTGAACAATTTTTGTTTTAAAATGTTTTATTAACAAAGGAATCTTATTAAATGTTCACAGAACATGAAATAATTAATAAGAAGTTGTTCCTCCAAACTTTCGTATCACTTGGCTCAGTCGGTTCGGCATTCTCTTTGTCAGAGACTCCAAATAGGTTGGCGAGAGCTTGCCCCATTCGTCCCAATTAACATCCTTGAGCTCGTCAACTGTTTGAAGATGCTTAATCGAATGGCATTCACAGTTTTTCTCGAAAATGTTTAGTTCTCTCTAGGACGTCATTTTAGGGGGATGTGTCCAATCTTTATGACGCGTGAATGAGGAGTCTGTGGCCACCTACGGTCACCCGGTGATACTGAGTCATTAGATGTGATTGGATGCATGTAGTCGACCTCTTCGAATCCATTGGTACTGTCAGTTTGAGCCGAACTGTCATGGTTTTCCCAAACAAACAGACGGGGGTCTATGATGAGATTGCCATCTTGAGATGAAAGCAAATCCACCGGCCATGTAACAACGCAATTCGATAGTTTTGATGTGCTGAATCCGATTTTAAAGTCAGATTCACACCTTTTCTTTGCGCTGATACTGTTTCAGACTATCACCCCTCTTCTAGTGCCATTGGAGTGCATTTCAGACAGATTGGACCACTTGAAAGCACTCCTCCTTGATCTATCTTTCAGAAAAGAAGTTTCCATGTTTTCGGGGTCACACTGGCCGTCCACCAGCGTTTTGATGATATCGGAATCGAAATGTACATGATAAACTGCAACAAAACCAAGGAAGTTTCGTTCCTTTTCCTTCCTGAAATCACTTTCCCGTCCTTTGCCAACCAATCTCCCGACCTCTTTCGGTGTGTTCCCTATGCATACCTTCCTCGAGGCAGTTTCCTGACATCTATGCCTCCAGTTATGAATTTACGACCCCACAGCCGGGTAAGCCGGTGTCCAAAGTTGCGTTTGGGAATAAACACTGGGTGGTCTTAAAAGGATCACCAGGTGTTTTCCCAGTATACCTCCAATCCCCGCCCTAAAACGGATCTTCCCTGTTGCTCCGCCCACTCACAAAACATATATATATCCGTTTTTGCGTCACAACTCACACCTCAGTGACACACTTCTCACTTTGTCTTTCTATTCCAAACCAACTATGTCTTCTCCGTCCAAACTCGCCAAGTACGGTCTCGATCTTTCCGAATCCGAATCGGAAGAAGACATGCCTCTGCCGGTCCGACCCGTCCATCCCAATGCTCCGTCGAAGAATGCCCAAATGATGCGCGCAATGTGGGAGGCCCACAAGTCCGAAAAGTCCGATGAATCTGATGAGGAGGAGGAATCCGATTCGGAGGAATCCGATTCGGATGAATCCGATGAGGAGGATAAGGAGAACCGGGAGCCGTCGCCAGTTCCACCACCGCCTCCAGCAAGTGCACAACTTCCGTCCGTTCCGAAGCTGCCTAAAACTCCGATTGCTCCGCCGGCAGTTCCACGTCAACCGTCTCCAGTTCCTCCGGCTCAACTGGTCCCTGCTCCTGCTCCGAAGCCAAGTGATCCTGCCATCAAAAAGTCCACAACTTCAGCGGCTCCTGCTCCGAAACCAAGTGCTCCTGCCATCAAAAAAAGTCCACAACTTCAGCGGCTCCTGCTCCGAAACCAAGTGCTCCTGCCATCAAAAAAAGTCCACAACTTCAGCGGCTCCTGCTCCGAAACCAAGTGCTCCTGCCATCAAAAAAAGTCCACAACTTCAGCGGCTCCTGCTCCGAAACCAAGTGCTCCTGCCATCAAAAAAAGTCCACAACTTCAGCGGCTCCTGCTCCGAAACCAAGTGCTCCTGCCATCAAAAAAAGTCCACAACTTCAGCGGCTCCTGCTCCGAAACCAAGTGCTCCTGCCATCAAAAAAGTCCACAACCTCTGCTGCTGCTGCTCCGAAACCAAGTGCTCCTGCCATCAAAAAGTCCACAACTTCAGCGGCTCCTGCTCCGAAACCAAGTGCTCCTGCCATCAAAAAGTCCACAACCTCTGCTGCTGCTGCTCCGAAAACGACGAGGAAACCCCGTGCTCCAGTTCCCGCCAAGGCTCCAGCTACGAAGAAACCCCGTGCTCCACGTCAACCGTCCTCTGCTCCAACCACGAAGAAACCCCGTGCTCCACGTCAACCGTCCTCTGCTCCAACCACGAACAAACCTCGTCGCAAGAACCAACGGGACCAGCCGGTGAGCCAGCCGGCACCGTTCGCCTTCGACCCGAGAATGGCGGCGGTGGCAATCAATCGGAATGTGCACAGACGTCCGGAAGCCACCCTCAAACGGCCCGCCGCCGAGGCAATCGCCGCACTCGCAAAACGACACAAACTATAATACTATCCATTTCTTTTCTTTTTCCTACCCTTCATCCATTCATTCACGTGTCAAAGTTCCCGATTTTCTAACATTTTCTGTAACGGCTCATACTTTCAATGTCTTTTCGTTCTCTTCCCCCGCTAAACGTTTCCAAAATAAAAAATCCTTTGCAAACAATCAATTTTTAACTGCTCATCTTGATTTAGATTCATGGGTCACCCACATATGGCCTGAAAAAGGTAAAGAAGCAAAGAAGAAGCGTATTTACAAACAAAAGAGGGGAAGCCAGGGCTGGGCAATTGGCCGGCCCGGGCTTTTTGTTGGCCGACCATTGACCTGGACATTTGAACCACTTGCAATATTCCGATCCGACCCAAACTTTGCAGGCTTCTTTTACTTGGATTGAGGGCCATTGGGACCAAGTTTCAGCCCGATCGGATCGTCGGGTCCCGGGATATGTGGATCATTGGTCGATTTTTTCCAAAAAGCCCGGGCTTCCGGCCAATTTCGGCCAATGCTCTACATATCTCGGGACCCGACGATCCGATTGGGCTGAAACTTGGTCCCAGTATGCTATCACTCACATTTCCTCTGAAAACACGTGGCGTGGCAACCTCTCCTCTAACTCTACTTTCAATATCAGAATTTGAAGTTGAGGGCGTTTGAAGTCAGTTCTCGTTTGATTCGAAATCGAAATCGAAGAGAGATGAGTCGGACCATTTGGATCGTTCGTCACGGACAACGCATCGACAATGTCGACAAGAAGTGGAAGGCTAACAATCCGACGAAGCGCGACGATCCGGAGCTAACGTGGGAGCCCAAAAATCCTTCAAATGTTTCTTTTTCTTTCAGAATCCGTGGAAAGCAGCAGGCTCACGAGGTCGGGAAGTATTTTGCGAACATGAACATCGAGGCGATCATCAGTTCGCCGTTCACCCGCTGCATCGAAACGTCCGCCGAGATTGTGGCGATGATGCAAGAGAAACCGAAGATTTGCGTCGAGCCCGGACTCATAGAGCCGCTCGACCGGTGCATGGACCCGCCTGGCGCGCCAACAATCGAGAAGCTCAAAGAGCTGACGACGCAGATCGACGAGACGTACAAACCCGTGTTTGAGAAGGTGCCCGCCGAGCCCAAGGGAGATTTGGGATGTGCCGAGCGGGTCGTGAAGACGTTCAAAGAAGTGGCCGGAAAGTTCAAGGGCAACATTATCATCGTGTCGCACGGCAGCCCCATCGCCAACATCCACGCGTTCCTCAAGGGACACTGGAAGTACGTCGGACAATGCACCATTTGTGAGTTGCATAATATCAATGATCATCTTCAATCGTTTCAAGTTTTCAGCCAAAGTGACGGATCTCTATGGAACCGGTTTCCGTCTCGACTACTACAGCGACAAGAAGCACCTCTCGCAGCCGTACGATTTGCACGAGGACGAGGTGATCGTGCCGCGTACTGGAAACGAATAAATTGCGAGCGTTTGTGTGTTCTTTCCATAATAATGAAGATTTTTTGGGTGTTTAGGAGTTCTGTTTCCTAATATCTATACTTGAAATCAAGACTTTCGGACTCCTTCCCAATAAAGTGGCCGATGCACACACAATTGTATATTCACCATTCATTAGAGGATGCAGATGTATCACATTGATTTTGATTGAATTTTGAGGTTACAGGGGATATTGTCGTTCTGAAGGTGCGTGAATGTCACTCTAAAAGTCGAACTTGCATGGCGGTGGGCTTTGATGTGCCACGTGGAGGCCAGAGGTCATGCTTCTCGAAAGTTCCATGACCTCTGACCTCTGACACACGTGGCGTTCTGTACTGATTCGATAATATCAACGACGCTTCGACCCTCGACTTCCCAATCATTTACTCTCGATCGCCACCGGCTCTTTCCTCCGTCTTCGCAACTCCCAGATGATCGCCACCGGGTCCAGGATGCTCGAGGATGCATAACAAGATTCTACAGTCGAATGGATACGTTGCGAACGTCCAAGAAAATCCTCATTGCTGATGATGCCTCGAAATGATGATGCCGACTCAAGAAGAAAGAGATGCCAAAGAAAAAGCACAACTTTTTTACCTCATTATTTACCCATTTTGGAAAGTGTTTTGATCAATTTTTGTGGTTCTAATAAAGCACTTTATCGTTGAAGTATGTGCGTGGCCTAACTTTTCCTAGGCTCTTCGCTACAAACAGAAAATGACTCGATTTTTAACTTTATTCCATCCAAAAACCGTTCACAAAATGACATAAAACGCGACACATTCGCCGGCCGGACACACTTGATACCATTCACAATCGGCACGAGTTTGGCATGGACTCGGCGCCCAAAACGGCACAAACGTGGCGTGAATCTTCTGGAAAACAAGATGTGAACGCATAGAAATGCTCCAAATTGAACACGGACCGTGAGCAGAAGAAGTAGGAGGAAAATAGTGAACTTTATCATTATGAAGACAGAAATGAAACGTACTTAGAAATACGACTATTTTGTTGTTAGAAATGACGTGGGAGGTAAGTGAACCGGCGACGAAAATACAGAAGAGATCAACAGGGGGATGGCCTAGGTCGAGTTTCCAAGGCCACCACTCGCGGCCGCGCTTTTCAAAAGCTCGGCCACAGTCGGCGGCGCGGTCGACGGAGCCGTGGGCGTGGGTGTTGGAGCCAGCGGAGCCGCCGGTGATTTCTCGCGGATCACATTTCCGCCGGGTTGAGTGATCGGGAAGAGTGGCAGCATGAACGGCGAGAGGTTTTTGCACGCCTGCAAACGAGGTTCTCATTGGGCAGTTTGAAAAAATCGGGTTACCTGAACTCTTGGGTACTTTGCGTTGGGTCTTCTGCCACGAGGCACTCGGCTAGCCGCCAGGATACTGTCAATTGAGAAGGGGAACGTGGGCAGCGGCTGGAAGAGGAAAAGTTAGGTCAAGTCCTCAAGAGATTCGCCACCACCACCAACCTTAACTTCTCCAGCAACTCCATCGCCATCCTTTCTCTGCTCACCACCTCCGTTCCGATTCTGCTCTCGCTTCCTCCACTTGGCTCTTCGATTTTGAAACCACACCTGTAAACAAATAGTGGCCGAACTTTTTTCCTAGGCCACTGTGGTAATCAAGATCCCTTAGCCGAAAAGCCGAAAAAAAGACGTTCGAGGCCATTAATTCCCGGAAACTTGCAACCCAGTCGGCCGAGTTCTAATCAGATTCTCCTATTTTCATTCTACTCTCGTGCCTAAAGATATCTGCGACACGATAAAGGCGGCAATAAATTTGTGGAGTCCCCACGCAGTTGTCACATCTTTTTCCGGCCTTGTTTATGTGTCGCGCTTCCTGAGATTTGCGGGCGAAGAGAATGGGGGAACGGGATCCCATGCCTACCGTAACCCCTCGCCTCTCCCTTCCCTTAATGGCAAACAAGTAGTTATGAATGCGTGCCCTCATAAGGGAATTCGCGCGCTCGCCCAATCCATCATGTCTCACTCAGTGCTCTCTCGAGCCACAGACACCCCCCCCCCCCTTTAGAAGATGCTTTGCGCTCGCTCAAAAACAAAACCAATCATCTCGAGGAGGATTACGGTAGCCGGCTTGTTCAGTGGGGAAAAATGAGGATGAGATGATACCTGAACTCGACTTTCAAGAAGGTCCAAACGCATCGCCAGGGCCTCGCGCATGAAGACGTCCGGATAGTGAGACGCCTCGAACGCCGATTCCAGTTCTTCTAGTTGCCAACCTGTGAACAAACCACGATTTTGTCAATGCTCTGTACTATTTGGATCATTAGCCGCTCATGGACTCTAAGTCGTCGCATTGTTTATCGCAAAAGTGTATGTTGTCAATTAGTCAGTTCTAAAAGCAAGTCTGGAGACATTTTGTTTACGCTAGGTGGTCTCGCTGATTGTGATTATCAAACAACGTTGTGACTTTGAGCCTGATTATGATCCAACAAAGCTCTGACTCATAACGCAGAGAATCTTTTCGAAACGTGACTAGGCCCAGAATCTAAACACCTTGTGGCCTAGAATTTGAAAAGCCTATGGTCTAGGATTCAACAAAACTCTGGCCTAGTGGCCCACAAACCGACAAGCCCGAAGACTAGGATCCGACGAATCCATGACCTAGAGATGGACTAAACTGTGGCCTAGGATCCGACAAACGAGACACCCATAGTACGTTACCGGAAAAGTTGGTCCTGGTCCTCCGCCGCTTCGCCGCCGTCTCCCCGCTCTCGTTGTCCTCATCTCCGACGACCTCATCCTCCAGTTCGTCCGGCGACGTGGATGCTTCGCGCGACGACGTCGATTTCTCGGTGGTCGCTTCCGGTTGTTGGGCCGGTGATACGGGAGTCGCGAGGAGCACTGAAATGAGCAAAATGCTGAACGATTCGGAGGATTCAAAGTTACCTGAATGGAGTTGAGTTTTGAAAAAGTCGCTCCAAATATCATTGATGATTTTGACGGGCTCAATATCGCCACTCGTCTGCTGGAGCCCGATCATTTTGAGCCGAAAGTCAAGAGGAATACGAAAAATAAGCAAAAAAAAGTGAAGAGAGAGAGAGAGAAGCTGCTCCTCCCCTTTTCGCGTCCAATCCTCGAAAAAGTGGGCGGAGCCTGGGCTAAGGCTCGCCGAGCCAAAGGGAAAAGAACAATTAACATATACTAATATGATGTGATTTGTCCCCAGAGACGCTCCGAAAGAGCCAAAAGATGGGAGAGGCAAAATATGAAAAGTTTTCGACTAAAACGTGTTATCGTTTTCACTGATCTGTTGAGGGGACCCAATTATAAGAAGCTTGGGCCTAAATTTGTTGCGTCGGCAAGAAAGATTGAAATGGATGATATCGACAAGATGGATAATATAAAGATGGTCCCTACAGTAGCTCTTTTTCTTTTTTTCGTCCAATTCATCCTCATCCGCCTCATTCGGTTCTCATCAAATTGTGTGGAGAAAAGGGACAGAGACAAAACAAATTGACTGGTGATCCATCTCGAATTTCGCGGTTTCAAATTAAGCGACGCTTGGATCCATTGCCATTCGTGTACGCAGAAACAGAGAGAGAGAGAGAGAGAGAGAGAGACAAAAAATTAGCATTGAAATTGAAATTTTCGCTTTGTGAAAAGGCACCGTCTCAAATGGAATAATAATAATAATAATACAAATAAGTTGAAGAGCATTTGCATTCTTCCATTTTACGCCAAAATGCTTTTTAGGGGTTGGTGTTCGGGATTCGGACTTCTAGGCCATCTACTAAGATTCCTAGGCCATCCCTTGAGTTGTACATGGATCCCTGAGACTTTCAGTTTATTTCTAGGCCATCTACAGTAGTTCCAAGGCCCCTTCTTAGATATCTAGGCCATCTAGATATCTAGGCTTCAATTTCGAAGATTCATTGTAAAAACCAGCAGAAATAGAAAAAAAGACGAAAAAGGCAATGTTATAGCATAAAAACCTGTTAAAAAATAGAAATTGCTGTTTAAAGTCGCAAAATTTTCACAAAAATTACGAAAATTTTCTCAAGAGTGGGCGGAGCGATTGATTGCAACTCTGGCACGCCATTTTAGCAATTTTGCCGCACGCGTTTTCCTCTTCCTTCATATTTTTTTTGCATATTTTTTTTTGAGGTCTAACTTCCGGGCCGACGATTTGCTGGCCCGGCCCGGCCCGGGATTTGGCAAGTCTGGTTTCTAGAGGCCGTTTCCAACTTCTCCACCCCACTGGAGTGTGTCAAATTGCAACGACGTCAATCATTTGGGAGTGTTGAGTAGTCAACTGCTAGATAAATCTTTGCTCATCAGTCACAATTCCATTTTTACTCTCTCACTTTCCACGCGAGTCAGGAGACGAACGAATCATCATTGAAATGCGAGAGACGCAGACGAATTTCGAGGGTGAGGCGGGTGCGCGAAATCACAAAATTTGCATAATTCGGCCGGAGGTGGTTATGGTTATGATGGACAGCTCATTTGAGAATAGAATTGGATCGTGTTGAAGCATTTCCTCGACTACAGTAATCTTTTGCGATGATGACGTGGCACTACCACCCAGTTTTTGGCAACATTCTTTCGAGTTCGTTTCTCGCAAATTTGCTGTGCGTGTGCCGCCTAAAATAAGAAACGAGACCGCGGGGAATTCGCGAGGGGCGGAGATGAGTTATATGTAATAATAATGTGGTCCCTCTCAGTTTCGGTCCCCTCGAAACTTTTGCCGTTTCCAACTTTGGACGGGCAATCAAAATATTATCGTTTTGAGCAATCTTTTCTTTTCATATTCCATATTTTATGGAAAAAGTATAGAGTGGCTCTAGGCGTTTTCGATCATTCAAGCACAGAGAGTGATTTACATAATTGGGGGTCGGGTGTGAAACGTTGAAAAATTGGAAAAATTGCCTGCGACCGGCGGTGTGTCTTTGTGGAAGAAGATTGATGAAGGAGCAAATTGGAAACGGACTCAAATGAGACATTCGAATGGAGAATTCATGGTTCCGGGGTGGATTTTGGGATCCGAGTGAGAGACTGTCGGCTCATTTCTTGTGGACCTAGCCGGGCAACCTCCACTTTCTCGCAAAAAAAAGGCGTTCAAAGAGCAACACGTTGGGCCATCATACAAAAGGTTTTATTGTAGGTGCACAATCCATTCACATAGTGATCCAAGTCCCGTCGGTTAGCATCAGAGCGCATCCGACGTTCGTCCAGTAGGGACCGCCTTTCTTCACCGCATTCTTCTTCAACTTCCACACACGCTTCCGGAGATCACACTCCAAATTCGCAATTATCGATCCTTGGCCGATGCCCAACTGAAACAACAAAAAAGGTATAAATAAAGCGGGTACCGTACCAATTCTTCTTGTTTCGGATTCCCATTGACCGTCTGATTTCCAGCGATTCCGACGGCGACGAAGGTTCTAGAAGGGGCCATGTTGCACGTGAGTTCGATGGGTTCGGAGCATTGGAAATCGGTGTCGGAGACGTTGGCATGGAAAGATTGGATAGGGACAGCAGTCTGGAAAGAGAAAGGTTTGTGGTCGGTGGCCTAGAAACCTTACCAATTGCCTGAGCCACTCCGGATCCAGCCAAAACGAGGAGAGCAGTGAGAAGGGCGTTTATTTCGTTTTCTACACACGTCTGTGCTCGTTTATATACTCTTGGTCATAACAGTTTTATGAAATGAGTTTATTACACCGATAAAATCGAAAAATCATAAATTTGTTGAGTTTTCGGTGTGCGACAGTCAGCCACGAATCCATTTTCCGTTGATCTTCTGATAGGCACAATAGAATCGTTGGTACTGCTTCTTCTGTCCGTCTGCGTGCCACAAATGCTGTTCAGGATCGCAGACGACGTCGGAGAACGCGTTGGAGGCGTCGGATTTGATCTGAAATGTACGGTTTGAGGACATTCTAGCACATAAACCGACAATATTCTCTTCAATATTCTCGACCACATCTCCTGGCATTCCGACGGTCGCCACTTTTTTGAATAGCGTCGAGGGCGCAAGGCTGCACGAGAAGTTGACGGGCTCCGAGCATTCAAAGTTGTTCCTGGTGACGTTGGCGGTGCTGATGCTGATGGTTAGGAGCGGGTACGAACAGCATTCTGAAAGAGGGGACTAGAAATTCAGGATGGTGGCCTAGAATTCACTAGTTTCCTGTCCTGCAGCAAAAACGACGAGAAGAGCGCTAACGAGAAGAGTTTTCCCGATCATTTTTGTTCTGGTCTTGGCTGGAATGGCTTATATACTGGGTGTTGGTGATAAAAAAGGGGCATAACAGTTTGTTTTATGATAATGTCCTTCTGAAATCGAAAAGAGATGTGTCAGAATCGAAGGAAATTGAGTCATAGATTCCTTGCCAACTAGTACACTTCAAAACTACATTGTTGAGCTCTCAGTTCCCAAAATGTCTTACCGTAAATGTGTACTGTAATAGCGTTCATTCATGACAATATATCTCATCTGCCCGAAGAGATATTAAAAAAGTTGTCAACTAATAAATTATTCATGAAGACTTTGCACATATTTTATCAGTTGACAACTTTTTTTCATATATCCGCCGGGAGCTGAGATACACCACGGCCATCATTGTTGTTGTTAAGACCTAACACTGCTGACACTTGGATTGCAGAAATGAATGCTTATAAACTTTATTGATCTGCAGATCAAATCAAACAAAATTATCCATGAATCCAGGATCCGTCCGCTTTCTGATAGGCGCAGTAGAACGAGTTGTACAGCTTCACCCGCTTATATCCGTGCCACAAATGTTTCTTAGCGTCGCAGACGATGTCAGCAGAGGCCATAGTGGTATCCGATGCGATCTGGAATCCACTACTTTCCAGTTTCTTCCGTCAACTTCTATTGCACTCACAATATTCTGCGGAATGCTCTCCGTCGAGTTGATCTGTTTTCCAACGGCTGCCACACGTCGGAACGTCTCATCCGGGTCTGGAGCGAGTGCGCAGTAGATCTTCATGGGTTCGTCGCAAGTGAAACGGAATATGGTGACGTTGGTCGCCGTGATGCTGATGGTGATCGGGTACGCACAGCAATCTGAAAGCGGGGGACTAGAAATCCATAGTGATGGCCTAGAACTCACCAATCTGTTGCCCGTGGGCCACAGCCGCCAAAGCGAAGAGAGCAGCGCTCACGAGAACACTTTTCGCGATCATTTTTCGTTGAAGAACACGGGGAGTTTTGTGCTTTTATACGGAAGTGGTCGGTGATAAAAAGATAAAAAGTGAAAATGGATGTCTTCACTAGAAAGTGAATTCACTTTCACCTAGCCATGAACCCCAAACATGGCTACCTCACCTGAGGTATTAACTTTTTTTCACTTGGATCAAACAAGATATTTGTTTTGCTTTTTAAAAAATAAACCAAGAAGATAAAATAACAACAAACATGAAATAACAAAAATTAACAACAATCAATGATTATTCACTTTTCCCCTTCCGGAGAAGATTCTTCAAGTCGTTACATAGACTTTTTTCCTCAGAATTTCGATTGCTCATTCAACATTTCCTGCTTAACATTTCCTGCTGAAATATATCTTATTCAAAGTTATTTAAAGTCTTTGGCCTTTTCGACTTACCTTTTCAGCATACCGTCTTGAATCTTTCTCCTCGTTAAACATAATAAAATATCTGGTCAGTGAACACATCTTTCACTGTTCGAAGAGATTCACTAATTTCGTTAAATTGATTTTGTAGTAAAACCTGCAAATAATAAATAATCTAGTGTATCAAACAGAATAGACTTACCAGTTCTTTCTGTTCACTTTTACACTTTCTATGGAGAAGTAGAGATTTCTTGACACGAGAAGCATCCTTCATCTTAGAAAATATTGAACTTTGCTTGAAAAACATCTTGAAAATGAAATAGATAACAACACAAAAACTGAAGAAAATTGCGACGCAAATCGTTCTCAAATGAGACACTTCGTTCTTTCATACCTGTTTGCCAGCACCTTCGAGAAGTTTCGAGTGTGACCACTCTCTCCTTTTCCTTCAGTTCTCTCGACGCGACACGCAAACGCGTTGGGGTAGAGTGGAAGGGTGATGAGAGTGACGCGTGACCAGAGACGCAGAGGAAGGCGAGAGACTGCCAGCATCACATTCTTGCATTAATCTTTGTGAATAGGAAAGAGACCCTTTTTTCGTCTGAAGTTCGCATTGTTTTCGTGATTTTCCATCTATGTATGATAATCATTGTTTTTATTTTATTTTTCAGTTCCACAACAATGGAAATAGGTTTGCTTCTCATTCTTCAAGATCAAAACGGAGTATCCCATCGTCAGAAGCCAATCACATTCACTGATGAGGTTTTTTAACAATCATATTCTAACTAATTTGAATGTTTGTTTTAGACGACAATCAAAGAGTTGAGCGAGGCAATCAATTCCTTTTGGTTTATTCATCAAAATTATCAAGAATTATATCACAACGGGAAGCAGATTATATCGCTAAAGTCTACATTAAAACAAATTGGTGTGAAGGACGACGACGAGATTGTGATCGTAAGTGTTTTTATTATTATTTTTGTTCATTTAGCATTGCTAAGCCAAAATTATATCAAAGGTTTTTTATTGGATATACGTAGATCTTTTCATGGGTAAATTTGACGATTTTTGAGATTCAAAAAGTGCTTAATTTTTATATACATAGCTAGCGGATTCTGTAAAATTGCTCTCGAGTTGAATAAAATTAGTAAAATTGTTAATTTTCAGAAACATTCTGAACTTTCACGGTGGACTGCGTACAAAAAATGTCTGGATTTGGTGCTAAAGAAGACCGATGACAAAAAAGCAAATGCAAGAGATGCTGTCAGACATCACGAACTTCTGATGAAATGTGGATTCTTCGATGCCTACCTTCAATTCGACGACTATCGAAAACAAAAACATTCTAAAGTCGCCTCTTGGACCGATGGGGACATCAATTTGATTCGTGATGCGGCAGAACAATACTTCCACCGTCTTCATGATCTGAAGAGAGGAAACCAAGAATCCGATTTTATTTGCAACTTCGAAGACCAAGATCTCGAATTAGGAGGCAGATCTACTAGTACACTGGCATTTGTTCGGATCCATGGTGAAGACTTCGTTTCGAAGTTCTACATCAAGTATGTTTTCGATTCATTCATTCAAGATCCGTTTTTGTTTTTTCCTATTTTATTTTTATCGAAATCAAGATTGATCTGTAATGTTCAGATGTCACCATTTTGGACCAAAAGACACAAGCTCGGGCCAGCCTCCGGACATCAACGAACTATACTGCTACAAGCTGTTGGAGCTGATCGCCGTCGGACCAACATGCCACATTGTTCCACCCATCATCACTTCTGGAACAAAACAAGCGTGTAAGGATATATACATATTAGTAACAAGTAGCAATATAGTATAGAAAGTGACATACATACCTATGCATTTGTAGGTACATTGCTACAAAATGGGACGACAATTTTAAACTCATGGAGCACGTTATCCAAGAGAATGGTCTTACCGCTGATTTAGCCGTGCAGCTGGTTTTGCTGCGGGTGTTATTATTTATTGCTGATCTTCATCTACAAAACTGCGGTTTGTTTCAAAGTCTGAAAACCTGAATATTATTGATTTATTAATTTCAGGGGTCTGGAAAGGGACCAATAACATTGCGATTGTTGACTTCGCACCGGAAAATGAGATTACAGTTCATGATGACATCAAAGCCCAACTGTTTACAACTTTTCCACATTCAAGATGGAAAGAAGAGTTCAAAGCAGTGAAAAATAAATTGGACGACAACTCATGGTTGAAGATAGCCAAACAGAATTTGGATAAGTGGGGTTTGTCTCGTAAGATCGAACTGGCTCAAGAACAACTCGATCCCACAAAAGACGTTTTAAAAGGAATAGAACTTGGCTTTAAGAAGCGGAAATTATGCTATAGTCCCACAGATCAACTGAAGCAATACGTCGATATATTGAACAAGAATTTAGAAAATCTTCAAATTGTTTTGAATTCCACTGTTCACTAACAGTAATCTTCGTCTTGCTGGGTTGTACTTGTCGATAGTGATCTCAGAACCATAAATAAAGCGTGTATTCTACCTCACATAGTATCTTTTGCTTTTGTTACTGAATTCACAATTCCTACTTCTCGTGGTTGTATCCATTGTGGTGGTAAAGTGTCTCGCATGAAGATACCTCTACAATTCTTGATTTCCAATACTTCGATTAAAGCAAGGAGATCTTTCTCTAGCTTCATCATTTAATGAACATAATTTTTATTCACCGTTCTAGCGCATTTTTCTCGACCATTTCGACCATTGGATTTCGACCACATTTTCAAGGTAGCGCATTTCGACCTTTTTACCATTTTTGAAAATTGTTTGAAATGACACATTTTTGATGACCGAAGGTTAGAAATCAATGAAAATAAGCCTTAAAATGGCTTAAAAGTGTAAAAATTGCGGATGGGCGAAAAGGTGCGTTAGAACGGCAAAATACATATTATTCGGGTACGAACAGCATTCTGAAAGAGGGGACTAGAAATTCAGGATGGTGGCCTAGAACTCACTAGTTTCCTGTCCTGCAGCAAAAACGACGAGAAGAGCGCTAACGAGAAGAGTTTTCCCGATCATTTTTGTTTTGGTCTTGGCTGGAATGGCTTATATACTGGGTGTTGGTGATAAAAAAGGGGCATAACAGTTTGTTTTATGATAATGTCCTTCTGAAATCGAAAAGAGATGTGTCAGAATCGAAGGAAATTGAGTCATAGATTCCTTGCCAACTAGTACACTTCAAAACTACATTGTTGAGCTCTCAGTTCCCAAAATGTCTTACCGTAAATGTGTACTGTAATAGCGTTCATTCATGACAATATATCTCATCTGCCCGAAGAGATATTAAAAAGTTGTCAACTAATAAATTATTCATGAAGACTTTGCACATATTTTATCAGTTGACAACTTTCTCATATATCCGCCGGGAGCTGAGATACACCACGGCCATCATTGTTGTTGTTAAGACCTAACACTGCTGACACTTGGATTGCAGAAATGAATGCTTATAAACTTTATTGATCTGCAGATCAAATCAAACAAAATTATCCATGAACCCAGGATCCGTCCGCTTTCTGATAGGCGCAGTAGAACGAGTTGTACAGCTTCACCCGCTTATATCCGTGCCACAAATGTTTCTTAGCGTCGCAGACGATGTCAGCAGAGGCCATAGTGGTATCCGATGCGATCTGGAATCCACTACTTTCCAGTTTCTTCCGTCAACTTCTATTGCACTCACAATATTCTGCGGAATGCTCTCCGTCGAGTTGATCTGTTTTCCAACGGCTGCCACACGTCGGAACGTCTCGTCCGGGTCTGGCGCGAGTGCGCAGTAGATCTTCATGGGTTCGTCGCAAGTGAAACGGAATATGGTGACGTTGGTCGCCGTGATGCTGATGGTGATCGGGTACGCACAGCAATCTGAAAGCGGGGGACTAGAAATCCATAGTGATGGCCTAGAACTCACCAATCTGTTGCCCGTGGGCCACAGCCGCCAAAGCGAAGAGAGCAGCGCTCACGAGAACACTTTTCGCGATCATTTTTCGTTGAAGAACACGGGGAGTTTTGTGCTTTTATACGGAAGTGGTCGGTGATAAAAACGGGCAGTTATGCAAATGTAAATTCAAATGAGCTCATAAAATTTGATAGTGTTCGGGTGATGAAAAGCCAACAAACAGTATACATTCCCATTTTTATTACTAAAAAAGTGAGTCGGGAAGTTTCATGGACATGTGAATGTGATCCATATGGACAATATTGATTCCCTCTAGAGCGTTGTAGTGTTGCAGAGCTGAAAACCAAAAAAATCTTGTATGAAGCTACCGTACTCTCTCATCCTACCGTAGTAATGTCCGGAAGAGGTTTGAGTGTCTGTGCCAGAGTCTGAAGAGCCGAGAATGGACACAAAGTGGCTCCGGCGCAAATTGGAAGCAATTGGGTCATCGGCTCGATTGCCTGATCGTCTCCCGAACGGTAGAAGACCTAGGCAACGGGTTCTTTGAGTACTGTGAGATTGATTACCTTGAAGAACTTCTCGTTGGTCGCTGTGTCTCTGTGGAACTCCAAAAAAAGCCCAGCTGCGTAGGCTGGCCAGCCATCAATGGTCCCGGTGAGTTGCGGGATTCCGAGGGCCACAAGGGCTGCGTACACATTGTTATCGTGCTGAAATCGAAAAAGATGGTCTAACTCTAGATTTTGTGCCAAAGACTTTGAACAAATGGTCTTAAAGCTATAATTTTGATGGCCTAGAATCACAAACTCACAATCGAATATCCATAGAACTTTAATTTCTTCAAATAGCTCGTACAACTCGTGTTCGCCGCCGCACAATCCAACTTCTCGTTCGCCCGATCGTAAAGCTCGTTGATCAACACTCCGGCTCTCACTTTTCTCATCTCCAATCCAATGTCCACTCCATTAACAACAGTCGAGTTGTCTACAAACCACAAATATGAACAATTTCTCAAATTCAAGAGGTGCTACCGAAATTTCCCTCCAAAAATCCTTTGACTGGTGCGTAGGTGGTTTGCGACAGCGTGTACAGTGTCTCGTTGTACCAGGGAAGATTCGCGTAGAGTGTCGAGTTGAAATAGGCACGCTGACACTTCCACGTGTCCGGATAGGTGTAGAAGGTATCGATTCCTGAGGTCAGGTTGTAGTAGGGACCGACTTGACGGTTCAGAACGACTACCTGGAAAGATTATTGTAGGATTGAAGTTGATAGTCTTAACAACATTTCCATACCTGCTGGAACTTTTTCACGACCTCTGGAAGAGTCAACATAGTCGCCTGAAGTACATTGTAGCGTGGACAGTCGCAGTTCTGACTGGCCGCGCACTGATCCGGACCGTCGACATGAACCGGCACAAAAGTGAGTCCGATTTGCCATTTGAGCGGTTCGAATGGGTAGTCAACATCTAAAAATTGAGTATTTGTATTCCATTCTGATCTAAAATGCGTACTTGGAATATCGTAGATGCTCGGCTGGAAGAGCCCGTAGAGCAGAGCGTTGGCCGAGAGAATAGTGCGGTTGAAATCGGTGGATCGGAAGTAGACCTAAAGTTTCTGATCAGATTTCCGACAGATTGCCAATATACCTCTCTGGATAGATATTTTGGGGTCAGAAAGTTCAGCTCGTTCACATATCGTTTGCGGAGAAGCCGTCCGAGTTCGTTCATTTCTCCGGCGCCCTTGGCAGTGAGCTCTCCGAGCCCGCCTCCGCCGTAGATCCAGTCATCCTCATAGATTGGGTACAGGTCGGCGAGAGCAGAACGTTCTCCGTGGCGCCATAACTGGAAAAACGCAATGATTGTCTGGGATTCAAGGCTAGAAGCCCAGAAAAACTACACTGTCAAGTAGCCTAGCCCGTCCACTTACTCCTTGCACAAACTCCAACTTGACATTGCTCTGACAGCGACCGTAACCGACAAGAAGTGCGGAAATGAGAAGCGTCAACACTGTGCTCTTGACCATTTCGATCTGTCCTCTCACTGATAACCTTCGTCCTTTTAAACGCGTCTGCGCCATCGTCGGATTCATAAAAGAGTTATCAAGAGATGATCAGAAATGATCAGGTTTTTAGTGCCGTCGCCGCTTTTTCATCTCGGCGATTATGATAAAGTTTTGAAGTTTGAGAGCACAAATAGATTTCGCAAAAGATGATGAAAGTGTGTGGTGCCTGAACTTTGATTTCCAAACACTGTGCATGTACTTTCCCAGAAGTTATCTTATCTCTAATCCCCATCTGATCTCGAGGTCCAAACGGCCAATTCAGCTCGCTCTGCGCTGCACACCTGGCAATTAAGATAAGAGGATTACGCCAACTCACCCGCAAATGGCCCAGCTGCAAACATCCATTACTCGACTAACCAGCTATTAGTATGCTCGGCCAGTAACGCAATTATTTTCTGACGCGGGTCACACACGAATGCCGAGTGCCTCCCCCATCTGCCCCGTGTGTATGCCCTTCTTACCGAGGACCAAAAGGCCACATCACATCATCGAGTGTATAGAAACCTTTCTAATTTGCAATCATCTCAATGTACCGAAAATGAGCCAGCTTTCATTGGAATTCTAGAAGAGTTTTCAATGTTTTTCGGTGATGTTTCTAACTGCCAATTTCCTTCTAATCCCTGTCTGTGCTCTCTACAACCTTATCTTCTAGCTCGAAGACCAAAACGCCGCATCACCATGGAAACCAGCGGGATTTGTTTTGCGAGTGTCAAGCTCGCCTACCCGGCACACCTGGCACGCTGAGGATAAGAGAATTAGCTCAACGTACCGAAAATGTGCCGGCAGCAAACATCCATTATTCCCTATTAGTATCCGCATTTGCTATATCTGATCATTCGCCCATTCACCGAGTGCCCAGCGTGTAGCCCTTCTCGCCTTCTGCCATCATCTCGTCCTCCCCTTCATTACTCTCTTCTCCGCTTTTCTTCTCTCTCTCTCTCACTCTTTCCCTCTCTCTCTCACTCTTTCTCTCTCTCTCTCACTCTTTCTCTCTCTCTCACTCTTTCTCTCTCTCTCTCTCTACACACACCCCTCATTATTCCGAGCGCGGGCAACATCTACTCTCTCCTATTTTCGCGTTTGTTGTATGTTGTATTCATCCTGATCTGTCTGTTTTTCAGAAAAACAAAACCTCGTTGCAACATGAGCACCAACTCGAGAGCCAGCAAGCGGTGGGAGGAGAGAAATGAAGATGGAACGAACAAAAGGTGAGTAATTATGAGCAATTTGACGACTTGGCAACCCAAAATATTTTTTCAGATCATCCGAAGAGCAAGCACAAGTGCCACGAAGAAAGCCACATGCTCGCCAGGCGCGAAGGAACCCGGAGAGACAGAGCGCCGCGAAAAAAGTGTGGGCGAAAGCACCAACTACTGGTTCATGGCGCTCCGATGCGAACAGTGACCAGCACGAGGACGTCGTGCTGCCAGAAGAAGAGAAGCAATACTGCTGGTCAGTAGATAATGTGGTTGAGCAAGGAGAGCCCGACGACGGAGCAAAGGACAAGAGATACGAGGCGTACGTGGCGGAGAGAGACAGGAACGTCTTCAGCAAGTACTACGAAGGTGCTCCGACGTGTTCGAGGGAGATTTGCGCGAGAAACGACTCGTCAGTGATGCAACGTTTGAAGCGCTACAGCCACAAGGACGCTCTGAACTTTGCCGTTGATTCTCTCGAGTGGAGTGCGAATAAGGAGAAAGATCTGCCGGTGCGCCGACGTGTTTCCACGGTAGAAGTGGTCACAACGTCGTACTTCTCGGGAAGCCACGCATTTTATCGAGTGATTGCCGAAAAGGACGATAGGTACACACTGCTGGCCTGTCACGCCAACGTTCACGGCTGCCACCGAGGAGATTTGCGGTTTGTGGAGGTCAACGATCGGACGCAAGTGCAAGAGTTCGAGGAGAGCGTCGTCGGACTGCTCTACTTGGGCGACATTCTGGCGGTCTACGAGCTGGCGAGAAGGACGCGTGGACCGACGATTGGAGCGGATGTGGCGAGCGTCAGTATGGAGTCGAACCTCACGTGGATGGTGAAAAGGATGGAAGTGGCCGAGCGTCGGTCGGCCGTTCGCATCGGCTTCTCTTTCCTGCAAAACGGCACCGCAGTCGTCATGGGACACGATGAAGCGATGACGGTTCTCGAGGATGAGCGGCACGGCGCGGAGCTCGACAAGATGTACGTCGGAGATGCGTTTGTGCCGGAAAAGTATCGCGACACATTCTGCTCGGGCCACCATCCAATGTTCTGGCACCATCTAACGCGGCTGACGGCCAAAATGTGCACCTTCTCCACCGCTTTCGGAATCATTCATCGGTACGAGGAGTGTCCGGAGCAGAATCGACGATTCACGATCGGAACGACGGCGTTCGACCCGGCGGCCACACTGCAACGCTTGGATTCACCGCGCGAATTGAATCGGATTGTGGAGACGTGCACGCTGATGGGATACTCGGCCGCCAATTCGCTCTTCAACGGCCGATGCGACTGCCGACCGTTTGCAGCGCGAGATGTCAAAGTTTCGGGTCACATTGTCCGATTCGCCATCGACAATCCGAAGAAGATGCCGACTTTGAGACTCTGGAACCCCAACACTCGGATTGTTTTCGGCTCACCGTCGGGAAACATCTCGGCCACTATCGAAATTGTGATGGAAGACGAGTCGCTGTTGCGGATTGTGGCGCGATTGGTCGGTGGAAAAAGAGGGAATCGGATGATCCCGAAGGGAGACGTCGCAGTGTGGCAGAAAGAGTCGTTGGATCCGATTGGTTTGGAGAATGGGTACTTTGAGGCATTGCCCGAGCACTCAAACGGCCGCCGAATCATCGAGACTCTGTACGGAGGCCCTGGAATTGCGTTGAAGAAGCCTGTCGTCAGAAACGAGTACGTGTTCCCCGCGCAGCCGGCGATCAAGCTCAACGACTACCAGTGCGAGTACGTGCAAATGGTGCTGGACAAGAACCCGCTGGTGCTCGGATCTTCTCCGTTCGGCTGCGGCAAATCCATGACGATCGTCGCCACCGCGTTCGAGGTCTACAAGCGAAATGCCGAGGAAGGCGAGCTCCACAAACAGTTCCAACAGCTGCTCGTCACGCAGAGCAACTACGCGAGCGTGAATCTCATCGACATTGCAAAAAAGGCAAAGACATTCGACATTCGATTCGTGCGATATGTGTCGGAGAAGAACTGGGCGGAGATGTCGGAGAACTGTCGAACCGAGTACGATATGCCGCGGCTCATGCAGAAGGTCTTTTGCGATTGGGCGACCGGAGTCACCCCGGAAACGGACAGAGGTGTGAAGGCGTTGAGCACGTGGAACATGATGAATATCATCTCTTTCCTGTTGAGAGAAGACAACGATGGCAAGAGTCTGCTGAAACCGCATCAATTAGTTGGAAAGGCCCTGTATCACTACAGCGGCAAATTGGAACGGCCGAAGAATATGCTGGACATTTTCTTCTTGCTCTACCAGCCGGATATCATCATGACCACCGCCGATTCGACGGGCAATTTGCTGCGATTGAATGTGCTGAAGGAGGTGAGCACGATCCAAATCGACGAGGCCAGCCAAGTGCCCGAGTACACCTTCATCACCCTTCTCTCCAAATTCCCGAACGCGTGCTTTGGACTGATCGGAGACATTCACCAACTGCCGCCCTATTGCGAGGAGACGTTAACCGGGAAGTTGAAAGAGTATGGGGTCGGCAACACGATGGAGAGAGCGATCAAGAATAACATGTTCCCGAAAGCGGAGCTTCGATACGTGTACCGTTGTCATCCGGAGACTACGAATCTGCTCAGTGCGCTCTTCTACGACGTCGATCTCATTCCCGGAGTCTTGGAGACTCATCGCAACGCGTTCATGCTCGGAAGAGCCGACTTCTGGCCGAATCCGAGTTTCCCAATCGCGATCATCAACAACTCGGCCAGCGGATCCAGGATGGGAACGTCGGTGGCCAATGATTCTGAGGCAGTCATTGTGAAGCAACTCCTCCGAATGATCACGAAGAAGCACAATGGCTACGAGCTGCACGCGCGCGACATCGGCGTCATCTCGTTCTACAGTGCGCAGACGTCGGTGCTGATGGAAGCGTTGCGTGGGAGCGGCGTCAAGTGCGGAACAGTAGACTCATTCCAGGGCACCGAACGGGAAGTGGTCATATTGTGCTGCACAAACGAGAAGCTCTCCGAGTTCATGCAGCTCGCCAATCGGTTGAATGTGGCCATGTCCAGGGCGCGGCAGGCCACTATCATCATCGGAAATGTGTACGGACTGCGGAAGGCCAAGTATTGGAGCACCATTTTGGAGAAGGTCGAGAAAAATGGATGTTTTATTGATATGGTATGCGGGTCTCGATGAGGTGAAAATATTATTTTATTTTTTTCAGAAAAACTTCATGTCATGATGATAGCAAGCTAACAGTAAACAATGTGCAATCATTGCAGCACGCAACCCAAAAAATCGATAATACGCGGTCAATTCACGAGTCATAAAAGATGCTCGCTGTCTTTCTATTCACTTTTTTCGTCTTTCCTGTCCATTTTCCGCTTAATGTTGTTGTTCTCTGTTTCTTCTCAATAAAATTCAATGTAATATTTTGAGGCTATGCCAAAACAGGGGAATTCACGAAAACCGCGGAAAAAAATGCATTTTCTTTTCGTAATTTCTCCGTCACAACTAGAAATCAAAGTGGAGACGGACAAACAGAGAAATAAACAAAGAAACGAACAGATGATGATTTTTTTTTTACCTAAACTGCTTTTATTTTACTGCTGCCTTTTTTTTTATACGTCCCAATAAATGTTTAAAGTTATTTTCTGCAAATTGTCACGTTTGATGCTATTAAATTTTTAATCCCTTCTATTCAATAAACGCCGAAGTCTGCAAATGCGCGTCAAGTATTGCGCCTGCACGAAAACACACACACTACTTACTTGTTCATTGTCACGGCGCGGCTTTTGCGACGTTCACCAAACGTTTGATCCTCAGTCTGTGCATTTTGACACGCCGGTGTTGCTCTGCGTACAGTGCATTTTATGTTACGCGCAAAGTTCTTTTTTTTTTAGTTTTTGATGAATTTTCTCCAAATATTCATCTCTTTAAAGCGTTTTTCTCCACTTTCTAACGCAATTAGACCTTTTTTTACAGATTCCAGGTGAAGTAATACGCGAAGAAAAAGTCGATGCGATGAAAAAGAAACGCGTAAGTATGTGAAAGTAAGGTTTTTATTCAGAAAATGCACGATTTCTCGAAAAAAAGGTGTCTAGATTTTTCTAATCTTTTTGGTTAAAAAAACTTTACTTACATTTCTGAGAATGTTTTGGAACCAAAAAGAAGTAGAGTGAAAGCTCGATTTCGCGGAAAAACCGATAGTTTGCCGGAAGACAGTGAAATTTCGTTAAAAAAAATTTTTTTTGCTTCTATGAACTGTCACTTTAATTTTTTTTGGTTCGAAAACATTCACAGTCATGTAAGTGAACTATTTAAACAAAAAAAGTAGAACATCTAGAGACGGTTTTTGAGAAAAAATTTTTTTTCAACGAAATGTCACTGTTTTCCGGCAAAAAACCAATTTTTACGCGAAAGCGAGCTGTCACTCTACTTTTTTTTTATTCGAAGACATTCACAGTCATGTTAGTGAACATTTTAAATCAAAAGATTAGAAGATCTAGAGACGTTTTTCGAGAAATCGTATATTTTCTGAATAAAACATTACTTCCATTTACTTACGCGTTTCTTTTCATCGCATCGACTTCTTTTCGCGTATTACTTCATCTGGAATCTGTAAAAAGGTCTAATTAAGGTAGAAAGCAGAGAAAAACGCTTTAAAGAGATGAATATTTGGAGAAAATCCATCAACAACTAAAAAAAATGACTTTTGCGCGTAACATAAAATGCACTGTACGCAGAGCAACACCGGCGCGCAAAAATGCATACCATTTTGCTGCGTATGTTGCGAAAGCCGCGCCGTGATATATTGTTGTTCCTTTTTCCCCATCAAAAATGAGCTTTTCCGCTGCTTTCCAATGCAATCAATCTGTTACAGCTCTATTTTTTCTCGTTTGCGACAAAAATCATCTTGCCAATTACAGGTGTAATACAGGTATATGGGAAACTATCTCTCGCCGCTTTTCGGCTCTGAACCCGAACCGCAAAATGTGGCCGGCCCCCAGCAGAACAGGAGATACCGGCAAGTGGGGTATGGAGTTAACGATTTGTCCGCGTCTGCCGACACTGTATCTGTGAGGTGAGAACGAGTCTTGCCACGAAATGTCGAACCTTGGACCAAACGTGATCAAATTAAGTTAAAAATGTTCAGACCACAGTCTCTGCCATCTGCCGAACATCGCAACGCATTCGACAGTTTTAAGCGCCGTAATAAAGTCGATACTGATTCATCTCACGTGGAATATAATCTCCACAAACTTGAGGTTAGTGAAACTTTCAAATATTTAAAAAAAAACCTAATATACCTACTTTTTTAGGGTGTTGACATAAACGATCTGTATCGTATGGAAAGAGACTTCAACGAGTTCAGCAAGTTCTATCCATGCCTACCTATAACGTCCACGAGAGCGAAGAATGAAAGGAGAAGCGGTACACAGAATGTGATGGACTCGTTCACTCACTCCGACGCAATCCGCTTTGCCGTTTCAACATTTGAATGGCAGAGCATATCTGCAAATTCTTTGAGTTCACTGCCACGCCGCCAATACACGGTACTCGTAACTCAGCCGCGGCCAAGCTCAACTATTGTGGCCTACTATCGCGTGGTGTGTGAGTTCGAGAAGAAATACATTCTGGAAGCGTGTCATATGGATTTGCTCGGTTTTCATCGCGTCGATTTGAGATTTGTGGAAGTGACCGATCGGACATCAGTGAATGGATTGGAAAAGCGCAGTGCCATTGGAATATTGTTAATCGGAGATGTTGTGGCAGTGCATTCGTTGGCGAAGAATCTCGGCACGTTTGAGATTGCCGATCCGTCTCTCGATGTTTTGAATCGGTTATCCGTTCAGCCGTGCGCGTGGATGGTTTGTAAGATGGAGGTTTTGAATCGAAGACAGAGAAAAGTTCAATTCATTATCAAAAATGGAGCTGTAATTGTCATCAAAGGCTGTAAAAATGCGCACAACTTCATTTTGGCCAGTAACTTAAACTTGCAAGAGGATATTCTGTACACTGGAAATATGAGCCTAACGATGAGGCCTTCACATCCCTATTCACAAGGTTGGCTCAAGGAGAAGTCACAGAACCTTGAAGAAGAAGCAGCCAAATTTGCAAAGTTCCCATTTCCGGATGGAGTGATTTTTAGGGCTACCCCGTGTGATGCTGAGAAACAAAAGAAGATATTAAAGTCTGTAAGGAGGAAGGAAAAGAGAACGAAAAACGAAGAAGTCAGACAAGAGAGTGAAACACAAAATCAGATGTCCAAACAGTTTGGAAAAGAGCACGATAGTGGGTCCGGACTATCAGAGCAAGAAGCGAGTTCAATTCATTCTATCCCTATCGACAATATGCATCGTCTTACAGAAACCCAAATCGGGAGCACAACTCGACGTGGAGCGTGAAGCCAACGTGTTCTCTGAATTTTACACGTCCGACAAGAACCAAGTGAAACTAGTTGACATTGGTCCAGTTCACAAAGCTCTTCGAAAGTACAAACATCTCGACGCTCTCCGATTTGCTGCCGAATCGAGCGTCTGGAAGGCCAACCTGCAATCCTCTTTGCCACGGCTACCACGTCAAAAAGACCGGCTGACGTCTTTGGACTTCCCTACCGGCTTCTCGGACTCTAAAATCAACGCATTTTACCGTGTCATCGACGAGAAGGCCGACAAGTACATTCTGGTGGCGTCTCATGTGAATGTGCACGGATTTCATCGTGGCGACCTTCGATTTGTGGAAGTCAACGATCGAACTGTGGTCGAGGGATTCGAGGGCAAGAGTGTCGTTGGTCAACTGTTTCTGGGAGACACTGTGGCCGTCACTAAACTCACTCAAACCGATAGTTCGACTCCGACAACTCCGAAATCCGTGTTCCAAGTGACCCATGCGACGCCGTGCACGTGGATTGTCGCCAACATGTGTGTGCTTCCGAGGAACGAGCAGAACAATCTCATCTTTTCGGTGCTCAAAAACGGAGCGGCTATTGTGAAAGGATGCAATGAGGCGATGAATGTCGTCGTAGATCCAAAGAAGCAGCCGAAGGAAACAAGTCCGATGGCCGATCACTTGTACCGCGGATCGGGTTTTTTCCCGGAGAGTGTCGAGTCGATTTTCGCTTGGGATTACGACAGAATGCACAAAATCGGTGTTACGAGTGTGGCCGCCAAGATCCCCACTTATCCGAAACCTCTGGGGACCATCTACTCGTTCGAGTATTCCGCGGAACTCACCGAGCAGTTCAATATTGGATGCAGTGCGTTTGAGCAGAAAAGTGAGCTTTCCATTCTGTTTTCCGTCAACTATTTGTCCTCTTTTTCAGACCATTCCGGCCCAGATGGCGCAGAAGTGGTGCAAACTTGCGCAGTGATGGGATACTCTGCTGCTCAGACCGTCTTCAACGGCCGATTCGACTCGCGAACTTTTGAAATGAGCAATATCAGAAAGAACGGATTGCTCATCTTCTTCTTCATCCCCAATCCGCGTGGGCAACCGACACTCGGAAAGTGGACCTCGAACAATCGGATCAAGATCGGCGGACGGTTCGCCGGCGAGGTCAACGCTGTCATCGAGACTGCGATCGCCGGCGGTGAATTTTTGCAAATTGTGGCCCGCATCTCGAGAGCTGCTCCCAGAAACTTGCAATTCAACAACGAGGAGCAGTACGTGGTGTCACAGAAGGAGCCATTCGAAGCCATTCTCTTGCCCGACATCTTCTACCAAATGATGGATCCGACCACCAACGGCGCCCGAATCATTAGGACTCTCTACGGGGGTTCGAGGATTGAACGGGTTACGAGGGCTTCTGAATCGAATAACATTTTTAAGTTTGGCGACGTGGTGCTCAACGATTCGCAGCGCGAATACGTGCAAATGGTGTTGGATCGGAATCCGATGGTCATTGGAAGTTCGCCGTTCGGGTGCGGAAAGTCGATGACGATTGTGACCGCCGCATTGGAGCTGATGGCACGTGAGAAGGATCAGGAATCCGGGAAAAAGAAAGAGCACAGCCAACAGCTTCTGGTGACGCAGAGCAACTACGCGAGCGTCAATTTGGTGCACATCATGGACAAGGTCAAGGACTCGAGGACGTCATTCAAATTTCTGCGATACGTTTCTGACAAGAACTGGGAAGAGCTGCCGGACGGATGCCGGACCGATCACGATCTTCCAAAGCTGATGGGCGACGAGTTCTTGAAGTGGGCGACCGATCCTATTGGTAGTGGAGGAAAGGAACTCGGAAACCGGAGGAAATTTATCATTATGAAGTATCTGATGGCCACTGGCCGTGTGGATTCGGAGCGGCTCAGTGCCGACGCAAAAGAGATTTACGAGCAGATTCAGAGCAGTTTGAAAAATGAAAAGCTGAAGAAACCGTTTCCTGGGGAGCTCATAGAACCATTCCTCATACTTTTCACTCCGGACATCATAATTTCCACCGTGGATTCTCTTCAAGGACTGCTCAGTTATGGAATTGTGAAGGAAGTGAGCACTGTACAAGTCGACGAGGCCAGCCAAGTGCCCGAGTACACCCTCATCAATCTCTTTGCAACTTTCCCGGACGCCTGCTTCAGTCTCATCGGAGACACCCGACAACTGCCGCCCTATTGCGAGGATGAGTTGACCGGCAAGTTGAAGGAGTACGGTATCGGCAACACCATGGAAAGGGCGCTCGAGGGTGGAATGTTCCCGAAGACCACGCTGAAGTACGTCTATCGATGCCATCCGGTGATCACGAGCCTGCTCAGTGATATTTTCTACGAGAGAGATTTGATTTCTGGAGTCAGCGAGGAACAGCGAAACACGTTTATGAGGAAACGACCCGACTTTTGGCCGAATCTTCATTTTCCTATGATCATTGTGGACAATAAGGCAAACAGTCAACAAATGGGAACATCTAGTGGCAACAAGTCGGAAGTGCAGATTGTGAAGCAACTCCTCCAAATGCTCACGAAAAAGCACAATGGCTACGAGTTGCACGCGCGCGACATCGGCGTCATCTCGTTCTACAGTGCGCAGACGTCGGTGCTGATGGAAGCGTTGCGTGGGAGCGGCGTCAAGTGCGGCACAGTGGACTCATTCCAGGGCACCGAACGGGAAGTGGTCATATTGTGCTGCACAAACGAGAAGCTCTCCGAGTTCATGCAGCTCGCCAATCGGTTGAATGTGGCCATGTCCAGGGCGCGGCAGGCCACTATCATCATTGGAAATGTGCACGGTCTGCGGAAGGCCAAGTATTGGAGCACCATTTTGGAGAAGGTCCACGAAAATGGATGTTTGATGAATATGGTAAAAGGGTTACTGTGTCCTTGGCGAATATTTTTGTTACAGAATGAGCCTGTACAGCCGAGCTTCCAAGGAAATTATGGTGGATATCGTGGAGATCGTGGTCGATTCAACAATATTTGAAGAAAACTTTAATGTCTTACGGTTCCTCTTGTGATCATCCTAATTTGCGTTTAGATGGGTAATGTTTATGTATTTATTTTTTACGCACCCGCAAACGAATAAAATCGTCCAAAAAAGCATGTTATCACTCTCTTGGCTTATCAATTGTAAAGTCACTGAAGCGAGTCAGTCGACTGTTGTTTACTCTTCATTGATTTTTCCTTCCGCCAGTTGAATTTTCGTTCAAAAACCATCCGAGCCAAATGGGAGGTTGGTTCAGTTCTCCGGAAAGCGAACCGCCGGCGAACAGGTTAATCAGTGCTTCAAATCATTCGAAATAAAGGGATTTCAGTTACAATGATTTCACCAGTCATGCAAATCCTCAGCCCCCTAGAGTGTCGGTTCTATTGTTTTTTCAACTTTTTTCTAGATTGAACTATTCAGAACTACCACCTACAGTACTCCTTCCTACAGTACTCCTTCCTACAGTACCCCTTCCTACAGTACTCCTTCCTACAGTACCCCTTCCTACAGTACTCCTTCCTACAGTACTCAGTCCTACAGACCAGTACAAACAGAGCGTGAAAAGGTCAGTTTGAGGTATATTCCTGAAACTTTGCAAGTTTTTCAAATTTCCAGAGGCTACAACTGATAGAATCTCGAAAATCTATCGAGACCACGAAAAATGTGTTCAGTCGGTTCTACACAAAACCGCCGGAGCCTTCTGATGACGCCGTCGCGGATCTTACCGTAATCCAAAAGGAGCTGAACAGGTACCGTCACTCGGACGCCATCGAATTCGCCGCCACGTCACACGGAGAAGGTCCACGAAAATGGATGTTTGGTTGATGTGGTAAGGTTTGCTCGGAATACGGTAGTTTTTAAAATGTTGAGCTAACTGAATTGTCAGAAGAACTTGCAAAACTTGTTCATACGAATAGTTTAGCCTTTCTGAATCATTTCACCGATATTAATGTTACAGAAACTGAAACCGCTCAATATTGTCAATGACGAAGGAAGCGGTCCCAACTCGAACGCTCAGAGCAACTCTTCAAATCAAGTGACTCCCAAGAAGAAGAATCGGGGAGGAAGGAAGAAGAAGAACGAGAAAGGTGGTTCAACTGTTGCTAATTCTTGACTTCTTCACACAACAATGAATAAAGACCTAGTTTGTAATCTAACTTCACTTTATTTACACATTCAACAAAAACTGTTCAATTGGTCTTTTTCTCGGAGAACTTCTCGACGGCGGCGCGGACCTCGGCAATGTTTGCGGCGTCTCCCCACTCCTTCTCCAGATGTGTGTAGACGATTTCGTTGTTGGCGATCAGATAGACTCCTGAACATTTTATCAGTATTTTCATTCCAAACATGAGCACGGCGCCCACTTGAGATAATCCGATTGGATCCGAACTTTACAGTCTTCTTGGACTTGGGTTAAAGTATTATCTGGTCGCTAAGTATACTGGTTTGGTTTGGCCATTTAGGCTTCGAACTAGGGACCAGATGATCCGATCGGTCTGAAACTTGAACCCAATATACTTCAACCCGAGTCCAAGAAGCCTGCAAAGTTTGAGTCCCATCGGAATATTGCAAGTTGGTCAAAAAGGCCATACCTCCCAGGAGTCGTCCCTCTCCGATCAGATTTCCGTCGACCTTCGCCTTTTTCGCTTTGTAGGCGTTCGAATAGGTGCCGACGCGGAGGACTCCCATCCAGACGGGCAGCCAACGTTCGTTCGGGCCGTAAAACGTGCGGTCCGCGTCGAAATACACTTCGCCGCCCGTGAACCACGACTTGAACTCGTTCGCGCCGAGTGTCTCGTGAACTACGGCCGCCTAAAAATGTGGGATTTTGAAGTGAAATTCGAAATTTTATGGGAAATTTATAGAATCGGCGCGCCGTGCGCTTACCAATCCGATGCCTTTCTGCTTGAGCAACGGCTGAAGAGTGTGCAGTTCGGCGGCTTCTCGACGGCAAAGAAGACATCCCGGTCGTCGCACCGCCATCACCAGAATCGGTCCCTTTGTGAACAGCGATTCCGCCTGAAAGTTTTTTTAACCTGCTGCTAATTAAAATAAAGAAACATTGAAACTGATTATTCGAAAAACGATAATTTTGGAGGAAAGTGTTCGTTTTCAATTCTTCCGCTAAACCGTTGAAAATAAGTGTCGCTAACCGTGAACTGCTCGCTCCTCTCCACTTTCTCCTTCTCCCCCGGCGCTCCACGAATCGGCACCAACTTCGCGGCGGCCAAATGCGCAAACGTCGGCGCGACGGCTCCGATCGTCAAGTACGTCGGCAGATTTGCGTAGATGACTGCGCCGCCCAAAGCGGCCACAGCTCCGTATCCCAAAAATGCCATTTTCTGCAATTGTTTAGGTTGTGAGGCAAAATGTGAGATGAAAATGGTGAAAAACAGAAGAAATGTCATGCTGTTTATCAGTAAAAGTTGCGAAAGGCAGAGGAAATGGAGTAAACAACAAGTGTAGCGAGAGAAATAGCGTTGAAAAGCGAGAGGCAGCAGAGAGACGCAGAAAAAGAAGGCACAGGAACGCTGGCACTTGTTGATTTGATCTATGAGCATTGGAAAAAAAGATGTTGCCGCATTTTTTAACAGAATTTTAAGAAAATACGAGGGTCTGGACATTTGGACCACTTGCACAATTCCGAAACTTTGCAAAATAATTGGATTTAGATTGGAGTTTTATAGGGTCAAGTTTCAGACCGATCCGGTTCCAAGACGTACTAATTTAGACCCAAAACGCCCGGGCTTTTCGCTAATACGAGAGCTTTCAGATTTTAGATAAGTAAATCTCCATATCAGATGATTCGATCGGCCTGAAACGTGGCCCCAATATACTACAATCCAAATCGAAGATTCCTAAGTCTGCGCCTAGACAGTTTTCCGATTTATTTCCTCGATGACTCCAATTCCGTGCTTATCACGCCTAGACTGTATCACAGATGAAAACTTCACACGATTCGCCGCCTCACACCTTTTCCTTTAATATGCTAATAAAAACGGGGTGTTTCGAGTATCACCCGCATAAAAGGTCTGGTCCGGGGTCGGAAAATTGGTGATAAGAGCTCAAAATGCGTCCAGACACTTCGTTGTTGCTTTTCGCTATTGTCGGACTCTGTTCCTGCTCGAACTTTCTGATAATCAGTCCCGTCTTCGGATACAGTCATTGCAAATTTATGAGCAAAATTGCGGACACTCTGGCCGACGGGGGTCATAGTGTTGTGCTGCTGCAAACGTATATTGTCCAACATTTCGGCGCGGTTCGTCTTGCCAAAAACAAAAATGTGGAGGTACAATATTCAAATGAGAAAGAGAAAATTTAACCAAAGAACTTCAGATAATCGACTATTATCTGGACGAAAAAGATATCCCAGATGAGGAAAAATCGGCAAGTGCTCTAAAAGATTCATGGGATAGTCATCTGATAAATAATCCGATTGGAGTACTCTGGGTGAGCATATAATAGCAACAAAAAAACGTATAAAACATGTGAATTTTTCAGACCACATCATATTTCTACTATCTTTTTAGGCCAATGTGTGAAAGTGAGTTGGTTAGTGTGACTCCAAAAAGACTGAAATAAAAATTGACAGAAGTGCTATCCGACAAGAATATTCACAATTTGATTCTTTCCCGAAATTTCGATGCTACAATAGCTGAAGCGTTCGACTTTTGTGGTCTTTGTAAGAATTTTCCAAGAAACTCGACTAGAACAAAAATTTCCAGATCTTGCCGACCATCTGAAACTAAAAACGCTTCCCGCATTCTCGTCAATCAAGTCGCTATCGGGTTCACGGGCTATCGGAGAGCCCAGCCCGCTCAATTTTGCTCCAAGTGAGTTTTTGGGTCTCGCCACGAAAGGGATTCACCCAACTTTTGCTTATCTACCTTGAAAGTTTCAGTCCGAGTGATCTTGAATCGGATTGAAGCTTTTAAGGGAGACACGGCTTTTAGTTGCTACTGCAAAATTTTGAGTAAAGAAAATTTACCTCGAAGCAATTTCTTCAACTTTAGTGAAAACTACTACGATAATTCCTGCAGCTCTCCACACCAACTACGGATCGGATCAAAGTCTGTGGGACCGAATGCAGGACATCACAATGTATTATTCCATCTATTACGCGTCCGCACTCCAATTCGATTTACAATACTATCTAGCCCGTACCTTTCTGGATGGTGAGGTCCGTCACTGGAAAGACATCTTCCGGACCTCCACTTTCTTTTTCTACAACCACAATCCGTACGTTGGATTTCAAATACCTAAAATTGAAAAGTCCGTCGAGATTGGCGGATTCACAGTGGAAAGCGACGAGAACGCAGTTTTGAATGAGGTTTTTCAGAGCGCATTTTGAGTTTCAAAACTTTCAGCAAGCATTTTTTTAGGAATATGAAGCAATCCTAAACCTTCGCAATGCTACAGTGCTGATTTCTTTCGGGACAATGATCAGATCTTCGGATATGCCGGATTACTTCAAACTCGCGATGGCTGAAATGTTCAAGAATCTTTCAAACATCACGTTTATTTGGAAGTACGAAGTGGATGATATCGATTTTTCGAAAAGCTTGTCTGAAAATGTAATTTTAACAAAATGGATGCCACAGGCGGCGCTTTTAGGTAAACTTTTCAAGATTTATAGGTGAACTAGTGCAAAATTTCAGCTGACTCCCGTCTAAAACTCTTCATGACTCACGGAGGAGTGGGCAGTGCTTTTGAGCTGGCATATTCCGGAAAGCCTGCACTTTTAGTAACAAAAATCAATTTTTGTCTAAGCAAAATGGTTTCCTTAGATTCCAATATTCGGAGATCATCTTCTGGCCACCAAAATGTTGGCTCGACACGGCGGAGCACGATTCTACAGCAAGCACGATTTGAGAAATTCCGAAAAGTTGACAACGGCGGTTCGGGAGCTCATTTCCGATGAGTCCTACGAACAGAACGCGAGGATGTTGGCGGAAATTGTCAGAAATCAGCCGATCAGTCCGAGAGAGAATCTGCTGAAACATGCCGAGTTTGCAGTGAGATTCGGCCGAGTCGAGGCCCTTGAGCCGTATAATGTTGATTACGGATTCGTGCAGTATTACATGTTGGACGCCTACACGATTCTTGTCATCCTATGCACTTTCAATTGTTATCTGGCATTCCGTGTTGTTTTTTGGTTATTTGGTCTGTTTTTTGTAAAGTCGAAATTGAAGAATGAATAAAAATGTTCTGAACAATTTTCACGGGCCAAGAAATACACCGGAATCTTTGCACCGAAATCGTGTTTCCGACCAAATCGGAACATTTGTGAGTCACACCGAAAGAAGGTGTCACTAGTCAGTTACCTAGTTCTAGAATAAACCGGCTTCTGTCTAGATTTGAACCTTGGACCCCTTTCAGTTGACCTCAAGAAGATTTACTACGACGCAGAGTGTGAAACAGAAACAGTGTAAAGAACCGCTTTGTCTTTCTTTGCCTCACAGTTACAATCTCGTCGTCACGCGAAAGTATCGAATATGCGACGAAATTCTTGCTATTATCTACTTGTCCCTTTGATTTGTCTAACTGTGAAACAGACATGTTCCGGTAAAATTAAGATCAGCAACGAGCAGTTGGTCGAAGCGGTCGCCGATTTTTGCACCGGACACTATGGATACGACAGTGATTTTTGTGTGGATTACGCGATGCTTCGGAGGTGTAAGTTTCACATTTTTCTCCAAGATTTCAAGTTGAGCTAAATGTTCGGAGTATCTCTCTCTCTGAATTTAAAAAATTATGAATTTTACAGCTCGTGCCACTTCCAACGCCACTGTCACCACTCCGGAGGAAATAGTCAACAAAACTGCGGGCGCCGAGGGACCACGACCGAAAATTGGAGGTCCCGGCGATATTGTGCTCACTAAGGGGAATCAGACGGAAATTATCAATACGAAAGCGGCAATGGAGGATCCGGATGAGGAAATCGCTAGTCTAAGTGAGGACTAAATTGTTTAGGCCAACCAAAAATCGGATTTTAGCTCCCCAACAAATCCGAGACGAACTGCGGAAGATCATTCAGGAAGAGTACGCGAAGAAGGAGATTCAAGAGAGTTTCGCCGATGATCCAGTTATTGATTTCTTGCAAATTTTTCCAAAAATATTTCAAATATTGCAGGCATGCAGTAATCTACGCGACGAATACGACGAAGTGTGTTTCGCAACTCCTCCGCTCGCCGCTTTTCAGGAAACTCGCGAGTTCTGCCTGGCGTTCGTCAAAAATTGCCACAATTCTCTGCTCACCAACATTTTCACCAATGTCAAGTGGGCCCAAATATTAGAAGAACTTTGTTTTCAAAGCAATTTACAGAAATTTCAAGGTGGATTTCGCGGCTTATTGCAAAAAACATCGCGAACGGTTTCGTTACGTGTGTCCGAATCCGTTGCGATTTCAGAGTTTCGCCGAGGATGTAAGTGCTTGTTTTTTGGATTTCTCATGATTTTTCAACGAGAGCATGCGTTTTTTGAGTCTTTAAATGGAAATATCGCGATTTTTCTCAGAGTTCTGCCGATTTCCCGTTCAAACGCACACTTCTCACGTAAACTTGATTGCAAATCGCAAATCAGTCGGAATTCGATGGAAAAAACAGTGTTTTGGATCATTTTCAGGCGGTCCAATTCTGTCTGCGTTACAAAGAGCGTTGTCCGAAAGAGGTGACGCCCGCGGAGCCGGTGATGTTTCACAAAAAGGACGAGGGACACATTTACACGCGAGAAATCGAGTTCTGGTGTACGCGCACGAAACGGACGGCGTACAATTATTGCACGGAACCGGATTTGCTCAAAGTTTACAAGTATCAAATGTTTTGCGGAATGTACAAGTACGCGTGCATCGACGTTTACAAGCGAGTCATTTACGGAAGATAAATAATATTGTTTTTCGGTGTTTCTTCAACCTTCAATCATAGCCATGACCTTTTTCAATAAGAAATCAATACGATAAGATAAAAAAAAAACTATTTTATACACATAATCATCACAAATTCGACCTATTACACCGTTCTTCCGAGTCGTCCTTCAACTTGTACGCCGGCAAATATTTCTCTTTTCCGTCGGCGCCGATCACTCGCAAAGCCGGGTGTTTGACCGTATTGTCGCGTCCGCCCAGCGAGGTATAGCCCTGAAAAATAAACAATTGATTCTACAACTATTTTTCTGGAATAAAAGCCCAAGATGAGGAAGTTTCATATTTTTCCTACAATCTGCCGTCCAATCCAATGCATGGAAGGCAGGCTTGTACCACGATAATACCTGATCGTAAAGTGTGCAATAGGGAATGCACAGTCCGCGGAGCATGTGCCACACGTCCGTGTACGTCCAATTGAGTATCGGACACACTCGGAGCACTCGCGGCCAGTCAGCGTCCGTCCATTCCACCGGCGTTTTCATATATTTGCCGTTCGGATCCGTCGCCCGGCTTCCCATCAGTACCGGAATTATCGAGGGTCGTTGGACTTTCAGCGCCGCCAGTCCCGTCTTCAGTGGTCCCGGAAATTCGAGCACTTGGATGTTGTAACTGCAAAAATTAGATTCTGGAACGTTTCGCAACATGTTGGGTGAAAATTTTTGAAAAACTGAAACAGTTGACAAAAGAACGCAAAGAGAAACAATAAATTATGAAATTGTGAATGTACTGACAATTTGGCGGCGTCTATGATAAACTGCGTTGCTTCTGGAAACTGATCTTCGACCATAATGTGGAATCCTTGAATTGGCGTCGCTGGGCCGTATTTTCTGGAAAATACGGATAGATTATATTGAAAGAACTTCCATTACTACGAAAAACAGGACCAAGCTCTTCTAGAATCTTCCAAACCATGCTAGGCAGAGGAGAATGAAGAAGAGCAAAAAAATGTGCACCGGACGGGATTCGAACCCGTGAGGTCTTGCGACCATAGGAGTCCCTGAAGCTCATACGCCTTGACTGAATTGGGCACTTCCTACTCATCTCGCAACTGGTTGGGGACCTTTTACAACCAGTAAAAGTAGTAAAGCTACCTCTAGATACAAATACAAGTAGTTTTACAACTATTACTGGGGGTGGTTTTACAACTCTTACTGGTTGTAAATGATCCCAAGGCAGTTGCGAGATGAGTAGGAAGTGCCCAAGTCAGTCCCGACACAGGTGAAACGCGGTTGATCAATTATACAATTGAGCCAATTGTAGACAAATTATCAACAAATCGCGAACGGGATGAGAAGCAGATTGACGCACAACACAGTGTATAATAAAGAAATCGCGCTTGTTCGCGATTGATGTATAATTAGTGAATTATTGACAAGTTCGCGAACGAGGGTGCATAATCGACAAATCGGCGAACGGGCTGGTCACTCTGAGTTTCGCTTTTGCATTCAAACATTTGTGATTTTTTCATATTTTCGTTGGTTTTTATTGCAATTCCGCATGCTTTTATGTAATTAAACCAAAGTAGAGCATACAGGTTTCGCATTTCAATTCGTTATGGTTCATTGCCACGACTAATACTTCCAGAAACAGACAGCCGCAGGTGAGAAAATGGATTTTTGATTCAATTGCATCAGAAAAAAGATTTCAGATAATGCGAACGAATTTAGAAAAAGAGAATAACTGGAAGTTATTAATGCCGACCAAGATTTAAAAAAGTGATTCGAGTGTGCCGGGCGCAGAGTTCGAACAGTGTCAGACGGCCTATTCCTCGCAAAAAAACGAACAACGTGGTCGTTGGACGGTGAGATTCAGAAGGATACAAAGAAAAATCAATCATTCAATTTCAGTCAATGTTCGTCTTCGAATAGTGTGTGGGAAGAAAACGATGGCGTTTCGAAAAGGAAAGAAAAGATGAACGCATTCAGCATGAGGACGGAGTCGCAGAAGTAATCGCCGACTGTTACGTGATTTTATACTCAATTCTTTTTTTTTCGATTTTTTCTTTCACTTCTTCTTTTGTCTCTAACATTGCATTCTGTTATTTTGTTACTTTTTTCGTTTAATAAAGTTATCTCGTCTAAAGTGCGATTTGTGAAAAATTGGCTTGGAATACAATGGGCGATTTGCGCAGGATTTGTCAATTATACAATGCCCGTTCGCGATTTGTCAGTTATTAATCAACAATTCGCTTCATCGCGTGTACCTGGAGAAAAAATCTGGGATAAATCGCGAACTAATTCCACACTTTTCGCGATTCACCTGTGGAGCACCGGTGGCCGAGTGGTTAAGGCGTAGGAAGTTACGATCCTGTGGTCAAAAAGACCTCGCGGGTTCGAATCCCGTCCGGTGCAAATCTTTTTCTCTCTTTCTCTCCTATTCTCCTCATCCTATAATGGTTTTGAATAGGCTCTAGAGATTGAAACTGTTTTTTGTATCAATTAGAGGCCTCTAGCTAGAAAAAACTCCCTTACTCATCGACTTTGAGCCTCAACAAGTGCAATAAAACAGTGCAATCTTTGCCGCCGTTGAAAGAGAGCGCAATCTGGTCCAACGGATATTCGGCCACAATTTCCTCGACAATCCGTTCAGCCTCTTCCAATTTCCGTACGAACTCCACGTCTTTCATCGCTTCTCTCTGTTTGAACGCCTTCCACTTCGACGACGTCTCCGTCCACGCGTGCGAATCGAAATAAACGAGGTGGCCGGAGAGCATCTCGTTGAGCGCCGAGATCACCGTTTCCAGAAGGTCCGCCGATTCCGTCTCCACTATTAATTTGGTCTTGAAAAATCTAAAAGAGAAATTTGAATAGGGGGAAAGTTAGGCCACCGCCAAACTTGTTCTGCAGTTCCGGATAACTGCCAATCTGGACGTTCTGGTGCTCGAAGCGGGTCGCCACTTCTGTTAACTTTTTCGAAAAGTCAAATTCATCCAAATCGGTAAACACTTTTTTGATGTACATCAATTGACGCTCGGCCAGCGGGAATAGTTGGTCCTGAAAGTTGGAAAATTGTAATTTGTCTTACCTTTTTAAAAAAAAATTCACCTGAAGCTCATCGAAAGCTCGTTCGCAAAATCGCGGAACTCCGGGCAGCGCGACGACATTTTGCACGCGAACTACCGGAAACGTGCTCACCGATCCGTCGATTTTCTGTGTTCCCCACAATAGTTGCGACATTTTTGGGATCTGAAAAGCAAAGCTATTGAAGGAACAGCACTTTTTCATTTTAGAACAAGTCTGGGCAAAAGGCCGGTTCAGGCTTTTGAGTCACTTGCAATAATCCGATCGAACCAAAACTTTGCAGGCTTCTTGTACTTGTATTTAAGTATTTTGGGTCCAAGTTTCAGATCGATCAGCTCAGATATACCGGTTAGAGGCCAAGATAACAGCACTTTTCGCACAAACATTTTCGGTCTCAAACCAGTATACCAGATGGTCCGATCGGTTTGAAACTTGATCGGACCAAGCTGGTCCCAGCATACTTCAATCCAAGTTCAAGAGGCCTACAAAGTTCGAATCTAAAAAGATTATTGCAAGTGCGCCAAGAGCCCAGGTTTTCCACAAGCCCGGGCCGGCCTTTTGACCAGCTCTGCGAAATTATAAGAATGATGAAATCTCTAGTGAGTCGTGTACTAATGACGTCGACTAAATCGGAACGGTTTCCGCGCGGAAACCTCTTTTTCTCTGCCGTCTCTTTCCGCGCAGGCGTAAAGTTGGTAAATTCACGTTTCCTAGCGCATCAATGAGTTCTGATTTTTCCAGAACTTTACAATATGATTTGTTGTTAGACTATTTGCCCATTTCATCAATCATCGGGAAAAAAACGAACGGGTTTCTATGAAAACTGTATCGAGACTATTCAGAAATGAAATCAAACAAAGGATAAAAACGGACACATATTCAGTCACTTGCCAGCTGTTTTTTTTTTGCACCTTTTCACGGAAATGCGCGTACCGTGCATAGTTTTTCGGTGGCCATTCGCACGACCTCCTCAAGTGATTCGCCCACACCCTCCGCCCGCTTTTTCGCCGTATAAACGGGCAAGAAACGGTTGACGGCGGCGCGGATTTCATCCGAAAAGTGCAATTGATCGGTGAACGCGTGGGCGAGGCCTGGAAATTTCAGGAAAAAAAATTAGACCATCAGTGAGAAAGTTAAGCCACACCCACCCAAATACGTTTTGTCGTCGTGCGTCGGTCCGACACCGCCGCTCGTGATCACGTAATCGTAGGCTCCCGAGGCCGACTGAATTTCACGCGAAATCTCGGAAATGTCATCGCCGACCACACATATCTGCAAAAATTGAATTTTTTGATTTTTTGAATTGGGTACCTGTTTTCTCCACCTTTTTGATATTCACACCCATTTTGTGCAGTCTTTTGCACAAAAAGTGCGAGTTCGTGTCGCGTGTGGTCCCTTTGAGTATTTCGTCGCCAATCACCAGAATCGCCGCCGTTTTCCGGGCCGGCATCGCAGTTTTCGACGTCACAATTCGTCTGAAGCACTCAGGAAATGAGCGCATTTAAAAATAGAATCATTTTCGGCGAAAATTCGAACAAGCACAGGAGAAATACAACAGAAAGAAGGCAAAAATGTGGGAGGTTGCTCGTCCGCTTTTACAACAAAAAAAGTCCTAAAATCAATAGATCTTAATTTTTTATCAAGTTTCTCTTGATAAGCGACTACACTCGAGTCGGCGGGGGGAGGGACAAAAATAGAAGACGAGAAAAATTTGCGGGTAAATAAAAGACAATTTTTACACAAAAATAAAGAATAAATTAGCGGCTCAAGAAATCTTTCTTTTTAATTAAACACAAAGTCCAATTATACATTAAATAATTAGAAAAACCGTAAAAAAAATGGGGCGCGGCTTCACACCGAATACACCATTTCGATAATGTCGCGGGCGATTCCTTTTCCCGTTTCGTTCGGCACCGCATCTTTTAAACGTGCCGCAATTGTAGCCAGTTGACGGTTTTTGGCAAGCTGAAAATGGACAAGTTTGATCATTTTTAAGATGATCACGTAAAAATCATTGATTTGTATCAAAAATTGAACGGATTCCATAAGGTTGTTCGTTGAAAATGAAACGATTCATTGTTTACCTGAATAACCGACTGATCTCCCCACATGACAGTGACGATCGACTGCAGAAGGCGTGTGATCGCTTCTTCGCACAAATCGCCGAACGAGTTCACCGTCTCGATGCCCTGCAATGAAAATTAGTAGTGCACAGGCTTAAGGACTCGGAGTTATATGAAAATGAGCTGAAAACTGCAGGAAGCGTAGGAGAAAAGGTGTTCAGTAGGGAAAACTGGAATTGCACTTAAAAGCTCCGAAATTTTCAATTCAAGCCGGAAAGACCTCGAAACTGAGCTCAAAAAAAATCTAGAAGCTCTGAACTCTGAAAAATCAGAGAAACCTACCGTAATGATGGCTCTGAGGAGGTCCTCCCTTGGTCCCAATTGCGCGCACTCTTCCGACTGCTTCAACAGAGCGAGGGACCAGTTGGCGAGGGCTGTCGCGGCGGAGATCTGCAAGTGCGTCTTCGAACTCAGAATCTCGCGGACGACCAGCGGCGCAAGTGTCGACAGTTCTGTCGAGGCGAACAGATCACGGCCCGACGGATGGGCGAACGCGTTCGCGATGCATCTGTTGAAAATAGAAAGGTTTGGGTGGGATAATGAACGGAACTTATCAACAAAAGAACTCTCTCGAATTTCCAGATTTTCACTAAAAACCGGCGAAAATGAATATTTACAAGCGGCAGTTGCCAAATTGGCTCAATATTTACGAAAACTTGACAAAAACTTGTCAATGCTGGCAATGTCTAACCTGCAAACCATAACTTTGACGGCGATGTCGCCGTCCGAGATGAGGATGGCGATGAATCGTCCGATGAGATCGGCTCCCCGTTTTCTCGAGCAGAAATAGTCGTTGAGCGACTGATGAATGAGGGCGATTCGCAGGAAATCGAGGACGGGAACTAGCTGGTCAACTTGCCACTGGAGGGCCAGATCGAAGGCAGACTGTGCGAGTTCCGAAGAGTAGTTCGAGTTGCTCGGCAGCACGAACAACTCTTCCAGACAGTTCAGCTGGTCCGGATTCAGTTGGAACGCGTCCTGCTGCTCGTTGAGTTCGCGCAACTTTGCCACCGCCTTCTCGCCTTTTCCGGACAGACCGATCTGCAAGAAAGGAATATGAGTGCAAGAGCTTCAAAATGTCTGAAAAAGTACAAAAACGACCGGATTTTTCGTAGAATTGTAAATTTTTGAACGGAACCATAGGTGCGGGATGTTTGAGATACGCCAAAACCTATGAACGGAACACTGGAATTTAAAGCGACAAATAACTCTACAACTTATTGAAAAGTATGAAAAAGGACACAAGAAATCAAACTTCAACAGAACACAGCTTTTCAGTGCTCCAAGAATTTGAAAATTGCTCTAAAACGCAAAAACGCCGTACCAAATAATAGTCGGGTACTGGCACGAGTGGTCCTCTCGGTCTCCGCTTGTCCACCGGCAACGAGGACAACGGAACGGCGTGTCTGCTCCCATCCGCGTCCCCGGTCCGATATCCTCCGGATCCGGTGAGCGGGTCGCCCATGTACTGTCCGCCCGAAGACGTCGAGTTGCCCGGCACGTATCGTCCTTCTCCCGTGAACGGATCCTCAGAGGCTCCCGAAGTGCCCGACGATCCCCCGGGCACATATCGTCCGCCGCCGGTGAAGGGGTCCTGGTATCCAGACTGCGCGGCGCTGGCCCCCCTGCTCAGTTTGTCCATCTCCGCCGAGATCATCGCGGAAAGCGCCGGAATCGCCGAGATGGGCAGTCCGCGTCGCTCGACAAATCTCTGCGCGGCCGCTTGCGGACTCTCATTCAAATTGAACGGCATCTTCATGTCCTGGTGTCCGACGCCGAGGCTCACTTCTAGCGCGAAATCGTACTCTTCGCCGTCGACGCGCACTTTCCGGCCGGTTCTGGCGTCGTAGGCGCGTGCCTCTGGGATGCGCTCCTTGATGAATCTTGTGATCTCCTCGAGATGATGGCTCGGCAGCTGGTTCTCCTGAATGAAATCCATCGCGCACAATCCTGGATCGGTTCCTTTTCGGTAGCGGAGGTTCAGCTGGGTCGGTCGATCGTCCACATCCACCTTTATCGACACAATATCATCGGATTCCTTGTGCTCCTGCGCCAGACGGTTCTCGATTTTCGCGACGACTTCCGCGTCGAACGCCTCCTTAATATCCTGCGACGCTTGTCGTTGCGCATCGTTCGTGAGAATGTAGACGTGTCCGTTGGATCCGGCGACGGCAATATCCGAATTCGGAAACACGGCCACATCCCACGACGTCCCGCACGGCAGTTCCAGCACCGATTCCGACGCAATTCGGATCTTTCCGTCAGATGATGCGTCCATGGTCCAAAACTCGAGGGTTCCATGCTCGCCGGTGGTCAGAATGTGGCTGTCGCAGAGTGTCATCGAGTAGATAAAGTCGTGCGCCATCGTCGCGAATTTCCCGATGACCGTGGCCGACGCGACGTCCCACTGGATGATTTGTCCGTCGTTTCCGGCCGACAGGAATTGCTGGCTCGAAAGGACGGCCAGGGCGCGCACAACGTCCGTGTGGCCCGTGAACATGGCGATTGTCGCGTCGCGGTGCCAGAGACGGATCGCCTTGTCGGCCGACGCAGACAGGTATTGATCGGGCACTTCGGGGAACGAGGCGAGCGCCCACACGGACAGCGTGTGGCCCGTACAGCGAAGAGCCTGAAAAAATAGGGTTTTGAGGATTTTGAGAGAAGAAGTACTGCTTTCTGTTAAAAATTAGGAAATTCAGAATTTTTATATGATTTTGAGAGAAATTCCGCATTTTTTGTATTCTCACCGTGAATTCGGGTTTGTTGAGGTCGGAAATCGGCCAAATTATCACGTTCGTATCCCACGAGCCGCTAAGCATGTGCGTCGCTTTTTCGTTCACGTGAAGGCAGCAAACTGAAACATTTTAAGATTTTTATAGCAACAAATGCTCAAATACCATTCTGTGCGTGCTCGCTAAACACTTGCACCGGATCCTGCTCGCCAGACGCGTACACAGCGATAGATCCGTCCTTTCGACCGACGAAAAGTCTAAAAATCCGCATGTTCACTTAAAATTTTCGATTTTCCGTGAATGTTACCTCCATCCATCGTCGAGTTCCGCGTAGGCGAGCGAGTTGACCACAAGGGTCTTCGGCTGCGTGTACGTCATCACCGACGTGTACTTTCCGCCGCGTTTTCCCCACCATTTGACCGTCTCGTCGCGTCCGCCCGATATCAGAGTGCCGGTGGAGGTGAGCGCCAGCGCTTTTGCGTCCGTCGTGTGTGCCTCGATCACTTGTGCCACGCCGTACGATTTTACCTGAAGCTTTCTAGGGGTTTTTTGATTTTTGGCTTTTTTTCTTACGTTCTGAATGGGTTGGGGCGCGGAAGTGTCCATTGGCTCGTCGGAAACACTAGGCTGAGCCATTTTATCTGGAAAAATTGCGAAAATTGCGTGAAAAGCAGGTGAAAATCGAAAAATTTCGCGCGAGAATGATGATAATCCCGCCGGGGGCCAAGAAAATTCGCCGGAGAAAACTAGGTCATGGGAGTTCGGCCACCGCCGCGAAGTCGATGAATTATGAATTTAAGCTCGTTTTCCAACGTTTCCGAACCATTTTTTGGCCATTTTCAGCCAAAAATGAACTCCGGGAACCCGACACGTGGCGGAGTGGCCGATCAGGCACTCCAATTAGTGCTCGAAATGAAGAGAAACCCGGATGTGATGCCGCCATACAACACCGAGCTCGTCCGGCAGTGCACCGCCCGTATTGAGGAGCTTTTTCAGAAAAACGCAAAAGTTGTGTAAGTTATAGCTCACAAATGAATTGATTATCGATTTTTGCTCAGTGAAAATATGCGTGACAACATTCCCGACGACATGTCGATGCTTCAGCCACGTCTCGCCGCCATGGTCCATATTCGGGTGAGCTTCACTGATTTTCGGCCGAAATTCTCAAAAAATGCTTGGCAAACACAAAAACCCGGAGTTTTTAAAGGAAAAAACGAGAATCTCATAAAAGTCTATCATTTCAGCGTTGCATGCTGGCCTACGAGAATGAGCGCAAAAATCGAATTCGATCGTATCGATGGAAGTACGGAGGAGCTCTTCCGGTCTCTATTCGGGTTGGTTTTGCTAAAATCATTTAGAAAAATGCTTACCCTTATGTGTTTTCCAAGAAATGAAACAAAAAATGAGAGGAAATTGAGGACAACTGGCCGATATTGCATGCTTCGCGGGTGCGCGCGCTGGTCAAAAACGGAAGGGTCTCGTAGCGATCAGACAAATTTATGGACGCGCATCCAGAATGAGCGCGCGTTGCGGTATTTAGGACGACTAGAAGGACGGGGAGAAAAAAAAAGAAAAGCGTTCTGGCCAGAGAGTCCTCTCGGACGGAAGGACCGCAGAACGCGACGCCAAACTACGAACAGATGATGACAAAACCAACGAAACAGTCGTAAAGATCGTTTGATCTCTGCGACATTTTTGAACGGTCCCGACCCGGTCACCTTTTGTCATCATTTTGGCGTCGCGTTCTGCGCTCTTCCAGTTCGAGAGGAGGACCAGAGCGATCCTCTTTTTTCCTCCAGCCTCGCCTGCCGTCGCAAAGACCGCAACGCGCCCGCTGTAACTTCAAAGGCGCATCCCATTTCTCTGAAAATTTTACCAATATCGCTGCGAGACCCAGTTGACCTACGGCCCGCGCACCGCGAAACTTGTGATGTTCACTTGTTTTTCTCGCTGTTTCTCTCATTTTTCGTTCCGATGCCCCTCTCTCACATAAATGTTATACAAATCATGTCAAACATTATCGCTGCGTGCCTTTTCCTTTACATTTTTCAAATTTAGACAGTGTGAGATTTTGAAATAGTACGGTAACGGAATGAGGAAGGTCTCAAGACACCGTCTTGTCGACAGAGAAGGCGACCTGTGCCTTCTTACCTCAGGCGTTATCACGTCTTCCGCTTTCACCTTCGGGTCGACGGCCGCCTTCGCGTTCTTGTGAAAGGCGACAGTTCGCCTTCGCCTGTTCATCGAAGGCGGACGGCCGCCTGCACCCCACATTCAAATGCGTCAGGCTGCTTTTTCCTGAAAAATTCAGACGCCTGCGGTCAGCCTAGCCTACTTTTCTTGAGAATCTTCCCTAGTCAATAGAGCACCAGACTCTAAAAATGTACAGAATGCACAAAAATGTTGCATTATGTACATTTATCGCCTTTCTATGTGTTCCAAGTGTATGAACTACTTCCGAATATCATTTTCCATTAATTTGAACTCAATTGGTCGCTTTCGAATCCCTTCAAATTGCAGAATGCGTTGTGCGAGGCGGAGATTCAGTTTTTCAACGACTACTCGTCGACACTGGCCCGCTACCAGGTGAGTCTGGGCGAGAACGGAGTCAATTTGCTGCTCAACACCGCACCGCCCAAAACATTGTTTGTGCAAGTGCGCGCGATAGAGGAGTACGGAGAATTCGAGACTTCCGATGGGACCACCGTTCAGTTGACCAAGGATAGCATGGTCCGTTTTTTCTGCACATTTCTCTGTAAAAAATCACAATTTGCAGCACTCATTGCCACGTCAAGACTGCGAAATGCTCATTCGACAAGGAGTTCTTGAGCTCGTTCACTAAAAAATCGATTTCCTTTATCAAATTCTCCCCATGATTTTGTCCCAGTCTGTGTGTATAAATGAACCGTATTTACCAAGAAAAGCAGGCGAATTCACATTTTTCGAGCACGTTTGTTTTAAAAAACCAGAAAACTTGCTTTCAAGTTATGTTTATTGACGAAACGTTTCAAAGGGAGAAGAACCGGTAATACATGGAAATTATGAACATGAGAAATTTTACAGGAAATATGGCGAAACTTGGAAAATCACCTACAAAGATGGACATTATCACAGTTTCGGTCATTTTTCCGATTGCCTCGCCGGCGGGAAGTCACACTTTCCCATCAGAGTCCTTTGTCGGCGTCTTTATCACTAATCTCCATGGAGATTCCAACCTCTGGAATTGCGTTATTCCATGGAGACTCCAACCTCTGGAATTGCGTTATTAATCTAATCCTAGTCTACTGGAGTTATACGGCGGCCTAATAAGATTGATATGACACCTAATTAGATTAATAAATTGTCTAGCTAGATTAATAAATCTTCTAATTAGATTGATATGTGCTCAAATCAAGTTTCACGCCAACCGTCTGCTGGCTCAAATCTCGATTGCGCCAAGAAAAAACAGCCCAATCTAATTAGGTCGCGTTTAGATCAGTAACTTTCTAATTAGATTAATATCGAATTGCCAGAGAACGGTAATCAAGTCAGTTGCTTTGAAATTTGCCGCAAATCCGCTTGAAGCTGAAATTCCCACACCTGCGGTCTTGATTAGCGGGGGAGATTAGTGATAAGAATGCCGACAAAGGACTCTGATGGGAAAGTACGATTGGAATTTCGAAACGTCATGGCACCGTGGGAAGAAGGAAGTGGCCACGCCCACTATTTAACTGTGTTTCTGTGCTTCGTGCTTCACCTGCGGAACCCTCGTCTGCACGCGAGATTCTCAATCGGGACACGAATAAAAGCCGCGAACTTTTGGTCGAATTGACGGCCGAAGGAGCCGAAGGACCCGGCGGTTTGAAACAGATTTGCGCTGCGTATCATTCCGCCACCGAGTTTCGCAACAAATTGCTGGAAACCGGCGCCGAAACGTAAGGAACCGCGGGATTTTGGGCCGGGAGAGACCGACTCTTGAGATGCAAATGCTGGTCCCAACTTCCAAGAGCAACAGTACTTTAGGGGGTGGTTGTATAGAAGAAGTTAGCTGCAAAATTTGATGGTTAGGTATGAAGATTTCAGTAAAAACATATCAGAACGATATCATGTGTTTCGGCTGTTTTATTCTTCATTTATCTCCTGTTCTGCTGGGGGCCGGCCACATTTTGCGGTTGGGGCTCAGAGCCGAGAAGCGGTGAGAGATAGATAATTTCCCATATACCTGTATTACAGCTGAAATTGGCAAGATGATTTTTGTCGAAAACGAAAAAAGATAGAGCTGTAACAGATTGATTGCATTGGAAAGCAGCGGAAAAACTCATTTTTAATGGGGAAAAAGGAACAACAATGAACAAGCAAGTAGTGTGTGTGTTTTTGTAAAAGTTTCAAAGCAAAACGAGCGAGAAAGTAAGATAAAATTGTAGATTTTATAAATTGTTATTCTTGTTTGGCCGCCGCACTGTTTCGGCGTCTGGCACAACGCCTTTTGCCGTTTTTCGCCGGATTCAGAGTCGTTTCGGCCATCGCTTCGGTCATCTCGGTGATTTCCTGTAAAAATTGGCTGTTCTTAGTGAAAATTCGTATTATAGGGGCACCGCACAGAAATGGCGCTCTGTTGAGAAACTCTTTTTGCAGTGCAAATTGAGCGACCTCGGGGCCGAGTTTGAAAAGTTAGGCCACGTTTTCAGTGGAAAATTACTTCGCGGCCTAGAAATTCGGACAGATTGCGAACAGCGCGCCCTTTCTGTCCGGTGCCCCTATAATAATTTGGGTACCTTTTCGGTTGATTTCGCTGTGCACTTTTTTGCCGCCGGGTTTAGTTTTTTGAATTCGTGATTTTTCTGTAAAAATAGCATAAACAAGTTTTTTTCAATAAAGAGTATTGTCACGGTATTTTGTTAGCAAAATTGACAATTTCTGTTCGAAAACTTTGTCTGTGGACACCACACAGCGCAAAATACCGGGACAATAATTTCTTAAAAGGAAACGTAGAGACCATTAGTTTTTCATAGGAGAAACGCTCATTGTGTAGAATATTGCGCACTATTTTCAAAAAATCCCCGCCTGCTACTCACCATGTCAACCAAACATCCATTTTCCTCGACCTGCTTCAAAATCGTACTCCAATACTTGGCCTTCCGCAGACCGTGCACATTTCCGATGATGATAGTGGCCTGCCGCGCCCTGGACATGGCCACATTCAACCGATTGGCGAGCTGCATGAACTCGGAGAGCTTCTCGTTTGTGCAGCACAATATGACCACTTCCCGTTCGGTGCCCTGGAATGAGTCCACTGTGCCGCACTTGACGCCGCTCCCACGCAACGCTTCCGTCAGCACCGACGTCTGCGCACTGTAGAACGAGATGACGCCGATGTCCCGCGCGTGCAGCTCGTAACCATTGTGCTTCTTCGTGAGCATTTGGAGGAGTTGCTTCACAATCTGCACTTCCGACTTGTTGCCCGCGGACGTTCCCATCCTGTATCCTTTTTCCTGGTTGTCAATTACAGTGATTGGGTATCGAGGATTCGGCCAGAAGTCCGATCGTTTCATGATAAATTCGCTTCGCTCCGTAGTCGAGACTCCAGAAATCAGCTCCCCTTCGTAAAATAGCTCACTGAGCAAGTTCGTGATCACCGGATGGCATCGATAGACGTACTTCAGCGTGGTCTTCGGGAACATGTCTGTCTCGAGTGCCCGTTCCATCGTATTTCCGATACCGTACTCCTTCAACTTGCCGGTCAACGCCTCCTCGCAATAGGGCGGCAGTTGTCGGGTGTCTCCGATGAGACTGAAGCAGGCTTTCGGGAATTTGATGAAGAGACTGAGCAGAGTGTACTCGGGTACTTGACTGGCCTCATCCACCTGGACGTTGATCACTGTTTTGAGGATTCCCGATTTCAAAAGCGTCGGCACCGAGTCCACCGTGGAAATGACAATGTCCGGGGTGAAAAGAACGAAGAACGAGATGAGGAGACTTCCAATACTGTTCTTATACCCCTTCGCTTTCCTCGGAACCTCCTTGATCTGTCTCTGAATCTCCTTGGCTTCTTTCGTCCATAATTCCGTTTGCATCTCTTCCATCGCCATCAAATATTCGACGATTTTCACCTTTCCGGCGTGACTCAAATATCTTTCGCGCTTTTTCATGTGCTGAACAAGCGCTCCGGTGGCCCATTTCGTGAAAATTTCGCCAACGAGCGCCGGAAGATCGTGATCGGTACGGCATACGTCCGGCAGCTCCATCCAGTTGTTGACCGACACGAAGCGCAGGAAATTGACGGGCGGTCCGGCGTTTTTGAGCTTCGCCATAATGTGCACCAAATTGACGCACGCGTAGTTGCTCTGACACACCAGAAGCTGTTGTTGTCGTTGTATCTCGTATCCAGTGCGATTTTTGTTGAAATTCTGGAAAAATACACGTATTGAACCGAAACCGATGTTTTGGACTAAAAATCAGTGTTCAACCACCCAGAATGCTTGCATTCTCATATTGCATCCCCTTTCGAGGAAAAAGTCATCGAAGGCGGAGGAAAAGGTCCACTTGTCGATTTTTCTGAAAAAACGCTGTTTCTGCTCATTTCGCTGATTCTATCTCTATTTTTATCGAAAGCGGAAAATAAATGAGCGAAATTAGCATGAAATGCAGTGTTTTCAATCAAAGCGACAAATTTCGAGCGAAAAATGTCTTTTTCTTCACTTCCGATAAGCGTTTGTTCCAAAAATGATAAAAGTTGATAATTAGAGCCTTCTGGGTGCTTGTGAGCCCAGTTCACAAAACTTGTCGAGATATTGAGCTTTCTGAGCAGGAAAAAGAGGTTTTCAGCGGAAATATGTCAGACCTTCACAATTTCGAGTGCGGCGGTCACAATCGTCATCGATTTTCCGCATCCGAACGGCGAACTTCCGATGACCATCGGATTGCGGTCCAACACCATTTGCACGTATTCGCACTGCGATTCATTGAGCTCCATCTCTCCAAACTTGAATTTTCCTCTGGCGCCGACAGTAATAATCGGAATGGGCGGTCCTCCGTACAGGGTCTTGATGATGCGTTTTCCGTTCGATTCGCCGACCATCGATTTGACGAAGATATTCGAGAGCATGGTGATCTCGGAGGGTTCCCTCTGCGAGACCAAGTACACCATTCGGGAGCAGAAACGCAAATCCTTCGGGGCGCCCCTCGAGATTCGGGCGGCCAGCTGAAGGCGTCCTTTCTCGGCGATCACCGTCTCGATGACGGCAGGCACTTCACCGCCCGGAAGCCGTCCCGAAATTCTGATGCGACCGCTCGTGTTCCAGCGGCCGATTGTGGGATGGGCCGACGGATTGAGGATGGTGAAGCGGACGATCATTCCGTTCTTTGAGATATTTCGCATTTGGAACGTTCGCGAGTCGAAGCGGCCGTTGAAGACGGTCTGCGCGGCCGCATAGCCCATCACTGCACACGTTTGCACCACTTCTCCCGGATTGTGAGGGCTCGTGGAAAATTCTGCAAAGAGATTTGGGTTTTACACTCAAAATATCCAGACCCACAAATTTACCTTCAAACGCTCTCCATCCGATGCCAAATTGCTCGGTGAGCTCCTTCGAATACTCGAACGCGTAAATGGTGCCCAACTGTTTCGGATACACGGGAATCTTCGTGGCCATCGCCGAAATTCGATACTTCCAATCGCTCTTATAGTTCAAAGCGACGAGCGACTCGATTCTTTCGGGCATAAATCCTTCGCCAATGTACATTTTATCACTTTCCGGTCCTTTTCTCATAGTTTTCGCGTTCACGTTCATCGCCTCATCACCTCCTTTCACAATGGCAGTTCCGTTGGCGAGCACCGAAAAAACGAGGCCGTGGTCGAGAGTTCGCGTAAGAACGGCCATTTTTGCGACCGCCCATGTGCACGGGGTCTCGTGGCTCACACCGAACACCGAAATCGGGGTCCCTTTCGGTTTGGTCCCTTTAACGGCAAGCTCTAGCTCCGTGACGGCTACGATATCGCCGAGGAACAACTGTCCGATGCAACTGTAGCCCTCGAATCCGGCCACTTCCGTCTGATCGTTCACCTCCAAGAATCGGAGGTCGCCGCGATGAAATCCGTGCACATTTACGTGGCACGCCACCACAATGTATTTTCCATTGCTCTCCACTTTATCATCGATGACACGATAATACGCGTAAATCTCTCGCGATTTTTCGTTTTCCGTCGGAAATTCGGCCACTTGTCTCTGCTTACGTGGCAACTTTTTGCGTGTCGACTCGGCGGCCTTCCGACAGTGCCATTTGGCGGCAAAACACAGTGCGTGGGCGTGCTTGTACTTTCTCAGACATTTTTGCACTTCCGACAACTTTTCGTCCAGCGGATCCACTCGTCCCGGTCGTTTTCTGTGATCATTTCGCGTGGAGGCCGTGTAGAATTTCGAGAAAATGTTGGCCTTGCGCTCCGCTTCGATCAGCTCTGCCATTGACGGATTCTAAATTGAAAATTTGAGAAAAATGGGTAAAGTTCACTTTTTCTATATTTTTTAGTGTCAAAATTTGAGAAACGATTCGTTATCAGTTGCCAAATTTTCAGACAATTCCAGACATTTTCGTGCTGTTCAGAAGCGTACCTGACTCATTTTTGATCGTGCAAATAAATCGGGGCCAATTTCCAACAAAAGTCGTTTGAAAATGTTTATTTAAATTCGGGCTGCTGAAATTGGCGTAAGTTCATTAGAGCGGGCTTGCATCCCAACACAAAAATAGGCCGATTTTGGGCAGAAAAATGGCGTGGAAAAGGGTTTGAATCTTTTATTATCTTCGAGAAACGCGTGACGCATAGAACATGGCTTTTCAACTGGTGAAACAAGATGTAGTTGATGTAGTTGTTGTAGTTGTGGAGGCAGTAGAGTTGTTATTGAAAATGCAGAAATTATTTTCAAAAAAAGGGGGAAAAGCGGCGCTTACATACATTTTCTAAAAGTTATTGTTAGGCCACGTTTTTTTGCGGGACATCGGCGTCATCTCGTTCTACAGTGCGCAGACGTCGGTGCTGACGGAAGCGTTGCGTGGGGCCGCTGCGTCCCTGCGTTGAGAAAACAGGCGCAGGCACCTGAAATCGCCTGTTCGACCAGCCTACGGCCCGGCATTTGCGAGAAATGAACACGGAAGCGGCGGGGCCCCAGTTGAATTTCACGGCTTTTTCTCAAGGAGCAGGAGCAGGAGCGGTGAAGTATAATGATTTGGTTCAGGACAAATGCGCAGTTTTTCGTAAAGCTCTTCAAATTACAGTAATCTAAAGCCAGAAAATCGCCAATAGTTTTTTTTATTCAGTTGTAAATCTATGTTGTAAAATGACATTTTCCACCCAATATTGCCAAAAATTCTCAAAATCGTTCTCATTTCGAAAACAACTTTCCAACTCCGCCTCGTTGACCTTGGCGGTAATTCGATTTTGCCACGTACTAATATTGATTTCTAGATTCCACTCATCTGCACAGTACACATCTTCCCAGTTAACGCGCGCGATTGTGAAGATGGGCGACCAAATATCTCGGTGTGCAGTATTACTCATAACACATTCGTCGGCCCACTGCCACGTCGTCTCAATTTATTCGTCTTCCTTTCCGCTCTCCACCAACCAATCGATTCATCATGTTCTCGTACGACTCTCTGAAGACGATCGCCAAGTACTCGAAGTACGGAACAATGTAAGTTGCTCTTTTCTCGTATTGTACGGTATCATGACCATCATATCATTTCAGTGCGCCACTCGCCTCGTTCGATCGCTCGCTGCGAGTGATCACCAAGATCAAGGCCTGGACCTTTGAGCAAGTGGTCTTCGAGCAGGACCAGGACCTTAACTCCAACCTCACGGTTGATGGAGTTAACTGGACTTTCACTTTTGACGCCCAAACTGAGAAAGTAACCGTGTCCTGCGAGTCGGCCCCGTGGAAGACCAAGACGTTTGAGGAGAAGAACGTGGCCAAGCAATACCTGGCTCATTTTTTGGAGAGGCCGGTGAAGCACCTAACGCTCATCCGATGCGAGGATCCTCTTGAGTTTGTGAAAGAGCTCAAGTGCGACTCTCTGACCGTGCACCTCGACTCGTTCACCAATGAATGGTTCGAGCGGATCAAGGACCGAACGTTCGAGAAACTGGAGCTCATCGATTCGAGCTCCTGCTCCAACGTGGCCAGTCTGGAGATTGCGAGAAAGGCCAAGAAGCTGGTGATTCGCGGAAAGCTCGCCGCGATGCTGAATGAGGACACCATCATGCGGTACCACGTCCTCAGGAGCCAGCTGGTCAACGTCGTGTTGGAAATGAACAACTGCACACCGTTATTACGAATGGCAGGGGTGAGTTACTTACAATATTTGTTGTAAAATCATAATTCTCAATTTTCAGTTCCTCATCATGAATCAGTTGCCGATAGGCAGTCACTTCACCGGAATTTTCAAAAATTCGCCTGGCGTGAAGATGGCCACCTTCCATCACTTCTTGCGGAACTGGCAGGGATCAACGTATGACAGATTCGGGTAAGATTTGAGCCTAAAAATGCTTCTTCTGAAACTAAATATCATTTTTTTTGCAGAGAACGAGTCGTTTTGGGATCGGCCGAGGACTACACAATCTCGGTCTATCGGAACTTCCACAACGACGACAAGCCGGGAACGACCAGCTTCACGGTCATCAAACTCAAGAAGCTTTAACTCGATTTTCATAGTTAATAAATTCTTTTTTAATCACAATCAATTCTAATGTTCTTCGAGCCTGAGGAAACTTGCACAATTTGCTCAATGATAATGAAAAGAGGTTTGTAGAAGTGAATTCCTTGCTTACCTTTCGCGTAGAGCTCATTCGAGCCGCACACACTTTTTTGTCGAAAGTGGGCAAATGAACGATTTTCCGTTGTGTTTTGCCACTAAGACAAATTTGGCAACTCTCACGCATTACACGAGCGATTACAATAAATATACATGAAGACTGTTCACATTTCTCTTATTTCGCATTTTAAGAAACATTTGCAGTAACCATAACGTTTATTAAGTTCACATTAAAAGAAGTAAGTGCTGTAAGAATGGAGAGGTGAAAACCGAGGAAAAAATATTATGAAATCTTGGGTGGAGGTTCTTCTACAAAGTGCGTGGATTCTCAGAGGTAGAGGTAAAGCTCTAGAGGGTAAATCGGAGAGAGAAAAGTGAAGAAGGAGTGGGAAAAGGAAACAAGAACATGATTATTGTTACAGTGGAACAAAAAAAACAGAAGGGACACACACACACACACACACGAAAATGGTAAATTTGATGGGGTCTACGACTCAGAGGTAATTAAAGAAACTAACAGAGATTTTTTTGGCGGATGGAAATAAAACAAGAAAGTGTTGGAGAGAACGGACGGTAAAACTGGCATTTTTTGAGGGGAGAGGTGGTTGTTTCATTTGTTATTATTCGGCACAATGTTCTCCGTGCTGCTCGACGTGGATTCTGGAGTTGGCATCGCCGATGGGGGCTCTTCTTCCTCGGTCGGAGCAAGCGGCGAACGCAGGATGAACGTCAGGAAATCGGTCAGAGAGATCGCACCGATCACCTGAAAGTTGTGAGGATTTTGTACAGAACTTTCGAGTCACTTGCAATTTCTCGATCAGGCTCAAACTTCGCAGGCTTCTTGAACTTGAATTGAAGTATTTGGGGACTAAATTGCAGACTGATCGGATTATCCGGTCCCGAGTTGTGTAGAAAAAAGCTATCGGGCTAAGCCGATCTCGGGATCAGACATGAAATTTATTCCTATAATACTTTAATCCAAGTCTAAAAAGCCTGTAAAGCTCGAGTCCGATCGGATCATAGATTATTGCGGCTGGGTCAAAAGTTCAGGCTTCAAAAAGCCCTGAAAAAAGACAAACTTTGCGGTTGTAGACGGCGAAGGCGGTCTGCGAGTCGGCGTTGATGAGTGTGTCGAGGGTCTGTCCGATGGTGTCCGCCGAGCTGATGAAGATCTGGCTCCGGCAGATGTGCAACATGTCCTTCACCAGTGTCTCCTTCAGCCAACGCTTCGGTTCGTAGAAGCTCAGCGGCAGCGCCTTGCAGATGTCCGTTTTTGTGATCACGCCGAGCACCTGAAGGTAATTTTTCTAATATTTCCCGATTTAAAAGTCGATAAATTTTGGACGAAATCAGCGACAAACCTCATTATTCTCATCAACAACCGGCAGAGCAGAATAATGGAATCCGAGCATGTCCTCCATGGCCCTAAAGACGGTGGCCTCGTGCGAGATGACGGCCACGTTGTCCCACGTGCCGATGGTCGAGAATCCGATGGGTTTGGAGAGCCACTGGGCAAAGTGCAGCGAGCGGTTCTGTTTGTGGATGGCGGCGATGACGCGCCGGACCGAGATGATGTGCACCACTTCGGAGAGATCATCGAGGACGACGACTCTGTGGAGGCGGTTTGAGTGGAGTTCCTCGCAAAGTTCCAGAATCTTCGAACTGATCGACACGCTGACGAGCGAGGATCCGGAGAGGATGTCCCTCGCGCGTAGCACGTGCTCCTCATCCTGCGGGTGCGGTTTCGTCTCGTTGCGGATCGCCTGGAGGCAGTCCGTCAGCGTCAGAATGTTGCGCTTCACGTGCAAGTGGTCCGAAGTGTCCCAGACGATGAGCGTCGTCACACTGTGGTCGCGCATGATGCGGAATGCGCGCGTCGCCGGCGTCAGCGAGTCGATGATGATGATTTTCGAGTTGTTCGGGCACAACTCGTACACGTCCACCAGCGACATGTACTGCTGGTACGGGTCGTTTTTCTGGTCTGAAATTTGTTTTTCTTTGTAAACAGGTCTCAAATGATTATTCAATTCTTACCAATAACTCCGACGACATTGAACGAGACGGGACGCGAAGTCTTGCGCAGCAGCAAAAGTCCGGAGCTGTTCGAGCGCGGGCGTCTGAATCCCTGATCGTCGTCGTAGAAGTTCGGATTCTTGTCGCGCAGATCGTACGCGTCCACGTGGCACTCGGCCACCTGCACCCGACGGGTTTCCGAGCCGGCCGACGGGCGACGGAACATCGAGGCGCCCAGGGAGCCGGCGCGCGGGTGGATAAAGTCCCGCACCTGCGAGAGGAAGGACGGACGGCGCGAAGTGGAGGTCGTGTTGCGGCGCTGCTCCGCCGACGGAGAGTCTAAAATGGGTTCTTACTATTAGGTTGACAGGAGAGGCACTGATTGATTTTGTGAAAAATCTCCTCAAAAACCGTCCACTACAGCTCTGGTCAGTTTTTTTGAGAAGGGGGAAATTGGTTTTCCAAGTTCTAGGCCATCAATATGAAGAGAACTCGGTTAGGTATTACTGTTACTTCAAATCTAGGCTAGAATTGCAACTGATAACGCGGAAATTCCCGGTCAAAAGCCCTGGAAGGAAGACGGAACGCGCAATTTCTGTCCGTGGCTCTACTTTCGCTCACCAAGATCGTGGAGACCCTCTGCCAGCCGTTGAACATCCGGATCCGCATGCTCTTCCGCATCGCCCGGATGCTTTTCCGGGCGTGGAGCGTTAATATCGGCGAGACATTCTTCGACGATCGCCTCCATTTCCGCCTCCAAATGTCCATGACATTTCGCCACTTTTTTCGCAACCGCGTGAATAGCAGCCGATGAGTGGTGTTCCATTAGTGTAGAAATGAATGAGGCTCGACGAACAACAAATAGGTTTCCATTTAAAAATGGGCGGCGCTTGGTGTGTTTGGAGAAACATCTGGCGCTAAATGCTCTGTTTTTCGAGACGACGGAAAAAAGTGTGTCTATGTCCATGTCAACAAGTTGTTTTTGGACGGAAATTCTAGCGGAAACAAAAAAGGTTTCACTTTCGTAGGCTTGTTCAGATTACTGTACATTTCCAAAGTCTCTAGCCCGAAACAATTGTGGAACAACAACAAGCCTTCCATTTTCACAAATTCATCGCCGAGCGTGGCCGGATGATAGATTTCAGGGATAGGAGAGATCAAAGAAGCTGGAGGAGACGCTGATCAAGAGGACACTAATGAAGATATCGACGGTGTGCGGAAAATAATTCATTTTTACCAGTTTTCCGATTCTCCACCGTATTCGTCTCATTTCGACCGCCGTTTGTATGGGAAGGACACATTAGCAGCTGTTGTCGCGCGAATGTCCTTCACAAAATAATAACAACTTTTTACGACAAAGAAGCGTCTAGAGAAGCTACAGTATGCGGGAAGGGTCTCGAAGCGAACAAAAAGTAGCGAAGCCACTACTCTAACCTTGAAAAAGATCTCGCCACGAAGTACAGTTATGCAAAAACTTTGTGGCAGTAAAAATTATTTTCCTACGTCCCGGATCTCATTCATTCCATCCAAAAACGTGCATTTCCGTGCAAATCTTGACTTCCTCAGGAATCCTAATCCCATCGAATACCAAACATCACGTAATTCCAGCTTATTCGAATCATCCGGAATATGCGGATTGAGAGTATATTTAGCTGAAAGTGCAAAATCTTGTTGATCATCCTCTATTTTTAAGCCAGATTTCCGATATTGCCGATTTCGCCTTCGAAAGGAGACCACCCACGAAGACACAAGGCCGTTTCGTACAATTTATGCACGCAATGCGTCAAAATAAGAGGGAAACTGGCAAGAACAGAGAAGGCAAGAACAGAGAGTAGTAAATCGTCCAAAAAACATCTCTGAAGAAACTTTTCACGCCGAAGAAACCCAAAAATGTGTCTTTTCCCATTCGGAAGACGTCCAACGGCCTGTTCACGGCGCGTAAAAGTTCAACATCATCCGTCATCTTATCAGTTCTCCACCATCTCCTTTTCGGTACTGGCGAGGCGCCAAAATGCGACGGCGGCGGCGATATTATCAGTTTTTGAAGTGAAGGAGGAAAACATAAACTTTTCGCTTTCTCTCTCTCTCGATCATGAGTGCAGCGGGCGGTTTTATGAGCCATACGATAACGGGAAAGTGGGAAATTTCAAATTTGTGTGCTATTACTGATAAAATGGCTCAATTTAGTCAAACATCGGGGAAAACAACTGCAAAACGAGGGTTTTCGGCCTACAATCGTGGAGAATCGCGGTTTTTGCTGGTATCGCACAAATTTAGCGGTGTCTCACCTGATTTGGAACTGGGCGATCTTGTGTACGAGTTTCGGGCCGACGGCGACGATCCGGTGCTGTGAATGGGATCGCAGCCCTTTTCGAGCATCGTCATGCGATTCATCTGCAAAAATGCGAATTTTCGAGCGTTTCGGACACAAAATTGTTTGATTTTTGAAAAACACGTACCTTTTCGGCCTAAGATTAACAGACTAGAATGAGGACGGATTTCTAACAATCTAGGGGGCCTAAAACTCGTCCATTTTCCATTTTGAGGGCTTTCCCGGTGCCCAGACGACTGTTTTTGGGGAAGGCGAGGCGCCGAGAGCGACGAAATAGTGCGCGGAAGTGGGAGAGTGCAGGCAGAGAAGAGGAGCGACGGAGAGAGAGTGTGCGGGAGGCGGAGAGTGCGAGAGAACGAGAGGGACGAGAGAGAAGGGGCGCCCGTGGAGACGCAGACGGTCAGGGAGCGGAGTAGAAATTGAGAAGTGGGGGGAGTGCGAAATGGAGAAAAAGGAGCGGCGGAATGGTCGATGATGCGCTAGAGTGAGACTGAGCTAAGAGCTTTTGAGTATTCGCAACAGGCGACGCCCCCACTTTTTCTGGATAATTTTACAGTTAATGGAAACGAAAATCTGCAATTTTCGGCCTTGTTTGAGTGGTTTTTGGGAAATGTGCACTGAAAACCTACGCCACACCCATATTTTAACATTTTGGGACGAAAAATTAACTTGTTTGGAATAAAATCGCGCTTTCACGGGATTTTTGCACTTTTGGTGGGAAATGCTTGTCTATTGCCGTTTCTCGACAATTTTACGCAAGACGATGCCTTTTCGATGGGAATTTAGCTTCTTCGATCTAAAAATTCCAAATTTTGGCGAAAAACTGAAAAAAGCCAATATCAGGTGCCGGCAGGTGATTTTAACTCGGATTTTCTATCGGAAATTGAAAAATAAATTGAATTTCAGTCGGAAGTCGAAAAAAATTAACCTGAAATCGTTCAATTACCGTGTTTTCCTCGGATTTTTGGGCCATCGCTGCGGAAAGTGCGTGGCGGCGGCAGTGCTGCGCGTTCAAACTACGATAGGATACGGTAGCCGATTTAAAGGCGCAGCACTCGTTTTTCAAGCGATTTCAGCGATTTCGAGGGCTCTTGGGACATGACTAAGCGGTATTTTCAGCATTTTGAGACGAAATCCGATGACACAAAAAATACCGTATGCCAGACGCGGCGATCCTTTTTCCCCGAATGTTTTGTTCGGCGCGTAATGGGCCCCGTCGCGTCTTTGTCTAGGGCATTGCGCCGCGCGGGCGAAGGAAGGAAATAAACAGAGAAGCGAAAGGATGGGGGAAAAGACGGACGGACAGGAGGCACTCGCATACACACAAAACGCGCAAATGTTTTGAAAAATGTTCGCGCAGTGATGGGAAGAGAGAGAGAGAGAGAGAGAGAGAGAGCACATAGAGATTCAAGATCAGTCAGACCCCGGAGGTTAGACGGCGAAAAGCTTGAGATTGCGAGACGAGAGAGGGACTTGAACTTTTGTTAATATTGTGCTCTTCTCAATTTCCTCTACTGTAGATTGACCAACCGAACTGCTAACCTAGAAAGAGTTGTGTGACCTAGTTCTTTGATGTCCTCAATATTTTTCAACTCTACAATATCAACTCACCAGAGCGAAAAGAAACGCACACGTACAAAAAAAAGGCAATGAACCGAACTATTATAATAAACTTGTGACGTGCGTAATCTGTTTATCAGTGCAATGGAAGCGGAAATGTAAAAAAAAAGGGGGGGGGGGGGCGGAGCCATGAAGCCGAATGGGATTTGGCTTAGGATTACGACGACAATGGTCGACAACAGTTTGAGGCGGAAATGAGAAAAAAAAAGTTGGATTTCCTCAACTGTTTCTCTAAATTCCAGAAACCCGCGTTCCCATAGACACACAGCTGCGAACGGCGTCCCCGTTCCCAAACCCTTTCTGAGACCCCCCCGGCGTCCGTGAAATCCATATAAAATGTGCGGGTTTTGCGGAGAGCCCACACAAAACAGTGCACGAGATGAGTCGTCTAGCCGCTCTGCTGATTTTCGTGGCAATTGGAGCCGCGTTGGCCGCTCCGCTCAAAGTTCTTTTCGTGTTGGCGCCAGTTCCAGTCAAACGTACGTCAGGAAGGGTTTCCGTACTTTTCAGAAATCGTGTCTAGAAACGTTTTTTCGACAAAACACGTGTGTTTAGTGGTCGTAGAGATGATGCGGCCTGGAGGCTATTTATGTTGTGTTTAACGGTTCCGATTTTATGGCGAAAAGTTGATTTGGGACCAGATTTTTGGTGTCTTATTTTATGATCGTTCTAGAGGATTGGGGAGAAAGTGGAAGAAAGGATTAGTGCAGTTTGACCTCAAGTTGGCCTAGCGACACCTAGTCCACTCTCATTTCTTCCAGAAAGCGGAACCGACGGCGCGAAACTCATCGCCGTGATTCCCTCGAACACGACGCGTCTCGTGCTCAAATTCGACAAACCCATTTTGGCGCGAATCGAGAAGACTGCTGAATTCTCGGCTGCATTCCAGGATCCGGGCGCCGCGTCGAAGGAGTCGTCGGTCGTGCGGCTCGAAGCGATCGGAGAGCTGAAGAGGCCGGTGATTGTGAGCGTGAAGGACGGCAAGACGGGCGATGCGGTCAAGGTTCTCGTCAAGGTGGAAGAGAACGCTTAAGCATAATAAAGAGATTTTGCATTGACCTGCTGACCTATTTTCTTAAAATGTACTCAAATTCTTAAAGGACCAGGGAACCCAAAAATTTTTTGATTAATTTGTGAAATTTTTTTGTGACTGTTTGAATTGTCTCTTATTGCCTCATACACTGGTGAAATGCTGCCTCTCAAAAATGCCAATGAACGAAACGGCATGCAGTTGAAGTTGTGGCCGTGGCCTAGCGCCAATGGCCTAGAAATATGCGCTTCTCGGCCATTTTATTTTTTTCTGCTTTTTTACCGGTTTTTTTCCAAAAATTCACGGTTTCTCCCATTTTTCAGTTGATTGACATTTGTTCGGCACTTACTTATTTTATCACTGCTAAAAAATTGTTTTCATTCAGTCGATACGAAGTGCCAGATGAGTGGTTTCCGTGGAACAAGGGCGATTTTATCGCGAAAAAACCCGAAAAAAGCGGAAAAAATAAAATGGCCAAGAAGCGCATATTTCTAGGCCATTGGCGCTAGGCCACGGCCACAACTTCAACTGCATGCCGTTTCGTTCATTGGCATTTTTGAGTGGCAGCATTTCACCAGTGTATGAGGCAATAAGAGACAATTCAAACAGTCACAAAAAAATCAAAAATTATTTTTGGGTTCCCTGGTCCTTTAAACGAAATGGATACTGTGACCTAGATCTGACAAATTTTTCAACACAAACTGCAAAAACGTGAGCTCTTATCTCTCCAACGATGACCAATGTTGCCTAAGATCAAGTTGAGCGGAACAACTGACTGCCAGGCTCTTTTTCCAAAACCCTGAACAGCCGACAAAAAACAGTGAAAGAAAAGCGATGAAACTGGATATATTCGTTGGAAAACAAAAAAAAATGGATACTCTTTCGGTGTTTTTTGAATGGGAACGGATCGTCGATCATGCTGAACAAGAGGAAAAATTGAAATTCCGGGCTGGAAAAGCTGGAGAATCGAGTGGGCGTATTCGGAGGGGAAAGGGAATTTATTTAGAGGAAGATACAACAAAAACCGTTGTCAGTGGGGCGGTGAAACAATGGAAAAACACAATTGTACTTTAAAGAGAATGCAATAGTTGAACTGAGTTGATAGATCGTGTGAAGACAATGCCGCCTGGAGAAGCCTGAAAAATTAAAAATTAGGTCTAACCTGAAAGATCTGGTGTATACCTTTTCTTTTCCTTATTTTCTATGCTGCCACCATGTCTTTCGCGGTTTCAATTTTTCAATGACGACTTTGGAAGTTTCAGATGTTTACCCTTCCACAGATATTCTTTCAGATGTTTGTGCTTCAACAGACATTCTTGAATGACTCTAGAAGTCTCGGATTGACGGGTGAACTTGCTCTGTAACATAAAGGATACAATATAATCAAGCTACAGTACTTCTCTCACCATATCCATAATCCCATTATTCTTCTCGACATTATTCAGAATAGTTTTCCAATACTTGGCCTTCCGCAGACCGTGCACATTTCCGATGATGATAGTGGCCTGCCGCGCCCTGGACATGGCCACATTCAACCGATTGGCGAGCTGCATGAACTCGGAGAGCTTCTCGTTTGTGCAGCACAATATGACCACTTCCCGTTCGGTGCCCTGGAATGAGTCCACTGTGCCGCACTTGACGCCGCTCCCACGCAACGCTTCCGTCAGCACCGACGTCTGCGCACTGTAGAACGAGATGACGCCGATGTCGCGCGCGTGCAGCTCGTAACCATTGTGCTTCTTCGTGAGCATTTGGAGGAGTTGCTTCACAATCTGTACTTCCGACTTGTTGCCACTAGATGTTCCCATCCTGTATCCTTTTTCCTGGTTGTCAATTACAGTGATTGGGTATCGAGGATTTGGCCAGAAGTCCGATCGTTTCATGATAAATTCGCTTCGCTCCGTAGTCGAGACTCCAGAAATCAGCTCCCCTTCGTAAAATAGCTCACTGAGCAAGTTCGTGATCACCGGATGGCATCGATAGACGTACTTCAGCGTGGTCTTCGGGAACATGTCTGTCTCGAGTGCCCTTTCCATCGTATTTCCGATACCGTAATCCTTCAACTTGCCGGTCAACGTATCCTCGCAATAGGGCGGCAGTTGTCGGGTGTCTCCGATGAGACTGAAGCAGGCTTTCGGGAATGTGATGAAGAGACTGAGCAGAGTGTACTCGGGTACTTGACTGGCCTCATCCACCTGGACGTTGATCACTGTTTTGAGGATTCCAGAATTCAGGACTCCTGGCAGTGAGTCTACGGTCGAGATGATGATTTCCGGCCAGAAGAAGATGAAGAAGGATTCCAACGGCGCAGGGGGCATTCGAGCTTTCTTCGACCAGCCCAGAGTCTTCTCGTAGATCTTACTTGCTTCCGCAGTCAGCTTTGTCGGCTCCACCAGCTTTGCGAACGTGAGATACTTCATAATCATCTCTTTTCTTACTCTACTGAGCTTCGCCGCGCACGCACTTTGATAACTGTCGAGTGTTCCAGTGGCCCACTTGGTGAACACGTCTCTCATGAGCGCCGGAAGATCGTGATCGGTTCGGCAGGCATCCGGTAGCTCTTTCCAGTTGTTCTCAGAGACGTAGCGTACAAACTTGAAAGACGGATCCATTTTATTCGCCTTGCTCATAATGTGCACCAAATTTACGCTCGCGTAGTTGCTCTGCGTCACCAGAAGCTGTTGGCTGTGCTTTTTCTTTTTCCCGTATTCCTGATCCTTCTCACGTGCCATCAGCTCCAACGCGGCGGTCACAATCGTCATCGACTTTCCGCATCCGAACGGCGAACTTCCGATGACCATCGGATTCCGATCCAACACCATTTGCACGTATTCGCACTGCGAATCGTTGAGCACCACGTCGCAAAACTTGAATTTTTCCAGTGATCTTCCACGAATCTTCCGAACCAAACGAATGCTGGTCCCTCCGTACAGGGTCTCCACGATCGCTTTTCCGTTTGAATCTTTAAGCAATAAACGGTAAAAGTGATCGGACAAAGGTTTCGCGCCAAACAGTTCTCGCTGCGAGACCATGTAAAGCGGCCACTTTCCGTCCTCCGTCTGATTGAAGTTGATGTCTTTCGGAGCGTCTCTCGACATTCTGGCCACAATCAGCAGCTGTCCTTTCTCGGCAATCGCCGTCTCGATCACTGCATTCAGGCCTTTCTTTCCTTTAATCTTTCCTCCCTTGATATTGATTCGATTGTTCGAGTTCCAACGTCCGAGAGTCGGTTGGACCGATGGATTGGGCAGGGTGAACTTGATAATCAATCCGTTCTTTGTGATATTCCTCATTTGGAATGATCTCGAGTCAAAGCGACCGTTGAAGACAGTTTGCGCGGCGGTATAACCCATCACTGCGCACGTTTGGGTCACGTCTCCAGAGTCTTGAAAGTGGGATTCTGAAAATAGACACCACTAGCTGTTGCCAAGTCATGTTTTCAACAAATACTCACCTTCCTTGAAAGCGTCCCATCCAATCTCAAACTGTTGGGTGAGATTCTTCGAGAAAGCACAGTTGAAGATGGTCCCCAACGGCTTCGGGTAGCTATGAACCCTTGCGGCCTGGGCCATGAGCGGATATATCGCACTATTGTTGTATCCTCCAGCAAAGTTTGATTCAATCTTCTTTGGCACAAACGCCGAGCCCAGGTACAGCTTGTCGAACTGCGGACGACGTTCTCCCGCCTTCAGCACAACCTCCATCGCTTCCTGGTATCCTTTCACAATCGCCGTTCCGTTCTCGAGCACCGCAAACGTCACATCCTTCCGGATATCCCTCGAGATCAGCGACATCCGGGCGACCGCCCACGTGCACGGGGACTCATGGGTCACTTTGAAAAACGGAGTGGAATGGAAGATGTTGGATTTCAAGACGAGCTCGGTGACGGCTACAACATCGCCGAGGAAGAGTTGTCCGATGACACTGATGCGCGTGTAGCCCTCCATTTCCGTCCGATCGTTCACTTCCAAAAAACGAAGATCGGCTCTGTGAAGTCCGTGCACGTTCACATGACAGGCCACTAAAGTGTAGACGTTTTTTTCCCTTGCAATCACACGATAGTACGCGTAGACTTGGCCGTGTCCGTATGCGTTCGGAAAATTGAACATCATTCGTTTTTGAAGACGTGGCAGAACTTTCCGAGACGACAACGCCCCCTTTTTCTTCCAAACACTCGTCTCGGAGGCGAAGCGTAACGCCTGAGTATGGGTGTACTTTTCGAGTTCCGTTGGTTCTTTATCGACGTTTCCCCTCATGGGGGTCTTCAGCGCTCCAGACACTTCAGACTGGTCGTAGAATTTGGAGAAGACGTTGGCCTCACGCTCTTCTGCCACACGATTGTCTTGCTCTATCTTCTGAAAAAAAGGGTTGTGTAAGTATTTGTGACTTGCGTCAAACCAACCTTTGACGGGCTGCCCATTGCTTTTCTCACTTTCTTCCCCAATGGATCGTACCGAGCGGACACATCGAAATCGTCGTCGTCGTCGATGAAATCATTCTCCGCCATTTCATCATCGTCGCTGTTTATGTTCGCACGTTTCAGTGCATCTATTATGAAATCGTCCATGTCATCCGTATCATCTTTATGGTCATGTCTGAAATTCACTTCAAGTTTACATGCATACAATAAATTATAAATCACTCTAACATGTCATCGTAGAAATCGCTCGAATCGTCGTTAGTCCAGCAGTCTGCCATTTTTTGTGAAATTGTCGATGAAACTCTAAAATGAACAGAAATAGGAGAGAAAGAAGGGAGAAGGGAGAAGGAGCAAAGAACGCACTGACTGTGAACGACCGAGAAAGTGTACGATGGTCAGAGACACATCAAGTGAGAGAGAATAGGAAGGGTGCGTATTGATTCTCTCGCGTTCCCTCTCATTTTTAGACAGAAAACCACATAAAAAAAGTGAGAAAAGGAGAAATGAGGCCTACCTAGAACATTGCTTGTGAGGGAGAAGAGGAGAGAAGAAAGAGAGCATGCAAGAGAAAGGAGGCCACTGACTACTTTTGCTCAGTCTAAAATTGATTGAGTGAAGTTGGGCGACAGCAGCGGAAACGCACCGACATTCTGGCTCCTTGCAATGGAGCGCACTTGCACAATCCTTTCGAAGAAGACTATTTTACGCAAGTCTGCGGCAGCCAATCAACTTAATATTTCGAAGTATGAGCCGAATGAAAATGAAATGAACAAAACTAGTAAAAAATCATTAATTTGTTGCATTTATTGCAGACAAGTAAGTAATGATGGGAGAGCATTAGGGAATTGGGAGGATCGCACCGGAAACTCTAACAATAATTGGTTTTTGCATGAAAATGAATTATTTTTAAACAAGGAGTGCGTTTTGTGGGAAAGAATTTGATAAATTTGAAGAAAACAGCTGAAGTATCGAACTTCTGATCCTCCGCTCGTTGATCCGCGTGGCACGGAACCCCAGCATTCCAATGCGCAAGCGAGTTGTCAATGGGGCGCGCTTGCATCCACCGTCGACTCGGAGTTTCTTTTTTCAATTGAAAACCGGAATTCTTTCGTTTTTCTCTTAATAAACACTCAAATTTTGTTCTTTGCGAACCGTAGGGCGATTGTCTGAGTTAAAAGCATCGATTAAAGCGGGAAACGAAGCAGATTCGTTCAGAATTGACCAAATTGAGGGATTGAGTTTTAATGATTATTTGCCGAATCGAGTTCGGACACTAGCATTCGAACCGTCCAGTCAACAAGGAGTTTATTGCGCATCTTTTAAGCGCTCAACCGTCGAAAAATATACAGAATTGAGATAATTGAGGCAAATTTTCGATTCCAAAAGAAAACATTCTGTAATTTTCACATAAAACGTTTCGAAATTGATGACGAAGCAGTTAACATTTCATTTTTTATTCATTTCTAATCATTATCATAAGTTTTGACACTGATTGGTTCTGAAAAGATGGGGATAATGAAAAAAAAGAGAAAGTTGAAATGAGAAACTCTACAACGACGCTCCGGAATTACGCGTTACGCGCCTTGTTTAGCACACGTGAATTGCGCCGAGCGAATTTTTTATTGGAAGGGGCTGGGGTTCCATGCGTGGCAATCGTGTGGGTGCAGAATGACAGCCTGAAAGACATTCTTTTTGAACAAACGGTTTGGGAAATCGATACGGAACAACACTAGAGTTTCACTCACAAGAACAGGTGTGACTGCTTTCAGATGCTTCCGATGGAGATTGCCTGGAATGGAGAGAAAATTCCAGAAAAAAGAAATAACGGTAATGAGTGGGTCGTGGAAAAATGGGACGAGAAAACTCATGCGAACGAAGGGCGTGGGAAAGTTGGGCGTGGGAAAGGGTGGTCTATAAAAGCTAGAATTCCTTATCAGTTTAAATTGATGGAATGTTCGAGATCACGTGTCCCAGATGCATATATGTATCGGCGAAGGCGTCGAGGAACCTTTTCAATATCCACAGCCTAAGGTGCACTGAAACTTACGTCAATCATATCTTGAAATACTTAGAAAATCTGCGTGGAGGCATCGGAACGAGTAGGTGTATGAAAACTTTCCAATGTATCGGATCGTCCGGCCACAGCGGGTAGTACTGTCAACTGTCCGGTAGCCTCCTGTGAGCAGAAATTCCCATCTCGGGAGCATCTGGCGACCCACTACTGTAGGGAACACTCTCCGGATTCTGAAATTGAAAAAGTTTCATTCAAATCTGAAATGGAATTCCAGGTATGAAAAGATTTCAGCCTAGGGAAAGTAAGACAAGAACTTTTAGGATTGGCTGAGAATGCGGGAGAAGGAGACGTGCTCGAATCTGGTCGTTCGCAGCAAGACAAGAGAAGAGCATTCGAATTATGAATATCGAGTTTGTCGCGACGAAGGGGAAAAGAGACTTGGCGGCGGTCAATCAATTCGAAAACAGTCGAAGAAGATCACGGGAGATCATGTCTGCGTGGCGTTTCTGAAAAAGAGAGAAGTTAACGGACAGATCTCCATCACTGCATTTTTTGGCCACGAGGGACACAGTTTATTTCATGCGCAAAGACGACTGTCGCAAGAGGAAGCTCAAATTCTCATCTCGTAGTTTATTGAACGTCCGTCGCAGAACGACTCGTCGCTGTCGTCATAATTGTTCATCGCGAAAAGACGGACGGTTAAAGACTATCCGAAAGAGTCTATCTGAAACGGGTCACATGAGAATATCTTGTTTTCATTTTCAAAAAATGCATACCTGGAAGGACTCGTTCACCTCAAGCAAACATCTTCTCGGTGCTTGTTTGCCGTCGTTCGGGATGGGACTTCCTTTCCTGTTCAACGCCGTCTCGACATTTTTGGAATCGGGACTGCACGGACTATCAAACGCGAAAGGAGTCATCTGTCTCCGGCTTCCGGTTTCACGTCTGCGCTTTGGAGTGCTCGGGGCGACCTCCGACTCTCTCTCTCTCTCAAACAACGGCGAACTCGGCTCGAGGATGTTCATCTGTTCGGAGGCCGGAACAATGGAAGACGATGGTCCGGGAGTCTTCTTCGCAGATTGAGTATCGATTGGAGTAGAAGTCATCGGCTTTGCGGAGAATTGCCCTCCCTTCACAGTCTCGAGACCCTTTCTGGCCAGAAACGCGGCCAAATTGCGATCCGCCTCACCAATTTCAGTTCCGTCGGTGGGGCGAATCTCCAGCGGGACCATCTCCTTCTGCATCTACTTCACAGCCGGAAAGAGCACAAATAGGCAATTTGAGCATTGTCACTTGCGGTCCTGGATTTCTATCCTGAAAAAAAGTAATGAAGTGCGTCTAATAATGATGACAGTTCTTTTATTTCAGAGATACAGCCAGAGCGAGAATAGCATGAAAAGAGCTCGTGGAAGTCGGCGGCCGACTGATTCCACGAAGCCGCTCGTTTTTGACGCAGTCTCTCGATGAAATGACAGCTCCGTTACAATTCTGATCGGCGAGAGCGCCGAGATTCGAGAGAACGGAAGGAAATAAGACTCCGCGCTCTCGGAGTTCAGGGAAACATGCATTTTTTGCAGAGAAACTGTTCTCCTCGTCGAGAAGTGAGAGCAGTCGGGGGAATAGCATGAAAAGAGCTCGTGGAAGTCGGCGGCCGACTGATTCCACGAAGCCGCTCGTTTTTATCGCAGTCTCTCGATGAAATGACAGCTCCGTTCCAATTCTGATCGGCGAGAGCGCCGAGATTCGAGAGAACGGAAGGAAATAAGACTCCGCGCTCTCGGAGTTCAGGGAAACATGCATTTTTCGCAGAGAAACTGTTCTCCTCGTCGAGAAGTGAGAGAAGTCGGGGGAATAGCATGAAAAGAGCTCGTGGAAGTTGGCGGCCGACTGATTCCACGAAGCCGCTCGTTTTTATCGCAGTCTCTCGATGAAATGACAGCTCCGTTCCAATTCTGATCGGCGAGAGCGCCGAGATTCGAGAGAACGGAAGGAAATAAGACTCCGCGCTCTCGGAGTTCAGGGAAACATGCATTTTTTGCAGAGAAACTGTTCTCCTCGTCGAGAAGTGAGAGCAGTCGGGGGAATAGCATGAAAAGAGCTCGTGGAAGTCGGCGGCCGACTGATTCCACGAAGCCGCTCGTTTTTATCGCAGTCTCTCGATGAAATGACAGCTCCGTTCCAATTCTGATCGGCGAGAGCGCCGAGATTCGAGAGAACGGAAGGAAATAAGACTCCGCGCTCTCGGAGTTCAGGGAAACATGCATTTTTCGCAGAGAAACTGTTCTCCTCGTCGAGAAGTGAGAGAAGTCGGGGGAATAGCATGAAAAGAGCTCGTGGAAGTCGGCGGCCAACTGATTCCACGAAGCCGCTCGTTTTTGACGCAGTCTCTCGATGAAATGACAGCTCCGTTACAATTCTGATCGGCGAGAGCGCCGAGATTCGAGAGAACGGAAGGAAATAAGACTCCGCGCTCTCGGAGTTCAGGGAAACATGCATTTTTCGCAGAGAAACTGTTCCCCTCGTCGAGAAGTGAGAGCAGTCGGGGGAATAGCATCAAAAGAGCTCGTGGAAGTCGGCGGCCAACTGATTCCACGAAGCCGCTCGTTTTTGACGCAGTCTCTCGATGAAATGACAGCTCCGTTACAATTCTGATCGACGAGAGCGCCGAGATTCGAGAGAACGGAAGGAAATAAGACTCCGCGCTCTCGGAGTTCAGGGAAACATGCATTTTTTGCAGAGAAACTGTTCTCCTCGTCGAGAAGTGAGAGCAGTCGGGGGAATAGCTTGAAAAGAGCTCGTGGAAGTCGGCGGCCGACTGATTCCACGAAGCCGCTCGTTTTTGACGCAGTCTCTCGATGAAATGACAGCTCCGTTACAATTCTGATCGGCGAGAGCGCCGAGATTCGAGAGAACGGAAGGAAATAAGACTCCGCGCTCTCGGAGTTCAGGGAAACATGCATTTTTTGCAGAGAAACTGTTCTCCTCGTCGAGAAGTGAGAGCAGTCGGGGGAATAGCATGAAAAGAGCTCGTGGAAGTCGGCGGCCAACTGATTCCACGAAGCCGCTCGTTTTTGACGCAGTCTCTCGATGAAATGACAGCTCCGTTACAATTCTGATCGACGAGAGCGCCGAGATTCGAGAGAACGGAAGGAAATAAGACTCCGCGCTCTCGGAGTTCAGGGAAACATGCATTTTTCGCAGAGAAACTGTTCCCCTCGTCGAGAAGTGAGAGCAGTCGGGGGAATAGCATCAAAAGAGCTCGTG